AATCTTTATTGATGAGAATGCTCGCTTGTTTATACAAGATATACTAGTGATGCGTGCACATGCGCATGTGTCAAAATTTGATTTACTTTCATAGGATATGGGTAATCTCATGGACATTTTTGGGTCGATTTTGCTAATCAATCTAACTCAACAATGATTAATTGTAAATAATTTACTCGTGCGGTTTTCTAGTTCGTTTTCATAAACTCGATGACATCGTGTTATTGTTTAGCGAATCTTCATTTTGACTTATCAAGGCTCGTCTGTGTGTATATCAATCTGCACTAACAAAGACTGTATATGATATCCAAATCTATGCAATCGAAACGAATAAATGATCCGAGAGGAAAATAGTCTATGAAAATAAACTGTTAGTCGCTGTATTTATTTAACTGTTTTCTTTACTCAAACAAATCGACTTGATACGCGAGCAGAGCAATTATTTATTATGTATACAAAAGTAATCAAGAAATTATTTTCAAATAGTCGAGTTAGTCATTGAAGCTATTTTGAGTAAATGAGGAGATTTTGTAAGCTGAACAGCATGATTGGTAAATGTCTTGGCATATTCAGACATTATGACATCGTTCTAATAACAATCATTTCCTGTTTGACTTCGAGCGATGGTATTTTATAGGATCCATTTGCTCGCTTTTCTTTTACTTGGAAAAAGAACTTGTTCCGAGAATGACGCCGACGTCATTGACGAAAAAGTTGAGATTTCAAGGTTCTTTCATCTACAGGTTGTCGACAAGATAATTAGACTCACATTATGAAATCGAAGAGTTCTATTTTAGCTTTTCTTACTCAGCTGTCGAAAACAAAAGAAGATTTACTTACGATCTTTAATAAATGTCATCCATCTCGAAGGTCGTTTCCTGCTGATTTGCTAAAGGTTGGATCGATAATAAATCTCTATCAAATTTTTCGTACATGCATCATCTATCCAATAAGGCGAGAAATCTTACAGTTATACATCGATAGAGTCTTAAATATCAGTATACTAATAATAACTACTTCATGCGAGTGATCGCGGAAATTCGTTAACTGAAAATGAAAAGTCTTTTTGAAAGCGTTCGATAAATTGATGTTCTGTCTGCATTGCATTCTAGCGCTATCTATCATGTAAAAGTAGCGACTGGCGTTTCTTCCAGTCCAGTATATTTTCTTGCATTGCTTCGACGTCATCGGGTAAAGTCAATCCAATCCGTTTACTATTCTTCTTCTTTTTCTATCTTATCAAATCTCACGGACAGCATCATGATCGGGGATACGATTCTAATCATTTTTATTTCGATTGCAACTGCTCTACTTGGCGAAGGTAAGAGTTTCACATACAAGAATTGATTTTCACTTGTTTCGTATCATTCTTAGGTCTTACATGGCTTCTAGTCTATCGCACAGAAAAGTATCAACGATTGAAAGGTGAAGTCGAAAAAGCTAGTAAACGACGTAAGTTTGATATTATTGTTGTTGGTAGAGTTCTTGATTTCAAATGAAATTTATTTTGCAGTTGAACGACAAAAAGAAACAGTCAGCGAAGCAGCAGATAAAGTTCAAAAACGCAAACTTGGTTCGTTGTTCTTTGTGAAATGATGCACTTCTTCTATTCGGGATTTTTGTATTCATTTTAGAACGTCAAGAAGAGAAGCTAAAAGTTAACAACCGTGATTTATCAATGGTAAGACGAGTAAAACTCATTCAAGAAGAGACGAATTGATTTTGTCTTCGAGGTGAAAATGAAATCCATGTTTGCATCAAGTTTTACATTCATGGCACTGCTTGGCATGTTCAATTCCATGTAAATCTTCCACATAAAAATATATCTTTTGAATGAATGCTGACTTTTTATATTCAGTTTCGAAGGCCGAGTTGTGGCTAAACTTCCGTTCGAACCAATTCCATGGATACGTGGATTATCTCATCGAAATCTGTCCGGAGATGATTTCACCGATTGTTCATTCATTTTTCTATATGTTTTATGTACAATGTCAATTCGTCAGGTAAAAGCACACCTTCCAATAAGACAACTTCTCCAATAATATTTCTTTTAGAATGTGCAAAAACTCTTCGGACGTAAGTGAATGCTTGAAATATTGATTTTCTACTAAGAAGAGTTCTTTACTTTTAGTTGCTCCATCACGTGCGGCAAGTAAAGCGTCTGGTGGTTTCTTTTCACCGCCTGGTCAAATGTCTTCGCGTTAGAAATGAACGAAGTTCAAAGACACAGAACAAAAATAGATCATTTTTCTTCTTCTTTCTTCGTTTCATATTGATGAGAAATAAATCTAGTTGTGTTTTGAGAAGATCAGCGAATTGTCTCAATAGAAAAGAACACTTTAACAAACGTCCTTCGTTGAATATCTACGGTCAACATTTGCTTTGTGATAAAGATCCTCAAGATCGTTTCGTAGTACGATTAAAACATAAGCAAGTTATGATGTTAAAGAACATAATCGTATTTCAATTTGCTAATGTCAACTGTTCATTAGGAATTGTTATTCTATGCACGAATAAGAAGTATCTGTTAGTTTCAAGGCTTCTGAACAATTCTTGAGAAAAGAAGAAAGAAATGCTTATGTACAAGGTGAAAAGTTCATCACTACTCAACTTATCTAAATAATATAGAACATGAAATACTGCCATTATTTAGTCACACATGATGAAAAAACGCGATTTTTGTAGAAATTTTTTTGCTATTAGTTGAACTCATTTTGTTGACAATGAGGTTTCGCCCAACGGATGCAAAGATATCTTTTGTTTCGATATACGCTTAAATTTGATTAATTTCTTATGAGTTGGCGAAGAAAGCTTGTCCATCCGCTTTATATACATTTGTCTATCATTAACATACAAGTGTTACACGCATAAATATAACATACGGTTCCCGTTCTCCAATGATATGTCAACAAAACGAGAGTTACATATAGAAGCTGAATACCATTCTTTCATTTTCAATGGTAATAATCATAATTTTGTTCATATATATATATATGTAATCGCACTTGCATTCTTTTTATTGAATCAACGTTATACTACTGTTATCGATAATAATAGTAGAACATAAACAATTCTCGTCGAACTAGTTTGTTTGTCTTTCAACTTTTCTTTTTCACCAGTATATCAAATACACGAAGAGAGAATAAGTGTGCAAACAGGTGTTGTAAGGAATGTGTTTTTTTTTATCAGCACTAGTATATAACACGAAGAAAAAGTATACGAGTAGCTCCTGAATCTGCGTCTTCATTCTTTCTTTTTGACAACATACCAAAGGAAGAATATCTCTCAAATACGAAGAAAAAGATATTGTTACTTCGATATCTTCAAACAAAGAATCCGCAGACGCTTGAAATCAAACACACTTCTCATTATTAACTATCAACACTAGTCGTACATCATGCTTATTATATGTAGTTCATGCGGACTGCTCACTTCAGCGAGCCAACATCGAACAGGTAGGATATTTAATAGGCGGAAGAATGAACATGTGTGAAAGAAGGAAACGTTCACTTTTTCTTTCCGACATGTATGAACAGAAGCGGAACGCAAGAAGAGGAGCTTTCTTGTTGATTAATCAACATACATGCACACACACACGTTTTCAAATTTTAACAGATTGAAGTCGCTTTGTTAAAAATAACATCAATATTTGTTTATAAAAAAAACTTCAGACAAACTTCAAGTCTGTACACCCGCGTCTTTTTTGTTAAATTTCAAGTAATTGTTGGTAGTAACATTTATTATTTGCTTCGGACACTCGATTAGAGTTGAGGAAATTTGATTGAATTTTCTAGACAGTATCGTTCACTTTCTTCTTCTCCTTCTGTTCTTTCATTGTCTCTCAAGTAATATATGTCATCATCCATGTATAGCCTTTAATTGACATCTATTATTATGACCGGTCGTTTTGCTCGATGAACATCAACCTGGAAGCCATTTGTTTGAAAGCATACGACAGTAATAATAACGGAAGTTAAAAGCTAGACGGACCTAATTAATGAAAAATGTCTCAGACATACAAAAGAAATCGTCAATATACCAACACAGTCATTTTGATCCCTAATCGTTCTTAAACAGTACCTACCTTTCATTCATTCTAATTGGTCTCCCGCTCTCTCTCTCTCTCTTGACTGTGTGCATGCACTTGCATGCAATTTGCTGTTTATATCTGTTTCGTCTTTGTATTTGAAGTTAAATGGTATGCGACGCTGCTGACACGATTTGACGACTTGCATACATAGAGAATGTCTGAATTTAAATGCCGCCAAAAGGGTTATCTGTCATCGGTCGTTTTTTTTTCTCTTCTCCTTTTCTTCGTCTTCTTCTCTCATTTATTTAATGATCGCTGCTGCAATGATGATGATGTATGGGTCCATGCACCTATTCGATAGAATTTATGTGCGTGAATGACTGTTGTGTCATCTATTATACCTTTTTCTTTCTTCTCTTCTGCTTTCTCTCCTACTTGCTCACTCATTCCGTCTCGTTTTTCCGTTTTTTAATGTAACTTGTGTTTTTTTCCAACTCCATGTCTTTGTATACTGTCAAACGATGCACAAGTCCGGTCTAAAAGTGTCACTTCCACTAAGAAGAGTTTCTTTTTGTCATAGAACACACATATGTCCTCAGATGATTGTGATGAAAGCGATCGGAGAGAAAGAGACGAAGAATTCTTACTTCGATTTCACTTGTTTTTTGTGCGTACAGGATAGATCAAGTATTTGAAGGGCAATAGACAGAGAATAAGAATAGTTGTCTTAATAATTATACTATTGATGTTTGAATGGAAGGTGAAAAATTCAATTTAACCCTGAATTTCGATATATGAGAGGATAAATTAAACCTGTATGTCTTTTTACGTACAGTTCTTTTTCTCGCTTGATTGTATCTAGTAGATCAATGTCTTTGTAGTTTCTTCTTTGTTCTGTCTTCGAATAATTTGTAGTCGAGAATATACACATGTGTACATGAATATGTAGATGATTTCTTTTCTAGGCTGTAAATTGGCCCCTGCTGAGTCAACGGGACAATCAGTATCGATGGCTGATTCCACAAGCAACACGCCAATGAATTTGTTTACTGCTAGTTCTAATGAGCATACACTTTTTGCTGGAACACTTCGCAACTGGGGAGATCCTCTACTACAAGGACAAGAGCCGACTCGAGTACCATTGTGTCCTCGTTGTGCAACGTGTCGATGCGAATCATTGAGAAATCTAACTCGTTCATCAGCCAGTCGCAAACATCATCATCATAGACATCATGAACCGTCATGTCCAAATTATCATCAACACGAACGAGCGAAAACGACTAGTAAACAACGAACACTAGTGAAAACGAAACGTCGAGCGAATTCACATGATCCATCTTTAACCTTAAACAATCGTCCATTAATATCAACGCCAAATACAGAATATTCTTCATCAACGTCATCGACACCGCTAATGAAGCCGCGAAATAACAAATCCAAAATACCTGTGAGAGTATCAACAATGTCAAAAACTGCCAGCGAATGTTCTTCAACGTCATCTTTGAATAACAATCGATCGTCAAATATAAAAACAAAACTTCCACAGCCACTTATTAAACCTACAACATCATTGACAACTATTTTCACTCAGACGAATCAAACAATATCAAGTAGTGATGAGTTTGGCGAGTATGACCAAGACAGGTAAATAAATAAATAACTAAATTCTAAAAAAGTCTGATAAAAGATGGCGAAAGGCGTTGTTGACGCTAACGAAAAAAAATTGAAAATCTTTTTTTATTTAAATGAAAGAAAAACATATGAAAAACACTTTTCACACAAAAAGAATACTTTGAAATGCTTTTTGTCATAAGAACAAAAGGTTTCTTTCGTAGTTGATTACGAGAGATTGAATTCAAAGAGATGAGGTAATCAAATTCCATGTTTTCGCAAGTAACGAAATCGATAAATCTTTCTTCATTTCTGTTCAGACGTGTTCAAGAATCACTACTGATCAAAATGTTCATCAGACGATCTTGCATTGAAGAAGTCATACGTATTTTAATCAGATAGTTTCTCTTTCATTTCGATTACTAGACTCGTTTTTAAACAAACAATCTCGTTTGTCTCAATAGAAACTTCATTCGCATAAATTATGTTCGTTCAAGGCTCCTTTTATTCATTCCCTCACATTAACACACAAATCAGATACGTATTTATATACATGTATATGACTATTCGCAGAAGTGAATGACGATGATAGATTTACCATTTCAAACAAGAGTAGCTTTTCATTATCACCGAATCGATATACTTTCGAAGCTAATATACACATTCGCCTTGTGTTTCACGACATCGAAGAAAAGAAATCGAAAGAAAAACATACGACAAGGAAAAATCAGAGTCGATGTTTTATGTAATTATGTTAAGTATTCGTTTCATGTTCAAGAGAAGAACAATGAAAGTCTTCGATTTTTCTTCGTTCGTTAATCAAATATCGACTCGTTTTGTCTTACATCATTTCAAGGTGAACATTATTATAGACATGTCTCAACACCAGAGACACTTGAAAGTTCTTTGAGAATAAAGCAACGAATCGCATGAGAACGAAGTAACATACCTGTACAAAGTGAAGAGAGACTTTCAATCCATTTTACTTTTTTTCTTTTACTTAATGCATTCTTATGTTTCGTCGTGTACAAATCAATTTAATCAAAGTATGCTCATATCTGCAAGTAATAGGAACCTTTCATTTCATCTACTTTGATTGTTCGTAAGAGTGTCTCGTAAAAAGATGAATTCGAGTTGAGAGTACGAACAGGTGTTATATGCATCAATGATAATCTTTTCATCACGACAGAAAGTGTTTATCAGTTATGTTCATGCTCGTATTCGCGGTTTATATCGATATTCTTATTTTGCTATTTTTGAATTTAGTCTAGATGACGATGCTCCCGAGACATCTGCATCGATATCTACGAATGAATATTCCAATTCAAATCTGTTACCAAAGACGAAAAGAAAAGATATGATGATGTTATATTGCTCTTCGAGCCATCCTGATCACTTCGATGATGTGACCGACGACGAATTGTCAATCACCAGGGAGAAGAAACGGTTGACGCCATCGTCATCCTCATCGGAAAAACGACAGCGACGATCGTGGTACAAGGAAGGTTAGTAATACGAACGTGTAGTTATTCGTATGGTTTTTTTTTCTTCGTTTTACTATTCAAATTGATTCATTTTTCGTATACATAATCACGATGGTGAAAGGAGTACACAGTGGTAGCAATGGAGGAAATGTGCGCAAGAAAAAATAACAAGTATCGATTAAACTAATGTAGGGTATAAGAGCTAAGCAGGATTTTACATTGATTATAAATATCCACTTGAATCTCTTTTTTGAGGTCAAATATTTCATCGTTTTCTCTTTTCATCGAGCTCGTTCAATACCCGATCATTATAGTACACTGTGTATCTAGACTTCATTGACATTCTCTCGTCTTGTACGTCGTTCACTTCATTAACAACAACTTTATCGACACACATGTGAAGTCAAACAAAAGAAAGAAAAACATATGTACAGACATTTCGTCTCGATCCATTTTGCATCATTTAAATTAGTGTTAAAACTGAAATAAACATAAATATGTTTTCATTAAACAGATTGAGTTCCGATTTCTCGTCGTTCCTTCTTTTTTTTTGCGGTCATGATCGACTTTCAATTGTATTCTAAATGTCTGTCAACGAGGTGCCGTGTGACTCGAACAAGAATCGTTGGTGTCACATAAACGTGGAGATTTGTAACACAACCAGAAACAGTTCTCTTCCCATTTCTCCTTTCCAATCATTTACCTGTGCTGTTGTGTCAAGATGATCAATGAGATGTATTTCTTTTGATAATCCCATATAAAAACACACGAAAAAAAAAACACAACATTGAAGAAAAACCGAAAATTTCTCCAGACTATGCCGTGCACCTTCTGTTCTTCCCGGTCTGCTCGGATACGGAGTGAGTATATAAATATCGTGAATACCTTTCTTTTTACTAATCACTTTCAAGTAGAAAATTGTGAAAAAAAGAGTGTGCATATGTCTCACGCTCCGTTTGATGGTATATCATGTGTGTGCATATGTAAATGTCCTATTTCGTCATCTGCATGTATGTACACAGAGGGAATAATCGACATCGGTTGAAAAGACATAACGAGAAAGAAAAGTGTAGGTGTGAGAAATTCGATGGACAAATGATCGGAATACTTGTTCTATACACTTTTCTTTGTCATCAGTAATCGTTTCCGGCAGCCATTGTCCGTTGACAAATATGTTAGCTGTTTGATCAACGCGGACAATATAACATCGGTTGAATAGTGTAGTACATGGTTCGATTGTAGCCAGAATTTTTTTGTCATTGATTAATTCCTTTCTCTTTGCCCTGTACACACAGAAAAATCGACGTGAAATATGTTGTAATCGATTAATTAAGGAAAAAAAGGGGAGAGAAATAATTGCTTTTACATTCTAATCAAAAGTGTGCGACGAACAGAGCGGCGGAGTCAACCAGAGCAGAAATGAAAATATTTTGTAGTTTTTAATCAGAAAGTAATCGTCAGCACAGACAGACTTATGGTGTCTGATATACTCTAAGACAAGAAGAAGAAAAATCAGGAAAGAAGAAGAAAAAGAAAAAAGGTACGATGGACAATGATCGAAATAGTGGTGTACGATATACACTCTTTCTTTCTCTTTTTTTTTCATTTCTTTTCTCTTTGCCTTAATGTCATTACTCGGTAGGCGGCAACGACGACAAGCGAAATAGTATTACCTATCGTGCATCACATTTGATACATAAGATTTTGCATCAAAAGAAATTAATGCTGTTATTGTTTTACTTCAACTAAGACGTAATATCTTTGCTTGAGTGCCATTAGGCGATGTATGGTTCAAACACTTCGAGCGTTTTAGTTTGAACAGTACAAAAGAGGTAGAAGTGAGAGATTTGATCATTTCGTCTACTTAACTCGCACTACTCAACATCATGTTTCCATCGATTGGTACAATGGTTAATAAGACGATTCTTGTTCTACGGGGTGAGTGATTTACTAAGATTACAGCTGATAACTTTCAGTTGATTGAATGAACGAGAAGACGCGACTCAATTTGGATGTCGCGACACAATTGACATTTGATAAAGATCTTTTCTACTCCATGTTTTTCTCTTCTCTCTCTCTTCCAGTCTATCTCGATAGAAATGAGTTATTCTAACAGGTGATGAAGTTGTATTTTTCTTCTCTAATTAACAATCATAGATCAAATGTCATCGATGCATAGGAAAAGACACAACACGCAAGTGTCAAACCGCTTTTATTACCTTTTTAACAGAATACATCGACACAGATCATATTACTAAAACGTGCGTCTAGATAGGATAATTAGACTTTAGCATGCCAGTGACAATGATATGGGAGTGTGTTGTTTTTCAATAGATCAACAGTACATCGCTGCGTTTTGTTGATTTATAAACAATCTTATCCTCCTTACAGAGTACGAAGATGAACAATAAAGGATGATCATTATTTGCGAAAGGCAAATTATACAATCACTCATCATATAAGTCAACTAGATCCTCATGTAAATAACATTCGATTCTCTCCTTTCTTGTTTGGTATCTCGAGGTAAAATAGTTGCATATTTACAAATCGATGCACTTCTTAAGATTCTCAGTACGGCTAGTGAAGTTCGACTTGTATATTTTCGCTTTGATATTCATATGAACGAATGAAAAACATCTTCATACGATCTTACAAATGAGAACTAGTTTAAGTACTTTTACGTGCTTCGTCTTAACTTATTGAAGACTAAAAATGATAGACTATTGTTCAAGGAGCATCGACAAATGATTTCAGACTTCAGATCATTGTCGTAATCCATTGGATATGATGACTTCTCATGTCGTCTCACTGGCAGACTAAAAGAAAAATAACATAGATTATTTGAGATTGAATTCTACTTATATATGCAATAGCTGCTCAATCTGAATAGAACCTGTGATGATGAACGAAACTAGTGACAAAAGAATGCGTAGGCTGAATTCAGTAACAAAAAAGTGTTTGCCTTCGCCAACGTGCAATTGAGCATCTGATTATACCATTCGTAACCTTGTTGTTTTATTTAAGTTTGAAATTGAATTGCTCAGTAAAGAAATATTGTGTAAATGTCTTGACAAACAATTTCTGCTAGTCAAATCATTGAACATTTATTGTAGAATAGCCCCGGACGAAGGTTAAATGTTTTGTTTATTACCTCGTTCACTTATACAATTGACTAGTTAATTAATAATAAGAAAAATGATATTCTTTTGTAATATATATATATATATGTAGACCTTACATTAGACAATGACCATGGTTAGAATGTCAAGTATAGATCGTGCCTTGACACTTCATTACAAAGGGTCAATTAATTAGCTGTGATCATTGTCATTTTATACAGTATATTCGAGGAACCGTATTCTTTTTTTCCGTCGCATTGTTCCGAACAAGGTTTTCACTTTCTACTTCTCTCGTTGATTTCTTGACAGGTCGTCATTCGAAGTCAAAAGCAACAGGGCAAACGTCAGCATCGTATATTGACGATTTGTCAACAAGTTCTTCTTCATCTTCAACTTCAATATCAACTTCTATGCAATCAAGAAACAAATCCCGTCCATACAGGCTTGCATCTCCAACACAATCGAATAAACTCACACCATTATCAGATGATTCGCTATCAGAGAAAACTTCTCAATCCCATCGAAAACGGCGTCCACGTTCAGCATTTACTTCCTACGAATCACCACCGCATTCCTCACGCGTCGATTCAACACCATCAGCAACACCATCAGTCTATCTAATCGAACTGAAAAATTCCAATCGTCCAACGAATTCTTATGGTTTAACTAAGACAATAACTTATGTCTGGAGAAACAATCATCATCATCAACAACAGCAACAACATCGAAAAGAAGATGATGTCAATACGTATCCAAAATACTCTGTTGAACAAGTACCACCTATTCTCGATGACAGCAAACGTACAGTACCTGTACGATCCCGACATGTCACATTGCAACGTGGCAAAACGGACTGTTGGCAGAGTAATCAAATCACAACTAGTTCAATACTAACTTCGACATGCCAAAATCAAACGGGTTCAGCATCGAATTTACTCTCGCCCATTCTACATACCAAACAAAACGAACCCAAACATCGAACAAAGTCCTCTGGTCATGTTATATCAATCACAACAACCAAACGCCAACAGCCATCGTTATTGAACGAACGACAAAACACCGAATGGAATGTCGAAGATGATGGAAAACACATTCGCTATTCAAACTTGAAATGGTATAGTGCTGATCAGTTACAAAAACCAGAACGATTAATGATTAAACCACGAACGAAACGACGATATCAAACATCAGACAGTGCTACGGACACCGGTTCCGCCAGTGACCAACACAATCAATCAGCTCCACCGATTTTACAGCATGAATTTGACACGCCTGTAACTAATGAAAAACATGAAGGTAAGAACAGAGAAAAAGGATGTTATTCTAAGCCAAGTGTGGTTCTGTCTACTTCCTCGATCGATGATTAGAGCATCGATGAACTGAGAATCATTTGCCCCGTAGGAAAAAGCAATGTTCATTTCTTCCGCACGAAAAAATCTCTATAAATCATTGCTTTTTTATATTTATTGCCTATGAGCAAGAAGCATATTTGAAAAAATATAGCTGTTTAATCGATCGATTCACTCTTGTCATTCATTATTCAATCGAGTAGCACAATGCATTTTAAAATCTTTTCCTTAATTAGAATAACAAAATAGTCTGCGATTGATTCTTTCAAAAAAGAAAAAAAGAAAAGAACTTCATCGTTTTTCTCTCAAGTATGTACACAAGGGTTCGATTTTGAATAGATTAAGAACAGACTAATTTCCTGTCGCGTCAACTTGGAGAATAGAATAGTAAACATTTATTAAATGAGAATGAGTCGAAAATCAGTTCTGTTTAAATTCAATGATGAATATATTCACTTCCGGTGTCGATGTTCAAGGCTGATTGACATTAAAGAAGCATAACGAACAGGTATATAGTTGAACATAATTAGCAGTTGAATGTCAAGCCGAACGGTACAAGGCGACATTGTTTTATTAATAATGATCAATGGTTTACAAAGAAACGATCGAAAAGGAAAATGTCGAAAGATGTAATGTCGAAAAAAATTGTCAAACGAAAAAGGTCTAACTAAATATCAAACATTTTCCAGTGTCGTTGATGATCGAAGATAGCTTATTTCACTTATATATATATTTTGTTTGACGAAGATTTAGTTTCGTCATGTTACGCTATACTACCCTTCACACTCACTGATACCATAGCCGTCCTCATCCCCTCTCCTACATAATTGATTGCTAGTCGAGAATCTGCTTCGATTTAAGAATCAACTTTTCATTTCGTGAGAAATCGTTCGCAGTGGCTAAGTTTCTTTTTATGATTAAGTTTAATTAGACGAAGCAAAACGGAGATCCTGTTTTTCTTACAATTAGTCTTGACGATGAACTTCCTTCAGCATCTCTCTCTCACAGCAGATAAAATAGAAAAAAAGAACACTAATGCAAGTAAACGACGAAAGAATTTTCTTCTTTTTTTTTGTTACGTTTTATATTCTATTGATCTTTATCTCACATCATTACTGTACGTTCGATAAATAATAACACAAATCTATTTATTGTTCTTCGTAATCTATCGGTTTCCGTTCATTGACCTTCCGAAGATGTATTTACTTAACACAACAAAACCATAAATCTCTCATTACGGTGTAGAGGACTCAAAACAACAACGCCTTTTTTCTTCTTCTCTCTCAGTGTACCCATGATAATGCTTTAGGTTTAGAAAGTCCAATCATGAACAAACAAAATGATTCAGCCATACCAGATTACACTTCTTTTCATCGGGAAATTAATAATACTTCTTCGCCGATTAATCATGATGAAGAACAACAAAGCATATCATCAGCATCATCATCGTCATCGAAAGAAATCCAACAGATTGAAACTATTCTCAATGACTATACAGCACCACCACCGCCACCGCCACCACGAAAACGTAAATTGGACTGTTATCCAAGTACTGATGAAGATGTCGATGACTTGAACGTTGATTCATCGGAAGATGTCGATCAATCAGCACCAACCATTCAAACGTACCGCGATCGGCTAAATGCACGCTTACAAACTGAAATCAATTCAAATCAGCCACGAGTCATCTCTGCTGAGTATTCTCAAATCACAATCGATTCCGGAGTTGATATTATCAGTGAACAAAAAGTTTCCCAGCCGAAAATCGACGAACAACACTCCGAAGAAACCACAAATCAAAACGATCTTTTTGCTTTATCCGATGATTCATTACTCGATATCGAACCTACACATCCACATAGTTTATTACTAAAGACTCCAGCGATCACACAGGAACAATTGTTATCATTAGCTGAAGAGAGTGATGAATATAAAAGTTTTCTCACGGCAATCACAGATTCCCATTTATGCAGCAAGAACGATCGTGGCCCGTCGAACACGAGCGAGCAATACTATTCAGCTGAGAGTGATTTCAATACGTCATTAGTCAATGCGAATCAAGATTTACAACGTAGTCTTGAAGTTGACAATGTGATTAACGAAGAGAAGGGGAGTGAAAATAAGGATCAATCAAACGAACCTTGTCGATCGCCGTCGCCACGATATGATGTGAAATTACCGACATTCAGTGACTGGATTGATCATATTTTTACAACATTTCTCGCTGAAACCAATCAACATTCAACGTCAACAAGTCGGTCATCATCAATTATCTCAAATCAAGCCTCGCAAAACACATTCGATAACTCAGCATCTCAAGCTTTGACCGTCGTTGAAAGTTCGACGAAAACACAACAATTATCGGCAATAACACAAGATATTGATACACACGAAGAAAATAATCCATCGCCTGTTTCATATCATCGATCACAATCATGGCCACATGATGAAAAACGACAACAAGAACATAATGAGCAAATTCTCAAAGGTAGTTTTTTTTTGTTTTCCTCCTTTTTTCTCCTTCATGATGAGACAGAGAAAAAGAAGAAAGAAAAATCTATGTGAATGCGCACAGCTGCTTATATCAAGGCTGCAAGATGACGGCACGCGCAGTTCAAATCTATGTTTTGGTTTTATTCTAGACGTGTCGAGTTCAAGTTTGAACAATGAAAACATGGAATCAAGTTCATCTTCAATTGCAGATAATTACGAAGCTATGAAGATTAGCGATGAACAAGAGGAACATAGAACTTCACAATCATTACTATTGCCATTGAATGTGAATGGGGATGATAATGAAGGTGAGTTTTTATTATACTAGCTAAACGAGCAGTAGGAGAAGGGAAAAAGCAAGAAAAAAAAACGAGAAGAACAAGAGCCATTTCCCTTTCACTGCAGATGAGTGTATACTGTTGCTCTCCAATAGCAAGGTAATAGAAAAGGGGAGAGAAGGAGAAAGAGAAAAAAGTGCACCGAACACTTTTTTTTTCTTTCGTCGCATTTTTTTCTGAGTAGTCGGTCGGACGGTTCAATAATGGAGGTCAACTATTGGCATATAGTAAGTTAGAGGACGAATAGATCCCATATTTGTCTATGTTGTTTTTTTTTTAAATTAAAAAAATGTGATTAATAGTAAAGAAACAAAAAAGAACGATTGTGTCATGTTCTTCCTTTCTCTTTTTGACTGCAAATATCGATAGAAGAGAAAATAGTATTACTACGCCCACATATACATACGTATATATATATATATATATATATTTCCATTCTAATCGATTTAACATGCCCTGTATTTATTGTTCAGTGAAATGTACGAATACTCGGGCGTTGTTTTCAATCAAAGAGCACGGGGCGACTGCCTATATTGTTCTCATTTAACGATGAGCGTCGGTTTTACCTGTTCAATATATCCTTTTCTTTCTACTTACTCTTATTGTCTGACAATAGTCAATGGGTTTTATCAAAAAGGATGTACGATTGACGCTTCTTTGTTTCTTTCGATGACCTATAGCATCGCACCCGGTCGATTCCTTCGAGAATGAGCTTTTCTAGACTTTAATTATGATGTGATCAGAGAGATTAATCAACAGTCATACATTGAATGTGTCACTGAAAGTATCAACTGAATGACTGACATTTGTCCGAAAGAGTAATCAAGTTAGACGAGGTAAAATCTAATAGATTAGTACAATGTGCCCTGTGCTATCGTAGGTGACCAATACTGTTCGAAGTACATATTTCTTATCTTAATAGTTTTTCGANGTGAGTGATTTACTAAGATTACAGCTGATAACTTTCAGTTGATTGAATGAACGAGAAGACGCGACTCAATTTGGATGTCGCGACACAATTGACATTTGATAAAGATCTTTTCTACTCCATGCTTTTCTCTTCTCTTCTCTCTCTCTCTCTCTCTCTCTTTCAGTCCATCTCGATAGAAATGAGTTATTCTAACAGGTGATGAAGTTGTATTTTTCTTCTATAATTAACAATCATAGATCAAATGTCATCGATGCATAGGAAAAGACACAACACGCAAGTGTCAAACCGCTTTTATTACCTTTTTAACAGAATACATCGACACAGATCACATTACTAAAACGTGTGTCTAGATAGGATAATTAGACTTTAGCATGCTAGCGACAATGATATGGGAGTGTGTTGTTTTTCAATAGATCAACAGTACATCTCTGCGTTTTGTTGATTTATAAACAATCTTATCCTACTTACAGAGTACGAAGATGAACAATAAAGGATGATCATTATTTGCGAAAGGCAAATTATACAATCACCCATCATATAAGTCAACTAGATCCTCATGTAAATAACATTCGATTCTCTCCTTTCTTGTTCGGTATCTCTAGGTAAAATAGTTGCATATAATACAAATCGATGCACTTCTTAAGATTCTTAGTACGGCTAGTGAAGTTCGACTTGTACATTTTCGCTTTGATATTCATACAAACGAAAGAAAAACATCTTCATATGATCTTACAAATAAGAACTAGTTTAAGTACTTTTACGTGCTTCGTCTTAACTTATTGAAGACTAGAAATGATAGACTATTGTTCAAGGAGCATTGACAAATGATTTCAGACTTCAGATCATTGCCGTAATCCATTGGATATGATGACTTCTCATGTCTCACTGGCAGACTAAAAGAAAAATAACATCGATTATTTGAGATTGAATGCTACTTATATATGCGATAGCTGCTCGATCTGAATGGAACCTGAGATAATGAACAAAACTGGTGACAAAAGAACGCGTAGGATGAATTCAGTAACAAAAAAGTGTTTGCCTTCGCCAACGTGCAATTGAGCATCTGATTATACTATTCGTAACCTTGTTGTTTTATTTAAGTTTGAAATTGAATTGCTCAGTAAAGAAATATTGTGTAAATGTCTTGACAAACAATTTCTGCTAGTCAAATCATTGAACATTCATTGTAGGATAGCGCCGAACGAAGGTTAGACGTTTTGTTTATTACCTCGTTTACTTATACAATTGACTAGTTAATTAATAATAAGAAAAATGATATTCTTTTGTAATATATATTTGTAGACCTTACATTAGACAATGACCATGGTTAGAATGTCAAGTATAGATCGTGCCTTGACACTTCATTACAAAGGGTCAATTAATTAGCAGTGATCATTGTCATTTTACCATAGTACATTCGAGGAACCGTATTCTTTTTTTCCGTCGCATTGTTCCGAACAAGGTTTTCGCTTTCTACTTCTCTCGTTGATTTCTTGACAGGTCGTCATTCGAAGTCAAAAGCAACAGGGCAAACGTCAGCATCATATATTGACGATTTGTCAACAAGTTCGTCTTCATCTTCAACTTCAATATCAACTTCTATGCAATCGAGAAACAAGTCGCGCCCATATAGGCTTGCATCTCCAACACAATCGAATAAACTCACACCATTATCAGATGATTCTCTATCAGAAAAAACTTCTCAATCCCATCGGAAACGACGTCCACGTTCAGCATTTACTTCTTACGAATCACCACCGCGTTCACCACGAGTCGATTCAACACCATCAGCAACACCATCAGTCTATCTAATCGAAGTGAAAAATTCCAACCGTCCAACGAATTCTTACGGTTTAACTAAAACAATAACCTATGTCTGGAGAAACAATCATCATCACCATCAACAACATCGAAAAGAAGGTGATGTCAATACTTATCCAAAATATTCTGTTGAACAAGTACCACCTATTCTCGATGACAGCAAACGTACAGTTCCTGTACAATCCCGACATGTCACATTGCAACGTGGCAAAACAGACTGTTGGCAGAATAATCAAATAACAACTAGTTCCATACTAACTTCGACATGTCAAAATCAAACGGGTTCAGCATCGAATTTACTCTCGCCCATTCTACATACCAAACAAAACGAGCCCAAACATCGAACAAAATCCTATGGTCATATTATATCAATCACAACAACGAAACGCCAGCAGCCGTCGTTATTGAACGAACGACAAAACACCGAATGGAATGTCGAAGGTGATGGAAAACATATTCGATATTCAAACTTAAAATGGCACAGTGCTGATCAGTTACAAAAGCCAGAACGATTAATGATAAAACCACGAACGAAACGACGATATCAAACATCAGACAGTGCTACGGACACCGGCTCCCACAGTGACCAACACAATCGATCAGCTCCACCGATTTTACAACATGAATTTGACACGCCTGTAACTAACGAAAAACATGAAGGTAAGAACAGTGAAAAGGATGTTATTCTAAGGCAAGTGTAGTTCTGTCTACTTCCTCGGTCGATAATTAGAGAGCATCGATGAACTGAGAATCGTTTGCCCTGTAGGAAAAATCAATGTTCATTTCTTCCGCACGAAAAAATCTCTATAAATCATTGCTTTTTATGTTTATTGCCCATGAGCAAGAAGCTTTTTTGAAAAAATATAGCTGTTTAATCGATCGAGTCGCTCTTGTCATTCATTATTCAATCGAGTAGCACAATGCATTTTAAAATCTTTTCCTTAATTAGAATAACAAAATAGTCTGCGATTGATTCTTTCAAAAAAAGAAAAGAACTTCATTGCTTTCCTCTCAAGTATGTACACAAGGATTCGATTTTGAATAGATTAAGGACAGACTAATTTCCTGTCGCGTCAACTTGGAGAATATAATAATAAACATTTATTAAATGAGAATGAGTCGAAAATCAGTTCTGTTTAAATTCAATGATGAATATCTTCACTTCCGGTGTCGATGTTCAAGGCTGATTGACATTAAGGAAGCATAACGAACAGATATATAGTTCAACATAATTAGCAGTTGAATGTCAAGTCGAACGGTACAAGGCGACATTGTTTTATTAATAATGATCAATGATTTGTAATGAAAAGATCGAAAAGGAAAATGTCGAAAGACATAACGTCGAAAAAAATTGTCGAACGAAAAAAATCTAACTAAATATCAAACATTTTCCGATGTCATTGATGACCAATGACAGTTTGTTTCAGTTATATATATTTTGTTTTACGAAGATTTAGTTCCATCATGTTACGCTATACTACACTTCACACTCACCGACAGCATAACCTTCCCATCTATACTCTAATTCTCAAGACCCTACCTAATCCATTGCTAGTCGAGGAACTGCTTCGATTTAAGAATCAACTTTCATCTGGTGAGAAATCATTCGCAGTGACTGAGTCTATTTTTATGATTAAGTTTAATTAGATGGAGAAAAACGGAGATCCTGTTTTTCTTACAATTAGTCTTGGCGATGAACTTTCTTCAGCATCTTACTGACAACAAATAAAAGAGAAAAAAGAACATTAGTGCAAGTAAAAGACGAGAGAATTTTCTACTTTTTTTTTGTTACGTTTTATATTTTATTGATCTTGATCTCACGTCATTACTGTACGTTCGATAAATAATAACACAAATCTATTTATTGTTCTTCGTAATCTATCGATTTCCGTTCATTGACCTTCCGAAGATGTATTTACTTAACACAACAAAACCATAAATCTCTCATTACGGTGTAGAGGACTCAAAACAACAAAGCCTTTTTTTTCCCTTCTCTCTCTCAGTGTACCCATGATACTGCTTTAGGTTTAGAAAGTCCAATCATGAGCAAACAAAATGATTCAGCTATACCAGATTATACTTCTTTTCATCGGGAAATTAATAATACTTCTTCGCCGATTAATCATGATGAAGAACAACAAAGCATATCATCAACATCATCATCGTCATCGAAAGAAATCCAACAGATTGAAACTATTCTCAATGACTATACATCACCACCACCGCCACCACCACCACGAAAACGTAAATTGGACTGTTATCCAAGTACTGATGAAGATGTCGATGACTTGAACGTTGATTCATCGGAAGATGTCGATCAATCAGCACCAACCATTCAAACGTACCGCGATCGGCTAAATGCACGCTTACAAACTGAACTGAATCCAAATCAGCCACGAGTCATCTCTGCTGAGTATTCTCAAATCACGATCGATTCTGGAGTCGATATTATCAGTGAACAAAAAGTTTCTCAGCCGAAAATCGACGAACAACACTCCGAAGAAACCACAAATCAAAACGATCTTTTCGCTTTATCCGACGATTCATTACTCGATATCGAACCGACACATCCACATAGTTTATTACTAAAAACTCCAGCGATCACACATGAACAATTGTTATCATTAGCTGAAGAGAGTGATGAATATAAAAGTTTTCTCACGGCAATCACAGATTCCCATTTATGCAACAAGAACGATCGTGGCCCGTCGAATACGAGCGAGCAATACTATTCAGCTGAGAGCGATTTCAATACGTCATTAGTCAATGCGAATCAAGATTTACAACGTAGTCTTGAAGTTGACAATGTGATTAACGAAGAGAAGGAGAGTGAAAGTAAGGATCAATCAGACGAACCTTGTCGATCACCGTCGCCACGATATGATGTGAAATTACCGACATTCAGTGACTGGATTGATCATATTTTTACAACATTTCTCGCTGAGACCAATCAACATTCAGCGTCAACAAGTCGGTCATCATCAATTATCTCAAATCAAGCTTCGCAAAACACATTCGATAACTCAGCGTCTCAAGCTTTGACCGTCGTTGAAAATTCGACGAAAACTCAACAATTATCGGCAATAACACAAGATTTTGATACACACGAAGAAAATAATCCATCGCCTGTTTCATATCATCGATCACAATCATGGCCACATGATGAAAAACGACAACAAGAACAAGAACATAATGAGCAAATTCTCAAAGGTAGTTTTTTTTTGTTTTCCTCCTTTTTTCCCTCCATGATGATGAGACAGAGAAAAAGAAGAAAGAAAAATCTATGCGAATGCGCACAGCTGCTTATATCAAGGCTGCAAGATGACGGCACGCGCAGTTCAAATCTATGTTTTGGTTTTGTTCTAGACGTGTCGAGTTCAAGTTTGAACAATGAAAACATGGAATCAAGTTCATCTTCAATTGCAGATGATTACGGAGCTACGAAGATTAGCGATGAACAAGAGGAACATAAAACTTCACAATCATTACTATTGCCATCGAATGTAAATGGGGATGATAATGATGAAGGTGAGTTTTTATTATACGAGCTAAACGAGCAGTACGAGAAGGGAAAAAGCAAGAAAAAAAACCGAGAAGAACAAGAGCCATTTCCCTTTCACTGCAGATGAGTGTATACTGTTGCTCTCCAATAGCAAGGTAATAGAAAAAGGGAGAGAAGGAGAAAGAGAAAAAAGTGCACCGAACACTTTTTTTTCTTTCTTCGCATTTTTTTTCTGAGTAGTCGGTCGGACGGTTCAATAATGGAGGTCAACGATTGGCATATAGTAAGTTAGAGGACGAATGGATCCCCTATTTGTCTATGTTGTTTTTTTTTTAAATTAAAAAAATGTGATTAATAGTAAAGAAACAAAAAAAGAACGATTGTGTCATGTTCTTTCTTTCTCTTTTTGACTGCAAATATCGATAGAAGAGAAAATAGTATTACTACGCCCACATATACATACGTATACATATATATATATTTCCATTCTAATCGATTTAACATGCCCTATATTTATTGTTCAGTGAAATATACGAATACTCGGGCGTTGTTTTCAATCAAAGAGCACGGACCGACTGCCTATATTGTTCTCATTTAACGATGAGCGTCGGTTTTACCTGTTCAATATATCCTTTTCTTTCTTCTTACTCTTATTGTCTGACAATAGTCAATGGGTTTTATCAAAAAGGATGTACGATTGACGCTTCTTTGTTTCTCTCGATGACCTACAGCATTGCACTCTGCCGATTCCTTCGAGAACGAGCTTTTCTAGACTTTAATTATGATGTGATCAGAGAGATTAATCAACAGTCATACATTGAATGTGTCACTGAAAGTATCAACTGAATGACTGACATTTGTCCGAAAGAGTAATCAAGTTAGACGAGGTAAAATCTAATAGATTAGTACAATGTGCCCTGTGCTATCGTAGGTGACCAATACTGTTCGAAGTACATATTTCTTATCTTAATAGTTTTTCGAGTTAAAGTAAACTACATTTCTATCGCACTTGATCGATTTAATTGATATTTTCAATCGACATTCTTGTTGAATACAATCCAAATAGACAGAGAATGAATCATATGAGAGTGCTTGAACAATAGTCTAATAGATGAAGATGATCGAGGGCGTCGAAAGCACACTTGAAAAGTACGAACATACATGAGTTATATATCTCTCGACTAAAATAAACTGACCGCAGTAAGACGACGACTATTTGTAAATAGACAACAATGTATGTTTTCGTCTCATTTAGAAGTAACTAGCAAGGAAATCATGCAAAATAACTATCGTCATGATGATCAATCTATTACTCCGTCGCCGACTACCACGATCGATCGTAATCAATCTACGAGCGAAAATTTTTCTTTTCCAAATATTATGAATAGAGGTAATGTTGACGAAATGGAAGAAAAAAAACACGATAAGTGTGATGATGATGATGATGGTGATGAAAAACATATCGAAAACGAAGTCCACAACAACAACAAACCACTTATTCAAGTAGAAACACCGAATGACTCACCGTCATCATTTCCATTTCATGAAGAATTCTACCGTTGTGAATTACTACAACAATCACAAATACCATCACAACCACAGCATACTGATAGTCATGATTCATTGCTGCAACCTGCTCATCATAATATGAATAATATTAATACTGCAGCGTCGTCGACAGATGATTTATCGACTACGCATCAATTATCATCATCCGTATTTCATTCTAAAGACTCAGCCTTAGGCCTATCAGATGATAATTTGCATTATTTACAAACGAATCCAGCGCTTATCAAAGATAATGATGATGATGACGATGATGAAGACGATTTACAACAAGAAGATAGAAGTAAATATCACATATCTTTTTCGATTGATCGAATTAATTCGTATTTTTCTTTCGAAATTAAATCATTTGAACGAATAATCACTAACGTTCACCATTTCGCTGTTAAATATTGATGATGCAATATGTATGAAATTGATTGCCTTTACGTTTCTTTTCCTACTTCTTCTTCTTTCCTAATAAGAGAAAGCATTTGTTATGCGTGAGGCGTGTCCATATTTCGTTTTTCTTTCGAGTTGTTTAGAATTATTTCATACATATGTATACATCGATGTAAAGGTCAACTATGCTGTTACGCAGATTGTACACCGAGTAGAGAGATTGATCACCAGAAGTGTCCTCAGTTACAACTGCATTTTCGAGCTCAATTAGCCTTGAATATTTCTCTCGTTTTCGTTCTTACGTTCTCACACTCTGCTCATTCTTTGTCTCGATGTATCATTAGACATATGTACAGATAATGTCCATCTCAAACATCTCATTCACTTTCAATCTGAGCCGATTGAGGTTGTTAACTAATCCTTCATCATGTCTCCCACTCTCGCTTTCTCGCAATGCGAAAAGACGAAAGAAAAAGTTCATCCCGTTCAATCGATCTTCTTCTTTATATATCAATGTACAATTTCATCTTCTTATGTCTCCATATGTATACTGACAGTCTAATGAACTATGTGCGTGTTGAAGATGTTGGGAGAATGAACTGTACGTGTGTGTATATGAATGAATGAATGAATGGTATATAAACATGTTAAAAATTAGATGCAAAACACGCGTATGCCACGTAAGGAAATGAGAAAAGAAAGCGCACGTAAAAGAGAGAGAGAGAAACGTAAAAGAATACAACAAAAGGTATATATACATTCTTGTGCGTGCCTGCTCAGGCACGTTGACATGATGGTTTTTATTTCATTAAAATAGAAAAAAAAAGAAAGTAAAGAATTTGTATGCCTTTCTTCTTCTCTTCTTCTACAGCTTCTCCTCCTCCTCCTCCTCCTCTTCGTCTTATCCTCAGGTTTTGGGTAGATTATTTCTATTTGTGATTTCTGATTCTGCTAGAGTAGAAGATTTATTTTTATTCTAGCCATTGACAATAATGTAATTCAAGATAATGCAAATAACAATATTGATAAGAATGAAATGACATATGAGCGTATTGATGATGGTACAAATTCTTTAAGAAATAAATCCACAATGATCTACATACCGGCTGATCAAATACAGTCGTTACCATCATCTTATCAAATCAACCATGCTGAACGAACTGTTTCATCGAGTTCATCCGAGCAGTTGATACCTAAAGAAAAACAAACAGGTAACAACAATCAAAGTCAAGAATGAAACAATAGCAAAACACATCGACAAACGTTTTGTTTTCTAGGAATGTATTATCCTGCTTTTGGTAGTTCCGCTGCGATACATCTAGCAGAAAAATACAATTGTGACTGGCTCCAAGATATCACTTCACCTGCAAGTCCATATCGTAAATCTCTCACGAGTGTCAACTATGAAATGACTTCCGATTCACGCATTTTTCATCAAAATCAAGCACTTGGTGATGAAGATGAATTCTATCTATCTCCACAAGCATTTCAACCATCACGTTCCTGTCCGAATTTGAATCATCTGTTGATACGTGAACCGTTACGTGAACGGTCATATTCGTTAACAACATTAGATGCCTATGCACGTTTAGATATAACACGTGATACTCTCGAACAAATGTGGCTTTCATTACTTGATCTTGCTTTCAGTGACAAAGACGACATTGAACTAGGTGAATACAAGTTACGTCATATCATGGGTTTATCAAGTTCGTACACACATATCAATGATACTTTAATTGAAAAGTCTCGAAGTCATGGAGATATATTTTCAACGGCAAATAAAGAAGAAAAATTAACAACTAAAAAATCGAAATCGTTCGATGTTACATCATTACTGAAGTCAAGTAAAGCATCAGATAATGAAGCGAATGTTGGTTTACTTCAAGGTGCTGCTATATCAGAACCATTCGTTGATCGTATAGGTTTAGTCTCAACACAATCTGATACAGAAATGAACTTTCCGAGTAATGATAATGATAGTATTGAATCAATTGAAGCAGACAACCCCTTACCTGAAGAGCAATATTCTCCGAAAAATCAAACCGAGTCGCCTGTTATCAAAGAACCGTTAAATTACGTTTTTCACTATCCTCACCAATTAGATAGCAATGATGACTATGATTTTGAACCTGAAGATGATATAACACACTATCTACCTGAAACAACTTTAACAATGAATCAGTTGTTTGGCGATGAAGATAAACAATTGTGTATGGCCTTGGGTTTTGATGATGATGAGGAAACAGCTGCACTTGCTGCTGCTGTCGCACAACCAAGAGATATACAAGCTATATTGGCGGACTATCGGCCACATTCTCTTTCGACAATACCAAGCTCCCGAGCAAGTCAGTATGCGTCAAGTATCTCTGATAGCGACGAAATTGTCGAAAACAATGACCCAATAAGTCGTAAGAATACGATTAGTCTTGAACACGAAGAAGTGTATCGATCTGATCACAGTATTGATGGTGCCGAAGAAGTCGATGACGATATTGGCCAAATTGAATCAAATATTTCCTCACCACAATCGCGAGCATTATCGCCTATACCAAATTACTCAGAAGCGTCACCCGTACCACAAGCACCAGAACGAATTTCTGTAAGTTGTTTTTGGCCTTTTAATAGACCGGCTTCTATTAGTTATGAATCAGTCAAATGAATAATAGAATGACTAAGACAAGACTTCTTATTACTTAACATCTGCCTATCGTTGCTTTTTCATATGTGAAGAATACGATTATAGACTGGATTTATTGCGTGATATGTCTTGATTTAAGCTAATTTTACCGACGTTACCTCCTCTGGATTAATCTTGATTCTAAATTTAGTTTAATGTGAGGTTTATCTCGAGCTGAAAAAGGAAAGCTTATCGTTAAGTCAATTAACAAGGCGAATCCTTTTCTAGTAGTGTCTTAAACAAAAATTCTGTGTTGAGTGTACATTGATTTCATTCTTCTGTTTCAGCCATTAAAACTCCCCAATTTTGCGAATATTGACCATGATGCTTGGGCACGATCGATAAGTGAACCAATCTATACCGACGGCCTATCGATTCAGCATCAGCAGCGTGAAACTGATCTCTTTCCATTTACTGATAATCTAACGAGTATTATACCAGTTGACGATACTCCACAACCGCAAACTTACATCACCGATCAAATTGAACCGAGTATACCTCTAAGTGAATATCAAACGAATCATTTTATTGAACAAACGAACGATACGAATCTAATTGACTTTTCCTCGCACGAAGATTTCATTCAGAACATGGATAATCAAATCGATAACAAATCAAGTAATTCAACTCGCACTTCAATATCGTCCATACACGATACACACCTCGATCCAAACGAATTGGCATTTCTTTTGTCACAATTAGGTACATCGGACATATCCAGCCCACCAGGAATGTCTTTTGCAGATGAACTAAGCAAATTGAACGAAGGATCAAGTGAACAACAACAACAACAACATCGTTTTGATTCGGATTCTTTGGACCATTCATCATTGCTACAGCATGAACATCAACAAAACAAGCCGAAACTTGCCGACATTGATAGTTTACAATCTACACCTCATACTTATTCCACAACTCCCCCACCGCCGGTTCATGCTGATGAACTTACAAGCGTTGCCAAACAAATTCGAGATATTAATCAAGAAAAATCTATTTCCTCTCTGTGTAAAATCGTTGCGGATATTCATGCACAGACAAATAATCAATTCCTCACGAAAATCGTTAATTACCATCAATCACCGCCCATCGCTAACTTGCAGACAATCGTCACTGAACTTCATCAAACACCGATTGGAAAATCAATACCACGACCCCAACGACCGACTCACCTCGAACTTCATCCAAACGAGGAGGAAGAAGACGAAGACCTGGAAAATGAGCAAATTTCATCACCTGCTGTTGTAAATGACGTCCCAATTTCATCAGATTTAGTTTCCGAACTCGAAGAACAAGTATCATTAACGAAATTGAAATCACCATCTCGATCAGCATCTCCCACTTCTGTACTAACACCGATGACAAGACGAATTAGTGATACATCTACGCATTCCGCACGCTATCAATCACAGCGTATTGATAAAGTGTCTGATTTAGAAATTGTCAAACAAGGCAACGGTTTCAAAATTGGCTATGTCGATCGCCAAGGTACAGATCAACGGGTAATTCTGACGAAACGTATCGAAGCAGGACCGGAAATTCTCGCCAGAGATCCACATGTTCGTTTGCCATACAAAGGTCGAAAGATGTTAAGTCAAGTTTTCAGTTCGTTACTATATACAAATGGCTATAATACAATTCAAGAAGATAAGAAATTTGAACGTGCATCGAACGACATTGAAGTGCCGAGCATTGGTACTAATCCACAACATTTCGATGAGGTTCGTTTTTGATCTGGCTAAATCAAAGCCTATTTATTGTCTGTATTCGTCAACTAATCGAACTTTACGCTTATTTTTAGTCTGATATGATCTCCATTGATATTGATGGTCCGTCGACGATGTTGAATTCAATTTGTGAATCGATTGTTATAACTCAAGGTTCGGTATATTCTGATAGTCTACCGAAACCAACGATTGAAAAACCTCTTGCTCAACCAGTACCAAAAAGTGTATTCGATAATCGTCTCTCATCTTCGACAACCTCGTCATCGTCATCTCACCAGCGTCATGTTGTCTTAGATCATCACGAAGAATATCTTCTCGATAGTTCTCGTACTCCAACGCCATCAACGAAAAAAGATAAAATCGAAGTCATCAAAACATGGGAAGATCACACAGTTATCAATGGTACTAGTACATCATGGCATAGTTCATCATTACCTCCACACAAAGTTATTAAGCACAAACAATCTACGAGTACTGTTGAACATTTTGATTCTCCATACCAACCCCAAACTGTTCAAATGCGCATTGCCCCGTCCCATGACGTCAAATACCGTGTAAATGAACCAATACCAATTCCATCTGTCTTCAATTGGAACGAAGAAAGTGTCAATACACCCTCAAGACCATCGAAAACCACACGTGATGTTGCTCTATCACCCATTTTAATCGACGAAAAGTTACCCACACCTCCAAAACGTACTCCTGAAAAGGTTGATCGATCGTGCCAATACAGTCCACATGGAACACAGGACTTTGGTCTACAATATCGTTCTGAACATTCAGCAATGTCAACTCAAGTCTCAGCACATGATATCCCCAATTTTCTTGTCACCTATGATGGTACCCAAACCATCGTTGATTCAACACATCATTTAGATGATTCAGGTTTCCATCCACATGTCCGAATGATTTCGCCATCACTCTCAGTCGTTTCATCAGAAAACCAATCGAACAATCAACCCTATTCACTTTCCGGACCAGATTTTGTTCATAAGTTGAATGACCAACATAATCATGCATCCGCATTGACTGTGACACAATTCTCAGATGAACATTACTATCTTCCATCCAATGATCCAAATCAAACAAATCTAAATACTCGCCCTACAACACTCGAACGTAGCGCTGACTCAGGCATTCTTGTGGATGATTCGGTAGGTTACTACGCTTTCTCTGATCTTATTTGTATTCCATTCATTTAGTCACTGCGCGATCGTCGCAATAAAGCCAATTTCGCTCTACAAGTCGATATCAAAGGTTCATCATCGGACAGTGATGATATCTCGGAAGTGACCCAACGTCCAATCAATCGTCTGAAACCAGCAACAAATGATAACGTTTATGAACATCGTAGCGAACTAGTTATCACAACACGAAATTCTGCAGCACATGACCAACGATATGACCATTCAGTCAGTTCATCAGCAAAAGAAATCGAACAGCAAATTATCCAACTGCGACGCGAACGGGCACATATTTTAGAATTACTTTCATTGAACTGGAGTCGATCCAATATTTGGGTAGAGTTAACCGAAGCAAAACTAAACTACATCATTGGAGAAACAGGTATGTGTGCTAATTATTTTAAAGTAAAACCATCGCTGCGATTCCATCTCTGATAATCCTTCTTTTCTCGTGATCTTCGAAATTTTCATAGTCGCTTGATGAAAAAAAAGCAAGTTAGAAGACGACGGTGATTATAAAAACTGAAAACTCTCGTCTGTAAACTATCATAGAATCTCAAACTGACACGAATGTGCTTAATATGAGATATGTTGCTTTCTAATTAGTTTGAAAAGAACCATAAATGAGTCTGATAAGAATACACTTATGCATGTCTAGTTCTTTAAAAATTCAATGGAACTTTCTAATCTTAGACATCGTCAATTAGAACGAGAAAAACAAGAATTTGCACTCAAGGCCGTTTCAAACGATGATTTATGTCAGAATAAAAGCTGAAAATATGCATCAATCATAGGCATATGAAATCTTTACGGGTTTAATCTTTTTGAGAAGTCCGACATTCCGAAGCTCCATCACAGATTGCATATAATCACGCATATTTTTGCCAGCATATGAAAGAGGATTCCTCAGAGACCTTTTTCTCATCAACGAATTGATATGATTATTAGAAAAACACTTATTAACATATTATGTCAGCATCGTTGTTCAAAGTAATCTGATATTTTTATTGCCTCCTCCAAATGTGCCACATATATCAGATGTTTTCTATTTCTTACATATGACCGGATAGTATTACGCTAATCTGCCTATATGAAATACATTATTATCCTACGAAATGTTCAAAGAAAAGCTCAGAAAGTTTTATTCATTCGACTCCACGAAGAAATTCGCAATTGTATGAGGAAAGACTCGTCGACTGTAACAAGCACAAACGAAATCAGTTCTATTCGAATCCTTTTATCTTGTCATGACCTTTGCCTCTTAACTGATCTGATCTGATCTGATCATTTCAAATTACCATAAATCTTCTGAAAAATCGAAAAAGATCGATGAAGACAATGCTAATCGAATTAGAAAAATCATTTTTCTCTTCCCTCCTAGATGCTCTACTCCGGTCATTATCATTCGATGCTAGTCCCATGGACAATGAACGAGTGAAATCGAAAATGCATCAATACGAAGAAGAAATGGCCGAATTGACACGTCAACGTTTAGCAATCTATCGCGAACGTTTAGAAGATTCCAAACGACAAATCGACATGAAAATCGATGAATTAGAGATGAAAAGATCAACTCTAAGACATAATACATCTCACTATTCAACTCTCGAGTACACACCACGAGTAAACACCAACAAGTATTCGAAATCATATTTGAGTACGAGTGCAGAAAATCTCTCGAACATGCCTGTGCAAGATACGATATCCAGTCATCCTCAATTTCTTGATGTATCATTCCTGACATCGACACCATTGAATCCGAATGCCGGCATTCCACCGCGATGTCCCCGTTTGCCACGTTATCCCCATCAAGATATTCAACGAACAATCTATCGTCCGACACCACGTTATCCATCAACTATTCTTACATCGAATCCCGACAATCGCTATGATTATCCACGTTATCGTTCCACTTCCTATGTAACGCCAAGCAGCAATCTGTCTGGTTTACAGGGTTTGAGTAAAAGTCAACAAGCAATATTGGATGAAACCGATAAACTAGTGAAAGACTCTCAGCAATTCCACAATGAATCCGCATCGCAATTTGAACGCGCGAGAGAAAGTTTATTATCAAGGTAAATATTATTTATCTTTGTGCTTTTTGTGTCCAACTCTATTTTCGTCAAGAACTTTTTTCAGTTCATAATTTAAGCAGGTAATTGATCATTTCCTTCTTTTATCTGCATGAACGAATGAATGACTTAATAAGTGATGTGCTTACTAGCATGATATGAAATTGAAGAAACTGAAAAAAGCGGANATCTTGTCTTTTTTCTAAACATGCTACTGATTCGCTTGCTTTTAGACAGTCCGATGTTGATAGGGATGAACATACATCTCATTTCATTAACATCCGAAAACACGTTAGAGTATTCGAGCGTTCCATTGACAATTAGATAAAGACGCCCATATCGACATCCATTTTTTTAAGTAAAAGATAGACGACATTTTAAAAAGCAAACAGCGTGTGTGCGACGAGCTCAAAGGGAGATACACATTAGCCGATCGATGCTACAATTCGAAGGGACTTTGGCTCAGGTGAAGTTCTATCAGAACAATAGTGGTTATATCTTCATGAAGTTGAACGATGGAACAATGATTGATGGTGTGATTTGTTCATTTTTCATTGGGTTTTTAATTGACATACATCGTTTTCTTCTTCTTGTTTTAGTTTCGGGAGCAACAGGCACCAAACGACATCATCATCGTCATTCATCAAAATCGAACAAAACAGCAGCAGGCACGATTAATAATGAAAATGGTTAGTGATTAGAAGAGTTAATTTTATTTGGAAAGAAGGAAAAAAGAATAACAATTGTTCTTATTTTTTCTCGGACGAGATATAAGTAAACATAAGACTAAGTCGAGTGCAAAAGAAAGAGCACTTTTCTTTTCTATTTGCATCTGTTTTATTTTATGACATTCTTTGTTAGATGTAAAGTAAATCATGGAAAGTAACGAAATATTTGTTACTCTCCTTTGTCTCAGCACAAAAGTCAAGTCAATTTTGACGCTAAGGATAGCAACATGAATTCTCAATGGTTTTTTTATGTGCGTCATGTTCTTATCTCCCTTCACCTGCTGTGCTGAAACTATAACATGAGAACCTGATTTCTTGTCTATGCTTTACTTTTCTCTCTCTCTCTCTCTCTCTCTCTCTCTCTCTCTCTATGCTTTTAGCGGGAGAGGAGATCGTGAACATCTTCCATCTCCGATTAGTTTGTATGCCTATCCACAAATTTCAATTAAGAAGAGACTGAGTCAGTGTAAACAGATCAGTTTCTTTGCTCGATTCTTATTGAATTTGTTTAACTTGATAAAACATGTCTAATTACATGATTCTTTTTTTTTCATCCTAGAAACTCAGTCATCGAGCAGTTCAAGCAAAAAGAAATCGAGTAGTGACAAGACTGGTGCAATGGGACTCGGTGCTACCAATTCGCACGACATTATCGAACACGATATTAGTAATTTAGCAAATTTAAATCAGTTACCAGCATCAGGTTCATTCGAATCACTGAAATTGAGCAGTGAGAGGTAAATTACGTACAATTCGATTGCTTAATTCAATAAAACAAAATCTGATAAGAATCACTGTCGACAGACTTCGAAATCTGAGATTATTATGGAGATAATATCTGAAACGAAGATTTGTTTTTGAGAATCAAAAGGAGAAGGATCTAGTTGACATTGAAGTAATAGAATGGGTACATTACCGTTGTTGTGTCTTGTCTATTTAGGCTAAGAACAATAATTGCCGCACTCCATTGTAATATACTTATACGGAAGGACGATCTCGTGCGTAATTTGGATTATGCTGCCAATGTTCTTGAAGCTGTCTATCAAGACGAAACAAAGTAAGCCTTACATGAATGTATTTATCCGCTTGGCGGATGATCTTCCTTTCCCAATATTCGTCACTATTGGTTTTTCGACTATCTCCGACTTACTTTTGTCTCTGAAAATCTGATCTATGTATATGTCACAGACGAAAGCCACAGGTATCTTATCAAAGTACATCAGAAGCATCTAGTCGTCGGTAAGCGCATGAGGTCGAATCGTTGATTATTATTATTATTACTGTGACCTGTCACGTACATGAAATTAGAAACCTTCTTCTTCTGCACATGTAATTAGAGATTTCGAAATGTCCTACGATTTGTTCTTGTTTCAAATATTCACCTTTCCACAAGATTCAATCTGTTAATTAATTGCACTATACATGATTTTCTCACACACACGCACACACACACACACACTCTCTCTCGATGTGATAATGAATCTTCTCAGAGGGAAGTCTATTTTTACCTGTGAAAACTACCATTCCAAGTATCATAGGGTAGCATAGATGCAAATGTGGTATTTGGATAAGCTACTTTGCTTTTTTGTTTGTACTCATAGTTTTGTTGCATGATTACTCTTGTTAGTTTTATCTTTATTTCTCTTTCTTTTTTCTTTTCCTGCATCTATTTATTCGTGTCTGTCCGGGTTTTCTTTTTATCACTGCAATTATAGGCAAATGAAACACTTTTAAAAAGTGTTTCGTCTTGTGACACTTACTATCATCATTATCACCAACAAGAACTTCTTTGCAATGATGATTTCCTATACAATATGTGTTAAAAAGGGAATGAGAGAGAAAAAACGAGAAAGAAAAGAAAACGCTGTCAATAATTGTCATGCCAGTAGAAGAAAATTTGTAGCTTAGTTAAGAAAAAAAAACGAAGAGATATATCTGTTCATTTTGATGTCTGTCTAGATATGTCAGATTTTCCTCTACTTCTTTTATTCTATTTCATAGACGACTGATGGAAGAAGATGATGATGCTTTGTCAGAAATTGAACCGGATTCCGTACCGAATGAGGTTCGAGATTGGCTAGCGATGACATTCACTCGATCGATGTCAACAATCAAACAAAAGCCAACCGAAAAGAAGAAATTCAAGAGTGTTGCTCAAGCAATCCGTGCTGGTATCATGGTCGACAGGTGCGTAGCATATACGAACTGATAATCTCTTCTTTTTTAATCTAATCAACAAAGATTAGAAGGAAAAAACAAGAAATATTTTTCTCACAGGTTAATTTTTGAATTTCTAAGTATATCTATGCTAGAAAAACTGATTTCTTTTTCTTCTTGTGTGTTGCAGCTGTGCCAGGTATGGCTTAAGCAGTCGCTCTAACTCTAGATGCAGCCCGCATTTTTTGTCGTATACTTTGAATGTTTTCTCCTCTTTTCTCTTTGTCTACTCACTCTACTTTCTCTGTCGATCACTCCTTTCCTCCAGATTGTCAAGAAATGGTCTCTTCAGGTGATATTCAAGGTATGATTATTCTCTTACTAATCAATGACGAACACGAGACTGATAAATGTATATATATCTCCTCAAAAGACAAGGCATATCATGCCAGATTTGGTTTGATTATTTGCACATATCCTTCCCCTATATGGATGTATCGTTTGAATTGACATCCATTGTATTGTGTATGTTTTCTAGGTACCTGAGACGTTTGTCTATCGACATTAAATTTAAGGTATTTCAAACGAAACTGAGTGAATCTATCGTTCGACATTATCTGTCTTCTTTATTTTTTTTATCTGAGTTCGCTCGATTCGATTCACTTGCCCTCTTCTTCTTCTCCGAACTCTTTCTCTCATCTCTTATAATCTTCTAACCCATATCTTCCTCTGCACCGTTCCACGTTCACGCATATCTATGAAATAGTCACACATAAACACACACGAAATTTTTATGTTGCCTTATGAACACGCTGGCTGGCTCAATCACACACACGTATAGAGATAGACATAGATATATATATGATTATAAGTACATTTGAAAAAAAAAACAAAATCCACCACAATACGTTTAGGCTCTTTCGAAGAAATACTCTGGCTATAAGCGCGGTCTTTCACCAAGTAAGTTGATTAGTAGTGAGATAAACGTGAGGCAACTCTCTCTCTTTTTTTTCTCCCTCTATAATCTTATTCTTATTAGCACGAATGCAATGAATGTGCATGCTTTTCTTGTTGTGTAGTTCAATGGAAATACATTTCATTTGTTGAACAGATTGTTTCTTTTGCCTTTTCTTTTTATTTCCTCGCATCTAGACAATTAACGAATGGACATTTGATGTATTTTCTGTGAATGAATTTACCAATGGCCAATGCCTACGTTACATTGGCTTCGAGCTTATGCAACGCTACAACCTACCGAATAAACTTCGAGTAAGTGAATTGCAGTCGATCTGCTATACTTACCATTTTCATCTGTTTACTTGCAGATTCCAGTCACAGCGTTACAAAACTTTCTGGAACAAATGGAAAGTGGCTATAGCAAATATCATAATCCATATCATAACTTGATTCATGCAGCTGATGTCTTACAAACAATCTACCAAATCGTTTACAATTCTGGTCTCATGGTAGAGGTTGACACCGTTTTCTAATTCACTTTAGCTGTAGAAAAACTGTAGAAAAAAAACCTAACACCTACTCCTATTCATACTTTCACGTCTATGTAGTACATTTCAAATTGTAGTTGATCTATACGTGATTTAGAATTGCTTCGAATCGAGTAATTTTGAAACTTGACTTTTATTGATTTTTCTTTCCGATTAGAATTGGCTGACCGATCATGAACTATTTGCGATGTTCATTGCAGCGATAGTGCATGATTTCGAACATACGGGAACATCGAATAATTTTCATATTCAATCCAGGTAAGTCAGAAGGATCTGAGTTTACTGTTCATTTATGTGTGCTCTTTTGTACTTGAATTCAGATCCGACGTCGCTCTAACGTACAATGATCGAGCCGTACTTGAAAATCATCATGTTAGTGCTGCATTCAGATTGATGCGAATTGATGACTACAATATCATCGCGGAATTTACAGCGGATGAATATAAGTATGTCCGATTCATCCTCGAAGTCTTCAGCATGCAATTTTGTGTCTTCTTTAAAGGAATTTTCGGCATCTGGTTATTGAGATGGTGCTTGCTACAGATATGAGTAGTCATTTTACCCAACTGAAAACCATGAGAAGTTTGCTGAGCATGCCGGAGAAGTAAGTGTGTTAGTAATGAAGATTCTCTCGAAGTATACATATATGATAAAATAGTATTGAAAAAGCGAAAGCATTGGCACTAATTCTTCACTGTGCTGATATCAGTCATCCGGGCAAACCGTGGAATATCCATCACATATGGACACAATCTTTAATAGAAGAATTTTTTACTCAAGGTGAAAAAGAGAAACAACTCGGTCTACCTTGTTCGCCACTATGTGATCGCGAAAACACTTTAGTCGCTGAATCACAAATTGGTAAATATCTTTCGTCGAGTTAAGAATCGAATTTTAAATGTTTGTTTGTTGTCAAGGTTTCATTCAGTACATTGTTGAACCCTCATTTGTTGTCATGGGTGATATGTTAGATAAGGTTTTGAAATCTCTTGTAAGTGATTCTCAACTTCCGTCACCCTCCATACCATCACGAAGTCAAGTAACATCACCAACACCATCAGCAATATCATCAGCCGAGTCCAATGCTCACGGAGAAGAATCCAACGGGTAAGTAATGAAAAAGCAAACATCCACTCGGCAATGAATCATATGTTTCAGAGCTGAAAGAGTACTACCATCGTCTATGACAACACCCGTGCCACGACCTACTGTTGTTCGAAGACCATGGTCGGACTATTTGAAAAGCAATCGAGAACGATGGATAAAAGAAGCAGGTGAAGGAAAAACCGTCTACTTTTTGTTTACATATAAAATCTCCTTTGACTTCTCTAGAAGAAGAACGGCGCCGCAAAGAACTAAATGTCATCGAAGAAGAACCATAAGTCGAAAGCTTCACATAAAAAAAACAAACTTTCATTACATTCCATATAAGCATATTCACATACATGCTCGGTGTTCTATTTTGCTATGCAATTTGTTTCTCATCATCATCGGACATATCGATAAATCTTTTAGCAATATCTGCTCTATATGTAATCAGTTTTCTTCTATGCGTATATGTGTGTATGTGTATAGATATGTCTCTATTTATGTATTGGTTTCTGCCTATGTCAAAATCATTTTAGTTTTGCTTTTGAATTTTGGCTTCTGTTACTTTAGTTATCATTATTTTTATAGTAAAGTATTTTATGTTACATTTCTTTTATTTGACTCCCAATAAAAGAATGAGAATATCCATCGATATCCTTCTTGGATGCTTGATGCCATAGTCGAGAACAAATGTTGTTGCGCTCAAAGCGATGCTAACACCATCTATAATGATTTAATGTATAAAGATGAAAGTTTTCGTAGCTAACATAAAAAGAAACTAACAAAAAATACTTTTATTTGAAAAAATAATCGAAAATTTTGATGAAGGAAAATCTTTGTATCTAACAAAAAAACCGCCGGCTCTTTGTTTCATATATCTTCATTGTTCATGTTTCATTTTTCGATTCAATCAATGCATTGAGATCAGAACGTTACCGATGGATTCAACCAATATCGTCATTCCCTTCGACTTCCCATTTGCTATTTTGGGTAAAACGTCGTACGAGTTTCGTTCGTTGCTCATTCAAAATCGATTTTCTAGAACACCGTCATAATTCGGATCCAAATAGTAAACTTGTTTATGCTGTTGCTGACGGTCAATATACCTACGGTCCACTTTCATTATATCAATATCATAATGATGAGCACTATTCGAAAACGTAAGTTTTCTTTCATAGAAACTATACAATCAATCTGATTTGACCTGTGAATAGTATAAGAGATGACGAATTACCACCATCATTGCCGTGCAAAGTAAAAATCAATTATTTTTTTTAAAACTTCATTTCGATTGACTTGTCTCTGTTGATGTAAAGGAGTTTTACATTGTCGAATCAGGCTTCACAACCGATGATGCATTCGAAATCATCGATGAAAATCGTGGACAAATTTACGTCAAAGAACTTCCTTCGATGGATGATGATTCCATGATGACAATTGATCAAGAACCGGAACAAGGTTAGTTTTCTTCAATCATGTTTTATGTCTGATATGATCGATCTCTACTTTTAGTTCATATGAAAGAGCTCTTCAAAGAAATGGCTGAATGTAAAAACGAAATTCGGAATTTGAAGTCAATCGTAAGAGCATTTTCGATTTCGTATTTAAATGGCAGCTCAATGACTATGTCTTATCCGTAGGTGTTGTCAGAAAATCGTTTCAATAAACGTCGATCAACTTCAACAGGTAGCCAACAAGAAGTATACTCTCATGTACGACTAAATTCCTTGTTTCAGATTCACCAGGTCTTCGCAGCACCGAAAACAATGCTAAATGGATTCGTGGCGGTACCGGAAATCGATCAACAAATAATGGACATATGTCCGACGATGGTGGTGTGTCAACTCCATTACGTTATACGAAGACAACTGGTATTCGTAAACCACAACAAGTGCAATCATCAATCGTTCAACGAAGCGTTTCATCAACAATGGCCAACAAGAATATTCTTACACCTCTTCGTGGTAAAACAGGTATGACAACATCATCATCAATGTCATCTGTAACATCGAAATATGCAACACCGATGAGAACAACGACAGCTGTAGTTACGAATAAAAAGGTCGTCTTGAAAAATGTGAAATCATCTGGCTACGGACAATTTAGCGTAACGAATAATACGACGACAATGATCAAGAAACAACAACAACAACTTGCAACATTAGCTACGCCTAACCGAGCATTTCGAAAATAATCCTTTCGTACATTTCATCTCCCCTTTTTCGTTGTGTTGCTATGCATAGTTCGTTACTTTATAAATAATTCGTTTGTTATATATGATTCAAAATATTAAATTGATGTATTTTTTCATCTAGTTGTCATGTTTGTGAAAATAAATTGTATATTGATTTGAAAACCACATACAAATTACTATCAAATAAATAATTATGAATATTCTACGATGAAGAATAATGTTCAATTTGAATACTCCAACACGAAATCGACGAAAATGGTCGATATTGTTGCAGTGGCTAAACATGGTACTCTAGCACATAGATACACAGTAAACCGTGTTCGCTTCGATGCTTCGTAATACAAGTCACACCCTCGAAGATCTCTAACTGTTTGTTTTTCTTACAGAAGAAATCGATTTGTCGAGGGATCCTATTTGCATACCTGGATGAACGAGAATAGTATATAGATATATCTTCTTCTTGTTCTTCGTATATAAACCAAACGTGCTTACAAAATATATTTCATTTTACGAAATACATATATCATGCATTCATCATTCGTTTGCCTTTTTCTAACGGTTCTTGTTGCAAATCTTTCATGGTCAGTGCTAGCAGGTGATTATCCGGTTGTTGGAATAGTATTGCTACAATCAGCACCACGATTCCAAGCTTTCGGTAGCGTTGTACTGATCCAAAAAGGCGAAGGTTAGTCTCTGTGCGAATTCGTTGGAATACTTCATGCCCTCTATTTTTTGTCCAAATAGATGCGCCAATAAATGTTGAAGGTATCATTCTTAATCTTAAACCAAACAGCCGTTTTGGTTTACACGTTCATGAGCAAGGAGACCTTACAAATGCTTGCCAAAGCACTGGTGCTCATTTCAACCCATACGGAAAACACGTAAAAATCTTTTTATTCGACTTCGTAAGTTTTATTCTGTTCTATTGCTTGTAGCACGGTAGTGAAAAAAGTGTAGAACGCCATTGGGGCGATTTCGGAAACATTATGAGTGATGCATCAGGTACGGCCCGAGTGATGGTTACAATTGAAGACGTTTCTTTAATTGGTGCTGATGGAGTAAGTGAAATGTGAACACAACGAGCTCAAATAAATTTGTTTTTCAATAGTACATTGGTCGAGCTCTTGTACTCCACGAACGTGAAGATGATCTTGGCTTAACTGACCATGAAATGAGTAGAAAGACCGGGTAAGAGTCGAGAATAAGTTTCAAGTATTCTTTATCCTCTGTTTTTCTTATCTATTCAAGAAATTCCGGAGAACGTTTGGCTTGCGGTGTTATTGGTATTCGTCGACCAACTGATCGCTTACCGTTACCTCAACCAACACAAAAAGCTACGCTTGGCCAACAACGTCCATTCAACTTCGTTCCAACATTTCAACAACAATCGCAAAACATGAGAACAGTTTAACGCAATAACTGAGCTACTTTTATTCGTTTTCTGATTGTTTTGCTGGCATATTTGAAGAGATCCATTTCATGTATTTGGATGGATTAGAGAAGATTTTTGTTCCAATAAAAAAAAAATCTAACAACATTCTTTTTGAATCAAATGTTTACAATCAATCAGACACTACTTTAAATAGCAAATTCTCGAGAACTAATCATTGTTGACGTGTTTCGCGACGAATTAATACTTTCGAAAATTTCATTTTCTTCCTCTTTGCATATGCTCTTGGCTTTCTACTCATACGCCCATGTATTTCTTCATGAGAAAGAAGTGATGATTGAAAAAGCAACATGCGAACACACGTATTTGTTGACACAAGCATTTTTTAAACTTCACTACTTTTTCGATTTCGATCAAAAAGAAAGCGAAAAAACTCGACTTGGCGAAATCAAAACATGACTACACATGAGGATAATGATGTGAAATCCACTCTGGAAGCCAATGGTACGGTATCCTACAAGCGCCTTGATGGTCAATCGACGCCCAGCACATATTCGTCCATAGTGCTAAGCAATTGCAGTAGTGAAGAAGACAATGACGATGAAAATGAAAGGCCCACGTTAAAATGGAAAAGAAAACGATTTTTGAATAATGCGTGAGTTGAATCAGATGTCCTTTTTTCGTGATGAATATCGCCCATGATAAATGTCAATAACTAATCCCGAGGGAATGAATAAAATGTTAGTCTATTCTAATATCTATCACTGACTAAACGCATACGTTGACGTACTCAAATAATAACCTCAAACTTCGATGCATGAAAATGCTTCTGTCCACGCAATTAGCAACTTGTAGATCTCCATTGGGAAAAAAAGAATCGATGTAGGAAATGCGAAAACTTATTTCAAATTTTGTCGTTGTTTTCTTTAAGTGAACAAATTCCGAACGGAAGTGGTGCTCTCGATAAGTACACAATGTCTTCTGAAGATAATATTGCAACATCATTCGATGATGAATCACGATCATTGCCATCAAGGCGGTTGCCACCAATTCCTGCTGATAAATTACATCGAGTGAGTAGCGAGTTTGAAATGCAGGCTGTATATTTGTCGGCTTTTAGAGAAATCCACATATAGTCAGACAAGAACTTCGCATGCTCGATGATCTTGTTCCGGATGGCGATTTAGTTGATATACATCTAACTGAAATGCCCGGTCTTCAAAATACAGGTATATGTATAACGATAGAACCCTTCTATTTTTTTTTCAAAACAGTACTAAACCTGCTGTTTATTAGATCACTGGAAACGTATTGCTGGTCGAGCGGTACAATCCTCACCGCCTTTATCTCGTCAGTATTACCAAACAGTGATATCAACGATTGAACTACCGGATGGCCAAGTGCCACAGCCATTGGGTTCCTATCGGCGACCAGGTCGTACGGATTCCGAACCAGTTGTAAATACAGCACTGTGTCGATTGCCTCGTCGGCGATTTCTACTTGGTTCGTTCATCGCTGTTGTCATTGTTGCCATTATTGTTTCTGTTGTTCTCGCTGTTACTATTGGTAGAGATCTATCGCACTCTCTTTGCCATCCTATTTCTGAATTTCAGTTCGTCAGTCTACTTCAACGGCAACTGAGTATTACGAAGGAAGTGTTTACGTTCGTGCGGATTTCGATCAATCACTTCTCGATCCGAGCTCAACATTGGCAAAGAATTATAAGAGGGAATTTTGTTCATTGGTACGTACAATAATTGTCCTTCAGCGTTTTCTCCTTTCATCGATAATTGAGTCATCCTTCTTTAACTACGCATGTGCATGTGCTCTGACTTCGTGACACATGTTCATCATCATAATCTATGCTTTATGTGCTAATTTTGATTCGATTTTGACGAAATCCCAAATTGCTACAAATACGAAGGAGGAAAATGTTTCAAAGAAGAGGAAAAGTTATTTCACATTTTATTCCCTCGGCATCATTTAGTCCATTCCTATGCATGTCAATGATTGCCTATTCTTGTCGAATATATCATTTACGGTTGGTTACTGTCGAGGAGTAGTTAAAGAAAAGAAGAAGAAATCTACACAAGTTCACATGTATATTAGGATTATTATAACGAGATCGGAAAAGAGAAAAGAAGAATGTTTCTTTCCTTTCTTTCTGTTTATCAGTCGTTCATGTTCAACGATCGATCGGTTGGTTCGCGATTATTTATTCCAGTGTAGAGCCAATTTGATTTCTTCTATCTGCAACTATCTCTCGAGTCAGAATGTGCATGGCAATAAGAAACAAAATTGAATTAGATCGAGCGTCTGCATGTTTCGATCAGTCTTCCTCTCTTGCTTAAACAACTTGTCGTTTTTCTCGGCTAAAGATTTCTCTCATTTCTCTGTCTCTTTCGTATCTAGATTGGAACGACACTCGCTGATACACGAACGAAATATGCCATCTTCTATAGCACTTGTGTAGTAACTACTTTTCACAATGGAAGTATTATCGCTGATTTTGTTCTCGGTTTTACTCAAAATCAAAATGTAACAGGCCTGAGTGCATTCCTCAATCAAACATTAGTCAACAAACGCTTATTTGATGGGATAATCTACTCGATAGCATTAAATCTCACAGCATTGAATGAGAGCGATACCGATACAAATTCCACGGATAATGGCCACCATGATCAACCTGTTCAATCGACATACAACGAAAAATTCGCCATGACAGAACAAAATTCAGTCCAAGAAACTCAACAACAGCAGCTACAGCAACAGCCTGCACATACATCGTACACAACGGTGACTTATACAACGCTTGAAAAAGGTTTGTCTATAACTATATCTGAAACTATCACAATTACGAATAATAATCTTGATAAATCACCAATTAATAATAAAAATTACGAAGTTATTTTGATACCGACAATTGAAAATGGAAAAACAGTTGTTGTTCCTACGGGTAATAGCACAAACGAGAAAACTCTATTACCTGCAGCAACTACAACCATGACGAATGTCATTCCAATGAAATCTTCATCTCAAATTAATCTTCTTCGGCCAATCAAACCAATTAGTGATGCGAATTTTGCTTATATCGATGCGTCAAGCGATGATCGAACATGTAGTTCAGGAGATGGTATTTAAATCTAGATATAAATCCTCTTCGTCATGTGTTTCACCTGACTTCCCTTTAGAACTAGTTCAGTTTTCTTTGATTTCTGTTTTCTATCTTGTTATTCTTTCAGCTACGTCCACTCTAGGAGATATGACTACTCGAGATTCGACAACAACAGCGTCAACAACGTCACTTAGCGATGGAACATTAACAGATTCGGCGTCTACTCTTGCAACTAATTATATTTTACCAACTGCGTCGACAAATCCACCAAAACTACAACCAAATCGTCCTATTCCGCCGAGCCGACCACCAGTCAAAATTAAAAATCAAAGTAGCGAAGACAGATCAGACTATCCTACACGGTTGAACTCCAATACGAGTAGACGCCAACGACGTGTAGTTATTCCAAAAAATCAACGTCGCCTGATGCAATACGAACTAATGCCGACTGGAAAAGTTTACTACGTTGATCGACCATTTTACAACGAGAAAAAGTCTATACCAGGAGATCGTGACGATAATTCAAGCGCTGTTCTTAGTACGATTCTCTCTCGCTCAAGTTCAGTTGATACACTAAGTGAGAAACGTCATCGTCAACATCAACACCATAGAAAGTATAATCAAGACGCATCATCAAACAATCCCGAAGCAAGAGTTAATATCGGCGGGCGGTTAGCATCAAATAATAACTTAACTACCAACACAATATCATCATTTAAACCGATCAGTTCGATGAAGAAGAATCGACTGTCAGCGTTTGAACCAACACAAGAATCTCTTGATCAAGTCTTTGATGTACTTATTGCTGCTGACAAAAGACGAGAAGAACATGATTTTTGGAGAGAAAAATTCGAGAACCGTTCCTCGTCAATACGTGCACCCATATTAAACAACCGAGCACAAGAACCGACTAGTACAAACACCTTGTCATTCCAACGTCCAAAACAAACTCAACTAGTTCCAAATTCCATTGTGAACAATCCGGAGAATCGTTCACAATCCTACCATACCAATAATAAGCGCACGTCACTGTACGAAGCTATCAGCCGACAGAACGGTTGTCTACTGGAAGACTGTCTTCGCCGACGGACACAAATTGCTCAACACCAATTGCCGCCGCCATCATCGGAACGTAACTATTCTCCTAACACGATTTACTCGACTAACTATCCTAAACCACAAATACCACCAGTGAGTAAAACTCTGACTCCTTTGGCTACCACCGCTGCTGGTGTTCCACAACCTGCACGTATTCTTTCATTACCCAATGGCCGCGTTGGTCGAGCGCCTCACGCCCGGCAAACTTCGGATGAGCTTTCTTCTACATCAGATATCTGGGCAGCACGGTCTACTGTTGAACCTGAAACGTCTCAAATTCGAAAAGCAATAAATCCCTTGCGTGCTCCATCTGCGGTTAATCGTAGTCGAATAAATCAACAAAAACTCCTTCACAACAAACGTGCATTGAGTGCCGAACAACAAAAAACCGTTCGAACAGAAAACAAAACGATTGCATCAACAACGAAAAGCAAATTCTTCGATTTGTTTAAATTCGCTCGTTAGTTTATTTTACTTGAATTCAAAATAATAACAACAACAATGAACAGGACATACTGTTTAGTCAAACAAGAACGGGAAATAGTATTGTTTCCGCTTGTTTCATTCCATAAAGAAAATAAATTGAAAATCCAACGATCATCCAAATCAGAAACCGTATCCATGTTATAAAGCTTAATTTTAACATTAAATATATATTGCAAAATATACTGAGAATCGGCAACCAAGGCACACATGGTGCCAGAAATGCGTTACCTATGTCGTCGGAGATATTTTGTTTTCTTTTTGAAAGTTTTTTATAAACTATGTATATTAAAAGATAAAATAAAGCGACAAAAACGATCATGACGATGGGATTTATGTAATCATGTTGTTCAAATGAATGAATTGATATGAGACATAATAGAATTAGAATAATCAGGATCGAGAATAAGTTTTGACTCAAATCGTCGGTACAATCATCTTTGATTTCATAACGGGAAATTAATACAGCTAATGCTACTTGAGTGTAAGCAATCAATGTTCCTATACTCAACATTTCAACTAATGTCAATAGATCGAATACTAATGCCATTAAGGCCGAGAGGAAACCACCGATTAACGTTGAATAGATTGGTGTATGAGATTTAATGGAAATTTTACTGAATAATGAAAACAAAAGACCATCGGATGCCATGGAATATAACACACGTGGCAATGGAAATAGTGAACCGATGATGCTTGATGTCAGACCGGTAACAGCTCCAAGTATAACTAAAAATAAATGAAGTAGTTTTCATGGTTGATTGATTTCAGTCGGAGAATGATTTTACTTGCGATTTTCACATGCGATAGTCCGATCCTATCGAATGCATCAGGAAGTGATGCATCTACCCTTATAGAATAATAGGGGACGATTAATGTTAATACAGCACTAACAGCACAATAGACAAGACAGCAGATGAAAAGGACAAGACAGATGCTGATTGGTATTGCTTGTCGTGGATTTTCAGTTTCCTCACCTGTTGTTGCAATCAAATCGAAACCAACGAATGCATAAAAACACGTTGCTGCACCGGATAGAACACCGGATATTGAATAAGGTAAAAACCCGCCTTTGCCAGCTGTAGCTACTGTTTGATTTGACTTGCTTGGATCAATTGACAAATGCCAATTGTCAGTATTCGCTTTCGAAAGGCCACATATCACAATAACTAGAATAGAATCGAACGTTCACTATTTCATCTTTGTTCATCTTCCTGCTAATTTACTTGCAACACTTGTTAAGTTCACCGTTGTACAAATATTATTGGTTCGACTTGATTCTTTTACTCCTATAGCAAGAATGATAGTTATAGCAATCGTTAGACCGAATGCTCCAATATCCATGTACGGTGCAAACATGCCAAATGGATTTCCAAACGGAAACGGGAAATTGTGTTGAAAGAATGTACTCATACGAAAATTCACAACGGAATCAATCGAACTTGTCCAAGCTCGTGCTGCTGAGGCTATCTATGGCAAATGGAAATTTTCATCTTTTCTATTCAAGACAAAAATCAAATCTTTTCTTACCAGCGCCGACAATATACTCCAGAATCAAATTCCAACCTATTGATATAAAATATGATACTTTTCAATAAAAGGCTAAAGATTTGAAAAACCTGTAATGAACGCAGCCATTTCTCCAAGAATAACATACGAATACACATATGCTGACCCAGCTCGTGGATACTTCGAACCTAGCTCTGCGTAACATAATCCAGAAAACAAGGAAGCTACACCAGCAATAAAAAATGATAGTAGTACACCTGGTCCAGCTAAATCTTTTGCAACTGTGCCTGCAAGAATGTAGATACCCGCACCTAATGTACTACCAATTCCTAGAATCGTTAAGTCCACAACTGTTAAACATCGTCGTAATTGCGAATGAAGTGCACTGTTTGCAGTCAGTCGTTTACGACGCGAAAATATGTTCAAGGTTTTTTGTACAAAAGTATTCGTTTCTGCACTCATGGATACGAACACGTATGATCCGATTTGTACTGGTCTATTACACGGCGCGATTCATAATTTTACCATACCACCCAACATGATTATTACTGTCTTGAAAATGATGATGTATGACGACCTTACCGACATGCACAAATAAAAAAAAAGAACTAGGAAGATGTGTGCACGCGCACATAGATCAAATTTTTTCTTTTTTTCTTACAGTAATTTTTTTTTTCATTTTTTCCTTGTCGTTCTCATGTGTGCAAACGACCGTCAAGCCTACACGACGGCAAATATATATATGCGAGCAGTCATGACAGAAAGACAAAACGGAAAAGTAAAAAGAAAATATACATTAAGTGGAATTCAGAAGTACTTCGAATATACGTATATGTACATATGTGTATATATTAAAGATCTTATCTATCAATATGAGAAAAAGAATGTTTATTGGTGATCAAATGTGAAATAGGTCTATATGAATTCGAAATTGGGACACGCATGTATAGAAACACATTTATTTTGTTCAACCGAATCACTCCATCTCGAAAGGTTGTAATCGGTCACTAAAATAACGGTAGACTGTACATATTAAATGTAAAATGAAGAAGTAAAAGCGAAAGTGGGACGAACAGTCTCTCTCGTCGTATTCATCTTTTTGAAACTGATTGATTACATTAAACAACGTATGTATAATGCATTAATTCACGTCCACTACTGGAACGAATCTTCTTATTAGTTGTGAACGATAGTATATCTCGCCGACTAAGGATTTATGTACATCGTTGAATTTAGAGTTGATCAATTCTTTTAGTTTTACTCTCGCGTGTAGATCCAGATTTGTTTCGTGAATTGATCTTGTTACATATCTGAATGATGAGTGACTAGATAAAAAAATCGTTTTGATTTCTTTTGGCGACAACATTTCACGCACGACACAATCTGTACGAAAAGAAAATAATCTTTAGTAGCTATACGAGATTCATTGCATCGCGCTTTTTCTTTTCTTTCGTTATAAAATTTTATCGAACGTGTCATTGTGTAGCTACGTTGAATATATCGGTCATAGCGAATGATAAAGATCAAACATCGATTCGTTTGTATTGATACGTACGCCTTCTAATGTAACTGAAATCTTTTTGATTTGATATTGACCAACGATCGACTTGCTCAGAAATGAGAGCATCATTGAACTCACATAAAGAAGAAGAGTACTTTCAATGCACAAAAGTCTCGTCAAATCACTGAGTAGTATGATATGCGACAAGATACTCCTCGATTTCGTTTCTTTTACGTCTTCGTCATCCTATGTCCCATTTTCGAGAGATTCTAGATATAAAGGTGTTCGATTGTACTTTCAAATGAAATACAAGTGTAGGTAATAAGTATGAACAACGGCATATTTTATCAGTTTTGTACTTGACAAGAAGTGTCGAGCAAGTGACACAATGTATGAAATTAAGAATAGTCGAAACAGAAGTACACTTGAAAATATTGATGAAAAATTCATCTGAAGTTGATTACAGTTGAACGTGTTCGTTCCTTTCTTGACAGAAATGTATACAATTTCTTCGACGCTTTATTAAATAGGATTATTTTCGAAATGTTTTCATGTGACTTTCTTTTAGATCTATTCTTGGGTTGAGCCCGCGTATCATCTTCTCATTTTAGTTCAATGAGTTTGTTTGACGTCGAGTGCTCCTCTATTCAATTCTCAACACTATACAAAAACGAACATTTGACTTCGAAACCAAGTTGAACTCAAGGAGAAGATTTTCAACGCTTCTCCTCTCGTTTACTTCACATATCGTTCATTGGCCTATCAAAGATCATCTTAACAGCATACTAAAGTACAGTAAACCTGTTTCATTGAATTTGCGTTTTTTGCTTTGACACATGAACTTCACCAAAGAGCTATTATGATTACCAAGTAATACGAATGCGTCGCCGCACAGAGTATATAATCATACGAAGATAGTATGCGCATTGTTTCGCACGAGAGAAAGCAAAAGAGAGTGAAGCTAATAACTGTTTTATATCAGTATCTTACGTATGCGTCGAATCTTTCTATTTGAAATATGTCACACATTTGAATAATATAAAACAATCTCATAAATCAAACAATCGATTAGTATAGGCGACGTTTTATTCCCTTCGCATTCTTTTCGTTTATCTGATAGAAAACATCGTTTTGACTGACTCGCAATAAGCAATCGATCAGCGTGATTTTTTTCTTCGCCAATAGTTTACTTACATATAAACGTAAACCTAGATATAGCAATAACCAACAACTGATCATTTAATTGGTAAAAAGTACGTATGATAGCCTAAAGAACTATTACCTGTAAGAGCACACGCACACATACACACCTGCGCATACATATATGCATATATATTTTAAAAGCTTTGTAAACCTTGAAATAGTGATGCTAGTAATCACTGTCATTAGAATGAAATGAGATGACACAATCATCTTGGAGGTATTCGTTATGAATACAATAGATCACTATGTTGCATAGCTATTGTTCTCTCAAGGTACAACATATGCATGATCGAGTGCATTATGAAAACTATTTGTTGATAGTAATATTTTAAAAAGGGAAAAAACGCTTCTGATCACAACTCATCTTGACTTTCACGCTCAACTCATAAGTGTTGTTATAGTGCGAAATTATCTTTGCTTCATTTCTTTCCTAGATTTCAATGGCTGAATCTTCAGAGACACCACCAGATAATCTGACTAACAATTCAAATCTTGTCGCAACAATTCATCCAGCCGCCAAGCTAGGTGGTCGTGGTACACCTCGTCGTAAAGTACGTCGCTCAATTACTACAGGTCATGCTGCCATTGTTGCTGCACGAGCGCTAGAAAACAAGCTCAAACCATTTCGTACTCAATATCAATTGTATGATCACCAAGAACTGTGCGATGTAGCTATTCTCTATGATGATGGTCGTGTTGATACACAGAATCAAGTTTGTATCCATTCAACACGATCGATGACGATTCATGAAATTGGTTCATCGGAAACCGGTACACAAACATCTCACGTTGATGACTTGGACTCATCAACTTCCACATATCTATTCGGTAATATGAATACAACTAGAACAACAACATCTTCGCCTGCTCAACCGATAAGTACCACAAATTACTATAATAGTCTTCAACAACAGCAGTTCTACACGCATGCATCTCCTTATTATATGACACCGAATAATTATCAACCAAATCCATATGCATATAATTCTTTTGAAACTTATTCACAAAATCTACATGAAGTATACGGTGGTGTTAATGAGCAATCGGATGCTGAAGTTGAGGATGAGGACGAAGAAGACGAAGAAGGAATATCCTCAGTACCAGCTAAATCGAAAAGAAGGAGACGAAAACGTAAACATGCCAAAACAACACTAGAGCAATCTGTACCAACGAATTCGTCGAAAGAAAAACAAGCAGAAGAAGACGATGACGATGATGATAATGAAGAAGAAGTACAGATTGCAACTGAGAAATCAGTTAAACATCTCGAGAATGATGAAAATCTGTCAACGAAAACAAAACGTAAACGTCGAAGAATACGTAAGTCAAAAAAGTCGTCAATCACCGGTGAACAAACGCAATCTTCTACTACAATTAAACAGCCGAATACAGATGCGTTAGAACCTTTGCCCGATGAACAGAACTTCATGGAACCTAGCTCGACACCATCGACGCCGACTGCGCAACATATCACGCCATACACAACATACGTTGGACTTGAGAAAGAACAACCGTCGATCTCGTCTACGACTGGCAGACATGAGAAGGAGAATTTCTCTCATGAAGATGCTCTGAACGTTCTACAGAACGATCAAAAGAAAAAAGAAATTGACTCAAGCAACGCTTTGTCAAGACCTACGCACACTCATGTTAACCATAATAGTAGTCCAACTATACTCGTTCCTACCAAGTCTACCAACAATAATGCAGCAAAAACTCAAGATAGAACAGACCAAATTGTCAATTCTAAGACATCGACTACACTCCAAAGCAGCAAAAATATACCTGTAATTATCATCGAACCTGATGACGAAACAATTGAACAAAACAATTTAAATGAGGTTAGTGCAAGAAATTTTCAACTTTTATTCCATAAGTGAAACAACGATATTCCTAGATACTTTCTTCGATTGAAAGAATACAACATTTGAAAGTCAGAATCGATTTTCATGCTAATAGGAAAAAAAAACATTTGTTTTCTTCTCATTGAATTCTAATCTTGCTTGTCATCGATGCAAAAAAACACAGTCAGACGAAGCAGACAGTGTCATTGACCATTGTTCGTTACCCTATTCAATCAATTTTTATCGCATTTTATAATATAATTAACATCCATATATAGCTGTATAGAATCCTTAGAGAAAGCATATGAATGTTTGAAATAACCTTGGCTCATATCCGAAATCAAATCCAAGGATATATATCAATGTGTTTCTTCTTATCTCCGTTTTCTTCTGAGGAATGTCAATATATCATTGTACCGCAAAACAAGATGTTTTTTCATTCGATCAATTTTCAAGAAAATCTATTCGACCTTGAATATTGATGTGAGAATAGAACAACACGATACGATTTCATTTTCGTATCACGTTTAAGCCTTTATTGACTAGTAAATAGGCAAACATATTCCCTTCGCTCTCTCTCTCTCTCTCTCTCTCTCCTTCGTTTTTACATGATAACAAATATGTATGAGAAAAAAAAACCAAACGAACTTATGATCATCAGTGTCGTAAACATTTTCTAAAGGAGAGAGAGACTGATCGAGCAAATCATCCTGCACCAACAAGATGATTATCACATCAATTAGTTGAAGAAAAATCAATGAAGTCGTTTCTCGATAAAATCTACTCGAATATCATTCGCGTTGACAGTTAAAAGGATTTCTTAATAAAGTTAAAAAGGACATCCTTAATTCTGTTCGATCCCGAGTGCAACTTTGTTCTTCTCAAAAGCGAATGCCTTGAAAAAATAAATATCAAAACACGAAACTTTTTCACTTTTGAATACATTTAGCAGAAAGAAAAACAACACGCACCAATCATATCTATATTATTCAAACCATAATCGATTTGCACGTTGATCACGTCTCGAAATTGTCAGTACTTTTATTGTTCGTCTACACAGCTGGTTCTCTCTCATAGAACATATGCTTGATATAGACCATATAGCATTTTCAATTTTGATTTTAATGGGAAGCGAATAACTTCGTGATTATTGCGTATTGAAAAACTAAATCGAAAAGAAAATAAGGTTTTAATTAATTTTCCGGCAGGAAAAAAGGGAAAATTGATTTTGTAATCTACTGAAACTGGACGTAAATTATCGATTACACACCTGTCTCAATTTCTTTTAGAAAGCCAATTCAAAGGGTATATCTGATAGCACAAAATTACCTTTATCCACAATCAATTCCGATATGAATAACAAAAACGGTGATGGATCTTCACAGTCAATAGGAACTAGCTCACATCATTCAACTGCTACATCAAAGGATGTATCCATTGGCGACATTCTATCGAAGGAGGGAAAGTATGCATCAGTCAGCTTTCCTGACGAACCACGTCGTCATACAATCTCCCATGTTGCACCTTCCACTGCGGATAATGCATTCAAAAGACAAATGAAAGGTGATCTTAGTACACAAATCGCATCCAATACTAGTGCAAAATCAAGCATAACACATCTCAATCCGGATGCACCTGATTTCAAACCAGCGGATTCGATATCATCCTATCATTCTGAATTAGCACCTGCGCATACACAACGACGTGCAACACATGGAGAATTGCATCACGACCGTCTCGCTCGTCCACGTAATCATTCTGATACACACAATCGAGAAAGTTTAACAAATATACAACCGCTATTATCCATTGTACCACAATACGTTCCATACCATCGCAAATCATGGAGTACACCATCGACAGATTCGCGACGATCATCACAAACATATCCACCTTTGATGCCTCAACCGTTACTATCTGATGAAGAAAACATTCTACAAAAACAAGTGGCAAAACGACCTCGTGCTCAGTCAGGTCGAGGTCCAATGCTATCATTAACTCCACCAACAGTTACTCGACAACGATCGCACTCTGGCCCTGAACCATCAATTCAAGTGCCACCATCACACCTTAGCGGCATTCATTCGTTAACAAGGATTATGGTTGATATCTTACGGTTGATTACACCAATATCGGAACAACAACAGAATACTGAGATGATTTCATCGGCAAATAATGCTTTTAATTCTTCATTACAACCATCCAACTCGAAAAGCAGCAATGGAAACATTTCTCTCGATGAAGATAAGTGTACAACACCTTCGTCGTTATTATTATTATCGAACGATAAACCCACAGGTAGCAGTGTTTTTTATTGACTAAAATACTTTCACTTCATTTGCATATATACTTGAAATCATAAGTAGCGAAAGAATACCAATAAGTGAAAAAGCAACACATAGGGACAGAAAAGAAAACCTTGTTTTGATTAAGATACGCGAGCTCGAAATGCAGTGTAGCCTGCTGTGTATTCGTTTTTCTTCAATAATAATGATTAATGATGATATCTAAGGGAAAACGAAACCACCGCACGCTAGTATACTAACAAAATATATACAAAAACGCAATTCGATTATCTTTATAGACACATTGTGAATATGTAAACGACATTTGCTTTTTTTGTTAAAATATTCTTTCTCATTAGAATCAGACAGACATCGAACATAAAAATGCTACAAGTACAACATTTATTGAGTGCATACAATCATTTTGAAATTAGTTATATTCGGACAACGAATCAAGATCCAATTTCATCTGATAACGTGGGCAAATATGTACTCTTATGAATCGAATAGAAATATCTTCTCGTCAAAGAGTCGGATTTCCTCAAAAAGTTTAAAGTGTCTTAATGAGCATATTCAGATTAAAGATGAAGACAATGAAGAAAGTTAATTTAGATTTTATACGTATATATGCATACACACATATATATGAATGTATACGCAACGAGAGATTGCTGTTGACAGATAGGATCTCGTCGAATTATTTTACATAACAGCGTATTTTGTCAATGAGAAATAAATATTGATGAGAGATCGCGTCGTTACTTGATTGTATCATCAATCAAACGTATATTTACTTCATGACGATATTCTCTCTCTCTCTGTTTTCCTGTAAGATGACAAAACAAAATAGTCCGACAACAATAAACAATGCACTGGACGACCGTGCTTTGTTTAGGACAGATTCACATTTGCTATAATTATAATTTCGAACATTGTCTTCGATAACGCAAATGCGCTTTAGAAAATGAAAACGTGAGAGTCTACACCAGTGAAACGCAATGAAGCGTACAGGCAAACATTACTCATCTAACCGCCACCACCCTCACTAGTGTTTGTACAACAAACTGTCATATGCAATTTTAGCTAACGAATTTTAACCTTTTAATAGTGTCGTTTTTCTTTTGTTTGATAGATAGTTATATAACTTATACATATATCATAGTTATTAACAATCTATAAAAATGATAGATATCTAACGTTTTCGTTTTTCTTTATAATAAAGTGACTATATGTTGATAGGAATCATTAAATATATGCATATATATGGAGACCAGGCAACTCAATTTCGTTCATATAACTAGTCAAACCTCCTATCAACGATCGAATGAATCGAGCGATAAAAATCGGTTTCGCCTTTTTTTTTTTTTCTTTGCCACAATTAAAGATGAATGTTAAAAAGTTCAATAAAAGAAAATTGATTGAAAATTTTCAATTGATTCTATTATTTAGATGTCGTGAACGAAGATGAAAACTCGTCAACAAATTTCAATATTAATGAAGCAGAACCAAATTTATCGTTGATTTCAATCGAAAGAAATGAAAACAATCGTCCATCGACGTTTGATGCACCGTCTTATGAAAATATTGCACATGACGAAAGAATAAACGCAATCAACGAATCTGCCCTAGGTACGCCTGATGCTCGAGCAGCTAATTGACTTCACACTAACGTCTGTGTCACACATTCCCTTGTTACTAACTCTTAGATCAAGTAAACTGATTAGAACTAATAAAGGACTTTGTTTTCAGTTCCATGTTTTAACAGTCTGTGAATTGAAATATACAAGCNTTGACGACTCAATGGCGAACCGTGTCTCGGCATCACATAGTAGAAATAATCCTAATCAAAATACTTCATCGTCAAATAATCGCTCAAGTCGTTCGACACTTACTACACATACGTATGCATCCACTAATACATATAATACCGAACCAACGTACACAACAACACGTATAACAGGTGATCCTCGAACTCTTCATTCATATTATCTCACCTCATCGAATTATCGACCACCATCGACGAGTCCAGTCAATTCCTTGACTCGTCGCCATCATCATCATGAATATGAACCTTCATATCCGTCTATTTCCCGTTATCGTACACCCTCATCTTCATCACCCTACCGCAAAACGCATTACTTAGATGATTCTGATGAAGAAATAATCAATGAAGAAATACTTGAAATCACTGATCTCAATCATTACCCAACATTAATCGAACGTTGGGGTGATGACACGAAAACTGTTGTTCGACAAGAAGGGGAATTGAAAATCGAAGATTTTGTTGAATTTGAAGAAACTGAACCGACTGTTGTCGAAGAAATACTCTACGAACTTGTTTATTCTGGTGATAACTTGAAAACCTGTCGTCAACTCCATCGTTCTCGTTCCGAATCGCGAAACTTTCGCAAAATTAAAAAGCGCCGCACCAAACGAAAAGTTCACCCGAATGACGATTCATCTTACATAACTTCACAAGCAACATCGAGAGATACAAGCGGTACACGTTCACCATATTACAATGATAGTCAATACAGTCCTGATCGTTCATCCACACCCACCCAATCTGTTTTGTCAACATCCTGGCAATCAACAGGATTTACATCGACAGACAGATCAAATGAACTACCTCTCCGCAGTCAATCTCATGAAGGCAATTATGTTAATAAAGTCCCAGTGAATGAATATCAAACATATCCACGCACAACAATCACGCAGAACAATATACAATATGAAACATTCGAAACAGACAATAACGATAAACAAAAGATCCACCTGGTTGATGAAATGCGATATATATCAAATCAAATTGATACGTTAATTACAGCTGATGATGATGATGGTTTAATTGAAAATGACAAATACACACCTATCATTAATGAAAAGCGAGGAATCACTCAAATAACACTTGCACCGACAACTGCCGATAGAACTGATGACCGTGTACAACTTGATCTACATTCAATCGATACAAATGAACTTCTACCGTCAAAAGGAAACGATCAATTTAGAACAACTTTTCCACCAACAGACGACAAAGAACAATCAAGGATAAATATTATCGAGCAAACATCTCTACCGAAAGAAATCAGTCGTAAGTAATTATTCTTTCTTTCTTCCAAATTCTTTTATCTGTTATTCGTAAACTTCCCATAAGATAAACATACATTAAGTATCTCTTCAAAGTCCGAAGCCAATTATGAAAACATTGAAATTAATCATTTTAACATTTGTCGAGAGCAGGAAGGTTTCGCTATTTAAATGTTTGAGAAGATATTCAAATTCTAACAAGCTAAAAATTTCATCGAAGCAAAAAAGAACTTTTCTTTCTTGCCCGTTTTTTCACTTTGATTTTATGTACATATGATTTGTTAATAAGAATAATAATAACCTATCATTTCTTAATTGTCTTTTTCAAGGTCAACAAATTTATTCAACTGGTAATGAAAAACAAATCAATGACACAATTTCAACAAAATATGATGAATCGGAAAAGGAGGATGAGGACCAATCAAGTACAACTGGACCGACCGTACAAGAAAATGAAAAAGATGGTCAAAGAACGGGAAAAGATACTGATGAGGATGCTTCTTTTTCCGAAGGTGAACAATTCTCATTGAACTCTGCCAAGTCAGATACACATCAACAGGCACGACATGCGATAACAGATCAATTTCATGCATCACCTCTAACTTCATCAGCAATAATTAAAGATGAAAACAAAACCATTGATGAAACAAAACAGTACCTCATCGATGAACTCAATGACATCGAATCTCAATTGAAATCCCTTGAATCTGAAGAAGAACAACTACGAAACATTCTCGATCGAAAGGTAGCTTAGTCCCCCCTCTCTCTCTCTCTCGCTATGTGACTAATTGCTCAATTTCTTTTTCTAGGACACGGAAGAACTGTTTCCTAGCGATGATCAGTCGGAATCTGTTGAAACTTTTTCATCGAATGTACCTGAAAAGACCGTTTTGTCAGTGACAATCGATGATGATGACAGCAATGAATCAATTCAAGAGAGTGAAGAAGATCTTCGACCATTTTTGAACTCTTTAACAGCTCATCTAATGCCAGAATTACCAAGAATATTCGAAGACGAAACCGAAGATGAACTCTCGTTCACATCGGAATCCAAATCATTCGAAGAGCCAACTTCTCAAGAAGATCATGCCACTACTTCAGAAGTACAACAAACCAAAGAGAAGTCTCATCAGCATATTTCATCAGAACAAATTGAAACAAAGTAAATAGAGTTGCTAGTCTTTGCTCTTTGTTCTTTTTTCAATTACATCACTTGAATTTTAACTTCGCTTTTGTTTGACTTAGAACTCAAGATGATCTATCGAAAGATCAAACAATTTCTAATAGAGATGAAGCCAAACAAGAACAGAAAGAACATGACGTAGTTTCGGATATTAAAGAAGATCTCTTGGATCAACATGTACCAACAACGAAAGAAACACCATATTCGATTGATTCTTCAGTTGATATTGCTCAACAAATCCTAACAACTGATAAAATATCTCAAGATCAAAACGAACAAGAAACAATTTCTTTAGCCTCTTCCACTCCATTGCAATCAAGACAAATAACATCTGAAGAGACACATGAGGTGACAGACGAACAATCAAGCAATGTTGATTCTCTTACTGATATTGTTCGGCAAGCAAACACTCAACCTTCGAACGAAGAGAAAGATAAATTACCATCTGTCGATGCTGGTGCTGACCGTACGCAACCTGTTAGCACATCTGAGGAGACACAGCAGGAATTAGGTTCCAGTATCTCATCTATTGCTAATGAAACTGGTGAAAGAAGAACATCTATCGATCGTCAAGAACGATCACTTAAACTGCAATCATCAAAAGTATCTGATGAACAATTACCATCAGATTCTCTCATCGATATTGTTCGTCAGATTCGTACAATACCCCAAATCACTCGTCTTCCATTTACCGATACGAAATTAGCAACGACTGATCTTACTGAATACGAAATTGAAAAACCGTCCGTTGATTATCATATCGATATTATAGAAACAAACGAAAGCATTCCACATGAACCGGTGACAATAACTGAAGAACGTCTATTATCTACAGCAGATAAACAAGCTTCTGTCACAGAGACTCTATCTGAATCAACTTCTCAAGATACGGTGCAAGAAACTCAAACTGAACGTCTTTCATTTGAATCTGAACCTACCAAAGGTGAAGAACATTCTACGCCACCGTTGGCTACGCAAATCAATTTAAGCGATTCAATAACAGAAACTCCTGTGTTTACAGAAAAACAACCATTGAATGAATCATTTGATAAAAGTGTTGATGAAAACATTGAGTAAGTTATTTTTCGTCTTTTTTCTACGGTAGAATTATTAATTATTGTTTAAATAGCAAACAACAAGTATTGCCCGGTCAACAATCTACGCACAGTTCTGATCTTTCAATAACAGAAAAACATGTTACTGATGAATTCGTCACAGACGCTATTCCAATTAGTACACAGTTCGTGGAACAAACAACACATGACATTCGTCGATCATCGGTTCAAAAACAAAACAAAGAGGATGTAGCTGAACAATTGTCAGCTAATGCTATTACTGGAGCCATTGAAGATATTCATACTACTCCATCGCCGGTTCCACGATCAGAAGATAAAATCAGGCCCGATTTGTCCACGTCAACGACCGTACTAGAAGAAAAACCATTAGAAAAGCCCAGTGAAGTTGAAGTAATTGCAGATAATGAAAGCCAATCAAAAACACAAATAACATCTGATTTACAAACGCCAGCAATAGAAGATATTGACACGGAAAAAGTACAAATTATCGAGTCAACAACTTCCCCATCGATTACTGACGTTCAACCTAAACATGAAGAGACTGTCGCTGACCAATTATCATCAGAAGCTTTGGCTGATGTTGTTCGTCAAATTCATGCAACATCACTTGCTACTCAACGTACGGTGACGCAAACCAGTGAGACAACACACGAGGATTACGTACCATCTGCCGATTTAACTGTACCAACGAATGAAAAAGAACTTACATTGACTACATCCGAAATCGCACAGAATGACATTGAGTCTGCTGAAAAACCATTGTATCATGACAAAGGAAGCGAAAATGAAGCTGATCGTCTCTCATCTAATGCCTTAGTTGACGTAGAATGTGAAATTCTCGCTACATCTCCAGCATCCGAACAACGAGTAATCGAAGATCAACGTTTATCAACGGAAGCATTGACAACAGTTGTTCATGAACTTCTTAGTATGCCAACAATCAGCCAACGTTCTTCAATCGAACACAAAGTCGAAAAGATATTTTCTCAAGACGAATCAACTAAGTCAAATATCCCGTCGAAAGACACTCTTGAACTCCAATCCACTCCAGAACAACAGACTATATCAAATAAAGATACGTCTCCCACTGGTCAACATGAGCTCGAACAAAATTTGACGGATGTATCCAAAGATGTTGATATTAGTGCAACATCGCCATCTTATCAAACACCGACACAAGAAACAAGGTAAGATAATCTACACATTATGAGGGCATGTTAATAAGTCCAATTTTCGCCTATATCTTCAGACGCAAACAAGTGACCGAAGAAGTCATAACAGATACAACCGCTCATGTAATTGAAACTAGCAAAGACATTAGTGAACAAGAATCCGCTCCAGAAATTATTGCTGAAAATCTATCGACGAAAGCACTAACTGAAGTTGTTCGTGAGATGCTCACTAAACCATCAGATGTTCGTGTACCAGAAGCGAAAGGACAATCCCAGATTAACACAGAGCAAGCACCGTCAAGTGAAGACCAGCAACAACAACAACAATCAGAAAAAGTATCTGATGAAGTTGAACGATTAACATCCGCAGCTCTAATTGGTGCTGTTGAAGAAATACGTTCAACCATACAAGACGAAACACACGAGTCTGATACAACAACTGAAGCGGGTCGTGTTCTTGCTGATGAACAAACCGAACAGAAAGGAGCTGATCACCTACCTACACAGGCATTAACTGATGTCGTACAAGGAATACTTGCCACACCAGCCTCTGCTAATGTGCCATCAGAAGTTGAAAAAGTACGATCAAGTGATCAATTGACAGAAGCTGCAGCAGAAAATGTAACAACGGATGTGCTAACTGAAGTTGTGCGTGAAATGCTGGTCAGTCCACTTTCTGTCCGTACATCATCTATTGCAAAAGAAACAACCATCGATGAAGAGAAACCTAGTGAAGAAGTAATGAATAAATCTCCAACAGCAACGACATCAGCTGTACCAATAGAACCAGAAGTAACTGTTTTCGAAGAAATAAAACAATTGCCAGAGACTGCTGAGGAAATTCGTTCCAGCAAAGATGAGCAAACACAAAAGCCTGATACGATCACAACTATCACTGAAACAACAACTACAACTACTACTGAAGATAGTCGTCCACTTTCTGATGAGAAGATCGACCATCGACCTATACAGATATTGGCCGCGACTGTGAAAGAAACACATGTCACACCTGCCTCTATTGACGTACCATCACAAGAAACTATAGTAGAGAAGAAAGCTCAATTTAGCGAAGACGTCGAAATGTCATCGTCACAGACAGTCACTTCCATTGCAGAAGAAGAAAAATCGCCATCAGATGATCACCTGACAGAAACTGCAGCAGGAAATGTAGCAACCGATGCGTTAACAGAAGTTGTCCATGAAATGCTTGCTAGCTTACCTTCTCCTCGTTCAGCGTCAGATGTTCCTGTATCAGAAGTGGCTACCGTTATCGAAGAAGTAAAACAACCCTTCACCGAACCATCACAGACAACTATTGAACTTGTCACGTCAAGTGAAATTTCATCAGAAGCACCGATCAATATTATTGAAGAGAATCGCTCATTTCCAGACGTTACCATCAATCAAATCGAACCTGATCGTTCAGCTGGAGAAGCGCTAACCGCATCGGTTGAAAAGGAACTCACTACGCCGACAGTTGTTGACTTACCATCACAAGAGACTACAGCAGATAGGAAAATTGAAGCTGGCGAAGTAGTCGAGACACCTTCATCAAGTGATCAGTCGATGGAAATAGCAGCAGAAAATGTGTCAACAAAAGTACTAACTGAAGTTGTTCATGAAATTCTGGAAAGTTCACCATCTAGTTCTTTGACATCTGCTGCAAGAGAGACATTCACTGAAGATCAGAAACCAGTTGAAGAATCGGCATCGAGTGAAGGTCTTACCGAAATCGTTCGTGAGGTACTCACGAAACCATCGGATATTCGTACACCAAAGGAGACTATTGTCAACGAAGAAGCGGAACGATTAACATCAGAAGCGTTGACGGACGCTGTTGAAGAAGTTCGCTCGAGCACAGAAGTACCGACACAAAAATCTGATACAATCACGGTTATTACTGAAACAGCGACACCATCCGAAGAGACCCGTCTATCTACCAACGAAAGAATTAATGAACAAGAGACGGATCGTTCAACTGGCCAAATACAAACTGACGCGATCCAAGAGGCTGTTGCAATACCGAAAACTACAGATTTTCCATCAGAAGATACTGTAGTCCAGACAGAAAGTGTAGTCGCCGCCGAAGAAAAACCGCCATCGGCACAGGCAATCATAGATACCGCGGAAGATCATCAGTTATTGTCAAATGATCAAACAAAAGAGCTTGAACCTGAAATCTTACCATCAGAAGCATTAACAGAAGTAGTACATCAAATGCTTGCTACACCACTTTCAATACCCCTATTATCCACAGCAGTCGAACATCAAACATCAGTTGAAGAGATATTAGAGAAAGCCACTAACGAAATCGTAACCTCTCCGGCTATTGTGAGGACACCAGAGACTTCTACATTAGCGTCGATCGCTTCACCAGAAGAATTGACAACTGCTAAGGAAATAAAACACGATGAAACCATATCTGATGTTGAAAAAACTGAAGAAGTTGAAGCGGAACGACTATTATCGACAGCTTTATCTGAAGCTATTGAAGAAATACGTCTAGCCACCGAAGAATCAAAAATAAAACCCGAAACGATCACAATTACCACTGAAACAACGGCAACTACTACGACTGAAGAGAGTGGCCCGCTTGCCGGTGAGCAAGTCGTACAGAACGAAAAGGATCATTCATCTACACAAGCATTAACCAACGTCGTAGAAGAAATACTTGCCACATCATCTTCTGCAGAAGTAGTCACTTCTGCTACAGCAGGTGAAAAATCAGTTGATGAAATACTAGAAAAGCGTACGGAAGAAACGGCATCCACAGAAGCTCTTACCAGTATAGTTCGTGATGCGCTCACGAAGCCGGTGAGCGCTTCTCTACAGCCATCCTTTGTACCCGCAGAACAAGAAACAACAATCATCGAAGAAGTTAAATTATCAGCTATCGAACCATCTCACTCCACCGTTGAACGAACAACGTCGAGCGAAGAACAACAAGAACGACAACCTGAAACAGCAGTAATAACAGGAAAGACATTTGATGAATACAAAGCTCAAGAAGTCGAAGCCGAACGGCTATCATCAGAGGCATTAACTGATGTTGTCAAAGAAATTCGTTCTATCGCTGAACAAAAACCTCGAGCACCTGTCGCCATCGGGAAAACAACTACAACAACATCCGCAAAGAGTGTTCCACTGCCATCTGAGACAATCAGCCAGAAAGCTGATCGATTGACCACAGACGCAATAAGCGATGCTGTGCAAGAGGTTGCTGATCTTTCATCAGCAGATTCCACAACAGAGAAAGCAACGGTAGTTATTGAAGAAATGGAAATAAGGTCACCTCAAACGATCACTTCCAGTACAGAAGACCAACAACCATTATCAGATAATCTTGTAAAAGAAGTCGAACATGAAGCTCCGTCAACAACAGTTCTCACTGAGGTTCTTCGTGAAATACTTGCCAGTCCACCTTCGACGTCTAAGCCATCGATTACTCTAGAGCCAACTGTTCAAGATGAAAAACCAGCAGAAGAAGTACCCAAAAAACATACAGAAACAACAACATCTACTGATACTCTCACAGATTTAGTCCATGATGCACTCCAAAACACGTCAGATTCTCTTCTTTCAGCATCGACTACTACAACAGAACAGCAGATTATTGTCACCGAAGAGAGAAGACAGTCATCCACCGAACCATCACAGACAACTATTGAACTTGTCACGTCAAGTGAAATTCCATCACAACCACCGATCGATGTTGTTGAACAGAATCGCTCATTTTCAGACGATACCATCAATCAAATCGAACCTGATCGTTCAGCTGGAGAAGCGCTAACCGAATCTGTTGAAAAGGAACTCACTACGCCGACAGTTGTTGACTTACCATCACAAGAGACTACAGCAGATAGGAAAATTGAAGCTGATCGTGAAATTCTGGAAAGTTCACCATCTAGTTCTTTGACATCTGCTGCAAGAGAGGCATTAACTGAAGATCAGAAACCAGTTGAAGAATCGGCATCCAGTGAAGGTCTTACCGAAATCGTTCGTGAGGTACTCACGAAACCATCGGATATTCGTACACCAAAGGAGACTATTGTCAACGAAGAAGCAGAACGATTAACATCAGAAGCGTTGACGGATGCCGTTGAAGAAATTCGCTCGAGCACAGAAGTACCGACACAAAAATCCGATAGAACAACTGAAGAGAGCCATGTTCTTGCTGATGATCAACGTACACAAGCACTAACTAGTGTCGTCCAAGAAATACTTGCCACACCGCCGTCTGTCGCTCTGTCATCAGAAGATTCCACAACAGACAAGAGAAATGAAGTTACAGAAGCATCATTTGCAGAAGCAGCCGCTGGTACTACAGAAGATGAAAAAGTACCATCAAATGATCAGATGGTAAGAAGCGCAGCAGAAAATGTTGTAACAGAAGCACTAGCTGAAGTCATTCGGGAGATGCGTGCTAGTTCACCTTCTACTCTTGCAACATCTGTTCTAAAAGAGACAACCAGTGAAAATCAAGAGCCCATCGAAGAAATAAGAGAGAAGACTACAACCATTTCTGCACCAATATCAGCTACTTCAACAAAAGACGAAACAAGTGTGACAGAAGAAGAGAAACTACCATTACATACAACTGTTGAAGAGATTAGATCAAATGAAGAAGTACAAGAACACTCTGAAAAGGTATCTGACGAACTCAAAACACGAGAAGCTGAACGTTTATCGTCGAAAGCATTGACCAGTGCTGTTGAAGAGATTCGTTCAACCACAGAAGAAGCAACAACATCAATCACCGAAGAGAGTCGTTTATTTGCAGATGATATAATGAAAGAAAAGGAAGCTGACCGTTTGATTGCAGAAGCAATAACTGGTGCCGCTCAAGAGATTCTGGCTGCTTCGCCGTCGAATGATTTTCCATCGACTGATGCTAGGACAGGAGCTGAAACGTCATCGCCAGGAACAGCCGCTACCACCAAAGATGATGAACAAGCACCATCACGTGATCAGTTCAATGAAATTCAAGCGGAGAATCTATCATGGGAAGCGCTAACAGGTGTAGTCAGTGAAATACTCGCCACATCACCTGTCGCTGTTGCTCAAAAGATCGATTCTACCAGTCAGAAAACAACTGCAATAGATGACAACAAAGTAGAAAAGGAGCCACCTGTAGAAACGTCAACGTCAACATCAGAACAAAAACTTGATACACAAACGGATAAGGTTGAATCTTTAGAGAAACATTCATCTACTGAAGAAACATTGCAGAAAGATAAACCTACCGAAATCGAAGCTGTTCATGAATATCAGGCTACAACACAGAATGATTCTCTTCCACTCATTCCTGAAGCGACAGTGGACACTAGTGAAACCGAGCATTCAAAGGAACTGCCAACAACTGAGACTCCGATACAAATTCGTCAGCAGAGTAAGGCGATGACACCACCGACAGTTATCATTACAAGCGACGATGACGTGGAAATCTCAGACGCCATCGATGAAATATCTCAACCGACGGAGTTATCGTCTATTACCGAAATTAGCGAAGAAACAACACCAGACGATGTAACAAAACAAGAAGAATTGACAGAACAATTAAGTTCACCAGCACCAACTGAAGTTAAAGGTGAAATACCTGCAACTCCACCTTCTGTACATCCTCCAGCTGATGATGGTCAGCAAGTCGTCGAACAATTGCCATCAACTGTATTAGATGAATCTCATAAAGAAGAAACTCTGCCAACAGATGCTCTTACTGAAACTGTACGTCAGATTTTATCAACACCTATATCCACTATCGAGTCTCCGACGATAGCATCTGGAGAAGTAACAAAAGTTGTAGTTTCGTCTGTACCAACAACAGACACTGTAGTACCAACTGAAGTGACATTTATTCCTGAGTTGAAACTGGAAAAAACTCCAGAACAAGCTGAGACAGACAACATAACAACTGATTCCTTAGTTGAAACAGTTCGTTTGGTCTTAGCCACACCACTGACAATACATCTTCCATCAACGGATGTCAAATCAGAATCTACTCTAGAACTTGTCGCTACTCCTGTGAAAGATCAAGAAGAAAAACCATCAGTTGATTCTCTGGTGGAGGTTACGCGTCAAGCTATTAATGTACCCCAACTCACTGAACTGTCTGAAGTATCGAAGCAGCCTGACATTTCATCTGCTTCTGAGAACGAATCATCACCTTCATCAGCTGATGCTGCACGTCATTTGCCAGAACAAAGTGAACCAGCGGTTGTACCGAAAGTCATTTCGGATGAAACATCGGATAAAACTGATGTAACTGACTCGTACGCCGAGTATTATCCAACGTCGAGCTTAACGAATATTGTCAATGCGATACTAAATCTTCCAAACCAAACATCTTCCGAATCATCTGTTCCACACGAAGAAAACCAAATCATTGCCAGTTCGAAACCTGATTTCGACGAACAATTCAATACTACTGAACTTACTAATATCAACGCTATGACAACCAAAATCATCAATAGTCCAGCACACACACCAGAACAATCAGATACAACTGAAGATGTATCCTCACAACGCGCCAGTGCCGTTCAATCGACATTGATTGACGAGATTCAAGATAATGCGACAGATTCTGAAAAACTATCAACATTCTTCGTTCCGCAAGAATCTACTATCTCAGAAAAAGACTTTCGAGAACTATACGAACAACGTCATTTTATTACAACTGTTGACGAAGATCTATCTGCTCAATTTACTTCGATCGATCAACCGGAGCCTGCTCAAGTAGCTATCTTCACCGACGAAAAGAAACCTATTCCAACTTCAACATTAGCCTACTATGAAATACAAGAACAACGTCATACATTGATGTCTCCTCAGAATTCAGTCGTCAATGAAACCAATGAAACAACGGCTCCAATGTTAACAACATGGACCACTGTTCAACCACGAATCGAATACGAAGAAACAAAAACCAACGATAAAAAGCCAAACATCAATCTGGACGATCAAGCTTACGAACTTGCTCGACGTTTTGATTTAGAATCACCTGCCATTATATCACACTTGCCGATCCGCGAGTATAGACAGGTATTCGGCATACCTGATGATATTGTAAACACGATTGATGATATGACTCACCATGTTGATCAAGTACTTTCAATGGAATCAAAAAATCAAGAACAAAAACAAGAACGACAACCAATTGTAACCGATCAAATCAAGAGCCTCCCATCGGAATCGAGTGAAGATTCTGAATTATCCATTGTCGATACACAGGTGTCTGAAAATATCAAAATAATTACTGAAGCAATACATGCACTTGAATCAGAAATAATAGAACAAGAAAACACGGCAAGAAAACATGAACAACAACAGCAAGAACCAAGTTCAGTATCCAGCACTGTTGAGGGTTTGATCAATGAATTAGAGGATCTCGAACCGAGCATTCAGTCAGCAGCTCTTATCAATGACAATCGGGAAACACTTGAACATGAATCTACCGTTTTTCCATCGAAAGATGAATTAGGTGATGAAGATCTACTCCCAAGAACAGCTAAACAAGAACCAGCTAATGACAAATCACTTACAGTCGAATCAACTTCTCAATATTCTGATCTACTCGATCAAATCGGTGATTTAGAAAAATCGTTACTCGATTTACAACCATCTTCATCAACTGTTGCTGAACGAGAGGAGACAACAATCGAAACTGATGATAAGAAAGACGATGAACATCAGTTACATCAACGATATGATCTTTTAATTGATCATGTTAAGCGACTGGAAGATGCACTCATAAAAGATCGTGCTCATACAAGTACACATACTGATGAACAAACCGATGATGCTACTAGCATCGATAATCTAAGTCAAACAATGGAACAAATTCTCGCTACACCTATTCGAACAGTAACAGGTCCACATGAAGAACCAGTTGCTAGTTCAGATCTTGAAGATGTTCTTGAGCAAATACTAGCAACAACACATTATCCAACGTCGTATCCAAAATTAAGTCAGCCAACAGATACAACTGTACCAGTAGCTAAACAAAACGATGTGCCCAAGAGTGAACCTCTGGATGAAGATATCGTACCAATTGACACACGCAAAGACGAGGTTGCAGTATCTGAAATAGAAGAAACAGTGGCGAGTACAACAACACAACCGGCTACTGTTGATGAGAAAGAAACAGCTCTGGTCGTAACACCAGCGGAAGAAAATAGGTCAATTGAAACTGTCGACGAGAAACAAGCAGTTACATCCTTAGTACCCAATTTTTTTACTAGCAGCGATGTATATCACGCATATAAACAATCAATAAATGTGATTGTACCACAACAAGATGAATCAACTCTTTTGGAAAAAGCAACAACGATCGTCAATAACATTATCTCCAATGTCGCTAGTATATTACCAACTGAAGCTGAGCAACCGAGTATTTCCGCTGAGAGTCAAGCTACTTCAATGGTTACAGATGATGAAAATGGTGCTGAAGGAGAACTATCATCAGAAGGCTTGATCGAAATTATGAAAAATCTCTTACCCAACAGCCTTCGACCGTTTGAATCTGACCAGATCACCTCTGAAGAACCAAGTGCACCATATGAAGATGATCAAGATAGTCTGCCACCTTCAGTAATAGGGACGACAGTACAAAGCATTTCCGAAGGAGACAATCTGACAAGAATCAATCAGAGTACAGTAGAAGCATCGTTAAAAGAAGAACTATCAATTCCAGTCCCTGAGTATTTCACTAGCAATGATGTTTACCATGGTTACAAACAGCCACTAGTACGATCCATTGAAGAAAAACATACGGCATCTCTTACTGAAAGAGTGACATCAATGGTTGCCGAGATTTTGTCGAGCGCAGTTCATGTTTTACCTACATTGGAATCTTTGGAAGAGCCAATTATCTCAAATAGCAACGAACCGACAGTTTTACTAGCTACGATGGAAGAAGCTAGCAATCAAATCCTAAGTTTAGAACAAGATGCAACAGTAACACATGCTGCCGAACAGAAAGCGCCTATCGCAAGTTATGCACCTGGCTATTTCACCAGTAGTGATGTTTATCACGCATACAAACAGCCGACTGAAGCGATTGTGGCAGAGAAAGAAGCACCATCTAACAGCGTGTCTGAAGTATTGCCCACGGCAGCGCCTCATGAATCAGCTTCAACTATTACTGAAGAACATTTTACAACTTCGGGTTTGATGGAAATCATTAAGGATCTTTTACCAACGAAGTTCCAAGCAAATAAAACCGAACTCAATCATTCTGAAGATCTAAATTCATTAACAGAAGATGACGGAGACAGTATGTCATCGTCGATGACAGGAACGACCGTAAGAACTTTATCGGACGAGGATCTAACGAGAATGACTCAATCATCAATGGACACATCATCGAAAGACGAAACATTAACACCAGTACTCGATAGTCTTGGCGATAGCGATATTCGCCGACCAGCTGAACAACAATTCGAATCCAGAGTTGAAACGCCAGATTCTCTAGAGCTAAGCGATAGAAAAACACCGATTGATGTCAGTGTAACATCAAGTACACTGGACGAAATATCGACGTCTATGGATACTAGTCTGACAGAGCAACAGAGTGAGCAATCACGAGTCACTACAACTGAGTCAACAATTATGGAAGATCGAGAATTACCATCAACTTCAGATGATAGTGAAGCTGTTCTTTTGAAACCCACCGAAGAAAATATGAACGAACCAGCGTCAACAACAGGACTTTTAGAAATAATGACGAGTTTTCTACCTGTAGCGAAGTCAGAAACCTCTGAAGAACACCTAGTAGAAAGTAATGTACCATCAGTTAATCAAATATCAGCCGACATCGGAGAAACTGAAAGTGGTATTCTATCAAAACTCACATCTGCAGTTACTGATGCCATCACTACTGTTCAACATATTTTACCAGCATCACTTGTTCAAAATACTGACGCCCAAGAAGAAGCAGATAAACTCGAATCAACAGTAAGATAAAAACGTCATGTTCTGAACATATTTTACTCCTTTTCTTTCTTATAGGCACAAACATCAGAAACTGCTCCAAACGAACAACATAGTGTAGTTGATTACGTAATTGAAACGGCATCAAACATCAAAGAAGCACTAGCTCATATCATTCCTGAGGAAACACCGATAGAATCGCTTCAATCGTCAGCTGATCTAGATCAAAAAGTGATTCCAACAGAGAACGAGCAATCGACCGCTCAATACAGAAATGATACTCCGGTACAAGTAGAAGAAGATTCAGATCAACTTCAATCGTCTTCTGATATAACTTCCGTGTCAGAAGAAATTAAACCACATTATCCATACAAAGCAAGACAACCTCAAGCACTTCAAGTTCTCAGCGATGAATATCCATGGTATGCAAGTTACTATACCATCGCCGATGCAGATGCAAATATGGGTCACTTGTACAAACGTTTGAGTCGTACGCTCGAACAGCTCGAACAGCGACCTCCACCAACAACCGTTCAATTTGAACCCGAACCATATCAAATCTTACCAACACCAGAATATGATCGACAAGCATTGTTAGATACTGAAGACACACGGGAAAAAGTACATGAGCTCGCTCAAATGAGTAAGAAGATTTCTCCGTCGAGTACCATACATGAATCGGATGAAGATGACGAAGTTCAAGTTAAGCAGCGTCGTAAACAAAAGTCTGCCTCAGCCACGCAAGAAAAGACTTCGTCACCATCGACCACGCCTAAGAATAAATTGAATCTTAGCCCTGAAAACGAGCAAGCAGATGAATCGATACCTGCTGTCCAAACAATGAGTACCACCAGTAGCAAGAAGAAGAACAAGAAGTCGAAGAAAGACAAAAAAGATGCAGCAGCATCTGAATCTCTTGTTCTATCCAAACCTGATGTCGACGAATCAAAACCAGAGCCAACACTGTCTTCAACGAAAGTCGAACCAGCTGAGTCAGTAGAACCGAAACAAGCAACATCCTCTGTTGCAGCTGATTCAGTTCAAATCGAACAGCAACAGAAAATATCCGATGGACGAAGTGAAGAGCAACAAGCAGAGCCATTATCATTATCGGTTCACTTAGATGCTGAAGAACTTAAAATTCTCGATGACGACAAGAACGATTCGACGTCATCCGATGCTTCACAATGGTCAACGAGTTCATTTGTGATGGTCTCAGATGATCAAATAATCGATAGCCAATCATGTGAGAAACTGACCGATAGTCAAACAGCAGCGACAGTGTCTTCACCAATTTATGAATCAATTAGATCAGAAATAACAACTAGCAGTTTACCAACGCCGAAAAAGAAGAAAGTGAAGCAACAACAACAGCAACCATCGGAGAAAGATATTTCTCAGCAAACAAAAGTTTCGACATCGCCAGTAATTCTTGAAGCACCCAAAGTAACAGAATCCAAACCATCTACATCAGCACCCTCAAAAATAATGCCAATTGTTCGTACAAAGATCGTTACACTACCAAAAGAAGAAGGAGAAATCGACGATGACGACGAAGGATTCCAAGTTGTCTCTTATCGTAAACGCGTATCCTCAGTTACAGGACCGGAAAAAGGCTCAGGATCCTCATCGTCAGCACCAGCAACACCACCAGCGAAGAAACGTTTTAGTGCTGGCGCCGATGCTCGACCAAGCACAACGTCCAGTCGTCAAAGTGCATCTATACCGGTGCTGACATCGATCCTACCGAAACAGAAGAAAGATAAGAAGGATTTGACACCATCGTCATCTGTCGATACTGACAGTGTCTTTTCGCCAAGTATCGATACTCAGCGTTCTAAACAAGTCGAACAACAGAAGGAGAGCAGTGATACAACATCGCCAAAATCATTATTTTCTTCACTATTGACATCAACTAGTGGTCCTTCTGTTAGCACAGAAGACAAGTCTGAACAACGTCCAAAAGTGCAAGACACAAATTTACAAACTCAAATTACACCATTATCGGTATCGGCTATCGAAACATCTAAAGCTCAGACAAAACCGACTTCGCCAGCTCATGCGAAATCTGCTGCGAAAACAACATTACGTACCAAAGCATCAACTTCACCCGAAGAAGACTATGATGATGATGACGAAGGATTTCAAGTGGTTCGTCATCGTAAACGTTTGTTATCAACACCAAGATCAGCGAAAACATTACCACCTGTACCAACAGGTCAATCGTCATATCGACAAAATCTTGGTCGTACCATCGATCTCAAGCCAGTTGTTATTCGTGGACGATATGGATCAGGTTCGGGATCTGGCTCTCGTTCAGCTCCACGATCAAATACCAACGGCCAAACTACATCAGATAAACGGCAACAAAATAAATCGAAACGCGATCGACCCCAGTTGTTACCACTGAGCAGTCCGCGTCCAGTAGTCTCTAAAGAAACGCAATCTCAATCTGTATCTGCAATGGAACCTAAACGAACAGCTCAGTCGACTGTGTCACTATCTAATGAAGAGCATCAGCAAGCAAATGAAATGCCACTACAATCATTAATCACGGAACAAGTGTGGAAACCAATCGAACAGTCCCAATGGACAGCAACTTATACACAACAGCAACCAAAACCGATCGATAGTAACAGTGTTCTTCTTTCGACAAAGCCTACAACAAGCGATGAAAATCAATCGGAACAAACGGCTATTTCAACTAGTCCTTTGCTAAGCACAATTGTTTCAACTCAAGTTGAAAAATCAAGCGAACAAAAACCGAATGAGCAGAAAATTTCTAGCAAACCTGCTGCAGTGCAACAGTCTTCAGTGAAGGAAACTACTGAGACTTCCAAAGCAGTATTGGCTGATGATGAAGAAGATGAGGACGGCTTTCGAGTTGTACGCTATCGTAAACATCCAGCATCAGCAACCACGACGCCGACATTTCCAAGATCATTCACTCTAACCTCTGATCCAGAGAAAAGAGCACCTAAAATATCAAAAAAGCAACATTCTCTACCATCGACACCTGCATCTACACCGACAGTTATCAGATCCATGATATTTAAAAGAACACCACTGAAACCAAAGAAAAGTGGTGATCAATCTGGTAAATCAACAATTCGCCAATCCGGTGACATTCTGTCATCGTCTACTACCAACACCGCAGATCTCCTACCATTGATGCCAGAAAGTTATCCACGTCCAAAACCAATTGAACCAGTTTCTTCCCTTCGTTCGACACCAGTTGCGCCAACTGGCATCGCTACTACAAAAGAAACAAGTACCAAAGATAAAAAGGAACCTATGCGAAAACTACTAGATGATAGTGATGAAAAGGTGCAATCAACCACATCGCCAATAGTCACCAGTGCAGATACAAGTGATGAACAATCGAACAAAACGAAGAAAAAACACAAACGAACAAAGAAAGAAACGGCTGAAGCGGACTTGTCTACTCCGTCCGAAGAAGTTTCTCAGCAAATTGAGACTATTTCATCAGTGACAACTGCACCAGTAATTCATCAATCTCAAACGACACTAACGACGAGACCATTAATGGAAATCGAGCCAACCATCGAACAATCTAATCAAATCATTACACAAACAGATACACGACCGTTGACATCAATGGATTCCAGTACAAATGTCGACGATGAACAAGATAAAACTACGACAGCGAAAAAATCTACGAAAAGACGTAAGAAAAAAGGGCATGTTGCTGACAAGCAAGAGCAAGAAGAAAGCACAGTGCATTCTTCCACTACAAGTGTCACCGATAAAGAGAGTAGTAGTACAGAAGCAACAACGCCAGACAAACAGGATTCATTCGAACCATCCGTTGCTGATCGTGTAACATCTACTGATGACAAACAAGAACCAGTATCGACTAATGTTCCGAGTCCAATGGAAACATCACAAACCATTGAAACAACTGAACAACAAATAGCAACTGTTCCACCACCTTCAATATCGGATAAGATGTCAGATACTATCAACAGTGATCAATCCGAAATACAGAAAGAAGACGAACGCTTACCAGCTGAATCAGGTCTATCAGAGGCTGCGATCGAACAATTGCAACAAGCACCTATCTCATCTACCGAACAAACTACAGAACAACAGTTGACCACTGACGAAGAAACTACTATCGAGAAATCGACTACTCTGCCTACAAAGAATGATACAGAAACGGAAACAGAACAATCAACAAAATTAATTGAAAGTAGTGGAACTGGTGATGAAACATACTTAGATGCGTATCGTGATCAAACCGGTCGCCTTCGTCGAAAGAAGCCACGAAAGCATGTCCGCAGTAGTAGTAGTAAACAAGAAGACGTTCTTTCTACTCCTCAACTGCCGCCATCCGAAGAGTCTACACTTGACCCAAAAATTATCAGTGATCATTGGGCTGATGTCCTGGCAACGCCCATCTCGTCCGTTGATGATGAACTAAAGCTAACATCTGAATCGATCGAAGGCGATCAACAGTATGAGGACGAAGATTTGAGTAAAGCAAGTAGCAAACTAGACTCGTTCTTACCCGAATACATTCGTCAACAAATCAGATCAGGTTCGTCACCTCGGTCAGCGTCATTTATCGAACATCGCTCCAAATCATCCTCTGTAGAACCAAGAACAACGAGCACTATTCAATCAAGCATAACCGAACGCATTTTACAACAAGGATCATCTAATCAATCGACCAGTGCTGATACATCTGAAAACGAAGGTCAAAAGCAAATACATAGATCTTTCGATGACAAATCTTATTCAGTCGGTGAATCACAATTGATATCATCGCTGAATTTGACAGAAAGTAATACATCATTGAATTCATCATCTTCATCACCATCTGACTCGATTCGAAAGAAAAAACAACGACCGAAAATGTTGAAGAAAGATGTCGAAGCCAAGACACTACTAACGCATGAATTCGATGATAGTCCACTTAACATCACAGAAATTCGACAAGCTTTACCGGTGACACAGCTCGAAGATGATGAAAATAGACATCAATCATTTCTAACTTCAGTACGTGATCAATTCGATTCTGCTGTCTCAACAATTTCCAACACGTACAGTACTGCTCTATTCTTACCAAAAGAAACAGCAGCCGATGAAGAGCAAGGAGCCATCCTCAGCAACGAGCAAGTACCATCGATTTCAGATTCAAGCAATATTCCATCAAAGCCATCCTCTGAAACAACAATATTGACAGCAACAACAAAGAAATCTTCTACACGCTCACCACGAAAACGTTCCAAACGCGACAGTGGTCCTGACTATGAAAATTTAACTCTACAATCATCTATCGATTCCGATCATTCAGCATCAAGTGTGAAAGGTGTTTCAACGTCTAGTGACAAAGATCAACCAGATTTGATTCGAATCGAAAGTCAAAAACAACATTCACGACAACGCACATCATCCGGCAGACATATTTCCAATACGGAAGATGACAATGAACAGCAAGCTGTTCTAGCCGATGATGAAGAAGAGAAGCAGCCTGTCTATAGATCACGAAAATCATCGACAAGAACATCAGAAAACCGCACGGAATCTGAATCTTTACTATCCTCTACTCATGACATACCAGATGTTACGAGCACAGAAAATTTGGCAGTAGATGAACAACCGACTACAACAACAACGAATGAGCAACTACGTGTTGTACAAGGTTTCCACTCGTACACACCAAATAAATATCAATACAATCAGTATGAAGAAGGATCAGCCGTTCAGAATGAACAATTGAAACCTTCAACAGTTGAAACTGAAAGTGAAGATACCATTCTTTCACGTGGTTTCGGTCGTTGGCTACAGCAAAGTAATGAAATCAAAACAACAAGTCCGTCAACATCTGAAAAACAAGAGTCACCCATCCTGGGCAGTGGATTAACACGTGCTATGCAAAGTCTTATCATACAGCCAGTTGAAAGTGATCTCGATGACGATGAGGAAGAAGACGATTCATGGAATGGACCACGAGCAAAGAAACCAACATACACAACTGGTGTTCGAATCGAAAAACGCATTCACTCAGCAAGTGGTTACAATATCAATCATCCACGCTCAGCTACATTACCACCAGCATGGCTAATGTCTTCATCGAATGATAATACATATCAAGACGATCAATCAAAATTTGATCCGGACGAGGAAGACGATTCACTAGATGACACATCTGACAAGCCAGCAACATCGAAAACAATCGAAACACAATTCTCAACACAAGATGAACGAAAAGCACATTTGAATAATTTAGCTGATCTATCTTTTCAACCGGTCATAAACAGCCTGTCATCATCATCATCATCACCACTATCATCATCAGCAGCAGCTAAATGGAATGAACCATCAATACGTTCTGATGATACCAATCAACAACAAACTAGCTTCACCGATGATGATGTACAACGTTGTTTAGGTGAAGATTTCTATCGAGAATCTCTAGCTGTAAATACACTTCAGAATGAACGACGATTAATCAACGTTCTCGAAGATCTTGTTGTCAAACCAACCGAAGTGCTAGAAGATATCGATGACGAAGAAAACAACAGCGCAGATGACAACAATAACAGTAATACTCAACAAAATCGAAATAATAATAATAACAACAATCGTCCAACTCATTTCGATGAATGGGCACATTTTCTCGAACGTCAAACTAGCCCAAATATGTTTCTACCATCTGCATCAGCTTCGTCACAAGCCATGCAAGATCTTTCATCAACACAAGAGAGTTCCTATGCTCGCGTATTAGACGAGGATACACTTGTCTCAGATAAAGATCGAACAAGCATCATGGAACACGTTCAATACTCATTCGAAAGCGATCAACAACGCTACGGCGATTTCTCACCTATCAGCGAAATGTCCAGTGTACCACCACCACCAACTATTGATCATACAATATCGTCAACAGTCGAACGAGAACAAGAACTTTTATCACAACAAAAACCTTCGGAAACCTTTCTCCGATGGCGTAGTCAAGTAAGTCAACAACCTGACGTCCTTCATTCAAATTCATCAAATCTAACTTCAACGGATGCTACCAATGACGATGAAATATTTATCTCTCACTCAGACCATGGTCTTAGTCGGCGAGTGAGCCCTTCGACATAATAAACTAACCGATTTTTTTTTCTTTCAATTTTTTTTTACATTTGGTTTTCTCCCTGCACTCCCTTTTTCTTGATCTTCATCCACGATTTGCTTATTCTTTCTAATTGCGTTAACTGTTTCTTTTTCTACTTTGGCTTTCTTTCTCATGTCGCTCTTTAATCTAGTCGATCAACACATTGATTCTCTATTGAACAGACATTTTCATGCACAAAAGAAAAAAAAACAAAAACTTCTTCTTAGCCTGTCAAAATGCACGTGGCAAATTCCACCTACAGAAAAAAAAGACGGATAACATTGGACCTGTACATTCCGGTTTCTTCTCACGTGTCAATGCATTTTTATCTTGGATTTCACGAAGAACACGTCCCAGTATTCTTCATTGATTTGCTGTATTAATGGCAAATCTTACCACACTTCCTTATTATCATTATTCTTACTGTTTTCTACTATTGAAATCGGTGACAATTTATTCGATTTATTTTTTTACATATTTTCACAAAGCAATGCGAAGATTGATGTGAGCAATCGCTCTTCGTTCCAAAATGCAACCCAAGATCATCTACACAAAAAAAAGACAAGACAAATATACAAAAAAAAGAAGTTTTTCTATATTTGTTAGATTATTTACGTTGTTTTCGTTAGCATATACACAAATTCTATTCTTATATTTTATCTCGTTTCAATTTATCGATTGATCGTCTCAATTGTTCAATGACACGTTTTATCGAAAGAGAAGAAGAAGAAGAAGTTCAACCGAACAATCTTGAAAATAGGACTATTCTTTGCCTCTTGTAATTCTTTCTCCATTGTTTTTGTTTTCATTTCTCTTCATATTTACGTGTATTACATGTGAAATATTCTTTGTGTGCTTTGCATCTATCAGTTTTTCTTTTCTTCTGTGTCTGTTATTCACTCATTCGTTACACACAGTGTCACAAATACCTTTGTTTTGTTGAATGCGTTGATGTGTACTATTTGTTCATGTGGCTTTTTTTTCCTACAGATTCACTTTTAGTTGAATTGATTAGATAAAGAGAGAAAGAGAAAGTGAATTATATAATAAAATTTCGAAACATTTACAAAACTTGTCTTCTACATGACGAATGATTCACTACGGTTACTTCTGCATAGACAGACTGGATCGATTTTCATCCTCGACGAGCAATTACCGGATTCAGATGGATCGAATATCTCGTTCTGATCCTCTTATTTAGTACATTACATGGATGTTATCCTCGAGTTATATACTTGCAGCACATCTCCAGTCGTGATAACGTACGGTAGACGAATATTTCATGGTGGTTCAAGGTTTGAAATAAAAGAATGTGCTCTTTACATGAAATCATATGCAAATTGAATGTTGTGTGATAGAAAAAAGACAAGTCGAAAGCGAGTAACATATACGCGCACGCACTTGTTACTTTTCATAGATTTCACATCATTGTGAAAAGGTGAAAGAAGTTAATCAATGAGAAATTAATCACATCAACTTCCCGAATGGAATTTATTTACTGTGTTACATAAACAAATATTTATTATCATCAAAAGGTAATGCTCGCAATTCGCTTTTTATGTTTTATTTATGATTGATCGAAGAGAAAGAAAAGTCATCAAATTTGTCTATTAAATACTTGTTGATGTACTTGAGCGTATTTTTATTAGAAAAATCAATAGTGCCTCGTTTTTCTTCAATTATGTCTGTCTTGTTTGATGAGACATCTGGCTCTTTGTAAGGATGATGATGATGATGTATACTACGTTTGTATATGTCAACAACATCAACTTTGATTTAGCGAGGTCGATATGTCTGTAGCTTTTATTTAGAATGATAATAATGATGATGACGATGGTAACAACAAGCTAGTCGAGTAATCGACGTATCCGACATTCATAATAGTTGATTGCTATATGGATAAGCATAAGTATTATTACTGACGAGCGATGTCTACGCTGAAAGCTTCATTGCTTTTTCTCGATACAGTGATGTTGCTATTCTCTACGATTACAGCATCGAAGAAAACAATATCTAGATTGTAAGGAAGAAAGAGCAGACGTGTGTACGATAGAACCAATTCTTGTCTTGTACGAAGACATTTTTTTTTCAGTTGTCGAATAAAGAAAGCAAAGGAATAAGGTAGAAGAGATTTGATCGTATTCTATTACACATCATACGTTCGAACGATTTGTCTTTCAGGTTTTTTCTTCTCTCTCCCTCGCTTCCTTCCTCCCTCTCTCTCTCTCTCGTTTTATTTCAATAAAGTATTCAGTGGTATCGTAGATGTCAAATGAAATTAAAGTTTTGATTTTATTCAACAATTATTATTGCTTATATGTATACTTATAGAGGAAAAAAGAACGCCGACAACGACAATAGTAAGTATAACATTTAAATTGGCACTAGGCTGTTGAATACCAAGGTAAGCACATGGTACATATATGTATACAGTAGTAATAATTGAAGTATGTGCACGTCCTACCACTACTACTGTCGTTTACATTGATTTCACATGTGGTTTTAGTATTATAAGTAAAGAGAAAAGAAAATCGAAAGAACATGGATGCGAATGTTGAGTTGCAAGAGAACAAGCTATTTTTAAAAGAGAATAGAATTTGATGTAATCCATCAATTCAATAGTATTGAACTGAAGGTTTCTCACGCCCACGAAATGTACTTCTCACATGTTCAACATTTCCTTTTCATTGCAAGAGCTATTTTCTAAAGTTAGGAACCAAGATTTCAGCAAGATTTCACATAACCAGTCTTCTGTAGAAAAAGTCAACTTTTGTACGATATGTGTGCTTTTTTTCTACCATGATCAATGTTACATCATTGACTATTAAGAATGGAATTGTTACTTGATGTGCCAGTAATCCTGTTGAGTACTCAGCTGGGTCAAATAGGCCAATTAGGATTTGTATTACATATATTACGTGCATAGTGTCATCACAGATAGAAAAGTAAGAAAGTGAATATGGACAATCGTTTGTCTGTTTAGATAATCTTCGTTCTTTGTCGATCTATATAAATAATGATTCTTCTTTTCTTCGAAGAATGTCGATAAACGAAAAAGAATGACAATCTTCTGTAATAGGACTCCCGTCATCTTTTTCGTCTTTACATTTTTCCTTCCTCTTCGTCATTTCGTTGTCGTCATCTTTCGTTTCTTGCACACACACAGACACATGCACCTCTACTTAACTGTAACAGAATAAAAAGAGCCTCTTATATGGTTTTAAGTTCATAAAACGAGCAAAGAAAGATATGAGGTGATCGATTTCGTTTCATTACCTATCTTCTTAGCCGTATTTCTATTTCATCATCATTTCTCACCCATTACCTTCAAATTCGTTTACGTACATGCATGTGAATATTTAAACTTTTATCGAACAATGGTCATACCTCATGATACACTAATATGTACAATAGATTCAACAAAAATTCTCTATATTCTCCGAGAAGAAACAACATACACATATGATAGAGATGACAATAACAAAGATGATGGATCATCACAAATAGGTGAGTACGCATGAAAACAGAAGAACGCGTGTTTTTGGTCGCTATTCAATTTTCGAGAAGAAAATTAATATCAAGGTTTAAACTTCGCTGTTTAATCCCGTTCAGTAGACATAGTTATTTGAGACTAGGGGATGATTGCGTCTGTATGTCTAAACAATTATTGTTAACGCAGTAAGACAAGTGTTTCGTGAGTTAAGTGAACATTTTAATGTTGACTGTCTTGTCTTTCTTTCGTTTTATACTAGTCTAATCCTTACCTCTCTTTTCAAATAATCCTCCTTTTCGATATGAATCATGTGAACGTCATCATCATCATCATCATCATCATCTACATCTCTCGCTGTCGAAACGATCGTAGGAAGGAGGGAGAGAAATGACTGCTAGACAGATAACATCCATGATATCAATAAATATGATTGGAATCGATCACCTTGTTGTCATAAGCACGTATTGTATACGTTATAGAAGTGTTCGTGCTCTCTCTCTCTCTCTTTCTCTTTCTCTTTGCTTTCTCTCTTATTTTTAACCGCTACTGCTGTTGTTGTTATTGTGGAAGCAATAATGACTGCAAGACGATGCTGCTCCATCTCCCCGTTCTATATACATCTTAGGTTTGGTCCAGATACGTGTATCCTGAGAGAAAGAGAGTATGGGATAGTAAGAAAGAACAAAAGAAAAGAGGCAAAGAGACGGAATTGTACAATGACTGGAACAAATCTCTTCTGTTGTCTTCCCTTCGCGAATAGGCATATATTAGTCTTCCGCATCTTTGCATTTCTCTCCATCTCTCTTTTGTAGTGTAACTAAAGATAAATGTTTATTTTGTACGTCAAAGCTCAGTAAGAGAGGAAGAACAAAGATTCATCTTATTCGCATAGTAGAATATTAATTCCGAAGCATATTACGATGATTCAATAGTCTATTAATGATCAAAGTCTATACTTCAACCTTTTTTTTCGACAGCTATTGATCCTCTAGGAATAGTGATATGGGTAAGAAGAAAAGTTCATGCCTTTATAGAAACAAACATCGAATTCTTGTTGTTCTTCTTCTTCTTTTAGACTCGCCCGAGATTATGAATATCAATCAATCATTAACTTCTTCTTTATCTCGACCCACCAATGAACCACTACACGAACAGCACATACGAAACGAAGAATCACATTTTGAACGAAGTATACCCGACACATATCATCATTCATCATACGAATATCTTGCGTCGACGATTACCAACATTCCCGTCGAAGAAGTAAACAACAATAATAACAATAATCAGACTCAAATACCAACTAGTATATCCCACCATCAACGAACAACTTCTCCATCGCATAGATATTTAAATGAATATATCCCACCAGCTACATCATACAGTCCGACATCTTACCGCTACTCATCCGGACCGATTCTCGATGAATCTCTCGGCCATTCGTATTCAATAAATCGTCCAACACAAGCACAACTATCGACAAATTCACTTTCAGCCTATGTTCCTCAGCAAAATAATAATAATAATAATATGAATCGTCATTCATTACTTCCAGCAACATCGGATGATTCCGGAAATGAGTCATCTGTAAATTATCAACAACAATTAACGACGAATACGCATTTTGTTGTTGTTGCTATCGATTTTGGTACTACATTTAGTGGTTATGCATTTGCATTTACGCGAGATATTGATTCAATTTTAATGATGCGTAAAGTCGATGGCAATGATCCCGGTTTGTTTCTTCTTTTGTTATTTTTCTTTCTCAATATTGACTTTTCATTGATGTTTTCCCATTGTTAATAGGTGTAATCAATCAAAAAACGCCAACGACGATACTTTTAACGCCACATTTAGAATTTCACTCGTTCGGATTTTTCGCACGGGATTTTTTTCACGATCTCGATCCGGACGAAGCGAAACGTTGGCTGTACTTCGAAAAGTTCAAAATGCATCTTCACTACACTCAAGTAAGAGACGATCTCCTTAGCCGAGCGAATCCTTCAACAAACAAGATATTTGTTCTCTAATAGAAAAGAGGTTAGAGTCATTATGCAAGAAAATAGCAACATATATAGATGTGTATATACACACTCCATAGATCATCTCTTACATAATCAAGAACAGTACGAGAGAAACTGACGACCATTTAATAGAGCGAAGAAGAAATGGCACAATCGCATAATTAATGTTTTTGTCTTCGTCCGATTTGTTGTTATTCTATGCTTCGATCATATAATTACACTTCTTCGCTTGAGAGCGAAACAATGAAAAGAGAATCACTTTTACTAATGAACAACAGATATAAGCAGCTGTTCGAGTAAACAATGCACATGTCACTAACTTTTTTTCTCTCATTTTTTTCTTCTTCTTTGCGTCAAATGACTGCACTAAAAACAATATACATTGATACTTTCTCATACAAACCATAACATACTTGTGTTCGCTGACGCGAGTGCAATTAAATCTAACAGCTGTGTGTTATATATAGACGAAGTTATATAATCAAGTTTGACTTTGATCAAATTTCTTAAACAGGATCTCAATACTCAAACATTAATTCCAGCGAGTAACGGCCGCAAAGTTCCAGCATTGACCATTTTTACATATGCATTACAATATTTTAAAGAACATGCTCTACGTGAACTTTCCGATCAATCAGGAACACGATTTGTTAATGAAGATGTTCGATGGGTTATTACTGTCCCGGCTATCTGGAAACAATCAGCTAAACAATTTATGCGCGAAGCTGCTTATCAAGTATGGAGCGATATACTTTTGTTCATGAAGATGTCATTTATATTTTAGGCTGGAATTGCCTCACGTGAGTTTCCTGAACAATTACTTATTGCGTTGGAGCCAGAAGCCGCATCGATCTACATACGCAAACTTCGTATGCACCAGTTCGTTCCGGATGAGACGCCAGCATTCTCTCGAAATACAGTACGACGTGATCATAGTTTATTTTCTTCGACAATATCTGATCATTCATCTGCCATTCTGCACGATCCAGAAAAACGTTCGTTATTGTCTAGCACTTGACTGAATATATGATTACATTTCTCGTACCTTTTAGTATCAACCGATCAGAGCGAGTTGTCCAATCAACAAAATCAGACTTTTGAAGTTTTTCTTGATCGAGGAACGCGTTACATCGTTGTTGACTGCGGTGGTGGAACAGTGGATATAACCGTACACGAGATGGATAATAAAATGGGAACATTAAAAGAATTGTACAAAGCTACAGGCGGACCGTATGGATCAGTTGGTATGGCTTTCTTTAGAAAGACAATCATGAGAATAATCAATTGACATTTGTGTTTTGTTTTCTTCGAAGGTGTCGATCAAGAATTCGAAAAATTGATGAACGCTATATTTGGTAGTGAAATTATGGATGAATTTAAAATCAAACGACCAGCTGGCTATGTCGATTTGATGATTGCCTTCGAAGCGCGCAAACGAACGGCTAGTCCATTCAAAAACAACCCATTGAACATCTCATTACCATTTTCATTCATTGATTTCTATAAGAAGAAAAAGGTGAATTGACGGACTCGAAATCGATTATCATGCATGCACCTTCGCCTTTCTTTCTTACTTGTCCCTATCAAGCCTGCGAGTTCATGTACATCTTCTTCTCCTTGTTCTTTCCTTGTCCCGCCCTTCCCCAAGCACACTAGTTTTAGAGCGATGATTAACATCAAATTAGATACCATAAAACACCTCTATATCCTTAGTTATTGTCGAGTCTTCCTTTAAAAACTCAAGTGCGTGCGTATGTGGCCAAACTCAACAAGGTGGGAATGGATGTTTTGTTTATACTTATATCTATTCGTGTATTTTCCTTTATTTTTTATTCCTCGCCTCATTTGTTACTATCATTTCTTGTTGTCTGCTTCGGTGATCCCTTTCCAGTGTTGTATGCTTCAGAACGAATCTTTCTGTAGCTTTTTCTTCCTGCACTTCAAGTCTTTCATGAATCTTTAGTAGAATAGCGAAGAATTTGTCAGTAGAAGAAAACACATTGTCCCAATTATTTTCATGCATGGCTCTTGGTCGTTCATGTTCTGATTGTGTAGAAGTCTAGAGCATGATAGGAGAATGCACAGTTCAATTGTAATTAAAAGAAAAATTTTACTGTCTTTTTAGGGTTCGACAGTGGAAGCAGCCATTCGCCGTTACAATGATCCAGATATCAAATGGTCAACGCAAGGTATGATGAGATTGACACCCGAAGCTATGAAACGTCTCTTTCATCCGACTGTTGAAAAAATTAAAACTACTATCGGCGAAATATTGAATAGTCCTGATGTCAAAGGTAGATGATTTCGTGACTCGATCAACTAAGCCCATCGTTTGTTTTCTTAATTTTCAGGTATTCAATATCTCTTTCTTGTTGGTGGTTTTGCTGAGTCGCCCATACTTCAGCACGAGATTCGTCGAGCATTTTCAAATATTTTGAAAATCATTATTCCTCAAGACGTGTCATTAACTATTCTAAAAGGTATAATCATACTTGCCAAATGTCTACCAGAAATCACTCAGTTACTTTTCGATAGGTGCTGTTCTATTTGGCCTTGATCCAACTATTGTTAATGTTCGTCGTTCACGATTAACATATGGTGTATCTGTTTTGAATCGCTTTATACCAGATCATCATCCGATCGAGAAGAAAATTATTAAAGATAATAATGAGTGGTGTGCTGATATATTTGATAAATTTGTACTTGTCGATCAATCGATTGGTCTTGGTGATATCGTCGTCCGAAAGTATACACCAGCAAGATATAATCAAGCGCAATGTATCATTTCATTCTACTGTTCCGAATCGGATAAACCGATTTATGTAACTGATCCAGGCGTGAGAAAAATAGGTGAGAATGAATCCGGCTTCGTTTCTGTACATTCACGTTCGTTGTCGTACGTCTAGGTACACTTGTTCTCGATATGTTTAATGATGGATATTCGTCAGCTGATCAGAAGATGAATACGAAAAATCAAAGACGTGAAATCCAGACACGCATGGTTTTTGGTGATACGGAAATCAAAGTGAGCGCACTGGACGTGACCACCGGCAAATGCGTTCGAGCGACAATCGATTTTCTGAATAAATAATCTTCTCTTCTATTAACAGTATCATTGTATATACGTGTGTATATATCGATTCATGTAGCTATCTAGAGAATCGCTCTCAGGGCATCTCTACACACATCTTGACATTACAGTCAAATTCTTGATCAGTAGAGAATGAATGAAAAAAGATGCAAGAATGATTTGAACTAACTTATTTTCGTTTGATTTGAACGTGCTGATTTTTTCTGTGTGATTCTAATCTTTTTTCGTTTTCGCTTTAATTTTCTGTTTCCTTTTCTTTTTTGAAAATGTAGGCCGCTTTATCCCGTCTAAATTTGTCAGCAATACATATTGTTTCTTTTTCTTTCATCGAACAAAAAACAGAAGCGAACAGGTAGAATTCATTCGAAGTAATATTCTATAAAAATGTTCTTCTTTTGTTCTTTTCTTGTTACATCAATATGCAATATGTTTTCTCGCACTTCTTTTCTTCTAAACACATTCGTTTTCTCTTTTGCTTATTCAATATTTTTCTCTTTGTGCTTCTTTGTTTTTGTTGGTTAGACAGATAATGTTTCATTCGAATGAAATCAAAGTAACGAAACGAGATTAATGATCAATACTAAACCAAGAATCTCTCTCCCTTCACCTTCAATGATCTGAAAAAAAATATCATTGAATAACATGATGGCCTTTTTATCTATTATCATATCTAATAAGAAATGACCATTCGAGCTTATACAGATAAATATGTCGATAAATATAACAACAAAACAACAAAATAGATGTGTAGAAGTTTGTTTGTTTGTCCTTCGTGCTTATTTTATTCGATTATCCGATATCCATTCACTCAATCGTATACAGAATCCATATATCACCATCGATAGAATTAAATCGATCATTTCTCAGTCTCGTTTCTTCAATGGCAGATAGCCGTGAATTTTCGCTAGCGTATTTTATGTCCATCACTCGTTCCCAACGGGATGATGCAATTGCATTTCTGGAAAAGTGTCACTGGCGGCTCGATCGATCTTTGAATTTATTTTTTGAATGCAATCATAAACAAGACAGATCATCAGTTCAAAAGTACGAAAGTAAATCGAATGCTCGTGCTTTTGAACTTCTTCCTCATTCATCTAGACCATCAACAAGAAAAATTATTATACCGGCAATGATTGAATTTCAAAAGTAAACACGTTGAATTTCTTCATGATTTTCTGATTGAATATATTCATCTGTAGATTCATTCAATCGTTCGATACACATGCGATAAATCTTCTGGAAAATTCGTCTAAAATGATGAATTTAGCCATGAAATATGTTCGATGTCAACCTTCGAATATCCAATGTGATGACATTGAACATTGGAAAATACATTTAAAGGTGGATTATACTCGTCTGCAGACCCTACTTGATAATGACATGTGCGCACCGTTAGTTTGGATCGAGCATTTCGAACATCTATTAAATGGAAATACATGTCAACTATTTGATTGTGATTATATGTTTCAATTAGCCAATTAATAAACATCATAGTTTAAAGTTAAGTTTTCTTTTATTGTGATTTCTGAAATACAAAATAAAAGTTAGGAAAGATCTTCTTGCCATAAAACTCGTCCTTCCATGCCACCATGAACCATTAGAATGTTGCCCGTTATATGTCCAGCAGTTTTATTCGACGCAAAAAATAAACAAGCCTGTGCAACATCGTCCACTGACGCCACTTTTCGCAATGCTGTTGTGCGTAAAGCTTTGAAATGTTTACCTTGTTCGATGGCAGTTTCAGCCATGGGTGTTCGTGTCCATCCCGGCGCAACAACATTACATCGCGCGTGTGGAACAATGTGAACAATTTCATTCTTCAAAGACTTGATGAAACCGGAATGTAGTGCGCCTTTACTCGTAGCATAATCCAAATGATGAGCTTCACCAAATTTACCAGCTGTCGAGCCAATCAATATTAAACTAGCGTTTAATGTTTCTACGTTTGTTGTTGGTTTAAGACGTTTCAATTGTCGACACCATTCGCGTGAATAGAGAAAATAGGATGTTAAATTCACATCAAGGGTACGTTGCCATTGCTCAAGTGACATGTCCCAAATTGGACGATCTTCATCGACATAGATAGCATGATTGACAATACAGACGTTAATCAGACCGAAATGTGCGCAACTTTGTTCAACTCCTTTGATTACAGCTTGCTCATCGGTGGCGTTTACAGATAGAGCATCACATCGATCAGTGTATTGTTCTAGTAGTGATGTGAGAGTGTCTACTGTACGATGATAATGTAGAGAAACATTAGCGCCCTGTTCTAGAAAGACTCGCGCTAATGCAACGCCAATACCACCAGCTGCACCGGTTATTAGCACGTGTTGGCCTTGCATCACCGTTACTTTTGTTAGATATGAGAAAGAAGATAAGGTAGAACAAAAACTAAACTCTTGCTCTCTGTCATCGAGAGAGAAACGAACGAAAAACCCAAAGAAGAAGTCGATTGGATAGAGATAACGCTAACACAAAGAAGCACCCGCCAGCTAGTTCGATCGAACTGTTTTCTGTTTTTTTCTATACTATATGGAGTTTACATACACGATTAGCGTATATCATATCGAAAGATGTCACAGAGTGATTATCGATGAATTGCGTGCGATGTCTAATTTTAATATGTACAAAGCTATACATATTTATCAGCAACGCAACACCGACAGATGAATCATGACGTGCGACTTTTGTTTTGCACGGCTTGATTTGAGTGTATTCTAACAAACTATTATTCTTCTTATCGAATCAAAGACGTATATTTATACTTGCACATGGGTAACGTACATAACGGAGTGCGAATCGTCGAAAATCCGAATGAACTCTATGAATACAATAAAAACGTCCGACCACCTGTATGTGAAATCATTTCTCATTTACAAAACTAACACTTCTATTTGAAGCATAAACCAGTACCAGCCATATCTCATCCAGCCAAATTGCATGAAGAATGTAACACAACCAAAGATATACCATTAGATCGTAAGTTCAAACATCATCCCACGAAAAAGAGAACGGAAATCTTGTATTATAACGACTACTTAGTTTCGTCATCATTGGGTCTTGACTATCCAGCTAGTTGTCCGAACCTTCTCGCTGGCTATATACATGTTAAAGCTAACGATACATTCAAACAAGATTGTGTTCTATGTTGTACTTCTCTTTGTCTATATGTCATTCGTGGCCATGGTACAACGAAAATATTTGACGAAGGTGCAGTAGCTTGGTCCAAAGGAGATGTTCTGGTAATTCCCTATCAAACAAGAGCATTGGAACATTCAACTATAGACGATACGGTTTTCTATTATGTTCACGATGGACCACTATTGAAATATCTCCGAGTAACGCCGTCGAGTAAAGCATTTCCAACAACTGTTTTCCGAGAGAAACTTCTCAAAGACAAAGTTGAAAATATCCGAGAGAAACCTGGTAGTGAACATGCAAATCGTTTAGGAACTTTGATTGGTAATCCAGAAACAAGTGAAACGAAATCGTTAACTCATACATTATGGGCTTTATTGAATGTTCTACCTGCTAATTCCATGCAAAAGCCTCACCGGTGAGTTTTCAGATATTGTCGAAGATGAAATTTACTCTACCTAATCATAAAAGACACAATGCTGTAGCTTTAGATCTAGTGACATATGCACCGGAAGGAAAATGCTATACACTAGTAGGCGATGAACTAGACGAAAATGGTCAAATTAAGAATCCAATACGTCTAGATTGGGAATCTGGGGGTGCATTTACCACTCCACTTGGCTTATGGCATTCGCATCACAATGAATCGGAAGATGAAGACGCTTGGATTCTACCGGTACAAGATGCAGGCCTTTCACTCCATCAAGTAAAATATGTTTTACCTGTGTTTGATATTTGAGCTTTTCTGATGTTTCTTTTCAAGGGTCTATATGATATTCGATTTGCTGATGAAGAATGGAAATATTTACATGATAAGCACGCAATTAAAAGCATTATTTATTGATTTTATCATAAATGGATGCAAGCTTTTATTCGAAAAAAGAAATAAATAAAGATTTGTAACATCCGATGCATGCATATATAAACACCAAATAAAAACCAGCGTCGTTTAATGTCGAGTGTAGAGATAATCTTTCACCTCTTCCACCATGAAGTTTTTCGTTTTGCTCAGTAGAGTCATAACAGGATGTTTAGCAGATAGTGTTCGACTAGCAGTGTCTTCTGCTCGTTCTAAATATTCCTTCGCCGTATCCATATTTCCACGATGGGCATGAACAACAGCCAGGTTATGTAATGTACGTGCGACATCAGGATGATCACCAGGCAATGAAGCTTCTTGTAATTTTAATGCTTCATCGTATTCTCTCAATGCGGAATCATAATCACCAGCAGACAAATAAACATTACCGAGATTGACTCGAGGTAGAGCACGATTGGGATGTCCGGGTGGAAGCGATCGATCATAGATTTTCTTAGCTTTCGTGTATCGAACTACTGCTTTCGCATACTGGAACAGACAAGAGGAAACAATAGAAATTTATCGATATTTCTTCTCTATCTTACATCTTGTCGTTCACAATCGATGGTGCCCAAATTAATCAATGTTCCAGCTACATCAACATGCTTCTTTGGAACATTTCTTTTGTATAATTTCATTGCTCGCTGAAAACATTCCTCTGCTTTCAATTGTCGTCCCTGTTCACTGTACACAACACCAAGACCATTGAGTGTTTTCGCCGCACTAGCCGCGCGTTTCGGTCGAGCGTTCATGTGTAAGTTGTATGCACGATTATAACAATTCAGTGCACGACCAAAATCACCCTTTAGCCGATGCGTACGACCGAAATTGAAAAAAATACAAGCAATTTCTTCATCATTGGGGTTCGAGGAGCTAAGAATTGTATCGAAGTATCTTTCAGCTTTGGCATATTCACCCATCTCAAGTAGTAAGTTTCCAAACATCAGGACAATATTTGATTCAACCATCTTTTTCTTTTGATATTCCATGTATTCAGCAGCTAAATCAGCACCTTGATCAGTCGCATGTACTTGCACACGCCAAAGATCTTCGTCTTCATTGAAGTAACATGCATCGATTTGAAATGATGCTCCTGTTAAAAACAATAGTGCTCGCGTTGATTTGCATGAAATGTCGAAAGAGAGAAACTTTTACCGATATCTACCAGAACTTCTGCTTCTTCAGGAAACGCTGAGTATTCGCGAATATCAGCAATAACAATTTTGCTAACTTTTTCCAAATCAACAGCATACTCGAACAGGGCCCGCGCGAAACCTTCACGTTTTGGTGACTTTGTGGCGAAACCAAAGGCGACCGAAAATTCACTACTAGTCGACAGGTATCCGTTGGTAGAAATTAAATTTCCAATACTTTTTTGAAAATTTTCAACTTCATCGGCACTTAATCGTGAACCACGGTATAACTTCAATACACCTTGTTGCTTGGCTTTCAAATCCAAAAATTTCAATTCTAGTTGTTTACATAAGTCCATGATGTAGAAACGAAATTGATACAAGACGTCAACATCTTCAGTACGAAGAGCTTTGTTAATAAATCTAAAGGAAAGGTAGAAAAAAGAATCTTCGTGCGCTTTTCTTATATCACCATTAACCTACTTATAGACAAATGTTTCTTTTGTATACCATGGGATAGCTTCAGCAGATTTGTAAGTCTTCTCGAAATCGTCAATATTGTTCAATTCTGTGATGTTACCACGGTAGTAATTGCGGCACGTGGTCACCATAGTCTTCTTAGCTTCATCCGTGCTGGGCATTTGTGTTAAGACAATTTTGAACAATTGAAAGAATAAGAATGAGCCGGCTTCTTTGGAAAGATCACGTGTAGCCTTTTCTTTTTTATTGTACATGCTAAATGCTTCGGTTTGCTTTTCTAGTTCTTCACGAGATTTAGTTAATCGTTCAATCAGAATGGCTTCATTTTCACACCAATTCAGAAGGTAACTGTGTGTTTGCAGACTGAATTCTTGCGCTGCATCTGCTGTTGGATAGTAGACAAACACGGAATCGATTTGTTTCAATGGCTCGATGGCTTCAACTACTTCAGTTGTGGCTGGACTGTCCATCACAAAGAAAATCTTGTTTGTCAATGGTGTCATATAATTCGTGCAATCGACGGCACTAGTGAATGACTAAAACAAATCATCATACAAGTCACTAGGCTCATACTAGAACAGAAAACTAACCTGAACATCTTTATCAATTGTCGAAAGGATTTGCATTAAGTTGGGCTTTGGTGTATCACGAGCATAATATATTACTCGTGTTGCATCACTAGTCGTTCTTTCGTCTCCGGTACGCTCTCCATCCCGGCCACCGCCGTTCCGTCCACCACCGTCCCGCCCGCCACCATCATAGCCAACGTCTTCATTCTCTTCGCCATTCGGACGGCGGCCATCTCCACCACGTCTGTCATTAGTTTTAATATACTTTTTGAGACCTAACATGACTTATAGACGTAATAAATCGACAAATGCGAACAAGATGTTTCGCAGCGACCTGTACTTCTATTTACCTTCGCTCGGTGATAAGCAACGACACTGTCAGCCGATATGCTTGAATGATCAGTTTCAAGCGACGAAAAACAAATTATCGCATTGCGATGTATTTTTTCACTGATATCATACTGAGAACGAAGCTAAACCAATCCGATGTGAGGGGAAAAGGCTAAACTGAATCATTATACGTAAAACGTCAATATAGATATTTCGATTGTGTTTCATCACTGGTAATCACCATGTGAAATCTATTGATTTTCATTTTATTCTGTGACGTAAAACGCCTGAAGCGATAGGAAAAATATACGAGCGTCGCAATAGTTCAAATTTTCTTGTTGTTAGAAAAGAAAAACTGAGTTGTCATACTGATGAAAACGTTTCTTTCAATATTTCAGCAGCAAAAATCAATCGACGCTATTCGCGATAGCTAGGTCATCAATCATAAAGTCGAATAAAAAAAGTACACGGTCAATTTGTATACTTTTTCGCTGATGGGATGGTGCGATAAGCTGATAGTGAGGTCATTCCATGCGTCAATTGAACACGTTTCTGTGGCGCTTATTCTACATTATATAAAACCAAGATGATAGCATTCAGTCGATCATAGCGTCATCTATTCTCAATTTCTTCGGTGTTGATGTCAGATCGATGATGAACTTGACATTTATCAAACAGACTGACTAACTACGAAATAGTATCAGCTCAGATATAATTGTTCGCCTTCTAGTTGCTAAGTTACTAAACGAGATCAATCTTAAATGGTACTCGTTGATCTAAATGGCATGCTTTCAAATTGTTGTTTGCGTACATTAATAGAAGATGTCAATATTTACTGTACAGCAACAACAACAACAACAGCAATTATCGGTCAGCAAGAGCTGTAGCCTGCCAAGAATACCACAAAATCGTTTGCCTGTCGTTCATATTCTCACATCAAGAAGTGAACCCGGTGATGTCAAAGTTTGTGAAGCATTGGAATTTATTTTCAGTTCTTTCTGACATTATTTTTAGAGAAAAGAACCGTTTCAATTCGAGAAAGTTGCTCGATTTTTTCTCGATCCTCACACAGTAAAACGAAGAAAACATATATTGATGGGATGCGGTCACGCGTGTTTATTTTCAGGCACATCTGACTGATCGGCGGCTACGATTTTGTCAGAAACTACTTCGATGCCATGAAAATGGATACGTAAGAATGAGTTTGTTTTCATCATTCACACCTGTAAAACAACAATGAGGATCTTGCTTTAGATTCTAAAAGATGTACCATATCTAATGCAACTGCTAAATGTTCTCGCAGGTTGTTGTGAAGAGCAACCAGTCTATGTCAATCCATTTATTGAGATTGTGAAAAACTGCTCTAAACCATTCCTATTGGATAAATCAACAGATGCAGAAATCTATGCATCCGCATTGATTGCTTTCTGTTCAGACTTCGGTAAAATAAAACTTTTGTTAGTGACAATCATGATGTGATAAATTTCATTCAGGTTATCTTCTTCGTGTATCGAATAAACGTATTCAGCGATGTATTCTTGAAACACTTTACAAATCAATTCAACCTACCAATAAATCACCCATAGCTGACAATGATTTTGATGGTTTACGACCAATTCGAATTGATTATTTATTGAAGATTCACTGTTATAGTGATCTTTGCGAAACATTAGTTAAAGTACGATGATAGAGAAAGAAAGATTCTTCTAGTGGACATATTTTCTAGACAATATCTATGTTCGAAAATGATCTATCACTTCGGATTCAAGCAGTTAAATTACTGCAGATTTATTCATCGAAATCGCGTAGGTCATGTGCGAAGATGTTGTTTGTCAACCGAATGTTGTCTGCTCTAGTTGACTGTGTAGCAAGAATGCTAACTCATGATTGTATCAATCGATTAGTAGCAAAGATGAATGATGCTGATCCAACAGGAGAGTAAGAAAACAGTTTGGTATTTGGAGATAGAACCCTACAGGAGAATTGTTCTCGTTAGACTTTTATTTCGTACAACTGAAGTACTGTGGAACATTTTCGACTTCGCCGATGAAGAGCAAATTGGTGAACAATTGGACTCACGTGTCACAATAAGGTTTGCTTTTGTTTGGATATCTTTCGATAATCTTATTACTATTCCTGTTTAGTCTTCTACAAGAAGCTTTCATTGGCCAAGTAACACAAAATCATAGTCAATATCATTGTCAATTGAGGTATTTGTCGTCTCTCACGGAAATCAAACTATCATTGAAGATCTTTAGAAACGATTTGCTTATTGTTTGCTCGCGCATCATTGCCATTAAACCTGATGCTCCAGGTAGACACACAACATTAATTGACCTAGTTAATATGACGGTCTGTTTCTAGTAATCGAAACCGGTTTTGCAAAGCAATTACTTCTACTCGCGTCTTATCCCGAATGTAAGTAAAGATAAACATTTTCTTGCTGCTGGACAATCGATGACAATTCTTTTATATCAGTACGTAGTAATAATCCACTGGTCAAAAATCTAAAAATTACCACATCTGAAGAAGATTTTGAATTTAAAAAACTCTTAATTAACACTGTTGTTTTACTTGGTCGTAATCCGGTGATAAATGATGTATGCATTGAAATTCTGTTCGTTGAAGAAATAGTTTCTCTTCTTTCAATTAGTTAATCACGAATAGTCGTGTCTTACTCGCCTTATTGTCGTATGTCGAACCGTTACCTCGGAAGAAAAATCAATTAGTCAATGCATTTGAATGGTCTCTGTCACAATTAGAAGAGCTTCAACTACATGCACTTGTTGCGCTTTCCATTCTTTTGCCACGCTCGTTACAGGAATACTTAGAATATCATACAAGTACACGACTTCTTCTATTCTATGAATGGACACTAAATGGCGGTAATACAATTAAAACGAAAGAACTGTTTTGTATGAAACAAACCTATTTTTTAGATGTTTATCAAAGTCAGGGTAATGGATTCTTTGGTAAAGGCGGTCGAAACAGTAAACGATCACAGCTGAAATATATCATGCGACTATTGCGGAGTATTGTTTCCACAAAAGATGAAGGAATCTTTGTGGATTTATGCGATCAAGGCTTGATACCATTGATAACCGGTTTGACCAAATTTTTAGTTTGATCTGTCAAAACAACTTCTCTCTCGATACATAGGACATTTAAAACGCCTGCTTCGAGAAACGTCCAATCATATTGATTATATCGATTTAGATTTACTTTGTGATGGTTTGTTTGTTCTAAGTTGTTTAGGCGAGCTGGATATTCACAGAAAAGTATAGTATATGGAAATACTTCTGATATTTTATCTGAGATGTGATATTGTTTGGATTAGGAAATCTTTGGCTCGGAAGGTATTGAAATTCTCACCAAAGTTCTTCTGAGTGAATCATCGCACGTTTGTGGTGGTCTGGGATATTATCGTTTACTTGTCGCGGCTATTGATTGTGTCTGGTGTTGTGTCATTGGTAGTGTAATCAATGAAGATGAATTCATTCAAAAACAAGGTCTTTTTGCCTTGCTCGACTTGATTGAAGTGCGTCATCTCGAGAAATTCGTTTCTTTTTTGACAAAATATTATTGTCGCTTCTCTTCTTTGACCAACATAGGCAAATCCAAAATCATTGCAAAATATTATTCTCGGATGTTTATTGGATTTAACAGAAAATACTAAATGTTTGCATTTTATAATGGCATGGCAAGGACGAAAACAGCAACAATTTCCACACGTTCTTTGTGAACTATGGCGCGATGAAGAACGTGAAATACATGTAACGAAAATTGCACGTTTTCAGCTGAGGGTGATGCTCATTCGCTATGTATTACTTCTAGGTGGCTCGAACAGGAAAAGGTGTGATAGAGGATCATAGAAAACCATTAATGGGTATACTTCAACAGTCAGCGCCAGTCATTCCATTGAAATCTGTAGAACCACCTCGATCAGTTCTCGATCTGATCGATAATATGCGATCAAAGATCTATGGGTTTTTCTGTAAAATAGGCTTTGGTGATTTGCCCGGTTTACACGAAGAAGATTTCGTTACTCTATGCATCATTGAGAACTTTTTGGACTTTAAGTTGGGTGAAGTATGGCAAGAAATTATGATGGAACTGGATATGGAAGGTACACAAGTAATTGCAACAGATGGAGAAGCCACTGACACAATTCTACGAGCAGCTGAAGAGCGTGGATTAGGTAGAGAAGGAAGCGAATTGTTCGAGACATACCTGACGAATACATTTGTCGTTTAGCGGTGACAGCAACACAGAACTACATTTTAGAGCAGTATCATAAACAAGATTTACACTATGAAAAATCATTCTATCACGAAGTAAGAATCACCTTCCCATTTTATGTTTCACTGGATAAATATTTAGATAATTCGAAATCATCAATTTCAAGAAAAGGGTCTGGAACAGTGGAAAGCATACCTTGCAAGAACATCGAAATATCCGTTGCTGATGGTAAGAATGACTATTGAAAAGAACTGCTCACTTCTAACGCTTTGTATCTAGGTTGCAAAAGATGCTCAAAATGAATCAATTCAACAGTCACGACCGGACGAAAAGAGCTATACAGGTTATCACACAGTTCATAATTTAGAAATTCCAAACTTATCAATAACGGTAGACAAAATGTGCATTTGTTTCCTACGCAATAAGCCGTGCCTTTTCCTATTTTTAGGCTTTTACTGGTCGAGTTTTACATATTGAAAGCACACCGGTGGAATTACTCAATAAAGGTCGACGGATGGAATTCAATTCATAAAAGATATTCGAAATAGATTATTTTATTTTTACGACGTATTTTTCCACATCAGTGTATTGGTCTTCACGTATCTTCTGACACAACTATACTAAATAGATATTTTATTTTTCTAATAAACTTTTTTCACAATCAAATTCATTTGATCTAACAGTAAAAACGACCATTGTGTGTTTGGGTGAGAAAAGATACGTTTTCAACAGACGATTCAATGAATAGTCGTTGAGAAGAAATCGTTTTTCTGTCTTCTGATCGCCTAAATGGCCGTTTTTCAATTGGCGAATTAAGTTCATGATAGAATAGGTAGCCGAGTTCAAGTTGGTTAACAGGCCTGTCGATCGAACTGAGCAAATAGGAGCTAAGTGTAAGAAGAGAAATGAACCAGACAAAGATGATTGCTCATGATGAAAGTTAACGATGAATATTCGATGAGCAAATGACATTGGCATACTAACACGATTGATGACAGTGTCAACATCGTCCGACGTTTTTAATGATATTTCACATGGTGGTCGAAATATCACTTGTTTATCTGAACATAAGATGAGAAGAAGAAGATGATGAGGAAGAGGATTGATTTGAATTCCTCACCTGTATCAATCAAACGTATGCGTTGCATTCTTGTCAGATCGCAGATCGAGTTGTTGAAGAAAACAAGATTCATACATGTGATTTGTATAGATCGATTTTGAATAGTGCATTTGAGGGTATTTGAAAGAGATTGGTAAATGTATCGAAGAAAAGAAGGTCGATGTGTTTCTGATTGTTTCTGATCGTCGAAAAGAATACAAACTGATTGATAATTATTCTGAGATGTGAGGAGAAATTGTGAATCAATTAGTTGATCCAACGAACTATTCGATTGATTTAGTATTATTTGAAGGTGTTGGCAAGCTGCCGAGTTTTGCGATGCTCGGACTATGATTACATGATTATGGACTTTGTAAGAAGAAGTAATATTGGTTGATAACGACGGATGAGTAGCAGTCGACTTCGTTCGAGAATAAAACTGTTGAAGAAAATGATGAATACGCTTTCGATTTCGTTCTCGACGTCGTCGCCGAACGAACAATCGATAAGAGTTGACTGTCCATGACGATTTACCACTTGTCACTTTGACACAATTTGGCATTGATTGTTGGTTGTGATTATTATTACTGAAATATTTAAGCTATTCCAACAATGGTATTCTTCTTGCTACTTTTTATACTTAATTTGCTGTTCATTTGAATTGTTCAAAAACTTAGGAGCTGATTTATATTTTGAATCATTGCAATCGACAGTATCACAGACATTGATACATTTGAATGGCATCGAAGGCATCAGTGATAATCCCCTTTGTATTCCGCTATTGAAGCATTTCGTATGATCTCTACTACTGATAGATTCGACTGAAATGGATTTCTGCTTTGATTCTTGCGTCGTCTGTGATGTCAGTGATAAATAGCCTACTGTTCGGAGTTTCTGATCGTCTGCTTTCAAGTACGTATGATCTGGCAGACGCTCATTTGTTTTAACTATATAACATAGCGTGTTAACTTGACAACTTCGCGTCACAGACATAAACATTTTCGTTTCAATTCTTGCATCGTTCAATTCGCACAGTGGACTGTTTGGTAAGAGGATGGCGTACAGTTTTGTTTGCGTTCCTAATGAAGCAAGCTTGTGCTTGATTGGTTGAATTGAACTCGGCGATGAACGTGCATTTTGTGAAAGACAATGGCATGACAATGAGCTCTTGACGGAATAGTTCTGAGCTTTCGACTGTACTGAATATTGGTCTTCGTTGCCATCGTCTTGCAAACGTAGAATTGCCTTTAAAAAAGGAACGAAAGATCCATCAAATGAAATCTTTCGTTCAAACCTTATTGGTCGTATTGTCAGAAGTTTGAAATCTTAGTAATCTACTCTTTTGATCATTGTTAACAGTGAGAAGATCGTTTTTTGCTTCGCGGTATGTATTGCAATTCAATGAGAATGAAATATTCGTTTGTTCCACCATTTGACAAATCAGTTGGCAATATGTACAGTAAGTTTGCAAGTTGCGTAAACATGGACACTCAATAATAGCTAATTCATATTTACACAGATCCGTCGAGCAATTACATTCAAGCAAAACGATTTCGAATATTCTCGCATATTGACTTTTTTGTAAGGATGACAGAGGATATCTATTCATGTCAACATATTCGTACCATGGATTAATAACATACACAGAACACATATGAATAAGTGATGCGTTCGTTTTGTCTCGGTATTGACGTCCTCGTTTGAACCGAGTTTTGCCATTATCATCGAAAGGTTGCCAACTAGATAGAAAGGATTGTTTTCGGTCAAGTATTGAACGATAATTTTCTATCATTTGACACGATCCATTTGTATTCCGGCAAGCACACATATTTTCCATTGTTTCAGTGAATCATACTGACTAATAGTGATAATTGGACCTTACATAACAAAATTTCTGTTCGGTATATTTTCAATAAAACAAAACACGCATTAAACAAGCAACTGTGTTCTCTGTATTCATTTGCGCCAATGGTATCGAATGTTATCTTCTCATTAGAGTTTAAAACGTCTGATGTAAGAGCATGAGTTTACTATTTCAAATGGTGAATAATCGTGTATATTATGCAAATAACTGCAAGGTTGATTCGCCCTCTTTTCTTTCCAACCCTTAAAGTTCTGACAGGGAGAGAGTAAGAAAGAAGGATACAAATTGTTAGACATCAGTGGAAGAAGAATAAGCCAGTAAGGAAGAAGAAGGAATGCAAAGAAATGCCAAAAGCGTCAACCGATGACGAGTCCGTTTATTCATTCGTCAATTCACAACCTTCGTTCGTTCTTATTCATATACATACGTACGTGACGTGCATCCACCACTGACGACATTTTTCATCGGTTTATCTTTGTGTATTTAATAGCGAAAAACAAAAGAAAAAGCAAAGTCGATTATGTTCCCTAATCAACAGTATCCACGTGCCGGAGGAGGACCAAATCCACCCTCTTATCCACAGCAACCACCATACAATCCTAGTGGAGCGTATCCACAACAACAACCACCATTTGGTAACACGCCATCGTACGGTATTGCAGCGGGCTTAGGAGGGTATGGAAATAATCTACTGTTTAGCTTAAGTTAAACTTGTGTTATTGAAAAGTGGGGAAAACCCTGATCTATACATTTTTCAACTTTTTCGAATGCAAGCGTGTTTTAAAAAATGTTTATTCTGTTAGGTTTGCACGAAATGAATACTCGTCTGAAGTAGCTCATCTTGTTTTTGGAAGCAGAGAATAAGAGAAATTCTGCATTTTTTCTATGGAAAAATTTCTAGTGTTTCATTTGCTATTTTTTACAATCGAACGTATTATTTTTTAAATGATGTACTTTCAGTGTACGTACTCTTTTCTTGATTTTCATCGAAAAAAGACGAACAACGAGTATAATTGCTCGACTGCACAGAGAGAACACAATCATGATGTCTTTTCCTAAGAAATTTTATTTACCAATGAGATTGAACATCTAAGAAGATAACACGCATTTTTGACTCATACAGTAAACTCTCATTGCAAATTTGTGTTCTAGAGGTTTTCAGCAAAACATGTCGACACCCTACGGTGGTAATCAAGGCGGCTACGGAGCAAATCCTTATGGACAAGGATCAAATCAGCCAGGAGCAAATCCTTATGGGCAAGGATCAAACCAACCAGGAGGAAATCCTTATGGACCAGGATCAAATCAATCAGGAGCCAATCCTTATGGACAGGGACCCAATCAGCAGGGAGGAAATCCGTACGGGCAAGGATCAAATCCCTATGGACAAGGACCGAATCAGCAAGGGGGTAGTCCGTATGGCCAGAGCAATTTTGGTATGCCAAGTGGACAAGCTGGTTCTGGTTATCCTTCTTCCGGTCAATCATCATTCGGCAATAGCCCATACAACCAAAATCCCGGTTATTCAGGTAGTGGTCATCCGCCTTCACAAGGCGGCGGATACCCAGGTCAACAAGCACCATATCCATCGCAAGGCGGCTATCCTGCCGGTCCACAAGGTGGTGGTTTTGGCGGACAAGGCTCGGGTCCTAATGCAGGCGGATTTATGTCGAACGATCAGCGAATGCAACGGTTGAATCAAGTTATTCAGCAGTACGAAATTAATCAACAATTTGCTTCTCGTTTACAAGCACTTGGTAATTGCGAAATTGTTATCGTATGTGATGACTCGGGTAGTATGAACACACCGCTTCAGAATAGCAACCAAACGCGATGGGATGAATTGAAATCAGTACGTCAATACAAAGTTTTCTGAAGGAAAGACAATGCATAACTTTTCTCTATATCTAGCTCGTCATGATTGTCACTGACATTTGTGCAGTGATGGATTCCAATGGTGTTGATGTTTATTTCTTGAATCGTGACCCTGCACTTAATATCACTAATCCACAAAATATGCGCCATGTGTTTAATTCACCTCCGCAAGGTCTAACACCATTGGTGCCAGCATTACGAAGAGTTCTTGCCGCGAAACGCAATCAAACATTTGAAAAGAAACTTTTAATTCTTGTTGCTACCGACGGGTATGTGATCAGACTGATTCACTTGACTAATTCCGTATATTTTCTTGCGAATGCAGTGCACCGACCAATGAACAGGGCCAAGTAGATATCGGTTCATTAGAAGCTCTTCTCCGTAATGAACGTACTCCACAAACCTATGTAACATTCTTAGCGTGTACTGATGACTTGGACGCTGTTAACTATCTATCAAATTGGGATAAAACAATGCCCAACATAGACGTGATCGATGATTATCGCTCGGAACGTGCTGAAATTCAACGAACACGTGGAGCTAATTTCCCATTTTCTTTTGGTGATTACATTGTCAAAGCTCTACTGGGTTCAATTGACCCTTGGTAAGGTTCTTCTCAGTCACTTGGATTCACTAACGCTGCTATCTCTTTTCATACTTTTAGGTTCGATGCACTGGATGAACGTGCTTAAGCAAACGCTATCGACATCGAAAAGATACTAACTATAATTTTTCTTCCCGAACAGCTTGTGTATAGATGACAACTATTCGCTTTGAAATAACAATTAATCAGGCTTTTCAATTTAATTGTAAAAAATAACAACTAACTCTTGATAGAGGATGAAAATAAAGATTCTTACGCTTATCAAAACATATACTTGTCTGTGCCCAACAATTACCGAAATTAAAGAACAAATAAAAACTCTTTGCATAGAAATCGTTTTGCACACTATTGAGCAGGGCTAGAAACGAGCCTAGAAATCAGGACAGATCTGGCCCGACTACTATAAAAACCTACTGAAAGAAATATTCATAGGAATTCTTTGGCAGCACAATTGAGTACATGAAAGCATTTTTTGAGTAGCGCTATCTAGGAAGAGTAACAAGTAAAAACAAAACGTTTTTACTCCTAATAGTTGCATCTTTTGTGGGATATGATTATTTATTATTTCATCGCGTACAAACCCGTATTTCACTAAAGAAAACAATGATCTTTGGAAGAATAAGAAGTACAACATTTGGGCTCAATTGATTAGGACTCAAGGGTCTTTTGCCTCTGACTGAATAGATTTTAATTTCTATTTGTCCAAAAAGATTTTTCTTTTCAGGAAAAGACGCGTTTTGATGCCTTGAAATTGTTTTAAAAAACAACATTATCGCTTCAACGTTTGCTAGTTAAAACGACTTATTTTCAGCTGTTTATCTACTTGAGTGATTGTATTGCTGATCGATTTCGACTCCTGCCATCCAGTGCTGTATCAATATACGAAGTAATCTCATCATAAATATTTTCTAGGGCTTTTATTATCAATAATTGTGTAAGACAATTACTTTTCTCAATGATCAATAAATCAATGTTTTCATCTTATCTTTTAACACATCCACATACGCAGAAAAGCGTAAGAACTCATTTTCATACTATACCTAGACTGTAAGAACCAACATCATTATCCTGAATAGAAACGAAAATGTCACTCACTTTTTCACCAAAGGATTATTTAATATTCATAGCTAATGACATTAGATGCATATCTTATCTTCGTCTTTCGTACTTGAGATTAGCATTTGGGTAAAGTAAAATAGAGAATCAGCGACAACACACCTGTCTCTTTAGATGTTTGGATTCTGTCTGTAATTTTGGTTGCGATAAGAAGACTCACGAGTGTATTTTATATTTTCTCTACCTATCGCTTTTGTCGTAAAAACAGAGCAACATGGTCAGTCTTGGAGGTCTGTTTGCAAATAGGTGAGTGAGAAATAAATTTAATAAGAAAAAGCCTTTGTTACATTTTGTTAATCAACGAGTTTGATATTCATTTAGACGGCGAACGTTAACCGTTGTTCTGGTTATTGCATCTATATTTGTTGCATCAGGTGTTATTGTCGGTCTGTTTTTAGGTTTAAGAAAGCGTAAGTGTTATCTGTGATCTTATACTCACTCTTAGTTTTGTCTTATAGCTTTTCCTGATACTGACGAGTCGGTATGCGGCTCGAGTCATGAGACTTATGTTATAAATGGTTCATCTATATTGGGTAAATACAAGCAAGCAGCTGTAGCTGTTGATAATGCGGATTGTTCGAGAATTGGACGAGAAATTTTGCAAAAGGGCGGCAAAACCATGGATGCTGCACTTGCTGCAGCCATATGTAACGGTGTTTTGAATGCACACTCAATGGGTATTGGTGGTGGATGTGTGATAACAGTGTATTCGAAGTAGGAAAAATCTTGCTGAACTGCAATCTTCTTTTCGATATTTTATTCATAGGAAAGAGAATAAAGCATATAGTATCGTTGGAGTAAGTTGAAGATAATTACGTAATTGATCTTTTCACGGTTCGAATGGATGCTTTGGTTTCAGAGAGAACGAGCACCACTCGCTGCTAATTCAACCATGTTTGTTGGTAGAGAAAATATGTCTGAAGCTGGTAAAATTTTATTGTAAGAAATATTCGCCGTACTTGAATTGTCTTTTCTAGGTGGATTGGCTATAGGCGTACCAGGAGAAATACGTGCGTACGAATATGCGCATAAAAACTTCGGTGGAGGTGTATCTTGGAAAGAGCTATTTGAGCCAACCATTCAGTTATGTCGAAATGGTTTTCTGATTAGTACAGCACAAGGTTCAGCTATTCAACAATCATCACGTGTCATTCTCGCCGACAATGCATTGAGGTTTTTGCCTCTCATAGATGTCCACTAGAAATATATTCGGTATTCTTGTTCTATCCTAGGGCGGTATTTGTAAAAAATGCGACTACCAACGAACTATACAAAGCTGGCGATTATCTGAAAAGACCAAGACTAGCTAATACATTAGAAATTATTGCTAATCAAGGTCCGGATGCTTTTTATACCGGTGTTCTAGCTGACAAAATTGTCAAGGAAGTACGAGACAGAGGTGGAATCTTTACGAAAGAGGATCTAGCAACCTATGCAGTCGATGTTCGTGATGCGTTGAGCGTCGATCTTAATGGTACATACACTGCCTATACAACACATGCGCCAACAAGTGGACCAATCCTGACTTTTATTCTCAATATCCTCCAAGGTAATAAACGGATTGAGTTGAAAACGATAATGTCACTTTTTGTTATCAAGGTTACGACCTATATGAAGGGAGCGTCGATCGATCGTCGCCCTCTCCATTATTTTATCACCGTCTTATCGAGGCATTTAAATTTGCTTATGCCAAGAGAAGTGAACTGGGTGACCCATTGAAAATCAATATTACTGAGGTAAGAACCAACCAAATTCTCAATATAACTTAAAACCACGAATTTCTATTTAGCTCGTTCGTAATTTAACATCAAAAGATTATGCCGACAGTATACGTGCAAAAATCGAGTTCGTTCAGATAGCATTCGTAAATGTCTTCAATAAAACGTTTCTATTTAGTGATTCTAAGACGTTCGGTTTTCAGTATTACGGTGGAACTTGGCTCGATAGACTAACTATCGGAACGGCTCATCTATCTGTTCTTGGACTCGATGGTGATGCTGTTGCGTTAACATCCACTGTAAATCTTTAGTATGAACTATTTCAAATTCTACAACTAGCAAACTTGTTTTGTTTTTGCTTTCTTAGTTACGGTTCGAAAGTTCTTGGGCCTGAAACTGATATTGTTTACAATGATGAGATGGATGATTTCTCTACTCCAAATACTACGAACTATTTCGGTGTACCAGCAAGTCCTGCTAATTACATTGAAGCAGGAAAACGGCCTGTGTCCTCAATGGCGCCATTGATCATCATCGACAAACGCAACCAACAAATTCAACAAGTTCTGGGCGCTAGTGGTGGTACAAGAATAACTACGAGTATTGCACAAGTTGCTCTGCTGAATTTATGGTTTAACGAGGACATTAAAAAAGCAATTGATTCCCCGCGCCTTCATTCACAATTACTGCCACAAGAAGTGATAGCTGAGCGTGGTTTTGACTATGTAAAACTATTATTTCTCTGCATATTTATTCTGAAATTGAATTCTATGTTGTAGGATATTTTACAAAAGTTAAAGCAACGCGGACACAATATAACATGCGGCGCGTTTGGTGGTTCCACAATTCAAGGTATCGAATGGCGTGAAGAAGCCAAGCAGTACTGGGCCAACTGTGATATACGCAAAGGTGGCGCACCCGATGGAATTAATTGAAAAAAATTCTCTTTTTTGAATTTCATTTTGGATTAAATTTTGCTTTTAAAACAGAAAACACTTATATACATAATTCGTATTATAGAAATCATTTTAATGTTTGAGTTTCTTCGAAATTCTTTGAATATCATTTATAATTCGAACATTTTCAGGGTATGTCGGTGGAAAATTGTGTCGATAAATGGCAGCTGCTTTCTCAAAATGAGTTAATGCTTGTTGATATGCGTGCATGTCTTCGTAAACACACGCCATATTGCTCAATGTTGATGCAATCGATGGATGCTTCGAAGAAAAACATTTCGTTTTAATTTTCAAAGCGATTTCATAATGCTCTAAAGCGAGATTGTACTTTTCAAGATACCGATAGACACTTCCGATGTTGTTATGCGTATGTCCTAGACAAAGATGATCGACCGGGAAGTGCTTTTCCATGATTTTCAACGCTCTCTCGTGATATTCAAGTGTTTTTTCGTAGTTTTTCTCTTCGCCATAGATACAGCCAATATTGTTCAGGCACATGGCGATTTTCGGATGATCATTATTATAAGCTTGGGACCAAATTTGCAAGGCTTTCTCATACAACTCGAGTGCCTGCTGTGATTGTCCTTGCTTGCGTTCAATATCAGCAATACTATTGTAACTATCAGCAATACTCGGATTGTTTTCTGAATAGATTTGTTTTTTGATCGCTAGAGATCTTTCATGCCATTGAGAACTTAGTTGATAATCATCTTTTTCATTGAAAATGTTACCTAATGCATAATAACATTCTGCTAGATTCTCCAGATCGTCAGCAGGTAATTCGGTTAATAAACGAGAATAGTATTTCTCTGCTTCGTTGAATTTTCCTATTCGACATAGAACATCACCAAATGATAAAATGGTCACTTGTTCATCTTTGAAAGGCTTAAGTATTGGTTTCAGCTGAGGATCATTATCAGAACATAATGTTAATCGTATGGATACCATTCTATCATGATTAGAATTGATTTCATCGATACGAAATATCGAACCGATTAGGAAGAAGATTTCATCATCTTGATTCGAATAACTTAAATTTTTCATGTTACAAAACGGAGGTACTCCATCAAGAGAATGATTCGCATCGATTTCGAAGAGAGCGAGTTCAACTTCATCTGAATCCGGTAAGTTCTTCAACGCTCTTTGACGATTCGAATACGTGCAAAGAAAAACATTCATCGAGATAAATCCGCCCATCGCATTCTTTATTGATTGTAAATCATCGCGTGATACACATTGGCCATGGTAAGCTTTCACCGTAGATGAACATCGATTCATTTCCATTTGATTTTTGATATCGCGGAAGAAAAATCGGAATAAATACAACATTTCAAGTGTTTGTTCGCGTATTGCTTTGTTGAATAAACGGGTCAGGCAACAGTCCATTGTGTACCATGCAAGTGCTTGGTTGGATGTATAAGTCTTTTCGAAATCATCGAGGATAACTAATTCCGCTTGATCTCCTCTGTATAGATCCTTACATAGAGTAATTAACTGATGTCTATCTGTTGTGTTCGATTTCATTTGAAATAAACAGTCGAAGAAGAATTTCGAATGAAGAAAACGGTTGTGCATGTCGACTGATTTAGCCGATTGTTCGTCACTCGATGGCTTTTTATACAGATTAAACGACCATGATCCATCAGTTTCGAAAGCATTGCGTCGTGTTCGATCGGATTTAATTTGAACAACTAACTCATCCAGATTGGTAATAACACGCTTGATCTGAAACGAATAATATCTGTTCAAACTCAATTTTCTTTGGCAAACTTTACTTACCTTCGGATACTTTTGTGCCCACATTTCATTCTTCTGTTTATCCATACAATAGACATAAATCGAGAGGACTTGCTTTAGACGATGAATGCGCGGAAGTATTTCTCGACCTAGCCGACCACTGACAACCAGTAGAATTCGGTTTTGTTTCGGTATATGTCGAATGTAGTTAAAACAATCATTCGTGTTCTCAAATGCTTTGAAGTTATCGATCAAAGTTCGAAGTTGCTGTTGAACATTAATGTTTTCCGACGTCGCATTAACGGATGCATCGAGCCACACAAGCGAATGGATGTCAACATTATGCTCATCGGTAAGAACAGATTTTCTTACAGATGCGCCCATGAATTTAAAAATATCTAAAAGAAAACTAGACAAGAACATTCTTTCCTTCTTTCTTTTTTGATTCATTAGGCATAATATTTATAAGCAAAAAATGAATGAAACTACATATATGATCGTATCAAAGTGTATTTCGAACATCGTATACCTAATGAAGAGAAACTAGTGAGTCATCGTCGTCCTTATTATTGCTATTTTGTACTTTTGATTTATTACATACGTCTAATATCGATAGGAATCAAAGGACATTAGTAATAGTGGGTAAAAATGAGATGACAAGAAATGATGTGCCTTTTTGCTCGTTCTACGTACATCTACTCTCTTATCTGTTAAAGTTTTGACGATATTCGTCGAATATGCCGTTCAATTTCGATGACATCAGCATGAGTCGAAGAAAGTGTTTGTCGGTAAATAACACCTGTTTTTTCATAGAACGACAGTGCTTTCTCAAATTCATTTTTGTGTTCGCAGATCAAGCCAAGTCCGCAATAGCTAACAGCGACTTCGAGATGCAATGGTGAAAGTGTTCTCTGTAGATTTTCAAGTGCTTTCTCATAACATTCAAAAGCTAGATCGTACTGATTGAGGCAAGCATAGATAATGGCAACATTATTGTAAGCTATACCAACATCAGGATTATCGTCGGATGGCTGTTTTTGTTGAATTGCCAAAGCTTTCTTATAACAACTTAGCGCATCTTTGTAATCTTCTTGTTTCTGATAAATTCCACCAAGTTTTGTGTAACACATCGCTACACGTACATGATTTTCGTCATACACTTGTAAACTAACATTTAATGCTCGTAGATACGCTGCTAGTGCTTGTTTATAATCCGATTTTTGTAAATGAATCTCACCAATGTGTTTGTAACTCTCCGCCAAACTGATATCATTTTCACTTAAATTTTTTACTTTGATTTCCAACGATGTTTTGTGCCAATCTAAACTGACATCATACATCTTTCTTTCTTCCGCGATAATACCTAATGCAAAATAGCAATCAGCAAGATGACAGGGCTGATCGACGTATTCGTTTATTAACTGAACGAAGAATTTCTCAGCGTCCGCGAGTCGGTTTAACTTTATTAGAAGATTTCCGAACGCTATCAAATTGATTTTGTCATCGAGATAATACGGTTTGAAGATTTCTTTCAGTTGCTTTTCATCTTCATCAGCACACGATGTTAACCGTACAATCCACAGTCCATCAGCTTCCTGGTGAAGTTCAGTTAAACGAAAGACTGATCCGATAGTGAATAAAACTTCTTCGGTTTGTCGAAAACAGGTATTCGATTCAATAAAGCAGAATGGTTTGCTTAACATATGATTTGGATCAGCATCGATTTCAAACATAACTCGTTCTAGGTCATTAGAAGATTGATTGAGAAACATTAAGACTAATTCCCGACAGATACTTGTCGAGAAGAACGTATTGATTGAAATGAAATGATTAATCGAATTATATATCTCAGTGAGCTCGCTTTTAGTCAACAATTGACTTCGATAGACTCGTACGGGCGAAGTGCATTTCTTACTTTCGATTATTTGATGAACATCTTGAAGAAAGAATCGAAAGGAAAGTAATAATTTGAGATTTTGTTGACGAATAGCTCGTTTTAAAACTCGATATATACAAGAATCTCTCATGTACCAATCCAGAGCTTGATTTGCTGAATAATTCTGTTCGAAGGCTTGCAGAAGTTTCAATTCGGCATCAATGTCATAATATTTTTCTTTTAAAAGATTAACTAGTTGACTTTTGTCGTTTTGAATAGGTAACAAATGAGAAAGCAGAACGTTGGTTAATAATTGTGAAGCAATAAAGTCATGTTGTTGAGAAGATACACTGAATGGTAAAATTTCGTTGACTTCATTTTCACTTCGTTTTGAACGTTCTTCTTGGATTTTTTCAATTAACTTCGGAAAGCTGGTAATGATCTCTTTGACCTTAATTAAAGCAGCAAGATGATTCAGCTTCTCGCGTTAGTTAATCATACCTTTGTATAACCTACAGCCCATTGCTCATTTATGGTTTTATCTAGACAATAGACGTAAATCGAAGAAACTTGTCGTAAGTGATGAATACGTGGTGTCAATATTCGACCTAGCCGACCACTCACAATAAAAATAAGTCGCTCATCGATGGGAGTCGCTCGAATGTATTCTTCACATCTGTCAACATTATCGAATGTTTTCAGATGACCAATCGACGAGCGAAATAAATTTTGACCATGAATATTCTCTTGCGTTGTATTTACAGAATTGTCAAGCCATAGCACCGAAAATGAATCGAATTCATCGGTAGCGTTTCGTATGATCGATTTATTTATCGAATCGATTAATTCATAGTACTTTTTTAGCATGGGTAACTGTTTACTCTAAAACACTGTAATCACGAGTATGGAGGAAGAACAAAATAATAACGTCATTCATGTGTGCGAGAATATCGTGCTATTACGTTGAATGTGAGTATTTGTTTTCTTGCTTGATGACTAAATCAAAACCTTAGTCGGAGGTGGAGTTATATGAACAAAGAGAACGACGGGATGTGTTGGCGAGAGATATGTACGCATGTCAACATGTGTAGGATTTACAATAGAATGCTGGATGATCACGAAGATATTGTATTGCGTCATATCAAAAAGCGGTCTTTGCAAGTTTCTATTTTTAATACTTATTGAATACATGGATACTTTCCGACAACGTCAGAGGTCGAGTCATCCTTTACGAAAAATACAACGGATGTCGTCAAATTAATACGGTTTTCCTGCAAAATTTGCAGGAGCAAATTTTTTTACAGCAGAATTTTACAAGAAATTCTTCCTTCCGGTGTCTACAGATATCGGAGAGAGAGAGAGAAACAGGAAGTTCAGCTCATTTCGCATTTTATAGAAAGTTATTCACATATGCAAACTTATTTCTAAGATTGTTGCTTCATTTCACAGCCTAGTCATCATTTGCTTCAAATATTCACTTGTACATAATCAATATACATGGAAGTGACTTTTATTGAGAACTCAAAGTGAAAAAGTAGGAGTCCGTATTATACTTAGCAAATGTTATACTTAAAATAGCTCGAATGAAAAAAACCTAGCAACTCAGCTAATTCAATCAAGTTGAAAGGCAACAGATACGCGAGAAGTTAAGAATTTAAAATAATGCTTTGTCATATTTTCATCATGAACTGCGAATTGACGCATTCGCAGTCTAAAGCCCACGCTGGTTTTGCGTATTTCATGCTTGCTATCTGCATTTTCAAAGAATATAGACACAGAGCAAGTCAGACCTATAAAAGATGTTAAAATGTTCCTTCATTCAATTATGAAACGTTCATCGACAGTGATGCGTTAGAAAGCGATCTTTTTCAAACTGTGTCCTGCACCATCTTACTTTTCCATCGAGATTAGGTTATGGTATCGATGAGGAATGAAATGCCTGCATGCATGTAAAAATCTCTTGTTTCTTAACTTCTTCGCAAGCAAAAAACGTTTTGAGCATTGAGAGTGTGTAAAATTATGACTGCCACGCTGTGGATAATTATATTCTTTTTTTTTTAATTTTCCTTTCCAGCATGAAGAAGTTTTCCGGCAAAGTTCAAGTATAAAATATAAAATAAGCATCGTTTGTTGTTGTTCTAGACATAATAACACCATTTAACATAATGAATAGTTCACTCAATTTGCTCATACTACTTCTATTTAGCGTTCCACTAGTATTTTGTAAACGCTGTGGTTGCTATAGTGATGCTAGTCTTATTGATTTACCAAATACAACATTGTACAGTAATTTAACATTGCAATCTTGCGAATGTTTGTTTAGTCAACAGAACCGATCAAGTTTTCAATATAATAGTAGTGATCAAACCTGTTGTATATTTGATTCTGATATTGCATCAGCAAATCTTCGAGTGGCTCCAGGTTGTAAAGTGTGCTTTTGCAATCAAACGACAACGGTAAGTTACAACTAGTCTCTATATAAATTGAATACATCAGTTAATCAGGAAGTAAAGTGTATATTTTCTAGGTCGACGCACCTACCAGTACTACATCGTCGTCGTTACCAAGTCCACCTATCAACGTGTCAACAGCTGTGCAAGGCAATAATTATTATACAGTTGAAACGGTTTATCTCACAAATTATGCCACGCTGACATCTTTGAAGATTGTTATCACTGCTCCAAAAACTCTGGGTGCGAATAGTCCACAGATTTATGGCAACTATTGGTCTCAAGGTACAAACTGTACTTGGATGGTGACAAATACTGATATAATCGCAACATTTTATTTGATACCTGGATGGACAATGGCACCGAATAGTTGGAATTATAATCTTCAATTTGCTCTAACTGGTACAAATAGACCTACAGTCAATGACACTTATCGAATACAAATTGATTCTTTTCAAACAATCGATGGACATTTTTAGCGCTGTACAATACTCTGTTCCTTTGAATATATTTTAAATTTCGTTGAAGCATACGTCCGTAACGAATGGCTTTTCATAGTAATAAATATTCTCTCGCGAGAGTCCACATGTCTCTGTATGTTTCGATTGTCGTGAACTTTGGTTTGATCAATATCTCACGTGACGTGTGTATTCTGTATTAAATATAAAATCGACAAAATGAACAAAACAGAAGAGAAATGGTAGTACATCACAAGTACACATGAACACATTTTTTTGTCCAAAGTTAGTAGAAAAAGAAAGTATGCTTTTTAAAAAGTCTTCGTTTCCGTAAGATCTCAACTACGAGAAATGTATTCCCGATAAGCAATAATGATATACATTGCAGCACAAAGTATAATAAACACATCGTCAAATAATCCAAGAAACCCGAACATATTCTCCGGAAAGATGTCGAACGGTGAAAGAACATACACAATCACAGTAACCAATATGAACATCATTCGAATGCGATATGCCCAAGCAAGACTTTGTAGGCTAAAGATTTGTCGGATTATATGAGGTATTAGTACAGGGATGTCAGCAATATATTCACGAAACTACAAAATGAAATGATCAGACGTTGAGAAAGAAGAATATCTTACTGATCGTGGAGCACCAGAAAATCGTCGATTGAAATCCCTCACATCATTTACTACTGTCTGACGATCACTATTATCCTCCAATGCTTCTTCGTCAGCAGTAAAACATGTGAGCAGGACAGTTACCTAACAACAAGAAAACAGTATTTATGCGACCTTAGATTCATAAAGTAAATGGTACTGACCGGTTGTCGACATACTGGACAACTCATTCCACTCATCCAGTTAGATTGAAATTTCCAGAATGTTATAATACATTTACCTATAACGATGAAAAGGTCATATGCAATAGCTACGGAATGGATGAACGAACCACAGAATAAATGACCACAGTTAGTTTCGATGCTTAACACTGATGAGTCAGTGAGACATATCGGACAAGTGTCATGTCGAGGACGACCCGCACGTGTTGTAGGTGTTTCATTGGTTGCATCTGCTTGTGTAGCTTGTTGAGCACGTTCACGTAAGATTTCCACATCTTGTCGGTTATCTGGATGTATGTTTGTATTGCGTTCGCGACTAAAATTACAATATATATTCAGAAGTCAATCTTGCAAAACACACTAGTCTATATTACTTCGCATAATAAGCCAAAAGGCCCAGTAAACTTAGTATAAAAGCGAAAAGAAGTATTGTATCATCACTAATCCCTTCAATCAAGTATGAATTGTTAATCGAATAGGTTCCCGTCGACTGGCTATCTTTATCAAATGGCCAATACCACGGCATATCTCTAGAAGTAGAAGATATGCAAGTAAAAATTCACAGTTTCATTTGTGCTCTATGAAACACTCTATTTGATAGGCTGGAAATATTCCTCTCTGTATTCGAGAATGACTCATGTATTCCAACAAATACACGGATGAGTCATGTTTCAATTTTTTACAAGAAGTCTTTCACTCAGTTTGTTCTTAGGGAAAATCCATCTAAAATATATGTATTTAAATACAGAAATCAATCGGTCTAATTGTAAATCGTGAACAAAGAGATGCAAGTCATATTTTAAATTGGTTTTAAATATATATTTTTTTCTTTTTGGTTTTTATATAAAGCGACAAACGTTAACTAAACTGTTCTGCTCTCGTTAGTTATCTGTTGTTGTGTTGTGGTTTAAAGGAGGATGAAATGTAAATAGTCATAACAACGAGGCAAGCGAAACTGTTTTTCTTCGTCTACAGGGAAAATACGGATAGTACAAGAAGAAAAAAAAAGAAACTAATGTCATTGTATGATTTAATCGCCTTTTGGTTTAGGTCTGTAGAATGCGATCTTTCTCGATTTGAGCGATGCCCATTTGACACGTTTCCAATGGTAAGATAGAACGACCAAAGGAACAAATACAAGAACGGCTTTGATGGCTAATTTTTTACGATCATCGTGGTCACGTTCAGCACTCCATTTAAGAAATTCAGTAACATCTTTTGCTAATTGAGCTTCAGTGGCTTTGGTTCCATCTGAATATTCAATTTGATCATCATACAATTGTTTAGCCATAGCAATCCAACCACCGCTAAAGTATGGGTTGTAATGAAGACCTGGTTCACCCTTGACTCCGGCCGGTTGGTCTTGATAACCAGTCAATAAATTAAAAACGTAATTACAGCCGTCCTCACGACCTAGATCAAACGTAAATCATTGAGATGAGTATGCGTGAAAAGAATACTTTATGCAGAATACGTACCAAGAGTAATAAGTGAAAGATCTGGTGGTAGCGCTCCACCGTTTCCAGCCTTCGCAGCCTAAAACATTCAGAACAAACAGAGTATTGAATTTTCTGTCTTCTTCGACATCAAGCAGATGATACTAACCTTATCGTTTGGATAAGGTGATGGCATGTAATCTGTAAGTTTACCAGGTCGTTGAAACATATTACCTTGATCATCGGGTCCATCAGTAATTTGATCTTGAGCAGCTATGGCTTTAGCTTCTGCTTCCGTGTGTGTCACTCCGACCAAATGGCGATAGGCAAGAAATTTCATTGAATGACATGCAGCACAAACTTGTTTGTAGACTTCAAAACCACGACGCACAGATGCATGATCCAACGAATCGAATGGACCATTAAACGACCATGGTAAAGGAACTAAATGTGCTTTATTACCCGATGCGTGGACAGCTTGAGAGTGAGCCCAGGCATAACCTAGAGTGCCAGCTGTTAATAGACCGCCACCTAATTGATAAGCCAAACGTTTCCATCGGGTTGAAGTTTGAGTGGACGAGGAAGATGAATTACGGATGATATAAACTAAGATTTGATGGTTTTGCCGAGTTGTTCGGCATAAGATTGTTGATGTCATTTATGTTTCTTCAATTAACTTCCACTCTAATGATATCTATCACATGGAAAGACAAAATCTTGAAAAAAACCAAAGAAGATCTTAGTAAAGAGGGCAAAAAGCTAGAAAAAAACGAATATGTTTACGATTTACGACGATGGTTAGGATCTTCCATCGATTGATATTAATAAACTCCTAACGAATCGATTTCATGTCGCTTTGATGAAACTATAATATGTCTAAGTAATTTCCGAGAACTAATTAGTAGAAATTATTGAAAATAAAATAGAAAATAGAAAGTATCAAATGAATGTAGATGGCACAAGTATCGTACTGCTGATTGATTCAGCATCTTAGACCAATCGAATTCGTGTTGTTGTCTTCCTTCTTTCATTCGTTTCCTTTCCTTTTCCCTACTGTTCATTCATTCATTTATTCAGATAGAAACAGTTACTATAGTCTGATACAAGACAATGACTAAATACCGATTCACATTTCCTAATTAGAATAATCGTTGAAATGAAAATTGTGCATACGAATCTATTGAACAATTTGAAAACTTCGTCGTTCTGAGTGAAATTCTCTATTGTAGAAGTAATGACGATTGGTGTAAATAACATTTTCGATTGTCTCGAATTAAACACGCCTCTAAATAAACATGATATCGAAGAATTCATTCCTCGTGAGCGTCAAATCGATTCATCAAATCCGCTTCATCATCTTCTGATCGATGTCGATACAACATTAGAACGTCTCTATGGTGGTTTCTATCCAGACTGGTTAGCCGGTGGTGAATGGTCCCATTTGTATTCTTATCTGTTATCATTATTGAAAACTTGCCAAGAATTATCTTTATGTTTGATATTCTGTTTCGATGGTACGCTTTATCGCTACGGACAATCTCAATGGTACCATGAACAGATTCAACAACGCAAAAAAGTCAATCAAATATTTAAACACTTGAAACAAAATAAATCCGGTTTACCGCGTCGACATTTATGGTTTCCACCACCTGCATTTCAGTTATGTCTGAGAACAATCTTGAGAGAATTGAATTCGCCGCATTTGCTTATGTATCAAACGTGGGGTTATGGGCAATGTCAACATCAAGAGCAAATGAGGATTTATGCTCAACAGTACCATCAGAGTTTAATCGGCGTTGTTTCATCAGATATTGAATTTTTATTTCCAATGAAAATGAATCAAGAGAATGTTGTACTGAGATATTTCTCGTCGAAACATTTCAAATTATCATTAAAAGGACGACTAACATTAGTAGAAGTGAAATTAAATCAAATGAAGGAAAAATTTTCTTTAAACAATCAACAATTTGCTCTTCTCTTAACATTACGTGGTAAATAGATTCATTTGTTCTATCACCGTTTGACTTTTTTTCCTTTGCAGGCAATCATATTCTACCTGATAGTGATTTGGTTCATTTTCATAATGATTTACTTCATGAGCATGATTCGACACCTGTGTCCCTCGTAAATTTTGACTCAAATATATGTTGCTCTCTACTCATATTGCTTTAGAATACAAATGGAACAGTTTCACCATCCATCGTTGAGACGTCTACGTCTGAAATCAAAGGAGATGCATGTTCTCCTGATAAGAGTTTGCAAGAAACAAACGAAGAACCTCACGAAACATCGCCAGTTCATGCTCCGAATCAATCCCGTTCCAATGGAACAAACGTTTCAACCGATCAACTTATACCGCGTCTAGTTGATTACATATATAAGCAAAACATTGAGAATGACATCGACTATGAATCAATTGGCAATCAAATTTTCAAGTAAAGATCTTCTCCTCAGCGTCGAATACGTTGTTTTACCTTTCAATTACATAGACATTCAACTGATAATGAAACACGTCAAATCAAAATACAATCATTAAAAGATTCTTACGAGTACTATTTGAATGCAATGATCGAAAGCCAATCTGTATTAGATAGTATGCAATCCACAGAGAAGATCACAGCGTCTTGTCTCTCGAATTCTTCTTCTAGTCAAAGTATGATAAGATTGTTTTCTTTTTGGCACGACAGTGTATACCAATATCTATTTCATTTAGCACCCATAAATAAGTCAGATGAAAATACCATATTCGAAAACTGTTCAGATGTAAATATCGAAGTCATGCGTACGGCATTTAATCTTCATAAACAAGGTTTAATGATGCCATGGATATTTCAATGTCTTTATAAAGTAGGAGCACCTCTGGATGAAATCTATATTGATCTAAAGTGTAATATTCTTATATCTAGCATGAAATTACATTTCCAGTAACAATTGAACCTGAAATGTGCAATACAATTCCAAATATCTGCGAATTTTATCGCCCCATACGGAAATACGTTTATTCGATTCTCTTCGATAATAATACAATAATACGCGAACAAGTTTACAATAGTGAACATGGATCTTATTTAACTGAAGTTCTATGTGAACAACTAGGGTCAAAACGCACGATTGAACAACTTTGGTTTGGCACGAGTCCCGATGAGGATAGACAAATACGAATGAAAACATTCTTACAATCACTATTCTATTGTGATTTACCAAAGATTTACTCAACTGCTCACGATTATCTTCTTTTTATTTGCATATTACGTTATATTTACATGGAATTCTTTCGTTATTCGTCAACATCCGCCGTTCTACACACGTACGAATTGATTGCGTTCATCTCTCAAGCCGTTCTAATCACTGAATTGCAACCGAAACCATTGATGAACTCACAATCGACAAACTTTTTGAACCAATACGATCATATTCAAATAACCAATTACGAGACTCGACCCATTCAGTTAGCACATCTGTTTATGCGAGGTTTGGAAACTATTCTTTTTTCCAATGAAGTGTGTGGTGCACCGATTCATCCGAAATACTGTTGCCCATCTCATTTCTTCAATGGGAAATTATTCCATCAGAAGTACCTTCAAGCGCAATATTATCAACAAAATCCTGATTTAGTTATGATCTTATGTGATGGAAATGTAAGAAGAAATTTTTACTTCGACTGAGAAGTTTTCTTAAACTTTTGCTACTCTCTTCTGCTTGTAGACGCATTGTGCTCAAATTGTCTCACACTTGCTCAATGCTGTGCTTGATGGAACATCAGGTGATACTGTTCATCATACACCTATGCAACAACAACAACAGTATAAATACCCTGGACCTGCACAACAAAATCAACAGCAACGAGTTTTAACGAAACAACCCCGACAAGGACGTGGACAGACTCTTGTAGCCAATTCAATACGTCCCGCTATACGCACGAACACTAAACAATCAGCAGTTAATAATGGTTATAATCAACAGCAAACACCCATTGCAAATTACCGTCAGCAGCAACCACCGCCAGTTAAACAAGCTGGACAAATGAGGAACGGCGGAATGAAAAAGAACAATATTGGTAGTTAAGAACTCTTCTGCGTTTATAGTATTAAATTAGAATATATGTTTATCTTCGTTTCAGCTACGCCATTTAATCCGAAGGCACATCCACAAGTAGCAAAATTCAATCCTCAGACACCAACGAACATGAATTTTATTTCTCAATCGCAACAGAACTCATTACCAGCTGAACAATGGTCTACATCGACGCCTTCGGCAATGCCTCCAAATTACTTGGCTATGCCGCCTCAACAGCAACAATCTCATGCAATGAATAATATGCAATCCATACCTCTACAGCATCAACAGTCAATGAATAACAAGTACTGCAATATGCTCCCTCATTGATTCTAACTTACTTCGAAAATAAATGTATATTTTTTTACTTTTAGTTATATCAATCCTCTTGATGAGCAATTTACTCATTTACAAATTCATCCATCGCCAATCATGACGACACCGATGGCATATCCTCATCCAACTCCAATGCTTAATCCTCATTTACCGATGACTCCATATAATCATCTTCATCCCACTATCTATCCTATTCCCACTGGGCCATTATTTTATCAACCATCGCCATCTCCATCAGTTCCTTCCTTCCAGCAACCGTTGGCAACACCTTATCACCCAGCACCGCCTGCAATCCTACCCGGTCATCCGCCACATGCACCAGTTGCTCCACAACGAACAGTTAACTTTACCACAACAGTTGCACCAAATAACAATACCAATACTTATCCACAACGTCTTTCTCCAACATCGATGCAAGCGCAAGAAATGAATCTTCAAGAACTACAACAGCGCATTCAAGAACAACAAAAACATCATCCAACACCATTATCCATTCATCGACAGATAACTCAAATGCCTACGAATGATTATACTCCGTGAGTAGTTCTATTATCTTTTCTCTCTTCAGATCAAAAATATCTCCTATGCTTTCTAGATACGACATGCATCGATCAGCATCAAACAATGGTATGACTATGCCACTACAATCATGCCATTATCCATCGATGATTATCGAACATCAACCACGGCTTCATGGTCATTGATATTTGAATGAACAAAAGCAGAATCAGTACAGAACATTCTACTTCTTTCTTTTATCATTCAGCAGATTGTGACAGATTGTTAAACAAAGTAACCAAATATTTTTTAATGATGATTCTAGTTAGATATAAACATAATTCATAAATAAGGCACGATGATGTGGCATGTGTACACGTTAAATATTCAGATTTTCTCTTTTCTTTTTCAATACATTCTTTCTTTTTCTAGTGCTGTTTGTCTAAAAGAAAACACTCGGGATTTATTCTATTTAACGTTAAATAATAAAGAAGTTTCAAAATCATCTATCGCTTTGTTTGTATGTCTTTTTAAGATGATCTACTTATTGTTCACACGATCGATAACATGGCCGTTGAATATCTTTGGATTGAATACCAATCAAAAGACAATTTCAATATCAGATGACGAAAACTCTAAGAAAAAAGAGTCTGACCAATCGTCACCATTAATTTCGAACAGAAGTCTCATAGACCAGAGTACTTTATCGAAAAATATGGACGAAACCAAATCTTTAATGGAAATAAATAAAACTCCTAATCTTCCATCACCGAAAGCCTTGTCCATCTTAGGGAAACATTACTTAACGAGAGAAGATTTGGAGAATTTGATACAAGCGAGATTTAAACAAGAGACCCCGCGTGATCGTATCGAACGACTGCTTTGGAAAAAGTAAGATCCATTTTCAAGACATTTGTTGATCAAAACTATGTTCGAGTTTCTTTTAGTGAACTAGGTAAATATCCTGTTCACGCAAGTCTAAAAGACTGGCAGTGTCTCGCAGTTGCCATCAGTCTTGGCTGCGTATTTGGATATAATCGTAAGGAAGAAATGAAGCCTGTATATGTTCGACAAACATCTATGTTAAAGTTTCAAGATCGTCTGACGGCTGAGGTGAGCAGGTGAGCTTTGCTCCATCGGCCATGGTTGTCATATGCTTTTATCTTCTATTTTTCTAGCGAGCTTATCGACAATTTAATGTGGTTATGTTCATGAAAGAAGCATACAGAGTTGCATTTCTTATTCTCTTTGTTACCGAGACAATTATGTACGTACAGATAATCATATAAAGGGAAACGGTGTCTGTATATTGTCGTGAATTTCAGGACCAGTCAGTACGCTATTGAGGCATATCGAAATAAATCAACAATATATGATTGCATACCGGGTGCTGCTTTTGTTGGTTTTACATTCAAAATGTTTCATAGTCCACTGGCAGCAGTTGTTTCAACGATACAAGGTGGTATGATAGGGTAGATATTTCCACCGATGCATTCTAAAGATCGATTTTAATCGTCTGGAATCTTTCATAGTTTTCTCTACGGCTTCATTCATAATGTTGCTACCCGATTAATCAATCGCACATACGAAGATATACATTATGAACAAGTTATGAAATGGATACTATATCGAGAGTAAGCTCTTTTCGGAATTATTCTTCTACTTGGTTTTTATCTGATCTGTGTTTAATTTCAGGAATGCCGAATTATGGAGTGCTCATCTAGATGAATTACCACCGGATTATGTTCCACAAGAGCCCGAACGAACATGGGGTCTCGGATGGTTTAAACCATAGACAGTGATGTTTTCGCATATTTGTTTTTACTTCTGTAACAAATACGTTTGATTTGTTCGAAAAATTCTCTTGATAAAAACATACAAAAAATGAAGTATCAATTTCAGATTACTCATTTCAATTGGTCTTTGTTTATAGATACAGACTATGCATTATCTCAATGATTACCTTGAACGTTCGTATATCTTTATAGTAAAAATCTTCAGTACCCTCTGACTTAATTTAGTACTCGAACCGTTGCGTGAAATCATGCGAGAAAAATTAACATTGATGCGTGAGAAAGATCTGAAACTACAAGTTGACTGTACTCAATTAGAAGATGATTCAACCGAATTTCTCAATAGTTACCGTCTTTATCAGAAGCAATCGTCACTCTCACCGACAAAATCGAAAATTCAAACACGCCCATCATCGTCAGAAACAAATGACCAAACATCCGAATTAACACCCGAACAATTAGCGGCTCAGCAACAAAAACAAGCGGAATACAATAAAATCGTTGACAGACATCAACAATTACTGCAAACGACAGAAGCAAAGATTGCGCTTGCAAATGATTCACATGAATTCGTCGAACGATATTTCAAAAAACTAGAAAATGACTTACATAAGTTCAAAATGGAACTGGAGGCTGACTATTCGGGCTTAACAGAAATCTTAGAAAAACGTAAGATCAGACAAGCATTACATAGAATGTCAGTTTTTTTCTCTTCATCGAAATTCGATTTTAGGTTTTGCAAATGAAGCATGCAATGACTACGAAGAAAAATTTAATGAAAATGGTAAATAAAGTATTCTAAATTTAAACCTTAATCATATATGAGTTGTTATGTAGCCGTTCTTGAGCCGTCACTACTCGATACTGAACTTTTATTTGATCCGTTCGATGATTTAACTCTACCAAGATCTTTGACGGATGATTATAGTGATCAGTTATCATTAAATTATTTATCGTCATTGAATCGTAAAGCACAGCAACGTCTTCAATCGTCCAATTCATCTGTGTCCTCTCGAGGTCGCAAGCGTTTGCAAAGTGCTTCATCGACAAATCCGACGGATAAACGAAAGCGCACTACTCTCAATGACTCCCAACATTTTCATCCAAGTGATACCGATGAATTATCGATAAATCCATATGCTCATTTGAAAAGCTCATCATTTGATGATGAGAAATACGTTGATGTCGATTCAACACAAGCTCTACTAAATTTAAATGAACAAACAGCAGCGGCAGCAGCCACCACCGATGAGCGTCGGTACTGTTTTTGTAATCAAATTAGCTATGGTGATATGATAGCATGTGATAGCTCAACATGTCGCCGAGAATGGTTTCATTACTCATGTGTAGGAATAGTTACACCTCCCAAAGGCAAATGGTTTTGCTTTGACTGTACACAATCCTTACAACAGCAGCTAAATATGCATAAATAGACTAGTCATAGGATAAGAGTTCTTTTTTCTGCTATTTGTTATTCCTGTTTGTATATAAAAATATATGCATTTAACGATTCGGTGCATTAAAACGGATTTAATTCATCGACAATGTAGAGTTCTACTGATGATTTATAGTCACTTGAAAATTCTAATGTTAGAAAAGACGAACATTTTGACGTGTTCAATAGATGTCGTGTTGAAGAATAAATAAATTTTCAAGAGAAAAAAAAAAGCTTTCTTTTTTTATTATTCAAGTTAAAAAAGGAAATCTGTTTGTATCTAAAAACTCTTAATAATTTAAAAAAATAATCTTTCAGTACAATTTCTCTAGTTGCCATGGTAAAATGATTGTTCAACATCGGCATGACTGATCGAGACAATCGTACAAAAGGACACCTTAGGGGAAGGAATGAGTAATTAAACTGTGAAACAATCATTGTTTTCTTACAGTTCCAGAATTGTTATCTTCTTTTTCTCGCTTCATGGAGGACGACAATCTAATTCTTCTCCTAAATACCACTAAGTCAGACTCAGCGACTCCGATCCAACAGAAACGTGAACCATTAGTGGAAATAGCGGAGAATGACGATCAAGATTCAGTTGTCACAATGACATGTTTAAATGATCGTATTCCGGCGGAGCCATCGACCAATACTAAACGTCATTTCGATGACATTAAACTAGTTCGGCCATCATCTGCAACAAGTCAAGGTTCGCATTCGAAACGGCAAGAAAAAGTGATCGCTTATGCACCGCATTTGAAATCAGGTGGAAATCGAAATTCAACCGATAATTTGATTCAATCATCCATCGATATTACTCTCTCATCGAATTCGTCTCGCGATGAATTGCAACAACGTCAGGTGTATTACGGAAAACACCAGACAGCACCAGCGCATCCTGAAGAAGAAGAAGAAGAAGAGCTCCCTATCGTTACTATTGTTGGCGTGGAAGACAATGGAGAACAAGAAAATGATAATCCAATCGATATAAGTAAGTCTCAACGAAATATATTGCCCATTTGATGCGATTCAAACATATCAATCGATTTTTTCTCAGTTTCTCCTTTTGCTACACCATATACTTCAACACAACCAATAGTTCCCGCACAAGCTCATTCAACACCTGATGTGCAAATCTCACGTTTCGACAAGGATCCTGCAACTTCGAAAGCTGCTTTCGCACGCTCTCAATTAGCTAAACGTTTTTCCATCAATCGAGCCCAACAACGTCCGATTCCTATTCAATCACTTTCACAAACTACTAACAATGACTACGCATCGGCAAATGATCAACAGCAAACGGCAACATCTCTTGCTGCTACAGTAGCTGCTTCCGTGGCTGTATCCGTTGCTCAACCATTTCTTAAACTACAGAATGAATTTGAACAAAAAATGAATACTGTACTAGACCAAATTCACCAACAGCAGCAGAAATCTCACAATAGTGGCGTCGTCGTTCCTGTAACAGCAATACAACAACCGAATGATTCGAATAATCTACTTAATGATTGTGTTGATACACGAATGAAATACATGGAAAAGGTACAAGAGCAGCAACAGAAAATGTTAAAACAGCTTGCCGATCTTGTGCAAACAGCTGGACCATCTGCGAAATCACCTACTTTTGAAAATACGACATCTTTTTTGGATTCTGATTCGCCACAACGTCACTTTCTTGATACACTTGTTGGAACATCATCGCCACCTGTTCGTCTAGCCAAAGCACACAAAAAACCTCACACTCATAAGAAAACAAGTCGATCGCCCTCGTCGCCAAGCAAGCGTCCTAGTCGTGTTACTGGTACTAATACACGTGCAGGTAAAACACGATCACCAGTCACGTTCAAAGAGCCACCGTCGAATAAAAAATTCAGCGTTGAATCATCTGCAGTTCCATACGGATGCTCAGTTTGTGATCGATCACGTTCACGTTCGCGTTCTCGGTCACCGTCGAAAGGCCTCTCGCCTGATTCATCTTACCCTCGACCTTTTGTTCCAGTTCCTCGACCGCCATCAATAATGTCTGATGGCTTTATTCCGTCGTCCACTGCATTGATCACTGGCAACGCATTGAACGATGCATATCCACCATTCGATCGATATTTAAACAATTCTATTCCACCATCACCACTGCAACCTCGACCAATACGACCCACCAACAATGACAATGCCGATTTACATGAACGCATCAGACACATCGATGAAGCTAAACAATTACTAGAGGAAAATTATTTAACGTTACAAAGACGTAAACATGATGCCGCTGCTCTGGAATCTATAACAAATGATTCATTACGTGTTCAACGTCTCGTTGAACAATGCGTAAAGCAAGTTACGCGACAAGTGCGTGAAGAGGTCAAACAGAAACTTGAACAAGAAGATGCGAAGAATGAACAACAAAAGCCAAAATCTACAACCAGAATAAAGAAACGACCGACGTCCAATACACAATTAGCTTTTGAACGTCATTCAACATATCGCACAGGACAACCAACAAAACCAGTTGATGATTCGTCAACACCAACTAAACCTTACAGTGATGTCTTCATGGAAGCAGTTTATGGACGTTCGCTATATCAAAAAATTAAACGAGAAGGTAAACAGCCATATTTCAAATTAAAACATCAAGCAACTCAACAGCCAAAACAGCCAAAGCAACTTGAACAAATACCTGTTCGAGACACTGGTCTAGTAAGTATATAGATATAAATAAGACAGTTCATTGTTTCAAATAATTTATAGAAACCTTCACCACGTGCAACTGCTCCTCGTAAAATAGAGCAAACAATACCGATACACCATCCACCGCCACCAGGACAGCCTATTTACGAACCAGAATACTATACTCGTCCAGATGGTGTAATTCTTCTCGGTCCACCACAAATCCGTGATACGCGTACTTTTCAACCAACTTACATATCCTCATCGGCAGTAGCACCGTCGAAATTAACACCTCATGCTTTACCTAGTGTCGATGTTGATGGATCGAACAAGAAAGTTCGTTTTGGTCAAAAATTTGAAGAAATTAGGAGTGGTCCGGATGAAAACGAGGAAGAGGATGATGGACAAGGTATTGAGATTCCCGGCTATCATAGATCGCACGATGATGACCAACAAACATATGATGGGCCGAGATTTCCTCCAACAATACCTCACGACGAAGGCTATCGTGATCGACAATACGATACATTACAGTCAGGTGCAGTCGATTGGCTCGAACAAGAATTGATTGCTCGTTTCATGAGTCAATTACAAAGTCAACAAACGACTGTACCTATTCGACAACATCGTGATGTGATCAGTGCACGTTCGTCAACAAGTTCAAGTAGCGATGATCGAAGTATACACGATCGTTTACTTGACTTACTTGGACAGGACGGTTTTCAATTATTCATTGATATGGGACAACCCATTGATCAAGATCTCATTCAAGCGCTAACACGCGAAGTTCTTGAAGAACGTATCGCACAAATGATTGGCTTTCGATCACCAAGAGAAAGTATTCATGTTGTACAACCACCACCTGCCCCTCCTCCCCGCACAACAACACCGACGTCAACCATACAACCGGTACACGTACCGGATAATTATTATCAAGGGCAGCATTCCCAATGGCCACATGACACTAGTGTACCAACGCCGCAACCAACTCCACCACAATCGCCACCGCCTCCGACACAACGGCCACGCGTTGTAACACCAGAAATCACAGGTAAGCACTTGCTCGCCGTGTATGGATCTGAATCGATCGGAGAATACCTTCTATATAATTTAGGTCAAGACATTTCATCAGAAAGTGAACCTACTACGCCACGTTCAGTAACACCACGTGAAGATACGGACCGTCCACTACCATCTGTGCTTCATCACAGTATCGGTACACCTGATGCAAGCGATAGTCCATCTCCACCATCAACTCCACAACCACCTATCATTCTACCACCTCGTGTACGAACACCGCCACCAGTTATTGAAAAACGTGACATAGGTACAATGCCAATCGCTGAACTAATTACACCACCGCCACCACCCCCACCTGTTATTATTCAACCACCGCCGCCTCCTCCCCCTCCTCCTCCACCACCAAGACAACTTACGCCACCCAAGCCACGAACACCACCTTCACCAGTATCCTCAACATCTTCATCGTCCTCGTCGACAGAAAGTTCAAGTAGTCTGTCAACGTTTTCGATTCCATATTCACCAACAGATAGTTCGTTGAGTGATCATCGATGGTTCGAAGAACGAAGTGAAGGTCAAGTTGATCTACCTTATGGAGATCGTCCACAAACAGATCTGATTATGCGACAAGTACAACGCATGCTAGAGCAAAGACGTCGATACTCTTCAACGACACCTCTCGGTATGAGTTCCGTGACACCTCCGTTTTCACCAGCTGGTGCTACTCATACATTATCTATTGGTGAAGTACCTCCTCAATTTCCGAGCTCAGCTCCTTTTCAACAGCACGAAAATGGACATACAACACCGCCAGGATCTGACGAAAGCAATAATTCGGGCAAAAGCGAAGGCGAAGTGACGTCTAGTATGATGATGGTGCATCAACAACCACAATCGATACATATCAAGTATCGTAAACCATCTCAGGGTTTTCTAGGTAAAAAGAACAATCGAAAATAAACTGTCTTCTTCTTCTCTACTTTGCTTCAAACTTTCTGTTTTCATGCACACAAATCGATTTTCAACGCGTAGTGTCGCTTTGTTTTGTTTTTTGTACTACTAATTATTATTTATATACTTATAGATTAGAATAAAGCTTCTATCTTATTCAACGTTTAGAATGTTTTTCTTTTCTTAAACGAGCCTATCGATTATAAATCTATATGTACGCGTAGTCCCGAAAAAAACTTCGATCTTTTTTACTAGAAATTGTTTAGTAAACAAAATGAATCTATTCTCAATGTATACATGAACAAAAATTACTATGAGAGATTATTTCTATTCGTTATCGTTGATATATTTGATTGTTGCATCAGCATTGCCGTGTTTCGCTTTGTATGTATCAAATAAACGTCTCAATGCATCCATGTATTGCCCGTGATATTTGTCGATGATATCTGGAGTGATCTGATCATTATCTAATTTAGGCAATTCGATAGGTTCACCAACATATGTGTCAATAGCATGACGATTCGGCATAAATCCGAAGGCATATTGAAAAATACCACGCCCTTTAAAGACTGGTGTGGCAAAACCTAAACGCTTTTGTATTTTGATTTGTATCTGTCGTAGTTTGGAACCGAATGGATTGGCTAGCTGATCATAGAGATCGTTTTCACCAAAGGAAAAAACGGGAACAAGGCTTGCACCATTTGCTAAACCTATTTTCACGAAACCTTTGCGGTTCTTTAACGTTAAGATGTATTCATGGGACGGATGTGCATCTAATGACTCTTTTGCACCTCCTAAGACTAACATAATGCTATTTCCATTGCCTTTCTTCAGAACATAATTGCACGATTCTTTCGAAGCATCACATAAACCCATCATGGATAGATAAACACCGTAGAATGGAATACGAAAATTAACTTTTAGCGTTAGAAGACGAAGATCAATTCCGGGAAACTTTTCTTCGAAGCCTGTTGCTTCAGTAGCAAAATTACAGAGTGCACCTAAAGAAATAATTCCATGCGGATGATAACCAAATATATACGGACGATCAGGTGGTAAATCATATGTTTTATGTAAGTGAATGGGGAAGTAATCTAGAATAATTCAAATTCAATCAGATTAGCAGAAGAAACAGTCGAAATTTCTGAAGCGTTCTTACCAGCAAACCATTTCCACCATTTTAATCGTCGAAACCACTGTTGTTTCAAGCCTCCTTCGTATGGATACTTTTGAAAAAATACCATCCATGTTAAGTACGCAATAAATGCACCGACGACATACCAATTGTGACAACGAAGTAGAACTAAGGATATATAGAGGCATATCCATGGCATTAAAAACCATGTGAGTATAGTTAAAGTTTGTCGTCGACGATATAGAGGAATGTTCAATGGGGCAAACGTACGATTTGTAGGTGTCGATGGTGCGAGTATCATCGACTCTCTGGCTAGTTTTTCTTCCGGTACCATTTTGGTATTTTCATCTTCAGGTTCAGTGATTACCGGTGATGATGAAGGGGCTACGATTTCTTCCGTCATGATTACACGTAAAGAATGATGTGAAATAGATTGAATGGACTGTCTTTTTATATTGTGCTTATCTCCTTATCATCCAATGGCCGTCATAAGAAACGATACGACCTTTTGTCTTTCGCCAAAAATACAATTATACCATTACCTCTGATATCAATAGATGATGAATTTGGTGTACATGTGTACTTCACATCTATATCAGCGTATACTATCTGATATATTAAATTTTATTTTGTAGACTATGGACTTTGAAAAGCGGTAGTATCAGTGTAAAATGCAAAGGTGAAGTGTATGAATCATCGAATGGAAGTGTTCTATTTTTTTGTTTCTCTTCGTTTGAGTCGATAGACTGTACGCCTTTCTGTCAGCAACGCAAAAGAAAGAGAAAAATAAGAATATAAAACTTCGAACTAAAAATATTTTCGTATGAGAAAAAAATGTAAATAATGGAATTTCTTGTTGACATGTATATGCAATAGAAGAATAGTTATCTAGTTTATGCTTTCAACTATCTACAGTTGATTTTCAATCGGAGACAAATAATGGTAAAATCGAAAGTGACAGTTATCGATATCTCTCAGATATCGGTGTCAATATTATTCAATCATATTTTCTCGCTATACATCACATGGCCATCGACCCCGTGATTAGCAATGATGAACAGGAGAAAATAAAGGTAGAATAAAAACAAAAGTAAATCGCAAATCGACAGAAACTATAAGTACGCACTTAACCAATCAAATCAAAAGACCGAACTGTCAGTGCATACATAACAATAACTAAATAGTAGATGAACCATGGCAAGTAGTTTTGACCTTCTTGTAGCTCAACTTACAGTTGATGCCAACCTCCGCGAAATAACAAATGTTCTCAAAAGTCAGAACTCCGTACTGGAATCAACATTCATTTCTGAATTTTATCAACCAATACTTACTCTCGAACGATGGACCTGGCAGCTGTTTGGCAAAAATTCGCATCAAAACTTTCAACAGTCAACTTATTTCGATTTCTTCCGAACCTTGGCATTATTCAATAAAAATCTAGTCTTTCATTATGACACGATCGATAGTGTCACAAAAGCTGCTGTCATTATTCCTGATACGATCGAATGGATAAACGATATATTCACGCAATTAGCAAACATTACTGATGAAAATGATATATACATTTATATTGTGAGTATGTGGTTTGATAATCTCTCATTGTTCTTATTTGACAATCCTGAACACGAAGCATCTCCTGCTATCGTTCATATCAATCGATACATTGCGCAGAATTATATTATGACTGATCAATACAAATTTTATTTATCTCAACTAGCACAACCGTCAGTATCACAAACAATTTTCACTGCGAAACAATTGTTCTATATAAAGACATGTTCATTGTCTTTGAGTGCGTATTTATTTGCTAAAGCACAAGATTTTCTTTATACAAGTAGCGACATCCTCCAGCATCTTGGTCCCTATTACACACAAATAATCATCCTTCATACTCAGACAATCGAATCATGGAGTTCGTCTTTACTTACTTGTATTACACATTTGATTAGCTTTTTCGTTTCTTGTTGTTGGTGGGGAGGAGAAAAAAATTCACCTATTCGAATTCTCTTTGCCAACGACGCGGGTGCTGGCGTATATATCGACGCTCTCATTCGTATTGTCGAGCACAAACCATTTCGTCAATATCTCTCATCACAACAATCATCCGACCATACCATTCTCCTTGACAGAACTTTATTCTCTCTGATTAACATTTCACAAAATCAAGAAATGATTTGGTTCCTACGCTCAAAACCGATGCTAGTAGATGTGTTAATAGAACTTGCTGAAACATCGGTATACGATAATGTCTGTTTGTGTATATTTAGTATTCTAGCTGAAATTTTGAGTAATGAACGTTTAAAAGAATTAAAGATCCCAGATAGTGCGAGTAGTTATTTCTTTCGTATTCTTGAGGATGCGTGGAACCATCCGTTGAAAAAGTTTAAACAGATACCGATTTATTACATACTGAAACGTAAGTCATACCGGTGATTCGATCGAAATCTGTGATATTAATTGATTCCTATTGTTTTAGTTTATATTACCTTATCGAAAATCGATGCTATTCAACAGACAACAGCAAATACAAATAAGATTCCACTCTTGATTGAAATGTGCGATGAATATCCAATGATATTCGATATCCTTTGGGCATTATCCTTCAATCATGATGTTCAACAGCAACTGCGTTCCAATTCGTCGTTTATGACAAAATTAAACCATCCACCTAAAGAATACAATAACGAACAGATAAGGAAAATCGTGCAAGGAATTCTATGGAATTTAGAAACTACTCACAAAGATCGAACTACATCGTTGACGAGCGATGAAAAAATGTTCGATATTATGATTAGTTACTCACATAAAGACGAAGTTATTTGTCGAAAAATATACGATGAATTAATCAAAACCGGTTATCGCATTTGGATTGATTTCGATCAACTACACGGAAACGTTATGGATGCTATGGCACAAGCAATTGAACGATCCAATGCAATCGTCATTTGTATGAGTGAAGAATATCGTCGAAGTAATTATTGTCGAGCAGAAGCTCACTATGCATTTCAACGACAATTGAAGATGGTTCCCATTCTACTGAAAGAGCATTATCAACCGGATGGTTGGCTACTATTCCTAGTTGGTCAATTGTTTTACATTGACTTCACAAAATACGAATTTTCACAAGCGATCGAAATGTTAAACAAAGAATTAAAAGCACCAGTGATTAACGATTTCGGTTTGTTGCGTATTTGTTCGAAAGAAGAAATTGAAAATGCAGAACCTGCAACACCATTTTGTCTATCAACAGCATCGTCAGTATCGATAATCCCAAAAAATTTGCATGAATGGAACTCAACACACGTACAAGATTGGATGATCACGCACGATTTATCACAACTGAGTCGTGTATTTGCTAACTTCAATGGCTCAAGTTTGATTCATATGTATGAATTTATCGAAAAACTTGATCTTCAACAAGTTGTCACTCTGCTTCAAGACGATTCTGTACGGCGAACAGGTCAAAATCTATCATTGGTCGAACTATCGCATTTTCGATCTCTCATGAAACAACAAATACAATCTTCTCCACCATTTTCCAGCACTCTAAAACGAACGAAACGAAATCTAAACAAATGGAAACATAAGCCTCTTGTTAGTTGTCAAATAATTTAATAAAAACAATCGTTTTCATAATAAACAGTGATGACTCACAGAGTAGCTTGTAAAACATCTAATATTTAGTTAAGCCGGTGAAAGTCGTAGAAATGTATCAATATGAGTCTCTGTTTTTCTTACTCTATCCACATGTCAACGTCATGATACTAAGAAAAGATGAAAGAGAAAAATAAATAGTACCTGTTTTTGTTTGAAAATATTGTACACAATGAGAGTCAACCAAAGGCACATTTCATTCTACGTCGTACGTTAACCAATGACGAACAATATCGAAGACCTTGTTGCTAATCTTTCTTCAACAACGTTGGCAGATACAGTTTCTAGTGAAATAGCAACTATTCTCCAAAACGTTGACACGAAATCTTTACTCAAATTCGTTTCCGAGAATTTCAATGCCTTACTCGTACTCGAACAATCGATATGGCAAATACTTAGTGAAGACTCTCGTCACTGTTTCGACCAATCGAAATGTTTCGAAGAATTATTTCACACTCTTCTTTCGTTCAATAAAAATCTCATATTCACATCCGATGAAACAAACTCCGATATGAAAGTTTCTCTACTCACTCCTCAATCACAAGACATTATAACTGGTATATTAAAACAGCTTGAAAACTGCAATGACGACAATGATCCGTATTACGTGATGATCAGTCTCTGGTTGGATAATTTTTCATATTATATGCATGAAGAAGCACAATATGTCATGTCGTCTGTGGTGAACGATTTAGAATACTCAATTGCCGATAAATTCATCATGGTAGATCAATACAAGGCCTATTTAAATCAATTGCAGCAGACAAATTTTAGTCACAAACAATTATTTTACTTGCAAACATGTTCATTTTCAATCAGTTCGTACCTTTTCTGCAAGGGTCAGAAACTTCCTTTTACCAGCGAAGAAATACTTCATTATCTTGCGAAAGATTATCTTCAATTAATTCAGCAATCTAGTTTCAACGTTCAATCGTGGAGTAAAGACTTTCTTTCGTGCATAACACAAATTAATAATCTTATCAATGCATGCTGCTGGTGGAGTAGCGACAAAGAAAAAAGTATTAAGATACTTCTACCATCGAAAGATATTTCTCATATGCACATTCAGTCATTGATTCGGATACTTCAATATAAGCCATTTCACCAAGAAATTCAAGTACAACGATCAAATACCGAAACGATTCTAATCGGTACAATAATGAATCTCTTGATTGTTATATCAGACATCCATAGTTTAGTTTGTTTCATACGTACGGAGACGAAATTAATCGAAATACTTTTACCCTTAGCAGAAACATCGAAGTACAACCGAATCAGTTTATTCGCATATGTAATATTAGGTGAAGTTCTGTCTGATGAACATTTAAAAGAATTGAAAATTACGACTAACATTTGTGATTACTTTTTCTATATGCTCGAACATGCTTGGAATCATCCAGCACATCATTTTCAACGTACATCTGTACCACAATTACTTCGAGGTAAGAATCAAATTCTTTCAAATGACGCACATGCGCTTATGTCTCCATTCTATTCAATGTAGGATTTCTAAATTTGGCTAAGAATGATATTATACAACAAAAAACTGCGGATACCAATCGAATTCCACTTCTAATTAACATGTGTGATCAATATTCAATAGTATATGATATTCTCTGGGCATTATCCTTCAATCACGATATTCAACATCAATTACGTTCCAATCGTAAACTAATGATGAAATTAACTCATCTGAAACAAGAACTTAACAATGCTGCAATGCGTAAAATAACTCATGGAATACTGTGGAATTTAGAATCAATACATGAAGATCGAGCTCCATCGGAAAACGAGGATGGAACAACGTTCGATATCATGATCAGTTATTCACACAAAGACAAGCTTTTATGCAAACAAATTTATGATGAACTCATCAATACTGGTTATCGCGTTTGGATTGATTTCGATCAGTTACGCGGAAACGTCATGGATGCCATGACACAAGCAATTGAACGATCGAATATGATCGTCATTTGTATGAGTGAAGAGTATCGTCGCAGTAATTATTGTCGAGCAGAAGCTCACTATGCATTTCAACGACAATTGAAAATGGTTCCGATTCTTCTCGAAAAACACTATCGACCAGACGGCTGGCTTTTATTTCTTGTCGGTCAACTATTGTACGTTGACTTTACGAAGTATGAGTTCGCACGAGCAATGGAAATGTTATTCAAAGAACTCGAAGCACCCATTCAGCAAGACCACAAAGTTACATTGACATTGACTGAAACAACGGATCCAGCAGTTGTTATCAACAATGATGAAACAACGTTGTTGGAATCATCATCTCTACCGGATGATATTTCCGAATGGAGACAAACCGATGTTCAAAATTGGTTAATAGGACTAAATCTCATGCAAACATCTCGTCTGCTGTGTGACTACAACGGTTCGAATTTAATGAATTTGAATAGATATTTATCAACTAGTGAACCACAGGTGATTCTAAAATTTCTTCAGGATGATGCGATCGAAAAAACCAATCAGAATCTATCGTTGATCGAATTTGCCCGTTTTCAAGATCTTCTCGGTCAGCAGATTTCCTATTCGAAGAAATTCAATCGTCGACAAAAGCCATCTCGTTTTCTATGTTGTACTATTTTGTAAAAAACAGAAAACTGTCTTTCATATTACAAAAATTGTTCGCATATTTCCATGCGTTTTGCAAAACAAAGAATTAATAAGAATACTATGGATCGAACTATTTTTTATTTATATAAAGAGAATAAAAGAAGAAATTCACAATTGTTGTGTCGAGTTTCCATTCCATGTGCGTTTTTCTTCATCATCACTATCATCTTGTGTATTATGAAATCGACGAACGGTTGATTTACTAGTTGAATCCGTTTTGAAATTCTCTGATTTATTGACTTGGCGGTCGTTTGTTACTCGCGACGTTGATCTCGTTTGTTCTGGCTGTTGGGGACGATTACCAAATAATTTTGCAAAAACAAGTTGATATACAAAATTGAATTGCATCATGAACCATGTAAAAACCAATGGAATGGATTGAAAAACATTAGTTGAACTCACAGCAGACGAAGAACTATGAACATTGCCGCGATTTATAACGAGTAGAACAGCTGTTGGAACCAGTTCTAATTCTTTCAATGTACTCGGATTGTCAATTGTTAATGTTACACGCGTATGTGTTGTACGCAGTATATAGGAACCGACTCTATATTGATCAGCTGGTAATGTTTCGTTCAAATATGCATAAACATCTTTCATGTGAACATCACATGGAAAATCCTCGGTGAAAAATGAACCGTCAGTCAAACGGAATTGTAAACGTGAACGAGTATAGTTGATCTTTGGTGTTTCGACGTCGGCTGTCGTAACTTTAGCTTTGGCTTGTTCGGGCGGTGATGAATGTTCTTGCTCGAACTTGCGACGTTTCTCTTCACGATCTTGTTGAATTTGTGCTTTAATCTTTTCTTGTAATTTCTGTTGCTCAAGGCGGTCGCGTCGTATTTCTTCGGCTTGTTTACGTAAGAGTTCTTCGTCTTTCTTTTGCTTATCCAATTGAATTTGTTGTCCGAGACGGCGACGATTGATTTCATCTTCTTTTTCTTTGGCTTTTGCTTCTTCTTCGCGTTTATCATAAATTTCTTTAAGACGTGCACGAGCTTCAGCAACCTACATATGTCCAAATATCATTAAAAATAGAAACGAATGATAAGACGTTACTTTTTCTTCGACGCTTTTTGTTACTTGCGGCGATGCCTCTTGTTTTGGTGCGATTATTTTCAATGACTCTTCGATAAGTTCATGCAATTTACTGGAATCTTCTCCTATTTGTTCGACCACTTTCAAGACTTGGCCATTTTGACCGTTAATAAAATAAATTGTTGGATATGTTTGCACTTTGTAGATTGCTGTAAATTGATCACATCCTTCTGAACCTTTGTTCAAACGTAGAACGATCATATTGGACGTATCATTTATTACTGCCCATACATCCGACCAGAGTTTGTCCACGACTTCCGACTGCTCGTTATCATCGCGAACATAAACAATAAAAAGAGCTCGGCGTGATTTAGCCTCACGCACAGCGTCAACAACAGCACCTGAATACCACAGTTCCATTTAATCTGAAAGAATGAAATACAAATTTTGGAAATACGTTAAATAACGTGTCAACTATTTCCACCGATTCCTTCTTTCGACTGCCATTTACAGAAGACGATGTACGTAGGCGAATGAATGCGTGCACGATAGCAGTTTACATAAAAGAAAGCACCAATAGGAATATAACTTCAGTTAAGTAATTAACTAAGTAGTGACACGTTTGTTCCTCGCATTATTTTCGAGAAAATAAACATCTTTTACCAATCGTTCGCTATTGTAAGATTTGTGGATCAATAGCGCCGACTATTTACGGATTACCGGTAGTACGAAGCGTAAATGTCGCTACTAGCAACGTATTTATTTGCACATGAGTAATAACAGCTATATTCATTCAAAGAAAACTTTTCTTTTATTACAAAATGAAATTATATCATAGAAAAGGAATGAATAATAATGAGTCAAATACATAAACAAATTGAGAATGTACAAAAAACAGCGACGAGTGAAAAAGCTCCTACAGTATCATTCTACTAAAAAAATTGCTAATATATCAATACAAAAAAAGAGATACGTGGAAAACAAGTAAGTAGCGACTATATAAAATTCATATTATATGTTCTAGAGATTCACACCCTTGGATGGAATGGTTAATGATTATCGAAAATGAGTACTATATACATAATGATATTGATTAGAAGGAATGAGCGAATTAAAGATTGAATTTCCATTGCCATAATAAAAAGCTAATACCAAATAGCATGAGTATATCTGAAAATTGTTGCCTGATACTTCCATTACACCCATCTTTGTTATCACATTGACAATACCACATTTTAGTTTTCCATGTGCCTGTCAAAAAACGAGTAAGCATTTTTCTACGATTAAAAGCTTATGTATACATACCGACACGTTCAATACAATCGCGACCTTGCTTTCGACTAACACGACCACGTAGAGCGCATCCACGCATATAATATCTCGTTCCATCGCCAACTTTAAAAATATCATTAGTAAAAATCACAAATTCCGTCAACATTCGTTCTTTACTTACTTTCCCACATATACTTTCGACACATTGTTGCATTGCCCATGCCGACCTGAGAGCAATCTTTCAAAAACATGGTATCATTTTGGAATGGGTCACGACATTTTCGATCAGGTTCTTTGCACACATAACATTTGATTGATACAACTAAACAATTAAAATTGATCATGAAAAGAAAATTCAATTATCCATGTTTGAAGTCTCCTCACCTGATAATGCATAAAACGCAAGGATAACAAATGAACAGTAAAATATTAGATATTTCATTTTTTTTTCTTCTTTCTATCAGTTGAGTCGAGATAAACTTTCGTCGAAGAGAAAAAAAAGAACTTCACCTCAGCAAGCAAATACCAATAAACAACAGAGAATTCTTTCCTCCAATTGAAATCTTTCGAATGACCTCTATCTAAAGTAAATGTTCGCCGTCGAGAGGAGAGCAGACAGAATAGGAGAAAAAAGAACACAATCTGAAGTCACACAGAATGTTTCAAATCAAAACGAGAAACTGCTTATTGATGATTATTTTTCCTATGAGGATTTGACTTTTGCTTTAATAGAACGTCCATTTTTATCTATTGTCTTCTTTTCTCCGAAGAACATCAGTCAATCCATTCAGCCATCCCACATTCAATTAGAGATTCTCTATCTTTAAACGATCTTTATCATTTTAGATTGAGATAAGACAAGATAGTCGAAGAGAAAAACGAAAAATTACTATGTATCGTCAACTTTTTCACAATCTAACTTCACTGGCTAAGAAAACAACATCTATCTCATTACAGCATCTTGCATCTTTAACAACTAGTCAATCTTTCCTGCCAGCAGTAACGAAACCAGCGCCTCAATTTAAAGGTCAAGCGGTCATTAACGGACATTTTAGAGATATTCAATTATCGGATTATAAAGGAAAATATGTCGTGCTGTTTTTCTACCCACTAGATTTTACATTTGTTTGTCCCACAGAACTTGTTGCATTCAATGAGCGTCTCGATGAATTCCATCAATTGAACACACAAGTTATCGGTTGTAGTACTGATTCAGTACATAGTCATTTGGGTAAATGAAGAGAGCTTTTCAATAAACATCGATATTGATCTGTCTTGTTAATGTAGCTTGGATAAATACCCCGAGAAAACAGGGTGGCCTTGGTGAACTCAAATATCCACTCTTGAGTGATTTTTCCAAAGAAATATCGCAAAAATATGGTGTTTTGATCGAAGATAATGGCGGAATTGCTTTGCGTGGTTTATTTATTATTGATAAACAACAAATATTACGACAAATAACAGTGAATGATCTACCGGTCGGTCGATCGGTCGACGAAACCCTCCGTCTCGTAAGAGCTTTTCAATATGTTGAACAGCATGGTGAAGTGTGCCCTGCGGATTGGAATGAGAAAACCAATCCGAACACGATAAAACCAGATCCAGTGAAATCAAGAGAGTATTTCCGAAAACAAGATTAGTTTGAAGAAAAACAAGAGAAATTCTATTTTCATTTTTGTTACATGCGTCTGTTTTTTTTCTCATTCAATTTCCTTTTAGAATTGTTTTCTAGATATATATTTTCTATTTATACATACACATATATATTCTCATCGAACTAGAAGTAAATTAATATGCAAGCCTACGGTCGTTACGATTTTACAGCAACGGCTGAGGACGAGCTGAGTTTCCAAAAAGGAGCTGTTCTCAAAGTAAATTTTAAATCGAGCGAATTCAGACGATATATATATGAACTTTCACATAGGTACTCAACACCGAAGAAGATATGAACTGGTATAAAGCCGAATTCAAAGGAAAAGAAGGTTATGTGCCAAAGACATATATTGAAATGGGCCCTAATCCGTAAGTAATATATTCCAATAATAGAAAAGTTGTGATTGAATGAGACACTATCATTTATTCATTCATTGATTAGTTCATTTTCTGTACGATTAGCTTAGCATTATTATGAAGTGTACCATGGAAAAGGCTTTGATTTTTTTCTAGTTGGTTCTATGGAAGTATACCGCGCGCTGAAGCTGAAAGAATTCTTCTTCAAAAAGACGGAAATCGATTTATCCAACCGGATGGTGCTTTTCTCCTACGCATGTGCGAATCGTCTCCTGGTGACTTTTCCTTATCTGTCAAGTAAATTTTAGTTTCTAAAATTTCACGAATATCCTAACTATTTTCTTGATAATTTCCTAGATATCAAGATCAAGCTCAGCATTTTAAAGTCCTTCGCGATGGAATGGGTAAATATTTTCTATGGGTAGTAAAATTCGAATCAATCAATGAACTGATTGATTATCATCGTTCAACATCAGTTAATCGTGGACAAAATCTATTACTTAAAGATATGGTAACAGAATCTGATCAAGCAGCAGCATATGTAATGAAATTCAGATCGTTTAAAACTCAAAATCAACTTTCACTTGTTGCTTCTCTAGAACAATAAAAATCAACAACAGAACAATCAACGAATTACACAACAGAACTCAGTACCACAACAACCAATGCCAACAACAGCAGCAGCAGATGGTCAAACTTACGTTGCTGCTTATGATTTTCAACCACAAGAAGATGGTGAAATTGAATTAAGACGTGGCGATCGTATCCGAATGCTAGATCAAAGTGATTCAAACTGGTGGAAAGGTAAAACTGGAATTAACTTGTTATTCATGCATCCATTTATTATTGTTATTTAGGTGAAGTTCGTGGTAAAGTTGGTCTTTTTCCTGCCACATATGTTCGAACTTTATAATCAAACGCTCATACTGAACGAACAGTGTTTCTTTTGTTCGAGCCAATATCGTATCAAAGACTTTGAGATAATCGAAATACATTAAGGACTTTTTTCGTCCAAAAAAGAGAGATTTTCTTCTTGTCTTTTTCGTTGAAATGACATCTGCTTGTAAGTTGGTTTTATTAAATGCACGTGTTTTAGTTTTAATTAGTACTTATCACCCATCAATATTCGTTTACGTGTATATGTAAATATATCTACTCATTTAATCCTCTTGTTAAAGTACAACTGTATGATGAATTCGGCATTATTTTCTTTTTTTTCCTTCTTATTCAATAGATTGGTGCTCTCCTTCATTCGTTTCTGATAGGAAGACATTTTGCGTTTATTATTCTTGTTGTTATTATTCTTGATCTTCTTCTTCTTGTAGTCCTTTTCTTTTGTCTTGTATTCTCCTTTCCTAGTGATCAACAAACAAACATAAATAATAATAATAAAATAAATTATCAGTCAACTGGAGCGAAATAAATGTGAGATTGTATCCCTGTAATATGATTAAAAGTTCGATAAAATGTCAGACATTTACAGAAAAGATTTTATTTCGTTGCTTTATCAAAAAAAAAGATCAGAAGTTCTACGATGCCGTACGAATCGCATGCTGTCTCTTTTGAACTAAATCCACTTCTGCTGGAGTCATCGTATCCAATTCATATACATTTGTAAGCGATTTCTTTTCACAGCCTAAATTTATGAACATCAAATCAAGTTGAATCAGAGCATTTTTCATATTACCCTTTTACGAACACTTGTCAAGTAGTAATAAAAAGCATACAGTTCATATTGTCGTATTATATAGACTTAGTCAATGATCAGCGATCAGTGTATTGTAATATATTTCATATCGATCGATTTGAAATGTTGTAAAATAAATAAAAAAAAGCTTACGACACTCGGTATTCCCAGGCGGTCACCCATCCAAGTACTAACCGAGCCCGACGTTGCTTAACTTCAGTGATCGGACGAGAACTGGTGTATTCAACGTGGTATGGCCGTAAGCATTTATCTCTATTTCAAGAATTCCTTTTATGCAGATTTTCGTTGCAAAATAAATTCTAATAGGTCTTATTACTAATTTTCAGCTACGACGAATCGTCATATTCGGAATTAAAATATCGCTGTGCCGCTGAAATACCGCGTGATCTTAGTGATTCATATAAAGGGAAAAATATATGGGTTGAAATAATTAGCCGAGATGTTGATATCGTACGCAACGTATTATCTTATTTCGATGCTCATTCCTTGGTTATTGATGATGTTCAAACATATGATCAACGAATGAACCTGTCCATTTTAAATGAAGATGTTTATCTTTTACTCGATCTTATTTACTTGAATAAAGATAGCCATATTGTCGAACAACAAAAAATGAGCTTTTACCTGTTTGAAAACACCCTTATCACCGTACAACAGTACTACACCGGCGGTCTATTCTCAACAATTAAATATCGTCTAAGCAAAAAGACTGCTCAATCGAAAGGTCTCTTGAAAAAGATGAAGATAGATTACTTATTCTATCGTTTACTCAATGTTGTCATTGAAAGCTACGTTCTTGTCTTAGATTCTATTTTACATGAAACCGAATTAATCGACAAGCAATTAATGTTTTCAACTAAACCAAGAGCTGATACTATCACTATTGATACATTGAAATTAATGTTTCACATCAAGCATGATTTACTTCATTTCAAAATCGTCTGTGCACCACTGAAAGATATTATTATCAAACTTCAGAAAACTCGTGAAACGGTTGTGCCTAAACGACAACGCCCAGCATTACGTCAATGTCGTCGCCGATTGAAACGACGTTTGCGACTAGTGGTAGGTCACAAATGTTCGTTTGTAGCACCAACGACGACTTCGCTTGCTGCGACTAACGACGACGATGATTATGCACTTGATGATGGTGTATTAGTATTCAATGATTATATTTATAAATACTTCCGACGTCTTCTTGATCATACTGTTGAATTAAATGATATGATTGATTCATCTGCAGATACGATCACGTCATTGATTGATTTTTACATGATCTTAAATGGTGAACTAATAAACGATACGATGCAGACTTTAACAGTCATGTCGTGCATTTTTATGCCTTTAAATTTTTTATCGAGTGTTAGTTCAATGAACTTCGAACATATGCCACAAATTCCAATGCGCTACGGATATTATGGGCAGCTGGGACTGATGGGCGTCATATTGTTTACAATGATTGCTTATTTTAAGTTTAAAAAGCTAATTTAACTTGTACGAAGTAAACTTTTGAAAAGAGGGAATAAATAAAAAAGCTTACGACACTCGGTATTCCCAGGCGGTCACCCATCCAAGTACTAACCGAGCCCGACGTTGCTTAACTTCAGTGATCGGACGAGAACTGGTGTATTCAACGTGGTATGGCCGTAAGCATTCGTACATCTAATATTCCTCGCTTTTGATGATATTATGCAGGCTCTTTGCCAAAAAGTAAACATAACGGATGTTTGGCAATAGTCATNGTTGGGGTGATGACACGAAAACTGTTGTTCGACAAGAAGGGGAATTGAAAATCGAAGATTTTGTTGAATTTGAAGAAACTGAACCGACTGTTGTCGAAGAAATACTCTACGAACTTGTTTACTCTGGTGATAACTTGAAAACCTGCCGTCAAATTCATCGTTCTCGTTCCGAATCGCGAAACTTTCGCAAAATTAAAAAACGCCGCACTAAACGAAAAGTTCATCCGAATGACGATTCATCTTACATAACTTCACAAGCAACATCGAGAGATACAAGCGGTACACGTTCACCATACTACAATGATGGTCAATACAGTCCTGATCGTTCATCCACACCCACCCAATCAGTTTTGTCAACATCCTGGCAATCGACAGGATTTACATCAACAGACAAATCAAATGAACTACCTTTTCGCAGTCAATCTCATGAAGGCAATTATGTTAATAAAGTCCCAGTGAATGAATATCAAACATATCCACGTACAACAATCACGCAGAACAATATACAATATGAAACATTCGAAACAGACAATAATGATAAACAAAAGATCCACCTGGTTGATGAAATGCGATATATATCAAATCAAATTGATACGTTAATTACAGCTGATGATGATGATGGTTTAATTGAAAATGACAAATACACGCCTATCATTAGTGAAAAGCGAGGAATCACTCAAATAACACTTGCACCGACAACTGCCGATCGAACTGATGACAGTGTGCAACTTGATCTACATTCATTCGATACAAATGAACTTCTACCGTCAAAAGGAAACGATCAATTTAGAACAACTTCTCTATCAACAGACGACAAAGAACAATCAAGGATAAACATTATCGAGCAAACATCTCTACCGAAAGAAACCAGTCGTAAGTAATTATTCTATCTTTCTTCCAAATTCTTTTATCTGTTATTCGTAAACTTCCCATAACATAAACATGCATTAAGTGTCTCTTCAAAGCTCGAAATCAATTGTGAAAACATTGAAATTAATCGTTTTAACATTAGTTGAGAGCAGGAAGGTTTCGCTATTTAAATATTTGAGAAGATATTCAAATGCTAACAAACTAAAAATTTCATCGAAGAAAAAAAGGACTTATCTTTCCTGTCCGTTTTTTTTACTTTGATTTTAAGTACATATGATTTGTTAGTAAGAATAATAACCTATCATTTCTTAATTGTCTTTTCAAGGCCAACAAATTTATTTAACTGGTAATGAAAAACAAATCAATGACATAATTTCAACGAAATATGATGAATCGGAAAAGGAGGATGAGGACCTATCAAGTACAACTGGACCGACCGTACAAGAAAATGAAAAAGATGGACAAAGAACGGGAAAAGATACTGATGAGGACGCTTCTTTTTCCGAAGGTGAACAATTCTCATTGAACTCTGCCAAGTCAGATACACATCAACAGGCACAACATACGATAACTGATCAATTTCATGCATCACCTCTAACTTCATCAGCAATAATTAAAGATGAAAACAAAACTATTGATGAAACAAAACAGTACCTCATCGATGAACTCAATGACATCGAATCTCAATTGAAATCCCTTGAATCCGAAGAAGAACAACTACGAAATGTTCTCGATCGAAAGGTAGTAGTTCAGTTCCTCCTCTCTCTCTCTCTGTCTATCGCAAATTGCTCAATTTGTCTTTTTAGGATACGGAAGAGCTGTTTCCTAGCGATGATCAGTCGGAATCTGTTGAAACTTTTTCATCGAATGTACCTGAAAAGACCGTATTGTCAGTGACAATCGATGATGACGACAGCAATGAATCAATTCAAGAGAGTGAAGAAGATCTTCGGCCATTTTTGAACTCTTTAACAGCTCATCTAATGCCAGAATTACCAAGAGTATTCGAAGACGAAACCGAAGATGAACTCTCGTTCACATCGGAATCGAAATCATTCGAAGAGCCGACTTCTCAAGAAGATCACGCCACTACTTCAGAAGTACAACAAACTAAAGAGAAGTCTCATCAGCATATTTCATCAGAACAAATTGAAACAAAGTAAATAGAGTTGCTAGTCTTTGTTCTTTGTTCTTTTTTCAATTACATCACTTGAATTTGAACTTCACTTTTGTTTGATTTAGAACTCAAGATAATCTACCGAAAGATCAAACAATATCTGACAGAGATGAAGCCAAACAAGAACAGAAAGAACATGGCATAGTTTCGGATATTCAAGAAGATCTCTTGGATCAACACGTACCAACAACGAAAGAAACAGCACATTCGATTGATTCTTCAGTTGATATTATTCAAGAACTCATAACAACTGATAAAATATCTCAAGATCAGAACGAACAAGAAACAATTTCTCTAACCTCTTCCACTCCATTGCAATCAAGACAATTAACATTTGAAGAGACACATGAGGTGACAGACGAACAATCGAGCAATGTTGATTCTCTTACTGATATTGTTCGGCAAGCAAACACTCAACCTTCGAACGAAGAGGAAGATAAATTACCATCTGTCGATGCTGGTGCTGACCGTACGCAACCTGTTAGCACATCTGAGCAGAAACAGCAGGAATTAGGTTCCAGTATCTCATATACTGCTAATGAAACTGGTGAAAGAAGAACATCTATCGATCGTCAAGGACGATCACTTGAGCTGCAATCATCAAAAGTATCTGATGAACAATTATCATCAGATTCTCTCGTCGATATTGTTCGTCAGATTCGTACAATACCCCAAATCACTCGTCTTCCATTTACTGATACGAAATTAGCAACGACTGACCTCACTGAATACGAAATTGAAAAGCCGTCCGTTGATTATCATATCGATATCATAGAAACAAACGAAAGCATTCCACATGAACCGGTGACAATAACTGAAGAACGTCTATTATCTACAGCAAATGAACGAGCTCCTGTCACAGAGACTCGATCTGAATCAACTCCTCAAGATACGGTGCAAGAAGCTCAAACTGAACGTCTTTCATCTGAACCTGAACCTACCGCAGGTGAAGAACACTCTACGACACCGTTGGCTACGCAAATCAATTTACGCGATTCAATAACAGAAACTCCTGTGTTTACAGAAAAACAAGCATTGAATGAATCATTTGATAAAAGTGTTGATGAAAACATCGAGTAAGTTATTTTTCGTCTTTTTTTCTACGGTAGAGTTATTAATTATTGTTTTAATAGCAAACAACAAGTGTTGCCCGGTCAACAAGCTACGCACAGTTCTAATCTTTCAATAACAGAAAAACATTTTACTGATGAATTCGTCACAGACGCTATTCCAATTAGTACGCAATTCGTGGAACAAACAGCACATGACATTCGTCGATCATCGGTTCAAGAACAAAACAAAGAAGATGTAGCTGAACAATTGTCAGCTAATGCTATTACTGGAGCCATCGAAGATATTCATGTTACTCCATCGCCGGTTGAACGATCAGAAGATAAAATCAAGCCCGATTTGTCCACGTCAACGACCGTATTAGAAGAGAAACCATTAGAAAAGCCCAGTGAAGTTGAAGTAATTGCAGATAATGAAAGCCAGTCAAAAACACAAATAACATCTGATTTACAAGCGCCAGCAACAGAAGATATTGACACGGAAAAAGTACAAATTATCGAGTCAACAACTTCCACAGCGATTACTGATGTTCGACCCAAGCATGAAGAGGCTGTCGCTGACCAACTATCATCAGAAGCTTTGGCTGATGTTGTTCGTCAAATTCATGCAACACCACTTGCTACTCGGCGTACGGTGACGCAAACCAGTGAGACAAAACACGAGGATTACGTAACATCTGCCGATTCGACTATACCAACGAATGAAAAAGAACTTACATTGACTACATCCGAAATCGCACAGAATGACATTGAGTCTGTTGAAACACCATTGCATCAAGGCAAAGAAAACGAAAATGAAGCTGATCGTCTCTCATCTGATGTGTTAGCTAATGTAGAATGTGAAGTTCTCGCTCCATCTCCAGCGTCCGAACAACAAACTCAACAGTCAGAAGAAAATAAACAACAAGAAACCGAAGCTCAACGTCTATCAACAGAAACATTGACAACCGTTGTTCATGAACTTCTTAGTGCACCAGCAATCAGCCAATCTTCTTCAATCGAACACGAAGTCGAAAAGATAACTTCTCAAGACGATTCGACCAAGTCAAATATCCCGTCGAAAGACACTTTTGAACTTCAATCCACTCCAGAACAACAAATTGTGTCAGCTAAAGATACGTCTGCAACTGGCCAACATGAGCTCGAACAAAATTTGATGGATGTATCCAAAGATGTTGATACTAGTTCAACATCGTTATCTTATCAAACACCGACACAAGAAACAAGGTAACATAATCTACATATGATGACGACGTGTTAATATGTCTACTTTTCGCCTATATCTTCAGATTCAAACAAGTGACCGAAGAAATTACAACAGATGTAACGCCTCATGTGATTGAAACTGGCAAAGACATTAGTGAACAAGAATCCGCACCAGAAATTGTTGCCGAAAATCTATCAACGAAAGTTCTGACTGAAGTTGTTCGTGAGGTGCTCACCAAACCGTCAGATACTCGTGTTCCAGAAGTGAAAGAACAATCACAGATTATCACAGAGCAAGCACCGTCAAGTGAAGACCAACAACAACCTGGAAAAGTATCTGACGAAGCTGAACGATTAACATCCGAAGCTTTAATTGGTGCTGTTGAAGAAATACGTTCAACTATACAAGACGAAACACACAAGTCTGCTACAACAACTGAAGTGAGTCGTGCTCTTGCTGATGAACAAGCCGAACAGAAAGAAGCTGATCATCTACCTACACAAGCCTTAACTGATGTCGCACAAGAAATACTTGCCGCAACAGCCTCTGCTAATGCGCCATCAGAAGTTGAAAAAGTACGATCAAGTGATCAATTGACAGAAGCTGCAGCAGAAAATGTAACAACGGATGTGCTAACTGAAGTTGTGCGTGAAATGCTGGCCAGTCCAGTTTCTGTTCGTACATCATCTATTGCAAAAGAAACAACCGTCTATGACGAGATACCTAGTGAAGAAGTAATGAATAAATCTGCAGGGGCAACAACATCGGCTGTACCAACAGAACAAGGCGTAACAGTTCCCGAAGAAGTAAAACAATTGCCAGCGACTACTGAAGAAATTCGTTCCAGCACAGATGAACAAACACAAAAGCCTCATACGATCACAACCATCACTGAAACAACAACTGAAACTACTGCTGACGATAGTCGTCCACTTTCTGATGAGAAAATCGACCATCGACCTATACAAGCATTGACCGAGACTGTGAAAGAAACACATGTCACACTCGCCCCCGTTGGTATACCATCACAAGAAACTATAGCAGAGAAGAAAGCTCAACCTAGCGAAGCCGTCGAAATGTCATCGTCACCGACAGTCACTTCCACTGCAGAAGAAGAAACTGCAGCAGGAAATGTAACAACAGATGTGTTAACAGAAGTTGTTCATGAAATGCTTGCCAGCTTACCTTCTCCTCGTTCAGCGTCAGATGTCCCTGTGTCAGAAGTGGCTGCCGTTATCGAAGAAGTAAAAGAATCCTCCACCGAACCATCACAGACAACTATGGAACTTGTTAAGCCAAGTGAAATTCCATCAAAAGCACCGATCAATCTTGTTCAAGAGATTCGCTCATTTCCAAACGACACCATCAACCAAATCGAAACTGATCATTCAGCTGGAGAATCTGTAATCGAATCGATTGAAAAGACGCTCTCTGAAGATCAGAAACCAGTTGAAGAATCGACATCGAATGAAGGTCTCACTAAAATCGTTCAAGAAGTACTCACCAAACCATCGGACATTCGTACATCAAAGGAGACTATTGTCATCGAGGAAGCAGAACAAGTTGAAGCGGAACGGTTAACATCAGAAGCGTTGACGGATGCTGTTGAAGAAGCTCGTTCGAGCACAGAAGTACCGACACAAAAATCTGATACAACCACGGTTATTACTGAAACAGCGGTATCATCCGAAGAGACCCGTCTACCTACCGACGAAAGAATCAATGATCACGAGACGGATCGTCCAACTGGCGAAATACAAGCTGAAGCGCTCCAGGAGGCTGTTGCAATACCGAAAGCTACAGATTTTCCGTCAGAAGATATTGTACTCCAAACAGAAAGTGTAATGGCCGCCGAAGAAAAACCGCCATCGGCACAGGCAACCACAAGTATGGCGAAAGATCATCAGTTATTGTCAAATGATCAAACAAAAGAGCCTGAACCTGAAATCCCACCATCAGAAGCATTAGCAGAAGTAGTACAACAAATGCTTGCTACACCACTTTCAATGCCCCTGTTAGCCACAGCAATCGAACAGCAAAAATCAGTTGAACAGATATCAGAGAAAGTCACCGAAGAAATGGCAACTTCTCCAGCTATTGTCAGGACATCAGAGACTTCTACACTAGCGTCGACCGCTTCACCAGAAGAACAGACAACTGCTAGGGAAATAAAACAAGATGAAACCATATCTAATGTAGGAAGAACTGAAGAAGTTGAAGCGGAACAATTATTATCGACAACTTTAACTGAAGCTATTGAAGAAATACGTCTAGCCACCGAAGAATCAAAAATAAAACCTGAAACGATCACAATTACCACTGAAACGAAGACAACTACTACGACTGAAGAGAGTGGTCCTCTTGTCGATGAGCAACTTGTACAGAAAGAAACTGATCATTCATCTACACAAGCATTAACCAACGTCGTAAAAGAAATACTTGCTACACCCTCTTCTGCAGAAGTAAGCACTTCTGCTACAGCAGATGAAAAAGTAGTTGATGAAATACCAGAGAAATCTACAGAAGAAACGGCATCGACAGAAGTTCTGGCCAGTATAGTTCGTGATGCGCTCACGAAGCCATCGCTTGTACCCACACAACAAGATACAATAATCATTGAACCATCAGACACCACCATTGAACGAATAACGTCGAGTGAAGAACAACAGCAACGACAACAACCTGAAACAGCAGTAACAACAGAAAAGACATTTGATGAATACAAAGCTCAAGAAGTCGAAGCCGAGCGGCTATCATCAGAGGCATTAACTGATGTTGTCACAGAAATTCGTTCTATCGCTGCACAAAAACTACAAAAACCTCGCGCACCTGCCATCATCGCGAAAACAACTACAACAACAACAGCAAAAACATCTGCAGAGACTGTTCCACTGCCATCTGAGACAATCAATGAGAAAACTGATCGATTGACCACAGATGCAATACGCGTTGCTGTGCAAGAGGCTGCTGATCTTTCATCAGCAGATTCGACTGCAGACAAAACAACGATTGCTATTGAAGAAATGGAAATAACATCACCTCAAACGGGCACTTCCACTACAGGAGACCGTCAGCCGTTATCAGATAATCTTGTAGAAGAAGCCGAAAATGAAACTCGATCAACAGCAGTTCTCACTGAGGTCCTTCGTGAAATGCTTGCCAGTCCGCTTTCTGCGCCTAAGCCATCGATTACGCTAGAGCCAACTGCTCAAGATGAAAAACCAGCAGAAGAAGTACTCAAAACACATACTGAAACAACAACATCTACCGACACTCTCACAGATTTAGTCCGCGATGCACTTCAAAATACGTCAGATTCTCTTCTTCCGCCAGCGACTACCACGACAGAACAGCAGATCGTTGTTGCCGAAGAGAGAAGACAGTCATTCACCGAACCGTCACAGACAACTATGGAACTTGTTAAGCCAAGTGAAATTCCATCAGAAGCACCGATCAATCTTGTTCAAGAGATTCGCTCATTTCCAAACGACACCATCAACCAAATCGAAACTGATCATTCAGCTGGAGAATCTGTAATCGAATCGATTGAAAAGGCACTCGCTACGCCGACAGATGTTGACGTACCATCACAAGACACTCCAGCCGATAAGAAAACTGAAGTTGTTGATGAAATCCTGGAAAGTTCACCATCCAATGCCTCGACACCTGCTGCAAAAGAGACACTCTCTGAAGATCAGAAACCGGTTGAAGAATCGACATCGAGTGAAGGTCTCACTAAAATCGTTCAAGAGGTACTCACCAAACCATCGGACATTCGTACATCAAAGGAGACTATTGTCATCGAGGAAGCAGAACAAGTTGAAGCGGAACGGTTAACATCAGAAGCGTTGACGGATGCTGTTGAAGAAGCTCGTTCGAGCACAGAAGTACCGACACAAAAATCTGATACAACAACTGAAGAGAGCCATGTTCTTGCTAATGAAAGCATGGGATACAAGGAAGCTGATGATCAACATACTCAATCACTAACTAGTGTCGTTCAAGAAATACTTGCCACACCGCTGTCTGTCGCTCTGTCATCAGAAGATTCTACAACAGAAAAGAGAAATGAAGTTACCGAAACCTCACCTACAGAAGCCGTCGCTAGTACCACAGAAGATGAAAAGGTACCATCAAACGATCAGATGATAAGAAGCGCAGCAGAGAATGTAGTAACAGAAGCACTAGCTGAAGTTATTCGGGAGATGCGTGCTAGTTCACCTTCTACTCTTTCAACATCTGCTCCAAAAGAGACAACCAGTGAAAATCAAGAGCCAATCGAAGAAATGAGACAGACGGCTACAGCCGTTTCTGAACCACTATCAGTTGCTTCCATAGAAGACGAAGCAACGGTGATAGAAGAAGAGAAACTACTATCTGCCGAACCATCACATACAACTGTTGAGGAGGTGAGATCAAATGAAGAAGCACAAGAACACTCTGAAAAGGTATCTGACAAAGTCAAAGCACAAGAAGCTGAACGTTTATCATCGGAAGTATTGGCCAGTGCTATTGACGAGATCCGTTTCACCGCAGAAGAACCAACAACAACCATCGAAGAGGATCGTTCATTTGCAGATGATACAATGAAAGAAAATGAAGCTGAACGTTTGATTGAAGAAGCAATAACTGATGCTGCTCAAGAGATTCTAGCTGCCTCGTCATCGAATGATCTTCCATCGACTGAGACTAGGGCAGGAACTGAAACGTCATCGCCAAAAACAGTCACTGCCGCCAAAGATGATGAACAAGCACCATCACGTGATCAGTTCAATGAAATCCAAGCGGAGAATCTATCATGGGAAGCGTTAACAGGTGTAGTCAATGAAATACTCGCCACGTCACCCGCCGCTGTGGTTCAAAAGATCGATTCTACCAGTCAGAAAGTAGAAACAACATCGTCAACATCAGAACAAAAGCTTGATACACAAACGGATGAGGCTGAATCTTTAGAGAAACGTTCATCTACTGAAGAAACATCGCAGAAAGATAAACCTACAGAAGTCGAAACTGTTCGTGAATATCAGACTACAACACAGAGTGATTCTCTTCCATTGGTGCCTGAAGCGGCAGTGGACACTAGTGAAATCGAGCATTCAAAGGAACTGCCAACATCTGACACTCCTATACGAATTCGTCAGCAGACTAAGGCGATGACACCACCGACAGTTATCATTACAAGCGACGACGATGTGGAAATCTCGGACGTCACCGGTGAAATATCTCAACCAACGGAGCTATCGTCTATTATCGAAACTAACGAAGAAACAACACCAGACAGTGCAACAAAACGAGAAGAGTTGGCAGAACAATTAAGTTCACCAGCGCCAGCTGAAGCTGAAGGTGAATTGTTTACAGTTTCACCTTCTGCACATCTTCCAGTTGACGATGGTCAGCAAGTCGTCGAACAATTGCCATCAACTGCATTAGATGAATCTCATAAAGAAGAAACTCTGCCAACAGATGCTCTTACTGAAACTGTACGTCAGATTCTATCAACGCCTATATCCATCAGATACTTAACAGAATCCACTATCGAGTCTCCAACGATAACATCTGGAGAAATAACGAAAGTTGTAGTTTCGTCTGTGCCAACAGCAGATACTGTAATACCAACCGAAGTGACATCTACTCCTGAGCTGAAACTGGAAAAAGCGCCAGAACAAGCTGAGACAGAAAACGTAACAACTGATTCCTTGGTTGAAACAGTTCGTTTGATCTTAGCCACACCATTGACAATACATCTTCCATCAGCGGATGTCAAATCAGAATCTGCTCTAGAACTTGTCGCTACTCCTGTGAAAGATCAAGAAGAAAAACCATCAGTGGATTCTCTAGTGGAAGTTACGCGTCAAGTTATCGATGTACCCCAACTCACTGAACTGTCCGAAGTATCGAAGCAGCCTGAAACTTCATCTGCTTCTGAAAATGAATCACCATCCTCATCAGCTGATGATGCACGTCATTTGCCTGAACAAAGAGAGCCAGCGGTTGTACCGAAAGTCGGTTCGGATGAAACATCGGATAAAACTGATGTAACTGACTCGTACGCCGAGTATTACCCAACATCGAGCTTAGTGAATATTGTCAATACAATACTAAATCTTCCAAACCAAATATCTTCCGAATCTTCTGTTCTACATGAAGAAAATCAAATCATTGCCAGTTCAAAACCTGATTTCGACGAACAATTCAAAACTACTGAACTTGCTAATATCAACGCAATGACAACCAAAATCGTCAACAGTCCAGCACACACACCGGAACAATCAGATACAACTGAAGATGTATCCTCACAACGCGCCAGTGCCGTTCAATCGACATTGATTGACGAGATTCAAGATAATGTGACAGATTCTGAAAAACTATCAACATTTTTCGTTCCGCAAGAATCTACTCTCTCAGAAAAGGACTTCCGAGAATTATACGAACAACGTCATTTTATTACAACTGGTGACGAAGATCTATCCACTCAATTTGCTTCAATTGATCAACCAGAGCCTGATCAAGTAGCTATCTCCACTGACGAAAAAAAATCTATTCCAACTTCGCCATTAGCCTACTATGAAATACAAGAACAACGTCATACATTGATGTCTCCTCAAAATTCAGTCGTCAATGAAACCAATGAAACAACGGCTCCAACTTTAACAACATGGACCACTGTTCAACCACGAATCGAATACGAAGAAACAGAAATCACAGAGGAAAAGCCTACTATCAACCTGGACGATCAAGCTTACGAACTAGCTCGACGTTTTGATTTAGAATCACCTGCCATTATATCACACTTGCCAATCCGAGAATATCGACAGGTGTTCGGCATATCTGATGATATTGTAAACACCGTTGATGACATGACTCACCATGTTGATCACGTTCTTTCAATGGAATCAAAAAATCAAGAACAAAAACAAGAACGACAACCAATTGTAATCGATGAAATCAAGAGTCTTCCATCGGAATCAAGTGAAAATTCTGAATTACCCATTGTCGATACACAGGTGTCTGAAAATATCAAAATAATTACTGAAGCAATCCATGCACTTGACTCAGAAATAATCGAACAAGAAGACACAGTAGCAAAACATGATCAACAACAGCAGCAAGAACCAAGTTCAGTATCCAGCACTGTTGAGGGTTTGATCAATGAATTAGAGGATCTCGGACCAAGCATTCAGTCAGCAGCTCTTATTAATGACATTCGAGAAACACTTGGACATGAATCTACCGTTTTTCCATCGAAAGATGAATTACGTGATGAAGATCTACTACCAAGAACAGCTAAACAAGAACCAGCTAATGACAAATCACTTACAGTCGAATCAAGTTCTCAGTATTCTATTCTACTCGATCAAATCGGTGATTTAGAGAAATCGCTGCTTGATTCACAACCATCTTCATCAACTGTTGCCGAACGAGAGGAGACAACAATCGAAACTGATGATAACAAAGACGACGAGCATCAGTTACATCAACGCTATGATACTTTAATTGATCATGCTAGACGACTGGAAGATGCACTCATCAAAAATCTTGCTCATACAAGTACACACACTGATGAACAAACCGATGATGCTACTAGCATCGATAATCTAAGTCAAACAATGGAACAAATTCTCGTTACACCTATTCGCACAGTAACAGGTCCACATGAAGAACCAGTTGCTAGTTCAGGTCTTGAACATGCTCTCGAACAAATACTAGCAACAACACATTATCCAACGTCATATGCAAAATTGAGTCCGCCAACAGATACGACTGTGCCAGTAGCTAAACAAGACGATGTCCTCAAGAGTGAACCTCTGGATGAAGATATCGTGTCAACTGACACACGCAAAGACGAGGCTACAGTATCTGAAATAGAAGAAATAGTGACGACTAAAACAACGCAACCGACCACTGCTGATGAGAAAGAATCAGCCCTAGTCGTACTGCCATCGGAGGAAAATAGCTCAATTGAATCTGTCGAAGAGAAGCAAGCAGTTATATCCCTAGTACCCAATTACTTTACTAGCAGCGATGTATATCACGCATATAAACAACCAGTAAATGCGGTTGTACCACAACAAGATGAATCAACTCTTTTGGAAAAAGCAACAACGATCGTCAATAACGTTATCTCCAATGTCGCTAGTATTTTACCAACTGAAACTGAACAACCGAGTATTCCCGCTGAGAGCCAAGCTATTTCAATTGTTACAGATGATGAAAATGATGCTGAAGGAGAATTATCATCAGAAGGCTTGATCGAAATCATGAAAAATCTCTTACCCAACAGTCTTCGACCGCTTGAATCTGATCAGACTGCCTCTGAAGAGCCAAGTGCACCAGATGAAGATGATCAAGATAGCCTGTCGTCGTCAGTAACAGGAACGACAGTACAAAGCATTTTCGAAGGAGAAGATCTAACAAGAATCAATCAGACTACAGTAGAAGTATCGTTAAACGAAGAACTATCAATTCCAGTTCCTGAATATTTCACTAGCAATGACGTTTACCATGGTTACAAACAGCCAATAGTACGATCTAGTGAAGAAAAACATGCAGCATCTCTTAATGAAAGAGTGACATCGATGGTTGCCGAAATTTTGTCGAGTGCGGTTCATATTTTACCTACATTGGAATCTTTGGAAGAGCCAATTATCTCAAATAGCAACGAACCGCCAGTTGTACCAGCTACATTGGAAGAAGCTAATGATCACATTCTAAGTTTAGAACAAGATGCGACAGAAACGCGTGCTGCTGACCAGAGAGCGCCGATCGCAAGTTATACACCTGGATATTTCATCAGCAGTGATGTTTATCACGCATACAAACAGCCGACCGAAACGATTGTGACACAGAAAGAAGCACCGTCTACCAATGTGTCTGAGGTATTATCCACAGCAGCACCTCACGAATCAGCTTCACTTCTTACTGAAGAACATTTGACAACTTCGGGCTTGATGGAAATTATTAAGGATCTTTTACCAACGAACTTTCAAGCAAACAAAACCGAACTCAATCGTTCTGAAGATCTAAGCTCATTAACAGAAGATGACGGAGACAGCATGTCATCATCGATGACCGGAACGACCGTAAGAACTTTATCGGAAGAGGATCTAACGAGAATGACTCAGTCATCAATGGATACGTCATCGAAAGACGAAACATTAACACCGGTACTCGATGATCTTGGCGGCAGCGATATTCACCGTCCAGCTCAGCAACTATTCGAATCTAGAGTTGAAACGCCAGATTCTCTAGAGCTAAGCGATAGAAAGACACCGATTGATGTCAGTGTAACATCTAGTACACTAGACGAAATATCGACGTCTATGGATACTAGTCTCACAGAACAACAGAGTGAGCAATCACGCGTCACAACAACTGAGTCAACACTTATCGAAGATCAAGAATTACCATCGACTTCAGATGATAGTGAAGCTGTTCTTCTTTTAAAACCTATCGAAGAAAATAGGAATGAACCAACATCATCAACAGGACTTTTAGAAATAATGACGAGTTTTCTACCTGTAGTGAAGTCGGAAACCTCTGAAGAACATCCAGTAGAAAGTAGTATATCATCAGACAATCAAATATCAGCCGATACCGGAGAAACTGACAGTGGTATTTTATCAAAACTCACATCTGCAGTTACTGATGCCATCACTACAGTTCAACAGATTTTACCAGCGTCCCTTGTTCAAAATACTGACGCCCAAGAAGAAGCAGATAAACTTGAATCAACAGTAAGTTTAAAACGTGATGTTCTGAACATATTTTACTCCTTTTCTTTCTTATAGGCACAAACATCAGAGACTGCTCCAAACGAACAACATAGTGTAGTTGATTATGTGATTGAAACGACATCAAACATCAAAGAAGCACTAGCTCATATTATTCCTGAGGAAACACCGATAGAATCGCTTCAATCGTCAGTGGATACTGATGAAAAAGTGATTCCAAAAGAGAACGAGCAATCGACGATTCAATACAGAAGTGATAGTCAGGTACAAATACAAGAGGATTCAGATCAATTTGATTCGTCCTCTGATATGACTTCCGTGTCAGAAGAAATTAAACCGCATTATCCATACAAAGCAAGACAACCTCAAGCACTTCAAGTTCTCAACGATGAATATCCATGGTATGCAAGTTACTATACCATCGCCGATGCAGATGCAAATATGGGTCACTTGTACAAACGTTTGAGTCGTACGCTCGAACAGCTCGAGCAGCGACCTCCGCCAACAACCGTTCAATTCGAACCCGAACCGTATCAAATCTTAAAAACACCAGAATATGATCGACAAGCATTGTTAGATACTGAAGACACACGGGAAAAAGTACATGAACTCGCTCAAATCAGTAAGAAGATTTCTCCGTCAAGTACCATGCATGAGTCGGATGAAGATGACGAAGTTCAAGTTAAGCAACGTCGTAAACAAAAGTCTGTGCCAGCCACGAAAGAAAAGACTTCGTCACCATCGACCACACCTAAGAATAAATTGTCTCTTAGTCCTGAAAATGAGCAAGCAGATGAATCGGTACCTGTTGCCCAAACAATGAGCACCATCAGTAGCAAGAAGAAGAACAAGAAGTCGAAGAAAGACAAAAAAGATGCAGCCACATCTGAATCTCTTGTTCTATCCAAACCTGATGTGGACGAACCAAAACCAGAACCAACACTGTCTTCAACGAAAGTCGAACCTGTTGAGTCAGTAGAATCGAAACAAACAACATCCTCTGTTGCAGCTGACTCAGCTCAAATCGAAGAACAACAGAAAATATCCGATGGACGAAGTGAAGAGCAACAAGCAGAGCCATTATCATTATCGGTTCATTTGGATGCTGAAGAACTTAAAATTCACGATGATGACAAGAACGATTCGACATCATCCGATGCTTCACAATGGTCAACGAGTTCATTTGTGATGACCTCAGATGATCAAATAATCGATAGCGAATCACGTGAGAAACTGGCCGATACTCAAACAGCAGCGATAGCGTCTTCACCAATTTATGAATCAACTAGATCAGAAATAACGACTAGTAGTTTATCAACGCCGAAAAAGAAGAAAGTGAAGCAACAAAAACAGCAACCATCGGAGAAAGATATTTCTCAGCAATCAAAAGTTTCGACATCTCCAGTAATTCTTGAAGCACCCAAAGTAGTGGAATCCAAACCATCCGCATCAACACCCTCAAAAATAATGCCAACTGTCCGTACAAAGATCGTCACACTACCAAAAGAGGAAGGAGAAATCGACGATGATGACGAAGGATTTCAAGTTGTCTCTTATCGTAAACGCGTATCCTCAGTTACAGGGCCGGAAAAAGGTTCAGGATCCTCGTCGTCAGCACCAGTAACGCCACCAGCGAAGAAACGTTTGAGTGCTGGCGCCGATACTCGACCAAGCACAACGTCCAGTCGTCAAAGTTCGTCTATACCGGTGCTGACATCCATCCTACCGAAACAGAAGAAAGATAAGAAGGACTTGATACCATCGTCATCTGTCGATGCTGACAGTGTCTTTTCACCAAGTATCGACACTCAGCGTTCTAAACAAGCGGAACAACTGAAAGAGAGCAGCGATACAACATCGCCAAAATCACTATTTTCTTCACTGTTGACATCAACTAGTAGTCCTTCTATCAGCACAGAAGACAAGTCTGAACAAAAACCAAAAGTGCAAGACACGAACTTACAAACTCAAATTACACCATTATCGGTATCAACTACCGAAACATCTAAAGCTCAGCCGGAACCCGCTTCGCCAGCTCACACGAAACCTGCTGCGAAAGCAACATTGCGTACCAAAGCATCAACTTCGCCTGAAGAAGACTATGACGATGATGACGAAGGATTTCAAGTAGTTCGTCATCGTAAACGTTTGTTATCAGCACCAAGATCAGCGAAAACATTACCACCTGTGGCAACCGGTCAATCGTCATATCGACAGAACCTTGGTCGTACCATCGACCTGAAGCCAGCTGTTATTCGTGGGCGATATGGATCAGGCTCGGGATCTGGCTCTCGTTCAGCTCCACGATCAAATACCAGCGGCCAAACTACATCAGATAAACGACAGCAGAATAAATCGAAACGAGATCGACCCCAGCTGTTACCACTGACCAGTCCGCGTGCAGTAGTCTCCAGAGAACCGCAATCTCAATCTGTATCATCAATGGAACCTAAAAAAACAGCTCAGTCAACTGTATTACTATCTAATGAAGAGCATCAACAAGCAAATGAAACGCCGCTACAATCATTAATCACTGAACAAGTGTGGAAACCAATCGAACAGTCCCAATGGACAGCGACAAATATACAGCAGCAACCAAAACCGATCGATAGTAACAGTGTTCTTCTTTCGACAAAGCCTACATCAAGCGATCAAAATCAATCGGAACAAAAGACTATTTCAACTACTCCTTTGCTAAGCACAATTGTTTCAACCCAAGTTGAAAAAACAAGCGAACAAAAACCAAATGAACAGAAAATTTCTAGCAAACCTGCTGCAGTACAACAGCCCACAGCGAAGGAGACTATTGAGACTTCCAAAGCAGTATTGGCTGATGATGAAGAAGATGAAGACGGCTTCCGAGTAGTACGCTATCGTAAACATCCAACATCAGCAACCACGACACCGACATTCCCAAGATCATTCACCCTAACATCCGATCCGGAGAAAAGAGCACCTAAAATATCCAAAAAGCAACATTCGCTGCCATCGACACCTGCGTCTACGCCGACAGCTATCAGATCCATGATATTCAAAAGAACACCACTGAAACCAAAGAACAGTGGTGATCAACCTGGTAAATCAATGAATCGCCAAGCCGGTGGCAGTCTGCCATCATCTACTATCAACACCGCAGATCTCCTGCCATTGATGCCAGAAAGTTACCCACGCCCAAAACCAATTGAACCAGTTTCTTCCCCTCGCTCGACACCAGCTGCGCCAATCGGCATCGCTAGTACAAAAGAAATAAATACCAAAAATAAAAAGGAGCCCACGCGAAAACTACTAGATGATACTGATGAAAAGGTACAATCCACAACATCGCCAATAGTCACAAGCGCAGATACAAGTGATGAACAATCGAACAGAACGAAGAAAAAACACAACCGAACAAAGAAAGAAACGGCTGGAGCGGACTTACCTACTCCGTCCGAAGAAGCTTCTCAGCAAATTGAGACTATTTCATCAGTGACAACTGCACCAGCGATTCATCAATCTCAAACGACACTGACGACGAGACCACTAATGGAAATCGAGCCAACCATCGAACAATCTGATCTAATCAATTCGCAAGCAAATGCACGTCCGTTGACATCAATGGATTCCAGTACAAATGTCGAAGATGAACAAGATAAAAATACGGCAGCAAAAAAATCTACGAAAAGACGTAAGAAAAAAGTGCATGCTGCTGACAAGCAAGAGCAAGAAGAAAGCACAGCACACGCTTCCACTACAAGTGTCACCGATAAAGAGAGTAGTAGTACAGAAGCAACAACACCAGACAAACAGAGTTCATTCGAATCATCCGTTGCTGTTCGTGCGACATCCACTGATGATAAACAAGAACCAGTATCGACTAATGTCCTGAGTCCAGTGGAAACATCACAAACCATCGAGATAACTGAACAACAAATAGCAACTGTTTCACCGCCTTCAATATCGGATAAGATGTCAGATAATATCAACAATGATCAATCCGAAGTACAGAAAGAAGATGAACGCTTACCGGCTGAATCAGATCTATCAGGGACTGTGATCGAGCAATTGCAACAAGTACCTCTCTCATCTTCCGAACAAACTACAGAACAACAGTTGACCACTGATGAAGAAACTACTATCGAGAAATCGACTACTATACCTACAAAGAATGATACAGAAACGGAAACAGAACAATCAACAAAATTAATTGAAAGCAGTGGAACTGGTGATGAAATACATTTAGATGCTTATCGTGATCAAACCGGCCGCCTTCGTCGAAAGAAGCCACGAAAGCATGTCCGCAGTAGTAGTAGTAAACAAGAAGAAGTTCTTTCTACTCCTCAATTGCCGCCATCTGAAGAGCCTACACTTGATCCAAAAGTTATCAGTGAACATTGGGCTGATGTGCTGGCAACGCCCATCTCGTCTGTTGATGATGGACTAAAGCTAACATCTGAATCAATCGAAGGCGATCAACAGTATGTGAATGAAGATTTGCGTAAAGAAAGTAGCAAACTAGACTCGTTCTTACCCGAATACATTCGTCAACAAATCAGATCAGGTTCATCACCTCGGTCATCATCATTTACCGAACATCGTTCTAAATCATCCTCTGTAGAACCAAGAACAACGAGCACTATTCAATCAAGCATAACCGAACGCATTTTACAACAAGGATCATCTAATCAATCGACCAGCGCTGATACATCTGAAAACGAAGGTCAAAAGCAAATACATAGGTCTTTCATTGACAAATCTTATTCAGTCGATGAATCACAATTGATGTCATCGATGAATTTGACAGAAAGTAATACATCATTGAATTCATCATCTTCGTCACCATCTGACTCGATTCGAAAGAAAAAACAACGGCCGAAAATGTTGAAGAAAGATGTCGAAGCCAAGACACTACTAACGCATGAATTCGATGATAGTCCACTTAATACCACAGAGATTCGACAAACTTTACCGGTGACACAGCTCGACGATGACGAAAATAAACATCAATCGTTTCTAACCTCAGTACGTGATCAATTTGATTCTGTTGTCTCGGCAATTTCCAACACGTACAGTACTGCTCTATCCTCAGCAAAAGAAACATCAGCCGATGGAGAGCAAGGAGCCATCCTTAGCAACGAGCAAGTACCATCGATTTCAGATTCAAGCAATATTTCACCAAAACCATCTTCTGAAACAACAATATTGCCAGCAACAACAAAGAAATCTTCTACACGCTCACCACGAAAACGATCCAAACGCGACAGTGGTCCTGATTATGAAAATCTAACTCTACAATCATCTATCGATTCCGATCATTCGGTATCAAGTGTGAAAGCTATTTCAACGTCTAGTGACAAAGATCAGCCAGATTCGATTCGAATCGAAAGTCAAAAACAACATTCACGACAACGCACATCATCCGGCAGACATATTTCCAATACGGAAGATGACAATGAACAGCAAGCTGTCCTAGCCGATGATGAAGAAGAGAAGCAACCTGTCTATAGATCACGGAAATCGTCGACAAGAACATCAGAAAACCGTACGGAATCTGAGTCTTTACAATCCTCTACTCATGCTATAACAGATGTTACTAACACAGAAAAGTTGGCAGCAGATGAACAATCAACGACAACAACGAATGAGCAACTACGTGTTGTACAAGGTTTCCACTCGTATACACCAAATAAATATCAATACAATCAGTATGAAGAAGGATCGGCCGTTCCAAATGAACAATTGAAACCTTCAGCAGCTGAAACTGAAAGTGAAGATACCGTTCTTTCACGTGGCTTCGGTCGTTGGCTACAGCAAAGTAATGAAATCAAAACAGCAAGTCCGTCAGCATCTGAAAAACAAGAGTCACCCATCCTAGGCAGTGGATTAACACGTGCTATGCAAAGTCTCATCATACAGCCAGTTGAAAGTGATCTTGACGACGATGAAGAAGAAGACGATTCATGGAATGGACCACGAGCAAAGAAACCAACATACACAACTGGTGTTCGAATCGAAAAACGCATTCACTCAGTAAGTGGTTACAATATCAATCATCCACGCTCGGCTACGTTACCACCAGCATGGTTAATGTCTTCATCGAATGATAATACGTTTCACGACGATCAATCAAAATTTGATCCGGACGAGGAAGACGATTCACTAGATGACACATCTGACAAGCCAACAACATCGAAAACAATTGAAACACAATTCTCAACGCAAGATGAACGAAAAACACAATTGAATAATTCAGCTGATCTATCTTTTCAACCGGTCATAAACAGTCTATCACCTTCATCATCATCATCATCACCACTATCATCAGCAGCAGCTAAATGGAATGAACCAACAATACGTTCTGATGATACCAGTCAACAACAAACCAGCTTCACCGATGATGATGTACAACGTTGTTTAGGTGAAGATTTCTATCGAGAATCTCTAGCTGTAAATACGCTTCAGAATGAACGACGATTAATCAACGTTCTCGAAGATCTTGTCGTCAAACCAACCGAAGTGCTAGAAGATATCGATGATGAAGAGAACAACAGCGCAGATGACAACAATAACAGCAATATTCAACAAAATCGAAATAATAATAACAATAATAATAACAATCGTCCAACTCATTTCGATGAATGGGCACATTTTCTCGAACGTCAAACTAGTCCAAATATGTTTCTACCATCTGCATCAGCTTCGTCACAAGCCATGCAAGATCTTTCATCAGCACAAGAGAGTTCCTATGCTCGCGTATTAGACGATGATACACTTGTCTCAGATAAAGATCGAACAAGCATCATGGAACACGTTCAATACTCATTCGAAAACGATCAACAACGCTACGGCGATTTCTCACCTATCAGCGAAATATCCAATGTACCACCACCAACTATCGATCATACAGTATCGTCAACAGTCGAACAAGAACAAGAACTTTTATCACAACAAAAACCTTCGGAAACCTTTCTCCGATGGCGTAGTCAAGTAAGTCAACAACCTGATGTACTTCATTCAAATTCATCAAATCTAACTTCAATGGATGCTACCAATGACGATGAAATATTTATCTCTCACTCAGACCATGGTCTTAGTCGGCGAGTGAGCCCTTCAACATAATAAACTAACTGATTTTTCCTTTCAATTTTTTTACATTTGGTTTTCTCCCTGCACTCCCTTTTTTTTAAAATCTTCATCCACGATTTGCTTATTCTTTCTAATTGCATTAACTGTTTCTTTTTCTACTTTGGCTTTCTTTCTCATGTCGCTCTTTAATCTAGTCGATCAACATATTGATTCTCTATTGAACAGACATTTTCATGCACAAAAGAAAAAAAAACAAAAACTTCTTCTTAGCCTCTCAAATTGCTCGTGGCAAATTCCACCTACAGAAAACAAAAGACGGATAACATTGGACCTGCACATTCCGGTTTCTTCTCACGTGTCAATGCATTTTTATCTTGGGTTTCTCGAAGAACACATCCCAGTATTCTTCATTGATTTGCTGTATTAATGGCAAATCTTACCGCACTTCTTTATTACCATTATGCTTACTGTTTTCTACTATTGAAATCGGTGACAATTTATTCGATTTATTTTTTTACATATTTTCACAAAGCAATTCGAAGATTGATGTGAGCAATCACTCTTCGTTCCAAAATGCAACCCAAGATCATCTACACAAAAAAAAACCAAGACAAATATACAAAAAAAAAGAAGTTTTTCTATATTTGTTAGATTATTTACGTTGTTTTCGTTGGCATATACACAAATTCTATTCTTATATTTATCTCGCTTCAATTTATTGATTGATCGTCTCAATTTTTCAATGACACGTTTTACCGAAGGAGAAGAAGAAGAAGTTCAACCGAACAATCTTGAAAATAGGACTATTCTTTGCCTCTTGTAATTCTTTCTCCATTGTTTTTGTTTTCATTTCGCTTCATATTTACGTGTATTACATGTGAAATATTCTTTGTGTGCTTTGCATCTATCAGTTTTTCTTTTCTTCTGCGTCTGTCATTCACTCATTCGTTACACACAGTGTCACAAATACCTTTGTTTTGTTGAATGCGTTGATGTGTACTATTTGTTCATGTGTTTTTTTTCGTACAGATTCACTTTTAGTTGAATTGATTAGATAAAGAGAGAAAGAGAAAGTGAATTATATAATAAAACTTCGAAACATTTACAGAACTTGTCTTCTACATGACGAATAATTCAGTACGGTTACTTCTGCATAGACAGACTGGATCGATTTTCATCCTCGACGAGCAATTACCGGATTCAGATGGATCGAATATCTCGTTCTAATCCTCTTCTTTAAAACATTACATGAATGTTATCCTCGAGTTATATACTTGCAGCACATCTCCAGTCGTGATAACGCACGGTAGACGAATATTTGATGGTGGTTCAAGGTTTGAAATGAAAGAATGTGCTCTTTACATGAAATTATATGCAAATTGAATGTGGTGTGATAGAAAAAAGACAAGTCGAAAGCGAGTAACATATACATGCACACACACTTGTTACTTTTCATAGATTTCACATCGTTTTGAAAAGGTGAAAGAAGTTAATCAATGAGAAGTTAATCACATCGACTTCCCGAATGGAATTTATTTACTGTGTTACATAAACAAATATTTATTATCATCAAAAGGTAATGCTCGCAATTCGCTTTTTATGTTTTATTTATGATTGATCGAAGAGAAAGAAAAGTCATCAAATTTGTCTATTAAATACTTGTTGATGTACTTGAGCATATTTTTATTAGAAAAATCAATAATGCCTCGTTTTTCTTCAATTATGTCTGTCTTGTTTGATGAGACATCTGGCTCTTTGTAAGGATGATGATGATGATGATGTATACTACGTTTGTATATGTCAACAACATCAACTTTGATTTAGCGAGGTCGACATGTCTGTAGCTTTTATTTAGAATGATAATAATGATGATGACGATGGTAACAACAAGCTAGTCGAGTAATCGACGTATCCGACATTCATAATAGTTGATTGCTGTATGGATAAGCTTAAGTATTATTACTGACGAGCGATGTCTACGCTGAAAGCTTCATTGCTTTTCTCGATACAGTTATGTTGCTATTCTCTACGATTACAGCATCGAAGAAAACACTATCTAGACTGTAAGGAAGAAAGAGCAGACGTGTGTACGATAGAACCAATTCTTGTCTTGTACGAAGACAATTTTTTTCAGTTATCGAATAAAGAAAGCAAAGGAATAAGGTAGAAGAGATTTGATCGTATTCTATTACACATCATACGTTCGAACAATTTGTCTTTCAGGTTTTTTCTTCTCTCTCTCTCTTTCTTCCTCACTCCCTCTCGTTTTATTTCAATAAAGTATTCGGTGGTATCGTAGATGTCAAATGAAATTAAAGTTTTGATTTTATTCAACAATTATTATTGCTCATACGTATACTTATAGAGGAAAAAAGAACGTCGACAACGACAATAGTAAGTGTAACATTCAAATTGGCACTAGACTGTTGAATACCAAGGTAAGCACATGGTACATATATGTATATAGTAGTAATAATTGAAGTATGTGCACGTCCTACCACTACCACTGCCGTTTACATTGATTTCACATGTGGTTTTAGTATTATAAGTAAAGAGAAAAGAAAATCGAAAGAACATGGATGCGAATGTTGAGTTACAAGAGAACAAGCTATTTTAAAAGAGAATAGAATTTGATGTAATCCATCAATTCAATAGTATTGAACTGAAGGTTTCTCACGCCCACGAAATGTACTTCTCACATGTTCAACATTTCCTTTTCATTGCAAGAGCTATTTTCTGAGGTTAGGATCAAAGTTTTCAGCAAGATCTCACATAACTGGTCTTCTGCAGAAAAAGTCAACTTTTGTACGATGTATGTGCTTTTTTTTCTACCACGATCAATGTTACATCATTGACTATTAAGAATGGAATTGTTACTTGATGTGCCAGTAATCCTGTTGAGTACTCAGCTGGGTCAAATAGGCCAATTAGGATTTGTATTACATACATTACGTGCATAGCGTCATAGCAGATAGAAAAGTAAGAAAGTGAATATGGACAATCGTTTGTCTGTTTAGGTGATCTTCGTTCTTTGTCGATCTATATAAATAATGATTCTTCTTTTCTTCGAAGAAAGTCGATAAACGAAAAAGAATGACAATCTTCTGTAATAGGACTCCCGTCATCTTTTTCGTCTTTACATTTTTCCTTCCTCTTCGTCATTTCGTTGTCGTCATCTTTCGTTTCTTGCACACATACAGACACATGCACCTCTACTTAACTGTAACAGAATAAAAAGAGCCTCTTATATGGTTTTAAGTTCATAAAACGAGCAAAGAAAGATATGAGGTGATCGATTTTGTTTCATTACCTATCTTCTTAGCCGTATTTCTATTTCATCGTCATTTCTCACCCATTACCTTCAAATTCGTTTACGTACATGCATGTGAATATTTAAACTTTTTATCGAACAATGGTCATACCTCATGATACACTAATATGTACGATAGATTCAACAAAGATTCTCTATGTTCTCCGAGAAGAAACAACATACACATATGATAGAGATGACAATAACAAAGAAGATGGATCATCACAAATTGGTGAGTATGCATGAAAACAGAAGAACTCGATTTTTTTTGGTCGCTATTCAATTTTCGTGAAGAAAATTAATATCAAGGTTTAAACTTCGCAGTTTAATCCCGTTCAGTAGACATAGTCATTTGAGACTATAGGGATGATTGCATTTGTATGTCTAAGCAATTATTGTTAACGTAGCAAGACAAGTGTTTCGTGAGTTAAGTGAACATTTTAATGTTGACTGTCTTGTCTTTCTTTCGTTTTATGCTAGTCTAATCCTTACCTCTCTTTTCAAATAATCCTCTTCTTCGATATGAATCATGTGAACGTCATCATCATCATCATCATCATCGTCTACATCTCTCGCTGTCGAAACGATTGTAGGAAGGAAGGAGAGAAATGACTACTAGACAGATAACATCCATGATATCAATAAATATGATTGGAATCGATCACCTTGTTGTCATAAGCACGTATTGTATACGTTATAGAAGTGTTCGTGTTCTCTCTCTCTCTTTCTCTTCTCTTTCTCTCTTATTTTTAACCGCTACTGCTGTTGTTGTTATTGTGGAAGCAATAATGACTGCAAGACGATGCTGCTCCATCTCCCCGTTCTATATACATCTTAGGTTTGGTCCAGATACGTGTATCCTGAGAGAAAGAGAGTATGGGATAGTAGGAAAGAACAAAAGAAAAAAGGCAAAGGGATGGAATTGTACAATGACTGGAACAAATCTCTTCTGTTGTCTTCTCTTCGCGAATGGGCATATATTAGTCTTCCGCATCTTTGCATTTCTCTCCCTCTCTCTTTTGTAGTGTAACTAAAGATAAATGTTTATTTTGTACGTCAAAGCTCAGTAAGAGAGGAAGAACAAAGATTCATCCTATTCGCATAGTAGAATATTAATTCCGAAGCACATTACGATGATTCAATAGTCTATTAATGATCAAAGTCTATACTTCAACCTTTTTTTTTCGACAGCTATTGATCCTCTAGGAATAGTGATATGGGTAAGAAGAAAAGTTCATGTCTTTATAGAAACAAACATGGAATTCTTATTGTTCTTCTTCTTCTTTTAGACTCGCCCGAGATTATGAATATCAATCAATCATTAACTTCTTCTTTATCTCGACCCACCAATGAACCACTACACGAACAGCACATACGAAAAGAAGAATCACATTTTGAGCGAAGTATACCCGACACATATCATCATTCATCATACGAATATCTTGCGTCGACGACTACCAACGTTCCCGTCGAAGAAGTAAACAACAATAATAACAACAATCAGACTCAAATACCAACTAGTATATCCAATCATCAACGAACAACTTCTCCATCGCATAGATATTTAAATGAATATGTCCCACCATCAACATCATACAGTCCGACATCTTACTGCTACTCATCCGGACCGATTCTCGATGAATCTCTCGTTCATTCGTATTCAATGAATCGTCCAGCACAAGCACAACTATCGACAAATTCACTTTCAGCTTATGTTCCTCAGCAAAATCATAATAATAACAATATGAATCGTCATTCATTACTTCCAGCAACATCGGATGATTCCGGAAATGAGTCATCTGTAAATTATCAACAACAATTAACGACGAATACGCATTTTGTTGTTGTTGCTATCGATTTTGGTACTACATTTAGTGGTTATGCATTTGCATTTACGCGAGATATTGATTCAATTTTAATGATGCGTAAAGTCGATGGCAATGATCCCGGTTTGTTTCTTCTTTTGTTATTTTTCTTTCTCAATATTGACTTTTCATTGATGTTTTCCCATTGTTAATAGGTGTAATCAATCAAAAAACGCCAACGACGATACTTTTAACGCCACATTTAGAATTTCACTCGTTCGGATTTTTCGCACGCGATTTTTTTCACGATCTCGATCCGGACGAAGCGAAACGTTGGCTGTACTTCGAAAAGTTCAAAATGCATCTTCACTACACTCAAGTAAGAGACGATCTCCTTAGCCGAGCGAATCCTTCGACAAACAAGATATTTACTCTCTAATAGAAAAGAGGTTAGAGTCATTATGCAAGAAAATAGCAACATATAGATGTGTATATACACACTCCATAGATCATCTCTTACATAATCAAGAGCAGTACGAGAGAAACTGACGACCGTTTAATAGAGCGAAGAAGAAATGGCACAATCGCATAATTAATGTTTTTGTCTTCGTCCGATTTGTTGTTATTCTATGCTTCGATCATATAATTACACTTCTTCGCTTGAGAGCGAAACAGTGAAAAGAGAATCACTTTTACTAATGAACAACAGATATAAGCAGCTGTTCGAGTAAACAATGCACATGTCACTAACTTTTTCTCTCATTTTTTTCTTCTTCTTTGCGTCAAGTAACTACACTAAAAACAATATACATTGATACTTTCTCATACAAACCATAACATACTTGTGTTCTCTGACGCGAGTGCAATTAAATCTAACAGCTGTGTGTTATATATAGTCGAAGTTATATAATCAAGTTTGACTTTGATCAAATTTCTTAAACAGGATCTCAATACTCAAACATTAATTCCAGCGAGTAATGGCCGCAAAGTTCCTGCGTTGACCATTTTTACATATGCATTACAATATTTTAAAGAACACGCACTACGCGAACTTTCGGATCAATCAGGAACACGATTTGTTAATGAAGATGTTCGATGGGTTATTACTGTCCCGGCTATCTGGAAACAATCAGCTAAACAATTTATGCGCGAAGCTGCTTATCAAGTATAGAGCGATATACTTTTGTTCATGACTATATCATTTATATTTCAGGCTGGTATTGCCTCACGTGAATTTCCTGAACAATTACTTATTGCTTTGGAGCCAGAAGCCGCATCGATCTACATACGCAAACTTCGTATGCACCAGTTCGTTCCGGATGAGACGCCTGCATTCTCTCGAAACACAGTACGACGTGATCATAGTTTATTTTCTTCGACAATATCTGATCATTCATCCGCCATTCTGCACGATCCAGAAAAACGTTCGTTATTGTCTGTCATTCGACTGAATATCTAATTGCATTTCTCATACCTTTTAGTATCAATCGATCAGAACGAGTTGTCCAATCAACAAAATCAGACTTTTGAAGTTTTTCTTGACCGAGGCACGCGTTACATCGTTGTTGATTGCGGTGGTGGAACAGTGGATATAACCGTACACGAAATGGACAATAAAATGGGAACATTAAAAGAATTGTACAAAGCTACAGGCGGACCGTATGGTTCAGTTGGTATGACTTTTTTTTTTAGAAAGACAATCATGAGAATAATAAATTGACATTTGTGTTTTTCTTTTTTCGAAGGTGTCGATCAAGAATTCGAAAAATTGATGAATGCTATATTTGGTAGTGAAATTATGGATGAATTCAAAATCAAACGACCAGCTGGCTATGTCGATTTGATGATTGCCTTCGAAGCGCGCAAACGAACAGCTAGTCCATTCAAGAACAATCCATTGAACATCTCATTACCATTTTCATTCATTGATTTCTATAAGAAGAAAAAGGTGAATTGATGGGCTCGAAATCGATTATCATGCATGCACCTTCGTCTTTCTTTCTTACTCGTCCCTATCAAGCCTGCGAGTTCATGTACATCTTCTTCTCCTTGTTCGTTCCTTTTCCCACCCTTCCCCAAGCACACTAGTTTTAGAGCGATGATTAACATCAAATTAGATACCATAAAACACCTCTGTATCCTTAGTTATTGTCGAGTCTTCCTTTAAAAACTCAAGTGCGTGCGTATGTGGCCAAACTCAACAAGGTGGGAATGGATGTTTTGTTTATACTTATATCTATTCGTGTATTTTCCTTTATTTTTTNAGGATAATAATTTTGAACTGATCATTATTCTATAGAAAAACAAATTTAACCGATATTTCGAGATCGAAATTCAAAAAACAAAAGCAAAAAGCTTACGACACTCGGTATTCCCAGGCGGTCACCCATCCAAGTACTAACCGAGCCCGACGTTGCTTAACTTCAGTGATCGGACGAGAACTGGTGTATTCAACGTGGTATGGCCGTAAGCATTTATCACTATTTGGAATGTGGTTTATGAGTTTATTTATGTAGAATATGTCGTCTGTGGATTGCACTTTTTCAACACGATTTTACTTACGTTTCCTGTTCAATTCCTGCCTTAGAAGTGATCTAATCTTTGAAAAGTCGACAATTTTAAGAGATAGAGATTTCATTCGTATTCATGATAGTTAGTAATGTAACTAAGATCTGGTATGGCGTTCCAGGTTCGCAAATCCGACGACGGAGCTGACTTTGACATCCATTACCTTCAATCTACATACGTTATTTTTCTCTTTTTAATTGTAGTATTACGAACGGTTCGTCACTATGTACTTGCGTGTTACTGCTTACCAGCATATTGTTTCAGTGGACCTTCTAGTAATTGTCGTTTATCATAAAGAAAATGAGCAATATATTCAGAAGAACCCGAGCGATTGCTTTTCCTCGTCGCATAGTTGGATGTAGGTTTCATATGGCGTCATAAGAAAGTCTAGTCAACATTTCAATGCAAGTATTACTCAGTAATTTTTCATGTTTTGGGCACGAGTATTATCCGACTTCGAATTCATAAGTTAACAAGCGTAAAATATGCTCATTTGTCAGTTCATACTTGTTTGGCAGAGAAAATTTTACAAATTGAAATATTGTTTTCATGAGCGTTTTGAAAGCAAACTTATACAGTATGCTTTTATGCAACAATTTCTTTTCCTTCTGATATAATTCATTTGAGAGTATCAATGACAAAATGATGTTTAATGATAAGTTTTGAAGGTGAAGTTTATTGAGAAATGAAAGCGACTACCTATATTACACAAAAAGCAGTTGATGAAGAATATGGTTCATGTTTACATAGAAGAAGAGAAACTTATGGTATGATTGGAATGAGAGCATAAAAAGAAGACAAACATAAATTGAAATGCGTTCATGTTTAGAACATGCTGGAATAAGGAAACGCGTGTTTTTCCAAAGATTATGATAAGAATGAAATGAAAAGTTGAAACTACGTACAAATGATATTGACAACAGAAACGATGGAAATGTCTCAAACTATCAATACCACTATAGCATATATAAACTGAGAAGATACAGCAAAAAAGAACACAAGAAAAGACTATATTTTTCTCACAGGACAGAAGACAACTGATAAATATAAGTTCATAAACAAGACCGAGAGTTGATTGATTTTAAATAACGATGTTTTTATTTTGCTTCGACCATACGTTCTTTTCACACAATTCAACAGCCTAAAACATTAAAAAAACTTTTAGACATGTTCATCAAGGTATATATTTTTATATTTACGTTGCATAATATAGCATTTTGACGACTTGTACACCAATAATTCATACCGAAGATACATTTGCCATAAGGTGTTTTGGTTGACGCTGGAGTTGGAGGAGTTGATTGGCGACGTGTCGATGTTGATGATAGTTGCGAATTGGTGGCACAAAGTTTCAGGCTTTGACAGGCAACTTTTGGATCGATATCGCTTGATACCATTTGAACAATATATGGGCCATATTGATTAACAAAATCCTCACATTGTTGTTTGAGGCCAATAATAGCAAATGAATCACACGATTTCTTCAGAGCGGCGATAATCTCTTCTTCAGTTTGATTGAGAGCAACTAAACGTTTCACCCGTGAGAAAATAAATTGACAGATTGTACAGGTGGTCTCGCTGCGTACATTTGGTAAACGCACATAGTCGTGATTTCCATACGTAATTGGTGCAGGTTTTGCTGTCGTGGTTGTTTCTGCTGGCAGTGAAACTTGACACATTCCAAGATAACGACAAATCGTATCCGGATCGGCCATTTCAGCAATTAATTCAGCAAGAACTGGTCCATAAGTTTTAACAAATTCAGTGCATTGAGCACGTTCTTTACCTATGGATTCAAAAGGAAATGTGCATACATTATTCGACCAGATGGTTTTTAAAACTTACTTGGAAGAATACTACACACTTTTTCCAGTGCCGCTTCAACTGCTGCTTCCGATTTATTAGATTGTAAGACGGCATCCAAATACGACACAACAAAATGGCATAAAGTACATTGTGGAGTGTCATCCAAATTTTTGGTAATGACTCGTTTGATCTCGTCATCTTTGCTCAATGATTCATGGATAACGGCTGGCTGAACTGTACTAGTTTGATCCTTTTCTGTTTGGCAAATAGTTAATTGCTTGCAGAAATTGCTACCCAAATGAAGTTCTAATGTTCGAATATGTGGTCGAAACAGTTCAACTAGCATTTGACATTGCGATGTTTGTTCCGTTGATAAGTGTGAACAAACAGTAGACAACGCATGTTCAAGCGATTGATCACTTGGGTCGCGTTTCAATGCAAAATTAATATATGTCGAAACATAATCACAAATACCGCAGGTCGCTTGACTAGCTTTGGTAATGTGTGACATTTCGACTTTCATTTGTTTGGTGCATAGATTAAGACTTCGACAGACTGTTGATGGATCGAAATGACCAATGAGTGTTGCTATGATTGGTGGACCGTAGTTATCGATTAATTCATGACATTGTTTTTGAAGTGTTGCTGGCATGTCGTTACAAACTTTCTGAAGGCTTTGTTCGATTTCTTCTTCAGTCGATTTTTGATGAATGTAATTCGAAAGAATGTTCATAACGTATTCGCAGAGAATACAAGTTGAGTTGGAGTCGTTGACTACTTCTGGCTCAGGTTTCTTATGTAGCACGACAACGGATGTATGTGGTAAATGTTTTTCCAATGTTTGTTGATCATGTTGAAGCGAATGTGTAAAGGTATTTAGGACTTCTTCGCAAGATTGTTGAAAAGCACCCATATTGGCACATAGACTTGAGACATTGCAGAAGCCAAGGCGTGTGCAAAATTGCTTAGCGTCAACATCATCGATACATGAATCAACTTGTTTTTCTGTGTCTTGCCAATATTTACGACATTGATCTTTCGACGGGCAATAGTCACAGGCGCGAATAAATACTGCAATGACTTTGTCAACAGTGCCCTTGGCACACTCTTTCTTTTGGTTGATACTATCGACGCAGCATTGACATTTATCACGGCTACATTCATCTAAACAAAACAAAAAAAAATTGAATAGAATTGTTTCTGTTTTAGTTCAATGGAATAGATGCACTTACTGAGATGTGCAGCAGTGAAGAAATTGGCTGTTTTCTTTTCGCCAATCTGCATTAAATCTCTGATGTTGTAATTAATTTTCGTTGTTTCGATTTGCTTTCGATTTCCTCGGATCATTTGTTTGCACAATGTTTCAAACGGACCAAGTGTTGAGCAAACATTCTTATCCAATTCATCTTCTAAGAATTTTTCGAATTTGTCAAAATCCATGTTGCTCGTTGATGAACAGAAACCAATAGCGCTACATGTTTGTTTAGGATCAAATTGTTTGACAGATTCTTCGAATGAATTTTGAATTTGTTTGACGAATACTTGGCATTGTTGGCCAGCAAAGCGCTGACATAGATCATCGAAATAGTTGGCAACGCGATCAATACCACGTAGAATAACATCCTTCCGTTGTTGCAGACGTTCTATACATGTAGTACATTTATCTGTTTCAGTCATACGGTGTGATGAAGAACAAAGACGAATGTTTTGGCAGAATTGCGTTGGATCAATACTGTCGACATAGGATTTTAAATTGTCAAAGCGTCGGTTGTAGAAATCGCGACATTGATCTTTTGCTGAACAACGTTCACAAGTGCGAAGAAGCACATCACGAATAGATTCCTAGAAGGAGAACACGATCAAAAATTGCAAGTCAAGCAGAATTCTTACCAAAGAGCTGATCCAGAAATCTTTCGATGATTGAACTGCGTTCTTACATGATTGACAAACATCAGCATGTACACCTGTAGCCATTTGTTCACGTAAGTCATCATCAATCAATTTAGGATTATTAGCTAATAAAGCCGTGTAAGCATAAGCATATCGATGAGCTTGCGGTGATGCGATGAAATGTTCGCACATTGGTCTCAATTGTCCGAATTGGAAGCAGACATCACTTTTCAAACCGGCTTCCAAACGTTGATCCAAAGCTTCAATTGATGAGCCGATATGATGGTTTGAGTTCAGTAATAGATGTGAAAGGTATCCTGTTGCTTGAGAGGAATGTTCAGCTGCACAGTAACCATAGCGTTGACAATAGGTTTGAGAACTGAATTTACTCAGTTGATTCAATGATTGTTCTTGTGCTTTTTGAACCATCGAGCGACAATCATCATCCGTACATTGAGAGAGAAGTGCTTTGGTAACTTCGTTTAACGTTGTTCGGAATTTAGCTTGTCGAGAATTCAACCGATTGGTACAACATTGACATTTGTCACCATCGATTTTACACTAGAAGTAAATGGTCGTGTCGTTTTTAATTAATTCGATATTAGAAAATTCTCACTTCTTGTTGCTGATGTTGTTGAACAGGACAGAAACCCATTTGTTTGCAGAAGGTCTCTGGAGTAAATTCATTAACTTTGGCTTGCATTCGATCGCAAACGCGGTTGAACCATGAAACACAGTAATCTTTAGTTAAGCTCCAATCGCATGTAGCTAAAAGTCCAGTCCGTAAAGACTCCTGAGAAAAAATAATTCTGATCCTAGTTTATTCTTTCCTAATGAATTACTTACAATCATCTTCAAATCATAATCTTTCTTTGTTGAATAGAATTGTATACAACAATCGCATTTGTCTTTGCAGTTGTCAACATTGACTGATGGTTTACAGTTGGATGCTCGATCAAGTTCGCATAATTCTTGTTCGATGTGTCCATTTTCATTGAACAGTGATTTGAATAAACCTTCCATGCGTGCATTGTTTTCATCAGATTCGACTAATTGCTGGCACAATTTCTCGAATGGACTGTTTGATGGACAAACAACTGTAGTCAGAGATTGACCAGATGCACAAAGTGTTTCAGTATTCAGTTGTGAAAGTTTCTCAGTGACATCCAAGGTTGAACGATCAATGATGGAGTAACAATCTTTATTCCACTAAAAACAGAGAAGGTCATGGAGAATTTGAAGAAAAACGGATCTTTTACTGGGATATATTCACATAGTGATTTAAGATTTTTGTTAATTGTTGTGATCGACGAAAGAAGAAATTGTTTTTTGGAGTCTATGCGTGATTGGCATTGGGACAATGTTTCAATCTACAAATTTGTCCTAATAGTAGAAGTCCAAGATGTAAATGACTTACGACAACAGGCGATGACGATGTACAATGGTCTAATAATTGACACACGCGTTTCGAATTCTGTAGAAGAAACAAACATAGTTAAATGTTCGATCTCTGATAAATATCAGTTTTCAAATACTAAACTTACAAATTGTGAAGTTAATTTGTTAACATTTGCATCCAATCGTGCAGTTGTTTCCGAACACTAATACAACATTAGAATCGCGATTGTCTATTATTATCATGAACAACAAGCTGTACCTTATCCGATGTTGGCATACGTTGACACAAAGTTTTGATACTTTCAACCGTTCCTCGCTACATTAAAAAAACAATCAAATGCATCTCTTATTTGTTTGATATCTATTTAACAATTACCAAGAATGTAGCAACTTGCACTTCATGAATTTCGACCTTGTTCATGCAGCATTCACATTTATCGTTGCACTAAAATGTCAGAAATTAGTGAGGCCATAGTGAATAACTTCGTTCGATTTACATTTTCGAATGATGAACTTGATACACAAATGCCCATTTCTGCACAAACTTTCTTTGGATCAATATCTTTCGCGATCATGGCGAGTATAGCTGGGCCTTCAGCGTCCATGGTTCTCTTACACTAAAACAATCATATGAACAATTCAATTCATAGACCGAGTCTAAATACATACCATTTCAGATAGGGAACCGAGCTTTGAACAAACTTCTGTTTTCATGTATTCGATGATTTCCTTCTAAAAATAACAAAGAACGTTTAAAATCGAGTTTTCGGTAAAGACAAGGGGATATTATAAATAACCGCTAGGTTCATTTTTAGGCGTTCGATCTACCTCTGTTGAATTTCTTGTCAATGATCTTTTTATCGAATCAAAAGCCAATTTACACAAAGTACAATTGAGGGAATCCTTGTTCAGAGGCAATACAAGCTAACAAGCAAATTGAACATTTACACATCCAACAATCTATACTTACATTAAGAACATTATCTGATGGATTGATTTCCGTTGGTTTACATCGATCTGCACTCAATTGATCACAAAACTTCAAATCAACGCAGATTTGTTTTGGATCCTAAAATGCAGATGATGATATTTCGTAATTGACTATACTTCATAAGTTATATACCAATGATCGAACGAAATTAACCAACGCACTCAATGATTCATCAACAGTCTTGACACACTAAAATGAAATAAAACAGATTAACTCAACGAGGAAAAATGAGAATCAAGCAGCATATACCTCATCTTTTTGTGGTAGTTGTTCACAAAGATGACGAAGAAATTCCGATGAATGATTCTGAAATAAATCGATTCAAATCGAATTGTTTTGAACACAATTTAGTATAGTTCTTTTACCACAAGTTTCTCGGCAATATGCTTTCGTCGTGTGAAATCATCAACGCATCGTTGACACTTGTTTTTGTCCTAGAGAACAATAACAGATTTCAGTTCAGTATTTACAAGATGCCCTACATCGTCAATAGCCAGATTGTCCAGGAACGACATTCGTTGAGGACAAATGCCAAACATACGACACAGATCTTTGCCTTCCTGCAAAACAAATCATGACTAGATTTGTGCAAATCGAAGAACAAGTCATACCATATCATTGAAAAGAGCTTGTACGAAGCGGTTGCCATCTTTGTCAACTAATGCGTTGCACTGAAGTGAATTATCAGAAAATTAAACTATTATTAATAGAAAAAGAAACTACATACGACATCTTTGAATGAACCGAGTTTATCACACATGTTTTGTTTGAGAAATGCATCCATGTCATTCTAAAAGAAATACTTTAATCGGAGAAATATCTCGATTTTATTTACTTTTTGAATGGGACTTGTCTTTGCCATGACATCATTAATACAGACATGAAAACGGGTGCAAAGTAACATTGGTTTCTAGAATTGAATTGAATTGTTGCATACATCAATCGCCGTCTAAAACTCGATCTCTTACTGTTCCACGTTTGATGCTATCAATCAAATCGTGGGCTTTCGTTTCGATGATATCCTTACAATCCTTCTTTGCTACGCCAGTCAAACGCGAACAAACTTGTTCATCAATGTAAAGAAGTACTTTATCCTGTAAATTGACGAGAATTTGCAAAGAACCAATCTTACAAGCAATTGTTTCCTTACATCAGTATGTTCTGCATCGAGCATATATTTGGCTGTTGATAAAACAAATGTACATAATTCACAATGTACATTAGGCAGGGCCTAAATCAATGAAAATGATGATCGAAACAAGATACAATCGGATTCTCTTACTTGTAAAGTAGAATGATCAGTAAAATCGCTCAAATAATCGCAGACTTTTGACAGTTCCTATAAAACATTTTGTCCATTTATATTAACTGGAGAAATAGTATGCTGATTACTTACAATATTGCTAGCAACATGTCCATAAATGTTAATACCATGTTTCTCAACGATATTTCTGCACTGAATAATTAGAAATCGATGATATTCCATTAACAAATGATATTAGAATTTATTATGTCCCTTACTTTCTGCACGAGTTCTGGTGTTGATAGTTTTTGACAATCATCCTTCAAAAACGATTGAATCTCATCGCGATTTTTATGTTGATTAACATGGAGTTCATGTGTGGCACGAACAAGAACGTTGCATAACATTTTAGATTGTTCATCGATCGGTACGGGTTTTGGTTCTTCATCTTCGAATGTGATGATTTTCTTCTCTTCCTCTGTTTCAGCATCAATTGTCACACGTGTTGTCAGTGTAGCCTCCTTACACATATGTGACAAATGACAGATAACACCAGGATCCTGAATCATTCTCAATGTAGGACCAGAAAATTCGAATGATTTCAACTTACGATATTTGTTTGAACCAATACAAGAATTTCATGAGCATATCGGCTCATTCTTTGTACACACTAAAACCATTTTCAAGTAGAACGAATAGGTTTTTAGTTAATTTCTTTACTTCATCGATGGCTTCTTTTGTTGGTAGCATTGAACACGCACCGGATAACCATTTTTCAACATCCATCTAAATAGAAGATAAAATTCGTCTTTCATCCGTGTACAACGTATATAATTAGAATATATACTTCAGTTTTATTTTCTTGAACGATCGTACGTAGTTTTTGTATGGTAAATTCACAATATTGACAAATATTGTCATTTGGTTTCTTTTGAATGGCTTGTTGAGACCAAACTCGGTTCGAGCAGTGTTCAATCGAGCTACATTCCCGGGAATTACTCAACGATGAACACCAATACGATGGGCCCCATGTACATCGGTTCTGTCCGAGAAGCACTGCAAACAAAACATCTCGAGTTGTTTCATACTAGGAATATAATGATACTTACTTGGCTTTTCGGTTGTTGATTCTTCAGTTACCGGTTCAATCAAACAAATGTCCATCAAATGGCACAATGTAGTATAACGCTAGAAGTACAGCAATTCATCAATAATTCATATGTTTAGAACAATATGCTTACTTTGTTTTTCATTAACGATGCAACTGATGTGCCATAGTTTCCAAGGACATTTTTACACTGAAAGAAATATTCACTAGAGAAAAGATTCAAGAAGTTAATTCGAGCTCACTTTTGTTGAAATGCTTGTCACTGGAAATAAATCACATGCTTTTACTAACGATGACTGGATTAAATTCTAAGAATCACATTTAGTCGAAATGATTTTCCAAAAGGAACTGACTCACTTCATCACTGGCTAAATGTTGAATTTCTTTATGAGCGCTTTCAAGGATCTTTTGACACCAGTTACAGGCAATTGTCGATTCAACATTTGTGTGCTTTGAATCGTAACGCCAAACAGTATCAGTACAATGACGTAGTGCACCACAATCTTGTGCCGTTTGAAATGATCGACACCAGTATTCTGGACCGACTGCACATTCCTTCTTGTATGCAGTTGTGGAGTAAATTAATAAAGCTAAAAGAAAACTTTTTATTCAATCAAGTTCATCGATTTATGAACAACTTACTAAACAGACAAGTGACAATAGCGGCTTTCGCCATGGTGTCACACTATAGAATCAAAATTAAGAATAACAAACTTGTTTATCTAAAAGAAATTCAATGTGATACCGACTGATCAATAATATCTATTCGAATGATCTATACACCTGAGATAATGTATAGAACATGACTCAATTTTTACAATTTCTGATAAAGAGCGCTTCTTATAGTATCGTATCTGATATAAAAGATAATGTTGAAGAGTTTCAAGCGTTTATTATCTATAAGACAAGAGCAGACGCACGGATGAAGGTAGAATAGCGTATCACAACTACATTTACCTATCTTCACAAGCACAGTCAACCCTTTTTTTTTTACAAACGCTGCTGTTACGGATGAAGGAGCAAATTTTGTTTGCTCGTAAGTATTGCGATGACTAAGAGAGGGAACAATCACTGACATATAGCGAGAAATAAATGAAAAAAGTACGTTTTTTTTGTCTGAAATCGATGCGTTTGTTAATGAATGAAATTATATCTGGTAAATTGATCCGAAAAAGAAGCAATACATTCGTTGAAGAAGAAAGAAATATTCAATAACGAGAAAGAGTGCAAAAATGAAAAACAAAGAACGTAGCAATGGTAGTGACAACTAGCAACTGCTGATCAGATGAGTCATACTATTGTGTCATGAGAATATTCTTGAAAGATACATCGATTAGAAGTAATCTTTTTATAGAAAAAAGTGTTTTATTATATTAATTCATGTTATCATCTGTGTGAGGAAAATTTCTTCACAGTATCAAGGTAGAGGGCGCTAGTGTGCAATATACTGTCGCTTTTTCTGACTTACTTGATATAAAAAAAGAATGCTAAAATGTGATCAAGCAATCTTAGATTATCTTATTGTGTTTATTTCCGAAGAGGCAAATGTGAATTTCATGTACACACTAACATCTGTTCCGATTCATGTTATACGACTGGCTTTATAAGAGTCATATTCACTGAATAAATATGAAACATCGTACAAAAGAATCGGAGAGGCAACCCATGTGGAGAAAATCGATGCGGTTTGAAAAAGTCAGCGTGAAGTTACGATTAACCGTATTTTAGAGGAAAATTATGTTTAATGACGGCTATAAATTGAAACATGTTTTTTTTGTCAGAATCCACAGTGAAACAGAATGAATCAATCGGAATATGTGTTGCCATGTTCAATAACTTTGAGATACTTTGATTTGTATTCTTGGATGTTGCATCGAAAATAATCATAATCGACTCTCATGTCAATAGTATCACTTTCGTGTGACTGTAGAACTCTCTAGAATGTCGATGTTAGTTACTAGTTGATTATATGTTTAGATATGACATTATTCTTTGATCGGCCTTCGAAGACTGTTTTGAGGCCATTGAATGTTGGCATTAGCCCGGTTGTTGGTCCATTTCTCTTGGCACATTATGCCGTTTTTTATCGTGACAAGTTAGTTTCTTATTGGTCTGAATGTACATTTCCTTCTGAATCTTCTCACATGCTCATAGAAACAGGAACGATTTCCACCACAAAAGTTTTATTTGAATTTCTCTATCAGCACTTAAGTCAATTTTATTTCAGTTTTCAATAATTTTATCGTGGCATATTTACTGTCTGCTGTAAGGACAACAGCTTATGCTTGTTTTTGTATCATCGCGTTTGTATGCTATGTAAACGATGCTTGCTGTCGAATAAAGATAATTGAAAAAAAAATCTACAACTGGTTGATCATCTGTCAGTGAATCGATATGAATAGAAGAATACTATCTCATCCTTAGTTCCATAGACTGACAACCACCTGTCTCACTTTTTTTTTCAAGAAAGCGGCACTTCTTGTTATAGTATCAACAGTCGTTAATTACACACAACATCGGATCTCCTATTTTACATTTATTTATTAGCAATATAACACAAAACAAACGAAAAGTCCACAACAATTCCTCTCTCTCTTTCTCAATGACATTCATTTTATGATTAAAAACGTCTTTTAACAACACTGATCAGGCAGAATAAAATCTTATAAAATGTGTAAACTTTGTTCACATCTTGATTATTTCATACGGATCGGTTTTATATAGAAAACAAGTAATGAGATACAAAAGTAACCGACAATTGCAACTAATGCAACAAACTGAATTCGCCTTGCTCCATTTGGCACGCGTTTAGTTATGAACTCTGGCATTTCGCACAGGAAAAGGGCAACTAAAATGCCCATCAATGCACCACCGCCATGCGCTGCATGATCAATACGACCGGAGAAATCCACATCAAGAAAAACGCTCATAACAAAGTATGGTATGACCAAAAGCATGATGAGAAATTGAATGATTTTATCCTGTAGATTCTTGATTGTAAAAATTCGTAATGTATTGTCAATAATACAGAAGAATAACAGACCGTAAACAGCGCCTGATGCGCCAACCGATACTAGAATAGGGATTACATGTTGGTCCAATACGTGAACTATCTCGAAAATTTCTACATACCCGTCTTTGGTCGAATTAATGCACTCATAATATTTCCGCTGAAACCGAATAGAATATAACTTATTGCGAATGTCTTCGTGCCGTATTTTCTCTCTAACAGAGAGCCAGCTAATGCTTGATAGACAAGATTGTTCAAAAGATGTGTAACACCACCGTGTAAAAACATTGGTGTAAAAAATCGATAGATTTGATAAGGGAAAAGAAATGCATGGCATTGAGATTTCAATCCAGAATTGTACATATCTCGTTCTGCTTTGTATGTAAGAGCTTTCATACAAGGAACATATTTACCACCCATCTTAATCCATGTGTCAGACGTAAGCGTTGTTCCTCGTTGAACAATATACATAATAATCAGCATTAACAGATCGAAGACTCCAACTCCAACAGTGAATAACGGACGGTGTGTAGGTCCTGATGAGGACACATGGGTTACTCGCTCTTGTCGATCGAGTTCCATAATGACATCTCCATTGAATGCGTACGTTCGCGATGCGTATGGTGGAACAGATGTGTTTGAAGTTGTATTTGATGTCGGAGTCCGTTTAGAGGACTCGAATCCATCTCTTATCTTCATCCACATAGCTCTTGTAAACGTTGACATATCTACTTGATCCTATCTAAAAATATATAGAACAATTTTTACGATTATTTACATATATATCGATCATAAATTCACGACAGCAAAAGAAGTTAGACAACAGCAAAACAACCGTCTTTAATCATCCCGTTCTTCGAATCAAGGGTTTCAGTTTAAATGATAAGAAAGATAACAAGGAAAAGTCTAGTTAAAAGATTATATAAACATGCTCATTTGACGATTTATATATAGTTTTGTTAATTATCTTCAGAAACGAGGAACGGTTGACTTTGGTAGTTGAGTACAAATTTCTCTGTTTACTTTTGCTTCACATGATCTCTTCAGAAATGAAATAATTATATGAGAGCTATCCGACGTTTAATAGAAAAAAAAGGAAGGCTTGTATTACAAGAGTGTTCACATGAGAAAATAATGATGATGATAATAATAAAACAATGAGGCTGGAATGAATGTATCAAAATCAACACCAGTATTTGTTTTCAAAGATAATATATACGAAAACATATGGCATTGACAGGCGAGAATAGCTTGAGAAAAAGAGAGATCGAATGAATATGTATGAGAAAACAGAAATAAAATGTGGAAAAACTAAATGTCTTCGTGTAATATGTATGAACAGTGATTAGAAATGGATAGTTTGGTTTTTCAAACCGGTATACGAGCGTATTGATGATTGGAATACATGACTGGTTTCGATTCTTGCGCTGGGAGAACTTGACACATTCCAAGGTATCGACAAACCAACCGTGGATCAGCTAATTCAGTGATTAGTTCAGCAAGAACTGGTCCGTATGTTGAAATAAATTCACTACATTTAGTACGTTCGCGTCCTACAAGGAAAAACAACGAATTTCAAAGCTTTTCCCTTCGTATCAATAACGATTTGCAATCATACTTGGTAAAATAATACAAACAGTTGATAGTGCAGCTTCGACGGCTGCTTCTGATTTGTTATTTTTCAAGACGGCATCCAAATATGAAACAATATAATGGCACAGCGTACATTGCGGTGTGGCGTCCAAATTATGAAGTATACGGTTTTTTAATGTTTCATCGTCCTCTTTCGGACCATCAAGATGAACGGCTGGTTTTAATTCAGTCATGGGTGTTTGACAAATGGGTAATTCTTTGCAGAAATGTTTATCCATATGGAGTTTTGCCTCTCGAATATGTGGTCGAAATAATTCGATCAATGTTCTACATGGTGCATGATGTTCGGTTGATAAATGTGAGCAAACAGTAGATAACGCGTGCTCAAGCGCGTGATTGCTTGAATCACGTGCCATTGCGAGATTGACATATGTTGAAACATAGTCGCAGACACCACATGTGGCTTGATTGGCTTCGATGATATGTGATAACTCGACTTCCATTTGTTTTGTGCATAGATTGAGTCTCTTGCAGATTGTTGCTGGTTCGAAATGGCTGAGGAGTGTTTCAATAATCGATGGACCGTAGTTGCTAATCATTTCATGGCATTGATCTCGAAGAGTTGTTGGCATTTCATTGCAAACTTTTTCAAGACTTTGTTCAATTTCTTCCTTTGTTGAATCTTCGCGAATGTAACTTGAAACAGCATCCATAACATACTCGCAGAGAATGCAAGTGGAATTGGAATTATCGACTTCTTCTAATTCTGATTCTGCAGATAAATCTTTCATTCCCATTGTTGAACAAAGACGAAGACTTTTACAGAAATCGTCAGCATCGATATTATCGAGATAAGCTTTGAATTGATCGAACCGTCGATTGTAATAATCACGGCATTCATCTTTTACTGAACAGTAATCACATGTACGAAGAAGAAGATCACGAACGGAATCCTACAGAGATTAAACAAATTGACCTTTTTGAAAATAATTACCATGTGTCTTACTAATGAGCTAGCCCAAAAATCTTTTACGGATTGAACGGCATTTTTGCATGATTGGCAGATATCAGCATGTACATCGGTAGCTACTTGTTCGCGTAAATCGTCATCAATCAATTTGGGATTATTGGTTAATAAAGCTGTATACATGCGAGCATAACGCTGACCATTGACTGAGCTTATTAAATGTTCACACATTGTTTTTAATTGGCCGTATTCCGAACAGATATTGTGCGCTTGTAAGCGTTCATCAAGTGTTTTTGTTTGGTGTTGAACAAAACTTTTCAAACGCAATAATGTTGTGCTTGGTTCGAACGAGCTGTCTGCTAAACAATAACCCAAATGTTTACAGATTTGTTGTGTTTTGAGTTCGTCGACTTCAACTAATAATTCCCGTTGTTTTGACAGAACTTGTGAGCGACAAAAATCATCTAAGCACAACGAAAAAAGATTTTGCGTCATTTGATCGATTGTAGTGCGAAAACGGTTTTGACGAATATCAAGTTCAGCTTGACAAGTTGCACATTGTTCGTCGCTGGTAACAATCTTAACAATAAGCTCACAGTTGAGCAAAAGTTCAACTCATATATGAAATCTTACTTCTGATTTTGAACAGAAACTTAACAATTCACAAACGCGTTTTGAATCCTACAGAAAAATCACTCTTTTTCCATACATCATTACTTTCGACTACTTACAAAACGTGCAACAGTCTTATCAACATTGGATTCAAATATATCAGCTAATCGAAGACACTATACGGCAAAAAGAGAGAGATCGACGATTTCTTTTCCTATGCATATCAGTATCTTACTCTATCACGGGCAGGAACATGATCGCACATAACACGTGTACTAGCAACAATTGTTCGCTATAAATAATCGAGCATAAATATGTAAGACAAAGCAAAGAATGCTTCTCCTACCATGAATTTCTCTAGTTGTTTTTGATAGAGTTCAACTTTGTTTGTACAACATTGACATTTATCTTGGCACTAAAATTTCACGGATAGAACAAAAATTATTCGATGATCTGGCGAATAAACTCACAGTTTTCATGACAGGATTTGTTGGACAGATGTCAAGTATGGTACAGACTTGATTTGGATCGATACTCTTTGTTATAAGGTTCAAAAGATTTAACCCTTCTGTTTCCGCGAGTTCAACACACTAAAGAACATTGTCAAAGTCAAAGTTGAAGATTTCTGCTCGCATGGAACATCATACCAGTGTCGATAGAGAACCAAGCCGACTACAAACATCGTTTTTCCAAAATTCAACAATTTCTTCCTGTAAATAAAATTCAAGTGTGAAGTAAATCGAATAGGAAATAATGGTCAAGAGCTTTCAAAACCGAGCGAGCTACCTTGTTTATAGAAACATTTATTCCTCTATCTTTGAAACATGGACAAAAATCTGTGTCTTCTCCACGTCAAGAAAGAAATTCAAATCTTACATTGATGACATTATCTAACGGTGCGATTTCCGTGACTTGAACTGTAATTAATGACTGTTGATCGCACATGTTCAGTTGTACACAAATAGCTCGTGGATCCTAGAGACAACTTGTTTCAGTAAAACATTCAAGAGGATCAAACTTTTCATACCAATGATCGGATAAATGTAACCAGGTCATTGAGCGAATCATCAACAGATTTAATACACTAAATGTAGCACGGAAATTAAAAAATATATATATTTCATTTGTTACATGAGACATACTTCATCTTGTTGTGGTAGTTGTCCGCAAAGATGATGAAGAAATTCCGATGAACGATTCTAAACATCGATATGTCAATTACTGAATAATATCAATGATCTGTACTTACTACAAGTCTTTCAGCAATATGTTTTCTGCGAGTGAAATCTTTGACACAACGTTTGCATTTACTTGGATCCTTAAAATACAGAACGAGTGATGAAAATCAAATCAGAACTTGTTCAATCTTACATCTTTCAAAGCCAAGTCATTGAGAAGCGGCGATTTCTTTGGACATAATCCAAACATGTGACATAATTCCTTACCATCCTATTAAAACAAAGCTAATCTTTCTATTTAATCGATTCACTTTGTGTGAAACATACAATTTCATTGGTAAGTATCTGTAAGAGACGTGTACCGTCTTTTTCAATTAACGCTTCACACTAAGATATAAGAGAAAAATTTGTTAAAAGTCAACAGTAAACTGCATTGAACAACATACTGCACTTTGAAGTGAGCCAAGCTGTCCACATAAGTTCTTTGTAAGGAATGAACGCATTTCATCCTAAGAAAGATCGAAAATAATTTGAAGATATATTGCACATAATGGATGTCTCACTTTTTGAACGAGACTTGTTGTGTCAACGATGTTCTTATGACAAAGTTGAAGTTGAGTGCAGAGAAGCACTGGTTGCTAAAATACTCATCGACATACGAAAATGAAAGCAATTCAGTCCATTTTGCTCTCCTACCATTCCACTTTGGATATTTCGAATGAATTCTCGTCCGTTATTATCAATCATTTCTTTGCATTTCTTCTTCTCTGCACCAGTCAAACGTGAACAAACTTGTTCATCGATATAGAGCAATACTTTATCCTAGAACATCAACTGTTGGAATGCATTTGTTTAGTCTATTGATTCCCTACTTCAGTATGCTTTGCATCAATCATTCGTTTAGCCATGGCCAAGACGAATGTGCATAGTTCGCAGCGTACCACTGGTTTAGACTAGACGAAATATTCGAAAATACCAATAATTTATTGCAGAATTCAGATTCTCATACTCGTAAAGCTGAATCGTCGAGGTAGTCACATATTTTTGATGATTCCTTAAAGAGATTATCGGTGTTTTCATATCAAAGTCTCGTTCTCTGATACTAACCACATTGCTGGCAACATGTGCATAGATTTCATTGCCGTGGCGTTCAACCAAACTATCACACTGCAAAAACGAGAGATTATTTCATGAAATTTCAACAAGTCTTTTATTGTTCGCGTACTTTTTCTGTTAAAGGCGTCGTTGGTAATTGTTGACAATCGTTTTTCAAAAATGCTTGAATGTCCATTCGTGTCTTTCCTTGTTTGACATGTAATTCTTTTGTGACACGAACAATGACATTGCATAACATTTTGGATTGTTCATCGACTGTTGTTGTTCCGGTATTTTCATCTAATTCAGTTGTTTCAGTTGCACAAACATTCATCAGATGGCACAATGTATCATAACGCTAAACAAAGCAGAAGGGAGAAATTTATTCAGTTGGCCATAATTTCAAAACATACCTTGTTTTCCATTAACGCAAGAACTGTGGTTTGATGGTTTTCAACTGTAGTCTTACACTAAATCGAACAGAAGTTCGGTAACTCTTACCACGTACAATCTATGTTACGTACTTTAGTCGAAACATCTTCCAATGGTAATAATTGACATCCATTAATCAATGTTGTTGATACTAAATCCTAGAAGAAGACCAAACACCATTTCTGATAATGTTCTTTACAGATATGGATCACAAACGTGATTGTGGGCGACGTTTTCAATAGCTTTATGAGTATTTTCCAGAGTGTTACGACACCATTCACACTTGGTTGTTGAATCAACGCTTGTATATTTTTCGTCATATTTCCAAACAGTGTCAGCACAATGACGTAGTGCACCACAATCCTGAGCATTTTGAAATGATTGACACCAATATTCCGGGCCAACGGCGCAATCTTGTTTATAAGCAGTTGTTAAACAACTCGTTATAGCTAAACAAAGAAAAATATTTTCTTCATTACGGCATGCACTAATGAACTACTTTACCGATTAAATACGTGACAAAGACGGCTTTCGCCATGATGTCACAAAGAGCAGAAGTAAAAGGGAAAGAAATCTAAAAATAATCGAAATCAGTATACTAGACGATCTGTAGCACTGATCGAGTGGCTAACGATTTGTTTTTATCTAGACACCGTGCACTTTCTAGTGATTTGTCGTTATTTACACATCCTAGAATGTACACTTATATAGTGATGCGTATAGAAGAGAACAGGTCTGACGGTAACGAGGCGGACGGTATAGAAGATAAAAAGAAACGAAAGAAAAGAAAGAATCTAACATCGATATTATAGAGAATCGTATCAAGCGCAGGAATCTACTGATTTTTATTCGTTTATAAATAAAAACATTTTAAAAAAGGCACCGGACAAACGTATTGCAGTAAGAAAAGAAAGCAATAAAATATTGCACCGATAATTCGATGGACTCTTTATTTCTCACATAGACCAATAGCTTGGCACACAGCTTTTGGATCGCCGTATTCAGCAATATATTTCATCAAATCAGGAGCATAGAGATGGACTAAAGTTTTGCATTCTGCCTGTAATTTTTCGCCTGGTAAAACTTTACAAGCTTTTTCTAGAGCTTGTTCGAATTTGACTTCAGTTGTATTCGATTGGAGGATTGTATCCGCATAGTTGACGATGTACTGACAGAGATTGCAAGGTAATGATTTGAGCTTGTTGGTTTTGATTGCGGGAATTTGAATGAATTCTTTCTTGGATTTTGGACATAAATCTAACCATGCGCAAACAGTATTTGGATCATCGAGTTCAGCGAGAAGCTGAACAAGAATTGGCGAATAAGTATGAACGAATACATCGCATTTGTCATGGTATTCGGCTGGTAAAATGGTGCAGACTAATTTTAATGCTTTTTCGACTTCGGCTTCAGTAGCGTTCGCAGTGATCAAAAGATTGATATATGATAGCATATATTTGCAGAGAGTACATTCACTGTCGCTTTTTCCTTTCTTGCCAGATTCAACGATTTTGCCTAAGACAAAAAAAACGATTTTCGGTTATTTTGCTTACTATAACATATTCAGACTTACGAGCAACTGACTCGACCGTTTGTGTTCCATTCTGACACACTTTAAGGGCGTTGCATACTTTTTCCGGTGTGCCGAATTTGACAATCAGTTGGTAAACAAGTGGACCATAGTTCTTGACGAATGTTACGCATCCTGGTTTGAGCGAAGCTGGTAAGATTGTGCAGACCTTTTCGAGTGCTGCTTCGATGGCAGCTTCAGATTTGTTGTTTTGAATGACAGTATCAACATAACTGATGATGTACTTGCATAATGCACATTGAGCGCTAGCGATTTTGGCTGGTACGTTTACTAAATTTCCTACAACGACGACAATAGAGCGGTTAGCAAATCTCAAATTAACAGTTTTATCGACTCACTGCTGGCTGGTTGAATTGATTCGGTTCCATTGTTGCAGATTTTCAAAGCGTTGCAAACCAATTCTGGTGTACCATATCTTTGAATCAACTGAACAAGAACAGGGCCATAGGTAACAACAAATTGATCGCATTTAGATTTAATTGAAGCTGGTAAGATTGTGCAAACTTTTTCTAGTGCAGCTTCGATGGCAGCTTCAGATTTGTTGCTTTGGATAACAGTATCAATATAACCGACGATGTATTTACACAAGGAACATTCTACAGAACGGAGTGGTTCTTGTTTACTGCTCAACATTTCCCGCAGACTGCTAGCAACTGAAAAACAAAACAGAAGTTGAAGCCACAAGGCACAGATTTTGCTGATCTATTTACGTGGTGTTATTTCTTGTGTTCCATTGTTACACACTTTGATGAAATCGCATATTTGTTCAGCTGTGGCGTTGTTATGAAACATAAATGCGATGATCGGTCCATATTTTTGGACGAAAGACGCACAGTTGTTTTTGAGGGCTCCAGGTAGGAGGTCGCAAGCTTTGTCTAAGGCGGCCTCAATTGCTGCCTCGGATCGATTACCTTTGGTAGCAGTGTCGAGATAGCCGATGACAAATTTACAAATTGTACATGGAATAGTGCTAAGTTGTGGTTTTTGCAAATTCATCATAGGGACATGTTCGACTAAGGAGTCAACATAATAATAGGAAAAACTCGCTGCAAAATTAAACTTACATGTTGCCATTTCTTGTGTTCCATTGCTACACACTTTGATGAAATCGCATATTTGTTCAGCTGTGGCGTTGTTACGAAACATAAATGCGATGATCGGTCCATATTTGTGGACGAAAGACGCACAATTGTTTTTGAGGGCTCCAGGTAGGAGGTCGCAAGCTTTGTCTAAGGCGGCCTCAATTGCTGCCTCGGATCGATTACCTTTGGTAGCAGTGTCAAGATAGCCGATGACAAATTTACAAATTGTACATGGAATAGTGCTAAGTTGTGGTTTTTGCAGATTCATCATGGGAGCATGTTCGACTAACGAATCAACATAATAATAGGAAAGACTCGCTGCAACATTAAACTTACATGTTGCCATTTCTTGGGTTCCATTGTGACACACTTTGAGGGCGTTGCATACTTTTTCCGGTGTGCCGAATTTGAGAATCAACTGAAGAAGAAGTGGGCCATAAGTGTCGACGAATGATACGCATCCTGGTTTGAGCGAAGCTGGTAAGATTGTGCAGACTTTCTCGAGAGCAGCTTCAACAGCGGCTGCTGATTTGTTGTTTTGGATGACAGTATCAACATAGCCGACGACATACTTGCATAATGCACATTGAACGGATTTTACTGGCTTGGGTAAGACGACGGTATTTTCTGATTTTTTGCAAACTTTGATAAATGCGCATACTTTGTCAGGATCCATTTCACGAACAAGAAGAGCAATGAGATCAGGGCCATATGAATCGACAAATGATTTGCATTCATCACGTAAAACCGATGGCATTTCTTTGCAAACTCCTTCGAGGATATGTTCAATTTGTTGAGCTGATTTGTTTTGACTTGCATATGTCTCGACGATGTGAACAACAAATTCGCAAATAACACATGTTAGATTTGATGGAGCATTGCTGGGTTTTGGTTTTGGTACGAACACATTCGATGTATCATGTCCTTGAATGATGGAACAGATTTTGTTAAGTTCCTATTCAAAGAAAAATCCACGATTCAAACGCCCGTTTTTCTTTGCTTAAATCGTCGACTTACAGTGCCACTTGCAAGATGACGAAGAATATCAGCAACATAGATATCGACAGCCATTTGACACTGTTAGAATTAGCGAATGACATGAAAAATAATAGAAACGAATATGCAAATGCTTACTTGTTGAACAAGATCTTTTTGGTAAGGTAATTTTGTGCAATCTTGACGAAGATATTCTTTGATCGAATTGGCATTCACTGAACTACCAGCAAGAAGTTCATGTGATGCATGAACAAAAACATTACATAACATTTGAGATGTTTCACTGGTGGCACTGGTTTGTTTGGGCTGATGTTTTTCCTTCCACACTGTTTGTTGACAATGGTGAACAGCACCGCAGTCTTCTGCTGTGGATGCATCACGACACCAATATTCTGGACCTTTGGCGCAATCACGTGAATAGGCCCAAGTGGAAGTGGCAAAAGATAGCCATACTAACAACGAAAAAGAGGTCGTATTTCTTATTCTTACACACAAGAAAAACAACTTTCGCGATTCACTTACCACACAAGAGAGCTACGAATTTCATTTTAGAAATGCGTTGTTGTCGGTTCTCCTAAAATGGTGAAATGAGAATACATATCTGTATATATAACGAAATGCTTGCTTACGAAAAGATTTTGTTTATCACCCGATAGATAAAAGAGATAACAGATAAGTGCAGTATATACACAACAAAGTTCTGGAATTTCTTTTTGCTTCTTTCGTTAGCATTTAAGATAAAACAGGTCAGAAATGACGGTGAAACAATCTGCCATGTCAGTGAAGTATATGAAACAGATGCTGTAATCACTCGGTAAGAATCAAACGCCGATATCCGATGCAAAGTGCGGATAAACATCGGCAAGACGATATCTTCGCAAATCATCTAGATATTCTAGAAGCAGAACCATACTATGTCGACAAAAAATTTAAAAGATAAATATTCAAATATAATCTTTGTGCGCAGTGCAACTATCTTTGTGTAATTGCGCTGCACTGCAGCAGTAAATGTGATATGTTCAGATGACTCATCTTTCAAAACCATCTGGGTCACATGAGAAAAAAATTTGACCAAAATAAAATATTTATGTCAAAGAATATGTTTAGTAGTGAACTATGTTTTGAAAAATTGCCTTAATATTGCAACAGTTGAATAGATGTCGCTTCGTTACGTGCCAATGCATGAATGTTATTTTTAATTGTTCTTATTAATCTACTTTTTTTTGTCACTGTGGAAACGAAACGATATCTTGTGTTGAAACGAACCCATAGTTCGAAAGACACATGTATTATAGACTCATATAATAGAAAAACCTTGTACTTCGTTCTCTCGTGAAATAAAGACTTCATTGTTATCATATCTAAACTCCAAATGAAGAGAATTTTGAATAAAAAGAACTGATATACGGTCTAAAGCATTTCAAACTTTTATTTTTAACCTTGTTTGATCTGTTATTACATCAGCGCCTGAAATGAGTCGTCAGTTCGCTTGTTGTTTTGAGAAATCGACTATTTTTCGATAATCAGTGGTAATTCTATTCATTGTTTTAACGATAAAATATCAATACGGCAAAGGAACAGAAGCTTCTATACAAAAACACACAAAACATAACTCATTGTTGAGAATAATATTATGACATGATAGGATGAATGCATCGTATGACTTTTACTAACGCCTAAAAATCGATTTTGTCGTGTACAAATAGTTCCATTACAACAACCAATGGTATTTGTTGGTGTACAAGCAAAGCCAAACTGGCTAATACACGTATTGGTACAATGTTCAGCATTACCACAAATTGATGTTGTATAGTAAACACTCGAACCACATTGACATCGACATGTTGGTATATAACCTGAACAATCGCTTCCACAACAGCCTTGAGTGTTGCCTACATTGCATTGAGCAACGGATTGTAAACATGCTTGAACACACTGTTGTGGCGAACCACATGACGTAGCTAATGTTGTATACTGATTACCGCCACACATGCAAGAACATGAAGGAAACGAATTGATGCAATCGACACCGCAACAAGCTTGAGTGTTATCCTGTGTACATGCGCTGTATGAACTTAGACACGTTTCTAAACATGTTCGACCACTTCGACAAGGAACCGCTGTTGTTGTTGTAAAATCTGAACCACAGTTACACGTACATGTTGGAACATACGATGAACACGTTGGACCACAGCAACCTTGTGTTCGACCAGGCGTACAATCTGCGTAGGTCTATAGAGAAATTTATGATGAAACATAATGTGACAAAAAAAAATGAATGTTTAATGAAACTTTCTTACCGTCATACATGTGCTTATGCATCCTTCAGGACCTGTACATTTAGGTGATGGATAATAAGTTCTTCCCTGACATGTACAAGCACATGCATTGGAAACGGCTTGTGTGTAAGACTGACAATCTTGTCCACAACAAGCTTGAGTAGTTGTTGACGTACATGCTTGCGGAAAATTAGTTAAACATCGTGTTAAACACGACTGAGATGATACACATGTATCGATTGGATTCACAAATTGTTGACCAGCACAATTGCATGCACAAAATCGATTTTCCAGCGATTGTGCTTGAAAATATTGGCACGATGTACCACAACAGCCGTAGGTGTTCACAACTGTACACTGTCCTGGATACATTTGTAAGCAGTATGCAACACATGTTTGTGCAGTAAGACAAGTTGCTGGTGGCCCATAAGACACGTCGCCGCATGAACAAGTGCATGAACTTGTTTGACCAGTGTTGACATTATTCTGAAAAAGCTGAACATTGGGCATATTGCCGCCCATATAGTCAGGATTAAATGCATAGTATGGATCGACAAGATTGGTACCGAATGATTGTCGTTGTTGCGCACGTTGTTTGGGATCGACTTCTTCTTTTTTCAATGGGATTTCCTTTCCTTCTGCAACATAGAAGACATTTTTCTCCTCTTTGAACGTGACACTTATATGTATTTTTGTATTTACAAATACATAAATCTACATGTGGGCGAGTCGTTACCTGTTGAGTAGACGATGATAAATGTCAATAGTGTGATAATATTACATGAGATCATTATTAGTCACTGATATAAGACGTTCTTGATTTCAATGTGCAAACACTGTCCTTGTAACGAACATGATCATGAATCGTATAGTTTATTGTGTTCGATCTTATTCTTGTATTGACTCTCTTTCGTTCTTTCTCTCTCTCTCTCTCCCCCTCTCCCTCACTCTTTAGAACCTATGCAAAGTAGTCACATAGAAAAATACAGAGAGCATAATCATAATTTTCATCATTTCAATCCAATGTCTCGTTACTTTTTGTCACACGTATGGGGAGGGAGACAGAGAGATGGAGAGCGACCAGCCGACTGAATAAAGCTTACTTCGTTTATAATAGTTTTAATAGAAATGTATAACACTAGAGTCACGGAGAACGCAAAAGAAAAAGAAACGAGTGGACATCACAAGGTACAAAATTAACATTGAGCATACAGTTACTATTTCAGCTGTATTGAATATTGATTTGAACGGTAACCACGCATAGACGTCGCATAGGGCAGGGGAATTATTTGTGTTGTGACACATCAAATGTCTACTACTGGTCATCGGTGACCGCAGAACGATCGAGGAAGCGTAGAAAGAAATCACTCAATAGACTGCTGGTATACAATTTAAAATGCAGCAAAAATGCTGATCGAGATATTAAATTGAACCATAAAATAGAATGTACAATGTGTTTCTCACGGTAGATGAGTTAATCAATCGATTACGTAGTTCTCTCGATCATAATTTCATGTCATAGATGCTATTTTTTGCACGTCAACAAAATCGTACGCTTCTCTTCATAGGAAGAATAGAATTAGAATATCATCTGCATCTGATTCAACCTTCATTAGAAATTTATATCAGATGACATTTACCACATAGGTTTTTATTGTTTATCAATTATATTCGTTACATTGTATTGCTTTAACCAAGTTAATAAAAATGTTTGGTTATTGTTTCCATTGGCCCATAGACGTGGTGTAGCTATTTGTAAAGTTGGCAGGAGAAAATCTAGTTTATCATCGATATAAAAGCGGATTTTATCGATCAATTCAATCAATTGTTTCGCACATGTTTCCATAATTTTGTATTCGACCGGTGATTCTAACCATGTTGCAAAGAGTCGACGTAAACGACTAGTCAAAAAGTGCACACCGATTTGAATATCATTCGACGAAAGAAATGTTATTGATTCGAACAGCACAGGTGAGAGTTTCAGCACGAAATCCATATCGTGTAAGTATCGAATTAGTTTCGAGAGGAAAAATTGTTTCGTTTCTAAGTAGAAATTCTTGAATATTTTGTAGGTATGAAGAATCAATTCATTGCTTAGGTAGGACAGAATAGCACTCATTGAACGTGGGTAGTGTGTGAAATGATCGAACATTGTCAAAGATTTGTTAACATGACGAACGATTTCGTAGACAAATGTGTCGATGGCTAATGTTGTCAATTGAGTAATGTTAAGATGTAACAAATTTTGATGATTTGTCAAGCACGTAAGGCTAGAATAAAATTTAAAAGAGATGCTAGTTCACTGGTTGAAAGAAGAACGATGATGTACTTGTTCATATAGTCTTGAAGCAGCTTTTCACTTGCAAAACCGACTTGATCGACTACTTCCAGAACGAAGTGTTTTGCTTTTGTCACTTCTTCGAAGAATACATTGAGATCCTCATCGAACTTGAGATGTTCGATCAAATCCTGGCCGAATTGTCCTTGATCATTGATAAAATCTGTTTGTGTATGATTGAAAAAATTCCGCACATCATCGATGAACTCGAAAGCGAATTGGTTTTCCAAGAAGAATTGTCTCAAACGTTTGTACCAAGTTTTTTGTTCAGTCGTTTGCCACATTGGAATCAATTTCTAGATCATAATGCAATTCATCAGCGAAAACAAATTCTTAAACTTACTAATTGATAATCTGTTCGACTGGAAATAGTAATCAATGCTGTTGACGAATTTCGATCGATCCATCTTGTGAGAATCGATGCTAAAACTTGTTGAGGAGAGTTTTTCTGTAGAAACAATTGATTTGTTGTTAAATTGAACAAATACTCTTTTGACCGTAGTCGTAAAGCTGTTGTATCAAGTCGGCCATCGAAGTACTCTTCATTATCAATGAATACTGTTGAATGCAACAAGCCCGTTTCAGGATACGATTTCGGCAAAGTCAAATTTAAGTTAATTTCATCTGCAAGGAGTAGAAGGAGGTGTATTTGCGATTCGCTAGTGTTGGCATAGAGATGCATCAATGTTTTTTCATTGGAGTAAACATTCGGTTTCAAACGAATGCAAAGTTTTCGTCGGGGATGATGATCCAATGTGAAGCTGAGATTTGTTTTTGAGAACACATGAGTTAATTTAACCGACACGACTTGTTGAGTTAAAATTTGTTGATCGATGTTCAGTTCAAGTACGATAGGTTTAGATTGACTTTCTGCTGATGCATAAATTGTGTGTACTCTAGCAATAAACTTCGAATCTTCTAATCGACCTTGAATAACACTGTAAATCGGTGTTGATAAGACACCATTCGGGTCCTGGACACTCATTTTTCCTTGTAAATTCTTTTGTTTCGTATCAATTTTGACATTCCACTTGATAAACACTCGCTCAGATTTCTCATATCCATAGATTAGTTTCCAGCGCTCGTCCATTCTGATTTTCTCTTGATTATCGATATCTTCGATAGTAAATGCTAAATTTCCAACGAGAATTAACTGTTTCTTAGGAGTTTGATAGCCTATACGAAATGATCGACCACGAACCAGATTAAACGATGACATTTGTAAAGGTAGGAATTCCAGAAAAATTTTCACATAACGATTTTCATCTGTATTTGGATGATAGATCAGGTTAAGGTCATAGATTGGCGTTTGAATATTTCGATTTTCGTAATAGAATCTTCCCGATTTGTAGTAATTAAACGTGAAGTTCTCTTTTCGTTGTGAATCGTACAGATGTAGATATCGCGTAGTATCTGACGAAAGGTTTGCAATGACGATACCGAACCGATGTGTGTGATATTGAATAGTATTATCGTTGAGAGAGAAAAAGTTCTTTTTGTGATCGAGCTCATGCTGAAAAGTAAAATCTTGTAGGGAACCGTTGAACACGAATTCTGAATTGTGGTTGTACAGATAAAAACGATGGTTTTCGAGCGAGAGATGCCAGGTTTGATTAATAACTTGATTAAATTGAAATGTTATATGATATGTTGTTTGATTGAGCAGTTTTGAAGAAAATGAGATGTCCAGATTGGAAGAATTTCGAAATAACTTGAAAGCAGTGAGCGATCGTACGCCTGCGTATTGAAATACGAAATGGAGCCGAGATTTGTGAAGAATTTCCAAAGCGATTTGAGGATTGGTTGTCGGATAAAACTGCACGTATCTTCCCGTTGAAATGTACAACGAAGAATTAAAGTTTAATCTCGATGAGAAATACCAATCATCATTTGGAAATATGAGCGAACCATTGAATCGATCGTGTCGAAAATATCCTTCAAGATTCCAATATGTTCCATTCATACTTGGCTTTCCAATGATTCGGTAATGATTATGAATGACTTGAAGATGAGCTGAAATCGTTCGGTTTGGATAGTAGCGTAGTTTACATTCGTAACGATCATCCGCATCTTCTCCATGTGGTAATCGACGAATGATTAGTTGTCGTCTTTGATTGTCATAGATCGAGGAATATTTAAAAGTTGTTGTATCAAGATGAAATATGTATTTTCTGCGAAGGTCCATCTCGAATTTAGTTACAGGGATTAACATTCGTCCATGGCCTGTATAGTTCCAAGACAGATACGAACGTGACAACCATTCAAACATCATCGTAGATAGGCCGTCGTTCAAAGTGTAATATTGTATAGAGAATAGACGAGGACGGATTTGGATGATTAAATATGGATTGCACTAAAAGGAAAACATTGATGAAGGTACAATGAAGAGGAAAAAGCAAACTTCACTTTCTTCTACCTGTAAGATCTGATCATCGATTGTAAATAGATTTGTCGTCCGTTCAAATATGAATCCGAACTTTTCGTTCTGTTTATCAACGACTGATTTCACAAAGGTCGATGTGATAATCGTCGTAGATTTCATATGTAGTGTGTTTAGATGGAGAACGTTTGCCGAAGTATTCCAAAAGCCGTGAATATCGTATTGATCTCGATTATTGATGAACAAACCTTGAATAAGATGATTCGAATGATTATAATTTAAATCTAAGTCATAATGTGAATTGATAAGATAAAGATCGAAGATTAAATTCGACTGTTTCGTCGTATAATAATATTCGTGATGAAGCCGAATTAACTCACGACGACGGCCTAACATCATTCGAAAATCGACTGCCCATTTCCCGAACCATAGATAGTCGTTCGTTATATTTAAGTTCCATTGGATAGGTTCGAAAGAGAATAGAAGCAAGTGTGAGTCGAATGTCCAAAAACGAATGGATGCGAGGTTCCAATTGTAATCAAAGTCAAAGTAACGCCGTCGCCGTAGAAATGTCATTTGAACTAATCCTTGGAAATGAAATAGTTCCTTTTGAACATGTCGAGTCCATACCAATGAGAAAAATTCTCGTTTGAATAGTGGAATATGACATAGGACCTTCAATCTGTGATCTTTCAATGAAATATCAAATATAAAATCATTGAGAAATTTGGAAATGAATTTTGAAAACGCAATCTCAATTCGTATCAATGTTTGATTATCTGTGTGATAATGGATCGGTAAAATTTGTGTTTGATTTGTCTTTAAATAAATTCGCTTTAGCAAAAACGTCGAGTTCAACGGCGAGGAGACGAGCTCGTACCGAATATTCTTGTTGATTATCAGTGACATCATCCAGTTTCGATCGAGTTCAAATAGTGTCACATAGGATTTACCTAAGAAGTTCTGTTCAATACGCATATGAATACGCGTTGGAAAGTCATTTATGAAAAATATTTGAAGGCCCGAGAAAGTCGAAATATGATAATTAATTGACGTTCGTGTTAGATTTGTCCATTCGAATAGCTGGATGAATAGCTGACGGTCTCTTTCGTAAAAGAATACAAATGGTTTTGTGGCAAACATCGATGGTATATGGATCGAACTATTCCAAGATTGAAGAACAGTTGAGTTCGGATAGTATTGACTAGATGATTGAAGAGAGAACATTTGGTAATGAATCATTTTCAACGATTGGTTAATATATGTTTGAAACAGATAATTCGATCGAAATGTGAAGTTCAGAATCAAATCAAACGAGTATTCATTACGAAAGCAGGATGTGACGTTAAGTAGAAGATTGTTTGGTAAAGAAATGAATTCGAGTTGAAGATTAGAATATTTCTTTGTTGTACCAAGAACAGTTTCAACGACTGGTAAGTTCAGTGAGAAATTGGTGTACTGAGCAGATAACTGTCCTTGGCCTTCGTAATGGTAACCAGGTATTTCGAAGATAAATGTAACGAAATCCGATTGATTCAGATGAAAGTAAGTGTGTAGAAGCTTTTCGGATGCATAGGACATTCGCATTTCGATTGTACGATGTATCATCGATGAATGAAAGGAATACCCATTGAAATACGCATGAATTCTTGTCAAACGGTGCATATGAAAGGAAATATCGCAAAGAGACCAGCCGTTTACCAATGAAGTGGAGTGAAAATTAATATGGGATAAGTTATTATAATGAATCTGAAACGATCGAAAGATTTTTTTCGTCATTTGCCGTGGAATGTTCGTGGATTTTTTTACCTGAGTATTGTGATCAAATTCGAGTAGAGATGAGTTCATCACCAATGAATGATGCAGATAAGATTCTCCTTTCATAAATATCCATTGAAATTGACTATTCTCGTTTCTTATCGCTGAAAAGTTGAATGATGATCGATAAAAATCATAGTAGAAGTTTAAGAGAAAATCTTGTTTAAAAAAGAAAAATACACGTTCGATTTTCATATTCATTCGAGCATGATACCAATCGGTCAGACGCTCCAATTCCATTATCAACTGTCCGCTGAGAAATTTCGATGCATTGATACTGAGATTTCCATTATAATGTATAGAAACATTGCCGATGTGTTTCGGATGAACATTCGTTATATTAATCGAAAGATTCGGGGACAAATCATGAGAATACTCGCCTGAACCATTCACAATCGATCGATTATTGTAGGAAATATTAAATGACATTATATGATTATCATGCCATTCAATTGACGATGCATACTTTGTTGTTGGTGTAGAAAATTCGAGATAGTATGGCATCCATGCAAATTTATGAAACTTTCGTTGGAGATGATACGATTTATAGATGTGTTCGTGCTGTTGGATATGAAAATGAACGGAATGGGATGAAGATGTTAGATTATAGACAAGTGATGAATCATCCGAAAGTAGACGTATCTAAGGTTTGGGCAAGAGAAAGGTTAGGATTACTCATATACAACGTCTTACTGCGATCGAAGAAGGCCATAGGCGATGGAAAAAAATTGACAGGCAAATTTTGGAATCAAAATGTGGGAGTATATAGCAAAAGTCTTTGAATGATGGGAGTGAACTAGTTCTTGACAGAATTTGTTTGTTATGAATTAGTGAGCTGATCGATTGTCTAAAGAAGAAAGAGGAATATGAGGATAAGGATGAGAATATCGTTATCAAACTGTATTTTGAAGAGAACATTTTCTTTTTGAATCGAACGCCAAATGTATGAAGTGGAGTTGTCGTGTTGGTGAACGTGGATACGAAAGTTGGATTCAAGATTAAAACGTATCTCGTAGCCAGTCATGATATGCTGCAATCCATGATTGATTTTGAAGACAATACCAGCACTTGATCTAAGGTAACAATAAAAGATGGAACCTTGTGGGAATTCATTGTATTACTTTTTGAAGAAATTTTTCAACTGATCAAAATAGCCCAGTAGCCAATTGAGATTGAAATCCGTTTTGAAATGTATTTTCAAACGAAATCCGTCCAGTGTTTCAATTTCAAATAATCGATCGGCATTCAGCCATTTGAACAGATCATCCATAGTCGAAAAACGAATGATTGATTTTCTTCCAAATACTAGTAGAATCTCTTTTTCCTACAAATAAAACGAATGTTGTCTAACAACACATTGGAAAGTCACATACAAAATAGAGATCAATTTCTGTTTGATTTGCTAATTCCAATTGAATTGAGTTTGGTATAAATGTGGAAATCTTTTCGGAGAAAAGACAATGAATTTTACCAAACGGAAAGACATATGAACCGGACTGCGATGACCAGATCGAGCTCTGTTTATCGAAAGACTTGATATACAAATGTAATTGCTTGGATTGAATCGTTTCGATTAGATTCGATAGTTCTGTTGAATTCAGATAGGAATGAATGATTTGGAAAGCGACGATACGTATGTCAGAAGATTCTTGTTCGTCGTATAGTAATGTTCGAAATTCACTGTAGAAATCGTTCGGATTATTAAGAGTTCGAAAGGCAATCAGACGATAATTCAAACTATTGTTACGATTCAATGCATATTCCATTGTTAGATTATCATTCGAGATAATGATTAACATTCGAAGTGTAAGAAAGTCCATCATGTGAGAAGAAGAATTCAGAAATTTTCTTAAACTATCTTGAATATATTCTGTGGGTTGACGCTCAACAAACTCCAAATGCTGCATAACGATTTTTGGATCATGCTGAAAATGTTTGAGAATATATTCTGTTGCCGGGTAACGAGTAACGTCAATTATATTTCGATGGATCCATTTCCTGCAGGACAGAAAGATGTAAAATGAGAAAAGTATAGAAAAAAGTTTTCACCATTCACAGTTGGAGTATTGATCGATATTTTCAGAGAGAATTTGCTGTAAATCGACATCGTGTAAATCATTATTGAGCATTGTAAACAGTTCCGAATGCAAATTTTCACCATTATTTGCACACATCTCTTTCAGTAATCGATCAAAATCATTCTTAGTTTTCTTTTCCGATTCGGAAGTCAATATTTCTTTATCTTGTGTAAATAATTTTCGATGATCGATTAGACTATGATATCGAATTTGTCTTTCAATGGTCAACAAACTCGCTGTTTTCGATCGACAGATACTGGTTTCCAGCTTCTGTTCGTTGATATCTATCGTTGCTTCGCAAGTGGTTGTCGTTGGAGAGAAGAGTTTATTCAAAAGATAATTCTAAATGATCGCAGCACGAAAAAATTTCACATGAGTTCGCAGATGAATATACTCACGGTAAATATTGAATTGCCCATAAACCGTCCACGATTTGTTTGAGTTGTTTGTATTCGGCGGTATAGTTTTGTATTATTTTGATAATCTTCGACAAAAATCTTCTCATTTGCACTATTTTCCAATGAATACTTGAATCGAAAAGATGAGAAAAGCTTTGACTTGTCATCAAATTCTTCACTTACCATTGTGCGATGAAATATTTGCAGAATAGCATGTTCAAGTTGATTTCTGTCTGTCTGAATGTCAATTTCTTCCAGTGGATGAACCGTGACATTGTATAACTAAATTACAGGTTGTAGTTCCGAGAAGAACTTCTATAAATAAATTACTTCAACAAATGATTGATTACAAGGTGGTTTAGGTTGGTAATAAAAGACATCAGCGGCAACGTTCAAGACCGTTTGATCGATAATAGTCGTTGGAACATATTGAAAGGTTGCTTTGGATGTGTATTGATACTTCGTTAACGAAAAAGTGCCTAATCAGAAGTCAAGTTTAATCGAACTGCAGGTACGTCCAAATTTCGACTCACATGGTTCATTAATTGAACTCGCGTTGATTCCTTTGACTATAAATAGATGAGAAGACAAATACGTGATGATTTGTTCTCTTTTGCACTAACCTCGTATTTTCAAGAACAATAGGAGAACAATACAAACGAATCTTCGCATTTTTACTTGTACAAACTTGAAGTGCGCACAATGCAATCGAATAAGCAACGGAATGTCCGTATCTTTCGTTATCTCAAATTGTGCCATGCTTTTTCAATTGCAATTTATCAACGAGTCAAGAAAAAAGAGACGAACCAGGTTACGTGATGTATATATATGTACATAATTTAACTTATACATGTATTTATTGTGTATACAAAGGATAAAGAGAGTAGAAGAAAGAGAGAGAGAGAGAGACAAGAACTTATACTCGTACACAAACACATGCATACATATTCGATGGAATCTTTTCTTTAGAAGAAAATTGAACGTTCAATGACGATATTCAAGCGTCTGTTTTCGAAGGAACACGTGTGAAATTTTGTTCTTGTGGAAGTTTATCAATTCGTAACCAATGTGAGCGCATGTTCTGCGTGCAACATTTTTGCCAGCATGATTTGAAGAGCGTAATCAACTCATGACGAAAACGATTTCCACATAATGAATAGAGAAAGAAATTCAAACAGAAGGACATGAAGTAGAAATGCCGTAAGATTCCCAGTGTACGTTTAAAGTCTTTCTTTGATATAATTGAATAAAGTAAAACAGCACAATAAGGCGAATTGAACAGGAGAAAAGTGGTGGAACAAATAACAAGCATTTTCGTTGTACGTTGTGATATCGCTTGTCGATTGCTATTGGAATTGGCTGCCGAAACAGGAGATAACTCGTTTGGAATTGGAACTGTTGAAATAGGCGAATTAGAAAGACGGGCAAGATATTCGTTACCTGTACCTGTAGATTCTATACATGACGAGGATATCTGTCGATTTGTTTGCGATGTTGGTGTGCCAATAGATGTGCGCGCTGTATCTTTCAATGGAATAAAATTAGTGTCAATCGAATTTGATTCATACAGCCGTTGTCGTTCGTGATATAAATCTCCTTTCGACAAGCGAATCGGTGACGACGTTCGTTGATTGCGTGAGCCTGGAGCGGTCGTTAATGAACCCCCTAGAAATGTACGGAAACATAAAATAAAGATCTGGCGGCAAGAATCCGTGAGTACATTGATTCCGTTGGCTAATAACAGAAAAGAAACTACTCTCCTTTCATCTATTTATAGGCTACCTAGTGGTGTTCGACTTCTTTTGAGCAGTTCCTGTCAGCCTCGTATCATTGAATATGAAATCAAACTCTCCTTCTAATCAAATACACCTCACTGACACCTCGTCTACTTCTTGTCATGAAAACTAATTTTTTTTCTCTCTGCCTTCGTGTATATCACATAGTATCTCACATTACACTGCGACACATAGATCCATTTTTCATTAAGAATGTTTTAGCTAATATTGCAGTATTCCGCGCGCTGTTTGCAAAAGAAAAGACGACAATGAATGTTATCTATTTCCGGTCTGTCCTGATTATCACACGACAATGGAATGTAAAGAAAGAACATTTTTGAATTAGAACCATGTTACATACCGAAAATATTTGTAAACCGTTTTCTGTTTCTTAATTTATACACAATTGCACAATTGAAGAGTAGAATAAATATGAATGGTAGAACAAACGTTAAACACGTATCAACAATCAATAATGGATACAGGGCGGGATGATTTTCGTTTTCTTCACATTGATTCTTTGAAATATGTGTAACAAAAAAACTAAACGAGTAAAAGCTACAACCAATTAAAACTAATATGAAGATATTTATTGTTGACGAACGACTTGATATGATCGTATTGGCATGTAATGGGAAAAGAACAGCAACGAACCGTTGTAGCGTAAATGATAACGTAAAATTAGCTGAGAGAAATGAACAAATGTGTGTGATATAAACAGTGACTTCACAGACTATTAATGAACGATGAAAACCGATGATTGAGCCTGTTGATGTATCAACAATTGACAGAAAGATTATTAATAAATAAAGAAAATCAACGCCAGCTAAAGCTGATAGTAACATCGAAGAACGCCACTTCCGCATAGCTTGTCGATTGAGTACAATCATGGTACAAGCATTACCAATCAAGCCGATCACAGAAACAATCAGTGTGATTTGCGTGGTTAGATTTTCAACGAATTTCAAATGTTTCGAGCCCGCTTCTGTTGTTGTTTCGTTGGGATACACTAGAGATCTTCCAGCCATTGTACTACTATAATATAATGACGACGACGATAATAATGTTGGCGAATTGACAGTAATAAATAAGGCAGAATCCGAACGATTAGTAAGAGCCATTGCTTTGTTCTTAGATGGTTAATGTAAGATTATGAGAACATGAAATTATGTCGGTGTAGCGGATCAATTAGAATTCGTAGATTTTCTAGAATAGAGAGACAAGATGTCATCGTGATGGCTGGGAGAGATGACATAGATATGGTATAACGAATATGACTATGATAAATTTGAATGGCATATACCAGTAGGAGAAAAATTCTGTTAGATGATGAGGATAATAATGAGGAGGGAAACAACTACTAACATAAGAACAATAATAACAAACGAGACTGCAATTGACTGTCATTCGAACAAATGTCAACACAATGACAGAAAACGACGCGCGACAGAGAAAGCGAGTTCTCTCTTGAACAATTAATCATTTTCGATAATCCTTAGACAATTCGAAATATAATTATTAACGAATAAACAATACGGCAATCCTTTCTGTTCTACTCAATCTAGATGAAATAAGAGAACGAATTATGTATATGATATGCAATACGCTCAAGTAAAAAAAAGGAGAAGAAGAAAAATACATGCAGACGAGTATTTTCGTATGTGCATCTGTTTACTGTTTGCTTTCTTGCTTTGCAAAGACCGAAAAGGCGAATAATTTCTTCATGGCTATATATACATACTTGCTTTTTCGTTCGAAAAAGAGCGAATGAGAAAGAAAAGTACGGGCTGTTTCTGTGCAACATACCACAGACAATGCTCCGTCAGTATGTTTATCTTCTATTCTCAACTAGTCATTTGTATACTTCCTGAGATCAGAAACCATCCTTACTGATACAGAAACAACAGTAAGAAGATGAGAATCAAGTACGTCACATTCCAGAAAAAGAAATAAAGAATCTATCCAGTAGTTTTTTGTTCATCGGTAGTAATAAGAGATTATTATTTATGATGGATAGGAAGAGACGAAGAAGATCCGTATTTAATGAAGAATTTCTCTTCTTTCATTTAACATACCTATCACGTTCAGTTAGCATGCGTCTATGTCTTTGGAAGAAGGAGAGAAAAGCTGAGTGAAAACTGCCATTGCATGTCAATTAAAAACAGATCAAAGCTAACTAAGCTCGACATTGAAATAATCAGATTTCGAAGTTTTAGATTAAAACAAAACGTTGAGAGTAGTTTGTCTCGGCGAGACTTTTTTTGTCGAAGAAATCGACGACGATTATGAGAATGAAACTGAAAAAAAACAACGTCGATATATTATTTGACTTTTTATCACGCTGACTATATCTAATCAAGTGAAAGTTAGCACGAAATCATCGATGAATATGACAAAAGTGATTTATGAAAACGTAATCGATGAGACTGAGCAATATTACATATTCTTTGTCATTATTTTATCAAAATACCAACACGATTCGATTACCTGAATTACAGTTAACACGAGGAGGAAGAAAGAAAGAAAAACGAAACGAGAGCGAGAGCGAAAGCGAAACGCAGCGAGTAGTAATTCCTACGTAAGTGTTATAAAAGAAAAAAGTCGTTACCTCCCAATAGTCTTGCAATGAAATGTCTTACCTAGGCATCGCATAGCGAAACCATGTGAGTGCGCAGTTCGCACACATCGACAACATGTCATTGAAACGTGAACAATAAGTAAAAACAAATGAGTCGCTCGCAGCTATTTCCTCTCTTATTGCATAAGAAATTTCAACAAATCGTCATTACGCAGAACAGACAATACGTAGAAATATTTCACACGGGTGTTACAATAAAGAAAATTATTAGATACCGATGAAACCTTCAGTTATTTTCATACATATGCTAATCAGCTTCATTCAACGGCGTGTTTTTTTCTCGTTTTCTATCTGATTTTGTTTCCCTTGTCTAATCTAGACGTTTCTTTCTTTCGCTGTGTTATTATCATCGTACTTTCTCGTCCTAATAGTCTATTAACCATTAGCTACCGATTAGACACGAGTAACACGCTGCTATTCATAATCATACATAATTTCTCTTAATGATTGCCTATAATTTGTCACTATGACGAGATTTTCTTAGAGCGAGCAGAGAAAGTACTGGAAGGTAAGATATAACTTTGCGGGAAAAACACGTCGACTTGCCGCAAAACAATGGGGATAAGTGCTTATTTTTTCTCTGCTTCGCGTCAAGTTATCTGCGAGTGACGATTTACCTAGAACTATTTATAGTAAATCAGTTTTTTTCACTAATAATTTATATGAAGTAATCGGCATGGGTAGAGAAAAAACGTAGGATGAAGTACTTCTTGAAAAAGAGCATTTTCTATTCAAGAGAAGAAAAATTCCGTGTCAAAATTATAGTAATTCTTATTTAATTATCGTGTATCAGATTTCCTCTCGTGTTCATATTAGTACATTATCGATTATTAGAGTCGCGATGGTAAAAATTCGCAGGAAATAATCGCATTATCTATTAAATGATACAATGTCGCGAGAAAACCAGAAATTGAACATCCTACGAGTCCCTTAGGATATCAAGTCTATTAAAATGCTCTGCATCGCGCTGTGCGAAAACTTTCGGATGACGATTCAACTCGCCAAACAAACCAACTAAGCATTTCTATTCGGCACAAACAACATCAGAGAAAAAGAGAATAACAGGGTTGTTGTTGCGTTCGAAAATTTATTTACCAAATGGAACGTAATTTTGTTTCTACTATTGATAAATACATCTGAAGGTCACCCATGAGTCGTGTTTGTGCAGATCTTTCTCATCTATTTACCATGCATAACTTCGAAATTCGACTAAATTTCTCAAGGCAATTTACATCCATACAAGCATGAAGAAGAGGTTAACTAGTATAAAAGATTGAAAGCGGTCATTGATCATCGAAGATTTCTGTCTTCGGGAGACAATGTTTGACACTTACGGATACCTTCGAGTATAATACGAATCTCTTATTTAAAGGAATAGATATGGAAAAGGTTACCGATGTTGATGAGCATAACAAAATAAGCAGACAAGGAGACGCAACGAAAAAAAGAGAAAGATTTTTTTGTCTTCGTGCACTTTTTCGGATTAACTGTAAGGACGCAATAGATTGTCGAAAGAGAAAAAAAACAAGAAATGTGTAAAAAAGAGAGAAAAAGAAATCTACTTAACAACGAGAACGATTGATTGAGCCTTTCAAACGAACAAAAACTAACATGGATAGATTATATAGTTATATATGAATCTAATCATACCAATGCTTTTTAATCGGAAATAATACAACGAACAGAATTGAATAGAAGGGAGGATTAGTTCAGTGATGTTTTCGCCCATTCGTCAAAGTTAGTTACGCCCGTCGCATGTCAGCTTTGAAAAACGACTTTCCAGAAAAATGACAAACTAGTAGTTCGTTACGAATCATTGGAGTTCGTAAAGGTGATAGATATCGCGTAGTAAAAAAGAAAATGAGGTCTCTTCAAGAGAGAGAGAGAGAGAGAGAGAGGGAGAGAGAGGGAGAGAGAGAAAAAAAGCTGAAAGTTATGACGTCTTAGGGAAATTAGTCGATCTTCACCATTATAACACTCAACTATGTGTGCATGTCAACTACTATCACCACCTTCTTCTTCTTCTTCCATTCCCTTCGTTTCAAGATTTTTTTCTTCTTTTTCCTTTCTCTGTTCTCCATGACTTTTTGATTTTGTTTCTTGCATGATTTATTACGTACACATTTGATGTTGAAGTAAGAACAATATCTTTTCAGCTAATATAAAAACACTTTCGAACGATATGAAGCACCATTCGACCTTCGCCATAAAATTTCATCCATGTAGATTGATAAAATTTCTCAGAGAAACTTCCAGGTTTCGACTAAGAAATTAGACGTTTCTTTCGTACTCAATTATTAGCTGTCATCCATCTTAATTCGCATGAATAGAAAGAGGGACTAACTACCTACCGGGGATGATGATGATGATGATGATGATATAGATAGAACTGTCATGGTCTATAAATGACAACTAAATCGTATTAAAAACTCACCTCTGCCAACAACCGGTATTGCTGAACTTATAGAAGAAAATAATTTTCTACTTTTCTTTTAACCTCTTGCCTCATATACGCAAAATGATACTTATTAATGTTCTGCACAAAATTTACCACTAATCACTAATAATCATTCACTTCCATATTCTTCTCATTGATACTTTTTCTTTCGATATGTATGATTGTTGTGAATGATTAGTTAAACTCGAAACTGAATTAGTAGCAAGCGAAGATCGTTTCGTTATGATTTTCTCGGCATGATTACGTCGTTCCCTCAGTGCAAATATAGTCTGATTTATATGCTTGCATGTTGATGAAGAAGATCCATCAGCAGGATTCTGTGTACTCTACTTGAATACGAAACACATCAAATCTATTTTGGGCCTGTGCGGTATTTGACGAAATGAGTCTTTTACTCGAACACATCGAGATCGGGATAAGCAGAAAACTGCGACGAGAAATGATGTTGACACTTCAAAGAAGGAGAAGAGATGTTGAACGAGGTTCTTCATTTTTTATTCGATCACGAACAACGAATACGATGGTCTCCTGCTCAAGAATAATCTTTGTCAAATAAATGACGATTGACAGTGATGATAATAAGACATTGAAAGGTTATGCCTTGACATGTACCCCCCTTCAGCATTCGACCGCATTGCGCACAAATGTGATTTCGTTAAAAATGACTAACATTTATTTTGTTTAATATCATTATCAAATATTTATTAACAAAAATAAACTCAAATAAATATTTTAATAGAATTAAGTAGGCGGCGAACAGGTCTCACAGCAACTAAGCGCACTTCCATCACTTGATTTTCCAATTGATCTAATTGTTGACTATAATATTGGATCCAAGTCAAGATCGGCCAGGAATTCATCGAATTGTTCTTGTCCTGATGTTGGGCTCGTTTCGAACCGTAATCTAACACTGTCAAACCGATCCGACCGACCTGAGCAAGATTTTTCGAGAGCTGCTCGATGTCTTGTCCCCACACTTGTTTTATTTTACCGATGTTCGGATCATCGAAGAGAGAGTTCAGACGAATGTGATTGAGAGACCATTTTTGAAACACACCATGTAAAACGTTGTGGTTAATAGGAGAATTTTCTAATTTCCAGATAGGTTCACTCACAGCCTGAAGAGCGTCAATAAAAGTTGTCAATGGAACAAGAGCGTGATATTTTTGACTTTGAGCACGTGGTTCAAAACCACCTGGTTCACAAGCATCAGCTAAAATCATTAGCGGATGCAGAAGGTCCTTCTTTTTATTGGAATCACCGAATAAATTCTCTAGTCGACTTTTGTATAGAGATAAATGCGTAAGACCGATTTGTAAATCATCGAGTAAATGATTCATACGAAACAGACGTTCATACATGGATAGTGTATCATTCATGGACGACGGCGACCAAAAACGCTCGGCAATAGCTAATAAGCGTGGCCATAAACGAGAGTCGACGGTATCTTGTGAGACATATTCACTCCACATGCAAGCTTCACCGCCGAGAATATGACTTTGTTGTTCTTTATTGAATAACCATAGTTCGTCATCTAGTATCGGATCGTTTTTATAATGAAAGTCTGTGGAAGAAAGGTGATCAAGGTAATAGCCAGTTGAAAGTAAACCTCGATAGCCTTTGTCAATTGTTTCAGTGAGAGACTTTCGACTTTTCCATGACTGTATAATTGCCTTTTTATCGAGGCCTGATTTTTCACCAACTTGATCGAGTATTTCTTCCCAACCAATCATCACTTTGTTATATTTCTTCAGCATGGCTTGAACGCGTCGATTAAAATAAGCTTGTAAACCGTACTTATCTTTTAAGTTTTGTTGTTGAATAAATCGTTGAATGGATTGCGATTGTGCCCATTGAGTACCTTCAACTTCATCACCGCCGATATGAAAATACGGGTCTGGAAATAATTCAGTCATTTCACGGAGGACTTTGTCGATAAATGTGTATGTCGTTTCTTTTGTTGGATCCATAGTTGATTTTAACATTCCCCATCGTATACTTATTTCATATCGAGTTTGCTCAGCAGCTAAATTAGGATAGCCAACGAACCAACTAAAACGAATAAAGCAATAAACTAAGATCTTTGACACAGTGTACTTTCTATTCAATGACACTTATTCGCAGAACATGAATTTATTATACTGAGAATAATACATAATCATATTCCACTCAAAAAGTATTCGCTTTTTTGCTATAGTCAGAGAAATTACCTTGTCGTATGACCTGGAATATCAAATTCGGGTATCAGACGAATACGTCGCTGGGCAGCATAATCCACCAGATATCGAATATCTTTTTGACTAAAGTAATCTTTTCGATCGTGTAATAATGGATATACCAGACTTTCAACACGAAAACCTTGATCATCTGACAGATGCAAATGAAGAACATTCATTTTACTCAGTTCCATTGCATTCAATGTTCGTTCGATGACTGGTATCGGCATCCAATGTCGAGAAACATCCAGCAATAGACCACGCCATGGAAATCGGGGTCGATCAACGATATTCACACAGGGAATAAAAACTGTGCCTGATGACTTGTCTCGTTCGATCAGTTGGACGAATGTTGAAAGGCCTCGAACGATACCTGTCAATGTAATTGCTGATAGCGACGATTCAGTCTCTGTGACATTGAGTATATAAGATTCGTCTTCGTTGAGTTCAGGATAGCTATCCCTTTTACAATTTTGCGAACCGCAATAGATAGTTAGTCTGTTCTCAGGGTTCGACGAAGAAGCTAGTTCGACTTTTATTGAAAGCTTTGTTAACGTTGAGATGTATGTCGAATAACGCTTAAGTGCTAAATCAAGATACTTCGAAGATTTTTCATTTGAGACTAGACGAAATTGGTCGGTTATTACGAATTTGGAATATTCAGTGCGAACGAATGCCGGCATAGGAATAAGTTTGATGCCATTTGATACGGGATTAAAATTAAAACCACGAAAGGCATAATCCTGATAACGTTCATGATTAACATCATTTCGACTTATAAATAACTGCTGGTTGGCATTTCGTATTAGTAGATACAGAATAAATATGAAATTAATAACTAATGATAACAATAATATTTTAAAAAGAAATACAGGTCGAAGCATACTAAATTGAAAGAAAAAAAAACTTGTTCGATAAAATGTATATACTGTTGATGTATAATACCTGTCTTCGTATAAACATTGGCTGGCGTATGTAATTGATATAATATTTTATCTGGAATGATTTGGCCGATATCAATTATTTTTTTCGTCAGACAGAGTGCAACAGATGGAGTTTATCGTATGAATCGGAAAAGAAACCCTTACTCTGCATCGGTAAAAGCACTACGATATTCAGTAGGAGTACAAGTAAATTTAAATCAAGATTGGCATACGTAAATTTACTTATCTCTTAAGAAAAGAAACGCACATCACGTCTCTTAACTAAATATCAGTTTTCTTTTCTTTACGAAAAGATTATGCCCTTAAATACAACCTAATTCATTGTTGTTATTTATTACACGCGTCATATGTAATAAAAACGAAGGTATGCGAAGTTTATTTATTTATTTCTCTATATTTCCACATAAGCCATAAAAAAGTAACGATATCTTTTTGTACTTAGTTTGTCGCTGAAGAAAATGGATTGGGGAATAATACGATGGTGGAGTAGCGAATGGTGGCCTCGAAAAAAAAATGAAAATACTACTGAAATAATAAAAAAAGAAGGAAGGGTAAGAAAACAACGCAACGTGTGCTGTGCATTTTCATTTGCTTTTGATAGAATTATATCACGGGTATGGTAAAATGACGAAGCCGAATTTAATCTGCGCAAACGAATGCGAAGCAAAACTCGAAATTCATGCGAAAGAACGAACTAAATCCTATGTATTGTGACATAATAAGTACCCAACAAATTCAAGTTGATCGTAGGACGTAATCCAGCGTATTTGTCCTTTCTGTGTCGATGCGGTAAATTTATAAATCAACACATACGAAGAGCGCGAAAAGAAATTAATCGAATTTCGATTTGAAATTCTCTCGAAACTGCAATGTCAGAGTGAGACTCACGAACGCACTGCAACATCGTCTATTTGCAACATCATATTGTCTAACCTATAAAGTACTCTTTTCTTTCTTTATCTCCCCACCCTTGAAAAGATTTATCAGTATTTTAACCGAATTTATATGTGTGTTGCTAAAATTCATCCTAACAAATAGGTTACGTGCAATATTTTCAAACAGAAATGACAGTTGAAAAATAAATACTTCCGTTGAGACTTCATTTTCTTTCTCAATTATTTTCTAGGAACTATTTTAGTAATTTGACCTACCGATATGATCATTCTTGTTGTATTTACATATTACGACGAAAAAAAAAGTCCGGTTGAATGAAATGCTGATGATTTTTATACTTTCTACATTAAACGTCACTGTTCTGTAGGAGACCATTAGTAAAAATAGATGACTATGTGAGTTCGACATCTGTTTCTTACCCTCGTTTAATTTTCTTGCTTCTTTGCCAGTCAAACATTTTTACCTTTAAGAAATATTCTTTCACTCACTTTCTTCTCTTCTCTCTCTCTCTTTTCTTCTGTTTTGTTTATCTCCAGCAACTTTTGTCACTCAACAATCTATTCAACCAGCTCTTTGAAAAGAGAAAGTAATGTGAGCATTACACAATAGAAAAAGAAAACTGCATAACATGTTGGTTGATATTCAATTGAAATTTCTTCTTTTAAAAGACCTTGAAACGCGGAGCACAGCTCTTTCCCTACCCACTTCTTTATATTAAAAATGAATTTGAGAAGAAAAAGGAAACATGTCATGCCCATTTGGAAAACGACTAATTTAGTCGGATTGGAAACGGCGAAAGAAGAAAAAAGAAATTTGAAAGCACCGAAGAATTGCAGTGTATATAAATGAAAGAAGACCGTTTAGAAGTTTGTTAGTTACAGTGTAATTTTCTCAATTCTAAGAGTAACATTTTACAGCACGTATAATTGTCGCCATGGCATATCCACATAATCAACCTTCATACATAACGGGGCAGCCTGGTGGTCAAGGAGCCACAATAGGTGATCCATTCCGACAGCCCGAGTACGAATGGTCAACTGGTTTATGTGATTGTTGCGAAGATATGAGTCAATGTAGGTTAAAAGAGTGAAAATTGAATGAACACTATTAAGAAATGTTCTTTCTTTCTTTCTTTCTTTCATAGGTTGCTACGCATACTTTTGTTGGCCATGTTTTCTAGGTACGTTGGCACATAAAATCAATGAATCTAGTGTATCTTGCTGCTTCGTACCGAATGTTCTCTCCGTTTATCGAATGAAAATTCGATCGACGTTAAAAATTCGAGTAAGCTTCATATTTAATAATAAGTCATCTTTTGTTCCTAATGATTCCATACAAATAGGGTGGTGCATGTAATGATTGCTGTGTTGTACTCTGCTGTCCATTCTGTGCTGGTGTACAAATGACAAATGAGCTGCATAATCGTGGTCTGGCATAAACGTCTAGACGAAACTCAACTGATATCCCCAGAAAACACCTATATACTTCCTTTGACCAATGATAATTCATCAATAAAACATATTTTTTTCCAAAAGTGTCACAGTCAAACAAACATATTCTGTCGTTTGCATGACGTTCCTTCGGCTCCGACGGTATTAATAAGTGCTTGAACAGGCAAATTAAACAAGGAAAAACTATTCTATCCTTTAAAAAAAGAACAATTTTCCGCAATAGTACAGCTTTTTTGTATGGAATCGATATTCATAGAAAAATTGCACTCAGCATATGCAGGCACCAAAGAATGTCAAATGCTATCGCAATAATTCTTTACAGAGGTGTTTTTTGATATAGCAAGAAAATATCTTAAATTAATTTCAGACAATATTACGAATAAGCGTCGAATCGACATGTATTTGTCCCGAGAGTATTGTCGACGACTTCACACAGTGTAAACATACGTGTTTTCACATGTAGAATACCAAACGTTTGTATGTAGGTCATCTCGAACGCGAATATATGAATTTTATTAGTCAATAGCTTCATGCTAGTTGACAAGATCGGCACGTTGACATGAGTATTGTCATGTTTCGATAAAAATGCATATATATCTCTCTTTCACACTGCCATTGCCAAGCGTTAAACTGGAGCATCTCTATGTATCTTTAGTATATTTACAGTATGAGTACTGTTCGATTGAGATTCTAAGCTTAAAACTATTTACAGAATATAGGCACACATACAGAAATGAAGATGATTTACAAAATGGTTTGTTATGCTCTTTCCACTGTGTCTATTAATATTTAAAATATTTCTGTAAGTCCCTGTAAAAGTATTCAGTTGAAAATTTAATCGTAAAAGAAACAAGAAATGACGTTAATAGTCTGTTGTTTCATGATTTGTGAGCCATTTTTGTTAATTGAACTTGTGAAGAACCGGCAGTACTTAACGAAACTATTTACTCGAGTTCATCTTCTTCTGATTGCCTTCGTGTACGTCGATCTTTCGATGAAGCATTCTCATTTTGTCTACCATTTGAACGTTGTATAAACCATTGGTGATTAAATCGATTGCTAACGGATGTATCGTGCCAACACCAGCAATATCGACTGAATAGATTCACCCAGAGTAGAACAAGGAAGACGCCAACCATAAAAGCAATACCAGCTATGTATATCGTGCTAACAACAGTTCGTGTTCGAGCTGGCGGTGACGAAAAAGGTAATGTAGCCAATTTTGTACTGTTTTCCAACATTGAGAAATTTTGTCGTTGCTCGTTCATCTCTTTATTTAGTCAAATAATTTGTTTGTCGGAGCAGTTGGGTCAATGATTAATAAGCAGTTTAGTCGAGTGTCGATCGCTAATCGTATCATAATTTCGTCCGTAAAGGATTGAGAAAAACAAAATAATCAGCCAATATGTGCTTCAACTCTTTAGATGGATGTTTATATATGTATTGAGTGTGATAATATCTTCGAACGATTATTACTACTAGATAGCGAAGCAAACGACGGATAATAATGTCGATCTAAAAAAGAAAAACGCTTTCTCTTCGTGTATATATACGCTCTCTTGTTCTCACAGTCGATAGAGATTATATACAATTCCCTGCTCTATTCTATCGTGTTTAACAGAAGGAGAAAATAGATAGCTAGATAGATATATGAGAGTGAAAAAACGTGAAAGAAAAAAGGAAAGAACCCTTCTCAGTATTGACAATAGCTTCCGTTACCTTGTCTTCTTTGTCTTTTGTTCTCTCTATGAATGATGAACAAAAACGAAGATTACAAAGATGGTTAGACACATTGTTAGATTGTTCCGAAATCAAACAAAGAGATAATCATCTCGTTCTATACGAACAACGCTACCGCCTGGTTTTCTGACCTAGTTGTTAATTTGTTGATGACGCGTATTCAGCGCTGCCTTGGTAAATAGAAATATTCTTATTACTTTCGTGACTATGTTGTAATTATTTTTTGTTACTTGTAATCAACTATATAATATGCTGACGTGCGTGTTAGAAAGTCTTCCCCTTGTTCACGACACGACGAATGAATGTGTGTAGAGAGTGAAAATAAATTCTTTTACTAATGGGAAAACATTCCATCAATTTCATTTATCATTGCCATTCGAACAATCAACTGTGCATTAACAATATTAATAAATCATCATGATCTAGATGTATTTTCTTATTCTTAGTTTTGGTTTGCGTCGTGGTCGACTATTTTTTAAACAAATCTTGAATGATGCTCATTGTGAAGCTTCTGATCGTTCAGCAGATGCAAGTGTTGCTCTGCAACTAGAGTTTCTTTTTGTACTCTGTAGTTTTTCGATAATTAGGCACATATGAATATCAAGTGAGTTTTAAAATTAATTGATTCGTTAAGACTTATCAATTCTTATTAAGTAGACGTTAATATGAAATGAGGATATGCATCATAGACTGAAGATTGCAAGACAATTTTTTTTCCGTAAATCAAATAAACGTCAACTATTATAACCTGTCTACACATCAATGACTCGATTCGATTATGAAAAATGTCTTAGTCATTACTTTCTCTTTAAAAGCAACATTTCTCCGAAAATCTCTCTCGAACATGGGCCAAGCCAGTCAGCGAAGATTATTTTCATCGTTATTTACTGATACTATTAGTTCTGAATGTCAAATTATCGTAAATAATTATATAGACTAAACTATAGCCTGCATTGGCTATCATTGATAAGATAGACTTCGTCATATGATTACTGTATTCCGAAGAAAAGAAAAACAAGACAACAACTGTTCAGATAATATACATGAAAAGCCCAATAGACGAAAACTATGAAAGTCTTTTGTGTTCGTTATTTGTCAACGAAAGATTATGCATTGATTTACTGTCGTTGAAAAAAAGTGACTTTGCAATCAGGACGATTATTGGTTAAAATCGAGTGATCGTAGTATATCTCGTTTATTATGAGGTTGCTTCAATAACTGTGACTGTAAGTGAAGAATATAGTTTGAAATGCATTGAATAAATTCCAATTCATCTTCACACTGATCTACACCTGGAACTAAATGGCGAAGTTGTTCGAAGATACTCATTGTGTGTTCGTCGTTCATAATTTGAAATATACAAATAGACGTATGATGCTTGTCACATAATCGTCAAACTATGTCGAACGCACGTTGAGATGGTGAAGAGTTAGCATATAAGACATGCAAAAAAAATGAGAACTGATGAAGACGGCGAGGAAAAAAAAGAAGAAGAAGAAGAGGAAAAAAACGGATGACAACGAGCAAAGAAAAAAAAATCTCGGCGTCGTTGCTCGATTTGAACACAGAACGAACATTCATTCGGATGTATGATAGTAGTCGTTGTAGTAATAGATGGAAACGAGCAGAACGTCACTCGTGAAAGCATCAAATATTGATGCAATCTCTTTCTTTTTTTGCCCTTTTTTCTCTGTAGACAGACAATTTGCGTTTTTTGTCACCAATCTATATGTATGTACGTATATATGAACAATGCAATGATGTACAAGAAAAAGAAAAAAAACGCAGGAAAGCAAAAAATGAAAAAAGTCTAATGGTCTGATGAACTATTCTTTTTTGTTTCCGTATGATCAATATTCAGAATGATTGCTTTCGTCATCGTTATTGTCCTCAAAGTCATTGCTGCCATAAGTGTCGAGATTCGAACGATTATGTGGCACAGGTGATGGACTTCGTTGTTCATCGTGCTCTTTGTTATGTTCAACATGATCATTTGAAGCTGCTTTCGTTGACTGCGAGTCAGTTAACCAATCAAGATTGTGTAAATCAGTCATCGGCTTTCGGATAGTTGCGTTGAAATTCATCGGTGGACTTGATTCGTGTTCTGTTGATGGAATTTCATCTAATTGATGGTGATCATCAGTTTTTGTTTGAAGTGATAAACGTGGTTTGGGTTTAACGGTTGTAGATGGGGATGGAAATGAATAGTCATCGTTTGAGAGAGTGGTTTTTGATTCGTGTGTTGTGCGCGGTGTGATACTTGGCCGTTTATCAAGTTCATTCGTAGTTTGCCATGGTAATGGAGCATTAATATCATATGATGAATAGTCTCTATCACTGTGCGGTGTTTTTGGTGTAAGTATGTGATCGTTCTTCGTGCCAGGTGCTCGAACGGGGAGAGGATCTCGGTCGAAAACAGTAGCTTTGTGCACGGAAGCGTATGTATCGGGTTCTATATATAAGAAAAACAGTTGCTTGAGTATTGATAGCACCAAGAGAGATTATTTTACTTCGTGATGATCGAACGCCAAGATCTTCTTTCAGTGCTTCGAGAAGTCCACGAAGACGACGCTAGAAAGGTATAATGTAAGCCTCTGAGAAAAAACACACTCAGTAGAATGCAACAAACCTCATCAAGTGTTCCTCGATTACGATCAATGTGAATTTCGAATAGTTTTTCGATCGCTGGTTCAGTGGTAAGGTTCTTTCGTATAATAGCATCAGTGATTTCTTGCATAAATTTGACATATTGTAAACGTTCTTGTCTGTAAACGAAGAATAGAAATGCGTTTGATTATTCAAGAAAAAATTGCTTCGTAAAACGTACTCGGATAGGCCATACTGTTTTAACATATCATCCGAGTGTTTTCTACATAGAAGATCAATGCGTAATAGAAATTGTTCTACACTAATTTACCTTAACGGTGGATCTGTAGTTAGTTTGGCTTTTCTGATTTTCTTTTCCACATTATTTCGGAGCTCCATACTTCTATTCAATTGGTCTCTAAAACAAAACAAGTCATTTTAACAAATCCGTTCCTCCGAATCAAACAAATTAGTGTCTACGAAAACGGGTATGATAAACATGCAGGTTTTTCTACTTCGTTGTTTCTATACTTGCCTAACACGACGAATACTGTTTAGAGAGAAGGAAAATAGATATTTTTACGTATAGAAAAAGAGAAAGATGCGCTTCTTTATTCTTGTTATGTTCTAACCTTAATGCCAGTTGTTCGTCTTCTTTTCGTTTGTTTTCATCCGGAACATTTACTTGCTGCGTTCTTGCTGGTTCTTTGGCTGCACTCGCCGGGCGAGATTTGGTTTTCGAGGGTGGATTATAATATTTATTGTTATTACGTAAAAATGAATCACCGTCACGTTTAACTAAACGTGGTTGATGTTCTTCGGGATCGGGTTGAGAGAAAAAATCCGGATGTTTATCAAGAACATCAGCACTGCTTTTGTTTCGTTCAGTAGACGTCATCTTTCCTAGCGCGGTCATGGCTGTCAGTGCTTGCGAAAGAACACCTCTGAATAGGATAGAAAAGTAAAGCCGATCGATTAATTACTCATTGGAAAAAAATTGTCTACCCGCCGAACAATTTGTTTGCAATGTCACCATCGTTCGAAACATTTCGATTAAGATTTTGCGTTGATCCATTCATATTCAAAGAACGTGTCATCGTACGAGCTGATCCAATACTTCTCGAACGTGCACGGAAAGTCGTCGGCTAGGACAAGACAAAATCGTTGGGAAAGCAACCAAAATCCTATCTACCTGAGATTGAACATTTCGACGTGTAGCACTCGCGCTTTGACTTGATCTTCCACGTGGTGTTGCTGCAAGGCTACCACCAGCTAATTGTCCGAGCATATTCTGAGTATACACCAACTGAGCCAATTCTTTTCGAGCTCGGTCGCGACATTTTTGACCTAAGATCATCGCTTTCGGTGGTTTAGAATCGATAGCAGCTAGAATAAAAAAACAAACTACATCGAACAAAAGAAATATCTTGGAGAATTCTTACATTTGGCACCATTCATTCGTCGATAATGGTTTCTCATATGATCGCTAACAATCGTTTGTTTGACAAGACTGTTTTCTGTTGGCTGGAGAACTATTAAATCAACTTGATCATTACCAATAGGCCATAAAAAATGAACTCACCACTACTTTTAAGCCCATACAACCCTTTGCCAGGCCAATTAACTGTACTACTGAGTAAATCTGAATTGGACATTTCGGATCTTGGACCGTTATAAGTAGAAATGAAAATCTAAAAATATAATTTATATGCCTGCATAGGAATACATCAAATTCAGTTGATTAATTTTCAAGATATATTCTGGTCATAAAATACGAAGCAAACAGCTCTCGAAAATATATTCGTACTTGAAGTATATCTGTGTGCGAGAGGAAAAAACGAAAGAAATTATTAAACTGATGACAATTGTGCATGTGATCTCACAATCATCATAAGGGAAAGGTAAAGCATAGATCTTTTTTACACGCAGAATTAACATTAGAGACATAGAATATTCATTGAAGACAGGTAAAAGCGCGCAGAGGGAATGACTGTGCAAGCGTGAAGAATCTGCGAGCAATTACACCTGTGAACTTCAATCACAGACGAAAAGTAGGTGATTTCTATGCCGAATTTCATCGGCAATTTAGACATGCGATGTTTCTTACTTCAATGAATTTTTACATCTTCTTTTTTCTTTTTCCGAACAGATTAATTAAATCATCACTATGCACTGCGAGTTACTCACTTTAGTTTACAGAAAGAGAAAAAAAACATCGTGATCTATGTCTCTAAGGAAATAGCCTCTTTGATGATTCGTTGATTTCATTGGATGTATGCTACTAGCGAATCATGTCGAAACGAAAGGAAAAAGTGTGACCAGCTGAGCGGAGTGATCATTCGTTTGAAAAAAAAACGAACAGAAGGTGTTCTTGACCAACGGACATATGCATAAGTTAATGACAGATTGATGTATATCCTTCTTTTTCTTTTCTCACCTGCCATTTCCGTCTTCGACGTTGACACATCTGAATAAATTATAGCTTTTCATCGCACATTGTTTTTTTGGTCATTTTCTCGTCATTTTAAGATACAGGAGAAATCTAACAACACGTGCTGATATCCTACTGAACGGACGTGATCGATGAGTAACAGCAATCGTTCATCGTATATTCGTGTCGAAGATCAAAATCAATCGGCATTAAACGAGCTGTTCTCAGTGGTGAACAATCCTGCACAATACCGCGCACAACTCCTATCGAAACCGTTCCGTGATCGAGGTCTACCCGAATCGTTTTTCCAACCGCCATCATCGTCATCGAACAATAGTTTGCCGAAATCTGCGGCCACGTCATCGAACTCAATTAACAATGATCAAAAACAAGAAGAAGAATCACCCACTGTACAACGTCATCATGCGAAAAATCAACTCAGTTTACCAAATATTCCATCACAATCGACAACGCTATTGCGAACTATTATAAATAATAATCATGTCCAGGGCCATTTACGAACTGTTAGTGATACAGCTGTGCTTGACGGACAAGGGACAACTATGACATCGACAAATTCCACATTATCACAAATAAACTCTCAAGTATCATTACTTCCTCTACCCGATGGATGGGAAGAAAAACAAACACCCGATGGTCAAGCTTATTACGTAGAGTAAGGCGCATTGTTGTTTTTCCTGAATCGAAGATTATATTCAACTAACAGCCGTTTAAAATCGCTTTCTATCTGTTTCGCTGCATGAGATGATCATTTCATTCATTAGTTACATGACTAAATCGGCTTTTCTCTTTCTTTTTACTTCAGTCATATGACACAGAACACAACATGGATGGATCCTCGACCCAATCATTACGCAGCGTTTCAATCATTTTGTGCAACACTCCCGTTACCTGATGGTTATGAACAATCACGTGATGCACGCGGCAATGTTTATTTTATTGATCACAATCATAAACAAACTTGTTGGGACGATCCACGACCAAGTATACCAAACTTTTTTGTTCTACTCATTCATTTGTGACCATGTTTTTTTCACTTTCGAATAGATTATTATCGTTCAATGATGACAAAACGACTCGATATACCGACTCCGCCGACGCCGGTAGCTATTCCGCAATCATCGCCCTCACCGATTCCAACGTCATCATCTCCATTTCATCAACAAAGACTTTCTACAGCAACGCTTTCGCCAACAACAAGTATGGCTCAATTATCAACTAATTCACCGCCCGTTGATTCACATCAGCAAGATCGTTTGAAAAACAAACTTTCGGAAATTTTAAACGAACAACGTATGCTACAGCAACGAAAGGAAGAACTAGCACGCATGGTAAGCAAATTCTTGTCAGTTCTTCTTTCTTATCTCTTTTCTAACTACTACTCCATATACACAGATGAAACGACTAATAATAGGTTACTAACGGTATGATACACGCTTGCCACATATATATATATCTATACATGTTTTTCTTTGTCTATCTACATGTGTACTTTCGTTTTCTTTGCTCATGGTGATAGTGTGATATATTTTGTGCCCATAGTGTTTCGTTCATTTTGATCACATGAATATCTTCAATTCTGTAATTGTCGTCGGATTTAGGAAGCAGATGTACGAAAAATGCTCAATCAACAAAGTCATGCTCCCAACGATCATAGAGCACTGGATTCGTTAATCGATGATTTATTGCATCATAAGCGACAAAATAGTGAAGACAGCGGTGTTGGTGAAGGTAGTTTTGTTATAACCTATTCGTCTCAGAGAAAAACACTTGAAGAAATCATTTTTACTTTCAGGTCGAAACAGTGTCAACCGTACACCCGATGCGTTGAGCTCAATGGATTGTAATGACGATCCACTTTTTCCTAACCAAGCAGGTACGTATAACGAAAGTACTTAGCTAGTGTTAAATAAGATTCGATTCGTTTTGTTACAAATATATCCATCATTGCACAGGCGTTCATCGTCGTGTCACATGGTCAGGGTATGTGTTCTATACATGAGCTGCCAACGGAAACGGATAAAACTAATATTCAGTTGCTTAATGAGGATCGAATTTTACTCGAAATACGTTTCCTTTAGATTACGCCACATTTCCCGTGGAAATGGATCATCCGGTGCAGGATCCTCGACCAGTGGGAGTATTGGGTGGTTCACAACTTAAAGTACGCTTCGTCTTTCTTTTATCAATACGATTGCTTTCATGTGTTTTTTTTATTGTTTTTTTCCCAGATGAAACCAATCAAATCAAATCATCCATGGCTCTATCACAATAATTAATCTTTAAGACAAACTCAACATATTCGATTTAATTGATCTGTTTTACTTTCTTCAACTGAGTATTTATACTGAAAATTATTACATTTTTTTTTGTTTTGTTTCTTAATTGTTACTGTCTATGCGCGTATCTTGTATAAAGAACAAAAAACAACGTTCTCCTTTTTTTCAATTTTTTTTTGTCTTTTCTTACTTCATTATTCGCTCATTATGGTATTCATTCTCCGGTCGTTTTTTCATCGTCATCTTCATTCGGTGCTCTTTATCTTTTGTATAAGAGAATGAATCGTACTTTTTTTGCGTTACTTAAGGTCCGGTGTGTGCTTGTGTATCGAGATCTGTTTCTTTGTTGCGCGCTCGATTCAATGAATGTAGCTTGATTCGTTTTCTGCTAGTTGGATTGTTTCTCCTTATTGCTCTATTTTGTACTATTACTAATACTATCTATACTAATATCATGATTATTATTATTACTTCTTTCTATAAACAAAAGGTATTTCTTTAGATACGTGCACGTTAAACACGAATATTGTTTGGGGAAAAAGAGAATGAGTCTAGCTGATTCGAAAGCATTTCGATTGATTGATGAGTAATGGAGAAAGATTAAGCATATCAGAAAGAAAAAAAAACATCATATATCTATCTGTAGATGTCTTTTCGTATTGTTGCTCAATCAAATTTGATTGATGCATGTTACAGTCTCCGTTATTCACCTCATTTAGTCAATCAACTAGCCGTTGTTTCATGTGAAAACTTCGGAATTCGTGGTCGTAGTACTATACAATTAATTGGCAATCATAATCAGATATCTTTACAATGGTCGGATGCATTGTTCGATATCAGCTTTGTTGAAACAGATCCATCACTGATTGCTTGTGCTAGTGGAGACGGTTCTATTGTTATCTGGAAGATAAACAATAACACTTCTACTCCGCTATTATCTTTACGTCAGCATCAACGCGAAGTGTGGTCTGTTCATTGGAGTGAGAGTCGGTCGTCAGATGCTCTACTAAGCGCATCTGCTGACGGTACAATTAAACTATGGGACTTTACTAGGTAGATAAATTTTCTCTTCGAATTTTAGTAGTTCAGATCCTACTATTTTGTAGATCACCAAACCTCCAGGCAACTTTAACCGGCCATGAATCTATAGTATATGAAGCTCGCTGGCATCCACGTCGGCCTGGACTGATTGCTTCAGTTTCAGCTGATTGTTCGTTACGAATATTCGATACGAAACAAGCATCGAATATAATGAATCCTCGTGCACATCCCGCAGAAGTTTTATCGGTTGACTGGTCCAAATATGATGATCATCTGTTAGTTACTGGCGCATGTGATAATCGTCTTCGCTTATGGGATATACGGATGATTACAAGCGCATTAAGCATATTCGAAGGACACGAAGCTGCCATTCGTCGCGTTAAATTTGATCCACACCGACGCGATCGTCTTGCATCGACCGGTTACGATGGTCTTCTAAAGTTTTGGAACATAACACCAACAAATAGTAATATCAATATACATACGGAGCGTATTTGCAAGGAATTTATTTATGGGCTTGATTGGAATTTGTTTGAGCGGGATAAATTAGCTGTAGGAGCCTGGGACAAAACGATACGTCTATGTGAATTTGCTTCGCCATAGCCACTAACAGTAATTTTATTCTACATTGTGTAATGACCTTGTGATTTATTTGAATGAACTAAATAGATTTTTATTTCATTTTTGAGAATGTGAATCTGGCAAACAGCGATATTAGACGTCTAATCCTTTAGTCACATTTTTCCGATATAGATCTCATTTGTTCGTGATTAGCTTTTTTATCACTTGTCCGATTAAAAATAGTACAAGTAAATTTCGTTTCAATCAAATATTATAGAATTAAAATCTACTATTATCAATCTTTTGACATAGATTCAATCTATTTTAAATGTGACAGCATCCTCGTGTGCCTATGTGTCTATAAAATTTCGAAATGAATCGACTAGACGATCATTATAGATCTAATCATAAGGTGAGGCTCAAATTCGTATGCAAGGACACTAATCAAGCGTCAAATGCGTGTCGCCAAAACAAAATGAAAAATGAACACGTGTACGGAATGACTACTACTCGTATCCGTCAATTAAACAACAATTAAAAGCAGAGTAGGTTGAGAGTGAACTTTGTTTTCTTTCTTGTGCCATACTTTTCGACATCTAAGAGCATACAGATCATTTTTCTTGTTTGTATTATCTAAGAACGATTATTAAATATAGAGTTGAGCAAAATGAATAGTAGGAAAAAAAATCTTGTAACAAAAAACAAATGTGTGAAAAAGCAAAGATCAAAACGAATGTTTATCACTGTAACGTTCTTGGCAAATCTTCTTCACATCGATATTTATACAAACTCAAACCTTGATTTAATTGAGGAAATTTTAATTCCTCAGAACACAAGTTCGTTGTTGCATTACGTTCTGATCTCACAAACGGATAATTTCGATGTAGTTCTTTACATGGAACACGCCAATTATCCGTTGATCCACGATTATACCGATGTAGAAATGTATTACCTTCACAGACATGAAACAAATTCGATCGACCTAATCGTACCATGGCTTTTAATGACAAGCGAGGCTGTCGTGGACTCGGTACAAGTAATGGTCCTAATACACGCAAGTATACCGGTTCAACATTGCTTTTCGCTAAGTAACTCATGGTACCAAGATTGTGTTGATGCTTTGGATACGCATAGATATGTGTGGCGTTTTCTTCATAAGGAAAAATATCGATTTTTGGCCAGCGGTAGTTGGTTCGATTGACAATTGGCGAACGTAAGGAAAAGATCTTGTATGATGTCACCTTGTGGACGTTCTTGAATTGATAAACTACTAAATCCTTGTGGAACGATGGTCGACTAGAATATTTCAATAGAAAGAATACCGAAAAGCAGAAAAGAATTTGAATTTACTCTTTCGTCAGTCTTTTTCTGCTATTTTCCATTGTTGATGAAGTTGTAGCTGATGAGTTTTTATTCAATGACAAATCCAATCGACGAAATGATTGTAGAATTTTCTCGGTAGCTGTTGATGGAATAAACAAATCAATATCCGTATCCCATGGTATCACATCATGATGTCGCAGAACTCCAATCAATGTTCCTTTCGTCAGAAAATACTTAATTTGTGCTTGATGCAAAATCAACTGAACATTAACCATCAGTTGTAACATATGAAAATAATCACATGCAGAGACATCGGTCGGTAAAATCGAATTATTCACTGCACGTAAATGTTCCAAGTCAAAGTAATAGAAAAGACCCATTCCAACTGGACGTTTGATTTCATTGATCGGATAGAACGATTCGTTGATGTAATAGACGTACCGTGTGACATCAATGGATTCGTAACAATACGATCCATTGTGATGACATAGACTACAAGCATCATGCACAAACTTTGTTAGAATTTGTTGCCATATATTCATTAATTTGTTCCAGATCGATTGGATATCCGTCAATGAAACGTGAGTATCAAATAATTGATCTAATAGGAATTTTACTTCGTCATATGTCAACGAATTGGCTAATGGAAACGGAAAAGTCTTTGACGGTTGGGTGGAAACATAAGTTTCAATATCACGGTTCGTGTTGTCTGATTCATGTAGGAGAAGAGTAATGGCACATAAACCGACGAGTATCATGCAAGGAATCCATAGACGGCGATTGTTAATTAACAATCGAGCTAATATGACCGGTTTGGCGTACATTGAGGAAAAAGAAATTCTCAGAAATTGACGATATATATCTACATATGTCCGGAGAAAGATCAAATACAAAGAAGAATTAAATTTAATAAAAACATAGTTTTTAACTAGGCGCAAAATCAAAAGAAATTCGTATTTCATGAAAGTATTCGTTGATGTTCTATGGCACTAAGACGATATCTCAGGTCAAACTAGTACTGCAGCCTGGATTTTCAGACAAATGGTCTGATGTGGAAAAAAGTGGGCGAGCGAGGGATAACAGACTTTTATATCGAGAAGCGATGCAGAGATAGCAAAGCATAAGAATAGAAAAAATCAACTTCTCTTGAAAGATTACGATAAAAGAATGTGGGTGTTTACATATGAACTCTCACACCGACGTCTATTTGCAAACTTTTAGTTAATTTTTCTACTTATATATGTCATATTTATTGATAAAATCAAACTGTAATCTAAATGAAAGCAATAGTCTTTCACAAAATAATTTCCTGATAATTCAAAAGAAAATTCCAACTAATCCAACTATAATAGATAGACATTCCCTCCTTGACTGGGCTACTGGACAGCACTAATACAGACACACTAGATAGAAGAAAAGCTGTAGCTAATCTTGAGAGAAAATTACCTCGAATGAAAACTAACCAAGTCTTCTATCCTTCTCTTCCTTTTGAGCGAAAACTGTCGAGTGGGAGAACAAGTATCTCAACATAACTTTCAGCAGGTCTAATATATCACCCAAGAAAACATCCAGGCGATTGCACTCGGAAGGATAGATGAAAGCTGAGTACAGTTTCTTCTCTGATGGTGTACATATACATAAACGATAGAAGCAGGAGGAAATAACAGTTATAGCAACAAGCACTTTTTTCATATTTTCTTTCTTATGATGCCATGTATTAGATCTCTGTTCTTTTCTCTCTCTCTGTCTCTCTTTCTTTCCTTCCTGTACGATGTAAGAAAAAGATAACTGAAGAGAAGAATAAGAAAACAGAATTCTTACTTGTTTATTACATCATTTCTGACGATATGTGCGGTTAATGATCATCATCCGGTATTTATCAGAACATACCATAAGCACGACTGTGGTCTTTCTTTTTCCATGTATGTATATATATATATTTGTCGATTCTGCAACAGCTTACAACCGAAAAAAAATGATATAAAAAACCGACGAGAAATTTTAGAACACACGAAAGAAGTTAACTTCTTTTCTCGAACAATCGGTAACAAGAATCAGAGTACAACATAGAAGAACATTGATAAAACAAAGGAGAGAGAGAAAACCGAAAGAAGCATTGAAAGAAGAACAGAACATAAAAACAGGTATTGCTAGTAACTGAAAGTATTTTATTCGAATGTGCTCAAAGATTATAAAAGCTTTTCTCTATTCAGAATACTATATAGATTCATATATGCGTAAACTGTTATGGAAATCTGTATATACTATCACAGTTTACGCCATGTCCAAGCTTCATTGGCGCTAACCTAAACAGTAGAATCGAGTAAAGAACTTTTGTTGTTTGTGAAATATTTTTGTTCATACCTTCTTTAAATTACGTCGTCTGGATGTAACTCGATAATCTCGGTCATCGTTGTCTGAATCACTATTTACAGCATGCAATGAACTGAAACGAGTTCCTCCTGCCGTTACATAAGTTGCTGCAGGTGCACCAGTGATGATATTCGAGCCTAGGAGATTGCCACCGTTGTTGGCCCGATAGGCGATTGTGTAAATAGGTTGAGTGGGATTTGATACGACTAATGATGGTTGTGCGGGACCATAGGTTATCATACTTGTTGCTTTTGGCTAAATCAATCAAAACGAAGTGTTTTGCTCTAGTGAATAATCAGCTGAAAGTGTCAATTGTATTTTTACCTGGGATTGCATAATTTCTTCCACAAATTGTTGTTTCGACGGTGGCTGGATAACATATGCCATTGGCTGTTTGTTATTAGTATTGTTATTTCCATTAGTATTATTCGACGAGGTGTTGGCTATCTGACTGGATGGTTGTGAGATAGGCTGCATAGGAGCTGTTGGTGGGGCAGGAGGTGGCTGCGCCGGAGGTTGGTAGTAAGGAACAGGTATCGGAATGAATTGTGGCTGCAGCTGCTGCTGCTGTTGCTGTTTGTTGTTACTGCCATTGTTATTGCTGTTGCTATCGCGAGGATTGTTTCTGTTGGATGCATCATCTCGCGGACTGCGCGATCTCGAACGATGAGTAGAACGATGACGAGAACAAGAACGACGACGTGAACGACCCGTATGTGGTAAATCTTCCATTTCCGAATTCTAATTAATGCGCAGTATTGTGTGCATGTTAGTGTTTCATCGGAAAACTTACCTCACTGACAAAATGTCGATGATGAAAAGGATCCATCTAGACAGAGAAAACTATCAATCGATATCGGTCATTTTTTGTTTTGAAACTCACATTCGAATGTGGAAATAAGGGACTAGGTGGTCGAGAGTATCCAAATAATCCAGGAGTGTGTTGAAATGCTGGGTTTACTATCCCATTACTACCATGTTGATTTGATGGTGTAGCGTAGCTGGGGGGAGCTGGATAACCTAGAGGATTCTGGTTACTGCTTGAACCATTGATTTGAAAGCCCGAATTTGGATAGTCCTGCCCAGATATTGGTTGTGAATAAATATATTGATGAATCTTTTTCATTCCGGATGTCAAATTACTAGTTAGAAAATTTTGAAATGAAAATTATCATTGGATATATGTCATGAGAATCAAATTGTGTTTTTACCTATCGGACGGTGCTTTGAAAACACTTGCAGCATATTTGTCAGCGGAATGATTAAGAATTCCTGTTACTTCCATATTACGATAATCACACCAGTTGAAGATTGACGCAAAAACAAAACAAAGTGACGCAAAGAAGGACAAGACGATATTAGGAGTAATCAACCACATTCCCCAACGTCGCGGATTATCATTATTACTTGTACGTAAGCGTTCAACATAAACTAACGATTCATTTGCAAAGACAGTCATGCCAATAGTTGTAAATATGACTAAAACAAATGTATAACAACCCTCTTAAGTTTTTATTTCAAATGAGATTATTAATAGCGGAGAGAAAACAGTGTTTGTCACATCTATTGACACATTTTTTCTATTTAGATTTCATTACATTGAACGAAGATATAGGACATTTATCTTCTTCGTCATTTACAGGTTAGAGTTCTGTGCAATTTGTCATTTAACGGTATTGAAATCGACCTGTGACAGCCGTTTCATTTTGACCCTGAGTTTGGTCAACCAACCAAAGGGTCATTTCGATAATAAGCGTGACCAAAGTCAACCTTTCTTCGCACTCTCTTTCTTGTGTATCTAGTTGAAGTCATTACTACTATATCTCATATCTAAATACAATCGGTGGTCGATCGATAAGTGTCAAATTTTAAGTATATTCAATGAGGGAAAGCCGAAATTCTCCCTTCGGTTACACTATTGACGACAGTAATAGACACTCATATCTATTCACCTTAGCTCAAACAGTATAAACAATGAAATCCTAGCAATATGTTCAAATCAATGTCGGAGGATCTTGAGGGTGTGTGAAAAAGGAAAGAAACAGAATACTCACAGCTCAAAAATGCAAATAACGCCGCAAACAGTGCTGCGGTAATAAACGTACGTCGAGATAAAAGGCCCACAATAGCAGCCAATAATGAAAGACATCCCAACGATAAACCGAATGGTATAAGTACTTGAGCAACTCGTACGAAACCTGATGAATTATAAAAAGCAGAGAGCATTTTCTCAAAAAAAAGAAGCAAACATTAACAAAATATTACTAGGTGCATCCTTATTCCACAGTAGACAAATAAAATCATTTGCATCTTGTGAAAATATACATTTATACCAGAGGCCAAATTTTTTAAATTCAATATTATCATCATCGACATTACTGATATTTCTTATTGAATCTTTCGCCAAATTACGTTCACGAAATTGTAGCCAATCAGGTACGGAAAATGAGATCCATCCGAGCACGAGACTAACGATGAGAAATCCAACGCCAGTGGCCAGAAAAATTCGTGGTGGTATAATACATTGATACATTGTTCGAAGTGTAATACGTCTCTAGATGTTGTTAACCTGTGAACGATGCTTTTCGAAGAGGAAAATAAGAAATGAGACTGATCACGCTATTGTAATTGGCAAGTGTAGAAGAGGAATATGCATAATCGTCGAGGAACAACGAGGTAAGCCGGCGTACGTCAGCGTCTATACGTATAAGTTTCTTATTTATCACTAATTTTAATTCATTGAAGTGTGCAGACGTGATAGAGATGAGAACGTCGAGACGTGAAAACGATTGGATTGTTTGTTCTAATAATTGCTTCACTAACTTTAAATAAATGAGAAGAAGAAAAAAGTATACATATATCGGCAAAGAAAAGATGATAGAATATATACAACGACGGTCACACGTTGATGAATAGTGAAGAATTCTTTTCTTACTCTTTGTTATATAGATAGATTGACAACGAGAATTGTGTCTCATTCTTCTTCTCCTCCTCTAACTCTATCGTCTCATTTTTAAGTATAGATCTATGCATGTATGTATGCATGCATGCATGCATGTGCCTACATAAACATTTGTCTATGTAAGATGCGCCCCTTCGATTATTATACGTAAAAAAATCGTTCATCATTCATTTTTCAACTTCGCTTCTTCCTATGTTCGTTGGCCATCGTACGGGGAGACACTGGCCATCGCATGAGAAGTTCGTATATTCGATGGTCATGCTCACTGAACCAAAGAATTCTTCTTTATGTTCTCACCAGCGTTTCTCTTTCTCTCTCTCTCTCGGTCCCTCTGTCCACTTTTTTCTATCAACCGATGCAATAGTATAGTGAACGATGTACATTTGAAATTCGTATGTGTCACTCTCGAATTAAAAAAAGAGAGAATGAGAACTTTTTCTAACGTACATCGACAATGACAAATAAAATAGAATATTTCTAAAGATCCATTATCTACATACATATTGACCTTGCATTATTATTGTATATTATATCATTCGAAATGGTCAAATGTTCGAACGACAATGAACTAAACATTGACCTTCTAAATGGACCCTCAAATGATCAGGAAGTGATATATAAAATTTGTTTGATTGACTTTACTCGAAAGAATAATGAACACGCTAATGCTTAGTTTTAACATCGGATAATTGTTGAAATTAAAACTGAAATATTCTTTGAAAATTATCGCGAAGCTAATGTAAATAACTGAGCTTTTATTTTCACATCTACTCAAATAATGAATTAAATATGAAGATACACGAATACCTAATACATGGATCGATGTCAAACCAGTCTTGTCTGTTATAGATGGTAAATGCCAATAACTATGTGTTAATAGCTTTGGTAATCTTCAAATTTACTTTCACTCTTATAGTTAACGCAAAGGTCTATTCACATGTTTGTGTTGGTTCACTGTCATCTATTGACGTTTTTTTTTTCAATTGTTTCACAAAATCCAAGCAAAAACCCTTCTATGCACATCTGCTGCTGTTGTTGCTGATCGACTCTTTCCTTTTCTTTCTAATTGACATTTTCCTGCTCGTCTTGATCGGCTGATACATAAGGCTGTATACTGCTCCTCTTTCAATGCTTAATTACTGTAAACGGTTCCAACGGATGAGTATACATTACAATGTACTGAGCCATTTATAACAAATTTATCATTACAATGATTTAGGCAAACGAAAACATGTGTCTTAGTTTGGAAATGAACAGCAATACATTTTGGTCATACGTGAAGCAATGATTCAATGAAAATTTAGTACGCCATGAGTTAGATGAAAAATCGATTGAAATATCTTTTGTAAATGAAAGTGATTCAGAATCAATCGTATTCAACAGTCTGCAACACTTTCCGCGAAGAAGTAATTCGGTTGGCAGAGAGAGAGAGAGAGGGCGGGAGTGTTTTGGTAAGTTAATGAAGAAAAACAACTGCATTGTTGTTTTTACTTTTAGGAAAACCTGTAGTAAGTGATATTACAGACACTAGAATTGAAAATAAGGAACAAAAGTCGAATAAACGAAAAAATGCTGATACGGCTGATGCAAAGGATCAGTCAGTTAAACGTCGCAAATGTGGAGTAAGATCTAATTTCTACAAATAAACTGAACAGTTGAAATAAAATCTCTCGGTTTATGTTCTATTAAGCGGACATAATAGAAGTAAATGGTTCGTTCATATAAGGAGAAATATTACTTCACTTGTAGATCAATGGTCGTTTTCTTTCGGTGAATATATTTTTTCAACATCGAGCTCAATGTCATTTACAAACGCATCGGGAGAATCTTTATGAATATTTTAGATACATACAAAATAATGATCATATTATGTCAACACTTAAACAATATATTGAAGAGAAAAATTTTAAATTGCATGAATAATAGCATTCTAGCGAAGATTCTTCTCATCATTGATAAGCCAATCGAAATCCGTCAACAATTTGGTTTTGTATGCCTTTCGTCTTAAAGTTTATTTTCTTTGTCATAAACAGTTAGTATAACTCAATAAGTCTCAAGCATTTTCTCTTTTTTCTGTGTGAGCGATGTTGTTATCTCATGAGTATAAAATTATGGAAATAGGTTTTTCAATATAATCCTATTTTTCTGAATGCTTATTCATGTCGAACTGTTCTAAATAACACCTGAAATGTTGTGAATTGCATAGAACCAATCAATACATAGCCAGATTTTCATTTATTTCTCGAACAAGAGCTAATATCTTGACAACAAGAGAACAGATTTCTTTCGGTATTCATTGGTTCATAAAGATCTAATGAATGAGATCAACATTCAGGTGATTATATCTCAGAAATCACAAGTTAGTAAAAACATGCTAATGTCACAGGTGCATTTTCATCATTAAGTCAAATGAATTATATAATTGATCAGATATGCGACACCGCCTTTTATCTTAATGTGCTGTACGAGATTTGATTTTTATTTCATAAAAAATTCGATGTTCATCCTTTTCTAAACAGAAAGTATTGATGCAAAATATACTCTGATGACTTTGTTGGTTTCCGCAGCATGCCCTTGTTTACAAGATGGTCATACGAATTTCCATTAGAAAAAAAAAGAAATAACTTGCTGATTTCTGTTCTTTTTATTATTCATTTATCAACGGTTGAAATCATCCATCTTGGAACACGAACAACAAAAGAAAGACATCATATCATTCCATGATCTTTCGGTTATTTCCTATATGATGTCACAGTATTGTCGATAGTTGTCTAATGCGGTTTGCCAGAAAGTCGTCGATCACGTTCTTCTGCAACGCTTAAACGCAAACCTTTACCAGCTGGAAGTGACACCCAAGATTTGTGACCTTTGCCAATGACAAATACATATGCCAAACTAGAACAAACGTTCAATGTATAAATAAGGAATTCTCTCGCAGAAAAGCAGCTGCTAGTGATCATACCGAGTAGCAAATGTGTGTCCATTTGCATCTTTAACATGAACAATATCAAATGAACCTGGATGACGTTCACGCGATTGAATTATACCAACACGACCCAAGTTGTGTCCACCAGTAATCATGACAATGTTACCTATACAGAAATACGTGAGCAGTTCGCTTGTTTGAGAAGTAAAGAAGCAAGACATACCGGTATCGAACTTAATGTGATCTTGAACTTTTCCACTAGCAATATCGAGTTGAATAGTATCGTTTGCTTTGATGCGTGGATCTGGATAACGAATTGTTCGTGCATCATGTGTGATTATATATGGTACTTTCTTTGGGCCCATACATACAGATTTAACTTTACATAGTTTATACTAAAGCAAGATGAATAGTTTCGTAAACTTCATTTTTGACGCTTACTTTAGCTTCTTCAGCTGTAATACGATGAACACAGAATCGACCTTTAACGTCGTAGATTAAACGGAAGTGTTCACCTGTTTTTTCGATGGTAATAACATCTAGAAAGGCAAATCTTCATCATTTTAGAATGATTTCTAAACGTGACAAACCCATGAAACCGGCTGGAAAGAGAAAATCAGTTCGCACGCGTCCATCGATCTTAATGAGACGTTGTTTACAGATTTTTCTTGCTTCAACGTAAGTCAAGGCGTATTTCAATCGATTACGTAAGAAGATGATCATGGGTAAGCATTCACGTGTCTTATGTGGACCAGATGATGGTTTCGGAGCGAACACACCACCCAATTTATCGAGCATCCAATGTTTTGGTGCATGAAGTCGTTTCAAATGTTTACGAATACCACGATACTAAATAAAATCCGTTAGAATACAAGTATCGGAAGATCAGAACAATTGAGCTTACACCCATGTTTCCTTTTTTTTAGTTGTTAATAAAGATCAAGATCTTTCTGACGATCTAAAACAATTCAAAGCAAAGTAAAAACATGGAAAATCAGTATTTTATGTAAAAATTTCAGCCAATCGGCGACGAGTTGGACTAACTCCACTCTGATCAGACTTGGTTGGAACTGATTTCCGAAATCATTTTATGAACTATTGGAATTCTCCGAAAGAAAGTCAAAATTCAAATGGAATCGACATGATCCTTTTCGGCAAACGTATAAGTGTGCTAACGAGTTCAATGTAGAGGCTTCTTCAATCAAAAATCAATATGGTTGATTTGTTCTTTCCTTTAACTTCACTTTCATCGCCTGTTGTGTATATATAGTGTGATATTTTGAAAATTTAAATATCATGTCGATGTCTGCAGGTATTGAGTCTCTCTCGTTTCGTTTGAATTCATTTCTTTGTCTTATTTCCTAGTTGAACTCGATCTTATTTGTGCAGAAAGTGATGCCGATGACTTCTCATTATCAACAAGTATGTTAAATTGCATCAAGTATTGTGAGAAGAGAGGAATCAAGAATTCATTCGTAAGAGAATTCTAGAAGAGTTAACGATTGTGAAGGAGGATCGCGGCGGTTTGTTTGTCGAGTATTGAGCTATTCCTAGATGGAAAGACTTGTTCTTTAGATTGTATGCATATTAAAGTTGAGATCGACGCGTCGAAGTTCATATCGTTGCCCTCGGTCAGCGATGAACGCATTGTTATGTATAGAAGCTTACGTAATCGAAATTGCGTCTGTATGAGGTGATCGAGACAAAGAATATATGCATCTACTTATATTTTTAATTTAACTGATGATCAATATGAAATAAACATGACACTTTCGCTAAATGGAAAACAGATGTTTAACTCTGATTGATAAAACGTGAAAGTGTTACCAATGAATCTCATTTCTCATTTCTCATTTCCTAGAAAACAAAAACATTCGAACCGTATCCATTGAAGAAGATCCAGTAAGCTCAAACTAACAAAGAGATGACCATGGTCTTGAGCATCTATAATTCATTTAGATAGTCGAAGATATCAACGATGACAACAATCCAGATGACGATGACATAGCGATCATCGAACCTACGGAAGTGGACGCTTCCAATGACAACATTGAATTAACTAAAATAACGATTGAAAACGCGTATACCAGCACAAATGAAACAGTACTCAGTGATAATACAACAACTGATTCCAATGAAAACGGTAATCGTCGAACAGCAGAGAGAGTTTCTTCCGCTTCATCTTCCTCCTCAAGCTCCTCGAGTAGAAGCAGTTCCATCACCGACACTGGCAAAATTTCCAACCATCGTTCGACACACGGTAGTTATTTCGGTAGTACAAGATAAAAACTAGTTTTCTCTTGTTGACTAAAACAAAACATCTCTTTTGTCGATTCACTACGATGAGATATCCTACAAGACATTGTTGGGTTTATTTTTACTCTTAGATTCGAATGATGAAATCTTTGATCACGATTCCAATAGCATCCAGATAGAAATCTCAAGTGACAGGCCAAAACGAACAAACTTTATCAATGGTACAGAACGTCAAAAACCATCGGGACTACCCACATTGATGATAACAGTGAAAAATGAAATGGCTCAACAGCCAGCAGATGAACAAACAATTCCAATAGCCGGTAAGATCAGTCGATCTCGTGTATGAGTGTATTTCGCTAGCTGATTGCCCTTTCAGATCCTACAGAAACCGCAACTCTTCGTCACATATTCAGTGATGCTGTTTACTTTCTGATTAAAAGTGGTAATGAAGAAAATATTTCATTAGCAAAAAGCAAAGTAAAACTAACGTATAAATATGTTTGTACATATACTATTTCGCATTATTCTTCAATAGGGTGTGTGGTCAACGCCACCGGCCAATGAGAGTAAACTTAATCGAGCTTTTCGAGTAAGTCGTTTTCTCGAGGAAGAAAAAGAAAGAAACTATTTCGAAATGTTTTCTCGACTATTTAGGAACATCGAAATGTCATCCTGATATTTTCTGTTGCGGAGAGCAAAGCTTTTCAAGGTTTCGCTCGCATGTCATGTGAATCCCGTCATGATAGTCAACCAGTGAATTGGGTCTTACCACCCGGCATGCATAATCGAGCTTTTTCTGGTGTTATCGATATCGATTGGGTCACACAGTAAGAGTTTTTTTTTCTGACAATCTTCCATCTTGGAAATTCTTTTCTTTACAGGCGAAGCTTACCATTCAATAAAACATCTCATTTGTTCAATTCATGGAATGAGAACAAACCGGTTAAGATAGGTCGTGATGGTCAGGTAAAAGAATTTTCAATTGAAAAAAAATCAAACTTTGCCCTTTTGCATGATAAAACATGATTTTTTTATATTTTCAAAAGGAAATTGAACCACGTTGTGCCGAAGCTTTATGTCGCTTATTTCCATCAGATTCATGTATCGATATTATGTCTATAGCATTAAAAGCAAAGCGAAATAAAAAGCGTTATTCGTCTCGTTCACAATCACGTTCACCCGTACCAGTAAATATGCTATTACCGACATCAACGTCATCACTACCTATGGGATCTCCATCGCCGTCACCATCGACAACGTTGATAATTAATCGTCGATTATCCAAAGAACGTTCTCGTCGTTCATCATCAGCTAGTAAATATCGGCCAACATCGTCATCACATGTGTCATCTCGTCATTCACCAGCGCGTTACCATCATCATCATCACCGTCGTCGTCGATCATCGTCGACAAACGATCGTCATAGGTCAGACGTGGCTCTTTATTTATTTCATATTCGTTTAATGAATCTGGCGATTCTATTCTTTACTAATAGAACTTTTAAAAAAGGTGTTGGTTGATAGAGGTCTCCTTTCTTTTTTGCGCACATCTCATGGACCATATCGAACATTCGACTATTACAAGATGCACCTGCGAAATGAATGATATGGGCTTTAATTTAATGAACTTTTGCACAAGAGAAAAGAATCGCATGTCGAAGAACTGATATTCATTATTTTGCTAAAGAAAAAGACTCTCTCTGTCTGTCTGTTTATTCAACAGACTGAAACGAATATTGATGTCGTTATTCTTCGTACGAAGAATCCGAAATAACGAACAAAATACGACTACGCTTCCCCGGTTTGCCCGCTTTCGACAGATATCTGATTCTTTTCTTAAATTCGAGGACCAGATAGACGATGATATCTGGAAAAAAAACTAAGTGCATTGACATCTACGCATGCAGAGATATATAAAAATGAATAATAAAAACCAATTGCTAGCTAATATCAATAGTTGAAACTTTCTTTTCATTTTGTTTTCTTTTTGTTCATCTTAATTTAGACGTGAGAAATCAAGAAGTCGAGAGCGTACAAGTAGAGATTCACCAAGAAAACGACGGCGATCAGGTATGCTTAGCAATTTCATAACTTATACATAAGATTATATTGGATACACCTCATCATGTGTTTTGCATTTTCTAGGATCATCAATACATTCTCGTCATGCTAACAAAAGTACATCCAATCGAAAACATTCACATCGTAGTAACGGCGATCAATCATCTTACAGTAGTTCACACAAATCGATGTCAAAAATCATCAGTACAGGAGTGCGTCGTTGCCAATGGATATCTTTCCTTACAAAACATCTATGATTTATTTTCTATGTAGACCTATGAAGATTACATGAACCATCTTTTCACTACCCATGCTCAATATTCTGGTTTTAGTGGATCAATGTTCCCATCCGCAGTAAGTGACACGTATTGCCAGCTATTTTTCTTGCCTTATTTCTGACTCAATGATGGATGCCACACCTGCATATCATTAATCATTCAAGAAAACCTAATTGATTTTTCTGTTTTTAGAGTTATCCGATGTCATATGACCTAAGTGGTTTCTATCCAATGGGATACGATCATCGTGGTGTACCAATATCAATGCACGGGGGAGTTTATGATACTCCTATGGACATGTACCCATCTCAATCTACAACTTCTTCGTCATCACGTTCTCGAAATAATGTAAATGTAAAGTTTCGATAATTGCATCCTTACAGATTCATTTCTTTTCCTTTCGATTTAGTACGAACAAGAGATAAATGCTTTCCTTCGCCATACAACTGTGCCCAGTACGTATCATCCATCGAATGACAACGGTGCAAAGTTGCATCGAAACCATCGTTATAATCGAAACGAAAATGATTATCGACACAGAGCATCTTCCCGACATCGTTCAAAATCGCGTGAACACCATCGTTAACTGAAAATTTGTTTTTCCTTTTGTTTTGACAGTTTTTTTTAATTAAAGAATTCGTTTTTATTTAGTGTGTTCTCCTTTACACAGACATTTCCTTGGTTTTTCTCTTTTTTGTGTGTACGTGTGTAAACGCGAGGGAAGTTTGTTTTCGAAAAATTGTATCTACTTGCGAATGGAACCTACCAATAAGTGCGCGAGTGCGAAATCCATTTTTATGTGCCAGCCTTGCATCTTTTTTCCTCATATTTCGTTTTTATGTATTCACATTGCACATTCAGTTTGTTCTGTGATATATCATGTTGAGCACGGCAGGCATGTTTGTCGCTTTTATTCGATTAGCTATGCGAAACGAGTATATATACATGTAAACAAGAGTGAACAAATAAATTTTTGTGTCGAATTTAATGACCGAGAAGAAAAACACGATATCGAATTAGACTATCTCGTAGTTTTCACTCGTCTTGGAGCGGTTAAATGCGCTGGCTGGAAGATATTTATTGGAACTGATTTGATTGTCTGCGGTACTTTTATATGGTTCAGAGATTTGATATTGAAATTCGACTGCTGTGTAGGAGGAATTAGTTCTAAAAGATTTGTATGTGCTTGTGATCGTTTGAGAAAGAGCAACGTCAATAGACTTCCAACAATGAGTACACTGGCAAGGCTGACGGTTACGATGGGAAAATAATTTCGAGAGTTCGATTCTTCTCGTGGTGCCATACGTCGCTTTCTTTTATGCTTGCAATGAATGTCATGGACCTGTTTCGAACAGTAAATACATTGTATCGTACGAATGTAGACAAACGTCTCTGTAGGACATAGATTCGGTTTGTATGTATCAATTTGAATTACGAACGGTTGATCAGATCGATTCAAAGGAAAGATCGGTAAACAAATTGATCCTTGCCAATTGTCTCGACATAAGTCATTTGTTTGATATATCTTATAAGTAATCAATTTCGAGTGAATATTAGTAATAAAGAGAAGAAAATTAAGAATTAAATTCATGCACATATTTGCAAAATAAAACTATCCTATTGTAACTTAGTTACGAATCTTTTGAGATTGTAATTCTTCCTGTTGAAAGGTCAGATAGTCGAAGACATGGGATTAGATTACGCCAAACATATGTCTTGATCAAATAGTTCAAACACAAAGAATCAATTGTAATCAACAAGAAGTAATTCACGTTTGCTTACATAAGTTTGAATAGGAAACAAATAATCGAATTATAAGACTACACATTGTTCATTGAATCCGAATGAAACCTCACGAAGACATACGCTTTGATATTCAAATTCAATGTAAAGAAAACTGTCAAATTTTCTTTGAAATCAATCTGATAATCTAAATAAACTGTTGATAATTTCATACTTTAGCACACTATTGAATCACTTCAGTCTTTGTTTGTTCGAATTTCAAAAGAAAAAGAAAAGATCTCATCACACACAACACATGTTGATCAAACAGGAGGCTACACTGTTCTCCAGAGATAATAGAACAATTTAGCCAGATGATGAGAAAAGACGACAGCAAACAAACATATTCTTGTTCGGTATACAGCACAGTATATTTATCTACTGTAAATGAATGTCTCACACATTTACATGATTGCGTATAGACAATGATTAAACAATTTCTATTTCAATCGTAGACATTCATTACATCGTCTAATCTATAACTTTGTACAATACAAAGTACCCTTGAAAACGATGATTTAAGATTTAATAATGGAGAGAAAAAAAAGTGATGTCCTTCATGTTTCAATATGAAATATCTTCATTGATTTCATAACAATCACTCAGTAGTTTACCTTGCGGGTAAAAACCGAGACAAAATCAAGAAACTTTCCTTATTACAACAGCTATTACATCACATAGACATATACAATTAATTTACTAGTCTTTCGTTCTTCTTCTTCTTCTCGCAAATCATCTGTTGTTGTTATTTGTGTATGCATTGTCGTCGTTTGGAGATATAGAGAAAGGAATAGATCAGTTCTTGTTTAGCCAGGCATTAGGATAGGACGAGAAAGAGAAAAGGAGTGAGTGAGAAAGGGGGAGGGAAAGATAGACTCTATTTGCGATTTCGTCGTTTTGTCTCTCGTGTACGAAAGAGCGTACAAGCGCGAGCGTACGCACACGCATATACATATTCTATACGGCTCGAAGAAAATGAAACCTTTTCCTTTTTTTCCCCCCTTCATTCTTTTTAACATGTGACGAGAAAAGATGGTAATACAGATGTGCTCTTTTGTCATCATCACGTTTGACATCTCAGCTGGTCAAATTCAAGACTAAACCAAAGGTAATATTTCATATTTTTCTTGATATTTAAAAGCCAGTCTAAATGAAATCGAGTAGAAAAACGCATAGATTAGATGACTTGACAAGTTTTTACTTTTAAATCACGGTCAAATTTATGCATATATATGTATATATTTATATATAAATTTCAAATAAATGAACTACGTATTTGAAGAAGAAACCAAGAGGAATTTCATATTGAATAACAATGATTTTGATTGACAATTGAATGAACAGGTAATACTATGTAAAGAAGAATCTCTCAATGTCAACTCTGCAGGAATTTAATAAAGCTGAAGGAGAAACTAAATCGCACTTCATTGAGTATAACACTCGTAAAAAAAAACTATTCTAATATCTGCCATATTAGTATATGTCGTACGCACTTTATGCGCATACTTATACTTCCTGGAAGAAGAAATGTCGCCTTCTCTCAATTATTGAGGCAATGAAGAGAAAGAAGTAGATGGTTATACATATATTCTTCCCGGGATTTTTTTCTTTCTTACAAATCAATGCATCAAAATCGTATGTGTCGTGTTCTATACAGCATATCATCTCACCTACATCGCGATCAGCTAGCTCTATGCATCGTTCTTTCTCTTTGCACATATCATTCTTAATTGTTCTATCTTTCTCATCGTATCTAGTCACTAGCCTTAATCATATCTTGATTTCAAATATTTATATGTCATCTATACATATATATAAGCGTATATTCCTTCAATGATCACAAATAGCAGAGCAGTGATTGAATACATATCGATGTACATCTTTCAATCGAGTGTTTTGTGTGACGGCCATTTCTATCTGCTGTGATTTTTTTACATTTCGATTTTTTGATTTTATTTCTTACTCATCATACTCTCCGATTGAAATCAACAAACCGACATCGACGAGAAAAGTGTTAGCATTCTCGTTCTCTTTTTCTTTTTCTTCTTTCCTCTTCTTTTTCCTTCTTCTTCTTCATCTTCATGTCTATTTCTTTTTCATTCACATTAAACTATATGTATATACGTTGAACTTTAGTTTTTTTCACTATTTTATTTCATATCTTGCACACTTAATGTGCAGCAAAGTACATTCTTTGACGAGTATCTACGACAATTATAATTGACTTGAAAGGAAAAGAAACATTTCGATCAAAAAACAAATAGAAACCGAGCGCTAAGAAATGCTGACAATGGCCGTTCCTGCTCCTTCGATCTATGAAAACGAAACCGTTGATCTCATACGTTGGCTTTATTGCACGATCGTGTATTATACATTACAAATTACTTGTCTTCTTACTGTACGTATAATAGAACAACAAAATAACAACTAGGACAGACTAATAATTTTACACTCACTAGAACACAAAACCAAGTACTTCCTAATTAGAAAACTATTGTTAAGTTGTTTTCTGTCCGTAGAGAAGTCATGCTTGCATGACTTGGACGACTAGTATACACATTGACTGATTGTCATATGTTTCTCGAGAGACTATTCGTTTCGCTAGTGTATTTTTTTATTTATTTTCTTTCCTTTTTCTTGCTAGTGATACGCACACGAAGACATAGAGGCTAGATGTTTGTTGTCTATACTGTCTGTCGTCATCGGCATGTAGTAATGGTGGAAAAAAACGGGAGAACGCAGTAAACACACAGAAAAGAAGAAAAAGAGAATTGGACGGAGTAGGAGAAAAAAAATCAAGGCTATTCTATAACGTTAGACGACAAGACGAATGTTGCATACACGTTTAGGATCAAGTAGTAGGAGACTGAGATCTTGAAGGACAAACCTATTTTAACAACATCATCGATGTCAAAATAACGTGCGCACTTCTATGTTTACTTTTTTACTTCATAACGTCTACAAAGTTAAATACATATCTTAACATTAGTTGTTAAGAACTATTACTACCTTTATTATTATTCTTACTATATTATACTTATTAACTTCTTTAACATCGTTCCTTATTTGAAACGAAGGATCTATCATGCAATTTTATTCATGTCCATATACGAATGCTAACTACTGGGTGGGTAAAATGCCTCGGTCGACTCAAGTATGCACTAACAGGCATAGATGAATGAACGAGTTTTCGACGAGTACATCTACACATACGCATTCATATACTTATATATATGCGTAGATATATCGATGTATATATGTATGTCCTACAAATAATTAACCATTGATGATGAATCAGATAAAAACAATATGTTCATATATGTAAATTAACTATGTCGATTGACATTTTTTCATTTTTTTGCCTAGGCCTTTCTCAATGTTCAACAATATAAGCATCCAGATCAACAAGAGACTGTTTCAACAACAACAACAACAACAACAACAACAACGACATCATCGTCGACAACGCCCGCTGGCATGAATGTTATGGGCCAATTGTTTGATAAAGCCAAACGTGCTATTGTCATGAGAACTACTACAAGCGAAAAATCTCACCAAGATCATCAACAACACATTCAACATCCGACAATACCATCGAATTCGTCGAAATCGATATTACCCATTCGAATCCAGGAACTCGAAGCGAAAATTGAAAGTCGTCCAACAATTATCGATGAGAAAAGTTCAGCTGTGTTAAAATATCGCACACCACATTTTCGGTATTGAAAACGAATTTCGAAAAAAAACTTGAAAAACAAACAACATATTTTTTGTTTGTTTTCTTTTGTCTAGGGCAACAGCAACAGTAAAATTTCCTCCATTAGCCGAAGGTGAACATTGGAAAATTGGCTGGATTCAATCATGTACTCGTATGGACTTCTTCAATTCATACGGTGATTGTGGTTACTCCAGTTGGGAATTTCCTCAACTCGTGTCTGGTCAAAATCCAATGATCTCGGATTCCGATGGACGTAATTATCCATTCTACGGTTCGAAATCTGAAGTTATTGAAATTCAAGGACCTTGTACAGATTACACAACATTAAAAGTACTTATGAACGATAATTTTTATCCTCATATAACATGGGATATTCCTACAAGTAACGAACGTTTATCACGTTTAACGAATGTTAAACGTCATCAAAGTTTTTACACCTGGTTAGTGGCAATGAATGCACGTAACGGTTCGATTCTCGTACTGAAAACGATAAGTTGGCAAATGAATCTTGAGATCAATGTGGATCCCAGCAAACCTCAAGGTTCACGCGCTGTACTTGTTTCCGATCCAATGCCTGTTCAACCCGAAGTCCTCAAACAAAATATTCGAATACCAACATGTGTACTTTATCCACCAAACGTAAGTTTGATAGTCTCAGACTATTCATGTGAGGCAAATTTGACATTGATTGTCAATATAATAATCATTAATTTCAGGGTTCTTGCACATTAGACATGTTGTTTTTTCTTTCAGGCTAATAGTGCACAAATACTTGTTTGGCATCCAGGTTGTCGCCTCCACGAAACAAGTAAACGACCTGAAATCGTCGTTCCACCGAGATGCATGTTTGTTCTACTACAAAATCCATTCTATTCCAATCATATTCGACACAAAACACATACTTCGGTTCAAAATAAATTAAACGGTGGAAGTTCGTCATCATCATCATCATCATCGTCGTCATCATCTTCATCACCATCATCTTCACCAACATCATCTCCGTCAACATCATCATCTTCTTCACCGTCGCCAACATCTACAGCTTCCTCGTCATCAACATCAGACACTAGGACCAATATGCCTCAAACATTAACAAATAAACCCTATTCTCGTGTTATATTTCCACAAGTTCCTCCTCCATTATCACCAACATCGGCATGTTCTATACCGCCTGGTAATCGTTGTTATAATGGCATGAAACAGATCCTACACAACCATGCAAGACTTGCTCAGGGTGTTATGGTTCGCTAGTCGATCTCTCACATATGTATAGATATAGGACAATATGTATATGTATACAAATATAAATAGAAGCGGTGCATATGTTTTTGGCTATTTACAAGGTACAGTGAGGAGTAGAACGTTAACAAAGTTTGATATTGATTTCAAGTTTGTTTGTTATTGTTCTTCTTGAGCGAAAAACTAATGAGTGTCCAAGTTTTTCATTACTCATCTTAGTTGTGTGTTTCTTTTTGTTTCTTCTCGAAGATTTCCTTTTTCGTATATATTCTTGTGTGTGTCAGTGTGTTTTTCGAGGAGATAGAAGAAGAGCAGATAATCCGTTCAAGAAGAAAACCTGTGGTGCTATATGTTTATGTTCGTTCTTTTAAATATATCTTGCTTGTTAAATCTGATCTTTGATTATTATTATTATTATTGAAAACAGAAGAGAAAAAACAGCGAGTGACATATAGAAGTCGTTTAAACAACACAGAAAGGACATTTTGCGTTTTGATAACAAGTGAAAAGGGAGAAGGTGAATTGAAATGATATTATTATTTACAGAATAATGGTGATATTTTATCAGTGATATTTTATACGTTGATGGATGTTATTTTTAAAAGAATATCTCGAAGGATATTTGATAATCTGAGAAAGGAAAAATGTTCAAGGCTTTTCGCAAGGATAACTCATCAGATCTGATCGATTCGAATTCGCACATCGAATATTCTCGAAAGTTTCCACCAAGCAAATGTAACATAAAATGATAGAGTTTCAATCGTTATAGACGCACATGCCAAGGATTTTGTCATCGGTAAAAATGTTGTCGTTTGACGCAAGTGAGCAATGTCGATACTTTGTGACATGCTAATTCCTTCATAGTACGATATAACAATAATAGAACATCGGAAAAACAATCTCAGCATCATATATGCTGAAAAGGCAAATGCTTTCGAAAAGAACTTCGTTATCTCGGAGATTAGATAAAGATAATTAATATCAAATATGGAAAAACACCAGTGTTGATAACATGAAACCTTCCTCAATCAAGAATAATGAGACATCAAATGCATCGGCGATATTCGAGGGAGAAATAACTACATCGTCTCAAATATTTACATGATTGTTTGACTCGTTTGTTTTTCTATTAGCTATTAATAATTGCTAATGCTGTACATATCGGACGAACTCCGATCAACTGAAAGTATCAACCGAGAACGTCAATGTTTAGATTTATTAATTGAATATGAGACGAGAGATAAACGATGGACATAAACAGCGTCTGTTACATTATTTAAACAAAGAACAAAGGTGGAATTCACATTTTGTTGCCTTTTATGATCGAAGGTGTCGATGCAATGATCATGTCATAAATGTATATGGAAGTTAGTTATATATTTACGATTCTATCAAGAGAGAAAAAAGTATCTTCTATTCGTCTTTGGAGATGAGCGATAAAGTTACTCAATAGAAAACACTGAGAAAGTAACCTCGGATGTTTTGACTCAAATTTAGTTTGGAGAGTTCGGCGGGCCCTACGGAAAAGACATATCTGCATATTAGAATATTTTATAAAAACGATAATTAAATGAAGATAAGTACGATGAAATAGAAAAATACAGTAGAAATGTGTCCAATCTATGTGCGATCTGGCGAAGAAAACGACAGATGCGATAAAAGGGCTTGATACGCATAAATACAGATGCACGAATCAAGGGGGCAGACTGACTTTGAGAAACGATATTGTTGATTAATGATCGTTGTATGTGTCGAAGATGGAAAGCAGCAATGAAAAGGCTTGTTTTATTAATTAAAACATTTCAATCCATGACACAGCGGCATCTCCCCATTTCTACCTATATTGGTCAAAACGACTAGTTGATGGGTACGGTACGTACGTACAATCAATCGTTCTCGCATCTCATCGCATCGCTTTCATACACATACACACACGTATTAGCACTCCAATTCTTTCTTTCTTTTTCTTTTCTTTTCTGCTATTCTAACAACTAAAAACAGTCAAAAGGCTAAATGGTACTCATCATCATCAGCAGCAACATCCTGTTCTTTGTCTGTCTTCTCTCGAACATTTATGTGTATGTAATCATGAAAAATTGTTTCTATTAGTTTTTTCTCTTGTCTTGAATGTTTTATTTGCAATATCAATGCATACATATGTATACGTGTGTATTGAATACCATTTCATGAGCAGTCAGTCAGTCATTCGGAAGAGACATCAATATCGAATATAATGACTTTTGAGCAATACTTGTCTCAACGAAATAGAAACGGTAACAGCTGCTGTTATTCTTTCTCTCGTGAACAAATCTGACCACTAGTACTATTGAGTGTACATAAACATTTGTATATGTTTGCTATTAATCAGCTAAGAAGAGAGAGAGAGAGAGAGAGAGATTTGATTATGCATAGTTGATTCCGTTCGATGTTTTGTCATTGTTCCTGTCTTTGAGAATTAATAAAATAGAAAAGCTCATTTTCTATAATGATCGATAGTTGACAGTTGTATATACTGTATACAGGAAAAAAGAAAGAAGAGCATTTATCTTGTCTTGGAGTTCACTTCAGAATCTAAGAGGATTACATCACACCAATGATGACGATAGAATGATGAAGTCAGATCTGTTCACGTTCATCTCCTGGGCTATCTTTTTCTCTTACTTATCCAAGTCAATATACATGTATGTATATATTTCATTTTTATTTCTGTATTTCTCTACACTAAGTAGGTATATAATCGAACAGCTTGGAAAGATTTCTCATGTGAAACATATGATTGCAATCAGCTGGAAGCACAATCATTGAGCTGTTAGCATTGAGATGAGAAACACGCATATATACGCGTGCGCAGAGATAACGATAGATAGAACAATTTCTTTACTAATAACATTATAACATGTGCACGCATGTGCAACAATGAATGTAATTAAGAAAATCTCTTCGATTCTCATGTAAAGTGAATGAATAAAATTTCTCTTTCAGACAAATCAAAGTCTGCGCTTTTTTATCCTTTCCATTCATGTGACGATGAACGTATGAAGTATCATCACGTTCAATTATTGTTATACTAACAAATCTCTTTCTCTTTTCTCTTCTTTGTCTGTCTCTGGTTCTGTCTTTCTTTCTGCTCTCTCTCTTTTCTCCCTCTCCCTCTCTTGTGATCGTAACACATATATCAAGAATAGACATAATAACATCTAGCCAGCACAAAAAAAAGGGCAAAGCACTTTTTACATTGCCAATAATATCCATCTCACATAGCCGTACATATATGCGCGTAAAAAAATGCCATTGACTTCATCTGCTTTCTTCTTCTTTTATCTTTTTAGTATAAACATTGAAAGCATCTGTGTCGCATTTCATCTACCTGTATGTGTGTGATGATCATTTTAGAATTGAATCGATTTCGATAGAGAACGCTATGTCGATCGATACAATTCGATGGGCAATAAAAATTCATCCTCACATTTAACAAATCATCGTTCGACTCATCAGCAAAAATCAGCTAATTACATAACAAACGACGACGTCGACGACGACGATAGCAACAATAATATTCCTGCGTCATCAGATCGAAATCTCAATAGTAAAAAGCATGGTCCATCACCTCGGTTTCGTCGACGCCATGCACGACAAGTTCATCTCGATAAGAAAACAAAACGACCGCAAGTATGATTTATATTCTCAAATCATTTCAGTTACGTTTACATTTTGCGATCAATCTACATATTGAATATTGATAACAAAAAAAGAGAAAGAAAACGAATGAAAGTTGTCTTTCAATGTTCAATACTCTATCTATTTATGACATAATAGACGAGAATGTTATCTTTATTAACATGTACATGACTGTATCGTGAAAGAATTCGAGCATGTGATAATGGAGGACTCTCTGAAGCTGAGGAAAGATGGTGAAAATTGAAAAAATCGATTGTTTGATAATATTCGAACACATTGGCCTTTTCTCTCTCGTTAAATGTCTTTGCGCTTGTTCAGCTTCTTGAAATTCCTTTACATCTTAAGTCTTCACTTTCGAAGTGTTTATTTTGGTATGTCACTTAGAAAACATGGGCACCAGTTCCTATTTGCTGAGTGATGATCAATTGAAAAGGTTTCGTGATTATCATCCATACAAATAAACACTCCGTTCTTCTTTCGGTTTAAGTCATGATTAAAATAAACTTCGACGAAATATTACATCTAACACTCTGCTTTCTATCTAGACGGTTTCGTCCTATCTCAATGTTAGTCTGCAGTCAATTGGTGGTCAAACGCTTAGTTTATTCTCTCGTAGTTTTAATTTTCTTCATCCATCATCGTCGTCATCACCACCCATTGATGTTCTCGAAGCAACTCGTTCTAAATTACCATTAACCAATGGTAATCATCGAGTGTATCACCTCGGGACACATTCAGGTGTCTATAAAAATCAATCACGTCGCAAATATCAAACATCCTCTTTACGAAATCCATATCGACGTTCAAGTACAAACTTTCCTGTTCATGGACATGAAGCACTCTTCTTACCAGAATTTTCTATCAAAGGCAAAATAACTGAAGCTGACTTCGAAGTACAAACAAACCGTTGTCAATGTTAATGTTCTTCGTTTTCACTCTTAGGTAATTGGTATTATAGCACGCGGTGCCTTCGGAAATGTGATACAAGTATGTTCGATACATGACAAACAAATCTATGCAATGAAAATTATGAGTAAATCACAAATTGTGAAAGATAATGCTGTTCAACAAGTCAAAGGTAATTATCTATTCATTGAAAATTCAATTGAATGGAGAGATTTAGACACTGTCCTATGCAAATAGTGAGGTTTGTTTTGTTATACTAAACCTAACGCTTTCTTATTCTGTCTATCGAATGTTATTTTTCGCGTTGAAATGAATAACCGCTTATAGTAAATGATGCTCATTTGATAAACGAAACGAATTGAAAGTGCCCAATGAGATCAATCAGCTTCTACGTATCCTATTTCTTCTTTACCTACGATTCTTCATATCACTTTCAACATATTCAATATACACATCTACACTTCAACTTGTCACATGTGACAGTCTAATATCCTCTTAATTATAAAGATGAAGAAAACAAAAACGTCAAGTTGCTTACTATGCTAAACGACTTCGAACGCCTGAAGTATAAACTTTTTCTATTTAGACGAAGTAACGATCGCACAATCATGTCTTTCTTATCCATTTATTGTTCATACACATTATTATTGGCAATCTCGTCGTTATTTATATATAATTACTGATTACGTCGAAAATGGTGAATTATTATCTTTGTGGTTACGTATACGTCGGTTTCCTCAATTAATTGTACAAATCTTTATCGCACAAGTAGCCATGGTGCTTGACTATTTACACACCAAAGGTATCATTTATCGAGATGTCAAAATGGAAAACATTCTCCTGGATGAAAGTGGAAACATCAAAATCATCGATTTCGGTCTATCCAAATGGCTTCCTTTAGGTCAGCGAACATCAACAATATGTGGAACATTACAATGTAAATAAGGCCAATTTCAGTTTCATCTTCACGTTTTTCTTTTCTATTTAGATATCGCACCTGAAGTACTTAGTGTTCGACCGTATGACCATCGTGTTGATTGGTGGAGTTTAGGTATTCTTATGTATGCCTGTCTTTTTGGTGAATATCCGGTGTCAGCAACCAAAGACCATGTAACAATGGCAAATAAAGTATTAAATCATACATTTAATCTGCCCTCAATTGCCTTGGAAAATAAAATTCAAGTTAAAGAATTGTTATTACATTTACTCGAGAAAGATCCGAATCAACGTCTATGTTCTCTCGATGAATTACGTCAATCGTCTTTTATGGCTAAACTTGATTTCAATCGTGTTTACACCAAGTCATATTCTCCATTGGAAATCCTCATGTATATGAAGTCCGAGTGGCGTCATGAACTTCAAACGCATTACAATTACAAGCGTAAAGATTTGAAAAACGGAAAACATCCGTCAACATCTTCCTCTCCTCGACAGAAAATCCCTTGTCACACTTTCGACAATCACGTTTTCCAGAGATTTTCGGAGTGAATTTCAGTCTATTTTTGTTTTGCCCTACACATACTTATATACATATATCTATTCTTCTTTCTTTTTCGCATTGTTTCATAAGAATTTCTGTCTTGTTTTTATAAGATATTTCGAATATTTTTTCGTTTTTTAATCCTGATATATACAATAAATGAGATTAGTTTCAAGAAATTTGTTGTCGATTTCAGCGCGTAAGACACCATTTCAACCCTGTTCTGCAAATACGTAATTAAAAATTAATATTATTACAGATGGTAGCAATCAAAGAAGGCCATCTGTTTTGAGCTGTTGGCGCTTTTTTATCAAAAGAAAACATAATTTAATAAATAAATACACAATACATCATTTGCAGCGTTCTGACGATTCACACACTTGTTTAAAAGGAACTTCAAAACGAATGTTTCATGCATGGATTCCTTGTTTTACGACAGAACCGTTTTTCTCACGAGTTGTTGAGGAATATGAGTAGGCTTTTGAAATATTTCACTGAGAAATTGACGCAATTGTGAGAAAAGCAAGGAGAAAAATTATTTTTCCTCAATGTGCTCGGCTTTATTCAAGAAAAATATTGACAAGAATAAATATGTATACGTTTAGTTTTACTGATTTAATATTAAAAAAATTTCTTTGTGGTATTAGTCATGTTCCCTCCAGAACAATAATAATAAAATGCAATGGAAAAAAAGGGTTTTATAGATTTATGTCAACTATACTCAATTAATCTTCTTTGTTGAATGTTGACAAAAGGGGAAAATATGAGAATATGCTTCTGTAGTTGAACATATTTTTGAGTTCTACATTTAACACAATCATTTGCTTTGCCATTCTAGTCATGCAGCGACGCTTATCGCCCATTCTGCTGTTCGTTACAAGTGTCATTGTCGAAGCTTCGACAATGAGTATGATGGAAATGAAATTGAATATATCGCATTGTCATGATCATAATTGTACACACATGACTATACGTTCCCAAATATGTTATCCATCCACACCTAAGACTTATTATCTTCTCAAAGGTAATTTTTTGTCTGAAAATGTAATGCACGTTACGCAGATTAATTTCATCACTGCTCAGCAACGCCCTCCAAGTTATGGAGCTCAATCAGGTACCGCGTTTCGTTTGTCTTCGATTTCGTATTCCCTTTTCCGTTTTTTAAGAGATCTATTTAATGTTTCACCATGCACCACATTTGGCAAACACTTCGTTTAGAATAAAAGAACAGAGGGCAAAGCTTCAACGCTTATTCGACCAGATACAATCTATTGATATGAGCAGATCGATAGTTATGTGCTCGTTTTTATCTGGTTCTTCGACACTACCAAGTCGACCGATCGGCTCATATCTAAACCCGCTATCGAATACGAGTCTTTTCGGTATCATTTTCCTTAGTGCATGTGCTATCCTTATCTGCGGTCTTTGCACGATCTGGTTTTCAGTGCTTTATTATCGCCGTTTTGTACAGGAACGAAAGCATAAAAAAGATCGTCAAGCACTAGCCAAGTCAGCTGAAGAAATACTTGCTAAATCACCTGTTATCATCTTCGACGCTGCGAATCAAAATCTTGAATTTCGTGATGAAAATCCCATGTGTGCAATTTGCTTGGAAACATTCAGCAATAAAGAAAAAATCCGTAAACTTGGTAAATTAAGAGATTTTTCTTAAGTTCGTTCATGTATATTGTTTCTCTTTAAAGCCTGTACACATTATTATCATATCGACTGCATCGATCCATGGTTATTATCTCATCAAAGCTGTCCACTCTGCAATCAAAGTATTCTGCAAACTGCAATACCTTCGATATCATCGATAATTGAGCCACCCAGCACTGGCCAACCTACCCCATCGACTCATTCAAATTTATAAATCCGAAAATCAAGACGATGTGCATTGTTGTTGTTGCCTTTCGCACTGCTTCGGAACATAATTTTTGTAATACTCTGCTGATTTATCATCATGCTCTAATGTTTACATTTCTTGTTATTCTTAACACTTCAATCCTTTTCTTTTTCTACTCGTATATACAATCTCGTTTTATAACATAGATGTCAACAAAATAAAAGACGCACTATTGATTCTCTTTTTTTCTTATGAGAAAAGAAAACCCTTGCTCATGGTTATTACTCATAATTTGTTCACTATGATTATCCTGGTTTGATCGGAGGCGTTTCAAACAACAGCTGCATTATATAAAATTCATTTCAATTGGTCACCTGTGCAATACGTGACAATTATATGAGAGTGAAAGAGACAGAAAGAAGAAAAAACAGTGTCCTTCATTCTTCCTCCCGTTTTGACAAATTACACAGCAGCTAAAGAACAAGCATCCATCTCTAATATGTCTATTTTGGCTTGCATTCAATGAGCGAACTCTTGACCTTCGATGTATATGTATACATTTTTAATAGAGGCTGGAATATTTATTTCTTTCATGCGTTTTCAATTGTTTCAAACGTAGGATTCAACGTTCTGACATTGTATATAACAGAAAACAGAACGAACTACCAAAAGAAAGGGGAAAGAAATCTCTGGCAAATATATACTATTACACCTTGCTCGAACTCGCTCGTTTTCTTTTTCGTTTTCTTTCTCTTTGACATTGATGCCGTACATATTTATTTTGTAGGAGATGAAAAAAAATTTGATTATTATGAACGCTATCGTTTTCTCTGTCATTAAACTAGACAGACAAACGTAATCCGTGCATATATGTACATCTCTTTTCTTATTTCAGATTCGTATTATATGATCCAGTGTTGTCATACTACTGGTCGTTATATATAGACATATTTGATTGTTAAAAAATAATGGTTAAATAGAGCAGCGGAGTTGGATTTTATATAACCAACAATAAAAGCAAAAACGAAGAAGAATCATAAAAAACAAGGATTTGCTTTTTTTTCTTTTACATTGGTCCACTTCAGAAACCGAATAAGGTAAGATGATAAAAAACGAAGAAAATATAACCGATAGGCAAAAAAACGTCAGATTTCTTTTGCTCCTATGAAAGAAGTAATCGGATGTCAGAATACATTAGTTTTATTGAAAGTGATTTGAAGGCATTATGCGTAAGTCAGGTAGGTAGAAGTTCATTGGACACGTTCTCTTTTCTACATAGAAACAAGTTGTTTCGTGATCTCATGGGAAGATGGGAGTGAAATGTGTCGAATAGGATTGCGCACATAAGTTTCGAAGCGTTGCTTCCTTTGAGGTATTTTGAAGACAAAAATGAATTTGTGTTACTTTTAGTCAAGGTCTTACACTTTCATTCTTTTTTCGCTCTGTCGTCGTGTTTAATTTGTTCGTCAAACAATCCACCATCGACATTCTGAACGAAATGAATTGACCTTTTCCTCATTCGTATACGTATGAAGAGAAGCTACGTAGATCCATATCTAATACAATGTCCAATGTCTTGTTTCGTTCGTCTTTATTTTGTGTCTATACAGACTCGATGTTCACTTGAGAGATTAGATGACAACGACAACATCGTCGTCTGCATTGTTTAATTATTTTGTCATTGAAATACAATCTGAAGAGGACTAGTCTAAATCAATAGTCCTCTGATATCACTTCTTTTTTTTTTCTTCTTATTAGAATTCAAACAAGGTAAGCAACTCTCAAGTTCTTGTACTTTCGAGGTCAGATATACCACTGATTAGAATATAATGAGTTCATCAGTTAGATACGCATCGTTAAACGTATGTATTCATGTGTTCCTTCATTAGAATGTCTGAATAAATATCGACTAGACAAAGAATACTGTCTGTAGTTAAATTCGATTAGCAAAGAATCGTTCGAGGTGAGAAGAAGAATTGTAGATCTTTCAGGTTTACTTTGATTTCAAATCGAATTAGTCGAAATTCGACTGTAAGTATGTAACCTTCATTCCAAGTCAATATTTTCTTTATCAAATGGATTTACTATTTTTCTTCTTTTTATGATTGCTTATCGAAGTATGAGGACAAATGTATAAGAAAGGAATGCATCATATATACATAATTGCTTAATAAAAAATATTTATATTCATTCTTATTGGTGCACTATTTCTTTGAAGAGCAAAAACGAAAGAAAACATCTCTATCGAACCCATCGAAATCATTAACTATACGCGTGATTCGATAGGAAGAGGAAGAAGAAGAGGAATAATATTTGTTAAATTTTTTGTTCACACAAACACATCTAAGATGTTCGACGACGGGTGTTAATCGAAATAGATCCTCTCGGGGTGATTTGTTTAATATATCTATCGACACAATACAACTAATTGAGGTTCTAAGCTCTTTTAGTCTCTTTTTCTCAATTTCAAATGAGCGAAGTGAAGAGAAAGGTGTGTATATATATATGTGTGTGTATGAGCAAAGCAGCCTAAGGGTAAAAAGTGAACAATCGATGACGATACTTCTCACTTGATGATATCGTCGTGTGAATAGATCTTTCGCATGCTGATAATAATGATTTACTTATCTTGACAAAAATTTAATCGCCTTAGATGGGTTGTTTCGCATAAATATTGGCATATATCTCATTTGCATAGACGCATGTACACACGCACATTCATCTCTAATACTATTTTTCTATTCATTCTAGTATCGAACGTTTAAACAATGAAAACACAACGCGAATTGGATACAAATGTTATACGTTCAGATACACGTCTGCGCGAAAGTGTACGTAGTTTACCTCGCGGACACTTTCAACAGATAAAACAAATGTTTGACAAACCATCATGTTCAACGAAAAAATTAGCAACTATTTATGAACAACAACAGCAGCAACAGAAATCATTTCCATCGCATGTTCTTCTCCGATTACCTGTGACTGATGACGAAAAATTAAAACATGCAACAAACAATGATGAAAACAAATTGACTGTGAATAAACCATCCGTCGAAGATTTATATCGAGATTATCTCGCTGAATATCAAGCATTTCGTTTGAAACTTACAAATGAATATCTCGAACATAAAACAATGTATCCAACAAAACAAGATAAGCTTCTGTTAACACAATCGACATCTCTGCCTCATGAGAATCATTCAAATAAAGGTAAAATACATGAGGGTATGCGTATGCGTGTGCATATATATATGTATTTCTCTTCGATGACATAGAACATAGACACGAAATCTGCTTTATTTCTTTTTTCATAAATCATCAGGGAATGATGAATAGTTATAGTTAAAAAAAAACAGATATAATCGAGCGAAGGTCGCCGCTTTCGTGTTCTCACTTTTTCTTCATGTATGAATTTCAAGCAGTCAGATATGTTGTCTAGAAGAAGCAAAAAAATGTCAGAAGAATAAACATCGGAACATTTCGAGATAACGAAAAACAATAAAATGAAAAGAAGAGAATGGCTTAGACTATAACGCTAAACGTGGGCGCGTAACATCAGTATTTCATTAGTCATTCTCCGCCTCCATATTTTCACTTGACTCTACTGTCGTTCTTTTCTTTTGTAACTCTTATATTCGTATGCGAAACAAACTGTAAATAACTACTTGTCCATTCTAGAGACATTGTCCTATTCTTCGTCTTTACCTCTGCACTCGTCTTCGTCGGATACCGAAGAATCGATGTTAATCACATCCGAACTCAATAAAAAACCTCGTCAATTGTCCACATCAACGGCGGTCAATTATACGGACAGCTATGATTCATCTCCATCAAATCATTTGAATCGCGCTGGAAGTAGTCGACAATACGTATCGAGTATACAACGAGCTGTTGACATGAATGCTAATCCCAGTACTATCACACCTTCAGCAATATTCAGTCCATTGAAAGTGAATCCTTCAACAACTTTTCATGAACCTTATGATACAGTACAATCCTCAAGACGTTTCCATTCATCGACATCGTTGTCATCAACTGGTTATGATTCAAATTCATCACCGTCGATGAAATCTAAACGAAATTCTATTGCAACTAATAATAGTAGTAACGATTGTTTAGTACATTCAACATATTCATCATCATCGTCGTCGTCTCCATCCAGCGATGATCAGCAACAACAGGTATCGAAACCTTGGGTAAGTTCTTTTTCATGACTGAAATTGATCCTACAAGTTCAAATCTACTTTCAGATCCAACAAACCAGTCCAACGTCTTTTACTCGAATTCATGACGAGACTAATAATGAAGCAGCCGACGAACCATCGCCGCTAATAAGTCGTACACAAATCAAATTGAACCAACCAGTATTTGAACAACGTCCTTCTCCACAAGTTCGTTATGCAGTTGTTCGTAATGCAACGTTTACTGTCGAGTCGCCATCAACGTCTTTGGCTGTTCACGAACCGGTCATCGGAAACAAGAAAGCACATAACTCATCGTACACAGTTCAAACTACATCATTCGCTGATAGTCCCGACAGTAGCATGGTAGACAAGAAGATCCGTCGATGGAATAACGTCTATTCCGATCGTCGCGAACTTGTCAGTGCATTGAATAAGACTAAAAAATATCCATTGGCAACAACGGCGTCTACAGGTTTCGCCGTAGTACAATTGGATAACAGTCAACAACAACAGCCACAGAAATCGATTGTATCTGATCCGATTAATGAGCGAGACGAAAGTCCTGTCTCTGCACCAAACGATCCCGTATTTGATCGACTTCCACCGAAAAAGCCACCAAGAACGTTCAAAACTGAGAATAAAACTGAACGTAAACTACAAGCAAACGATCAAAAAGTTCCAACATCACTGGATAATAATTCCTCGTTATTCGATCTCGGTATGAATACTTGTCTGATTTATTCATTTAGAAATTATTAGTAGAACGTAGGAAGTGAGAGATCACGAATAACAGAACAGAATAGATTAAATACTTGTGACAATCTGGTATTCATATATTTCTATGAGTAATCATTCAGGAAGTATGTTATGAATTGTTCGGAGATTATTTCCCATCGATAGTGCAGATAGTTATTTTATGAGAGCTGCATTGTGTAAATCGTATACTTGAATTGACACATGCAATTGTGGTTCAAATGTCAAATATCAAGTGTTGTCCTTTAGTCTTTATCTATCTGAATGTTAAGCTGATGACATATTTCTGATTGAATGCTTGACGCAGAAATTTAAATCTAAAAGTCCATGACACATCGAACTCTGCACGAACATGAACATTTGATTATCTTTGTTGTATTTAGGTGCACGTTCCATTAGTTGCATGAATCTAACTGCTGGTGCTACGCCAACTGGCCTGTCCTCACCATTGGGTGTTCTACCATCGAAACATGATCATTATCAAATGCCTCGTCGATCCAGTGTGACATCGGAGAAAATATCGAGTAACACCAGTCGAAACGGTAATGTCTATGAAGAACTACGAAATGCGTCATCGTCAACAACATTGATTAAAATAACCGATTCACCACAAGTATTGGTGAACAGTTCTGAATCTTCGAAGGCAAATGCTAACCATCATATTCTTCGTACGCCAACAACAAAGTCAAAAATGGCACAGCCATCACTCACAGTGAAGTCTGTTATGAAGAAAGGTGTGAGCGAGCCTAATCTTGCTAAAACATCGTCAAATAAATCAGCATTCTCTCCACGTGGCATCCTTGAACGTTTTAGACGTCTACTTCCATTATCATCATCCAAACAATCATTAAATGAGAAGTCAAATAATCCAAATGATAGCGATGATTCAACTAGTACATCATCGGAAACGACCGACAACATTCGAACGTCGAGACTCGATCATGTCAGTCGAGTAAAAACTGTCTATGATTCACTAGGTAATACTAGTCACATGTCAAGTTTATTAACCGATCCTAATTTGGACAATTCAGTCAATGAATTAACAACTCTTTATGAATACGTTGTTCATATCGTACCTGAACAGGAAATCGGGTATTTCTCACATGGCACCGGTTGTTTATTATCGTCAAATTTTCAAACATTACAGCAAATGTCAACATCAACATCAGTACGTTTTAAGTATCCGCCGGATGCAAATGACGAAGCGAGACTGAAACATTTCTGTTTTCCTGATCAACACGATGCAAATAATAATCCATTACTGTTGACCAAAAAGACAACGCAAGAATACTTTCGTTTTATATTAACCAACATGCATGGTACGAGACAATATGGTTATTGCTCACGATTCTTTCACAAGGGTACTCTGAATGCTCTATGCATAGTTTCGCCGTATGACATGATTGAAATCTATGAGAAAATACTTTCGACAACCACCGAATTGTTCATTTCGTATAAAGATGATGATGCCAGAAGATTCTTAGAAGAAATCTATCCACATCAATTACCTGCACGTGGCGATACCATTCATATCGATACCACAACCGTTGGATTGTATACATTGAGATGTGAAGAAGATAGAAGAAAAGAATTGATCGATTCCGTAATACTACTCAGCTTATCGACAGGTATGCCATTTTAATCTTGAAAAAAACAAATTTTGAATAAAATATTTTGTCATATTTAGAAACAATCATCAAAATCTTCTCTGCAATACTTTACGAACAAAAACTAATCTTCATCGGTAATGAAATTGGTCCACTGACACGTTTGATCAATACATTAATTTGTCTTATGTATCCATTTTCATGGCCACATACGTACGTACCTATTCTTCCGGCATTGATGCTCGACATCATTCAAGCACCAACACCTTACATTGTCGGCATTTTACGTTCTTGTGAATCCTATCTCTCGGCTAATGACGATCTTCTCACTCAAGATAATTCCGATATAATTATTGTCGATATTGATCATGATCGTATACGTTCGATCAACGATTATGCAACTGGTGGTTCTGTAGATACTTTGCATAGTCTTCCATTGGCTCATGCTGAACCAGCACGTTTTCAAATTCTACCGAAAATTTTCAAAATCGAATTAAAACAAGAAATATCCTTATTACGAAAGACAAAATTAAGTTTGTCGTTAGATGAATGTCAACAGCGATTACGCGATGTTTTCATGTCCATATTTGTTCAATCGTGTTATAACTATCGAGAATATTATTATGAAAGTTTTCGTCGCGAAGACTTTCTCCAATCAAAACAGCATACAATCGAATTGTTTCTTGAATGGTTTACGCGTACACAAATATTCGAATTGTTCATTCGACAAAAATTCGAATTCAACCAGTCAAATCAGTTCGGACGAACATTTGACGTCGCTTGTGAAAAATATAGTAAGACAATGAATAAACAAATATCCACACAGCGTATTACCGCCAAATCAGTCAAAAGAAAATCGGCAACCCGAACCAATAAACAAGAAAATCGATTTTAATCCACCACAAGCAACAATTAGTCAGTCAGATATCATCCATTTTTGTACAAAGTTTCATACGAGTGTTGGCGCTCTTTGATTATATGTAACAGTCATTGGATATAAATAATTGAAGAAGCAAAATTGAAAAACAATTCTTTATGTGCGTGTGCTTGTCGTTATGTTCGTTTCTTTTCAATATTAATTTATTTGTGTTCTTGCTTTTCATTTTCCATTGAATATAAGATAAAAAATAACTCTTTGATGATAAACAAAATGCTCGTTTACTCTCGGAGAAGTTTTATTTCATTCGACAAAAGAAGCATAGCCTTTTTTTTTCATACCAGTTCATGCAGATGCATTTGGACTTATGTTGCATCTAAAGCAAAATGAATATTTTTTATATCAAAAGGAAATACAACGTAGATATTACAATGCAGTATCACAGAAGATCCATACAGCTTCCTGTTCATAGATTAACGTGTATGGAAGTTTTCGCTGCATGAATCCATATTCCCATGAACAACCACGGAACATTTCTATACCGAGAAAATCATGTTTCAGTCCGAGAAAAACAAATTTTAGAAGTAGAACATACGATTCTCTTTTATGCGAATGTAGCATTGTCCATTACATGGAACTCTCATATGCGCCATAGCAGTCGGATCGAGATTCAGCAGACACTTGGGTTCTCGATAGTCACATTGATAACACCAACCAGCAGCACTCGATACTAAATGAAGATTGAGGAAAAACTGCTCTGTTATCAAGACATCTTTACCAGCTTCTATAAGACATATCCAAGTAATAGCGAAGGTCAAGAAATAACTAGCGATCATTGTATGACAACTGCTCGAATGAAAATGGAAAATGAATGATTCAAATCGATACTGTTAGATATTAAAGTCGTTTACATGTGTCATCAAATCCTTTATGGAGTTTAAGAATATTTCAATTTGGAATTTGGGTTATTTTAGAGAGCATGGTATCCTTCGAAAATAATCTTTTTTAATTTTTCACAGATGTGAGCAATTATCAGATCGCATTCTTCGATATTTACGGTTTTATTATCCTTTTCAAAAACATTTTAATTCTTTGCATAAAGAAATAGTATCTCTGATAAGATATTTTCTTATCGAAAAGAAAACAAAATATCATCGTTAGTAGACTAAAAGAAGGTTTTATGGCGAGTGCGTCGTCATATGATTTATGTTCAAGATGTACAAGTAAATACAATAGAAATCAACTGTCTCTATGCCAGTGCAAACATTGCTCGCAATCGTTTTGTTTCGATTGTTTCAAAGAGCATCGAGACGAAATCGATCACGACTACGAGGAACTTTTAAATCGTTGTAACGAAGAAGACGTTGATTGTAAATGAAACCAGTCACGCCAAGAGACAGTTGAATGAATGGCTTCAGAATTACATTAAAAATTTAACAGCAGAGAAAGTCAAAATTGACGCCGAAATCGATGATGAAAATAAATGCACACAGGTTCCTCACTCGGCGTACGTTCTATGAATGGTGTTCATTTACTTTATTTTAGGCATTCATATTGGAACTTGAAGCGAAACTACAAAGTTGCACTGCCGATTTCAAAAGTTCTGCAAAAGAGAATATGTATAAAGCAGAACATTTAAGAAAGCTTCTAAACGATGTTGAAGAGCTTAAACAACGAGTTGAGTCATTGACGCTCGTGATAGAATATGATCTACCATCGGCCATGCCAAAATGTACATTTAAATTTAAGTGTTGCTCGAAAAGCACGATTGATGATGATCAACAAGATCAACAAAAATATGACACTAAGGAACGATGTCCACCATCAACCGAAAATGAAGATACTGATACTGATGATAGTGATATGTCATTTCCCGACGAAAATTACTTTTCTAATCGAGATAAACATGAGGCAACATCCTTCGTTGTTAATTGTATGGCAACCGATGGAATAAACATCATGTATTCTTCAATTGCAGATCCGCACCAAGAATTGATAGCATATTGTTACTTACAAACGTCTGATGTTGGCTATAGAAAGGCTGACCCTAGCCGATTATGGAAACAATCACGTATTATTGATATGATTTGGTGGGATGCCATTGATAAGTTTGTCTGTGCGACAGATAAAGGAATTTATCTAGTGGAGTTTACAAATCCATTGTTTCGTATTTCGCATGTCAAACAAACTCCATTGCCGCAAGTGCGAATTGCAGCGACTGCTCATCATATACGGATCCATACACTCACACAAATGATGATTTACGATACAAGTTTTCAGCTAATACGATCATTCAATTTTAGTTTTTCACGTTCTTTAAGAATGGCTAGTTTCTGTTTGACAGACAGCGTCGTCGCTTGTGCTTTGATACGTCATATAGAAAACGCCAAATATGTATTACAAGTTGAACTCTACAACCACAATATGGTAAGGGAAAAAAGAATTCGTATAGGAATAAGTGAAGCATCATGTACGATTCGAACGGATGGTAGTGACAGATTTTACGTGGCCTTTGGACAACAACGATTTTGTATTGTTTCGTCCAGTGGTAGTGTACAAACAGTTAATCTAGGAAAACAAGCTAACAATCTGGCTGTTGTGAATAGTCACAACGTCGTTTTAACGAAAGTACGCTCTGATGTAGAACTGGTGCGGTGCTAAACATGTTGACTTAAGTCCTCTCTTTTGATGTAATTTTTCTTTGAAGTACTTGTGCACAGTTTTAACGTATTTTCAAAAATTATAGCATCATGCACACAAGCCCTCTGCATACACGCCACGTTCTTTCACAATTTACACAAACATCCTACTCTCGTTGTTGTGAGAATTGTCGCTTTTCAGCTTTTTTACAAGGCTTCTGTGCTGACTGAAAGAACTTTTTTTTTCTCATATAACATCAGGAAGCGTTCCGTGACTTTGTTTTTTTATTTCTCGAAAAGAGCGAAGAGAAAAGGGTTTGACACAATCACACAAAAAAGCTATGGCAACTGCGGCAATACCACCGAGTATCAATGATTCCAAATCGTGTCTCTTCTGTTCTACCAAATATGATCGTTCAAGACCGTCAATTTGTCTATGCCAACATTGCTCTATTCCGCTATGTTTCGAGTGCATGAAACAACACCATGATGATATTCTACAGGACACCGCTCAACTATCACATCAATATAATGAGTTGAGGCAACTTTTCGAAACGAAAAAGAAAATGATTGTTGATGAAACAGCAAGCACAATTGAAACTGTTAACAACCACTTCAACTCTTACATAAATGAACTTCTGGATGCGCAACATCGAATCATTGAAGAATTAAAGACAACAGAACAACAAGCAAAAGTAATTACACTCAATCTATTGCAAAACTCATTATTTGTTAATATTCTTCTAGGAATCTTTAGTAGATGTCGATTCGAAGTTGCAATCGCTCAGTACTGATATTGAAGCTTTGTCCAAAGACGGTATTGTTCAAAAAGAAAGAATGACTATTTTATCGACAGGAATGAAAACCCTCGAACAGCGACTGAATAATTACCAAGTGATGAAAACTGAAAATCTTACTCGAACACGACAAATGCTTACGATGTCTTTTGGTTATTCTCCAACAGTAGAAGAGATACCATCCTCACGCAATCAAACAAATGAAAATACCCAAAATAAAGTAAAGACGGAAGAAAACACTTCTTCAGTGAATGCAATGGTCGTTTCAAAATTAGAAGTTGCGACATCAGACAAGCCTCTGGATAGCGTACAATCGGTCTCGAACGTTATACAGCCATGTTACGCCGTATACGGCTATGCTAGCGACGAGGAGGACGAAGATGAAATCAATATAAAGATTAGCTTTGATCAAACACCCCATAATATTGATCGAATTGCAAGTGATGGAGATAATATTCTTTATACAAGTTACTTTGATGACGGATGTGATACTATAGAACACTTTATCTTAGATTACAAAGATGGTAGGTCCAACATCTGTCGTGATTGGAAACAATCACGAATTATAGACTTAGTATGGTGGAATAGCATTGAGAAATTCGTTTGTGTTACTATGAAAGGAATCTATACAGTACAACGTAGGGCTGAGACACTGAAGATTATGTGTACTATTAAAGACGACTGGTCATACGCTCGTGTTGCGACAAACGACTACACACTTTTCTTGTGGATAAACAGTGTGGATAGTGGATTTAATGGAATTGATGTGTACTCAACAAATTTCGATCGTCTTAAGATAATTGATTTCAATAATAATTCGCCTGGATCTTTTATAGATAACAGCACTAGTTTCTGTGCGACGAACAATACAATAGTGTCATTATGTACTCGTACACGACGCAATCGCAACGTGTTTCAGGCCACCTTTTGCAATCTACATATGAATAGATCGCATTATGTTATTCTTGGCAAATACAATAACGAAATAGAAATTCGTAGTGATAGTGAAGGCCGACTTTTTATTACAACAGGTCTGAATCGCCTACATATTATCTCTCCTACTGGGCAGAAGCGAACGATCAGATTGAGAAGCAATGGTGAATCCATTGCTATTCTTAACAATCGACGCGTGGCAATCGGGAATGGAAGTCGACAAATGCAAATTATAGAATATTGACGCTGAAGTCACACGTATAAAAATTTTATAGTGGCCATTGTTTACTTCACATATATACATGTTCTCTCACTAGAAAACGTAGATATAATCTTTGAATAAAAAAGGCCAAAACAGCAGCTCACTATTAAGACTACACGATGATAGTACAAAGAAGAAAGGAGGAATCTTGAGTCCCTTCAAGCAAACAGGCAACTATCGACTTTTCCAAGTTTTTATGTAGTAATTTTGCTGAAATAGCTTGTATGTTATCTCATAATTGTTATAAATTGTTTTCACGATGCATGACAAGCTAGTGAGATCAATCTTACTTGTTATCAATGAAGATACTGTCAAATATAGCTGAATATTAATATCCTACGGAAACAATATATGCTCTGGATTACGATCGTTGATCTGTTGTCAAAACATTCAACTACATAGAATCTCTTGTATGAGGTCAAAGATGACAGTTTAGTTCTCCAAACATCTGTGTGAGTGACCAACACGAGCTGATCAATTTGTTCTTGTTTTCATACGCATAGTTTTAGTGTAATTTCTTTCCCTTTTAGAGGAACACACTCTAATCGAATGATGCTCTGATTAATACATAGAAAAACAATTTTCGATGAAAACTAACTGCAACTGTTACCAGCAGAGATATTAAGCTTGAGTCAAAATACAAAACGATCTTCGTGAGACAATTTGTTTATTTAACAAAGTTTGCATCTGAATGCAAATATAATCATCATTTTCTTCCATTCACACTGCATTCTTCTGTAACAGCTGTAGATACATATTCATATGCAATACTTGATCTAAACTTTTCTTATCATTTGGGAAGAAACCAACTTTCGTGAAACCTTTATAGGTCAACTTCATCCAATCTGAGCTACGATACAGATCGCAAGAACTCTGCCGATCTAGTAGCAGAATAAACTAGAAATCATTCAAAAGAGAATGCTTGTTATCTTTACATAACAACATTCTTTACTCTTAGAATTGACGCACAGTCATGAAGCATTTATTTTTTCGTTTCTTCGTTTACTTCATATAATAAGCATACATGTCCATCACAGGTTACCAAGAAACATTCAACATCAACTGATCAAGCGTAACCCTTTTCGCTTTTTTCTCTCTCTTATTTATAACTGTGTGTCTCATAGGTCACATAATCATCGACTAGTATTTTATTCGCAAAAAAAAATCGCCACAGCTACTAGTGTATTCATTTGAAAATAATCCTCCACTGTCTAATTGACGCGATGGGTGTATGTTAAGCAAGATTCGTGATTATGATTCGTATTGGTCAGAAGATTTCTATTGCATCGATTTAATGTAATGCTATTGACGAATATGTTCAAGATTCTATTTATATTCTTCTTGGTTGGTTTCTTGTTGCTTCTCTTTCGATTATTTTCAACTAATTCACCGTCGCAATCAATCGATGCGTTCAATAAATCTCTCGAAAAGAAGATTCAAGATGATAAACAGAAATCTACTCCCCCGATAACACATGTTCGAGTTATACCGATGCCATATGATGTCGAGCTAAAGTCGTCGAGTATTGTCTTGTCACGCGATTTACATATAGCAACGAGCCAGAAGCAGTCGAAATATCTCCAATCTGCGCTGACTCGCTATTCTAAATACATCTCTGAGCTAACAGGGATTTCAGTCAAAATCGATAAGTCTCCTTCTTCGTCTGGTAATCTGTTAACTATTAGTTGCAAATCGAAAAATTGCAATGATGACAACTATCCTGAACTCAACGAAGATGAATCTTATATACTCAATGTCACAGAGACTGAATCGTCGCTATCAGCAATTACATTGACAGGTATCGTTCGAGGCCTTTCAACATTCGTCCAACTGATCGAACGAGACAAGTCATCAGGCACAGTTTTTATTCCCTGTGTGAATATCGTTGATCGACCCCGATTTCCATGGCGTGGTCTATTGCTGGATGTTTCTCGACATTGGATGCCGATACCAGTCATCGAACGAACATTGAATGCAATGGAACTGAGTAAAATGAATGTTCTTCATTTGCATCTGTCAGATGATCAAGGTTTTCGTGTTGAAAGTCTGGTATATCCATTATTACACGATCGAAAAGATTACTTTAGTCAAAAAGATATTCGATATCTGGTGGATTATGCTGCCCAGCGACGTATTCGTCTGATACCCGAATTTGATATTCCAGGTCACACAACGACGTACGTATTTCCACCATACAATGAACGTTTTTGTTTATTTCTATTGAGCTATCTGTTTTAGTTGGTTTATTGGCTATCCTGATTTAGCTACAGAGCGAGGTCCATATGAAATTGCTACACATTGGGGTATAATGAAAGCAACTATGGATCCGACAAAAGAAAGCACATATACTTTTATTGATAAGTTCTTCGAAGAAATGACACAGTTATTTCCTGACTCATATTTTCATATCGGTGGTGATGAAGTCGAGGGTAGTCAATGGAGAGAATCATTGTCTATTCGGAATTTTACTAGAGAACATAATATGGCAGGTAATCAAGATCTGCAAGCTTATTTCAATAAGCGTATTCAAAAAATTCTCAAAAAATATGGAAGAGTTATGATTGGATGGGAAGAAATTCTGGAAAATCTAGTCATTGACCGAGATGCTGCAATTCAATCATGGAAAAGTCGACAATCGTTGGTAGATGCTGTTCAGAAAGGTTACCAAGCATTGCTCTCTCATAGCTATTATCTGGATCATATCAACACAGCGTTAACCTACTACCGAGTGGATCCTATTCATGATCACGAACTGAAAATGCTCAGTAAAGACCAGCAAAAGCGAATTCTTGGTGGAGAGGCTTGTATGTGGAGCGAATTCGTTTCAAACGAGACAGTCGATTCTCGCATATGGCCACATACCCTACCCATTGCTGAACGGTTTTGGTCACCGCCATCGACAATCGATCTAAGATCTGTTCACGAACGCCTCTTTCGTATGAACCATTTACTCGATAAGATGCAAACGGGTGTGACACATCTGTCGTCATATAAATCTCGATTGCAAGATTTGATCATCGACACTGACAAAAAGAAGGACCTTCTTCATCCTTTAGTGATTTTAGCTGATGTTTGTGAACCCGGCGGTATTAATGATCGGGCTAAAACAGGAAAATATAAAACGAATACGCCTTTAACAACCTTCGCTGATATTTTACAAACTGAAAGCGAGCAAGTATGGAAAGTTCAACAACTTTCCATTGATGATCCAAAATTAGCTGAAATCTTCAAAACATGGTCTCTCATTTATGTTCGTCTGCGGACTCTTTTTGATGGCAATGAAATTCACAAAAGTAGAAAGCTCTGGGGACAGGATATTGAAAAATTGTCCAAAAATCTCGCTCATGTCGGTCAAATCGGCCTAAAAATACTTGAATACAGTGGTAATAAAACATTCAAAGACGAAAAAGCCAATAGTACAAATTCGTGGAAGTTATCAGAGTGGATATCAAATCAGCGAGCAGCATTAGACGACTTAGAAAACAACGTTGCTGAAGTACGTCTAGCAGCTGCCAGACCAGTTCGCCGTTTACTTGATTCCGTAAAGACAGCGAGTTAATTTTGCTATCTATTGTTTTTTAATAAAAGAAAAAATGACGTATGAAAACTGTACGAAGGTTGCAAAGTTTTCTGATTATTGCGTTGAACAAACATTATTAGATTTGATACGCTGATATTGTTGTTAATAGTCATTTAATGAAGCCATTAAATACATATGTAAAAGATAAAATATGAAATTAAGTAAATGGGAATCAAATATAGATCTAGATGCGTATGAAACCAGAACTTTGTTATCAAAAACTATAGAAGTTTCTTTTCTTATCTACGCTATTCTCTAACAATGTGCTGTTCTCTGTTATTATCATTAAAACCACACAGAATTAAATCTATTCTCCCTCATCATGTATTGCAATGAAAAAACATGACTAGTACACAGAACTACGACGTCGAATCTTGTTCTTTTTGTTTGACTACTCACAGCCGGACTCGGCCTTCGTTTTGTCAATGCAAACACTGCTTTATTTCTCTGTGTCTTGAATGTATAAGTCAGCATCATAATGATATCTTACAAGAAGTACTGCAGCTATCACATAAATGCAATGAATTACAAGAACTCGTGTTGAACAAACAAAATATGATTGTTGAAGAAACAAACAAGACTATCGAAGATACGAACAGCTATTTTGATTCGTACATAGACGAACTTCGTGATACACAGCGCAGAGTTGTTAACGATCTACAAAAGACAAAACAAGACGCACAAGTAATATTATACGATGCTAACGAATAAATACCTTTCTTTATATCTGATTTGTAGACATACATCGCAAATGTGAATTCAGAAATACAATCACTGAATGGTGATGTTCAAGCATTAATTAAAGAAAACGTTGTTCAGCTGGCAAAAATGGCTCGTGTATCAATTGCGGCGAACAAGCTCGACCAACAAATGAACAATTATCAAATGACGAAAATTATCGATTTTGTTAAAGTAAATCCAGTGATAGCTATTAAATTCGGTGATATACCGACAGTATCCGAAGCACAACAAGATCATGTTATCACGGATCGAAGTAAAAGTTGTCTTCGAAATAACGAAGAATCAGAATCCGTCGTCGACGAGTCCGAATCACCAACTGAATTACCAGACGCAGAAGAACATACAGCAAATGCAACAGGAGAAGATGATGCTGAATCATACACGACATGTCTTGACACGATGATTATAAAGCAGAATCGTATTGTAACCTCGTATAACGTCAATCGAATAGCAAGCGACGGTAAAAACATTCTCTACGCCAGCTATGTTCAAGATGCGCCTGATATCATCGCATACTGTCACTTCAATGATGACGGGAGACAGATTGATGAACATCGAAATTGGAATCAGTCCCAAATTGAGGATCTGATATGGTGGGATGAGATTCAGAAATTCGTTTGTATAACTGAAAATGCAGTTTATACAGTTGAATATGTCAATCGAACATTGAAAATTATACTTGTTATCCATGGCGCATGGTCGTACGCTCGAGTTGCAACAAATAAGCGCGAACTTTTCTTATGGGTGGATACTACCAACAGGAGATTCAACGGTATAGAAGTGTATTCAACAAATTTCGGTCGAATACGAACGATTGATTTCAATTGTGGTCAAATAGGACCTTATGCTGATGAGAGTGTTAGCTTTTGTGTAACTAACAATAGTATAGCGTTGTTGTGTGTTCGCACTAGACACAAACGTCACAAGCTTAGTGCTAATTTCTGCGATTTTGAGATGCATAGATTAAATTTATTCCGACTTGGCATATGCACTGGCGATGCAGAAATTCGCAGTGATGGCAAAGATCGACTCTTCGTTACGACCGGTAAACAAAAACTCTACATATTTTCATCGATGAATCAAATGCGATGGATTACATTAGAAGATCCTGGTGAGTGTATTGCAGTTCTCAATGGTCGACGTCTTGCGGTCGGCAATGGTGGTCATGAAATTCAAGTCGTACACTACTGACGAACTTTGTAAAGGATGTTATTGAATTCGATTGTTTTATTTCATGGATAAAAGGGAAAATCGAAATGAATAGATTGAAACTAAAAACAATGTAAAGATGTTCCGAATACAATTTGTTCTGATTTCATGCCGAGACTTTGAAATTGATTCATCATTAGAGTACATCATTTCTAATTCATTCTATTCGTTGGATTCTGCGATTATTCTCAAATGATCAATCAATTCTCGTAGTTCTAACATTGTTTCACTTGGCTGTGCTTTGTACACTAAGCGATGGTCTTTGTCAATAATATAGATTCGCACCGGCCATGAAGAATATAACTTTTCAAATAGATTTTCATCAGGCTTATCAATCACAATTGGCATTTCGAGATTAAAATCACGAATGAAATCTCTTGTAACTGCTATACGTTCTTCAACTGTCCGAGTTTGATTATATTTTATTGGCATTTGTGTTGGACTCCAGCGTGCACTACTAATTGGCCACTCGTCTTGTGCATGTGCTTCGAGAATATAAACAAAGCGAAAATTGATCAATTCATAATAAGTTCTATACAAGTCAGATAATTGAGTCATAATCGCTCGTAGTGGTGGTCATGAATATGAACCGCCAATTAGTACAGTTGATGACGACGATTTCAATCCATCGAATAATTGACCTTCTTTTCCATCGACTTGAACGATGGGAACATTGGGCACGATGTCTCCGATTTGTAAATTTCCATCGGTAGCTCGATTGTATTTTGTATAGAATGGAATTTCCTTCAAATCAGGATAAATTTGGGTGGCACATCTTAAACATAGCAATGCAGCGTCCATTTCTTCATCAAGGTGAAACTCTCGTATCACTTGTTTTTGTAATTCATTCACGACGTCCAACCATGATGACGAAGAGCTTTGTTCGGCTTCACTGAATTGCTTTTGATATTCATCGGATAAACGTAATTCATTTTCTCTTACAAGCATCTGCTTGAGTAAACTCTTCGGAATAAATGACTGAGGCACTGGCACCGACTAATAGAAATGCGTAATGATCATCAATTCAATAAGATGCATCGAGAAACACTTACGTTTGATTTAATCAAATCGTCATAGGTGAAATTCGCCCGACCACTGGTTACATGAACCATGCCCATTTTTAATGAAGTCGTTGCTTTGCTCTGCTCTCACATGCTTTTATTATGCATTCGGCTCGCTACGGTATGTCGCAATAACATGAATCACTTTGAACCGTACACGTAAGTGATATATTTGTCTACGTCTACAGATTTTTATATTATCTTCATGAGACATTCTTAGTCAGGATCGATATTGACTAATGTCTGTTTATATTCCGAAGAAAACTATATACCTGAATTTTTGCGTAAAAAAATTTGTTTTATCATTTACTATTCTGTTTCATTAGAAATGTTTATCATTACATGTTTAAATCAGAGACCTTGTCCTCGCATATAACAGATACATAGTGGAGAGAAAAAAAATCATAATCATGAATATTTTTCCTTGATCAAATGTTAAACAAGTATCAGCAATAATTGAAACAGTGTTTGATATTATTTTCTCATTTCGTTGTACAGACAGAATGAAACTTGTATGAGCGAATAAGTAGACAGACAACGAACGAGTCGAATCTATTTATTTCTTCATTCTAAACAATAGACATGTGGCGCTCTCTATGATGATCTAGACCTATAAAAAAGAAGGTCAATGGAAAGAGATGTCACTGAATGTTTTCTTTTTTTTTGGGAAGTCATCATTCATCAATAGAAACAGAGTTGTGTTTTTCCATTCGACGTATCTTGATAGAGATATTGACAGTTGCTTGTTTATATTTACATCTCTCGTAGGTGCATGTAAAAGAAAAACGAAACAGCAATGACTTTCGAGAGCTATTGTTCGCCACCTGAAGCACCAGTCTTCTACCCAACATGTGACGAATTTGCTGATCCACTCGAATATGTGGAGAAAATTCGGCCGATCGCCTCACGCGCTGGCCTTTGTAAGATTATACCACCAAAGGTAAATACGAAAACACGATCGTGTAGTTATTTTGAATAAACAAAACAACATGCTCTAGGAATGGCAACCACCGTTTTGCGTTAATGTTGATGAATTCCGTTTTACACCGCGCATTCAACGTATCAATGAACTAGAAGCTGGTACTCGAACGAAAATTAAATTTTATGAACGTTTAACAAAATTATTCGAGTCTCAAGGAAACAAACTGAAAATTCCTACTGTTGAAAAAGAAAGTTTAGATCTCGCAAAGTTACACAAAGTTTGTTCGATGAATTTTCGTTGACAATCAATATATTTTTTTTTCGATTGATTTTTACCAATAGATCGTTAAGGACGAAGGTGGATACGATATTTGTTGTTCACAAAAGAAATGGGCTCATGTCGCACGAAGAATGAACTTTCATGACACGCAAACAAGTCGTGTTTTAAAACAACATTACGAAAAACTGTTGTTATCTTATGATGTTTACGAAACAGGCGTTTATGAAGAACATGCAGATGTACCGAATACAAATGACTCGAAAAAAGGTAAAATATGAAGAGAATGCCTTCAAAGCTTTCTATATGCAGTCGTTCTAGTTGAATCTAATGGAACGTTGAAAAATGGCAATAAACGAAAGGATAGTTCGTCAGCCACGGGCACAAATAATCCAGATCCGGTACGTTATTTTGTTGTTATAGTTAAGATAATCAATAGGTTTTTCCGTTCGATATAGTTCGCGAATTTCATCTGTAAATCTTGTACGCGTGGTGATGATGATAATTATTTATTAATTTGCGACATGTGTGATAATTGCTATCATACATATTGTCTTATTCCAGCTCTAACGGAAATTCCTCGAGGTCAATGGCGCTGTCCAAGATGCGTTGCACAGGTAGATTGCTTCTGTTCTAAAAATGTCAAGAGAAACATGTGATTTTGTATTTAGCTGTATCACTCAGCAACGCCATCGGATGCCTACGGATTTGAACAATCGCCGAAAGAATATACATTGGGAGAATTTGGCGAGATGGCAGATGAATTTAAACGCAATTATTTCAAGAAACCTCTATCAGTATGTATTGAATTTCGTTGTCTTTTGTGAAACAAAGGAAATATTTATGAATTGCTGCAGGAAATCACATGTGAAGATGTTGAACAAGAATTCTGGCGTATACTTTCATTACCTGATGCATCAGTAAAAGTCGAATACGGTGCAGATTTGCCAACAGGTGACTTGGGAAGTGGATTTCCATCAGCAAAAACGAAAGATTTGACTGAAAATGACAAGGTAAATTATTTGACAACACATAAGCTTGCATTAATCAGTTGGTTCCCTTTAGAAGTATCTGAATTCTCCGTGGAATCTCAATAATTTCGCATGCCATTACAAATCTGTTTTGCGATATATCAATGCTGATATATCGGGAATGAAGGTAAACCAAATATAAATCTATTTATGTTTCTCTTATGGTATCACACAGGTGCCTTGGGCTTACGTTGGTATGTGTTTTTCATGTTTTTGTTGGCACGTCGAAGATCATTGGTCATACTCGATCAACTATCTTCATTGGTATGAAAAACAAACCGTTAATAATCAAATTTTCATATTCTATCAACGGATTTGATTTGTAGGGGTGAACCAAAAACTTGGTATGGCGTTCCTGGCGAAGGTGCTGAAAAACTGGAGAATTGTATGAAATCTTATGCACCTGATTTATTCGCTAAAACACCTGATTTACTCCACCATCTGGTTACAACTATGAATCCATCTGTACTACTACGTAGTGGAGTGCCAATCACAAAAATAAATCAACGAGCTGGCGAGTTTGTGATTACATTTCCTCGCGCATACCATGCAGGTTTTAATCATGGATTTAATTTTGCTGAAGCGAATAACTTTTGTCCAGCGGATTGGGTAAATCAGGTCGATCAACTAGAGTCGAAAAAAACAGCGGACTTTTTTCTGTTTAGCTTCCGATGGGTCGTTGTGCAATCGATCATTACAAAGAAATGAAACGATATAGTGTGTTTTCTCATGATGAATTAATCTGTAAATTAGCATCAGAATGTCAATACCTTGATCCAGCTATTGGTGATGCAACGAAGTTCGAACTGGATTGTATTGTTCAACAAGAGAAAAATGGCCGTAGATCAGCTTATGAACAAGTATGTATACACGAGACGTTGTATGTTCATATAAGGTGAGATTTTTAAGGGGGCAGCGGATGGTGATCGAGTTTGTTTCGAATTGATGCCGGATGACGAACGACAATGTGATGCTTGTAAAACAACGTGTTTTCTCTCGGCTGTCTCTTGTTTATGCAAACCAAGTATGTTTCAGTACATGCGTCAATCTTTCTCTCGAATTTAAATCGAACTACTGTAGATGTTCTGGTCTGTATCAATCATATCGATCAATTATGTTTATGTTCGCCAAGAAAATATTGTTTATGGTATCGGTATACACTCGATGAAATGGCCGATATGCTTGATGCATTGCGTGAACGGTTGAGTTTGTGTCAGAATTGGAAACTACTTGTCAATCGACTGATATCAGCTGATCATCAAACGCTTATCAGTATGTTCTCAATTATTTGATTTTGATTTACTTTGTTTGTTTTTTGTGCGATAGATTTTAGTGACATTGAAAAGCATACATCATCCGGTGCGTTGTGTTTACGTGATGATATCCGTATAAAGATGGAAGAAAAATTAGCTGAAGCTACGGAATGCCGGCAAATGGTCAAGAATATTTTAAAACGTATAATGTGCAAGTAAGAGAAGAACTCAAGAGTTGCATTCTCGTCTTATTTCTTTCTTCGAATATTCAGAGATGAACCTATGGAAGTTTTGACTGAAGACGGTGTAAATAAAAAGAAAAAGATTTCCGATCACGGAAATAAAGTTTCATTAAGCGATATTAATCAGTTGAAAACACGAATCAAATCACTTGGTATTACATTTGATGAAATGAATACGATACAAGTAAAGTTCCTCGCTTTCTAAATCATGATCTCTCATTGTTGTTATTCTCATAGGAAATTCTCGCTGATTGTCTTCGGTATCAAGATGAGATTAAGACATTACTCCAATCAGAAAAACTTCAATCACCTGATACTTATTCAAATCATATCGAACGAAGTGATCAATATCAAATTGAATTGCCCATCGTTGAACGATTGAGATTATTCTATCAAGCTAGCCTTTGGTATGAACTTGTACAGAAAACATTGAATCGAACTATCCCGCCAAGTAAACTTCGATCGTTGATTACATCTGGACAACCATTTCAAGCTTTACATCAACAAATACAACAAAAAATCCATGAATTACAAGTACAATTGCAACAATTGGAATATTGGGACGAGAAATGTCGACAGTTAACCAAAGAAGAGTCAGTTATTCAGATTTTTATCGTTGATGTTCATAACAAATTCTTGTCGTATATTTTAGACCACGGCCAACATTGAACATATTGGAGGAATTTATTAAGAGTGCTGATGAAGCGAACATTCATTTGAGTTCGATTGACAAAATTCGAACATTGATCATTGATTGTCATGCTTGGATTGAACGATTCGAAGAAATGCAACAAGGCAAACACTATCCATTTTTATCATCATACGAGCAATTATACGAACAAGCACGACACTTTCATATTGACTTGGAACCGTTGAAAATAGTTGAACAAACGATTTTACAAGCGCGAACATGGTTAGAAAAGACTCAAGCAGTGTTTCGTCGACCAGAATCAATGCTGACTTTGATTGAAGTATGATTCGTGCGATTTTCAAATAGGAGAAATATATGATTATCTTTAGATGATCACACCACGAGTTAATGTTGCACCTAGAACGGCAACAAAGAAACGACAAGCTTCGAAACGAACTACAGGTGATGGACCAACCAACGAATCGATCGGTGTTCTCGATGATACTATAGCGAAAGTGTTGTCAAGTGATGAGAATGATCCCGAAACTGTGGTATGAGTCTAATGAACATGTCAACGTTCGACTAAAATGTTATTTCCTATTTATTTAGTATAAAGTGTATCGTGATGCAACAATGAAAGAAATCGAATGTCTCAATGAATTACGAGAAAATAATCAAAAGAAACGCTTGGATTCATCATCTACTTATTGCGTATGCGAAAAACCATACTCGGATACTATGCTTCAATGTGATTTATGCAATGAATATTATCATCGTATGTGCATGTATTCTTTGAATTGCTATTTTCAGTTTGTTATAAACCTAGGCCATTGTTTACCGTATCATGGTACTGATGTAAACACATCTGTCTGGTGGATTTGTGACTTCTGTATACGATCGCGACGGCCACGTCTGCAAGATGTTGTTAAACTTCTTGCGAATTTACAGAAGTTAACCGTACGATTACCGGAAGGTGAAATCTTACAATGCCTAACAGAACGTGCTATTACATGGCAAGAAAAAGCCGAGTAAGTCAAGACAAAAAACAATTCGCCAAGATTGTTATTCGCTTATGTTGCATTTTAGAGCATTTCTGGAATCACCCATCCTACGAGAACTGAGTACAGTCAAACAGGAAAACAGACCGTTTAAGGTAAATATACCTAGCTTATCATGAATGAAGGAAACAGATGTTCATGTAAAACTTGTTTATTTATAGCAAGAGGAATTTTCAAACGATCCAACAAAGCAACAAGGCCGAAATTTAGAACCAGAATGTAAGCGTCTTTCTTCTGATCTTATTCGACATTAGAACCATTTCCTATCGATAGCCTCTCGTCCAGTGAATAATCTAGCCGAAAGTCAATTAGAAAGCCTATTGATCGAAGGTGGCTTACTTGAGATTTACGTTGATCAAATAAAACTATTAACAAAATTAGTGAACTCATCACGACGATCACATTTATCATCAGATGTATGTCGAGAGAAACTTTTTGCTTACTTTTTTTTTAAACGTGTTTCTTGTGTTTAGAAACCAAAAGTTGCTCGTGTTCAGCAAGGAGACAAGAATAAGTCCCATACAATACGAAAACGAAAATCCTATGAAATTATTGCAAAAACAGGTTTGATGAATTCAAACAGAAGTTTTTTTTTTCATATTGAAACTTCCACATTCACTTAGAAAAAACGATACGCCGTAAACGTTCGCGCAAATCCTTTCTACCGGATCAACGCTCATCCGAAAGTCAGCTTACTTCAACCGCAGCACCTGTCGTATACGTTTCATCGATGAGCGATGTTCAACAAACATTGATTAAATCATCGCCTAAATCCGATGCCGATCACGATAACAATCCATTGCTCATATCCGATGATGAAAATGATCAGAGTAAAAAAGGAAACATTCTCGGCGGTGGTGAAGATGAATGTGCTGTCGACAGCGGTGCGTGTTTACGACCAAGTGGATCATCGATAAAATGTAAAAATGAATTTCTCAGATAGTAAACTTCCATTCTCGATTGCGCTTTCTCTAGGGGTTTGCTGTGATGCGTGTGAACGATGGTTTCATCTTGCTTGTGTTGGTTTGACGAGTGTGAAGAAAAAAGAAGAATTCAAATGCTCGCGTTGTAAACAGTCATCCATATCGTCTTCGACATCCACTCCCACCATTGCTTTGACGTTGTAAAGAGCGAGTTAAGTATAGAATATTTGCAATCAAATAACAAATCTCTGTCTGTCTGACTGACTGTATTTTTGTTTTCGTTTCTTTTCTTCATATATAATTTAAAATTTCCTTTCGCATTTCGTGTCAGATAGACAAACAATTCTAAGCGTACATGTTCAAAAACGGGCCATATGAGTAGTCAACATTGATCTTGTCTTGTCTGACTCGAGAAGTGAAAAAGAAACGGGAAAATACGTATTGGATATTGATTGTTTTCTTTTTCTTTCTCGTTCATTGTCATCTGTCAGCTCTATCTTTATGTTTCGGCTTGTTTGTTTTTTCGTTTGTTTTTCGGGATATTGACAAAAATCGTTTCTTGTAGATAGAAATTCTTTATTTGTTTGTGTATGCGTGCATGTCTCGTATATGTTGTTCAAGCGGAAATCGAAATACAGGCAAACTTCTTATATACTGAGAAACACAATAAATCACATACTGAAACTTGTCGCTTTTTCAATTATTTAAATCGAAGGAATAATTTGCATTTCCTTCAAGCGATCAAAACATCGAATGTAGCTCTCAACAGTATTAACCGTTGTTTTCCAACCGTATTTTCGAGCTTTAGACATGTCACTGTGATCATCGAATGCTCGACCAAGAACAAAATCTAAGAAAGATAATAAATAGCATTCATTGGATATACAGTTGATAGCGACTATTCACCAATGAAATTCCACGTTGCATAATTGAAAGCCGATGAGTCGAGTTGCTTGTGTTTTGTCAGTCGGTTCCAAGTTTCAATATGTTTTGGCATAAGTTCAGCAAGAGAAAATTGTGAAATACCAATCTCACCTGTTTGAATATCGTCGGCATCGAACATTTGTTTGTGTGGTGCGAAACCGAAGTATCTAAAATATATGTCAGAAGAATAAATAAAAATCATATATACATATATTACCTTTCGAAATATGGCCACAATGTACAAAATCGAACTTCATCCCCATTATGTATGTTGAACACTTCATTATGAATTTCATTATTTGTCGATGCCCATATTTGAAAACGTGCAGTGTTCATTGCATCGGAATGATCGACAACGGCATTCCAAGCAACTTCGTTACCAGGAAACAATAGTGGTTGTCCTTCTTCCTTTTGTAGAGTGGCATACAGAGCAAAGCTGAGCGCAAAATTCATGAAATTGCCACGGGATACACCAATAATTATATTCGGCCGTGTAACGATATACTTCCATCCATGTTTACCAGCATATTCTTTCAACAGATCCTCTTGTGTGTAATAAAAATTACTACCTTGATGACGCGGAGCATCTTCTTGATAAGGACGTGTTGCAAGATATTCACCACCTTTGTGTACACCATAATACTACAAAGAAAGGGAAAAGAATAGTTGTTTGGTTCGACCGTTGAAATACTACTTTGTAGCCAGTTTGAAGTGTAACACATTTTATATGTTCACCAGCGACTTCAATCGAAGCATCCAATGCTTTTTGAAAAAGGACTTTATTAACTTCGTCCAATTCATTTTCATCCTGTTTTTCGATGTATGTAAAGTGATAAACATGTGTTATGTTTTTCCCACCTGCTTTTTTCAGTTCCGTAACGATTTCGTTAACACTAGATTCAAGTAAATCGATTGAAATAAAATAAATTCGATCATCATCAACGTCTAATTGCGTTGGTCGTCTCGATATACATATAATTCGATTCCAGTTACTTCGATCCTGTTCGATTAATGCATCGACCATAGCTACACCAGATATCCCATTCGCGCCCCAAACGCACGCAACATTTACTGGAGATGACGACGCAGCCATAGTTTTATTTGACGATGGTATACACTCGTTGATGGTTGTTACTTTTATCTGTATACTTTCTCTCGTTATGCTTGAATAGCTTCACTTGTTCTTCTTTCTCGTGAATATTCTATTCGTATCTCAACATAGAACAAGCGCTGTATGAATATTTTCCCAATTCGAACAACAATTTCGATTCCAGTGACATGCGTTCATTCCATCTAAAATACATTTGTTGTTCGAAATCTTTTGTCCATGTGACGATTCTATGGCACAGACGAGGCGACGCTTCTCTTTTCTCTCATTCCTCGTCTGTCTGACTATGTACATGTGTATATAAATGTAGATAACCAATGAAGAAAATCATTTATTTCATTTCTACAAAATGGTTCAAAGTGTGTAACTTCGTATCGTTGAGAGCGTCGTATCTATTTTTCTCTTATGAATAGGTCCGATTTTGAACAAAAGTAGTGCTGTTAATGGAGCTGCAATTGATAGTAAAATCAAACATCGTTTGGAAATGTCTGAACATGCCCCAGATACAACGAAAATCTCGCCTCGAAATAATCTACGATTGTTTCTTTCGTTGACATTTGGTTCGCTTGGAATTATATTCGGTGATATTGGTACAAGTCCATTGTATGTCGTTCATACAATCTTTGCTGAAAATTTAAATCCTACACGTGAGCAATGCATTGGAGCGATATCATTAATTATTTGGAATTTGCTCATTGTTGTTACGATTAAATACGCTGTTTTTATTCTGATGGCCGATAATCGAGGTGAAGGTGGAACGTTTGCTCTTTGCGGATTACTAACAGGAGATCAGAGTAGGCTGCGTGCTCGTGCGAAGCATGCCATTAGTATTGTTTCAATTCTTGCTGCTTCATTGCTAATCGGTAAATGAAACGGTTTGAATTATCGATGGCAAAATGCAAGAATCTGTTTGTTCTAGGCGATGGAGCAATAACACCGGCGATTAGTGTATTATCAGCTGTCGAAGGTATCACAACTTCGTCAGAATCACTAGCTAAATGGATTCTTCCAATTACCATTGTCATTATTATTGCTCTATTTTTCGTGCAAATGTTCGGAACATCAAAAATCGGTAGAGAAGAAAACGTTTTATTTATATGTCAAATGAAAGCTTTACTCCTAGGTTTAACTTTTGCCCCGATTATGATTGTTTGGTTTGCTGTTCTATTTGCAATTGGTATATGGCGAGTTACATTTGATCCAGTTATTCTACGAGCATTCAATCCTTGGGAAGCGATATCCTATTTAATTCGTGAAAAAAAACAAGGCTTTCTCCAAATTGGTATTAGAAAACCAGTGGCGAAAACCAACCGTTATGTATTCTGTTTTAGGTGGTGTCTTCCTTTCTGTCACAGGTCTCGAAGCACTCTATGCTGATCTAGGTACAAGAAACTGATGAATCAAAAAACAAAGAAGAAAAGCTAATTTCCTTTCGTTCAGGACATTTTGGTCGATGGCCAGTGAGAACTAGTTGGCTATTTATTGTTCTACCATCGGTTATGGCTAACTATCTTGGTCAAGGAGCTTTAATCATGAGCCATCCGGACACGATTGCTAATCCATTCTATAATGCTGGTCCGGCATGGGCACGTTGGCCGTTGATCGTCTTATCAACACTCGCCACAAGTAAATAATCTGTTTTTGTTTGAAAATTTCTTCTATCAATGTAATGTCGGAATCTTTAGTTATTGCTTCACAAGCAATTATAACAGGTGTGTTCTCATTAGTAAGTCAAGCATCTGCTCTTGGCTATTCACCACCATTACGCGTAATTCATACAAGTAAAAAAATAATCGGTCAAATATACGTTCCAGTACGAATTATAATCCAGTTCAATTCTCACAGTTCATTTCTATCGCATCTTTAGGGTATTAATTGGATAATTATGTTGCTAACATTGGCAATTACTCTCTTTTTTGGTAGCAGCACCAATCTAGCACATGCTTGTAAGTCAATACATACGACAAATATCACATAATGACGAGTTTCGTCTTCTAGATGGTGTGACTGTCTGCTCAGTTATGTTCGTAACAACAATACTCTATATGTGTGTAATGCGCTACGTTTGGAATCAACATTGGATACTAGTTCTCCTGTTCGGCATCTTCATCGTCATTGATCTATACTTTTTAGCAGCTAATGCGATTAAATTTCTTGAAGGTTCGTTGTATTCACAGAAAAATCTAACTACTAATAATCTCTTTTGTTAGGTGCATGGGTGGCAGTGCTGATTGCTCTAGTCTTCTTTATTATTGGCTTTTGCTGGTATTACGGTCAAACTACGCTTCGTCGGTATCTCCATACGAATGCTCAAACAACGGCTCTTGCACAATTGCCTCGCCGTCTTGGTATTGACACTCCCGATGAACCAATACTGGAAGCAAATAATCACACCCATTCACGTGAAAATAGCCTACCTGTCCAACATCAACAAGCCAGTAGTGATGAAGATGATGACGAGAAAACAGATCCAAGAAGTAACATACTTCCGCCAATTAGTAATGGCAACAACGGATCGACGGGTCATCGAATATCATTTGTTAATGCAAATGATGAACATGAATTTCATATCAGTTCTACAAATCACATTTCCTGTACAGTTACACCTGGCCTAGGCGTTTTTCTCACGACGTCATCCAGACATACACCACACGTTTTCGAACGTGTCTTAGCACGTATGCATGCAGTAAGCTTACCTATCGATCTCCTTTCATCTTGAACAATCAATTGTGGTATGTTCTAGCTTCCGCAAGTAGCGATCTTTCTTAAAATGGAATATGCACGTGTACCCACCGTTGATGTTAGCCGACGATTAAAAATTCGTACTTATGGAAATGCACAAAGACATATTTATCATATTACAGCATGTTTTGGTTACTCTGAACATAAAATTCGACTACTTGATATGTATGTTAATACCTAATACTCCCACTATTACTAGTTCTTCGTATTTAGTTTACAATTGGCTGCCACAGAACACAATGTTCCAGTTCCTGAAGACAGAAACATAACATTCTACATTCCAGCTATATCCATTCGTGTCAAACGGAAAGGATGGCGTGTATTCTTCAGTAAATATATATTAGTTATCTATTCAGTGATAAAAAATATGTTTCCATTCGGCCAAAAGAACATTCAACTACCACCTGATCAAACAGTCAGCGTTGGAATGCTTGTACCTTTATAAATATCAGAAAACGAGTATTTCTTATATCTTTTCCTTTATTAGTCATCTGTGAATTCTTTTTCCCTTGATAATGTTATTATTCGTATGAATAAAAAGTTATTTATTCTTCTATACTTGACCACAATCCATAATGACAACATTCGCTAATGGTGTGCCTTCGTCCGTGCCACAGCTTTCCATTTTTTTCACAATATCTTGACCTTGCAAGACACGGCCAAAGACAACATGTTTATTATCAAGCCTAAAACGAAGAAGAGTAGACAGAATAATGGTTATATAGAACAAGTCAAACTAGACTTCACCATGGTGTAGGAGCAACAGTAATGAAAAACTGTGAACCATTTGTATTCGGACCTGAATTAGCCATGGACAAGAGAAATGGTACTTCGTGTTTGAAACGGAAGTTTTCATCTGGAAAATTCGCACCATAGATGCTACGACCTTAAAAAAAAAGAGCTTTACATAGTTCGAGAAGGGCTTAGGTAATCTATTTACCTCCTGTTCCGTCACGTAAATCGAAATCACCACCTTGCACCATAAATCCAGGAATAATTCGATGAAATGGACAACCGCGAAAGCCAAAGCCCGGTGCACCAGTGCACAATTGCCGAAAATTTTCTTAACAGTAACATTGCCTTGCTTTGAATATTAGATAACAGGAAAAAGATTACCTGCTGTTTTTGGTACAACATCAGAAAAGAGCTAAATATGATATCTAATGAAATTGAGAGAAAAGTAAAGTCAAACAAACCTCGAAAACAATGGCACCTTGAGGTTGTCCATTGATTGCTATTTTGAAAAAAACTTTTGGTCGCTGCATGATTCAACGGTTGAATTGAAGTGCAAATGGAGATATAGGATTAAAACTTGCCAATACACATTGATGCGCTCGAGTGATCTTTCGACTCGTTTACACAAAGCAAGTCAATAGCTCAATATGATACTGATCAGTTCAATGAATATCTATATGCACAACCAACTATTAACACTTTCATACCTGAAGATTTTACAATCACATCTTTTATATTGAGAAACGACTCAAGATGTTCTCTTGTCTTTGATGCTGTTCGATTCGATTCGATTAATTAAAGTATGAGCATAACAATCTCACAAGAAGTGAAACATGCCGTGCATTTGAATGTGTACTACTTAACATATTGCCGTTCCTTACGTACAATCTTCAATGTGATTACATTAGGTTTATTCAGTCCAGATCATTGAACTATTGAAATTGAAAATATAGAATATGCCTATTATGGGCATTCATCCTACTGCAGTGGTGTTCTGTGCGATACATCGAATCGACTCAGAATGGTGTTGAATTATAGTAAAACGTATAGGAATAAATTCCTTTTTAAGACAGAACTTGAATGCAAAACACACGATTTGGGTTTTGTTGGTATAAAATGCAATCTCTTTCAATGCAATTGTAATATATTTGCTGATGTCTTTCTTTATACGTTACCAAATAATTATTTACCTAGTTGGATCAATCGACTAGAACTTTGCCTGCAGCGAGTCCAATGCATGCAACGACTATTTCAAGAAGACGAAGATATTAGTGCAAAAATCATAATGGCACTGTATATCAAATCTGCTGATAATCAAACATAGTAAATCACATTTGCAACGGGAAATTTTCATTCAAAGAGGTATTCTTTTTAGCGGATAATCAAAGATTAATAACAATCTATGAAGTGATGCTCGAAAATCATATATCTCGTGGAATCATTCCTAATTTTCATCATCTACGTCAATCATCTGAACCACGAGTTCAAACTCGATTAATGTATGTTGAGCATGATTTTCTTTCTGCGTTTCCAGCACAACAATTCATTACTTTGAATAGGCTCTTCGACGTTCTGACTTCGCTTCAACAACAAATTCACCGACTAGAAAGGAAATATATTCTGATTGAAGAGAAAAACTTCTGTCAGGTCATATATGTCTCGTTTTTGCAAAGCTGACGCGTTCTGATTGTTTAATTATTGCTGTAGACATCGGTTTTTTTCTTCTTGCCAAGAAGGTTGTTACTAAGAAACAAAACTTCTAAATGGACTTTTTTTTTATTTGATGCCTGTATGTCTTGTTATTGACATACGCACAACAAGCAGCTGATTCATTGGAGTTGTATGAAATACAAACTCTGTTATTTTTTCTCCCCTCGTCAGCAACTCTCCAACTCAATCGAAGAAAAGAATTCGCTCTTCAGAATGATGAAGACTATAAAAATGAATAGAAGGATAGAAAAGAAATTCTTGACAAATCACAGTATTCATTCGTGCTTCTTTACACAGATTTCGAGAAGCGTGCCCAATGTACCTTTCTTATCAGCTTTGTTCGGTATTCCCTATGGTATCATTTCTTTAGATTATTTTGATTGCAGTCATATCAATGAAGGTCCTTACCCGAGTAAGTTCATCTTCGAAAGTAACTGGAGGACTTCTCAAATCGAACAATTGTTAGGTGCCGTTGACGAAACATCCGAATGTCGAAGAAAAGCAAGACTATGCCGACTACAGCCAAACAAGACTAAGTAAGACCGGTCGTTTTATCTCTCGATTGAATTAGTTCTAGTGGAATATCTTCTTTCGACATTAATGTTTATCGATGAAACTGTAGGATTGAAATTGATTCCTGTCAGATATTTTTCTCACGGTTCTTCAAAGCTGAGCTAAATTTAAGTTGAGCGATGTTTTTCTTCGCCTAATCAAATGTGTTTTTTTTCCTCCGCTGTTACGTTGCGCTTTGAAGTGTATAATCGAATTAATGCGAAGTTTTTCATTCATTCGGGAAGAAATTGATTGATAAAGATTTTCAAGTCTGTTGTTTTAAAAGTAAAGTTTTCTTTAAGAGAATAAACAGCACGTACTAAAGTATGTTTATGTTCAAGAAATCATCATAAAAATCCGAAATTCGAAATTTTACGGTAGAGAAATAACAAATAGTACCTTCAATTTGTTAATTGTAAACAACTTTTCCAATACAACGTTCTTTATTTAGTCACTCTGCTTCAAATACCTCATTACGAACATTTACAAATTCTTATCTGCAATGGTAATTCGTTGACCACATTGGCCGGTATTGAAAATTTGAAACATTTGTGGAAACTGGATGTTGGAAATAACCAAGTGCTTACTTTTCTTGTAGTTAGATCGATTGACAATCATTTCGATTGATTCTAGATTCGAAGTCTTCAACATTTAACACGCTTTATCGCATTTGGCTCATTAATTCTTTCGAATAATCATTTAACATGGTTCGAATTTCAACATATTCGTCATATGTTCATTCTCGATCTCCGCACCGATGGAAATCCTATTCTTGATTCCGATCCGAATTGTCAGTTTTAAATTAAGGAATAATCGCTTCCGAGTCCTTTATTTATCTAGATCGTCAACATGTGTTAGATTGCTTACCTCGAGTATGGATGTGTGATGGGGTCTTCGTCTCAAGTAAATCTACACGAATCGAATTCATTGCAAAGATACGTTTTGATATCTTTTTAAGCTAACGAACGTAATCAAGTCGACGAATTCTTCACACAATCATCATTGACCCAAAAACCTGTGGTAAAACATCGATTTTCGGTGCGAATTTCCAGTTCGTGCTTTTCTATTTCTAGCGACATAAATTAGCTCGTGATATGTTCATGCCAACGAATTTAAAAGATCGTTCAGTGAATGGTTTATTTGGAAGCAAAGTATGACCAATAATGAATAGAAGTCATCGGTAAAAGTTTACTATTCTGTAGACAACAGAATTACTGGCGAAGTTTCCATCGAATGCATTCATCAATGCAGGTAGAAAACGAATGATTGTCAATTCCAAATATTGTTTCTCCATTTCATCCCAGAACTTGATCGCAAGAGAATCAAGCACTTAGCTTCAACGATCCAAGATTTATTTCTTATAGAAATGAAATATGATGTCACGAAGTACATTGGCGTATGTCAAACAATTGAATCTCTTTGTATGAGTTTCTTTTAGAAAATACAACGAATTTCTAACTGAGAATCGTCATAATTTCTATCATTTGACCGATCTTCGACAAGCACACATCGAAGAATTCAACATGCTACTAATTATACTTTTAGTAAGCGACTTATTCTCTTTAGATTTATGGTGGTATTGAATTTCTGATTAGACTGATCTTCTATTTAAAATTCCTGGTGATCTATTGGACAATATTATGGAAGTAACACGCATTAAAACGATCGAGTAAAATAAATTCAAATGTATTTCGATTTCAAATTGAATTTGTTTGTTTTCTCGTAGAACTTTAAATGTTTCTCAGATATTTTCTGCTAGCAGTCAACTAAAATGTTTGATTGCATCACTCGTTCATGCCGGTGCTCGACTCGATCGCGATGAAAATCATGTAAATGAAACTTTTTCCGCTCGATCGGAAAAATTTCATTCGTTTCTGTGCTTAGCCTTCAGCATTCTATGACAAACTTTTCAGCAGTCTTTCAATTGTCGTCACGAATCAAATGCGACAATTATCACCCTCGATTACAAATCAAACTTATCAAAATAGCGGATTGTACGTTATGAAATATTGTAGAATCTTCTCTACTTTATCTGTTGTGATTCAGAGTTTCCGAAGCAAAGGCAATGGTTTGCCTGGAAGTCATGCAAGTTTTCATCATGTGCCCAGTTTTTTATACACTCGTCGATCATCCAAGTATGCTGTCATCTCCGTGAATGAAGTTAACACTGTTCTTTTATTTGAAGATGTGAATGCTATCTTACAGCAAGCATTAGGTCGATCACCTGCTTATGGAAGTATTCGGGATGTTTTACAAAGTTTTGTTGCTGATCAAGTGAACGATTCATTTCAATTGTTGAGTAATTCGCTCGTGTTATCTGTTTAGAAAACTGCTGAAGAACAAAAGGATTTGCTCAGCCCGATACTTGGTAATATTTTGAAGATGACTATTCGAACATTGTCTACGAAGCGAATGAAAAAATCGAAGGCACCGTCGCTTGTTGCTAATGTAAGAGATCAAAACGAGAAGGATTCATATTTCTGTTGTTCTGATAACTTTGATAGGAACCATTACGAGTGGAAAGTACAAACTCAAATCAACACTCGCAAGAACATAGTGCGCCTTCATCACGATCATCACAACGTCCAAACACGCATCGTGTACCGAGTACGTATCTGAATAGTTTCATCTACCTTCAAAGACATGCAAGCGGTACTGTTGCTTGTCTTCTAGACATTGGTGATCGTGTTCTTACAGCTCCTCAACGTATTGGTCGCATTGTAACAATACCAGATACCGAAATTGCTATGGTACAATTCGATCACATTCTGTCTGCATATGGAGCGATGGTAAGCAATGGTTCGCTATCCGACCATACAAACTATATTCATCTGAGTGACTTTGAATGGGACATTGTACATGAATATTGGAAACCTAAGTGTGCATCGGGTGATAAAATAACTCTACAAATGACAACAATACGAAATGAAACAACCCGATTGCCAACCCCTCCACAACCGTTGCTACAGCCCTCGCCACGAACATCACCACCACCACCGCGAAATATGACGCGATCAAAAGTAAGCAATCCAATGATTCGTACCATATATTTGTAAACTTTTTTCTCTATGTTGAAATAGACGCCTGAATCAGTAGAACGAGAGTGTCTTACACCGAAAATTTTTGATATGGGTAAGAGCATACTATAGTTTTTTTTTATTGCAAACTAACATCATTCTCTGGTATGTGTTTTCTTCTATAGATCTTCACGAGCCAATGTATGTAAAAGTCTTTATGAACATTCGATATTATTCTATTGTAAATTTAGCGAACCTGCCCTTGATGTTTCTCGTGAAGTCACTCCACAACCTTCACCTGTTCCAGCTATTGAAAATCCTACGGATAATCACGAAGAAACAGTTTTCAGTCCTCACGAAGTATCCAAGTCACCATCACCGATTCCTCCTACTCCCGAACCTAGAGTAGTCACTCCAGACGAGTACACGCAATTATCTTCATGTTCCATCTTTTTAATAAGTTCTGTCGTTCGCTATTTCAGACCTTCCAATGAGCGTCCGTTATATGTTCGTATAACAAAGCAGAAACAAGAACAGCAGCCTAAGTTGTTCTCGAATCGTGAAATAATAATTCCGTCACCGGTGCTTATTGAATCGACAGTTGTCTTTATACCTGAGCGAATTCAGACACCTTCGGTAACAACTGAATATATACAACAGCCAACTACTAGCTCTAAAGCACATATCAACGAATCGAGATCATCGCGTATCAGTTCAACGTTTGAACGTTCACCTATTCTTCGCTCTGCAACAACAGCTTGTCCTCGATCGACGACACATCGCGTTCATGTACCAGTACACAATGCATCACAATGGTTCAGTGGACCAGACATGAAAAATGAACGAACAGGTCGAATGGAACGAGTTGTCGCTGCACTTGTACATCGATCATATCGACCGCCTGCTACATATGGGTATGCTTTTCAAGTTGTATCAAAAGAATTTTCTAGTTTCCATTTCATAGTATGCGACGCGTACCAACATTAACATCTCCGTCCTCGAAAGATCATGTCCATTCGAAAGGTAAATATATTGCTATCGAGAAAGTGTTCTATTGCTCAATTTAGGAATTCGTCCGGGAACATCTTATGATTTTCACATCGACACTCATCGAATGACACCAGCTCCATTGATTGCTCCTCGTCCATCACAATCATCTAAAAACTACCGGTAAGTTATCGCTCTTTTCATCACATACATTCGAATATTTAACATCGTACAGTACTGCATCGATGCATTCTAATGGTGTCAATCATTCGACACCTACGAATTCAAATATCAATCGTGTTAGATCATTGCTCAATCCACCGTGCCCATCACCTGCTTGGATGTGATCGATATCCTGTGCCTTGCTCATCTGTGATAGACAGTCTACAGAGAAACATGAGGTTTTTCCCTTCTAATCGAAAATGTATATTTTTGTTCGATGGATTTAATCCATAGATTTGTTGCGCCTATTTTATACCGTTTTGCATTTTTTTTGTGCCTTTCTTTTTGTGAAATTCCTTCTACTTCCTTATCTTTCACCTGAATACAACTGACTCATAATGCGAAAATGACGCGGGGTTTTTTTCCAAAACTATGCGATTGTTTTCTTCCTACATGAGTCAAGGGACAGAAAGGAAAAAATTGTGTTAAATACATCTATGAGATCGGATACATATAGTACTGGATAATTTCATAGGGCAAACTGCAATGTCTACTGTCAACGAACTAAACCAATGTACATTCTGTTCTCAATTAAAAGTAACCCCGCCACACCAATGTGTTCATTGTTTATCTTTCTATTGCACTCAATGTCTAATCAAACATCACCATTATGCTGTTAAAGAAGAATTTCTGGATTTGATTAAACAAATTGATGCCATTCTTGGACGATACCTCTTTCATGCACACAGCGATACGGAATGGACTAATCATCTAACTCAGGATTGCCAAAGATTGAAAGATTATGTCAAGTTTATAGAAAATTACTTCCCCAACCAGCCAATTGTCGCACTTCCGAGTTCAGAATGGATGAATCATGTCAAAAGACTTCTATGCAAACAGACCTATGCTGTATATGAGGACTGTACGAAAATTTTCTTTTCTTATGTGAATAACTTTAATAAGTCAAATAAATGAATAAAATTCATCAAATCATGTTAAATGGCTGAAAACAGGTTCATCCACCATTGATTGTTTCATTCCTACTTCATAAGCACCACAATAGCCATTTAAAATTGGTGCAGCTGGAATACCACGTCTACAAAATAGGAAATCTTGTTAGTTGATATTCGACGAAAGATTAGTTCTAACCTGAGCATTCGACAGCGATGAACGTCAAGTCGAAATTGTGCATCTTCTGGGTTCTTGACATCGATAGAACTCCATAGACGTTCAGCAACAGCAGATGCACGTGGCCAAAGACGAGACAATGTATTCGTGCCATCAACAAATTCTGCCCACAGTGCGGCTTCTCCACCAACCAATCGTTCTCGAGCAGCTTGGTCACCTTTAAATAACGACAAGTCATATGTTTTTCTTAAATCTACTATATATTACCAGTAAAGTTAGCGAATAGATCGATATTATACCATTTGAAAAATTCTAAATTCATTACTGAATCATTGGTATTATATTTTCCATATTCGATCCTAAATAAACAATCCAGTTCACTCGTATTCTCCATTTCATTGACTCACATATTTAGATAAAATGGCGAAGCGAGAACGGCATCGTAACCTTCACTTGTTGCTTTGGATAGATAGTATGACCATGGTTGACTTTCAGATACAAGTGTAGTATCTTTCCAGATTTCAATGACAGTTCCTGGTGGCAATTTCACTCCATCATCCCAAACATCTTGCCATACCATTGACTTCGCACCGATCGATCTATTGATTTCTAAGATTTTACTCGAGTAATAAGTCATTAAATCCGTCGAATTAAACATATTATTTTCTTCTAAAAACTTGCGAATGTATGGATTTGATAACCTAATAGAGAAAGATCTTTTTTCTTTAATTCGTTTTCGGATTTTGTGAAATTTCTTACCAACAAGCAGGATACACTTCATCCATTCCGAGATGAATATAAGGTTCATATTTAAAAGTATATTTGACTTCTTGAAGCAGTGCTTTCATGAACTCATAGACTTCTGGATTTGTCGGATTGAGAATTTCTCGTGCGGCATGAACACCATAAATAGCTTGACGAGGAACAGTACCATTGTAACAATCAGTTAAAAATTCAGGAAATGCACGTCCAAGTGCAGCAACATGACCTGGAGTATCGAATTCCGGAATAGTACGAATGCCACGAAGACGGGCATGTGTAATGATATCCTGAACATCGGCAGGAGTATAAACATGATCAGGTGAATAAGCTCCCTAAAACCGAAGCAACATATACGTAAAAAACAGAAACATGTTTATATGACAACCTTTGCGCTTAGTTGTGGAAATGTTTTCGATACAAATGGCCATGATTGATCATCCGTGATATGCCAGTGAAACACATTGAATTTGTTATAAGCCATCGTATCCTACTCAACAACATAAGTTATTTCGATGAGCTCATTGGAAATATGTACACGAACTTACCAGATGTTGTTTCAAGATTGGAACTGGCAAGTAATGACGCGCGGTATCTAAAAGTACTCCACGATACGGAAAACGAGGCCAATCTTGAATACTGATGGATGCATTAGTTGCTAACTATGAAAATAGAAAACTTATGACATATTTTCGTCTACATATCTCAAATATTTCCTACGTAATTGTCCTTTGTAATGAAAAGTAATTGAGAAAATGTTTCCAAGCCATTCAATGCACCCCAGACATTTTCAGCAGTAATTTTTCCATAGGAATCTTCGATTGTTATATTATCTAAATCAATTCGCTTATTCCATCTATCGAAAATCAGTTTATTCGTAACATACACGATTGATCATCACGAAGTTCAGGATAGACAGCACATGTTCTTAATCGAATGTGTATTAAAACTGAAATGAGAACGCGACTGTCGTCGAACGAATTTGGGCTTTGTAGTGGTATTTTCGGAGGAAAAAATATCGGTTTATAACGTTCGAGAGCTTGATCAATGATATCGCAATTCTTCAAGTTCGAATAGATGATAAAAAAGTTTGGATCGATGTAGACATAATCCGAACTAGCATTTAACATTTGAGGCTGTGGCCATGGTGCATTCGGTGCAGATGGTTTCCCCTAAACGAACATACAGTCGTTGGATTTGCTCAATCCAAAACAGATTCGACATACTCTTAGTGGATATTTTGCTTCGATATAATCTATGAATGCATACGTACGATGTATGCAGACAGTGAACGTGAACAAAATCACAAAAACATGTGCTAGTAATGACATGATCGACGAGAAACGTACAAGTAAGCAATTGAATTTTGTCGACAAGTTTAAATACACATCGAAAAACAAACGAATAAAAATAACTAGATAGAAGAGAATGAGGAGAAGAACGCTAACAGATCATATACGTTTGTATTCATGGATTATGTCGCGACTTCAGTCAAATACATTATAAGACCGACGATCTTTACCATCTTAGATTTTCTTCTTTGGTGAGTCATCGATCAATTCTCGAGATTTAATTATCGACATTGGTATTGCGAAATCAATTCACTTAGAATTTCTTTCTCTCAATCCATTGATTTCAATAAAACAGTTCGATTGACACGCGTAACAATTTGACTTACAAATTCATTTGCTTTTTTGCATCATACTTGATATTAAACAAAAGAATCAAATGTCTCTTTCGCTTTTTCAATCATCTCCAAGTGCAATCTGTTGTATCTTTCGACGAAATATACTGAACACATTGAAGGGAAAAAAAAAAGAAACTCATCTTCTTTATGGTCATATCAATTCAACATAAATCAATTCACCAATCATTGTTAAATAGAAAACCAATAAGAATCAAGCAGACCAGCAATCATTTCGATTGACACATGTAATCCAATTACGTGCTCAATCAACCGATCGGATATATATTCAAACTGTTTATACAATTATTCATATCATTTCTTGCATCTCCATATGAATCGTAAGTATCACGAATGAATTCTTTCTGTGTGAGACGTCATAAATCAGCTGATCGAGTCAAACGAACTCGTATTTCTTCTTATAGTCATATTTAGTACAAATCTTGTTATGATTACTTTGACATTGAGAATTATTTCTAACCTATGCGCACTTCCACATGTCGAATACTTATGCTCATCGTCAGATAAACATTCGCAAGTTGATTTGTTGTTCATTAGACTACATGAGCTCTCATTCCGCCACCGTTTTGAAGATTATGTTCATCCTTGTTGTATATATTCGTTTTCGTTATTTAAGGTCATATCTCAAGTGCTATGTTTATAAGTGAAATACCTGTTCGTTGCATGCAGAATGGTGAAAAATCTATTAAATGGATCAATAATTTAACTTGTCATACAACTGCACGCGACATTATTATTTCGTTACTGCCAGCATGTGATTGGAGAAATTATTCGTTGTACGTTCACATCGATCAGAAGAAACATGTTTTAAAAGATTCAACAAGGATATATAAAGTTGTTGAAAAGATCAATCGACGAAAAGCATCCGGAAGATTACTGTTTGAAATCGTATGTAACAAACGAGTGAGATTTGCAGACGAAATCATCACTCGAACGGTTCGTCAAGGACAGTCGATTCTATTAGAACAATTGAAAGAAAATGTTGAGAAACATCTTATTCGACAAACAAATACAAAGCGGTGAGTCGAATTGAGGCAAATCAGTGAACATCAATTGTTTCATTCCATTCGTTTAGATCATCGTTGAAAGTAATTAATAAGAATGTTCCACATTCGTCGAGTGAATCCGGCATCAGTTCAATATCCTCAACAGATGATTTGTACATGTGGACCAAGCCAGTCTTAGAAACACTTGTATAAAAGTGCTCGAATGTTTTTAACTTTTTCTTTTACATTCTTATGAATAAAAAGTTTGATGCACGACCACATATTCTCCCATGATGTAATTCGAGGTGGAAAGATGTTTTTCTCGAGATTAATATCAAGAGTTGTATACATATATGTCGATTGATTTTACAGATGAATACTCAATTTTGATTGAAGTATGTTGTCAAATTTCTTTGATGAATTTATTTATTAAAAGAAAACAATGTGAAACGACTGAGCTTTCATTTCTCGTTCGCTCTGTCTGTGCCGATCGATTTAATAAGGTTAGAAATAGGTCAGGAGATTTCCGTTGTTAATTAAACAGACAATTAAATAACAAAGAGACGTATGTGCATGTCAGTCATCTAATAACGTTTATTTTCCTCCTTCTTGCTCTCGAGTTGGTGACGCAAAAAAAACAGCAGAGAACGTAGATAAAAAAATTGGTCTCTCTTCTCTTTCTCTCCTGTTTGCTGCCTTGCCTTCGTTATTTATGATCAACGGCAGCAGCAGGCCACCACGCCTTTGTCTGTTCTATCGTCTCCTAACATACACTATACATATCCGTCGAATTTCTTGTCAATATAGAAAATGAATTCCATGGAAAATCTTATACATCTACCAATCTGTGAGAATGTCATCAGGTGACGGAATAGTCGATGCAATCAAACGAAAGTTTCAACGTTTTCTTTCGTTTCTGCGTTCTAGGCGGTACGGTAAATACACGAAGAAGGTTAATGGTGAACTAGTGAAAGGTTTGTATAGATTCTTTTATTTGCTAAATGAGAGAAATTTGTAATGGAATTGATCAATGATGTCGACGTGGTTGACCTTGAGAGATGATTATTGTATTCGATGAATTGATGATAATCTCCATTTAGTGATTTATGATTGGTTCGAACGTGAAAACAGCGAGCAGGATAAATATCATGGTCATCAGTATAAATTAGGTTTAACTAAACAGCAATACGATCAAATGAAAACACTCGTTTTACCGATGGGTATGTGTGTGTGTGTGAGGATAATTAGAAGACGATAGTGTACTGTCTTGTAGGTTCATTAGGAAGCGATTTAACATTTGATCAGTTTTGCGATATACTTATACCGGTTATTACCGGTGGCGAAAGCGCTCAACATGATGATTATTCCATCTGGTTAGCATTTCGTTCGTTTGATAAAAATGGTGATCATTATATTCAAACAGACGAATTGGAAACATTAATGCGTATTATCGGTAAATCGATCAGTCGAGAGCGTATTCGATCACTTATCGATAAAGTCGATTGGGATTATAATGGTAAACTGGATTACAATGAATTTCGAGAATTTATTGTACGTGGTTATGCACGGGAACTGTTGATGATGGATATAACAAGAGAAATCGTTTATTCACATGATCAAATGAAAGTCCCAACAAAGGATACGACGTAAATGTGTCTTTTCAGTATGTTGTATATTTTTCTTTCGAAATAAAAATAAAACCTACGGAGATCTTCACTAGTCTTGTAACCTTATAACCTTGACGAATTCGTTTGGATAATTAATGCAGCGGACTCCTAGAGATAGAGAAATATGTTGTTGTTCTAATAGAAAATAAACAATCGTTGATTACAGTTATCAAGAATATTTATTGAATACATCTAGATAAAAAATACAACGAAAATATTACTCAAAGATTTGTACTTGTTTTATTATAATCGAATAGGGAGCTGTTTTGTTCTTCATTTCGACTGTACAACCCTCGATTTCCCGTCGCTGTCAACGAGACCGTTGCACCGATCGAAGATTCCGTTGTTGTTATCGTTGTCGATGTTGTTGTGTTTTTTTCAGGCCGTTGGAAATTCTTCCACAAATTTGTCAATATAGTCGATGTCACATCATCACCCACGTTTGAATGAATCAAACGTAGAATGAAAAAGCCGTCTTGTTGTAAATAATCGTACACGAATGCGCGCATACTCGTGCGGATCGTCGCAATACTTTGCTGTGTATGAATACGTTGGGTAAAGAATGAATAACGAAGTCGTGGAAAGAGTAAAAATATGCACCAAGAAAGAAAATCATAAACTGTAATGACAAGAACGATGTTCATCCAAATATATAGAACAGTGAAGATTTGTTCATTGTAAACATTAATCGTCAGAACACCTAAAGCATCAAATAGAGATCTTTATATCTCTCGTACATGCGATATTTCGTCTTTACTGATTAACAGATTTCCCTGAAGTTTTGTGATCTTATCGAATTCTTCTTCCTTAACTAGTCTCTATCTAAACATTTCTGCGATTACTTACACTGTACGGTGTATTTATGTCCATCATCGCTGTTCGGTTCGATAATACGAAAATCACACATGCTAATTTTAGGGAAATATTTCGAGAGTGGATTCGTTTTTAAGATTCCACCTGAAAATATTTGTCGGAAACTTTTCATCGTTTCGTTCACAGTCCATTTTTGTTCCAGTAGAAGACGTATGGCGTACAACTGAACGAATGTACTGATAATAAACAAGATTTTAATAAATAAATAAAGTAGAAATAAATAAGAATTAAATGTATTCGTTGTGCCAATGATACAATGAAGAATGCCTTGTATATAAGCGTTTATTCGACTATTTTCTTGCTTAATTTTCTTTCGTGGATCGCCAACGTATTGGTGAATCAACGAAACCAGATAAGTCATGATCGTCTTATGCTTATGAAATCGTTTAACTGTTTTTAAATTATGTGCTGCGTCCATTAGATTTCGAACGTCAAGTCCAGAATGACGACTAAATGAACGCCAACATAAACGTGGAAGTAAATATAATAATGCTTGAATAAGTAGAATAAATGGAACAAACTGATAGTATCTCAGAACGTAATGCTTCTCATTCGATCGTTGAACGCTTGCTTCGCTTATATTTACATGATACGTCTATAATAAATCGATCGGATCACTCATCATTCGTTTTCACTTCACTTACATTGTGAATCCAACAGTAATTTGAAACATAGATCTCGTAATTTCGAGTGAAGATTGCAGGAACCCAACTAAATAGAAAGTGCTCGAGAATATTTTAACGAATATTCAAGATAGTTGCCGTTACCATTGAATATGGTCGTTGGAAAATTGTTTACTAGCGATGATAATAGAGAAGAATATCAATAGACCAACAGTGTATTTGTAGTTTAATCGATCAGCAAAGTCGTCATCGCGTCGAACACCGAAATAACTGATTTGTGGTAAACGATGAAATGCATTGAGAATGTCCATTCTCAAAACAGAAAGGTAGTTTTCTTATTTACTTTCAAGTGACAAACAACTAATCATGTAGAAATCAATCATTGCAGATTCATGCCGATGAAAAGACTCGTTTTCTCTTTTCTCGTCGACTTACTCTTCTTTCCGGAAGAAAGAGAGAGAATCAACCATACACAACGACTGATAACAATAAGTATAAGAAGTACATTGCTTATTTGCCTTTAAGCCACGAGGAATTGCAAGTAATGCAACTATACATATATGGTGCTATTTTCTTAGTGTTCTGTTTCCGTCTCATTCTCATTTACTGCATCAGTACAACTGTCTATCATGGAGAGGAAATAGATAAATAAATCCATCTGTACAGTATCATCAATGATAGACTCTTCCCTTTTGCTTTTCTTCTTATGATTATTTCTATCAGTCGACATTAATAAGAACATCTTCTCTTTAGTGCTGCGCTTTTCTCTCTACCGTAATTTATGATTGGCATATGCTCGAAAGAGACAGCTCGAATGGTATGTTTCAATGGAAATATGACGGATGATTGCTGAAGATGACTTTGTCTTTGTTGAATTAGAACAAGTGTTCTTGATTTCTCATAATCATCAACCGAGTAACAGTAGGAGGAAAAAACGTCGAGAGCACAACTGATTGTTATTGTAGATGTTCATATCAATGACTATATAAACTTGTATGCAAGTAAACAACTATGTTATTGTCTGCGGAACATCAACGGGAGCTCTTGATGAATGAATACGGATCCAAAACGATAGAGTTGATATAAGAATGATGCATATTTGATGAAAAGAAAGAGAGAAAAAAAACAAAGTAAAAAGTCACATTTGTACATACAGAACAACAAATCTGTTTTGATCTATTGACTCGCTTCATTCACGTCAAGGAAAAAGACGAAAAAAACTATGCAAATTCTAGATGTCAAATAAATATGAATTACAAATGTGTAGAAAAAGCAAAAGTTTATCGAGTTTATAAAATTCACCGGGATTTGGTAGTTATTTAAGCACCTAGAATAATCCCATAGATAGAAATTTTTCGAACGAGAACACTATGTAACTTACTAAGTTCACAGAAACGACCGACTCGTCCAGATGGACAACGGCATTCTGCTGTTGAACCGACAAAGACACACAGACCACCGGCTTGACATTTGAGTGGACAGTATTTTGCATTATCTGATTGTTCAACTGCAATGGAAAACTTCATGTTAGTGATCTACTGCGTAAAACTGAGAACAACTTACTTCGCTCACATAAAACACCTGATGTACCCTTTTGACAGACACATTGTGCACCAGCACTTGCCGTTATACATTTACCATTGTTCATACATGGATTACTTGGTGAACAAGATTTGGGTCGATTCACTAATGGAAAAGAATGTATGTGAAGATCAGCGTCGATTTCGAACAAAACATCGACTTACTAAGTTCGCATCGTTCTCCGTAGTATTCGTTTGGACACGAACAACGAGCTTGTCCTCCTTGTTGTTCATCGGTATAGCATTCACCGCCATTCAAACAGGTTAAGTTGCAACGTCTTGATGTCAATGATCGGGCTGCTCGACCTGTGAACAAACGATGAAAAGGATTTTTAGAGAAGAAAACGAGTGTCGGTTTTCTTATTGCAACGTACGGAATTGGCAATAGTATCCTTGGTAACTATCTGGACACCAACATTTAGCTGCATTATTCTGCACAGAACATCCGCCCATGTTTTGACTGAAAAAAAGAAACACTATTTTCTCTTGTACTAGAATGAAGAATGAAGCAAACCATGGATTTGGTGCGCATGGATTCGTAATCACTACCATCGGACATGGAATCACAACACATGCACAACTACCTCCACATGGCGCGCGTGTTGCGATAGTTGTTGTTGCTGTTGTAGTTGTACTAATTACTAAAAGAATAAATAGAAAAAGATTAGCAGACAAAATGATCAGATAAAGGAGTATACTTTGTTGACAATTAGTGCCAGTGAATGGATACGAACATGAGCAAATATATCCAGCCGTTGTTTGTGTACAAATGCCATTGTTAGAACATGGATTGGGCATACAGTAGTTACGCGACTCACAGCGAGTACCATAGAAACCGGTTTGACATTGACAGAGATATGCTTGAAAGAGACGAGAAACAGACATGCGAATATATTTCCAATTGATCAATTTCAACTTACAATTGCCATTTGGAATGCACTGACCGCCGTTTTGACAGGGCGATTGAGCACATGGGTTGTATGGTGTAGTTGTTGTAATACGATTTTCACAGCAGAGACCGTTGTACATTGGCGGGCATTGACAGAAGAATGAAGAACCTTGTGGAATGCATACACCACCGTTTTGACATGGTGACTGAGCACATGGGTTGTATGGTGTAGTTGTTGTAATACGGTTCTCACAGCAGAGACCGTTGTACATTGGCGGGCATTGACAGAAGAACGATGAACCTTGTGGAATGCATACACCACCGTTTTGGCATGGAGATTGTGCACATGGGTTGTAAGGTGTTGTGGTGGTAATACGGGTCTCACAGCAGAGACCATTGTACATTGGCGGGCATTGGCAGAAGAACGATGAACCTTGTGGTATACATACACCACCGTTTTGACATGGTGATTGTGCACATGGATTGTAAGGTGTTGTGGTGGTAATACGGGTCTCACAGCAGAGACCATTGTACATTGGTGGGCATTGGCAGAAGAACGATGAACCTTGTGGAATGCATACACCACCGTTTTGACATGGATTTGGTTGGCATGGTGTTCGAGCTAATAGAAATCAGTTGGAATCACCTATCGAATACGTCCTGTGAATAACATACCTGGTGCTTCACAACGATTTCCAGTATGTGTTTGTGGGCAGTTGCAGATAAATCCTTGTCCTGAAGGTATACATTGACCACCGTTGAGACCTATGAAAATAAATATGCCATTTTAAAATTATTTCAATTCGCACAATTCAGGATACTTACATGGGTTGACTGCACACGGATTGCGTGGTTGAACTACAAGAAGAAGAATTCATATAGAAAGATGAAATATGTCGTCGTACTAGTTGGTGGTTGAGTAGGTGCTGGTGGACATTGATTGTTACCACAAATGCATTGGATTGTATTAACAATGATACCACAAACGCCAGTACCACAAAATGAGCATCCGTATTGTTTTGGTGTAACAATTGGGCCAAGCGCGCGAGCTTCATCTAATGTTCGACCGACAGCAATGTTGTTAAGTGCATCTTCATCAGCATCGTAGATGATCATGCCATTGGTAGTTTCGGTTTCAATATTACGTTGTTGGTGAACACGTTTACATGCTTCAACTTGTTCTGTCCATACACATGTTTTCAGTGAATTTTCCCAAGCTGTACCAGCAGCACATGTGAATCGAATTCGAATATTACCAAAGCATCGTATGAATTTGGTGCAGTTATTTGCATCCGGTGCAAAATCTTCGCATGCTTCTATATAGAAATTGGAAAATAATTCAATTCCAGAAATATATCACCACTCACGTTGACCAAGAACAGTAAGACCAATTGTAGCTAAAATACATACAGTCAGGGACTGATGTGCAAATACCATCCTAGTTGTTATCTGTGGGCAGAATAAGATGAAGATCGAATGAGTAGAATCCGAAGAAACACTGCCTTTATATATGAACCACAGAATCGATGACTTTTACAAATAAAAATTAATGCGTGGTAGTAATGTTAGTCATGTGTGCCGTACACATACAGATTGAGTTTAACACCACGCAAAGATCATCTTGATCCTCTCGATTTTTACTTTTGTCGTGTTTTTTTCTTCTTGTCACTCACAGATCGTGGGCGATATTGTAATCTTCTTGTTGCCTATTTTGATGTTTTTCTTGCAATTGTTCTTTTTTATCATAACGAAATCAAAGCAAAGGATAAAGATGAGGGACGCGCACACAAAGAGACTTGTGGGTCGTAGGATGATATTTGAGTAGGACGAGCATCGATCATTCGATAATCCTTTCCTTTTCGATCATCAATATTATTATATTTTCAAATAAGATAAAGAATGTGTATAACAGTATTATTCAAAACAATAATACCACCACAAGGGTTGATACTGACATGATTAAGCCGAAGCCGAGGAAGTCATGCTTTGTTATTCGACATGATAGTATTAAAAACTTCTACACAGGAGTGATGGGAATTTTCGATCTAAGATCGTATTTGCAACATTGTTAGTCCAATGATTATCCCGTAGGGTAAACAACCGATTATTCTGTATTTCCAACAAGGTACAAGATTGATTCTAAGTGAGATGTTCAATTGAATAGTGCCTTTAGAAAATCAACTATCGAGTCTTCGTAAAAATAGAATCGAGTGAGGTGATTCTGTAAATATTATCGTCCTTGAGAATGTACTTTCAAATTATTTCATTAATTGTATGCCTAAAAGATGATAACATGACTCTGTAATAATATGAGACAGATTATAGAACGTGACATTTATTTTTTTGTATATAATTTGGCTTATTCTCCCGTTTTCCCTGTGGCATTCTTATAAAAAAAACACGAAAACTCAAATCACGGTATTCATCAATATAAAATTCAAAAACTTTGATTCATCTTGACTAGCTGTCGAATTTTAATCGATGCTTTTCTCCGTATTTAATTAACAAACAACGTCATTAAACTTCGCACATTACCGATGCCGCATTTGTTTTGTCAACTTTAACAATCATTAATATCTTTCACATTATAGTAAATACGTATATTTAATTATATATTCGGACGCCTTTTTTTCTATTTGAATAATGGTGACTGTAACAATTCTTTTCATTTATTATCAACGACGTTGACAGAACGGAAAACGGGGTTTTAGTACAAGCATCACAATTGCTACTCTAAAATTCTTTTCGTGTTTTCTTTTTTATTTCTAAAGAGCATGCTCGTCGATAGCATTATAGTCTTTTGTCAACGAAGAGCAGTGAGCGCGCACACACACATATATATATTTCTCTGCGATAAAAGAGAAAAGACAGTCGAGCGAGAAGAGAGTATAAAAAAAAAGATAATTCAAAAAGGCATACTCCTAACACAAGGACATCAAATGAATAATAGCTAGTCTTGTCTTTCATCTTTCTTCCTATAGGCTGTCGTATGAGGTGTTGATGTGCATAGGTTACTAGTAAAGTGAGTGTCACTTGATTTCAAGTATATAACCGTTCATTCAATATGATAGATAAGAAGGTAAAGAAAACGCCTGAAGCTATCATCATTTTTTTCTCTTTTTTCAGAGCTTTGCTGATCTATCTCTCACTCTTTCTCTTCATCGTTTTCTTGATTGCATCAGTGCACATGCACGCACAGGAAATTTGCTACTATGATCATCTATTCTGACTGTTTTTCTCCTTCTGTCTCTCTCTCTCTTTTTCCCTGACTATAAGCTGTTTCACCAGCGAAGGGCATATGTGCATACAAGGTCTCTGAAAAGACAAGTATCATCTAATCTTCTCGATATGAGCCCATGAGAGCATACTAGAAAAAAATAATATATATATATGTGTGTGTGTGCGTAAGTATTGGTAGTTTTCTTTCTCTTTTGCTTCTCCGAATTTTTCGATGTGTTAAAGTCGTTCATCGTTCCATTGTGTATGTTGACAAACAATCACAAGAAATTGGTTGCCTCGTCTATTGTCTTTTGTTAGTCAAGCAGATTAGACAAGGAACAAGAGAGGGAGAGAGCATCTTTGCTAATGTGAATCAGGACTGGGCTTATTCATTCAAGCAAATGAAATCGAAACCAACCGATGAACAACCTAATTGAACGCCATATGAGTAGATAGAAGGAAAAAAAGATGCAACATGACATTTTGACAGAAGTTCACTCATCATCATCAGCGTCATATAAACAGAGAAACGTACTATTTATCGTTGGCTATAGTAATATATATGTGTAACAGCCGACATACGTCTTGATTACACGAGAAATGGAAGAAAACGAACGTTAGGTTGCATATTAATGGCAATAATTTGCCTTTTTTTCTCGATCGTACAAGAAAATCTTTGGCTTTGAATAGAACAGACTGCGAATAAGATCATTATCTCCGTTGTACAGTAACAAAGCAGTATGTAGTCTGATGCTATTTAGTTTATACTAGTATTCTTATTCTTCTAATCAAATAAGAACGAGGAGAAAAATCGGCTAACGACAAAGAAGAGAAAGAGGAAAATCATTTCGGCTTGTTCTTCCTTTAGCATCTCAATTACATCATGACAAAAGAAAAAAAACAGATGAATTATGCTAGAAGGAGCACAAAAAAAGAACGATGACGAAGAGAGAAACAGGGAACAAGAAGAAAAATAAGTATGTATTAGTTGATTCTTTAGATGTCCTATTGAATACGGAAGAAAGAGATTAGCACAAATGAATCCATCGCATCTGCCGACATGTGACCGAGGAAATCGAACATTACGTTGGTCCCAATTTTGTGATGGAATATTTGATTGTCAAGATCGTTCTGATGAAGAAGGTCAATTTTGTAGTAAGTTTCAACTAATTGCATATTTATTCTTTTACTTTTCTTTAAATAGAACTCTGTATCAACAATCTCTATTCATGCTCATCTGAAGATGAATTGCGCTGTGATTTAGCATGTAAAGCACTTCATTACGTACCATGTCAGGTCATACAAGATCGTCGTGCATGCCTTCGTCTTCAACAAAATTGTAAGAGGAATTGAATCGAACGAAGACAAAAGTGAACTTTGTCTGCATTCATAGATGATAACTATTCGCCTTATCGATTTCTCACAGATATTAATTTCTACATTGGTAAAGACAAACCCCTGACAATTCGACATGTCTAAATGATTCTTTGTCTTTTCTCAGCTGTTGCAATAGCTACAATTGTTATTCTTCTCGTCGCTACCGGTATTGCGATACTAATCAAATATTGTATTCGTACACAACGGCAGCGAATAAGCAGATTTACTCCTAAAGTATACCTTTTTTCCAAACAAATTTGTTACTCAAGATTAGATTCCTTTTTCTCACTTCCAGAGATTGCATCTTCCCACAGCACCACCACCTCCGTATTTTTCAACTCCTCATCGATCGCCCGAATATGATCGAACATCGAATCACATCTATGAACAATGCTACGAACCGCCACCGTACAAAGATGTGCATAAATATCCAATGACAAGAACCCACTATGAACATGTATTATGATGCTTGAAAGCAACGAACGCCTTCGCAGAGTTTTTTTATTCGCTATTCTAATACGGCAAAGCACAAACATCTGTCTATCAAGAATCCAAAAATTCTTTTTCGTTTGTACCAGTAAATATTCGAATGGCGTGGATATTAGGTAATTGTTTGCTGATTGCATCGGACACTAAACGATGTTGATTCACAGTGCGCATTTTGGCAAACTCATCGGTGACAACAACGATTTCATAACTTGCGCCACAGCCAGCTAAAAAAGAAAAAAGAAATTCGCATGATTCTTTTCTATTATTACGCTTGATTGTACGTTAAATTTATTTTATTTATTAATATATTCCAAATTTGATCTCTGTCAGTTTCGACGACAATCATAATCATCTTTAGCTGTCGATCAAACAATATATCAGACGTAGTTAATTGTCTGTTGACATAGGCAGTGATTTAGAAACCAGTGAAGGTTGTTTCCTCACTCTCTCAGCTGATAACCAGAAGAAATTTTTCCGAGACACATGAGTCCGACTGTTGACAAACTGATTATTCTCTTAGAATCAGTTGTAAAACAATGATTAGAAAGAAAATCTATTGGATATTTACATGAAGTATCTTTTACATTAACAAGGCGTGCGTTTGCAAAGCGACTTTTCAAAACATCACTAAGTTTCTTTTCACCCTCCGTCTGTGATTGTGTGTTCACATTGGCACATCGTAAGAAATTGAGAGTCTTCTGACTTGTTAGCAAATTCGAAAGACGAACACGATTCATAGTCGATAGAAACATCTACAATATGATATATATGTACTCAGGAGAGAAATATTTTGATATTTATTTGGGTTTTTGGCCAAAAATCAGGAAAACAAACGCAAAAGTACATCTTCACGCTAAACATAAGTATATGTAGAATCTATTTATATATAAATAAGGAAAGCCGATCAACAAGCGAAAAACAAAACAACGACTCTTCACGTTTCTTCATTGTGCTGGTCTTGTTTCTATACAAAGTTACATATACGCATGAAAAATAAACTTTCATAGTGGAACAAAAGAAGACACAAAACAAAATTGAATTTTCATATGAGATATTTGGCATGTGTGCGCGTTTTGCATGATGCTAGTTACTATTTTCTCAAATGTTGGAGATAAGTTAGATAGATCAGAGTTTAGTCACTTGAACAAGTGGATTTGCCGGCGAGTGAAGTGAATTCGTATTGGTATGAAGATGAATTTTACTCGATAATCTTCCGAAACGTAAGTCAACGCATAGTTCTTCAATACGTTCATTTTCATTTTCGATATTACGTTTAATCGCTTCGATTTTTGTCTAAAATAAAGGAGATGTTGCAATGAACTACTATTCTGCCAAGTTCGATCTCATACCTCTAGTTGATTATTTAGTTTGATCGTATTTAACAGTTCTTGTAAAATATCTACAGTTTGACTTGATGATGTTTCATGATCCGCACTCGCTGTTGTCATGACTGGAGTTATATTTGATAGATCTAATGGCTTTTCACTCATTTGTTGTTCTAGTTTAGTTAAGTTTTCTTTTTCATTCATAAATGAATTGTATATTGTTTTCACTAGAAGATTCGAACGTGTATAACGAAATACAAGGAGAGAATGCTTACATCGAGCTATAAGACGTGCTTCAATGATTTTTTCTTTCAATAATTCTTCTTCGAATACACCAGGAGTACCATCCATGGCTCGTTGTATCTGCGCAAGAAGGTCATCATCATCGGTCTCTACACCACTTCGTTCACGTTGTCGGACAGGCTTTGGGCTTATCGGACCAGGTGTAGTTTTCGTTGTTTCATCCGCTGTACTTGGCGTTTGTTGATGTTTAGATGCGTCATCGCGTTTATTAACGATTAAGATGACTTCTGGTTGATGCGATGGTGCTAAAAGAAGATCGACGCGCATGTTTGAGATGTTTTTTTTTCTTAGAAACAGAGGAAAAAAAGATTTTACTCGATTGAGAAACGGATGCACTAGCTGTGGTTGATGCTGAATGTTCAAGAAAGGATGAGAGACGATTTTGTTGCAGTCGACGAGTTTCTTGTTTGATCTGAATTTGAATAAGAACAATGATATTCGTGTTTGGGAAATATTGCAATTACTTTGCGTTTCAACGCTGTGACAAGCCGTTGTTGAGCCCATAATTGTTCTTCTTTATCTTTATCTACATTAGTTGGTGTTGTTGTCCCGTACGTTGATGAGACTGGTTGTGATTGTTGCATTTCTTCGTGCATTTTATTCAGTAATGCTTCTTGTTTGTTTAATTCGGCCTCCAATTCTCTACAAGACGAGTTTTAAACAACGCAATATTCTTCTTTTATCAAGCAACTTACTCAATCGTTTCCGAATGAAGGGAAGAACGTGAGACATTCTTTATTAATGAAACTCTACATTAAATAAATCATACCTTCGTTTTACTACGAAAAGGAAAGTTCCCTATTGAACATACCGTGATGTCGATGAGGTTCGTGGTCGTTCGAAAATATCTGTTGCATGCTGAATTAGATATTTAACAGTACGTTCTTTACTCTTGATCAATGCAGCTATTGTAACAGGTATAGAAGATGAGTCACTGTTTTTCGATGACGGCGTTTGCGATGGTGACATGGTATTAAATCGATGGATAATATCGTGAAGATGAAGAAATAGTAAACGAATCGTATCTCGATTAGGCTTCGGGATCTTCTGAATGAGATTACGAATTTCAGCGAATCGCGTTGCATCAGCACCTAAAGAAAAATAAAATGAAAAGGTGTCAAAGGAAAATCGAAGTGGAATACAAATCTTACTTGGATCGTTTATTATTTTAAACATCCCTGTGCTTTGTTCAGGGGGAATCAATTGTTCAGGTAGTTCTTTGAGAAAACGTTTTAGTAAACTGACAGCAAATGCGGGTGTTAACGGTTGTTTTAAAGCGTTTTCCAGATCAGCCGGTTGTTTGATTTTCACTGGTTCTTGCCGATACACATTATCCTGCCCGTGACCTTTTCAAGAAAACAAATAAGAAAAAAGCCGTTGTTCCAATAAGAAAAAAGCCAAACGAAATACCTTGTTCAATAATATGTATACAATCAACAAGGAAACGTGGTACTGCAAGATCATCATTTTGAAGAGGATTGTGCTTAATCGCTTCATCTAATGTCAGACCAAGTATTGGACGAAGTTGTTCGACTAAAGCTAAACAAAAAATCGTCAAGTTCTTCGCGATCAGTAATGTAATAAAACAAACCTGCTGTGCTTGCAATACTATCACGATTTGCCTTTGATTTTCGTTTTTCATCTTTCAAACCTAAACGAAGATAAATTGGATTTTGTATCAACAGTCATTTCGCACATTACTTGTTCGTCTTTCTTTTTGTTCGGATGAAACTTTCGTTTTTGTTTTTATTAATTTAAAGCCATTCTTTTTCTTTGGTCTTAGCAAACTTTTGAAATCTTGCGCAGTTGTTAATGCTTCTTCGCTTGCTTCAGCGCCAATCAACAATGTACTACTTTTCTCTTTCGAAACATTCGATTTTGTTGAAAATAACTTTCGTTTACGATCGCGTTCGTCTTCACCTAAAGAAGAATTCTCGTTCTCTTCCATCCAAATTCCATTGATATCAAAAACAAACCTTCATTTGGATCTCGATCATCTGGCAGCGTAGTCATAGTTGGCAAAAGTCTAATAGAATAAGTTCGTTGAAATGTATCACATAGTGTTACATTGCATTCCAAGTAAATACAAAATTTGTTATTCTTACCACTAGCCAATCAAGTAAATGTCGCTAGTGTAGTTCAATGTTGGAGAGTTGCGTTTTATTTTTATATATTCAAATGAGTAGAAAAAGAATTTTTAAAATTAGTTTTCCGAAATCAGAATTCTGGAAAAAAGGACAACATGGATGCATGAGCGAATCTTGATTGGTCCATATGTTATTGGTTGCTTGCTTGTTGTACTGCTTTTGATTTCCATGTTTTTTTTTCGTAAAACCTGAACTTCATCGCTGAGAATTGACTCTTTCAGTCATTTAAATTAACACTTCGATTGAGGGAAAATTCCGAGTACGAAGTCTCGAGATTGTCATTGACTGAGATCCATGAAGATTTTCTACGAAATTCGAACATAATATCTAATTTTATTTCTAGATTACATTTCTATTAGTTCTCTTGCAACAACATAATGGCAGCACGTGGATCAGCACGTAATACTCGTTTGAATAAAAAACCCAAAAAGACCAAATTACGTGGTAGGTTAATTCATTCGCTAAATCCAATTAAGTGATCGTTTTCGAATTTTACCAAAGGTAACGTGTCCCATGGTCATGGTCGTATCGGTAAACATCGTAAGCATCCAGGTGGTCGTGGTAATGCTGGTGGTCTCCATCACCATCGTACACTCTTCGACAAATATCACCCGGGTTATTTTGGTAAAGTTGGTCAACGTGAATTTCACAAACTCAAAAACCGTCGCTGGTGCCCAACCGTCAATCTTGACCGTCTCTGGTCATTGTTAAGTCAACGTACACAAGCAAAATACTCGGAAGGCGAAGCTGCCGTAACGCCTGTTATCAATGTTGTCCGATCGGGCTATTTCAAGGTGTTAGGCAAAGGTGTTCTACCTAAACAACCACTTATCGTAAAGGCCAAATTCTTCTCAAGAACAGCCGAAGAAAAAATCAAAGCTGCCGGCGGTGCTTGTGTATTAGTTGCATGAGACATTTCAATATCTTTTGTCTCGCAGAAAAGAAGGAAAAATTAAATAAATAAATTATCATCATCGTTTTTCGTTTGGTATTTCAACACGAACTGCTTATCTCGTTCCTTTCCTCTTCGAATAGGAAAATCTTTTATTTAAATGAACACTCATCAGAGAACAAAGTATATGAACGTGAAGTGCTATCAATTAGCCATGAAATACAACTCTAGTAATCAACGTTCGTATCTGTTCTATGCGCATAGTTGAAGTATAAACATTATTTGTGTGAACAAGTTAGTACAAAGCAGATAGACAAGCACATACATTTTCGAAATTCATTCATTCATTGGAGAATTTCTTCTACTATATGTAAGATTTTATTTCTTGTTTGGTTATATGAATACATGAAGAGAAGAAAAGACCACGACAGTTGATAATAATTGTTAATGTAGTTTTCATATCAAAAGAAAACGAGAGAAAACAACAAGAATAAATCTCACTAATTTCAACTAAGAAGTTCTGCTTGCTCCTTGATATAGATCAAATCAATAACAAAACACGTATACATGTGTAAACGATCAACAACAAATGACTTTATCACACGAGTATTATATAAGAGAAGAAAATCAACTCACAAAGATAGAGACAGCAAGAGAGAGAGAGAAAGAAAGAAAGAGATACAAAAAACACCGATCTATGAGAAGAAGAGAATAAAATGGATTTTGGAAAGAAATACTTGGTCTATGGCAGAGAGGGATCAGTGTATGCAGTAGAAAATAAAAACTCGTTTACTATTTTTGACGAGAAAACCAAATATGTGCGTTCGAGCAAATCATATAGAGGACATTTAGACGCGTCCAAGCGTAGTACAATGATATTTTAGTGATTATATTGTCCAGGTACTAGTTAGAAAATAACAACGAGCTACTCATTAGATATTTTGTGACGTTTATTTGATGTTGCCGTGGCAGAAGCCGACATTTGCCCGTTGATATACCTTCCGACCAAACACTTCGTGGGTGACAGTTGACTGTAATCTGGTTTATCACTTGCTTTTGTTGGCAGAACTTTTTGCTGTTCGGTCACAGCGATAATAATGTCACCACACTCTAATTGTCGACACTTTAAACCACATCGATGATATGTATGTTCAGGGGATATCGATGACCAGCATGAATGCTGATGAACAAAAAATGGCATTTCGGGTTGCACTTGATAAGTTATCTGAAATTGAACGTGATTGAAGTGAAATAAAATGCCACTATTAAGCGTACTGTTTTGTCAATTTCATCGATTGAAAAACGTAATTCTGTTTTACCAGTTGTTTTATCTATCGCCCCAATGTGTTCCACCCGTGCTAGAATGCTACATAAAAGAATGAATCGTTTTGTTTTTTCGAAGATTCTGAATACATTACCTTGAATATTGTTGATTTCGTTTAGCACTTGTCAGAAAATCGTTGGTCGTCAATTGTTGAATATTCTTCGGTTCACCTGAATCTAAATTAACTAATGTTTCGTGATGAAATTTATTTAGAAAGATTTCATCATCGATTTGTTGCTGTGAAGGTTTGGGTAATAAACGAGGACAATATTGATGAAATGATCCATTCCGTGGATGATAATCAGTCGGTGAATTATCTGACAATTGATCATTCGTCACTGTCGGCCCAAAAAATCGTTGATAATTCAAAGTACGAAGTAGATCGATGTAATTCAATGATGCTGCAGAGGCTGATGCAAGGTCAGGGTAGGAAAAATGATAATTCGAATTAGATCGAGCTAGACTTTGTGCAGACACATGTTGATTCATAGCTAAATTGGGATTTGAACCACCACGAACAAATCCCGACGATGTTAATGGTATTTCACTCGTTGTGTGTGTTGTAGATGGATGCATCTAGTTTGACTTATCTAATCACTCCGTATTGTTTGTTCCACGTACTATAAGAGAAGAAGAAAAAAAAAAGAACTTGCTTTTTTCACTATAAAGAAGAGAGGGGCTTGAAAAACTACGTAATATACTCTACTCTCACTAGTTGATGGCTTCCTGTGCCGATTGACAGACGAATAGTCAACGAAAAACGGGATTCTCTCGAAGGAAAAGACAGGGGGAAAAAAGAGAATGAGAAGAAATAAAAGACATGCTTTGTAATATATTGATATATATATATATCGATGACTCTTATAAAAAAAAAACGACCATATGCATACAAGAACATGCACGATCAACAAAGAACAAAATCTACTAGCATTTCATCATTTTCTTCACTTCACGTTGAATCATAGGTCTTAGTCATATCGAAGTTAAAATTTGGCAAACGTCGACTAGAAAAACAAATTTCTTCTCCCGCGACTATATGAGTTAGTAAAAAAGAAAATCGACCACTGTCAATTTTCTCTTTCTTATTGACTTAAGATCAATTGACTGACAAGAATATATTTAGCCTTTTACCCTCGATTCTATTCAGAAGAAAAATAAAAGTAAATAAAACTCAACTTCAGATTCATTTCACTCATTGTGCATATATGGACATCCACACACAGCATACGACTGTGTGTGTGTGTGTGCGTATATATATAATAATACTAACAGCATCAACATTATTTATCAATTCTCTAATCTTGCAACCCACTTACCTTAGCTTCTTTGACATTTGCTTGCTACTTGTAATATTGACGATGGCAATTCGTAACTACAGAGAAAAAGAGGAAAAGGCCGCCGATGTCGTCGCCGTCGTTACAACTATCTACCCTCATATTTTCTTTTTTCCTCTTCTCTTTCTTATTTTTTTTTCTTGCCGTATTATTTAACGAAACCAGAGAAAGAACCGATGTACGCACACTTTCACCCACTATTTTTCTCTGCGTACTGTAACGTATTCGCCCATTTGTAGTTTACAAACGCGCGTTGGTGCTAAGGGAGTGTGAATAAAAAGAAAGAGAAAAGGTAGTCAAAGAAAGGAAAACATCAGCTGCAAAACACATGAGAACAATAGTTGTCGATAAGAAGAGAGAAAAAACACTTTGCAAGATTTTATTCCAACGTAGAGAAAATACCACAAACAGAAAAAGATAAACGAAAAGATATTTCAGTCAGGTAAAAGTTCAGCGGCGTCATCGTTGTCATCGAATAGAGCTTTATTTAATTCTTTTCGTCGTATAGCTGTTTTCGGCCGTCCATCGGCCATATCTTGAGGAAATTCATCAACAAACGGTTGAATCGAAGCTGGTTCTAAAGTTCAATACAGATATCGTTTTCTTGCCTGATCAATGAAAAGCCTAGTTGTAATACCTGGGCGAGAGAAAACACCCTCCGTATTGCTCAGATCAATTGGTGTTCGTTTACGACCGCTCGATTGTCGAGTATCATCACCTCTGAATTGAGAAACTAGGAGAAGAAACAATGAAGTTAGCAACAAAGCGTTCGTTGTCTTACCATCTTGATCAGCGTGAGAGACCTTTCGACCTTTGACAATTCCACGACTTTTATCTGCACTTGTTTGTCGCTATAGAGAAACATTCGCGCTTATCTGGTTAAGTTAGAATTTTTAAACGTACTTGAAGTTTGATTTCTTTGATTTTATTCGCTTTTTTCAACTCCATTTCATAGTTTTCACGTTCAGGAAGACCAAGATCCGTTGAAATCTTCACCAAAAATTGTATGCCTAGATGTTCATTAGCTAATTATATATCTCTTACGACGTCACTAACCCTTGATTAGAAAAAACAGTGTATCCTTATCAATTCTTCAGATAAAATAGAGAGAAGACTAACGATATTTGCATATTTCAATTACTTTATCGTGAAGATCAAACATTTTCCTTTTTTTTAAAAACTATAATATAACATTCTTTACGATTGTCCAATATATCAAACACTTTGCAGGGAAAAAGAAAAATTCCAGCTAATAATCAGAACGTTCTCACAATATCATATCGCGATCCTTCCGAGAATCTAATAGTAAATTCTACTACCAGCCATGTTTCTCACCTTACTCGGCTAAGTAAAGCTAATTGCATCTTGTAAGATATAAAACTTCTTTCTAGGCACAGAGAACATAGATAATTATAAGAATATGTTATCACAATCATGTCAACACCATCTGGTACTTTTCCTGTCATTAAATTGAATACATTAACTACATTTGTTCGCACTATATTCGAAAAGCAAAATCTTCTTCGTCGTTGCAAAATATACATTACTTATTAAGCCTTTTGTCTCTAAAAATATGCAACTTTCTATCTACAGACATTCGTAATTATTATCCTATGCGTGTTAGCCCACCGTTGACAGATGTTCTTCGTAACCTATCTATATATATCTGACTGAGTAATTTCTATTGAAATTCTTACAGTCGATGTCATCAGGAAAATGAATATGAATCCATTTATATTTCTCTAGAGCAGCTGTATAATCACCATGACGGCGATAACATGAAGCGACCATTAAATGCCATTTGATTTCTCCAGGCCTAGAATAAACTTGTTTTTCATTAACGAAAGTCATCAAAATTCTTCAATGTACTTGACTAATGCAGCTTGTGCACAGAATTCGACAGCTTTATCTGGATACTGTGTTTCCAGGTAATAAGATGCAAGCCATTCTAACGTTTCGATGTCACATGGATTATGTCGAAAAGCCTGAACAGAAAGAAGAAGTCAAGTTTTCACTAAGTTCGATTTCAAAAAGAATTCATACGTCGAAATAGTACTGTAGCGCCTCTGATTTATCTCCTTGCATGTCTATAACTTCGCCGATTCGTCGGTGTAGATGACCGTCGGTTCGATATTTACTTAGCGCTTGTAAATACCTTCAAAAGAAACACATTTGCACACGAATGAACCTTTGTTCAACAGACCAGCTTTTCGCATGTTCGGAATCGTTCGTTTGTTGCAAAACTTCTCCCATAAGACAAAATACTTGAGCATTGGCCGGTTGAATGCTTTCGTACTTATGGAGAAGATCTTTAACGCGTTGGTACTGATTTGATTTCTGCAATGTTAAAACTAAATATGGAAGAGAGCTTGTTATGTAAATAGCAACGATCATCGAAACATTACTGAGATTATGAAGAGCTTCTACAGAGCCGGCATCAATATTCAATGCTTCTTCATAATAATACCGTGCTTTGTCATAGTCCTCTTGAGCAAAGCAGCAATTGCCTTTATTCGTCAATGCTTTGAACAAAACAAAAAGAGCCCAGGTGAATGATAAAAAGACTAGCGTCACATACAAGCTGGATTGAATTTGTCAGTTTTTAAAGCTAAATCAGCATATTTGTGTGCATTATTCAGATCCTTTTCCTATAGTTGAAATAGTAGATCTCAAATACTATTTTACAGACTAAAACGCTTTAACTTACCAAAAAGTACAAAAATGATAAATTCGTTGCCGCTAAGAACAAAACATTCATTCAATCAATTGCTGATCAACTATTTTCGTACATACCTGCACTGGCTAATTTTGCTTCAGCTTTTTCGAATTCTTTCAATGTTGAAATGGCCTGAAATAGTCATTTCTTTTCTTTATTCTCTTATTTCAATCTCGTTTTGCTTTACTTTGGCAAAATTGTTTTCTCGTAAATAAGCAATTGCTTTCTGGATCTCCAGACCACTTGCTAATTCGAGATAGGTCGAATTGCGTACTTGATCGATACACCATTCATAACCACCAACGAAATCTCCATCGAAATTGTTGCCAACTATTTTCGCAGCGGTGACAATGACATGTTCAGCAAAGCGACGACTAAACAAAACCGAAGATAAAAACATTAAACAGTCCAATACTCGTACCGTTTTCGTTCGAATTGCCTCAGCCGATCATCTCTTGTCGCTTCAAGAACCAGGTTGGCTTGTTTATTCTCTTTATCAACCTAGATGAAAGCATTTACGCATATAAGCAGTCATTATTGGATTTGAATAATTACTGAAGGCTGGTAATCTTCATCTGAACTGAGAAAAGGTATTTTTAGAAGATCAGTAAACACTCGTCGAGTTTTATCACGTTGAGTCAATGCATGATAGCACAGCAGAAGATTTAAGCCGCTACGATAATTCGGGCGTTCTTGCATAATCGATTCATATGCCTGAGCGGCTTCAGCATATTGACCCATGAGAATATGTGTCGCCGCTATATTCTCACGAATTTTAAACCTAAAATTGTACATTTGACTGTAATGAACCGGAACTGAACAACAAATAACACTTTACTTCAAATCAGCATTTTGTTCGGGGATTTGATCGAGAGCCATGCGATACATTTTTAATGCTTTAGCATACTGTTTCGAATGTAGATATACATTTCCAATATTAATTCGCCTGTCCATGTCAAAAGATAGGGGATGTATTCGGTTCATTGGAAAAACAACAAGTTTGACTTACAATCGATGGGGAATAGGTAGGAGTTTGCTTTTTAACAACGTATTATAATGATTCAGTGCTTCGGAATTCATTCCACATTTAGTGTACATATTGGCACAATGGAGAATAGTCTAAAAAATAAGTGAATACTGTAGATATATGTTGAGCTTAAGCGAAGTTCTAAAACAGGACGATCACAATCTCCACATTTATAAATCGATACGTACAAAGCCAGCCAGACTCATATCTGCTTCGCCAAGGTTCTGCTCTTCACGATAACGTGTCAGACTCTTTTCACTTCGCATAGCTTCTTCCGCTTTTTCCAACGCCTAACAAAATATTTCTAAACATAGACAACAGATTCAAATATATTCCCTACCAATTTTGTATCATTCTTCTCATCAGCTAGACAACTTTCTCCGACGAGATCAATAATTGCCTTCTCCATTTTTCTCACTTTATCTTCACTCCTGAAATATGCAAACCAATATCAACGATTATTTTAAAACTAAAAATACGCACGTTTCTTCTTTCTTTTCGAATACTGTCGGTCCCGATACGGTCGTGGCACCACTCAAACCACTAGCCATAAAACCTGCGCCTTGAACGGCAGTTGTTGGCCGTTTTTGACCTGCTGCACCTGTTTGAAGACGGCGAGATGCAGAGCCGGGCGGCGCACCCATCATACCGTTCTGCTGGGCTGCACGTGATGCAGTTCCCAATCGTCCCGAAGATGTACCCGGTGGTGGAGCATTTTTCTGCCGACTGAAAACATTCTTCATTTTCGAAAAGAATCCACCCTGAAAGGTATTCACATAGACTTTCAAATGTTCGAAAAAATATCATCTCACCTTTTGTGCCGCAGTACCAGGTTGACCAGTCTAAGAAAAATGCGAATATTCTATCGAATTAATTTTCAAACAGAGAAAAATTCTCTACCGGTGGAGCTCGTCGGCCATGGCTAGTCTTTAGTACTGCTTGTTGCAAATCGTTATCATATTTCAGACTCTTCAAAGAAAAGCGAATCGTCATGGTCCACTTATCATCAAGATTAGACTTACATCAGTATCTAGCAAAGGATTGTAGTCATTAAAGCCAGAGTACGAATCAGGTTTATCAGTCATCGTGATTATCTGAAAGAAAAATACCGTCGATATATTTCTTTTAATATTTTTTTTGCTTTATATATGGTTAATTTAAAGATAAAATATCTATACATATATAGGATGTCTATGTTTTTTAAGATGCGTAGAGTCCTGTGCGGTTCATCTGACCTTCAGTCAGATGATTGCGACGATATTGTTCAACATCACTTATTAACTAAACGAAAAGCGAAAGTTTGAACGACTGTATTCTTTAATTAATTATCTATAGTTTACTTTTGGCATTCGAGTGGCGTTTGTTTCCAAAAGGTAATCTCGGAAAGCATTCACACCGTGTAATGGAGCCAGACGAGAATTCTACAGTGAATAAAAACAATGCAGGACAATTTTAGCAAAATAATTCACTCTATGCCTTACAATCTCTTCTTCGCGTTTACGAGATGTATCTTCTCGTTCAGCTCTAGTGGCTTTTGGGTCAATCAATTCCTCTGTTGTTAATTTACGATGCCAGAGAGTTTTTGGTAAATACCATGCGCCGTATCGATACTTTTGCGTATGTGGCCGTTGATTGATAAGTGCAGTGGTGATCTCTTTCGCCTTAGCACTACCGGAACCCATACGCTATTGGTTCAACTGAATTAATTCATACTCTCAATAACTTCTGGTAAAACTTACCATTTCTGATAGAGTTCCTGTTGGTTGTTGTGGTTCGGCAATCATTGTGTCTTGTGTGCCATCTCGCAAGTCAACTGGAATCTAGTGAATATCACAACAGAGTCAGATATAGTAAAGATTTGTTCGACGAACTCGTGTCATTTCCACCACTTTGATTGGTACACTTAACGATGGTTTTGTGTCGTAAGCAGTAGAAAAGAGATTCCTGACTACAGCTGGATCAATATCTGTATTTGTTTCTCCGCCTAAATCGTATAACCAGGCACAAAATTGTTCTGATACATGACGTAGTTTTGTTTCCTGTACGGAAAGGAGAATTGAGCGAAGAAAGAACAACGAAACTTTTATTACCATAGCTGTAGCTGCTTGTTCATCTTGACTAGGACCTTTTGCACGCTGTTTTTGACGTTGCTTTTCAATATACCATCGGTAAGGATTCCGTTGTTTTCTATCGTATTCTTCAGCATTCCACTGATTACCAGCATCATCATAAACAACTCCATTGCGAGTAATTCTTGGTGGATTTGGTTTATTCTCAGATAATTCCGGTAATTGCTTGCTAGAGTCAATGCGTGCTTTCGTAGCTAAATCATTGGATAACTCACTAATGCCTCTATCATTTACAAATATAGATTAGATGGTCACATACAGAACGAGCTAAAGTTTGTATCTTACATTTTCTCTGTTTCTTGAGACGCATGTTCAAAACCACTCTTATCACTTTCAACCGTTTCAGCTTGCGTTAATCCCTCCATTCCTGACGATAGGAATGTGTCATTCTGTCCATCAACAGACGGAACTGGATCCTCCGCATCGTAACGTAATAGTTCCGCTTCAAACAATCTTGTCACACGATCGTATGTCTATCGAGATGGAACTTATCATACGCATCGCTGGTAACCACAATACATACTTCAGGTGTTAATACTTTACTAAAATGTTCAAAGAAGGCGACTGGATGTTCCAATAAACTTGATATATAATGATCAATAGTTCGTCTTCGTTTTTCTGCAGCAGGTATTTCTCGACTGTAGTATTTCTGATGTGCACTGAGCCGCGATTGAGCGTTTACTACGCAAGATTTGACTCGGCGCGGCTCAGCTAGTAGTACTGGCCCAAGTCCTTTTTCGGGCTAAATGATTCAATGTTCAAACAATACTTGCTCAAAGTTCTCATTACCTGTAACATAATATCATCATGGCATGGGGGTAAACCATCGCGAAAATCATCGAGACCATCCTTAACAAATTTCCAATTTTTCGTGTTGATATTGCTCGGATATTTCATCCGAATTCGTTCACGGTACCTATAGTGAATAAAAGCAAAGTTTTTCAATCGATACCATATCTCCGCATTAAATCGCATGCAAGAATTTAGCATAGCAAAAAGTAGCTAATTATATGCATAGAGAATCTATCTCACTTTTCGGAAGAAGCTGTTTTCCTAGATTTAATTTGACAATTTAGTTTCATAACAAAATAGGAAATATATGACGAAAAATATACCATGGTTGAAATTTCGGTGGCCGACGTCGATCATCGATAGTTGGTAGAAGAACATATTTCAAATCGTTACTCATGCTGATGCACTCGATCGATCGATGCAATGAATTCTAACAAATTTGATCGAGAACCATTAGAGTATCCTATGCAAGTTTTTGCTAGGGTAACCACCAATATCAGTTTCCAAATGAAACTTCCGGCGAAAACAAACTGATTTTCGCATTTAATTCTACATTCAATTAGTACAATTGAAATATCAGTGAAAATACGTGAGCAAATTCGAGAATAGATGCCGCCAGTTACCACTACCATTAAGAAAAGTCATATATATATATATATATATGGTATTAAAATCTTTTCTGCATAAATTTTTATCAATCAGCGAACATCGGAAATAAATGAAAGGCCTATTTTTACCGAACAGCCCACCTATCGCGATCATGATTTCAGTTCATTCTTCTCTATTGTTTATGAAATTGCTTCTGACCTACTATTGTGCTCTACTTTGAGTATCTCATTAACGTTTCAAGCCGAACTCAAGGTTGTTTTTCATCGAATTCTAAGTATAACATCTCTAATGCATTCTTATTTTAATCAAGATTGAAGTTTAAATCCGATTCCATTCAATTTGCCTGTATCCAATTAAAAACTTTTGCTATCCGAAAGGTCATCGTTTGCTTCGACTAGTTTTTCTTCCTATAAAGATCATTCATATACGATGCTGAGAAAGCAGAAATGGCACCTAATTACACCACTCAGCGTTCGTTACCGAATACAAATTTATTTGACAAAAGACTAATGTTAATGGCAACTGTCGGCCGATTTGTTAAGTGTCACATCATTATAATTTCAAATTAAATTTTCGTTTCATTTTACAATTTAATCTAACAATCGTTATCATTCATTTGTCACTCATCAAAAAACAATTTACTAATTAATTCATACACAAAAACAAAATTTTCTCTTTTATTCATTCCTTATTTCAGATGTTATCTTTTCTCCGCACATCTTGTATCAAAACAACTAAACAAGAATGCTAATTGATCCAAGGTCCGTCACTTTCTCCCTGAGTTTCCACACCTATACAGTTCGCTTCCCTTCCTCCCTCTCTCTCTCTCTCTCTCAATTGACACAATCAGACATCTGTTTTTCTGAGATAAAATCTTTTTATTCATTTGTTTGCCGTTTTCTGCCTCTTCAATAAAAGAAAAACAACAGATCGATCGATATTCTTTTTTAGCAAAATGAAAAGAAACGAAAGTAAAAGGCATATGTAAAGAAAAACAGTTGACGATGAATAAAAAACCAGATAATGAATAAACTTCAAAGCAAAGAGAATCAAACGAAAGAAGAAGAAAAAGAGAGAAACGAGAACATGAATATTGAACATAAGAGAAGTGTACTGTGCACCGGGCGATCGCATATACACACACACGCACATACATATGACATATAGAAAACAAAGATTAGGAGAATGTGTAAAACCACTCATACACACACGCATACATAGAATGTACAAGAGCAAGAAAGAACACACAGAAGAGGGTGTCGAACATCCCATGTAGAGAACTATGTATAAAAAACAATTAATAAATGAGATTCACTGTTATTTCTCTTGTTCTAATGCATATGTTACAAAGAAAAAAGAAACTTCAACTGTCAACACACCTGACCGGACATAAAAAAAGAAGAGATCTACGAGAATACTGTTGATAATACTGTCTGCGAGAAAATTGAGTTGTTTAGAATCCAAAGCACCACGAATCACATTGTATTAGTCAGCAAAAACGAGCGCCTTCTGTGAGTTATCACTCCCATCGGAACTACATTCATCGTCAACATCATCGACATTATCATCATCATCTTCTTTGATATCTAAACGATCAAATTAGTTCTCTGTAACACATGAAAAACAATAACGAAAAAATATTTACTTAGATATTCACCATTATCAGGTGACAGTTGATCATCGTATGGGCTATGTTTTCGTTGTTTCAATATTTGTTTGTATTCCGACCTTTAGGAACAGAAAAGAAAGCATTTGTTAATTTAACTATCTATCTAATTATCTATTAGCTGATGATAAGATCGAAACTTACCAACGCATTTTCTTACCGTCGATCACACAGGTTCGTTTCGGTCGGGGTCTAAACAAAAAAGAAATCGTCAACAAAAAAGTAGAAAAAGACGTACAATATCATACCGATAACGATAGTCAGGATACTTCTCCATATGAACTTTACTTAAACGTGACTGTTCTTCGTAATACGGTTGTTTCTCTTCATTACTCATTGCTTTCCATCGGGCACCCAGGATTTTACTGATACTTGAATTATGCATATCTGGACAAGCTTTTAATATCTTTCGTCGTTCTTCACGAGCCCAAACCATAAATGCATTCATAGGCCGTTTGATATGATCATTAGATGATGATGAGGAAGATGTGGAAATCGATTCGTTATTTCCATTGTTATTTGGTACTAAGGATAGCGCATTCGACGGTGAATGATGATGGTGATGATGACTTCGATCTTTTCGATTTGTTGAAACATGACGAGCTACAACGAGATGAATTGATCTGTCATATCGATCTTGATATTTCAACGAGAATCTCATTTGACAAGTGAATCGATAGTCGATTAGCAATGAGTTCTCCCAACAATGATTATTCGATCAATACATTCGTTTCAAATCTCATTTAAACATCTGCATCTGTCGAAACATAGAACATATTTTATTTACTTTATCAATCTCTTTCTCTTTCGTCGTCTTTTTTAAATGAAGGCTTTAACATTATGTATTCATTAACCCATCTAACAAGGTTTCTTATTTAATTGCAAATAGATTTGATATTAAAACATATCAGACATCGATACATATTTCGATGAAAAATAATATTTATTCGTTACAATGCTTCACAAGAAAGACCAATACGGTACATTAACCAATAACGTATGTAAAGTTTGTCTACGAGAGCGCTATTCTCATCATCATCATCATCATTATTAGTGGATATCAGAGCCTTGTATCTTTTCTTCTCTCCTTCTCTCATCCTTTCTTTCGTTTAAATATGTGTATAATCGACTCGGCTCGCTTTTTTTCTCTCTCTCTCTCCTTTCTTTCGTTTGTTTTTGTTCGGTGTCTTTTTTTCGTCGTATCATTACCAATCAACCCAATCGGAATGTGATTTGGTTGGACGATTTACATTTCTCTTTTTTTCGACCATGGAAGACTCGTTTTCTAACGCACAAGTACACGCAACTCACCTAATGATGCTGATTCTTTGTCGGTAGACAAATCGCGATGATGGTGATTACTGTTGTTGTTGTTGTTGTTATTATTGTGATGGTTATTATTATTTGTAGTCACTGTTTCATGTAGCGTAGATGATAAATTAGAATGATGGGAGAGATGATTTGATGATTGCGGAAAACCATACATATTTAAACCTAATTAAAAAACAAATAAATTAGCATACATAGTTTTAATTATTAGTTAAGATTTACCTGCAACGAAAGGAGATGGCAATGAACATCGCGAGGTACCATTGTCTCCATTTTTCACATTCTAAAATATCGATTTAGCTATCGAATTTCGAACGTGATAATCTACGTTTACGTACGATTGAATCATTAAGTACTCCAGCAGCTGATAGTTTTAAATAATTTTGTATGTGGGTCATGTTTGGGACTAATAGAAAGTATTTTATAAAAACAAGATCGATTTTATCTGTCAAAGAAAAAGACGCTCACCTGAGAATGAAGGAAAGAATGGTTTTTCGTAAAACAAGGCTTGTGATGGGAAAAGTGCTGATGGTAATGATAATGTCGGTGTTGAAGGCGAAGGTGAGCTGACTGTTGTTGTGCTTGGACTCATATCATCACTGTTGGTTGATGCTAATCGAGTTTGTTGCCGTTTCTTTGGCTGGGATAAATTCAATGGATGAGAATCGTCATATTCAAGGGTTGTTGTCAGAGAATTTCTCTCGTTATTATTACTTTCAAGTGTTTTTATTCTTTCACGTAAATGTTGTAAACTATCGATGAGACAATCAATAGTTAATAATAGATTTTCATCATTGTCTGCTTTTTTCTCTTCTAATAATGTTCGTATTGAATTGAAGATCATTGTAGCGTTGGTTTTCGTTGTGGTTGAAGATGAATTAGATGAAACTGTTGGGATTACAGGAACATTTTTCTCGAGTTTTATATTATTTGTTAACACTGAAGGTGATGGTATTGTCGCTGTTGTTGTAGATGGTCGAGAGATTTTCGATGATGGAATATTCTTACGACGTTTTCGTTGCGGTTGCTGTAGATTAGAAGGCGGTGTGACTTTAGTTTCCGTTTCCGGTTGAGATTCATTAGCAGTTGTTGGAGTGCATGATTGTTGTTCGGCTAAATTCGTATTATCGTTCGACTGTGACGTAGGTGTAATAGATTCGTCATGAATAATATTGGAGCCAGACCGATCACCATCTATCTCTTGTTGATGAGGCAAAGGTGAGCCATTAGTTGTATTGACATCTGTCAAAATTCAAATGATATGTTATTCGTGTAATTGCACTTATTCCGTTTTCGAAGATTACAGCAATAAAAAGAAAATAACTTACGTTCGTTATGTTCATCCGATGGGGAATTGCTGTTCGAATAGATGTGATTTGACGATGTTCGATCGAGAAGTTGTTCAGTTTTAACAAATTTCGTTGGCGTTGGTGACGACACTATCGACGATCTAGCATCAACACATAATGATGGTGTTGATGAAGATGTATCGAACTGATCAAAATTACACTTTCGTTTAAGTGACATGAGTTCGAATTATAATCTAGAAAAGACAAGCAACAAAATCATTTTTGATTGTCTCCTATCGAAAGGAGACTTGTTCAGTCGAACGAGGAAGAGAGAGAGAGAGAGACGTATATAACTAATGTTCGGTATGTTGCTATTTATACGTCTATTCATGTTAACCATTGTATCAATGATTAACTACCGTCAATAAGAACGAATAAAATAGATAGAAAGCAAAACAAAAGAAGCGAAAAAGGACAAGACAATAGCTGCCTCATCGAATCAAGTTCATTGATCAAACTTAACTAGCAGAAAAGCGTGTCGATTGTTTAGCAAAGATTTGAATTCTAGACAAAGGAAAGACAAGCATAGATCTATAAAAGGAAAACAGGCATCTGCGCGCATTGTATTCATCTTCAGTCGTTTCTCAGTCATTTTTGGACGCTGATTTTGCGACAGCAGTAAAAAACAAAAGAACAATGGAAAATGAGATGAGGGTGTAACAAGCGAGAAAATCTCTCTTACTCTTTTCTTTTCTACTCGATGTTAATCGGCGCATTCAAGTGTCATGTTGATCATCACCGACGGACTACTACCACTACAACAACAGTCACAGTAACACTACCCGCAACGATAATACTTACAACAATACAAAGGTTCAGTAATAGTTGCCATATATATATATATATATAATATATGCGTAATATGAAAGGGTGCATGCACATTTATATCAATCGATGGATGAAAATGAATGAAACCTTACTATTGCTCCTTTTTTTCTTTTTCTTCTCAATTGAAATCGATAGATTTGAAGGTAAAGATTTGTTCGATTGCTCGGACGGATAATTTATAATACGTGAGAACCACTTTTATGAATATAAAAAACGAGTAGAAGAAAAGAGAAAAACCTTATGTATGTGTGTGTGTGTGTGTGTGTGTTCGTTTTGTCTCTGTTTCCTCTTAACTTATATTAAAGAGAATAAGTAGAAAAAGAAGACGAAGGAAGAAAGTGGCATTACATGGCATTATTATACCAAGCTAGAATCAGCAGGTGAAGACAGGAGACATAATAAAATGACGGTGTATATACATGTGTGCGTGAATATATAATAATAATTTAACATGATCATAATAGACATAAGAAAGAAAGTCCAAGAATAACAATCAAAAAGTAAAATAACGAAGCAAGGAAGAAAGACTGCGATCATATATCTATATTGAATATAGAAAATTGAATCATCATCATCAACATTATCATCCGGGTTGTATATGAATCTATATGCGTGCGCTTTGATGATTGGCCTTGGTTGTTCGATACACAAGCATAATTGTGAAATGATTTCAATCTTTTCCTTCTCTTTCTAATTACCTGTGTCCACCATGTAGTTGACAGGAGGAAAAAAAGTCGATTTAGGACTATTATTGATCTCCTTCTTCTTCTGCTTCTTCTTTCTCTTTTTTCTCTCTTCTCTTCGAGTTACTTGACACAATACGAGGCCGATCAAGTGAAACAAATCTAGTGAAGCGAGTAAAGAAACAGAGGAACGAAAGACATAAAGAGAAACAGAGAGAAGGAAGGAGAGAATGGGACAGAAAGAGAAAATCTTCACACTTCTAATGCACACCTTTATTGAATATATATATATTTCGTTATACAGAAGTGTTTGGCGTGTGTATATACATACTACGTAAGAATAATATTCTGTACATTTTAATACTCATTTGATATATATACACTTATACATACATTTATATATGGCACTGACAATGACTATTGATTATTTATACGGGAAATGAAACCGTATGTGAAACAACATCACTCGCCAAAGGACAGAATAAAGAAAGACTAGAAATAATAATAATAATAATAAAGTTGTTGCAATTATGTGCAGGTGTATGAGAAAGAGGAAAAAACGAGAGGAAAGAAAGAGAACAAATGATCGAACACGATAAGTAATATGTATATGTATATGTCGTGTCGTTTTAGATATTCAATGAAGAAGAGCGTTTTTTCTTTATTCATTACCTGTCTGTCTATCCGAAAGAATGACAAGGCAACATAGTAAAACCTAATGGAGTGTGAAAGCTATGGAAAACGAATGAGATATGTCGTCTGCTTCTCAGTTATTTCTTCGGTGTGGAACGTCGGATGTTTGTTATATGTGCATAGTGTTCGTCTTTCATGTTAAACTACTCTCCCGGATTTGAGTTTTTACTCACATAATTGATATTGTCACACACAAGCGCACCCTATTGTTTTACAACTAGTAATAGTCAAGTAATGGGTATATACGACTACGTCTCTTTTTGCATTTTGATTGATGAATTTATTCTTTTTCTGTCCCCCCCTCTCTCTCTCTTGTTCTCGCTCTGCCACTAATAATATGTTCAAACATATACATGTATGTACACACACACACACACACGTATATATATATTTAGAATATGAGAAAAAGAAAAGTTAAATGTAGGCAATAATTACGAATATAATATACATATACTATTTAATGTGAACATCTCGAGCCGCAAAGACATAAATCCTCTTGACATGATGACGCGACAATGGTTACTTACTTACTTCGTTATACAACGTCTTTTGTACTTGGCCCTTGCCTAACGAAATGAATGAATATATATGTGACTGTCCGTTTGTTATTGTCAGCGAAAAATAATTTTGCATTTCTTTTTCTCTTTCTTGTGCTTTACTTTTGTTGTTGTTGTTGTTGTTGTTATTACTGCTGCTGTACGAATCGAACGTCAATAGAACGCACAAAGAAAAATTATTACCACTAATAGCAGTTATGCATGTAGAAGTGACGTCGGATACACCTAGGTACTGTGATTATGTGTGTGAGTAGTCGTTCTTTCTCTCTCTCACTCTCATTCTCTCTTCCCTTTCTTTTCTATTAAGAATCTATTGTTCGAAGTATGTGTAGAGCGCACTATACGACGATGACGCGCAAGAGTTATTCTTTACCGCTCCTGACACAATACACTCTTCTATTTTTCTCTCTGTCTCTCTTCCCTTTTTACGCTCGACTTCACATCATCATCTATATTCAATTGCACTGTACTATATGTATATACACATGCCGAACACAATACACATTATCGCTGCTTTATGCATCGCTTATATATATGTATATGTATATTGTATATACAAACTGATTTGATACATAAGACATACTCACTATTGATAAACTTCACTACTCACTCACTCACTCACTCACTAGCGCGCGCACACATATAAAATCTCATCTTCAAGTGAAAATCGCCTGACATACTATGATAATACGACTCGTATTGTTTCTTTCATCTTCTTTTCAACTTGAAGAAAGATACCTTATTCTTCTTTTTCTTCTTCTTCTTCTACTTCTTCTTCTACTTCTTCGTCTATATCTACTTTTTCTTCTTTTCCGACTTAGCACAACACGAACAATAGAAAGACAACGATCTTCTCTTCGCCCGTCTGACGAACGATGGCATTATTAAATCTCTCTTGTCATCAGGTGTCATGGAGAGAGATACAAAGACGTTGCAAGAGGGCGACAGAGAGAGAGAGGGAGTGTGTGTGCAAAAGAAGGGAAGTAATTTTTACTGAAAAGACAAGCGGAATGAAAAAAGCCGTCACTACCATCGTTACCGATTTTATTTATTCGCAACAATGAATAGACAACATATGTGCTGTTTTGCGGGTATATAGAACAATCAGTTTTAATCGGCCTTTACTACCATCATTTGTACATCGCTGCTTTTCTCTCCTCTCTTTTTTTCACTCATCGATAGTGAGTGTAAATGCATGACAGCTTCAAGGATATATATATATGGATGAGAATATGTCAATTGTCAAGTAACTTCTAATAAGGAATAAAAAGAGGAGAGAGAGAAAAAAAAACGAGAGGAGAACCAACATACCTGTCTTCTTGTCACAATAGCAGATTTTCACTTGAAGATGAGATTTTATATGTGTGCTCGCGCGCTAGTGAGTGAGTGAGTGAGTAGTGAAGTTTATCAATAGTGAGTATGTCTTATGTATCAAATCAGTTTGTATATACAATATACATATACATATATATAAGCGATGCATAAAGCAGCGATAATGTGTATTGTGTTCGGCATGTGTATATACATATAGTACAGTGCAATTGAATATAGATGATGATGTGAAGTCGAGCGTAAAAAGGGAAGAGAGACAGAGAGAAAAATAGAAGAGTGTATTGTGTCAGGAGCGGTAAAGAATAACTCTTGCGCGTCATCGTCGTATAGTGCGCTCTACACATACTTCGAACAATAGATTCTTAATAGAAAAGAAAGGGAAGAGAGAATGAGAGTGAGAGAGAGAGAAAGAACGACTACTCACACACATAATCACAGTACCTAGGTGTATCCGACGTCACTTCTACATGCATAACTGCTATTAGTGGTAATAATTTTTCTTTGTGCGTTCTATTCATGTTCGATTCGTACAGCAGTAATAACAACAACAACAACAACAACAAAAGTAAAGCACAAGAAAGAGAAAAAGAAATGCAAAATTATTTTTCACTGACAATAACAAACGGACAGTCACATATATATTCATTCATTTCGTTAGGCAAGGGCCAAGTACAAAAGACGTTGTATAACCAAGTAAGTAAGTAACCATTGTCGCGTCATCATGTCAAGAGGATTTATGTCTTTGTGGCTCGAGATGTTCGCATTAAATAGTATATGTATATTATATTCGTAATTATTGCCTACATTTAACTTTTCTTTTTCTCATATTCTAAATATATATATATATATATACGTGTGTGTGTGTACATACATGTATATGTTTGAACATATTATTAGTGGCAGAACGAGAACGAGAGAGAGACAGAAAAAGAATGAATTCATCAATCAAAATGCAAAAAGAGACGTAGTCGTATATACCCATTACTTGACTATTACTAGTTGTAAAACAATAGGGTGCGCTTGTGTGTGACAATATCAATTATGTGAGTAAAATCTCAAATCCGGGGGAGTAGTTTAACATGAAAGACGAACACTATGCATACATAACAAACATCCGACGTTTCACATCGAAGAAATAACTGAGAAGCAGATGACATATCTCATTCGTTTTCCATAGCTTTCACACTCCATTAGGTTTTACTATGTTGCCTTGTCATTCTTTCGGATAGACAGACAGGTAATGAATAAAGAAAAAACGCTCTTCTTCATTGAATATCTAAAACGACACGACATATACATATACATATTACTTATCGTGTTCGATCATTTGTTCTCTTTCTTTTCTCTCGTTTTTTCCTCTTTCTCGTACACCTACACATAATTGCAACAACTTTATTATTATTATTATTATTATTTCTAGTCTTTCTTTCTTTATTCTGTCCTTTGGCGAGTGATGTTGTTTCACATACGGTTTCATTTCGCGTATAAATAATCAATAGTCATTGTCAGTGCCATATATAAATGTATGTATAACTGTATATATACATATATACCGAATTAGTATTAAAATGTACAGAATATTATTCTTACGTAGTATGTATATACACATGCCAAACACTTCTGTATAACGAAATATATATTCAATAAAGGTGTGCATTAGAAGTGTGAAGATTTTCTCTTTCTGTCCCATTCTCTCCTTCCTTCTCCTTCTTTCTCTCTATGTCTTTCGTTTCTCTGTTCCTTTACTCGCTTCACTAGATTTGTTTCACTTGATCGGCCTCGTATTGTGTCAAGCAACTCGAAGAGAAGAGAGAAAAAAGAGAAAGAAGAAGAAGAAGGAGATCAATAATAGTCCTAAATCGACTTTTTTCCTCCTGTCAACTACATGGTGGACACAGGTAATTAGAAAGAGAAGGAAAAGATTGAAATCGTTTCACAATTATGCTTGTGTATCGAACAACCAAGGCCAATCATCAAAGCGCACGCATATAGATTCATATACAACCCGGATGATAATGTTGATGATGATGATTCAATTTTCTATATTCAATATAGATATATGATCGCAGTCTTTCTTCCTTGCTTCGTTATTTTACTTTTTGATTGTTATTCTTGGACTTTCTTTCTTATGTCTATTATGATCATGTTAAATTATTATTATATATTCACGCATACATATATATATATATACCGTCATTTTATTATGTCTGTTGTCTTCACCTGCTGATTCTAGCTTGGTATAATAATGCCATGTAATGCCACTTTCTTCCTTCGTCTTCTTTTTCTATTTATTCTCTTTAATATAAGTTAAGAGGAAACAGAGACAAAACGAACACACACACACACACATAGGGTTTTTCTCTTTTCTTCTGCTCGTTTTTTATATTCATAAAAGTGGTTCTCACGTATTATAAATTATCCGTCCGAGCAATCGAACAAATCTTTACCTTCAAATCTATCGATTTCAATTGAGAAGAAAAAGAAAAAAGGAGCAATAGTAAGGTTTCATTCATTTTCATCCATCGATTGATATAAATGGGCATGCACCCTTTCATATTACACATATATTATATATATATATATATGGCAACTATTACTGAACCTTTGTATTGTTGTAAGTATTATCGTTGCGGATAGTGTTACTGTGGCTGTTATTGTAGTGGTAGTAGTCCGTCGGTGATGATCAACATGACACTTGAATGCGCCGATTAACATCGAATAGAAAAGAAAAGAGTAAGAGAGATTTTCTCGCTTGTTACTCCCTCATCTCATTTTCCATTGTTCTTTTGTTTTTTACTGCTGTCGCAGAATCAGCGTCCGAAAATGACAGAGAAACGACTGAAGATGAATACAACGCGCGCAGATGCCTGTTTTCCTTTTATAGGTCTATGCTTGTCTTTCCTTTGTCTACAATTCAAATCTTTGCTAAACAATCGACACGCTTTTCTCTTAGTTAAGTTTGATCAATGAACTTGATTCGATGAGGCAGCTATTGTCTTGTTCTTCTTCGCTTCTTTTGTTTTGCTTTCTATCTATTTTATTCGTTCTTATTGACGGTAGTTAATCATTGATATAATGGTTAACATGAATAGACGTATAAATAGCAACATACCGAACATTGGTAATATATGTCTCTCTCTCTCTCGTTCGACTGAACAAGTCTTCTTTCGATAGGAGACAATCAAAAATGATTTTGTTGCTTGTCTTTTCTAGATTATAATTCGAACTCATGTCACTTAAACGAAAGTGTAATTTTGATCAGTTCGATACATCTTCATCAACGCCATCAATATGTGTTGATGCTAGATCGTCGATAGTTTCGTCACCAACGCCAACGAAATTTGTTAAAACCGAACAACTTCTCGATCGAACATCGTCAAATCACATTTATTCGAACAGCAATTCCCCATCGGATGAACATAACGAACGTAAGTCATCTTCTTTTCATTGCTAGAATTCTCGAAAAAGGAATAAGTGCAATTACACGAATAACATATCATTCGAATTTTGACAGATGTCAATACAAGTAATGGCTCACCTTTACCTCATCAACAAGAGATAGATGGTGATCGACCTGGCTCCAATATTCCTCATGACGAATCTATTACACCTACGTCACAATCGAACGATAATACGAATTTACCCGAACAACAATCACACACTCCAACACCTGCTAATGAATCTCAATCCGAAACTAAAGTTACACCACCTTCTAATCCACAGCAACCGCAACGAAAACGTCGTAAGAATATTCCATCATCGAAAATCTCTCGACCATCTACAACAACAGCAACAGTACTACCATCATCAGTATTAACAAATAATATAAAACTCGAGAAAAATGTTCCTGTAATCCCAACAGTTTCATCGAACTCATCTTCAACCACAACGAAAACCAATGCTGCAATGATCTTCAATTCAATACGAACATTATTAGAAGAGAAAAAAGCAGACAATGATGAAAATCTATTATTAACTATTGATTGTCTCATCGATAGTTTACAACATTTACGTGAAAGAATAAAAACACTTGAAAGTAATAATAACGAGAGAAATTCTCTGACAACAACCCTTGAATATGACGATTCTCATCCATTGAATTTATCCCAGCCAAAGAAACGGCAACAAACTCGATTAGCATCAACCAACAGTGATGATATGAGTCCAAGCACAACAACAGTCAGCTCACCTTCGCCTTCAACACCGACATTATCATTACCATCAGCACTTTTCCCATCACAAGCCTTGTTTTACGAAAAACCATTCTTTCCTTCATTCTCAGGTGAGCGTCTTTTTCTTTGACAGATAAAATCGATCTTGTTTTTATATAAAATACCTTCTATTAGTCCCAAACATGACTCACATACAAAATTATTTAAAACTATCAGCTGCTGGAGTACTTAATGATTCAATCGTACGTAAATATAGATTATCACGTTCGAAATTCGATAGCTAAATCGATATTTTAGAATGTGAAAAATGGAGAAAATGGTAACTCGCGATGTTCATTGCCATCTCCTTTCGTTGCAGGCAAATCTTAACTAATAATTAAAACTATGTATGCCAATTTATTTGTTTTTAATTAGGTTTAAATATGTATGGTTTTCCGCCATCATCAAATCATCTCTCTCATCATTCTAATTTATCATCTACACTGCATGAAACAGTGACTACAAATAATAATAACCATCACAATAATAATAACAACAACAACAACAACAACAGTAATCACCATCATCGCGATTTGTCTACCGACAAAGAATCAGCATCATTAGGTGAGTTGTGCGTACTTGTGTGTTAGAAAAAGAGTCTTCCATGGTCGAAAAAAAGAGAAATGTAAATCGTCCAACCAAATCACATTCCGATTGGGTTGATTGGTAATGATACGACGAAAAAAAGACACCGAACAAAAACAAACGAAAGAAAGAAAGGAGAGGAAAAAAAGCGAGCCGAGTCGATTATACACATATTTAAATGAAAGAAAGGATGAGAGAAGGAGAGAAGAAAAGATACAAGGCTCTGATATCCACTAATAATGATGATGATGAGAATAGCGCTCTCGTAGACAAACTTTACATACGTTATGGGTTAATGTATCGCATTGGTCTTTCTTGTGAAGCATTGTAACGAATAAATATTATTTTTCACCGAACTATGTATCGATGTCTAATATGCTTTAATATCAAATCTATTTGCAATTAAATAAGAAACCTTGTTAGATGGGTTAATGAATACATAATGTTAAAGCCTTGATTTAAAAAAGACGACGAAAGAGAATGAGATTGATAAAGTAAATAAAATATGTTCTATGTTTCGACAGATGCAGATGTTTAAATGAGATTTGAAACGAATGTATTGATCGAATAATCATTGTTGGGAGAACTCATTACTAATCGACTATCGATTCACTTGTCAAATGATATTCTCATTGAAATATCTAGATCGATATGACAGATTAATTCGTCTCGTTGTAGCTCGTCATGTTTCAACAAATCGAAAAGATCGAAGTCATCATCACCATCATCATTCACCGTCGAATGCTCTATCCTTAGTACCAAATAACAATGGAAATAACGAATCGATTTCAACATCGTCATCATCCTCTTCTAATGATCATATCAAACGGCCTATGAATGCATTTATGGTTTGGGCTCGAGAAGAACGGCGAAAGATATTAAAAGCTTGTCCAGATATGCATAATTCAAGTATCAGTAAAATCCTGGGTGCTCGATGGAAAGCAATGAGTAATGAAGAGAAACAACCGTATTACGAAGAACAGTCACGTTTAAGTAAAGTTCATATGGAGAAGTATCCTGACTATCGTTATCGGTATGATATTGTTCGTCTTTTTCTACTTTTTGTTGACAATTTCTTTTTTTGTTTAGACCCCGACCGAAACGAACCTGTGTGATCGACGGTAAGAAAATGCGTTGGTAAGTTTCGATCTTATCATCAGCTAATAGATAATTAGATAGATAGTTAAATTAACAAATGCTTTCTTTTCTCTTCCTAAAGGTCGGAATACAAACAAATATTGAAACAACGAAAACACAGCCCATACGATGATCAACTGTCACCTGATAATGGTGAATATCTAAGTAAATATTTTTTCGTTGTTGTTTTTCATATGTTACAGAGAACTAATTCGATCGTTTAGATATCAAAGAAGAAGATGACGATGATAATGTCGATGATGTTGACGATGAATGTAGTTCCGATGGAAGTGACAACTCACAGAAGGCGCTCGTTTTTGCTGACTAGTACAATGTGATTCGTGGTGCTTTGGATTCTAAACAACTCAAGTTTCTCGTAGACAGTATTATCAACAGTATTCTCATCTATCTCTTTTTTTGTGTCCGGTCAGGTGTGTTGACAGTTGAAGTTTCTTTTTTTCTTTGTAACATATGCATTAGAACAAGAGAAATAACAGTGAATCTCATTTATCAATTGTTTTTTTGTTTTTCTTTTTTTTTTCTATACATAGTTCTCTACATGGGATGTTCGACACCCTCTTCTGTGTGTTCTTTCTTGCTCTTGTACATTCTATGTATGCGTGTGTGTACGAGTGGTTTTACACATTCACTTAATCTCTGTTTTCTATATGTCATATGTATGTGCGTGTGTGTATACTATGCGATCGCCCGGTGCACAGTACACTTCTCTTATGTTCAATATTCATATTCTCGTTTCTCTCGTTTTCTTCTTCTTTCGTTTGATTCTCTTTGCTTTGAAGTTTATTCATTATTTCGTTTTTTTATTCATCGTCAACTGTTTTTCTTTACATATGCCTTTTACTTTCGTTTCTTTTCATTTTGCTAAAAAAGTATATCGATCGATCTGTTGTTTTTCTTTTATTAAAGAGGCAGAAAACGGCAAACAAATGAATAAAAAGATTTTATCTCGGAAAAACAGATGTCTGATTTTGTCAATTGAGAGAGAGAGAGAGAAGCGAACTGTATAGGTGTGGAAACTCAGGGAGAAAGTGACGGACCTTGGATCAATTAGCATTCTTGTTTGGTTGTTTTGATACAAGATGTGCGGAGAACAGATAACATCTGAAATAAGAAATGAATAAAGGAGAAAATTTTGTTTTTGTGTATGAATTAATTAGTAAATTGTTTTTTGATGAGTGACAAATGAATGCTAACGATTGTTAGATTAAATTGTAAAATGAAACGAAAATTTAATTTGAAATTATAATGATGTGACACTTAACCAATCGGTCGACAGTTGCCGTTGACATTAGTCTTTTGTCAAATAAATTTGTATTCGGTAACGAACGCTGAGTGGTGTAATTAGGTGTCATTTCTGCTTTTCTCAGCATCGTATATGGATGATCTTTATGAGGAGAAAAACCAGTCGAAGCAAACGATGACCTTTCGGATAACAAAAGTTTTTAATTAGATGCTAACAAATTGAATAGAATCGGATTTAAACTTCAATCTAGATTAAAATAAGAATGCATTAGAGATGTTATACTTAGAATTTGATGAAAAAACAACCTTGAGTTCGATTTGAAACGTTAATGAGATACTCAAAGAAGAGCACAATAGTAGGTCAGAAGCAATTTCGTAAACAATATAGAAGAATGAACTGAAATCATGATCACGATAGGTGGGCTGTTTGGTAAAAATAGGCCTTTCATTCATTTCCGATGTTCGCTGATTAATAACAATTTACACAGAAGAGATTTTAATAGCATATATGTGACTTTTCATAATGGCAATGATAACTGGCGACATCTATTCTCGATTTCGTTCACGTATTTTCACTGATATCTCAATTGTATTAATTGAATGTAGAATTACTTGTGAAAATCAGTTTGTTTTAGTCGGAAGTTTTATTTCCAAATTGATATTGGTGGTTGCCCTAGTAAAAACTTGCATGGGATACTTTAATGGTTTTCAATCAAATTTGTTAGAATTCATTGCATCGATCGATCGAGTGCATCAGCATGAGTAACGATTTGAAATATGTTCTTCTACCAACTATCGATGATCGACGTCGGCCACCGAAATTTCAACCATGGTATATTTTTCTTCATATATTTCCTATTTTGTTATGAAACTAAATTGTCAAATTAAATCTAGGAAAACAGCTTCTTCCGAAAAGTGAGATAGATTCTATATGTATATAATTAGCTACTCTTTGCTATGCTAAATCCTTGCATGGGATTCAATGCGGAGATATGATATCGATTAAAAACTTTCCTTTTATTCACTATAGGTACCGTGAACGAATTCGGATGAAATACCCGAGCAATATCAACACGAAAAATTGGAAATTTGTTAAGGATGGTCTGGATGATTTTCGCGATGGTTTGCCCCCGTGTCATGATGATATTATGTTACAAGTAATGAGACCTTTGAACAAGTATTCTTTGATCATTGAATCCTTTAGCCCGAAAAAGGACTTGGACCAGTACTACTAGCTGAACCGCGCCGAGTAAAGTCTTGCGTAGTAAACGCTCAATCGCGACTCAGCGCACATCAGAAATACTACAGTCGAGAAATACCTGCAGCAGAAAAACGAAGACGAACTATTGATCATTATATATCAAGTCTATTGGAACATCCAGTCGCCTTCTTTGATCATTTTAGTAAAGTATTAACACCTGAGGTATGTATTGTGGTTACCAATGATGTGTATGATTAGTTCAATTTCGATAGACATACGATCGAGTGACAAGATTGTTTGAAGCGGAACTATTACGTTACGATGCGGATGATCCAATTCCGTCTGTTGATGGACAGAATGACACATTCCTATCGTCAGGAATGGAAGGATTAACGCAAGTTGAAATGGCTGAAAGTGATAAGAGTGGTTTTGAACATGTGTCTCAAGAAGCCGAGAACACGTAAGATACAAACTTTAGCTCGTGCTGTATGTGACCATCTACTCCATATTTGTAAATAATAGAGGCATTAGTGAGTTATCCAATGATTTAGCTACGAAAGCACGCATTGACTCTAGAAATCAATTACCGGAATTATCTGAGAATAAACCAAGTCCACCAAGAATCACTCGCAATGGAGTTGTTTATGATGATGCTGGTAATCAGTGGAATGCTGAAGAATACTATAGAAAACAACAGAATCCTTACCGATGGTACATTGAAAAACAACGTCAAAAACAGCGTGCAAAAGGTCCTAGTCAAGATGAACAAGCAGCCATAGCTATGGTAATACAATTTTCATTGTTATTTCTTCGCTCAATTCTCCCTTCTGTACAGGAAACAAAATTACGTCATGTATCAGAACAATTTTGTACTTGGTTATACGATTTAGGCGGAGAAACAAATACAGATATTGATCCAGCTGTAGTCAGGAATCTCTTTTCGACTGCTTACGACACAAAGCCATCGTTAAGTGTACCAATCAAAGTGGTGGAAATGACACGAGTTCGTCGAAAAAGTCTTCACTATATCTGACTCTCTCGTGATATTTATTAGATTCCAGTTGACTTGCGAGATGGTACACAAGATACAATGATCGCCGAACCACAACAAGCAACAGGAACTCTATCAGAAATGGTAAGTTTCACAAGAAATTATTGATAGTGTGAATCAATTCGATTGAACCAATAGCGTATGGGTTCCGGTAGTGCTAAGGCGAAAGAGATCACAACTGCACTTATCAATCAACGACCACGTACGCAAAAATATCGATACGGTGCATGGTATTTACCAAAAACTCTCTGGCATCGTAAATTAACAACAGAGGAATTGATTGATCCAAAGGCCACTAGAGCTGAACGAGAAGATACATCTCGCAAACGCGAGGAAGAGATTGTAAGATATAGAATGAATTATTTCGCTGAAATTATTCTGAATTCGTTTCATTCGCTGTAGAATTCTCGGCTGGCTCCATTACACGGTGTGAATGCTTTCCGAGATTACCTTTTGGAAACAAACGCCGCTCGAATGCCAAAAGTAAACGATATACAATTAATTAAAGAATACAGTCCTTCAGACTTTCGCTTTTCATTTAGCTAATAAGTGATGTTGAACAATATCGTCGCAATCATCTAGCTGAAGGTCAAACAAATCGCACAGGACTCTACGCATCTTAAAAACACAGACATCCTATATATGTATAGATATTTTATCTTTAAATTAACCATATATAAATCAAAAAAAAAATTAAAAGAAATATATCGACGCTATTTTGCTTTCAGATAATCATTATGACTGATAAACCTGATTCATACTCTGGTTTTAATGACTACAATCCTTTGCTAGATACTGATGTAAGTCTAATCTTGATGATAAGGGGACCATAACGATTCGCTTTTCTTTGAAGAGTCTGAAATATGATAATGATTTGCAACAAGCAGTGCTAAAGACTAGTCATGGCCGACGAGCTCCGCCGGTAAAGAACTGTTTTTTCTTTATTTGAGAATTAATTTGATAGAATATTCGCATTTTTCTTAGACTGGTCAACCTGGTACTGCGACACAAAAGGTAAGATGGTATTTTTTCGAACATTTGAAAGTCTATGTGAATAACTTTCAGGGTGGATTCTTCTCGAAAATGAAGAATGTTTTCAGTCGGCAGAAAAATGTTCCACCACCGGGTACATCTTCGGGACGATTGGGAACTGCATCACGTGCAGCCCAGCAGAATGGTATGATGGGTGCTCCACCCGGCTCAGCATCTCGCCGTCTTCAAACAGGTTCAGCAGGTCAAAAACGGCCAACAACTGCTGTTCAAGGCGCAGGATTTATGGCTAGTGGTTTGAGCGGTGCCACGACCGTATCGGGACCTACAGTATTCGAGAAGAAAGAAGAAACGTGCGTATTCTTAGTTTCAAAATAAGCACATCGTTGATATTTGTTTGCGTATTTCAGGACTGAAGATAAAGTGAGAAAAATGGAGAAGGCAATTATTGATCTTGTCGGAGAAAGTTGTCTCGCTAATGAAAAGAACGATACGAAATTGGTAGGGAATACGTTTGGATTTGTTGTCTATGTTAAGAAATATTTTGTTAGGCGTTGGAAAAAGCAGAAGAAGCTATGCGAAGTGAAAAGAGTCTGACACGTTATCGCGAAGAGCAAAATCTTGGCGAAGCAGATATGAGTCTGGCTGGCTTTGTACGTATCGATTTAGAAGTGTGGAGATTGTGGTCGTTCTGTTTTAGAACTTCGCTTAGGCTCAACATATATCCACAGTATTCACTTATTTTTTTAGACTATTCTCCATTGTGCTAATATGTACACTAAATGTGGAATGAATTCCGAAGCACTGAATCATTATAATACATTGTTAAAAAGCAAGCTCCTTCCTATTTCAAGTCGATTGTAAGTCAAACTTGTTGTTTTTCGAATGAACTGAATACATTACCTACCTTTTAACATGGATAGGCGAATCAATATTGGAAATGTATATCTACATTCAAAACAGTATGCTAAAGCATTGAAAATGTATCGCATGGCTCTCGATCAAATTCCCGAACAGAATGCTGATTTGAAGTAAAGCGTTATTTGTTGTTCAGTTCCGATTCATTATAGTCAAATGTACAATTATAGATTTAAAATTCGTGAAAATATCGCGGCGACACATATCCTCATGGGTCAATATGCTGAAGCCGCTCAGGCATATGAATCGATTATGCAAGAACGCCCTAATTATCGTAGCGGCTTAAATCTTCTGCTCTGTTATCATGCATTGAGTCAACGTGAGAAAACTCGACGAGTGTTTACTGATCTTCTAAAAATACCTTTTCTCAGCTCGGATGAAGATTATCAGCCTTCAGTAATTACCTAAATCCGACAATGATTGCTTATATGTGTAAATGCATTGATTTAGGTTGATAAAGAGGATAAACAAGCCAACCTGGTTCTTGAAGCGACAAGAGATGATCGGTTGAGGCAATTCGAACGAAAACGGTACGAATGTTGGGTTGCTTAATGTTTTTATCTTCAGTTTTGTTTAGTCGTCGCTTTGCTGAACATGTCATTGTCACCGCTGCGAAGATAGTTGGCAATAATTCCGATGGAGATTTCGTTGGTGGTTATGAATGGTGCATCGATCAAGTACGCAATTCGACCTATCTCGAATTAGCAAGTGGTCTGGAGATTCAGAAAGCAATTGCTTACTTACGAGAAAATAATTTTGCCAAAGTAAAGTAAAACGAGATTGAAATAAGAGAATAAAGAAGAGAAATGACTATTTCAGGCCATTTCAACATTGAAAGAATTCGAAAAAGCTGAAGCAAAATTAGCCAGTGCAGGTATGTACGAAAATAGTTGATCAACAATTAATTGGATGAATATTTTCTTCTTAGCGGCAACAAATTTATCATTTCTGTACTTTTTGGTAAGTGGAATCATTTTTTCAATATTAAATATTATTTGAAATATACTATTTCAACTACAGGAAAAGGATCTGAATAATGCACATAAATATGCTGATTTAGCTTTAAAAACTGACAAATTCAATCCAGCTTGTATGTAACGCTAGTCTACTATCATTGACCTGTTTTTGTTTTGTTTTGTTCAAAGCATTGACGAATAAAGGCAATTGTTGCTTTGCTCAAGAGGATTATGACAAAGCACAATATTATTACGAAGAAGCGTTAAACATTGATGCCGGCTCTGTAGAAGCTCTTCACAATCTCAGTAATGTTACGATGATCTTTGCTATTTGTATAACAAGCTTTCTTCCATATTTAGTTTTAACATTGCAGAAATCCAATCAATATCAACGCGTTAAAGATCTTCTCCATAAGTACGAAAGCATTCAACCGGCCAATGCTCAAGTATTTTGTCTTATGGGAGAAGTTTTGCAACAAACGAACGATACCGAACATGCGAAAAGCTGGTCTGTTGAACAAAGGTTCATTCATGTACGAATGTGTTTCTTTTGAAGGTATTTACAAGCGCTAAGTAAATATCGAACCGACGGTCATCTACATCGACGAATCGGCGAAGTTGTAGACATGCAAGGAGATAAATCAGAGGCGCTACAGTACTATTTCGATGTATGAATTCTTTTTGAAATCGAACTTAGTAAAAAACTTTACTTTTTCTTTATGTTAAGGCTTTTCGACATAATCCATGTGACATCGAAACGTTAGAATGGCTTGCATCTTATTACCTGGAAACACAGTATCCAGATAAAGCTGTCGAATTCTGTGCACAAGCTGCATTAGTCAAGTACATCGAAAGAATTTCGACGACTTACGTTAATGAAAAACAAGTTTATTTATTCTAGGCCCGGAGAAATCAAATGGCATTTAATGGTCGCTTCATGTTATCGTCGTAGTGGTGATTATACAGCTGCTCTTGAGAAATATAAATGGATTCATATTCATTTTCCTGATGACATCGATTGTAAGAATTTCAATACAAATTACTCAGTCAGATATACATGTATAGATAGATAGATAGATAGACAGGTTACGAAGAACATCTATCAATGGCGGGGTAACACGCATAGGATAATAATTGCATATTTTTAGAAAGAAAAGACTTAATAAGTAATGTATATTATGACGGAGAAGATTTTCATTTTTGAATATAATGCGAACAAATGTAGTTAATGTATGCAATTTAATGACAGGAAAAGTACCAGATGGTGTTGACATGATTGTGATAACATATTCTTATAGTTATTTATGTTCTCTGTGCCTAGAAAGAAGTTTTATATCTCACAAGATGCAATTAGCTTTACTTAGCCGAGTAAGGTGAGAGACATGTCTGGTGGTACAATTTATTATTAGATTTTCCTAAAGATGGCGATATGATATCGTGAGAATGTTCTCATTACTAGCTGGAATTTTTCTTTTTCCCTGCAAAGTGTTTGATATATTCGACAATCTTGAAGAATGTTATATTATAGTTTTAAAAAAAGGAAAATGTTGGATCTTCGTGATAAAGTAATTGAAATATGAAAATATGATTCATCTTCTCTCTATTTTATCTGCAGAATTGATAAGGATACACTGTTTTTTTCTAATCGAGGGTTAGTGACGTCGTAAGAGATATATAATTAGCTAATGATCATCTAGGTATACAATTTTTGGTGAAGATTTCCACGGATCTTGGTCTTCCTGAACGTGAAAACTACGAAATGGAGTTGAAAAAAGCGAATAAAATCAAGGAAATCAAACTTCAAGTACGTTTAAAAGTTCTAACTTAACCAGATAAGAGCGAATGTTTCTCTATAGCGACAAACAAGCGCAAGTAAAAGTCGTGGAATTGTCAACGGTCGAAAGGTCTCTCACGCTGATCAAGATGGTAAGACAACGAACGCTTTGTTGCTAACTTCATTGTTTCTTCTCCTAGTTTCTCAATTCAAAGGCGATGATACTCGACAATTGAGTGGTCGTAAACGAACACCAATTGATCTGAGCAATACGGAGGGTGTTTTCTCCCATCCAGGTATTACAACTAGGCTTTTCATTGATCAGGCAAGAAAACGATATCTGTATTAAACTTTAGAACCAGCTTCGATTCAACCGTTTGTTGATCAATTTCCTCAAGATATGGCCGATGGACGACCGAAAACAGCTATACGACGAAAAGAATTAAACAAAGCTTTATTCGATGACAACGAGGACGCTGCTGAACTTTTACCTGACTAAAATATCTTTTCGTTTATCTTTTTCTGTTTGTGGTATTTCTCTACGTTGGAATAAAATCTTGCAAAGTGTTTTTTTCTCTCATCTTATCGACAACTATTGTTCTCATGTGTTTTGCAGCTGATGTTTTCCTTTCTTTGACTACCTTTTCTCTTTCTTTTTTTCACACTCCCTTAGCACCAACGCGCATTTGTAAACTACAAATGGGCGAATACATTACAGTACGCAGAGAAAAATAAGGGGTGAAAGTGTGCGTACATCGGTTCTTTTTCTGGTTTCGTTAAATAATACGGCAAGAAAAAAAAATAAGAAAGAGGAGAGGAAAAAAGAAAATATGAGGGTAGATAGTTGTAACGACGACGACGACATCGGCGGCCTTTTCCTCTTTTTCTCTGTAGTTACGAATTGCCATCGTCAGTATTACAAGTAGCAAGCAAATGTCAAAGAAGCTAAGGTAAGTGGGTTGCAAGATTAGAGAATTGATAAATAATGTTGATGCTGTTAGTATTATTTTATATATATATATAAGCACACATACACACACACAGTCGTATGCATGTGTGGATGTCCATATATGCATATTGAATGAAATGAATCTGAAGTTGAGTTTCATTTACTTTTATTTTTCTTCTGAATAGAATCAAGGGTAAAAAGCTAAATATATTCTTGTCAGTCAATTGATCTTAAGTCAATAAGAAAGAGAAAATTGACAGTGGTCGATTTTCTTTTTTACTAACTCATATATTCGCGGGATAAGAAATTTGTTTTTCTAGTCGATGCTTGCCAAATTTTAACTATGATATGACTAAGACTTGTGATTCAACATGAAGTCGAATAATGACGAAATGCTAGTAGATTCTGTTCTTTGTTGATCGTGCATGTTTTTATATGCATATGCTCGTTTTTTTCATGAGAGTCATCGATATATATATATATATATATCAATAGAGTACAAAGCATGTCTTTTATTCCTTCTCATTCTCTTTTTTCCCCTGTCTTTTCCTTCGAGAAAATCCTGTTTTTCGTTGACTATCTGTCTGTCAATCGGCACAGGAAACCATCAACTAGTGAGAGCAGAGTATATTACGTAGTATTTCAAGCCCTTCCCTTCTTTCTAGTGAAAAAAGCAAGTTCTTTTTTTTTCTTCTTTTCTTATAGTACGTGGAACAAACAATACGAAGTGATTAGATAAGTCAAACTAGATGCATCCATCTACAACAATCACAACTAGTGAAATGCCATTAACATCGTCGGGATTTGTTCGCGGTGGTTCGAATCCCAATTTAGCTATGAATCAACATGTCGCTGCACAAAGTCTAGCTCGATCTAGTTCGAATTATCATTTTTCCTATCCTGACCTTGCATCAGCCTCTGCAGCATCATTGAATTACATTGATCTACTTCGTACTTTGAATTATCAACGATTTTTTGGGCCAACAGTGACGAATGATCAATTGTCAGATAATTCACCGACTGATTATCATCCACGGAATGGATCATTTCATCAATATTGTCCTCGTTTATTACCCAAACCTTCGCATCAACAAATCGATGATGAAATCTTTCTAAATAAATTTCATCATGAAACAATAGTTAATTTAGATTCAGGTGAACCGAAGAATATTCAACAATTGACGACCAACGATTTTCTAACAAGTGCTAAACGAAATCAACAATACTCAAGGTAATCTATTCAGAATCCTCAGAAAAAAACAACGACTCATTCTTTTATGTAGTATTCTAGCACGGGTGGAACACATCGGCACGATAGATAAAACAACTGGTAAAACAGAATTACGTTTTTCAATCGATGAAATTGACAAAACAGTACGTCTAATGACTACATTTTATTTCACTTCAATGTCGTTCAATTTCAGATAACTTATCATGTGCTACCCGAAATGCCGTTTTTTGTTCACCAACATTCGTGCTGGTCATCGATATCTCCTGAACATACATATCATCGATGTGGTTTAAAGTGTCGACAATTAGAATGTGGTGATATTATTATCGCTGTGACCGAACAGCAAAAAGTTTCGCCAACAAAAATAAGTGATAAACCAGATTACAGTCAATTGTCACCCACGAAGTGTTTGGTCGGAAGGTATATCAACGGACAAATGTCGGCTTCTGCCACAGCAACATCAAATAAACGTCACAAAATATCTAATGAATAGCTCGTTGTTGTTTTCTAACTAGTACTTGGACAATCTAATCGCTAAAATGTCATTGTACTACGCTTGGACGCGTCTAAATGTCCTCTATATGATTTGCTCGAACGCACATATTTGTTTTTCTCGTCAAGAATAGTAAACGAGTTTTTATTTTCTATTACATACACTGATCCCTCTCTGCCATAGACCAAGTATTTCGTTCCAAAATCCATTTTATTCTCCTCTTCTCATAGATCGGTGTGTTTTTTTTTGTATCTCGCTGTCTCTATCTTTGTGAGTTGATTTTCTTCTCTTATATAATACTCGTGTGATAAAGTCATTTGTTGTTGATTGTTTACACATGTATACGTGTTTTGTTATTGATTTGAACTATATCAAGGAGCAAGCAGAACTTTTTAGTTGAAATCAGTGAGATTTATTCTTGTTGTTTTCTCTCGTTTTCTTTTGATATGAAAACTACATTAACAATTATTATCAATTGTCGTGGTCTTTTCTTCTCTTCATGTATTCATATAACCAAACAAGAAATAAAATCTTACATATAGTAAAAGAAATTCTCCAATGAATGAATGAATGAATTTCGAAATGTATGTACATGTCTTTATGCTTTGGACTCACTTGTTATTACAAGTAATTTTATACTTCAACTATGCGTACAGAACGAATATGAACGTTGATGATTAGAGTTGTATTTCATGGCTAATGGATAGCACTTCACGTTCATTTACTTTGTTCTCTGATGAGTGTTCATTTAAATAAAAGATTTTCCTATTCGAAGAGGAAAGGAACGAGATAAGTAGTTCGTGTTGAAATACCAAACGAAAAACGATGATGATAATTTATTTATTTAATTTTTCCTTCTTTTTTGTGAGACAAAAGATAGTGAAATGTCTCATGCGACTAATACACAAGCACCGCCGGCAGCTTTGATTTTTTCTTCGGCTGTTCTTGAGAAGAATTTAGCCTTTACGATAAGTGGTTGTTTAGGTAGAACACCTTTGCCTAACACCTTGAAATAGCCCGATCGGACAACATTGATAACAGGTGTTACGGCAGCTTCGCCTTCCGAGTATTTAGCTTGTGTACGTTGACTTAACAATGACCAGAGACGGTCAAGATTGACGGATGGGCACCAACGACGGTTTTTGAGTTTGTGAAATTCACGTTGACCAACTTTACCAAAATAACCTGGATGGTATTTGTCGAAGAGGGTACGATGGTGATGAAGACCACCAGCATTACCACGACCACCCGGATGCTTACGATGTTTACCGACACGACCATGACCATGGGACACGTTACCTTTGGAGAAATTCGAAAACGATCACTTGATTGGATTTAACAAATGAATGAACTTACCACGTAATTTGGTCTTTTTGGGTTTTTTATTCAAACGAGTATTACGTGCTGATCCACGTGCTGCCATTATGTTGTTGCAAGAGAACTAATAGAAATGTAATCTAGAAATACAATTAGATTTTATGTTCGAATTTCGTAGAAAATTTTCGTGTATCTCGATCAATGACAATCTCGAGATTTTGTACTCGAAATTTTCTCTCAATCGAATTGTTAATTTAAATGACTGAAAGGGTCAATTTTTAGCGATGAAGTTTAGGTTTTACAAAAAAAAACATGGAAATCAAAAGCAGTACAACAAGCAAGCAACCAATACCGTATGGGCCAATCAAGATTCGCTCATGCATCCATGTTGTCCTTTTTTTTGAATTCTGATTTCGAAAAACTAATTATACAAAATTCTTTTTCTATTCATTTGTATATATAAAAATAAAACTCAACTCTCCAACATTGAACTACACTAGCGACATTTATTTGATTGGTTAGTGGTAAGAATAACAAATTTGGTATTTACTTGGAATGTAATGTAACACTATGTGATACATTTCAACAAACTTATTCTATTAGACTTTTGTCAACTATGACTACGCTGCCAGATGACCGAGACCCAAATGAAGGTTTGTTTTTGATATCAATGGAATTGGTTGGAAGAGAAAGAGAATTCTTCTTTAGGTGAAGACGAACGCGATCGTAAACGAAAATTATTTTCAACAAAATCGAACGCTTCGAAAGAGAAAAGTAGTACATTATTGATTGGTGCTGAAGCAAGTGAAGAAGCATTAACAACTGCGCAGGACTTCAAAAGTTTGCTAAGACCAAAGAAAAAGAATGGCTTTAAATTAATAAAAACAAAAACGAAAGTTTCATCCGAACAAAAAGAAAGACGGACAAGTAGCGTGTGAAATGAGTAATAATACAAAATCCAATTCATCTTCGTTTAGGTTTGAAAGATGAAAAACGAAAATCGAAGGCAAATCGTGATAGTATTGCAAGTACAGCAGGTTTGTTTTACTGCTTTACGGATCGTAGAGTACTTACTGAGTTTTCGTTTAGCTTTAGTCGAACAACTTCGTCTAATACTTGGTCTGTCATTAGATGAAGCGATTAAGCACAATCCTCTCCAAAATGATGATCTTGCAGTACCACGTTTCCTTGTTGATTGTATTCATATTATTGAACAAGGTATTTCGTTGATTTCATTTTGATTAGAATAGTCTGTTGTTCCGATTTTTTTTGAAAAGGTCACGGGCAGGATAATGTGTATCGGCAAGAACCAGTAAAAATCAAACAACCGGCTGATCTTGAAAACGCTTTAAAACAACCGTTAACACCTGCATTTGCTGTCAGTTTACTAAAACGTTTTCTCAAAGAACTACCTGAACAATTGATTCCTCCTGAACAAAGCAGTGGGATATTTAAAATAATAAATGATCCAAGTAAGATTTGCATTTCACTTCGAATTTCCTTCAATATCTTTTCATTTTGTTTTTCTTTAGGTGCTGATGCAACGCGATTCGCTGAAATTCGTAATCTCATTCAGAAGATCTCGAAGCCTAATCGAGATACGATTCGTTTATTATTTCTTCATCTTCACGATATTATTCATCGATTTAATACGATGTCACCATCGCAAACACCGTCGTCGAAAAACAGTGACTCATCTTCTATACCTGTTACAATAGCTGCATTGATCAAGAGTAAAGAACGTACTGTTAAATATCTCATTCAACATGCAACGGATATTTTCGAACGCCCACGAACCTCATCGACATCACGGTATGTTCAATAGAAAACTTTTCTTTTCGTAGTAAAACAAAGATTTGATTTATTTTATGCAGAGTTTCATTAATAAAGAATGTTTCACGTTCTTCCCTTCATTCGGAAACGATTGAGTAAGTAACTTGATGAAAGAAGAATATTGCGTTGTTTACAAATCGTCTTGTAGAGAATTAGAGGCTGAATTAAACAAACAAGAAGCATTACTGAATAGAATGCATGAAGAAATGCAACAATCACAGCCAGTCTCATCAACGTACGGGACAACGACACCAACTAATGTAGATAAAGATAAAGAAGAACAATTATGGGCTCAACAACGGCTTGTCACAGCATTGAAACGCAAGGTAATTGAAATATTTCCCGAACATGAGTATCATTCTTCTTATTCAAATTCAGATCAAACAAGAAACTCGTCGGTTGCAACAAAATCGTCTCTCATCCTTTCTTGAACATTCAGCATCAACCACGGCTTGTGCATCCGTTTCTCAATCGAGTAAAATCTTTTTTTTTTCGTTCTACAAGAAAAACAACTCAAACATATGTATCGATCTTCTTTAGCACCATCGCATCAACCAGAAGTCATCTTAATCGTTAATAAACGCGATGAGGCATCCAAACACCAACAAACGCCGAGTACAGCGGATGAAACAACGAAAACTACACCTGGTCCGATAAGCCCAAAGCCTGTCCGACAACGTGAACGAAGCGGTGTGGAAACCGATGATGATGATCTTCTTGCTCAGATACAACGAGCCATGGACGGTACTCCTGGTGTATCTGAAGAAGAATTATTGAAAGAAAAAATCATTGAAGCACGTCTTTTAGCTCGATGTAAGCATTCTTTCCTTATGTTTCGTCATTCACGTTCGAATCTTCTAGTGAAAACAATATACAACTCATTTATGAATGAAAAAGAAAACTTAGCTAAACTAGAACAACAAATGAATGAAAAGCCACTAGATCTATCAAATATAACTCCAGTAATGACAACAACAAGCGCGGATCATGAAACATCATCAAGTCAAACTGTAGATATTCTACAAGAACTATTAAATACAATCAAACTAAATAATCAACTAGAGGTATGAGATCGAAGTTGACAGAATAATAGTTCATTGCAATATTTCCTTTATTTTAGACAAAAATCGAAGCGATTAAACGTAATATTGAAAATGAAAATGAACGTATTGAAGAATTATGCGTTGACTTACGTTTCGGAAGATTATCGAGTAAAATTCATCTTCATACCAACACGAATTCGGTCCACTCGCCGGCAAATCCACTTGTTCAAGTGACTAAACTCTGATCTAACTAACTTATCTCCAACGTTTGAGAAAATAGTAACTAGCATCATGCAAAACGCGCACACATGCCAAATATCTCGTATGAAAATCCAATTTTGTTTTGTGTCTTCTTTTGTTCCACTATGAAAGTTTATTTTTCATGCGTATATGTAACTTTGTATAGAAACAAGACTAGCACAATGAAGAAACATAAAGAGTCGTTGTTTTGTTTTTCGCTTGTTGATCGGCCTTCCTTATTTATATATAAATAGATTCTACATATACTTATGTTTAGCGTGAAGATGTACTTTTGCGTTTGTTTTCCTGATTTTTGGCCAAAACCCAAATAAATATCAAAATATTTCTCTCCTAAGTACATATATATATATATCATATTGTAGATGTTTCTATCGACTATGAATCGTGTTCGTCTTTCGAATTTGCTAACAAGTCAGAAGACTCTCAATTTCTTACGATATGCAAATGTGAACACATCATCACAGACGAAGGATGAAAAGAAACTTAGTGATATTTTGAAGAGTCGCTTTCCAAACGCACGCCTTGTTGATGTAAAAGATACTTCATGTAAATATCCAATTGATTTTCTTTCTAATCATTGTTTTACAACTGATTCTAAGAGAATAATCAGTCTGTCAACAGTCGGACTCATGTATCTCGGAAAAAATTTCTTCTGGTTATCAGCTGAGAGAGTGAGAAAACAACCTTCGCTGATTTCTAAATCACTGCCTATGTCAACAGACAATTAACTACGTCTGATGCATTGTTCGATCGACAGCTAAAGATGATTATGATTGTCGTCCAAACTGACAGAGATCAAATTTGGAATATATTAATAAATAAAATAAATTTAACATACAATCAAGCGTAATAATAAAAAACGAATGATGCGAATTTCTTTTTTCTTTTTTAGCTGGCTGTGGCGCAAGTTATGAAATTGTTGTTGTCGCCGATGAGTTTGCCAAAATGCGCACTGTGAATCAACATCGTTTAGTGTCCGATGCAATCAGCAAACAATTACCTAATATTCACGCCATTCGAATATTTACTGGTACAAACGAAAAAGAATTTCTGGATTCTTGATAGACAGATGTTTGTGCTTTGCCGTATTAGATTAGCGAATAAAAAAAAACGCTCCAAAAGCTTTCGTTGCTTTTAATCATCATAATACATGTTCATAGTAGGTTCTTGTCATTGGATATTTATGCACATCTTTGTACGGTGGTGGTTCGTAGCATTGTTCATAGATGTGATTCGATGTTCGATCGTATTCGGGCGATCGATGAGGAGTTGGTAAATACGGAGGTGGTGGTGCTGTGGGAAGATGCAATCTCTAGAGAAGAGGAAAAGGCATCTAATCTTGAGTAATAAATTTGTTTGGAAAAAAAGGTATACTTTAGGAGTAAATCTGCTTATTCGCTGCCGTTGTGTACGAATACAATATTTGATTAGTATCGTAATACCGGTAGCGACAAGAAGAATAACAATTGTAGCTATTGCAACAGCTGAGAAAAGACAAAGAATCATTTAAACATGTCAAATTGGCAAGCGATTTTCTTTACCAATGTAGAAATTAACATCCGTGAGAAATCGATAAGGTGAATAGTTATCATCTATGAGTGCAGACAAATTTCGCTTTTATTCTTCGTTCGATTCAATTATTCTTACAAGTTTGTTGAAGACGAAGGCACGCACGACGATCTTGTATGACCTGACATGGTACGTAATGAAGTGCTTTACATGCTAAATCACAGCGCAATTCATCTTCAGATGAGCATGAATAGAGATTGTCGATACAAAGTTCTATTTGAAGAAAAGTAAAAGAATAAATATGTAATTAGTTCAAACTTACTACAAAATTGGCCTTCTTCATCAGAACGATCTTGACAATCAAATATTCCATCACAAAATTGCGACCAACGTAATGTTCGATTTCCTCGGTCACATGTCGGCTGAAGCGATGGGTTCATCAGTGCTAATCTCTTTCTTCCGTATTCAATAGAACATCTAAAGAATCAACTAATACATACTTATTTTTCTTCTTGTTCCCTCTTTCTCTCTTCGTCATCGTTCTTTTTTTTGTGTTTCTTCTAACATAATTCATCTGTTTTTTTTCTTTTGTCCTGATGTAATTGAGATGCTAGAGGAAGAACAAGCCGAAATGATTTTCCCCTTTCTATTCTTTGTCGTTGGCCGATTTTTCTCCTCGTTCTTATTTGATTAGAAGAATAAGAATATTAGTATAAACTAAATAGCATCAGACTACATACTGCTTTGTTACTGTACAACGGAGATAATGATCTTATTCGCGTCCTGTTCTATCCAAAGCCATAGATTTTCTTATATGATCGAGAAAAAAAGACAAATTATTGCCATTAATATACAACCTAACGTTCGTTTTCTTCTATTTCTCGTGTAATCAAGACGTATGTCGGCTGTTACACATATATATTACTATGGCCAACGATAAATAGTACGTTTCTCTGTTTATATGACGCTGATGATGATGAGTGAACTTCTGTCAAAATGTCATGTTGCATCATTTTTTCCTTCTATCTACTCATATGGCGTTCAATTAGGTTGTTCATCGGTTGGTTTCGATTTCATTTGCTTGAATGAATAAGCCCAGTCCTGATTTATATTAGCAAAGATGCTCTATTCCTCTCTTGTTCCTTGTCTAATCTGTTTGACTAACAAAAGACAATAGACGAGGCAACCAATTTCTTGTAATTGTTTGTCGACAGACACAATGGAACGATGAACGACTCTAACACATCGAAAAATTCGGAAAAGCAAAAGAGAAAGAAAACTACCAATACTTACGCACACACATATATATATATTATTTTTTTCTAGTATGCTCTCATGGGCTCATATCGAGAAGATTAGATGATACTTGTCTTTTTAGAGACCTTGTATGCACATATGCCCTTCGCTAGTGAAACAGCTTATAGTCAGGGAAAAGAGAGAGAGAGAGACACACACAGAAGGAGAAAAACAGTCAGAATAGATGATCATAGTAGCAAATTTCCTGTGCGTGCATGTGCACTGATGCAATCAAGAAAACGATGAAGAGAAAGAGTGAGAGATAGACCAGCAAAGCTCTGAAAAAGGAGAAAAAAATGATGATAGCTTCAGGCGTTTTCTTTACCTTCTTATCTATCATATTGAATGAACGGTTATATACTTGAAATCAAGTGACACTCACTTTACTAGTAACCTATGCACATCAACACTTCATGCGACAGCCTATAGGAAGAAAGATGAAAGACAAGACTAGCTATTATTCATTTGNTACTAATTTATGTCACTCAAATTTGCGCGTGCACAATGACAATCTATGCAACCTTTGGCCACACATACATAACCATCATTCGATATATCTGTGCGCACTCATTAGCTGTCTGTCAATGAGTGACATAATGGGTAACGGAAAGCCAACAAGCGAAGGAGAGAAAGTCTGATAGGAAAAAAGTGTTGTTCTTATCGCGGGACATTTTATGCATGATGGTCGACGGATGGAACAAAGGCGATCGCATTTCTTCTCTCAATTAGATCTGTGTGTCTGTAAGCGACCTAATCTGTCTACCCCTAGTGAATGAGAAGAGGGAGAGAGAGAGAGAAAAGATAAAACAATAACAACAACAACAGCAGCAGCACTGAGCAAAGGCATGTACTGCTGATCAAGGGAGAATAGATTCGATATCTCTTGTAGCCTGCAACAATTTCGCTTATGATGATTCCGATTGAATTATGACAACGACATTCCCTATTCAATCAAAGATATAACACTTTCTATTTTCTTTTTGATCGATTATTCATTGGAAATATCTTGAGATGTATTCATCTATCCTATCCTCGTGGTGATATGCTTTGATAATATCTTGAGAATATTAGAAATCACTTTTATTATCGGGATCACATATCTATGTATATATATATATATATTTTTCCACTGAACTAAGAATGAAGAATAAAATATATAAGTGTTTTTCTTTGATAAGATAAGAAAAATAAAGTAATTTATACAAAGAAAAGTAAAACGAGATTTAACTCGTCATTTTTTGTGGTGAGATGATGGTTAATGAATCTCTTCGTTGGGAACGAAACGACTTTCCAGGTAAAAGTTCATTTGTTGTTCGTGATTGAGAATGTTTTGCTAGTATCGATCGAGATTCATCTTCGAATAGAGGTACGACAACAACTGGAGTTAAATTCGCTTGTTCGAATTTCATTTTCACTTCTCGTGATGTTTGACGAACGGAACGTGGACGTAAATCAACTGAAGATCGTTGATTTTTTTGACCATACGTGAACGTCGTTCTCGATGATCGAACACGATTTGTTGAATTATTACTCAGACTTGCTAACATCACATTACTATTGCCTAAATCACTTGCCGATCGACAGGAGCTTATCGGACATGATACGTAACCATGTTTACAGCGTTGTTGATCGCGATTGTTGAGTGACCCAGAAGTTGCTGATAGTTGTCGTGATGACAGCGCTTGAGCTGAGATTGATGAAACCACACGTTTATATAGATGATAGTTTTGGCCGGGTGCACAATTTCCAAGACATGTAATACGTTTGCATTCATTACAACGTAATTCACGTTTGAGTTCATTCAATTCTCGACTATCTTTGTCAGTATTATTATTGTTATTGGTTTTATTTGGAAAATTTCCAGATAAATTTGTTGAACTTGCATCAAAAGCAGTGCTCTTCATTAGACGATTGTATGCAATTAGATTTTGACGTCGACGTTGTTCTCCTTTAATTGTATTTGTTTGTAATCTTAATTTTTAGAAATATGTATCTAAGTCTGATATCGACAAGAGAAAAAGCTATTTTACCTGGCTAGTTTAACACATTTCTCGAAAACAGCTTTGATATTTGGATTTGGGTCCGGTTTAATCTTAGTATCACGATACAGATCTCGTAAATTTGGTTCGATGTTCACATTATTCGATTGATATTGTGATTGGGCGGCAATCACTTGGTCGTATTCTTCCGTGAATGGATTTGGATAATCGTAGACATCTGTAGATGCATCAGGTGTTATATCGAAAGAATATTCATCGATATTCTTTTCACGTTCGAGAATATCTTCATCGTCTTCGCGTTCAGTTGGAGGTCGATCATTTTCTTCGACATCATCATCCGGAGATTGAATATTCGGTAAATCATCAACAGCTTCGACCTGCTCGTCGTTTACAGTCTGTTGAAAGCTAGGAAGACTGTCAATCTGAATAAAGCAGCAACCGAATAAGCAAAAAAGACACGAGGAAAAATCGATCTCTTACCCTGTTGTCCTCTTGATCACTTTCAGTTCTTTCGAACGAGTCTCGTTTGACAACAGTAGTTTCACTCAATCGACTACGATTGGATGTATCAAGAAAACTATCGCGACTGGTATTCAACTGTTCAAGACTATTCTCATTCGTATTCAGACATAGTTGATGAACGAAATGGCCATCACTTTTAAGAAGTGATGGTTTCAGACTACCGGGAAGAGGTTGAAATGTCGAATCCGATAGATTCTCAAAATTTCCCGAGGCTTCTGCTAAACGTGGAATTCGATATGGTACTGCTGTTACGGGAGAAGAAGATGCTGGCCCTGGTACTGATGCGCGAGGTGCAACGATTAGTTTCACTCGAGCCGCACTAATTCGCCGAGATCGTTTTTCAGTAGCTACAGGTGCTGTTGTTGGTCTACTCGTTTCTGGAAGACTTATCGCAGATACTTTCCGATCAGTTGACGAGGTTGGTAGTCGATTTCTACAAGAAGAAAAGCTGAATGGTTCTATCTACATCAGTGATTTACCCTATAATATTTGATTTGCCTGTGCTTGGTCGAAGTGTATTGTTCGATGAACGCTGATGCCAACGTGAGGAAAAGATTTCGTTTGTTTCGTATGCAGCTGGTTGTTTTTCTCCACGTGATATTCCTCGAGCTAACTGAAACAAAGACATGAATCGATAAAAATTTTGTAACGCTTTGATCTGCTTGTTTTAAACATAAAGGTCTTCAAGATTTGGAAATAAACACGCTTCAGGCTTCCTTTCATTCGAATTTCATTTTCGAAATCAAAAACAAAATTTTGTTTGCTTTTCAGAACACATAAAACTTCACATTCGAATCTTTACCTTTCGTTTTCCTTTGAAAAATATTCATTTCAAATCGTCATCGGTACACATACAAAAATACCGTTCAAAATCATCGCTGATTTATTCAATGGTTCGAAAAAGAAAACTTACAGCGGTCATGTAATCTTTGTTATCTCGAGTGATACGTGAAGTTTGGGGTCGCCAACTAGTTGTTTTCTATAAAAGAAAAGAAGGCGATGAATTAGAGATTAAAAAACATCATCATTTGTTGATTTTAAACACACATAGACACACCTTAGAAAGTGTTCCGACGTCTCCAGGATAGTAGGACCAAAATGAGTCTGGTTGAGGTCGTACACGTTGTCCCTGGACTCCGAGTGTCTCTGTAGGTGGAACATTGACAGCGCAGAGGAGACCAGACTGCTGCATACTTATATAAATATGTGTTCGACGCGTTTGACCGTCGATCATCTTTTTCTGTCTACTTCAACAGAGTCTTCTTATGGTGACAAACATATTTCTATTACGAATGAAACTCGTTCTGTTAAACAAACAGAATAAATTCTCTCGTAGTCGAACTGAAAAACGCTTTGTTCGCTTTTCGATCGAACTTTCCTTTCTCTCTCTCTCTCTCTCTCAGTTTCTACACGCGGGAGAATTCTTCTACTAAACTACACATTTGACCGCGCTCTCTGTGGATGACTAAAAAATGTGTCAATAAAATAAAATTTTCATCTTTTATAAACATTTTCTCAGATGAAACGATGAAAAAAATCCGAAGTGGAAAAGAAGAAAAGAACAACAATCATAGTAACCGTTTGTTACATAAACGAAGTTTTTCTTTCACTTACAATGCTTAAAATGGACAAATCATTGTTATTATTATTGTTAATCGACACTAAAGACTGTACAGGAGTTAAAATAACGAATGTGGGTGCACGTCGTAAATCAACAACGGGAGTCGCTGAGCGCGTCGTTGGCCGAGAAAGTTGAGTTAGTTTATTGGTATATTCATTACTACAAAGAAGAAAATTATGATCCATCCCTGGATGAAGACGTTGATCTTCTTTGAGTTTGTTCTGACGCGTAGGATAAAGAGATTGAATATACAACATTGTTCTTGTTTCCCGACCTTGCTCTAATTTCAAATGGCCCTTTATGATTTAAAGTGCGCTGCGCTATATGATTATAACTGGAGAAGAAAAAAACAGAAGAACGAAGTTATCGGAACAAATTGATCATGCAACTCTTAACGATATAAATATATGAATGACGTATTGAATCGAAAGAAAATACTCAGATTTCTCTCTCTTTTCCTGTATTGTCATGTCGTGTTTGCCTTGAAATTCATATAATCACTACTCTCGGTCGACTCTATCGAATTCATCATCGGCAAGAAAAAGTAAAAAAACAAAGAAAATTTAGAAGGAAAGAAAGCGATAACTTTTTAAGTAGTACTAAGTGCTATTACTGCTTTGTTTGTTACTATTAATATTAAATGACAATAAAAGATAAATCAAAATAATTGATATTCAAAAATCTAAACTCAACAATCTTTTCACATCATTCAATCTTGTTTTCCTCGTCGATTGCCATTCGTTTGTAGAACGTATTTGCTTCACAAGACCAATCGCTAGAAATTTCAAACACATTGGCTTGGCCCATATACAATTCGAAGACTTTATCCGTCAGACACTTATTAACTAAAAGATACTCAGGGATATGTAAAAGTGGATTTAGTTCGCGGTGATACGCTGAAGCTAGCATACATTCAGTCACCATCTACGAAACCATCGTACATCACATCACGTCGAAATACTGACCATAAACGTTTTCTTAAGGATCGAGAGAATGTTAGAAACTAGGTGCGCGGGAAACGAAAAAAAAACAAGGAGACGATCGATTCTTAATCAGATTGATCATGAAATAAATACAAGAACTTTTGTTGTGTTTGTTTTTCAAAGAAACGTAAAATTATCCAATGTAAATGTTTCTTTTTTTCGCCTAAAAACACACGTCCAGACGTTGAACACAATTGTTCACATTAGAGCGTTTAAAAAATACATGATGACATATTGCCTGTAAAAGTCATAATGAATATCGATCTGTTCAGAGATAATTTTATGGATATCAACAACATGATAGTAAACATCGTCGTGTATATCTAACGCTGCGTTTCATGCATAATGAAATTCTTCACTGAGATATTCAATGGTTTGTTGCATACGAAAAATCACAATGACTTGTAATAATCAGCAAATATGTATCAATTTATCCTGAATCGATTTATATACATATAAATTAATGAGTATGATTGAAAAAAAAAGTAAATTTATGCAAACTCTTTTCGAAAATGTTTGTTTTTCTTCTAAAAAATGTGAAATCACTATTTGATGAAAAGGAATAATTTAATCTTATTCACTGTCTGAAGAGGTCTTTGTCTTTGTCGATGATCTGGCGACCAGAAGAGGGATAATGTGGAATTTTACCGTAAGATGAAATATTTATCGTTTATCGGAGTTTCTTCGTCTGCCACACTGCTCTATTTCATTTCATTATCCGTGATTCTACAAAGTATAACTTCCTTTTCTTTTTCTGTTGGTTAGTTCCTCTTGTTATAAGATATCGATGTGATCTCTGTATCTGTGCGTAAAAATACTATTGTGTAGTTATTTTCTTCACTTTTCTTTTCTATACTCATTCTTTTCCCATTGATTCTTTAAAAGTAAAAATGAAGATGATAATGGATCGCGTATACTTCATGAATCTTAACAAGGAACATTCTTCAAGTTGTCTCGCACAAAATGCAATGCAATCCATAATAAATGCATCTACTACACATACAAATCGTCTAGCACCTCTGTCGAACTATTGAAGAATCGTAATCAAAGACATTGATTCGAAACAAGAGATAAATACAGTCTTACAGCCAGATTTATTTGGTATTGCTTGCGAAAATTTGTGAGAGCTATACATTATTCATATACACAACACGCAACTCCTGAGGACAACAACGATAAGATGATATTTTTTCAGTGCCATCTTCACGTGTTACTAAGAAAGAAATACTGTGCTATTTTTGCACATTCTATTTTTGGTCAGGAAACAGCTGGTACTGACAGTATGGGCAAGAAAAATGACTTCGTCTTGTTTTTCAATTTTTCTCGTATGCGAAACTCAACAATGGCTTCATACACGATAGATCATCTAATCTTTTTTCATCTTCTTTTGTCCTGCATCCTCTCTGTGCTAATGATGGTCACTATTGAGTAATAACGATTATTTCGATAAAGTAACCGTGTGATTTCACCGTTTCGAATGGATTACTTGGCGAAACGTAGAATACTACGCTGTGAACCCCTCACATGAGTTTGAGTACATATGTTGAGAAAAATCGATACGAAATAGAAACAATCGTTGTTTTGTAAACAATTCCGTTCGCTTTACAATATGAACTAACATGAAAAGAATATTTTGAAAATTTGTGATTTTCTAGAAGTCTGGTCATTCAGAAGAATGGAGCTCTCGAAAATCAGAACAACTGTGGAGACTATGCTTTTCAGGTTCAGCATGATCGATTACCTCCTATGGATGAAGTTTCAGCTCGAAAGCGATTTTAAAGTTGGTGATTCTCTGTCGTAAGTGAGCTTAAAACTACATCAAATATACGCAAATGAAGAAAACTGACAATATATTGGTGAAAGACGATTTGTACCGATCAGATAGGGCGTAGAAAAGTAAAAATACAATATATACCAGAGATTTTACTGAACAATATCGAATGTTAAGATTTTGAAAGTAAACAATGCTGAAAACAGTATAATTTAAAAGTATAAATCTTTCTTACCCTAGCCCTAACACCATCATGTACATTGCCACGATTGTTGACGTCTGCATAGTTATGTTTTATTTCATATACACGCCTTAAATCCCATGTATATATAAATAATTCTACCATTACTTTCTTCGACTGTCTGTTGTATATCTTAATTGATGGTGAAAATCGAATATACATTTTATATCGATTCGCAAATCTGTTCTTCCTGGGCATAGAAATCTACTGTTTACTCGTACATAGCGAGTTTTAGGTATTTCTCACGATATACATCATTCATACTTTCTGAGCAGTTTCTTGCATTAATTACCTCATTCTCAATGTACACCGTTCGCTATAGTAAATGGATTAAATAGTGAACAGATAAATATGCATTGGAATCGTTACTTTTCTTTATAGTTTGAAATACTGTTAATACTCAATGACAATAGAAGATAAATCAACAGAACTGAAGTTCAAAAATATAAACTCAGCGATCTTTTTACCGGCTCGAGCAAGTTAAATGTATTTGTACTTGGCAAAGTATCACACACACGCACATTAGTCTTGTGCTTGAACTTTCCCTAATCGGTCGATTACATAGTACATATTTTCACAGTTCAAAACATAATTACCTTTCTCATGGCATCCAACAGAATCAGAGACACAAAAAAGCAATCAGTAGGCTTTATGAAAACAAAAAACCTCGTTAAAATGTCATTTCAAATAACTATGAAGGAACGACATTGTCATCTATCAGTCCTTGTATTTCACAATTAATTACTAAACACTCCTATTTGTCAACGTATGTATATACAGATATTGATAGGATGAATATGGAATTAGATGGGAGGAGAGAAAAAGCAGCGTGTCTGAATATTTATCTATATATTTATTTTATCAAAAAAAAATGAACAATTTCATACATTAAAAAAACAAACTTCTTTTTTTTGAGTAGCTCTAATTCTTACTCAAAGATTGAGTAAATTTAAGTAATGATTCTCGTGAAAAATGTCGCTTTGGCAAGGCACTACCAAAGCCACTATCACATGATTTTTTCTTCTCATTTTCTTTTTCTTCTTCATCGTCTGAATAATCATCGAAATCGGAATCAAAATAATTTCCATAGGAAATCGAAAGGTCTTGAGTATTGCTATCTTCATCATCACTAACCGTAGATTTTAACGAAATATCATAGTTCGTATAATAATCTTGCCGTTGACAAAAAGATTTTAATAACCGACTCGATTTATCATCATCACCATACAGTGACGGATAAACTTCGTTATGTGGTCTTAACATTGAACGATTAAACGAACCATGGATGGAATTAATCGTCGAAAGTGCTCGATCAATTTCTTCTTGCTCACTTTCTAATGTACGTTTTTGTTGCATAACATTTCTCCACGTAATTTTCGATGTCAAAGGTACTAAAGCTTTACTAACAGATTGTTCTTCTCGTTCTTGAAGATAAGCTTCTGTTCGATATGTAAACTCATCATTAGCCGGAGAAACATTTCGAGATAAATTACACGGTGATGTCATATTCATCGGAGGAGTTTGGGGTTCATTAAATGAATTTCGACGACTAGAAGTTAACATAAATGCCATGTGAAGAGAGAGTATTTGCAGAAGAAGAAGAAGAATTAATCACTAAAGATGAGAAGAGTTTTTTTTTCGATATTAGTCGTCACGTTCTATGTACATCAACTATTTGTATCTGTCTTTTCTTTTACCTTTAAATAACGATTGCGTATGATCGTTACACATGAGAACACTCGCAAACCATTCTTTTTCTAATGATTGACGAAGACAAGAAGTGACAAAAAAAAAGAATGTACAAGGGCAATGACGCAAAATGATGAGAAATATTTCAAATCAAAAACACTACCATTAAAAAGTTAATTATTACTAACACTCGAAATTGATCAATTAAACTGTCATTTAACAATGGAATGTTGTTGAAAATGCTTAGTAATTAACTATAGTAGACGTACAATGAAGCCCACATGGTAACACTTCGAAGTTATCGATGATAAATTTCGATCGCTTGAAAATGTACAACTTTTTCTTCCTATTCAATTGAAAATTGAACACAATAGGAAAATAATATTTTCAAAGAAGGAATCGATTCAACCTTTTATGAAGGTTTAATACACATGTTCGAGAGTATAGTTGTCAAAGATTGTTTTTACGTAATATGAAGGACCATAACAACAGCTAATCTAGAAATCAAAGGAAAAAAAGTTCGTCTGACAGGGATTGATCGACGATATGGCGACATGCTATCCAGACAGAGTCTGATCATTACAAAGATGACTTTGAAAAATCGAAGAACAATGTCTGCTTTTGTAGTCAGTAGAAAAATACTTATTCAGTCTGTTTTATTTGAAAAAATAAAATAAAATTGTCATTATTATACTGATTCTGTCTGTCAATAAATAAAAAAGCAATCGAGTCCGAGAGAAAAATGAAAATTGTTCATATTCCATTGAAATTATTGATTGTCGGCATTGTCTGCCGGTCGACGATCATTGGATATATCCAGACTATCAACCGATACTCGATCTTTATCGATATGAGGACGTGTTGGTATTTCCTCTATTTTATCGTCCTTATGTTCGGTTTCAGTTGGTGTAGGCTCTGTTCTTGTTTGCGTTGGACCTTCGGTTGGATGATTCATGAGACTTGCGTCATCCATAGATGTGGACATCGGTGCTGTATCATTTGTTTTTTGATCGTCTTGATCTCGCGATGTGTCTTGATTATCCGTGCTTTCGGAGAGAGCTGGAGTGTCTTCTTTTTCAGATTTTTGATCATCCTTTGCTGGTACTTCAGGTTTCTCAGATGATTTATCTTGCTTCGCGGATGGTTCCTCTGATTTTACAGGTGTGTTAGCTAGTTGTGATGATTCTTCAATTTCTTTGGATGGCTCTTCTGATTTGTTGACTTCTTTAGGTGGCTCCTCTGGTTTTTCAGCATCTTTCGGTGACTCTTCTACATTTTGTTCATGTGGCTTTTCTTCGTTCTTCGAGGGTTCTTCAGTTACTTTAGATGGTTCATCTGTTTTCTGAGATAGACCATTTTCTTGTTCCGTTGTTTGAGTAGATTTTCTCGTAGATTCTGTCGATTGCTCGGTAGTTGCTTCAGTAGTTTTATCAGATGATTCACTTCGTTCTTTCGATACCTCTTCAAGTTGTTCTGTTGCCTCATCAATTTTTTCTTGTGATAGAGTAGGCTTGTCTGAGGTTTCTTCTGTTTTATCCTGTGTTTGATCTGATTTTTCTGTCGCTGTATCCGATTTCAGCAGTGATTCAATTGATTTCTTGCGCGTTTCTTCTGCTTTTTTGACTGGATCACGAGTTATTTCGATAGGAACCGATTGTGTCGACGAACAAAGACAATCAGCAATGAATGTCACGTAGAAACGACTGACTCCGACACGTGTCGGATGAAGTCGAACTCGTAAAACCGTCGATTCTTTAGGTGCAAATGATCGACTGGTAGAGAGCAAACAGTTAGTTTCCGTTTTTTCATACTCTCAGAAGAACTTACTTGACACGCATAACTTGATTGAGACCTAAACCATCAATATAAACACGTCCGTTATTCAATGGACGTGAAAGTGTATTAGTAACATAGATCTTCATCAAGACTGGTTTGCCAATTTCAACCACATCTTCATTGATCGTCTAAAGAAAGAAAGAAAGAAGATGCCAATACAACTTCGACGTATTCAAATATCTGACTAACTGGTTTAATAACGTCGTCTTTTATGAAAATAACATTATTATCCCGTGTAAATATTTGACCAGTTTCTTTAATTTTCGAGTAAATAAAATATTTTATAACAATATTATCTTGCGGGCCGTATTTCATATATTGTTGTGGAAGAAGTTTAAACTGAACAAGTTTATCTAGACATGCAATAGGAAATCGTTCGTAAAACACTAAACGAAAACTAAGTTGAGAGAATCTTGACGAACCTTTGCCTGGTTCAAGGACTATTGTTTGGATCGGTTGATCAATGCAAGTACCTGATTTTGGACCAGCACCACTTGCAATACATATGGTCAGTGCTGTTGCAATTGTACGTGATTCATTTGATTTGTTATGCACATTTATATCTAATTTAACAACTTCTCCGAACTATACAAACCGAAAGAAAATGTCTTTGTTATGTGAAAGAAAACAAATCTCACTCGATTTTCTTCAGATAGAAGAATCTCATAATTGACATCGTTTCTTAATCGATTGTTTAGAGTATCCCTCTCTTCAGGTGGTTCAGCTGGATTTTTATAACGATCAGTTATGTCTTCAGGTTCAAATTCATTAGTCAATGAACGAGTAATCACTTTTGTGCCAATGGGATTTTCTTCGACATCTAATTTAAAGCAAGTCGATTGAAATTCATTTCAATCTAAGTAGACATCATACCTGATAGTTCCATATATCCATCTGGATAGACAACCCAATGTGATTTATGTCCGTTAACTGATGAAAAGATATATGGTGAATCCCATCGATAACCTAATTCACCTTTTTTCACAGTTGAAACCGGGCATGGACCCGTCCGACGTATTCCTTGGAAGAGATGTCAGTTTTAAATAGAGAAACTTTTTATTTAATCGATTCTACCTACCATCACACATAGGTACTGGTGTCGAATCAACAATTTGCCAATCTTGTTCATTATTCGGTAAATCCGATCGACGCATCCAACACTCATTCCAAACGCGAGCAGAACTAAACGAAACATTCTTCAATGAATCTCTTTTTCGAAAACTAAAGTAAATACCAAATAGTATCTGCATTCAGTTTTTGCAAAGGCCGCTGTTTTGTATCCCAATGTACATCATTGTTTGCTGTGCCATCCGTGCGACACGCTGAGTTATAAACCGTGACAACACGACACGGAATACCTAACGCTCGACTCAAAGTACAAAGTATAGCTGCATGTTGCCAGTTTGTTCCGCTTCCACCATGTACTGATCGACAATGTGCACCAAGATAATGTTTTAATATTGCTGTACTGCTTGTTAACCCATTTTTCTCCGGCGTGACAGGTCGAACATTAAACGCCGATGAAAATATACCATTATTAGCTCCTGGATTCGAACAAATTTTCGATGCTAGAATACGAAGAATAATCGATGGGTCGACACGATTTTGCGGTGGTAATTGTGCGTTGTCAAGCAACGTCAATGCTGTATGTAAAGCCGATCGTTCGAATTGACCGAAGTACCACGGAGTGGGCTGATATTTATCGGATGAACCGAGAAAGATCTGGCCATGTTCATTCAGAACATATTCAGCTATTTGCTCAGGTGACGACAGTGCACAAGCATCTTCTTTGTTCCACGGATTAAAAAGAAAATAGATGTCCACTTCAAAGATGAACAATTGTAAATCTTGTTTATCAATGGGTCCCTGTTCCTCTTTTTGTAATGGGCGAACTTCAAGTAATAACTAGAAAACGCCCAAATGAATTCAGTCGTCATCGATCGGTTGCAACTTACCGTATATTTTCCAATAATAGCATCGGAAGGTGATTCAACTTGAAGTGATATACGGTTATTTTTCTTTTTATCTTCTTCACCATCGGTGGGAATCTTCTTCGCCGACCAGCCATTACCGTTCGGTGGTCCATCTGCCAAAAGTCTGATTTGTGTTCGTTTCGATATCATCGACCGAGCACCTAGGAGAAAGAAGAAGAAGAAGAAGAAAGATATACGTGTTTGCTCTTTTCCCAACAGATAAACTGTACCTATAGCCAAACGAACATAGACTTGATATTGTTCCGCTTCGAAATCTCGATTGAATGTTACCGTAAATGAGAATGGCTGCCCTCGTCGTAAAACAAGTCCAGGAATATCGTAATGACTGGTGTAATGCTCATCCATATTCTTCTTCGTGTGTATGTCAACATCAATAGGGATCAATCGTGATGCTAGAATGATAAATAAATGCGATTGTTGAGTTTCCTTTTTCTTAAGTGATCTATTTGAAAAAAGATTCGCGTCGTCTCTCTCGTTGCTCTTCTGTCTCTTTCGATAAAACGAGAAAATCGGACAAACGTAAATATGTGCGTATATGTTAGTAGTTGAAATAAATTTTAACGTGCAATGCTAGAACATCACATCGGATGTATATATATTATATACAATTTTTCAAAAAACAAGATGAGTTTAAAAAAGAGATTTGCTTGTGCGATTTAAATTTTGAGAAATCATAATGAGCGACTCTCGGGGAAAACGTCGGCGTGGCATAACACTTCCATAACCACTATCATAAGACTTTTTCTTCTCATCATCATCAGCGTCATTTTCACTTGAGTCAGCGTCAGAATCGGTATCTTGACAGAATCCAAATGAATTCAATGTTTCTTGCGTGTGATCATGTTTCTCATCTTGCATGTAATGATGTTGACTTTGACAAAATGTTTGCATTAAGTGTGTGGATTTATCATCATCGCCATAGAGTGACGAATAGGCTTGATTGTAAGGAATAAATAATGAACGATTGAATGATCCGTGAATGGAATCAATCGTTGAAAGTGCTCGATCGATTTCTTCTTGATCACTGTCTAATGTTCGCTTTTGTTGTACAACATTCTTCCATGTTGTTTTCGAGGAATTCAATAAAACGGTTTGATCGTTGCTTTGCTTTTCCCGGTGTTGAAGGTAATCTTCTGTTCGGTAGGTATAATCAGTGTTTGGCTTGGCAACGATGCCAGTTTTATCGATGTGAACAACTAATGAAGGGACAGATAAGTGGTTTTCAAACAAAGAATGTTTCATGTGTGAACGTCGTGAAGAACTGATCTGAGCCATATCATATGATCTGTGTCAAGGGCTTGAATTTCTATTCTTTATTATATAGGTTCCTATTCATTTGTTTCATGCGCATCGCTAGCCCTTTCAACGACACAATATCGTTCACATTTACCCCTACACTCAAATGAGAACGATTGATCGTTACACATGACAACGTTCATAAACTATTCATTTTTGACAACGAGTCGTAAAAAGACAAGCGAGTAAAAACGAGTCGAGAAAAAAAAGATGTAAAAATGAAGCAATATTCTTGTTTAGTAGGTTGATTATATAAAAAAAAGAAAAGGAGAAACTGTTTTTATTTACCTAATTCGGATGAGATCGACGGTCGTTTCAAGAAGAATGGTCTGAAAGTACAAGGCAAAAAACTACAATGTCAATTGCTTCGGTGTATCATTACGTTGATGTCGCTTCGTGATCTTTGCGAGGTTTTAAAGGTGAAATGTTCGCTGTTGTCTGTTGCTTATTCATCGGAGTTGGACGTTGGAAACTACCTGTCGGTGTACGTAATGCCATTTTGTATGAGAAATACTAGAAAGAGTGTAAAGAAAGATAAACTATCTTTCTTTAGGTGTTTTATTTTTGATAAATAGCTAAAATGGTTATTTATATGTGTTTTTCTGTGATTTGTAAATATGTGGTTCGGTTTTCGAAAATGAATGAGTGGCGATATTAATTAGACGAAAATGTTTCTGAGTGTGTTTACATTTCTCCCTTTTTTTATCATTTGTTGTTTTTTGACCTTCAGTTATGTCTAATAATCAAAAGTTTTAATAGGCAAGCAAAACGAAAGACACAGTTATTAACATCGATGTACATGGACTTTTTCTTCTCTTGTTCTCGCTACGAATTATATTTGATTTTTATTGATTTTAATGAAATAGACCTTGTCAAATGATTTCTTCTTCGTCATCAATTTAATGAGAATTAATTTGAAAAGAAAAAAAAAACGAATAAGAAGAGAACTTTTATTTGTATTCTTTGCAAATAGGAGCAATTTGTAGATCAAGAAAGTAACAGACACCGATCAATATCAGCTAGGTGATGGAGTGAACCGATTGCATTGATTCTACCATGACGATTGTTTTAATAGTGATGCTTATCATTTTATATCCGTACCGTAATCATATTTTCATNAGCGCGCACAAAACCGGGTGACAATGTTAATGCATGATAATAGGCATCAACTGCTTTTTCACTTTGACCACCATTTGCTAATGCTGCACCCAACTTATTCCATAATAGAGCATCCTAAAACATAATCACGTCGTTAACATGCGTTTTCTCCTCATTTCACCATCTGTCAACTTCATTAGATATCAAGAACGATAATATGCACTACTCTTTTCTCGACGAACCTATTTCCGTTTTTACATACCTACTGCGCATGAAAGCTTCCTTTCTTATTAATTTACAATCAAATTAGTCCACAGAAACTTTCTTTGATTGAATAGCCTTTTCGTTTACCACTCAGTTTTCTACTTACATTGGGTTTAGCGAGAACGGCCGTATTGAAACATTCAGCTGCTTTATCATAATCGCCAGGTAAATGAAACAATACACCGAGACATACCTAAAACAAAAAAACCTCATGTTTCTCCCTGAAAAATACACACTCTCTCGTCGTTACTTGAAGATCAGAATCAATATCACTTGGACTACTTGATAATGAAACTGCTTGTAAAAAAAGCTCTTGCAATTCTTCGAATGCCAATCTAAAAATATCAAAGAAGAGAATCGATCTTTGCCAAAAGTCATTTGATAGTAAAAACATACTCATCGAGCAACCTGGGTTCCTCCACTGCTGCTTGTGGTCGACGATTTGACAAAAGATGAGAATATTTATCATTGTTTTCTAACCATTTTCGTAAAGAATCTAACGCTTCATTTGTCAACAATTCATTAGCGTAGCATGACGCTAATGTTAAATATGCTTGTAAATTTTTTGGATCGAGTTCTACACATCTACGAAACAAACAGCCCGTGTTTATTAAAACTTCATTGACAAGTTTCATTTTACTTTTTTAATGCGCATATAGCAGGTCCATCCTGTTCATTTTCACTTTGAGTTATGCCGAGATACAGCCATGCCTAGAAGAACGATACAATGTCAATGGAAACTTTGCAATATGAACAGTGATAGATCAGTACGAATTGTATGTTGAATTAAGCTTTTTTTCAATTTCACACTTTCGCTAGAGATGAAACGCATTCCGTCTAATTATCGGTCTTATCTATCGGATGATTTGACTTTGTTATCTGTTAGTTTTGCATATGATAAACAAATATACAAACAACGATGTTTCTTCTCTTCGTTTGAACTCTACTGTATAGAGGAGAAAATATGTCAATAAGATAGTGATTATACAAGACCATCCTATTCTGCTGACAAAGCTGTGAATTTCTCTCGTTCTTCGGGTTATATGCGGAATAACATGAAACACTCGAATAAAAACTCTATTAACTGTTCTTTCGTGTGATCATGAATGAGAAAATCTAATTAATAAGAAAAATATTGATGTTTTGATTTGTTATCCTTACATCAACATGGTCGGCTTGCTTTTGGACGGCAGCTTCAAATAATAGAACAGCATTGACGATATCATGAGCTTGTAAACGTTTAAGACCTTCTTCGAAAGGATTTGAATGATCGAGAAATGGATTAGTTTTTGCAAATTTATATTCTGAATAGTTATCGCCATTATCCATCAAATGACGAAGCCAAGATTGTGAACGTGGAATTGGACTAGAAGAATTCGAAGAAAATGTCTTCGATTCACATCATCAAGCGAACGTACTCATCTAGCGAGGATAGACTGACAGGATCGGCTGTCCAGTCTGGTTGCCACTGATTTTCATTCGATAGTTCATTAGAGAACTCATTAATCCATTTGTCTACTGTTGCATCCTAAATGAATGAAGATGTATAGTGGAAAAAATTGACTTGAGTTTTTCGTACTTTCGCGTCGCGTGTAGCCTCTTGCTTCTTGGCATCGACGGTGGATTTTTCTCCATTACCGCCAGCTACATGTTCAACGAAACTTTTAAACTAAACGAAAACGAGAAAGAATCAAGACGCTGATCTATGAATTAAATCTTAATTTTACTTCTGTATCGGCTGCAAATTGCGTTTCTTGTAGTAACGAGAGAATGTTTTGTGCAGCTTTGACAGTATCATTGTCAAATCCAGCATCAATTGCAGATGGTTGTTGATCAAGAAAAATAGGATTCGAATTCAATGGAAAGGATGCCGATGGAGGTCTAAAAAAAGCATTCGTAATCAGGGCCATGCTGACCAATTTTATTTCGATCACTATGTCACCGTCACTCTGACACACATTTTCTGTCGGAGCAGATGAACTAGGCTTTTGATTATTTGAATAATATATCTGAATGAATAATCATGTACTTTCGAAGGACGATTTATCGATGACTGAAGGTCATATTGTATATTACAAACTCACAAACACCTATCCTCGCCTTCCTTCTGCGAAAATCTGAATTCTCATGGACATAAACAGATTACATGCGGCTTTCTCTAATACGGTCTACTATTGACTGATTAGTTTTTCATATCTTACATATAAGTTTGTTCATTCCATGGCATCCATTGTGAATGTTGTTGTTGTTGCTGCTGAAGATGAAAATCATTCATAATTTGTGGCGGTGCTTGCATATGTTGATTCGGTGGTGGATGAATAACTGATGATGAAAAATTATTATTAATTTTTGGTACATTAGTTGCATGAGATGAAAAGTCATTAGTAAATGAATCAAGAAATTGTGTTGTCCATTCATATTCTAGGAAAATGAAACCAAAAGAGCGAATTGAGTTTTCTTACGAGAAGAAAAACTTCACAATCAAGATGTTCTTACCATGTTTATTCGTATTATCGAGAGCATCATCAGCTAAACGTAAACCGGTTAAAAGGCCTTCAAGATGAAACGTATTTGGTGCAGCAATCGGCCGATGATATTCGTTAACAAGTTCATCAATTGTTGCATTACTACCGCCAGTTAGATTCGCACTCTACAACAACGAAAAAAACAACACATCAGGATTAGTATCGATAACAACAACAACAAAAGAAGATAGTCATACAGTAAAATTATTTGTTGCTGGCTTAATGAGACCATCCTAAATGTAAAGGTAATGAATCACCGAGAGATTTGCACTGAAATGACTTACTTGGGTAACAAGTGTATTATCACGTGTATAGAATTGGCTTAATTTAATCAACGGGTTTGTTGTGCCACATTCGGCATCAAGGAGAGGTTTGAGTGCAGCCATCTATGAATTGTGGGATGAAAGGATAAGAATAAAAAATGCGAATCTAGAAATGTACGCGAGTGAGAAGAAAAAATAACAATGAAGACATCAACGTATAATCATCTGTATCTTTCGATATGACTAAGTGAGTTCGTCGCGTTGGCACAAGTCCAATTTCAACGTTGTCGTTTTCCTCCGTCTTTTTTTTTCTTCTTCTTGTTCTCCTTGAAACAACTGGGTAAATAATGGTTAGCCAATCAGATTCGTTGCAGTCATCTGGAGCGACAAACAAAGGGGAAAATAAATGGAGTTTTGTCAAAAAAATCCAATAATAAACTGTTGAGCAGGGAAAATGTAAAGTTTTAAGGAAAAATTGAAAATCTTTCTAAGAAAAATTCTTTCGATATTTTTCTCAAGAAAAATTTTTGTGTCTCTTCTTTCTACCATTTTTGTTTTTGCTCGCTGTCTCTGAAGAAATAAACATAAACGGTGTGTGTATGTTTGTTTGTTTCGATGTGCATACGGCGCTCAACCAACGGTTTCCAAGCGTATTGTGTGCACATTCGATTCTTTCGTTTTTTTTTCTTCTGTGTTGCGTTGTACTCGTATGCACATATATTCATACGTGTGTGTATATAACTGAAAGTGCACGAGGGCTAACAAAAAGGCAGAATGTGAAGAAGAAATCGAATATATCGACTACTAAACCAAGGTTTCTTTCGCTCTGCGCATGTATCTGTCTTTCCCTCTTTGCCCTATCTCGCCTGACTTCGTCGTCATCATCATTTGTATGTTATACAAAAAGTAAAATCGATATGTAATCTTACTTTGAATGTTTTAACAAACAAGTCGGTTTCTTCACAGATCTTCATAGAAATAGAGCAGATGAAAACGTGCTACACGAATTGATTTCTTCACAAGTTGAGCATATTTATTAGACATAGACTTCTACTCAGTTAGTTAGTTATTTTTTTCTTCTTTCGTTGCTATACAAATATTAGATGCACAGTTCAAGACATAGATTTTGTTTGAAAGTTATTTGTACAATCAAAAATATTCTTCTTAGTTTGTGTTTGTTTCAGATTTTGAGTGAGTAAGGGTGTAAGTTGGCCATCCTCCCACGATTAACGACGGAACATCATGTCCGCAATGACGGTCACAAGCGGTGGCGTTAGCGGCAATACTAATAATAATGGTGGAGGCGGTGAACCCACAGATGGTTTTACTTTATTTCACAGTCGACCACCAGTTTGGCCTACATCAAATCAATCCTTACTTGATCATCAGTGGAATGAATCGATATTTTCACCCGCTCATCAGCAACAGCAGCAGCATCGTTCATGGCCGTCCGAGCCATTCGGTAGTGATATCGGCGGTGATGAATTACCATATCCAAGGCAAACATCAAGTCATAATAATAGTGATTTCAGTCCGCTACCATCATCACCGGCAACTTTATTAAATGGTAATCATTTCGGTCAAGCAGGACGTTTTCAATTTCCAAATGATTCGACATCCTCACCATATGGTCCTCAACAATTACCATCGATGTCATCGTGTTTTAGTGATTCATTGTATGATCCATCACCATCATCCGTACTATTTTCCAATGACATAGATCGCCGTAATAATTCTCTATTAGACTCGCGTCAACAACAACAGCAACATCAACAACAATCATCATCGTTAGATAATCAAATGATTCCAAGAGATTCGAAATTAACATTAGATCAAATGGTTGGACATTTCGCTGATCTACAATTACAACCACCATCAATGCCACCCCCCTCATCAGCTTACCCATCTTATCAAAATCCATTTCTACCTCCATCAAATGATCAACAACAACAACAACAACAACAACAAATTCTATCACCATTTTATTATCAACAATCATCGCCATCGAACCAACAACTACCTTCATCAATGATGAATTCACGGTTACCACCACCACCTCCATTCGGTAATCATCTATATGTGAACTCACCATCATCTCCACATACTCAATATTCACTGACACAACAACAACCAAATGGACCGTTATCAACGGCCGCATCGAACATGTTTAACGATCGGTTCGAACGTAACGATGGTTGTCTACCTTTTTCAAACAATTCATCATATTTATCGGCAATGCGCTTTTCACCCAATCCAGCTTATCGCACAACCAAAAGTGGCAAACAACAGATCGGTCCTGAAAATTCCAACTTATTCATTTGTCATTTACCACAAGAGACAAATGATCAATCATTGATGAATTTATTTTCTCAATTTGGTAAGTTGCCATTAAAGGAAGTAAGAATATCAATTTCCTATTTATTTTCATTGTTTTAGGCAATGTTTTGTCAGCTAAGGTAAGAACCGAAGGGCATTTGCATTCTCAACTATAGAGCATTTTCTTAAAGGTGTTCGTTGATAAAAAAACAAATCAATCAAAATGTTTTGGTTTTGTTTCGTACGATAATCCGGCATCAGCTCAACAAGGTATGTCGAATTTTCTCAAATTCAGAGTAAAACATACGCCTACACCGGTTGATATGTATATGTCTATATAATTTTCATTGCATAGGCTTCGAATACCTATAGTAATCGAGAAACTATCGACTGAGAAAGTTTATTCCAACAATAGCTTGTTTTTGTCAGAATAATTTCATATGGTAAATCAGAGCGAATCATTCATTCGAAAGAAAAGACTCAAGTTTCGAAAACATCCATTTGATAAATGATCTGAACTTGTTGTTTGAAAACAAAAGGAAGAAAGTCTTGGACTTTTTTTTGCTATTTCTGGTGAAATACCTTGAGCATATATGATTAGTTATTAACTTCATGTTCTCAAGTGCGAGATGTAATTAGAAGAAATTTATTCAAGTGAAAAACGTATTTGATAAGCTTTTTGCCATTCAATATCCTCTCTCTCTCTCAGCTGTCAATCATCGAATAAATATACGGATACCCTCCTCTCATTTTGTCTCTCGGTCTTTTCTCCAATGTTCCCTCGAGATAAAGTCATTGCAATGTCAAAATTAATAAGGCATATAGCAGGCAATGATGATGATAAATTTTCATTGATAATATGTCGAAAATAATTATCACACTCAATCGAATCACAAATTGATCTGTCGTTGTTCTTCTAGCCATATCAAGTATGGACGGATTTAGCGTTGGCTCCAAACGGTTAAAGGTCGAATTGAAGAAACCACGGCGAAATTCGTAGTTTGACCAGCCAACAAACGAAAAATGAAAGAACAGTAAGAAAATTGATCACAACCATTCATCTTTCCTCCCTAAACCAACGTACAACAAAGATCTGTTAAATGAGTATAAGTTTTTAACTGTCTATTTCTCGTTTTCATTTCTATTTATCATTATCTCGTGTTTTTTTCCTTGGAAAAGAAAAAAAATTCGAACCTATTTACTTTCTCTTGTGTTGTGTGTGCATGTGTGTTTCTCAAAGAGACTTGTGTAGAAAAAAAACGCGAAAAAAATCGGAGATGGAATTCCCTGTATGTTCTCTTTTTTTTTCTCTTTATGTGTTTCTGGCACTCGATTTCTCTGTCGACTTTCTTCTTCTTCTTCTTTTTTTGTGAGTTGCTGCTGTGTTCCAAACTGTGTTTTCTGTTTTTTATGCTGCCACTATTACTGCCGCCGCCGCTCCTGTTTTCCTTTATTTATTTATTAAGCGATTGTGTGTGTGTGTGCCAGCTTTTTATTATCTGCTGTGTGCTGCGTGCGTGCGTGCAGTTCACTCATTTTATTTTGTTGTTCACTGTTTTTTCTTTCGTTTATTGAAGAAACTCCCTAATTTATTCACCACTTCAAAGAAAACAACCAACAGTTATATTATTCTTTTTTTTGTGCTTGTGTGCTCATACCTACACGGTTGTTGTGTGTGCGTGTGTGGTTTTCTTTTCTGTTGATTATCGTTGGGTTTCTGGATACCTATACTTTATATATTCGTGTGTATGTATGTGTGTGCTTATCATCGCCACCGACAAAAAGAAATATATCGGCAACTAACTTATTAATATCGAAACAAATGAAAGAAATCCTTTCTGTTGTGTAGTTAAGGACGGAAAACAGCAGAGTTAGACTTTTCTTTCTTTCAACGGCGTGATTATTTATCTGTATGTATGTGTGTTCTTTTCTGTGTATCTCTGTACGTGTTACTTTCAGTTTTGAAGAAAAAAAAACATACACAAACGATATATATAATAAAATATATATACATATATATATATATGAATCTGATCTCTTTTCAGTGATTAAAATGGCTGATTTATTTGTTTACGTGTAAAAGAATGATTAAGATATTTAAGTAGTTAAAACAAGCACGCGCACAACAAAGAGAGATTAAGTAGATGAGAAGGGTTTGAGATGTTGTTTCATCAATCGAACTTAATATTCTTCAGCTTCAGCTGGAGCATCGGTTGCTGAGTCAATACCAACTTCTTCGTAATCTTTTTCCAATGCAGCTAAATCTTCGCGAGCTTCGGCAAATTCACCTTCTTCCATGCCTTCGCCGACATACCAGTGTACAAACGCTCGTTTAGCGTACATTAGATCAAATTTATGATCTAGACGTGCCCATGCTTCAGCGATAGCTGTCGTATTTGAGATCATGCATACGGCGCGAGGTACTTTAGCTACATCGCCACCTGAAAACAAAAAAAGGAAAGCAGTGCAGTCAAGAATACTCGAGTTCATGATATTCTAAAGCTGACCTGGAACAGCAACAGGTGGTTGATAATTGATTCCGACTTTGAAACCTGTTGGACACCAATCAACGAATTGAATCGATCGTTTTGTTTTTATAGCTGATATAGCTGAGTTAACATCTTTTGGTACAACATCACCACGATATAATAAACAACAAGCCATATATTTGCCATTACGTGGATCGCACTTAACCATTTGATTGACTGGTTCGAAACAGGCGTTAGTAATATCTTGAACACTGAATGCTTCGTGAGCAGCTTTTTCAGCTAGAATAGAAAAACGAAAGAAAAAGATTAATCAAATCCGATTTGTTCGTTGTGTTTCCTAAGTGACTTACCACTACAGATTGGAGAGTAGGTAACAAGTGGAAAATGTATGCGCGGATACGGAACGAGATTTGTTTGAAATTCTGTTAAATCAACATTCAATGCGCCATCGAAACGAAGCGATGCTGTGATTGAAGATACAATTTGTGCGATCAATCGATTCAAATTTTGATAAGACGGGCGTTCAATATTCAAATTACGACGACAGATATCGTAAATAGCCTCTAGAAAACAAAATCACAATAGAAAAACAAGAGGAATATGTCTAACGAACCATTATCGACCATAAAGGCACAGTCCGTATGTTCCAATGTACAATGCGTTGTTAATATTGAATTATATGGTTCAACGACAGCAGTTGAGACCTAAATAATTTCTTGATTTGATTAACAATCAATAGATTCCTTTTCATTTAATTTACCTGAGGAGCAGGATAGACAGCAAATTCGAGTTTAGACTTTTTACCATAATCTAAACTGAGACGTTCCATTAATAGCGATGTGAAACCAGACCCTGTTCCTCCTAGTTAATTATAAACATTATTACAACTTTGTAAGCAAATTTAATGGTTAGCTGCTCACCACCAAAGCTATGGAAGACCAAAAATCCTTGTAAACCTGTACATTGATCAGCAATTTTACGTAATTTTTCTAGTACAGTATCCACGATTTCTTTGCCAATTGTGTAATGACCGCGAGCGTAGTTGTTAGCGGCATCCTCTTTACCTGAGATCAATTGCTCAGGATGAAACAATTTGGCGTATGGACCACGTCGAATTTCATCTAGGCGAGAAAAGAAAACATACGCACATCATTAGCTACACTTTCCTCATCAAAGCCAATCAGTGTTTACCGATAACAGTTGGCTCAAGATCAATGAAAACTGCGCGTGGTACGTATTGGCCAGTTCCTAAAATAGATTTAGTGGTTTCTTCACAGGAATATTCGAACAATCCTATGTACCTGTTTCACTGAAAAATGTACTGAATGAGGTTTCCTTTGAGTCTATACGATAAAACATCACGAAATGTGTTTTTTTTTTCTTTAGAAATTCTTCTACGAACCTGAGATTGACTCTAAACAATAAGAAAAAAGAAAACATAAGTATGATCGTATGATTAATGGCTCTTCTTACTGATAATATGACTATTATCTCGTTCTTTGCTAAATGTTCCATCAGGTTCAATACCGTGTTCAAGACAATACAATTCCCAACAAGCATTACCAATTTGGACACCTACGATATATTTTACAAATAAATCCAAGTTATCCTTTTTGGGACTAAGGTTTACCAGCTTGACCAACGTGAATACTGATACATTCTCGCTACACAAATGACGAATTTGATAATCAAATCAAACAAATTAGTATTTATAATATTAACCTACCATTTTGATGCTGATCGTGAATAATCAAACAGATAGAGTAAAGAAAACGGATAAGAGTGGAAAGAAAAAAAAGAAAGAGTGGTATTTGCTCGATTGCTTATGCCAAATGATAGATAGGACGACGACTATTCTCTTTACAATCGTTTTCTCTACTTGATGTACATTTTCTTCGTCGCTTTTTTTCTCTTCTTCCTCGTTACTCGCAGTTTTTTCCCCTTCTTAATATTCTGTTTGGTTACTTGTGCACAATAGATAGATAGACAGATAGACGATGGTACATAGTTCTTATTTGATCGCCCTTCTCATTTCTTCTTCCTTCCCTTATCCTTCTTCATCCAATCCCAATGTCGACAGATTTGGTATGTTCGATGTAGGACGAAGGAAAGAGAAGACACAACAAATCTTATGATAATATACAATCCCATGATTTCTCCGAAGGCTAACTGAATCATCATCATCATCGTCGTCGTCAATGAGAATTGCTCAAGATCCCGGAATACAAAGAGTTCAACCGACCGAAAAGAGGACGTTGTTTGTTTAAAAAAACACACGCATACACACGCACACGATAGATATACACATAAAAAAGAAAAGAAAGAACTGAATAAAGTGACAGAAAATATAACAAACAACACTCAAAAAAAAAGAAGATGAAGCAAGCGCACATCGGAGAGAGAGAGAAACAATATAAACGAGCAAAAAAAAATGACCAGATCTATATGTATGTACTATATATAGTTAAGACATTGAATATGAAAGTAGTTCATATAAATATGCATTTATTTGCGTTTTTTGTCTTTTCTATAAAATTAGAGGTTTTTTTGCTTGATATCCGTACTTTTTTTTATTCTTTTTACTTTTCCTCTCTCTCTCATTATGTACAACAAGCACAAACTCAAAATTCGCGATCTTCCAAAAATTTATATTCAAAGACGAAGTTTTCCCGTTTCCGTGTTTGCCAACGTTCATAATCGAAAAATATATATGTACCCTAAACGACAAAACACAAAGACAGCTTAAGAAAATGACTCCGACCCGAATTTTACCTGTTCGTAGTCATCTGTGATAGTCTTTGGTTCTTCATGCCGTTGAAACCACATCATATGTTTAGTATGAAAACGCCACGCTTGTCGCTTTAACGCCTTCGCAGCGAAATATTGTGCTCGAGTTCCCTATACAAATGCAAATGAACAATACCAGTTGATAGATTTTCATTCCTCATACCTCCATGTAATAAAAAACAAAGAATAATGTATCAGGCGCTAAACGATAATAATATTCCGGCGTGTCACTACCAGCTGGTGGTGTTTGGGGATAGTAGGGAACAATTTGTGAACTTGGAAGTGGACTTCTTCCATAGATCCGATTAGCATTTGTTCTGAAGGTACAAAAGACGATTATTTTCGTTCTGCAATGCAAGAGTAATCTACCTTTGTCGTTCAGATTCGAGTAATGACGGTAGTTTAGCATACGCCGAATTTAATCGACTAAGCATTCGCGTTTCTGCTGATGTCAATGGCACACGGTTCATCTGGATCGATTGTGAATTCGATGATGACGATAATAGGTATCGAAACGAATGATGATCTGGCAATTGACCGATGACACTAGCGTTCGATGACGACAGATCAGCTAGCGTATTATTATTATTAATCGATAGAAAGGATGACGATGTTGGGAGATTTGGGAGATTTGGAAAGTTGTTATTATCAAGCAATGAATGTCCGTCTGACGAACCATTAGTCATTAGTGATGTTGGTGGATTGACTGAACGATCGTTATCAGATATTGTACGAGAAAGTATTGAAGTGTGCGTTGAATCATGAGATGACGTCGATGCTACATCATGAGGAATGTTTGAAGATGGGAGAATGGATCCTGGACCTGAATATAGCGATGATGGAATTGTTGCCCCATTGGCTAATGTGATCGTTGACGACGATGCAGCTGGTGCATTGATTTGCGAGATATTACTGAGAATTTGTTGATTCAAGATACCTAGAAACCAAAAGATTTCCATTGTTTTACAAACGAACTACGTTGAAATTTCGTTCAAAGAGAGATTTTTACCTGTACGATCATTGTTTGCCGGTAGCAATGGTAGATGAGAACTATTTGATGCTGAATTAATAGTTGTCACTGTTGACGATGGTATTGATGAATTTGATGCTATACTTATTGTTGATTCATTGTTACTAACCGATGTTTGTCTTGACATTGATTTGCTTTGTGGCGAAAACATACTCTGTTGTTTCGAAGTCGACGTACTAGTGGCTGTTGTTGGCGTTGACGGTAAAGTTTTCTGTGAGACTATGGTTGAATACTGTAGAACAGGCTGAGTAGTTGTTGTACTCGTTGTCGTCGTCGTCGTCGGATAAGTAAAATGTGGTGGCGCACTGGCTGAAAGAATAGGTGCCGACGACAGTGGTGTTTTACTTGTGGATGACACAACATTAGGTGATTGCTGATGCAATGTAGGATTTTTCGGTGATGATGCATGAGAAGTGCTCGCTGTTGATGAACCATTGGCACCGGAGTTTGATCTAAATGGTATGAGAACATCAGAAAATCTTTTCGATGAACTTGTTAGATCGACGTACCGATTTCGTTGTGATTGGCTATCTTCTGATTCAGATTTATTCCGTTTTCGATCTTCAATTAACGACAAAGCAGGACTGGCACTCGGTGAACTCGGCTGAGTTGATGATGGCGTTGTTAAGCCCATGATTGGTTCACTATCGCCGTGATTTGAATTTGCAGTTGAAATCGGCGTACGTTCAGATCTATTTCAAAGATCAAAACATGTCTTTCCATTATCAAAGCAAATCTCTTACATATTGTTTGTTAATGAGTGTGAATGTAAACTCAATGATCCGACACCGAAATCTAGTAATGTAGTTGTATTCGAATTCAAACTGCTACTCGCACCATTTAATAACGGCGACGGATGAGGTTGTGTCGTCGATGGCACAGCTATCACGGGTGCTATACTTGTCAATAGATTGTCCAAATCGATTTCTTCGTACATGGATTCATTTTCTTTGAAATCTATTTCGTGATTTGATTCAACATAGTATTCTACATCCGCACGTAAATTATGAATTGGTTTTAGATCAATGGCTTCATTATCGATGGCACGTAGAATCTTCTCTAATGATTCAATATGAAACTTATGTCTTTCAAGCGACTGTTTGGTCTCTTCCAGACGCTCTTGTTTCTACAAGCCGAATAATGAGAAGTCACCCTTCGAACCGGTCAACCAACTTACATCTTTATCTGATTTCTTCTTTTTCAAACATGCGGACAATGTTTCAATATCGGCTTCGCATTTATCAATTTGAAGATTCAATTCTTGTATTGCTTCCTGCGAAAGAAACAATGAAAAGTCTTCAGTGATCGTTAGTTATCTACCGTTATCCACTGTGTGCATTCTTCTTTTTCTTTCTCTCGTGGATCAAGCTTTTGTCCGGCTCCTAGCCCTTCTTTACTATATGCTTTGGTTTTGGTTTCTCTTTCGACTACTTTGAATCTTTCCATTTGCTAAAAACAAAAGAAAAGAAACACTTCGATTACGAACATTTCGAATCTTGTTTTTCAAGAACGAACTTGTTCGATATTCTTTCTTGATTCCTGCAATTGCTTTTTGTCTTTGATTTCTGTCGATGACATCCATCCTTTGATTTGATCACGTAAACGTTGTAGTTTCTTTATTTCTTTCTTTAATTCTTGTTCATATTTATCTTTCTGATTCTGATTAGGTGCCGAGTGTACCTAGATGAATTAGTAGAAAGAGTTTTAGCTGAATAAAGCATGAGTGTTGTTTTCGTTGTGTACCTTTTGCCATATGTCTTCGAATGTTTCAACACCTTCGGTTACTTTCTTTAAGCAGCGTTCGATTTCTCCTGAAAAGAAGAGACGTAGAACAATCGTTCTTTTTTTTCCAATGATCAATTTACCATGTAGTTTTCTCCTATCACCCATTGTGAATTGCTGAATTTATTTTTAATAATAATAATAATAATAAAAGAAACACACATAGAATACGATAGGAAAAAATCGTCTTCTCGTTTGAATCTACTAAACTGGCAATACTGTAAAATAATCTCTACAAAAATAAATAAATTTCTTTTTGAATGTTGTTTATCATTAGACGATAAATTGCAGAAATTGTGTGAAATAAACAAACAAAAACACACAGCGAATGCAGAATAGGCGCGCCCGGTTGGACGACCCACCAACCGATCGGCCTGATGACTCAGTGAGTCATATAACGAAAGAAAAACATGTTCGGCGTCAAATCACATATGGCAAATGCAGAGGTCGTAGGAAAGCATCCATTAGTGTATGGCACTACACGAAGGCGCTCTCGTAGAATAACTTCTATACCTGCAATTCGTTCAAAATGCTCTAACGGCTTTTTTGCAACAACGGTAAACTGAAGCAGGTGTCTCGAAATGGTTCAGTCTAATCAAAGTGACAAGTTAATTTCGTATTATGAAATTTCTCACGTACTCAGATGGCCTATTTCTAAGACAGACTACCTATATCTTGATATGCCTGATTGTAATTTATGGCCGGTTGAAATTTGTTTCAATTAGGGTGTACTATTCGAATATGAACAATGTCCGTTAGATTGAAACGATAAATTCCATAGTGATAAAAATAATCATAGACAAACATTCGAAACATCGACCTGCTAGACATGGTTCTCCTTTTCGAAAGGAAATCTATCTGCATACGTAATAATGTGTTAACCGCGCGCTTCACAAAACACCAAAAGAAGAGATATAAACGGTGTTTATACGAACGATGACCCATTCAATTAGATGGGTGTTGTCGGCTCTCTTACGGACTACTGATTAGTCGATATCTAACATGACTTGTGACACAAAAGAGTGAATTGAGTATATATAGTGTGAAAGATGTTTCCGGTTAAACATCACTCCCTTCTTTTTCTTCCTTTCGCTTTTTTCGTTATCTATGTGTGAGCTAAATTTTTGATCTTTACTCTTTGGTCGGCAATCGACATATATCATTTGATGTTTTCATTATAAGGCTAATTAACGAAGAAAGAAAAAACAAAATTATGTTTGTAACTTAGTAAAATTTTGTTCAAAGGCATGTCGTCACATGAAAATACACACGCAATAATCAACCTAATTCTCCCATTCATTCTTAGTTTGAACCGATTTCGAAATTGTATGATTCACTATTGCGATGTCGTTAGAATTTTTTCTTTCACATTGGATGGGCATGGGATAGTCGTTGAATTCTGTAACGAACGATAATACTGTGCAAGTCTTTTCGAAGAGAAAAGAAACAAGCGAATTGTCATATGAAAATTTATCTTATCTATATCGAGATTTATCATAATCGTTCGTTTTAGATAGAGCCGATTTTTCGTCGTCTTCTTCTCTCTCCCTCCCTCTTCTCCCTTCTGCCACGTGAGCTAACCAATGATGTTCATTCTATATCCGCGGCCTATTCATTCTCTCTCCTCTTTCGCTCTCTCTCTCTCTCCCCGTGCGTATATTGTGGTAGATCGTTTTTCACGTTACGTTCATTTCATCTCTTTTATTCATCATCTAATCCACTTCAGATACATCATGCCTAAATCAGCATCGCATCGTTATCCAACTGATAAATCGTCACCATTATATCTTCGACCAAGAAAATTATTTGTTGATGATGACACTGCTGATAATGATCTCACTATACGGAATTCGAAATCTTCGAATCATATCATAACAACAGCATTGGCCCGCTTAACAACACGCACACCACCATCGTCATCCTCTCATCACACAGTTGTTATTCGAACAACAGTACAGCAAACGCCATTATCTGCAAATAGAAAACTACAAATGATCGATGTTAATGTTTGCCAACAAGAAAATCATCTTTCAATCAAGCGTATCAAACGACAGGCAGTAAACACTTGCTCACCAATATTCAACAAGTCAACACCGGTGCCAGTTCGTCGAGTAAGATATCATGGATCAAGCGGATTAATTTGTAGAGAAGAATGTCGTTTCGTTTAGGAATGTAATGTCAATCCGTTTATGACATTGAACTCAACAAATGAAAGTAAACCACAGAAAAGAAAACGTTCATCACTAAAGCAAATGTATGTCTATTGAATATTGAAATCACGTATGTTTTTCTTATATCTCATTTGTTTTCAGAGTGTTCGATGAAGAAAATCTCGAAGAAAACTATCGAAGAAAAAAGGTAAACTACTCAATAAATGTCTCTTTTTTACTCATACGTTCTGTTTTTCGTTCAATAGCGATTAGCTTTAAAACAATGCAATGTTCATCGTTTCAATGAAGAGTTTCATACCCAATCACTGTTAGGTTCTGGTGAATTCGGTAATGTCTATCTATGCGTCAATCGTCTCGATGGTTGTGCATATGCGATAAAAAAATCCAAGCGTCCAATCGCCGGTAGCTCATTTGAGTATGTCACCAGTCACCTTTCTCGTCTTCAACTTCGGTAATGTCTTTCATTTAACTAGAATGCTCGCTTGGAAAGAAGTGTGTGCTCAAGCTGTGCTTAAACATCCCAATATTCTTCAATACTACTCAGCATGGGCAGAAGACGATCATATGTACATTCAAAGCGAATTTTGCAATGGTAAGAAAAAGACTAATCACATATGTTTCACACATGCTTTATTCACACTTAATTTGTATTCAAACACGAACGTGCGAAGTCATCAAATTCGTTTTCGATTTTTCAGGAGGAAATCTAGCTGAACGTATACGTGACAATCATCATCGACATTGTTACATGGAAGAAAGGGTTCTCCGCAAAATCCTATTACATATCGCTAATGGTCTAGCGTTTATTCACTCGAAAAACTTAGTCCACTTAGATATTAAACCGGACAATATATTTATTTCAATCAACGAAGAATTAACGACAGAGAAGAATGTTACGTATAAAATTGGTGACTTAGGACATGTGACAGATATTTATGATCCATTTGTGGAAGAAGGCGATTCAAGATATCTAGCAAGAGAAGTTCTGCAACAAAAGCATCAATGTCTACCAAAAGCGGATATCTTCTCGTTAGCATTAACGATATACGCAGCGGTAAGATTAGACAAGTTTGGAAATCAATTCCAACGTTTTCTTTTCAGGGCACAAATACTACACTTCCGAAGAATAGCGATGAGTGGGATCGAATACGTGATGGGAAATTACCGGCGATAAAACACTGTTCAGACGCATTCAACGGATTACTTCTCGTAAGAAATAATTTCATATCATCGAATTCGAATCATTTTGTTCATACTAGGCAATGATCAAACCTGATGTCAGCGAACGGCCATCTTCATCTGACCTAGCTGAACATCCTGTTGTCTCGCCTGTTGGTGAGCGTACTAAAACTGAACTGTTTGATGAATTACAAGAAGAACAAAGAAAGAATTCTGTTTTAACAAAGTAAATTTCCAAGCACAGCTGTCAACATTGAAATGATGTTCATCTCTCTTTCAGGAAACTTCTCGATTACATGCTATTGGCCAATGAACTTGAACGTGTTTGCTCACAAATCCGTGCTGTTGACATGAACAAATCTCCTCCACAAACCTTATCTTTACAACGTTCAAGTAGTGTTAGCGATGTTCGACTAACATCAGTGGTATAGTGACAGACAGACAAACAAACAGATATGTATATAACTCGTCCAAGACAATCAAGAGTATTTTTTTCTTCTTGCTTAACTTATTTTTGTCCAAAGGAAAACTTCTCTAATTATTTTTTTTGTCGAATTTGGTCAAAGAAGAATGAAGTCCAATGAGAATTGCCCATAAAAGAAGAAATAATAATGCGATTTTAACTTTGTTCTGATGTGTGTGCGTGTCTGAATTTTACGCTTTTATCTTTCTTTGTTCAATTTGTTACTCTTCATGTATATTATTTCATCTTCCTTAATGCCATTGATCAATTGATGCACAGACTGTTTTTAATCACATTATTCGTATCCGTTCTTTGTTTAACTAAAACCAACAAATGTGTGTGTGTGTGAAAAATTGAACGAATTGTTATCTGTGTCCTTTTTCCTTCTCTTCTTTCTTCGTAATTGATTTTCTTCTATGAAGATAATCGAAATATTTTCTCTACCTATTGATGTTCATTGTTTTCCTTTCCCTTTCTCTCTTCCTATATTGATTATTATCTAGATGATATTATATATACACCTGTGACATTGTCCTTTCTCTCATTATATATATGTATTACTTGTTGTTCTTTTTTGCCTCTTGAAAAAATCATTCGAATAAAGATTAAAGAAAGATTTCTATAATTATATGTGTGAAAATGAGTCGTTTGCTAGCAGTAGCGGCATCTGGAGGATATTGGATCAGTGAGTGATTTTACAGATGATTAACTGCTTGTCAAAACGAATCTATTGCTGAGAATGAAACGATGATCGACATCGAAAAATATGTAAATGTTTGCATTGTTTGTATCCGTCAAGGTGGAAAAGAATAGAGGACGCTCTTGCAAAAGTAAGGAGGAAAAGTCTTCTAGCTATTGGTGTTTAGAAATATCCATTAATAAAATACATTGACAAGTTTTTTGTTTTGCCTTCCACTTAGGTAATACCCGAAAAGTTTCTTTTCTAATCATCCTATTTGATTGTTTTCCAGATATTTCATTGTTTCTAGTAATGCTAGAATTTGTTTAACTATCTTGTAACTTATAGAAAGAAAGGTAAAATAGTTTTCAAGTGTTCATCTGGTATTCGAAGATTTCCCGTTAGGTTGAAATTTAGATTTTATGAGTAATCGATCTCATACTCGTTGGGGTGCTCGACAACCACCGCGTCGAGGTGGCGGTGGCGGCGGAGGTTATGATCAAAGTTATGATGATTACGGTTACAACCAGCAACACTATTCTGCAAGTGGCTATGATTATGATCAGTATGATCAATCTCAGTCAAATTATGACCGGGGTTCAGCGTCATCCAAGCGTTATTCATCGAATCGCAATAATTACGATGGTGGAAATTACCACTACAATCCTCCACCACGGCATGCAAAGGGGAACTTTGTTGAAAATCAGAATCAGAATCAGAATTACAGCAATAAATCAAATACACCAGCAACGAAGAAACCGTCAAAGAAGCAAGAACTTGAGTCAACTCCTGTAGTGCCTGCCAAACCAGAAGAGACAGCCACCGGTAAGGATGACTTGCATTTTTCTCTAGCAAATTTCGAACAATAAAATTCTATTAGAGACACCATCACCACCAGCACCACCGCCTCCAGTGAAGCCAGCAGATGAAACGCCTGTTGTCGCAGGGCCTGTCGAAGAATCAAAGCCAGTAGAAGTACCTGTAGAAGAAGCACCGGTACCAGAACCACCTCCTGAAGAAAATCTTGATTTACTTCGGCAGCAAGTGGCAAGCTATCTAGCTGAACGACAAGATCGTTTGAAACAGCGACAAGAACTCCGTGAGCAAAACATACAAGCAGAAAAGAAACGTCTCAATGCTGAACAACAAGAAGCGGCAATGACACGGCTAGATTCAAGTATCAAACGTATTCCGCCATTTATCAAACGTCTCCGAACATTAACTGAACAGCAACGTGATGCACTTTGTCGAGACATGCAGGGATTAAACTTAACGCGTTATATATCCGAAGTTGCAACAGCGTTAACCGAAGCGAAATTGAAAATGAGCGATGTTTGGACATCCGTACAGATTTGTTCGTTGTTGCATCAACGTTATCCAGATTTCTCTACGACACTCTACGATAATTGGTTAAAAGTTTTACAGAAAGAAACGTTAGCTGATAATTTGTCGAAAGTTCGTGTCGATTTACGTTTATATGCTGAATTAATCACTGTACATGTTTTACCAATTCAACAATCAATCAATCATCTTCTATCAATTTTAACAACGTTAATCAACAACGATAAAGACTTTTCCAATCTAACTATTTTGATTAGTTTCTGTCGTCTGTGTGGAGAAGATTATGCTGATATATTTTCAAATAAGATACGAAAGTTAATAACGAAATTGGATGAAAATATCGAAGAAACGAACAAGAGTATGTTTCATTCGAATGAATTAAAACAACAAATTCGGCAAATGTTAAATGATTATTTTCAAAAGCTGTCCGTTTACCTTGTCGATGAACATAAACAATTGCAAAAACAAGATCAATTGATGAAACGCACTATGGAAGTAAGTTTAAAGTCGATGATGAACGAAAGGCGAATATGATCTTTTCAAATTCATCTTTCTTATCTATTGAGATTTGTATAGATAATGAAAGAATCTCTTTGGGTTATTCTATGATTGCATAATTTTATTATTCTGAGACTTTAAATTTATCGAAAGTATTCTCTTTCAGAATCGGGGAGAAATCAGCCAAGAGATCAAAGATAAATATGAACAAGCGAATACCACATTTCAGAAATTATTACAGAATACAGAAACAATGGCCGATTTGCTCGAACAAGTGATGCCGGAACTACCGATCGAGGGTTTGTTAACTCTCTTTCTCTCTCATTGGATACAAAGGTTTATTATTGGTCTTCTGTTTCTCTTCTAGAAGTTACTAAGAAGACCAGTGATCGTACTGGAATTGATTTCTATATACCTGGCCGATCGGATGACGTACGTCTTCTATATTTGAAACAACCTTTAATAGTCTATATACTTGAAGGATCTCGGCGGAAATACAATGTGGGAAGACAGTGAAACGAAGCAATTCTATGAAGAACTTCCTGATTTGAAACTTTTTCTTCCTCATTACGCATATCGCGAACCACTGACACCAGCAACTCCAACAACAACAACAACTACTACAACTGAAGAAGCCGATACACTCGATTCGGTACAAATCGAACAAGAAATTGAAAAAGAAGCATTAGAAGTCACATCTGCAGCAGCCGATGCCGAAGAAGAAGATACCACATTGGCTGATATCGAAGGTTTTGATCGCAAAGATTTGAAATTACGTTGACATACTTTCGTTCTAGATGGACCCGAGGAAGATGTTGGAGCAAATAATATCAAATTGATGATGGATGTTTTTGTGACTCAATTACCATCGTGCGTTAATCGTGAAATGATCGATAAAGTAAAACAGTGTCAATTTCCGACAGAAATTTGACTCTTCGATCTTTTCAGGCAGCGCGCGATTTTGCAACAAATCTAAATACCAAGCAGAATCGTAAACGACTAATAAAAGCTCTATATACAGTTCAACGAACATATTTACATTTGCTACCGTTTTATTCGCGTTTAATAGCTCAGTTAACTCCCGTGATGCCTGAAATTGGGAATGAATTAGTTCGCTTACTGAAAAATGAATTTCGTGCTCATATTAAACGCAAAGATCAAATTTACATTGAATCGAAAATCAAAACTGTCCGTTTCATTGGCGAATTGGTGAAATTCAATGTTTTTCCCAAGGCTGAAGCAATCAATTGCTTGAAAACATTGCTAAGCGATTTTCGTCATCATAATATTGAAATGTGCTGTAATCTTTTGGAGACATGCGGCCGATTTCTTTACCGCAGTCCGGATTGTCATCGACGAACAGAAATTATTCTTGTAAATGAAGATTTGAGCTTCTTTTTAGCTTCATCATGATTTTTCACTTTGCAGGAAATCCTAATGCGGAAAAAGGCAGTGTTGAATTTGGACAATCGATATACAACACAAATCGAAAACGCTTATTATTATTGTAATCCGCCCGAAACTCGAGAAATTGAGAAGAAAATTCGATCACCGATACAAGAATACTTGCGGCGATTACTTTTCAAGGATCTGAATAAAATGTCTACCGAAAAGGTCAGATTTTGATGAACAAACAAAACTTGAACGTCTCGATTTTTACTCATAGATTCTTCGACAAATTCGTAAATTCAATTGGCTTGACGCAGAATTTCGTTTCTATGCAAGCAAATGTTTAGCAGCGCCATACAGCATGAAATTCAATTCGATTCAATGTCTCGCCAGTATACTCTCTGGTCTATCTCATTTCTATGTAAGTCATGTCAACGTAAATGATCTAGCGTTCAAACTTTTGCGTTTAGGATGATGTAGCAATTGAAGTACTTGACAATGTGCTTGATGATATTCGCTTAGGTCTTGAGGTATTGAATGACTTCAGAAAATTTTCTGCTAAAATGTGCTCTTTAAGATCAATATTCCAAAATTTAATCAACGTCGTTTGTGTATGATTAAATATCTCGGTGAAATGTACAATTATCGAGTTGTTGATTCATTGATTATCTTTCGTACTTTATATTTATTAATTACGTATGGTGTTAATCTTGATAGTAAATCGACATGGTTGCCTTTCATATGCACTCATTGAGCCCTTCCCTTTTTATTAACAGATTCGGAGCCAAATGAAATTGATCCACCTGAACACTTATTTCGCATTCGACTTGTTTGTACATTACTCGATACCTGTGGCCAATACTTTGATCGGGGTACAAGCAAAAAACGACTTGACTGTTTTCTCATCTATTTTCAAGTGAATATCTTTTTTCTTTCTAAATATTCATAACGACAGAAGAACTTCTGTAGAGATACTACCATTTCAAAAAAGAACAGCCGATCTGGAATGCTGTAACGTATCCGTTTCCACGTGAAATCCAAGATATTATGGATGAATGTGTTATGGATCTAAGACCGAAATTTAACAGAGCCACATCGTATGCTAAAGCTTGTGAACAAGTAGAAAATATGGAGAAAGAATTTGTCGGTTTGATTAGTAAGAAAAATAATAATTGATTTGTATGGAGTAAACATTGTTTTCATTAGATGAACAGCAAGCGAAAGCAGCTGCGAAAGATGCGACGAATCTGTCACGCGATGTGAATCTAGCACCAATTACTGAAGATGATGAACAGCCAACAGAAAATACAAATGACGATGAATGTTCCAATGTACCACGACGACAAGATGACGAAGAGGTAAAGAACCAAGTTGTACTTTGCTTTAGTTTAAATTTGGATTTGAATTAAACACGACAGGACGAGGAAGATCGAGATGAAGAGGAAGAAAACGAAGATGACGATGAAGAATGCCACGCTACTGTGCGTGTTCGCCGTCCGCGACCAAGTGGTGGCAGTGCTGATCGTACGAGTGGTGGTAGTGGTGCTGATGAAGAATGTTTGGATACAGACGAGAATGATCTCGGTGGTGGTGGTACTTTTGATGATGCGAATCAGAATGGCCGGAAGACTTCCACAGAACGTGAAAAAGTCGTCAGCGAAGAAGACAAAGATTTTATGAAAGCATTCGACGCACTTGTTGCCGAATCGGTTGCTGTAAGTAGATTATGTTTAGTTTCCATTGTAAAAATATCGTATCGTTCGAAATTAGCAACGTACTAATGATATGACGAAAATTCCGGCACCGGATATTCCGATACCAGTTCATTTGCGGAAGAGTAAACTGCCATCGACGACAATGATGAATATTTCACGTAAGATCGAATATGTGAGTGATTGAGTAATGCGCGATTCTCATTTGTAGAAAGCGATGGCGACGATGAAAGTGAAAATACCGCTAAAAAAACAGAAACAGTTAATTTTGTTGTGATGCTCAAGAAGAACAATCGACCACAGGTGAACTATCCGTCGAAACTAGGCCTTCTATTTGCATGCTGACCACACATTGTTTTAGTTCCATAACATGGAAGTTTCAAGCACGTCTGAAATGGCGCTACGTTTGAAAGCTCGTGAACAAGTACGTCTTACAGTTTGACATAATTCTATAATAATGACTAAATGATTTGTTTCACAGGCTGATCGGGAAGAAAAAGCTCGTTTGAAAATACTCACATTGAGCATGTCAACACGGATGGAACAACAAGAAACTGAACAAGGTTTTTCTTTCTTTTGAAACTAAAGACTTTGATTTACGATTTGTGTGTCTACAGAATTGATGATGAACGCAAGCAATCGTTCAGCAATACCATCAGCTGCCAATCTAAATCGAGAGAAAAAGCAGAAATACATCCCGCCTAAAGGCGTTCCAGATGTTGATCTTATATTTGGATCGAAGTAGGTCGACTGAGTCATGTTTCTGTCGAATGATTTTCTCTTTTAGAAAACGGTGAACGAACTCCAGTATGGAAAATAACATCAGACTTCAGCTACGACAACTATGACCATCTCCACGAGTTGAATATGAGTGATATTGGTGCGCGATCGGATTCAACATTGAAAAGAAATTTTTTGACGAAATTTTCAAAGAAAAATTATGTGATTAACTTCTTTTGTGCAGTGATTTACTGGAGGTTATACAAAATGAAGTCTGTTTCTTTTTCTCTTTATTTTTGTTTTTCGTTTATTTCTTTACTTATTTCTCTAACTTCTCTTTCACCAAACACACGACACGCTATTGAGATAACCACTCAAGAATGCAGAAGAGCAAGAAGGTCTCTACTCTCTTCATACAACACATTGTACGCCATGAATCATCTTCTTTTCTGGGTCCTGTTTGTTTTTTTTCTTTTCTTACTTTGTATCTTGTGCCTATCTGCTTAAACAGTCGTCATCATCAGACACAATGTGTTTTACAAACCAGACGAGAGATGAGGAAAAAATGAAATAAAATATTGTATACGAGAACATCATTTTTATATTAACGGCTCAATGAAATTCTTACCGGAGATCAACTTTGTGATCGTGATGAAAAGCGTGTGTTACTTATTTTAGACAAAAAAGAAATTTGTCGAAAACTAAAAATGACAACTCATGATGTAAATGCAATTGCTGCTGAAGGCTTTGGAAAGGCAGCGATAGTATATGAACAAGCGCGACCGACCTATCCAGCTGATGCAATTGATTTCATCAAGTCACTTCATGATAAGCCTGACATCCTTGTTGATCTGGGAGCAGGTACTGGCAAACTAACACGTTTATTAGGTTCCTTTGGTGCCCGAGAAGTCATCGCCATTGAACCTGTTCCGTCTATGCGCGAAAATCTGAAAAATATTCCTTTAATTACGAAAGTACTCGATGGATCGGCTGAGCATATTCCTTGCGATGATCATACGGTTGACATCATTATCTGTGGTCAAGCATTCCACTGGTTTGCCAATCATCGAGCACTCACAGAATTTCGTCGAGTATTGAAACCAAACGGCTTGTTAGTACTTATCTGGAATTTAACGGATGATCGAGAGAATGAATGGAGAAAAAATATCGAGGAATACATTGATTCGTTTAGATCAAAAGATACACCACGCTACAAAACCATGGAATGGAAACAAGCATTTGAAAATCAGAACTTATTTTCCCCGATACAACATCGCCAATTCAGTCATCTGCAAAGAATCACACGTGATTTGGCTCTAAATCGAATGCTATCAACAAGTTTTATTGCTGCATTACCGGCTGAACAACAAGCAAACATAGTGAACGAAGTCCGAAAAATGCTCGACAATATTGAAGAATTACGAGGAATAGAAGAATTCGACGTGAAGCATCTGACTGATGTTTATTGGTGTTCACCAGTGCAATCTTCGTCTTAAACCCAAATATATTTAATTATACTGCAAGATTTTTTCGCTAATCAATTACAAAAATATCTTTCGAACATTCAATAGTTTATATCTTGATTTTATAATAAACAAACACTAACGAAATCACCTGTGTCTACTATAAATTAAATACAAAACGAGGATACGCAGCACTGGCGATTACGGTAGTATTACTGCGCATCGATTTGAAAAATAAGTCACCAAACATGATGACGATGAAAAAGGTCTCATATGAAAACTTAAGAGAGAGAATTTATATACGAAAGAGAAAAAAAAAGTGTCTTATTTCGATTACTTTATTCAAAAATAACAATTTTTTTACATATATTTCGAAACGAGATTTTGCATACGATCAGTGTATGTTTGTTCATATGGAGCAGCTGGCCGAGGATCTGTTATTTTAGGACCAAAATTGCAGCCTGTATAATGTTCGCGAGAAGTAGTCAGAGCGGTTCGAGGTCGTTCTCTCGGAGGTGAAATTGTTTGAGAGATTTGTATCCGTGGATTGGAAACTGTTTTTTGAGTCGGTAATGGTGGCGGCAACGGGAGAGATTGGTTTGATACTGATGTTACCAGGCGAGGTCCAGCACTTTGCGCACGCTGACGACCGGATATGCTTGAACTGTTAGTGTCGATGATCGTACGAGGTTGCAATGTGATGGGTTTTACAATAGTAATTATTTCTTCTTTAAGAGGAGGAGGAGGAACAGATGTTGATGGTGGAAGAGACGGCTGAATCGATTTATTCTCGTCACCGGTATTATTCCATACCATACATGCTGCAACACTTCCCTCACCATTGCTTGAACGTTTATTACCCTTCTGTTTCGACATTTGTGTACGTGCTGATAGAAACCTTTGAAATGTTTCTTGTCGAATTTGTTTGGATCGTTCTTGGTCAGGTTGACCATGTTTGTAAGTACAGGAATAAACGCTCGCAGTTGATGTTATAGGCGACGGCGTATTTTTGTCGTCGGTATTGTTTATTGTCTGAATTTCTGCTAGAATACGAGATGGTGTTGTGTCACGATTATAATCATCACCATACGACGTAATTTTAACACTTTCAGCAAGCGCCTTATGATCAGTGTTACGCGGTACCCAACTGATAAGATATGGGTTGAAATTTCCACGTGCGCTATTGACCGTTTTTCGTCTGCCGAAACCCTTCAATGAGATTTGTAGAAAGTTTGATGAGAAAAGACTTCATTAGGTTTAATTTTCTCTTACCCCTTGAGTATTTCGAACTAATGGATCACATTCGAATCGAAAGCGGTTATCATGTTGGGAAAAGACATGAGTATTGGCCTCTACCTAGAGTGACATAAGGTAGATATGAGCAGATTGAAAAGATCAACTACGAACTGTTTGTCGATCAACAAACTTTTTCGGTGGGATTGGTTGCGCCAATTGACGAAAATACTGAGCGAGATCGGCACGAGATTTTGCTCGAAAATTACCGTAATAGCTGGTAGGAAACTATGATTGAAAAGTGATCAATCTGCTTCGGAAATCTCCAGATAAGGTCTTACCCAAGAGCCAACGATTCGTTGTGCATCTGTGGATGTAGAAAATGGAACTTGTCTTATATGCACTTGACTCATCTTCAGTGAACTGTGCACCACTTATTCGTAAGTCGAACACAGTAATATATGTCTTGTTCGTATTTATGTTGTTAACAACACGATACACGACAGCGGCGTCAAGCAAAATTGAATAAGAGAGGCAAAGAAAATGGTAAACTTGAAGAGAAGAATTGTAGTGAAAGACTCTCAAAAAAATGTACTCTCTTCACTCTCTGCTTAGCATCAATGAAGCGAACATTGTAATGCTTACATGTATCGAGGCAATACTATTATTTTTTCTCGTTTTCTTTTATTGACTCAAAGAGAAGCAAGACAAAGGCAGTCACAGAGAGAGAGAGGGAGGGAGGGAAAACAAGACTAATTGAATAACATTTCGCTATAATATTTGATTTGAAATGAATAAAATTTTGATGCTAGTTTCTTCTTGTTCGACATAGCTTGGTAGAACTTTATTTTCTCGAGATCAGAAATTCATGCGATTATAGAAGCACGGCGAATAAAAATTGAAAGATCAATAAATGAAAATCAAATATTTGTACAGAACTTAAGTTTATATTTCTAACTGATCGTTTGAAGTAGTTACCTATAATTAAATTGCTCTTTTTCTGTTTTGATTCTTCGTCATTGCATAAGTGAATGCGAATATAACGTAACAAAAGTGAACTTATGTTTAACCTTTTATCTACTTAAAATAAAACAACAGTTTCAACGATGACTAATAAATTCATGCAAACAAAATGTGAGGTACGAATCTAGATTGTCGCCGAAACTCGACCATATACATTCTGATCGAGTTGGCTCCGACTGACTGGTCTTTGACGAGCGCTAGTCTCACTGATCTGCATTCAAAGCGACAGGATTTCATTTTGACTTGAATTAAGATACTGGCACCGTTACAATGACCGCATGTACCTTCTACATATATTTGTACATTTATATGTGGATATAAATGAGAGTAACCATAATGATTGCTGAAAAGAACAGATATTTAGAAAAGATATTGGCGACGAGAATTTCAAATAATTTTAGTGTTCTGTTGACTATTAGCGACGATGAAGAAACAGTAGTAAAAGGTTCAATTTTTTCTTGTCGGATTAGTAATGCCATCTTTCGAACAGGTAATTTTAACGACAGAGAAACGAGAAAGGCATTTCCATCGTTTCAAAACCTGACAATGGTAACTCATTGACAACTATTACTTTTTGTTTTTTCTATCTTCTGCATCTTTTTTCTTCTGTGTTCTATATTTTTTCTTTCAAAATGTCTGTGTGTGTTGCATATTTACTGTAAAAGACTTATTGATAAGTAACCAATATAAACTTTCAACAGCGATACTTAGTTTCATCACACGCACACACACATTCATCGCACTTTCTTTTATTTCTTCTACAGATATCTGATCTACCATTTATTAATGGATATCCATACGAATTCATCTGGTTTTCAACATGTTCTTAATTATGGCCCACATACAGCTGTTGTTACGCATCCAAATCATAATCGTCATCACCATACCTACCACCAACATCATCAGCATCATCAGCCTCGCGTCTATTCATTGCCGCCACCACAATCACGACCTGTGCAAAATGCAGTCCCATCTTATCAACTAGTACCCCTTGTCCCTGTATCGTACACTACTGTCTATGCGCCTGTACAGCAACAGCAACAACAACACCAACAACAACCAAGGCCATCAGGGCAATTAAAACAACATCCTCAAAGTAACTATCCTATGCCCTAAATGTCACATATTTGAACATGTTTCTTTTTATTCTGTAGTGGCACACGATCCGTTTCATGCCGAACAATATCAACCTAGTGAGTATCTTGACTACTCATTGATATCATCTCAGTTCGTTTGATATAGGCCGAGGAACATCAGCACAAATACCGTATTACAATTCCTTAGATGATCCTCATATGCAAGATTACTACGCAAAGAGATTTCACGTTCGTCCTAAATCAGCGATGAAACGTTCCAAACGAGCAGATACACTTTATCGAATCACAGTGAAAACAGCCAATGTTAAAGATGCGGGAACCAATGCCAAAGTTTACTTGAGTATCTACGGAAAGAGAGATCGAATATGTCGAAAACTATTAACACGTGAATCGATGTTACGCGGCCAATCTCAACTTTCATTGTCATTGAACGGTCTGGATAAAGTAGATGACAATGATTTATACAATATTGAATTTAAACGAGGAGCAACCGACATTGTTTATATTCGTTGTCGAGATCTTGGTATTATTCAGCATATCGTCCTCGAAGTAAGAAGAAAATCTTGACTATTTCTTGAATTTGACTTTCTTTTAGCATACTGGTCTTCTATTCGAACAAAGTTGGCTATGCGAATTTATTCTAATAACAAATGTTCGCACAGGTCGTTCATGGTTATTTCCATGTAATAAATGGTTATCATTATTTCATCCGGGAGATGGCTCCTTATCAGTCGAACTCTATCCGAGTGACCGTGACGTTGATTACGGATTGAAACGACCATATGCACCTACAGATACTGGTAGAATCAAACGACTTGTTTAGTGAAAATGATCTTCTATACGATTTTTCTTTAGAATATGAAATCGTTGTTGTAACAGGCGACAAACGAGGTGCTGGAACGGATAGCCAAGTTTATTTGACATTATTCGGACATGAAGGCAAACGAACAGAAAAGATTCATTTAAGCAAATCGAATAATAAAAATCCATTCGAACGGAATCAAACAGATACATTTCGTGTTAAAGGGGATTATGTGGGAGAATTAGTGAAACTTCGTATTGAACATGACAACACTGGTCGTCTACCAGGCTGGTTTCTTGATCGAGTATGAACATAGATTTGATATTGACATCGAATATAGCTGTAATTTTCTCGTATGATTAGATTGTCGTCACAGATTTATTTGATCCGAAAACAAAATATTTTGCAACTTGTAACAAGTGGTTAGCCAAAGAAGAAGGCGATGGGCAACTCTCTCGAGATCTTCTATTGCACAGAGACGGTGTTGGAAGTAGACAAAGTAAGAGATGATACGACGCGATGCTCACTTTCGATGATTCACTGTTTTGCAGGCAATCGGTATAAAGTATCAGTCTTCACCGGCAAAAAGCGAGGTGCTGGAACAGATGCAGATGTCTACATCACCCTCTACGGTGATATGGGCGAAACGGGTGCAATTATGCTTGATGACAAAAAAAATAATTTTGAAGCTGGAAAGTAAGAATCGACTGAACTGGCGAATTTAATCCTTTATTGTAACCATAATCAAATAGGAAAGATGAATTTACCATTGAATGTCCAAGTGTTGGTGAATTGAATAAAATTTTAATTGCACATAACAACAAAGGTACAGCACCTGGATGGTTTTTGGATCGAGTTTTAGTCGAAGATCTCGATGCTAATCGTATATATGAATTTCCGTGTTATAAATGGTTGGCCACCGATGAAGATGATGGACAAATCTCACGATATCTTTTCCCATTAGCCGAAGGTGCTGGACCACAAGCGACGGCAGGTAAATGATTTTTCACCTATAAAAACTAAAGAAAACTAACATGTTTTTTTCTTGTTCTAATTAATATAACTACAGATGGTGAGTGAATCCTAGCTATAGTGCTTTGTGGTTATCTGTTGCACTTTATTCCTGTGAGAAAATGTGCTAATGAGTTTTGTTTGTTCAGGTATTCCATACAATATTACTGTCTATACGGGCGATAAAAGAAATGCTGGTACTGATGCCCGAGTGTACATCGTAATGCATAGTAAAAAATCATCATCCGGTCAAATTCCTTTACCTGGTGGAAAATTTGAACAAAAATCAGTTGATCTATTCAAAATTGATGGACCAGAAAACTTTAGTCCTTTAACAGCATTAGATATCGGACATGACAACTCTGGCCGAGGACCAGGCTGGTATCTTGATAAGGTTAGTTTACGATGAAAAATTGCAGACCGAACGTAAGACGAGTCAATCAAACATTTCTTAGTTCTTTGTCCTTGTCGTTACGACACAACAAGAATTGTATATCCTATTCTTCTCCGTCATAATTGAAATCGGATTCGCACTTGACTCTGAAATCAATATTTGATTAAGATCATATTTATTCATCTATTGATCTAATATCGTTTGAATCGTTTAGGTTGTTGTCGAATGTCCAAGTACAGGTATTATACAAACATTTCCTTGCCACAACTGGCTTGCTGATGACGAAGGCGATAAACGTATTGAACGTCGATTAATAGAAGATGAATCATTACGGGAAACACGCGCACCAAGTAGATACATGACAATAGTTTTCATTTCATAGCTTTTTCTTTCCGTAGCTGTTCCTTGGTATATTTGGGTTTATACCAGTGACATGAAAGGAGCAGGTACTGATGCTCACGTTAATCTCGTTCTCTATGGTCGTACTGGCAAATCGGATGATATTAAATTACAAAGTAAATCAGATGCATTCGAAGCTGGTCACTGTGACGAGTTCAAAATGGACATTGCCGATGTTGGTATACCATTTAAATTGCGTGTTAGTCACGATAATAAGAAACTGTTCGCATCGTGGCATCTCGATCGAGTAAGATTGTTTAAAACAAGTTAATTTTCTTGTTTAATCTAATAAAATACGTTTAGATTGAAATGGAAAATTTGAACACAAACGAACGATATAAATTTATGTGCGGAAGATGGCTATCGAAGAAAGAAGATGACAAACAAACTGTCCGAGAATTACCTGCTGAAGGTCCCGGAATAAAAAAACCTTTACCTGTCGTGAAATACTTTATCGATGTATATACGGGCGACAAGAGAGGTGCTGGAACAAATTCCAATGTATTCATTAATGTTTTTGGTGAATGTGGTGACACAGGAGGTATGCTGTTCCGTCAATCCTCTTTTTACTCTTGTTTTATTCAATTATTAATCGAAATTCTAGAACGACCGTTGGAACACTCGAAACATAAGGACAAATTTGAAAGAAAACAAGTAAAAGCTTACTTCATAGAGATTCATAAAGTAAAATTTTGGTTTTATTTTCAGGTCGATAGTTTTACCATCGAAGCGGTTTCATTGAAAGAAATACAAAAGGTTCGAATCGGTCATGATGGCACAGGTCAGTCTCTCTAGATTTGCAGTTTCTTAATACTATGGTTGTGTTATTCGTCAATAGGCCCAGGTGCCGGATGGTTTTTAGACAAAGTTGTCGTCCGTCCAGAAGACGAACGTTATAAACCGGCGACATTCGAATGCAATAGGTATGATAATACGAAGCTTAAGTAATCAACATGACCTTGTTTGATGTTCATAGATGGTTAGCTGTTGATGAAGACGACGGTCAGATCATTCGTGAATTGACTTTGGCATCAGCAGCGCAGCACTTGGATAAAACAACATACAATGTTCGGATAAAAACTGGCGATGTTTTTCAAGCGGGAACAGACGCTGATGTACATTTGAAAATCTTCGGAGAGAAAGAAATGACAGATAAAATTCCGTTACGAACATCGAATAATACAGCAAATAAATTCGAACGAAATCGTATTGACAGTTTTACATTTGAATTTGCTGATCTCGGCAGGGTTTGTTGTGTTTTAAATTCTGTTTTTGAACTAGTTTCGAATGAATTCATAGATTGAACACATCATTATCGGACATAATGGAAAGAATCCAGGAGCTGGATGGTTTCTCGATTGGGTAGAAATCGATGTACCAATGCGAGGAGAACTTTACAAGTAAGATATTCACGAACTTAGAGCTTTAAATTTCATTCTATTATATAGATTCTCTTGCCATCGTTGGTTAGATAAAAAGGAAGGTGATGGTAAAATAGAACTCGATTTAGTACCTTCGGATGTGACGAAAAAAGAGAGTGGTTAGTAATGAGCGGCATATGCTGACAAAATCAATCTGATATTATCTTTGTTTATAGTTATACCATATGAAATAACTGTTTTTACCGGTAACAAAACGGGTGCCGGTACCGATGCGAAAGTATTCATACAGATGTACGGCTTGAATGGTAAAACTGAAGAACTTGTATTGAAGAGTAAATCAGATTCATTCGAAAAGAATGCGGTATGAGTTCTTTTTCTCAATTAAACTTTCTTCATTCGGATCTATTAGGTCGATAAATTCAAAATCGAAGCACCAGATATTGGAGAAATTCAAAAGATCCGCATTGGACACAATTCAGAAAAGATGAATTCAGCATGGTATCTTGAGAAAGTATGAATCTCTCCTTCGAGAACCGTCAGCATCTCTTACTTCGAACATTCTTCTCCTACAGGTTCGCGTTCAACGACATTTGAGTGATTCATACGATAAACGCAAACGAAGTAAATAACTTTTACACACAACACGCATTAGGAAAGATGGTCTTGTATGATCTAGGTTTCAAATCGGGCAAATCGTTACGTCTTAGTCAAATTAGTGCGGTTGACCCCAATGTTGAAGAGTATTGGTTCTTCTGTCAACAATGGCTTGATAAAGGTTCAGGTGACAAGCAAACTGTTCGAGAACTACTACCAACGGATGAAAATGGAAATCCTCTTAGTGATCGAGACGGTATATATCACAGTCTGTCGATTAAGCATTCTTATTTTTGTAATTTCAGAAGTAACATATACAGTGCATGTCTTCACCGGTAACAAGTCTGGTGCTGGCACAGATGCGAATGTTTTCTTGACTATTTACGGAAAATACGAAGATTCGGGTATGGCATTTGATTTGCATGGCGAAGTTTTCGTTGAAATACTCTGATATCTGCTTTCAGGTGAACGCGAACTTAGAAATTCCAAGACGAATAAAAACAAATTCGAAAGAAACAAAGTTTGTTTCTTTTTCTTTGTTGGAATGGTCGTTTAATTGACATCTATTAACTGTAGGAAGACGTCTTCGAAATCAAAGCTATTTGGTTAGATAAATTGAGCAAAATCAAAATTCGTCACGATAATGCAGGAGTATGTGTCACATCATCATCATCTCCAATTTTACCTATGCCCAAATCTTTCATAGGGTGGTGCAGCATGGTATCTCGACCGTGTGGAAGTCGTTGATCCGAAAACCGATCAAGTGTAAGCAAGAATGAATAGATGAGTATGGTGTCTAATGTTTCGTGTTTGACAGGTATCATTTTATTTGTCAAAAATGGTTGGCAAAAGATGAGGATGATGGAATGATCTCTCGTGAAATTCCGGCGATGGAAAATAAAGCACTTCGCTTGGCAGCAGCGCGTGAAAGTGTTACCGGAGCACCAACCGATTTCGGTCTTGAAAGAAAAGGTAAGTTATCTCAGATTTAACATCATCATTCATTGACGTATGACATACTCATCTTCACTCTCTCTTCCGCTGTGTTTTTCGTTCCTCTAGCACGTATCCATCGTGGTTCGTTCAATTAATACGTACAGAAACATACATTAAACGCCTTCGCCATCTTTTCTCTTTTTAAATATCTCATTACATATTTCGATCGTATTTATTACAATAAAAAAAACCATCGTGTTTCTCCTAGACTCTGCTTGCCTTGCGCTAATGTTTGTTGCTATTATTGTTGTTTCCCAATATTGAAATACGTTTTAATAGCACATTTAACACTGATTTGTTTCCCTTGGTGTTTTCGTATCAGCGGAGAAAAAAATTCTATTTTTTCTTTTTTCTCACATAGCACTAGCAACAACCTACAATGTAAAAGTCACCACCGCAGATAAATTGGGTAGTGGCACCAATGCCAACGTATACATATGCATATATGGCAAAAATAATGATACAGGTTAGATATTAATTAAAAGAGTTTTGAATTATTGAAGTCATTGTTTCTAATATAATAGGAATAGTCCCGTTAGCAACGTCAAAAACGCACAAGGATCCATTTGAACAAGCTCATACTGATGAATTCGAAATTGAGGCCATGGATATTGGGGAACCTATCAAGATCAAGTATGAATGATTTCTACGACGGGAAAACCGATGAGTATATGAATGATGTTCTTTTATAGGATTGGCCATGATAATGCAGGTTTTCGACCAGATTGGTTGTTAGAGCGTGTAGAAATCGATGTACCAAAGTTGGGTCATACATGGTTGTTTCCATGTGGTAAATGGATTAGCAGATCCAAAGGCGAGGGCCAACTAGAACTGGAACTTTATCCTAAATCAAGAGCAGGCTCTGTGTATACGCCATGTAAGTTTCGATTGAGGAAAAATTTTGAAAGATAGAAACTTGAATTTAGTTGTTCCATATGAAATCAAAATTGTTACATCGAAAAAGTCGGGCGCAGGCACTGATGCCAATGTTTTCATTGAAATTTACGGTGTTGACAAGACAACTGGTGAAGTGATGCTATGTAGTAAAACTGATCGAAAAGGAAAATTTCAAACGGGTTCAGTCGATACTTTTGTTCGAGAACTTGAAGATGTGGGTGATGAAATTGAAAAGATTCGTATTGGACATGACAATCACGGCATAGGTAATGCTAGTTTTTGCACTCTCAAACGAATGTTCACATTGTCTTATTCGTGATATGTAGGCGCAGCATGGCATTTGGATCGCGTGGAGATTCGTCGATTATTGAAAGGTCAAAAAACGAAAACATATGTATTCCCGTGTGACCGTTGGTTTGCCAAAAATGAAGATGATCATAACATTATACGTGAACTTGTACCAGAACGTGTTATTGAAGAAAAACTCGACAAAAGTGGACAATTAAAAGTGCAAGAAAAAGAAGTACGAGATCGACTTGAAAGTATGTCATCCAGTAGAACATTCCGAGAATGAAATACGATTCTCTCTGACTTTCTAGTGAAACAGTATGTAGTCGATGTTTATACGGGCGATCAACCTCGTTGTGGCACAGATGCTAACGTATTTTGTACAATCTATGGCGATCGAGGTGATACAGGCGAACGTGAATTATCGCATTCCGAAACCCACAGAAATAAATTTGAAAAGAAACAAGTCGATCGGTTTAAAATCGATTGTGCCGATTTAGGAAATGTCTATAAACTGAAGATTCGACATGACAACAAAGGACCATTTGCTGATTGGTTCTTATCAAAAGTAGAAGTCGTCGATGATATCAGAACTTACGTCTTCTTCTGCGAACAATGGTTGGCCAAAGGAAAAGGCGATGGAAAACTCGAACGAACACTCTATGAAAAAGTAAATCTTTCCTATTCATTTGTTCCTCATTGATTGTTCTTGTCTCTATCAAAGGATTACCAAGGATCCAAAAGCAGTCTCGGATCGATTCCTCGTTCAGTGACTGGTTCTCGAGCAATCTTAGGATCGACTGAAAGCGACATTAAAAACGAACCGTTTCAGCGTGTACAAAAGAAGAATGTCATGTCAAGTATTGCCGAAGAAACTCGATCCCGAGGTTCAACTGACGAAGGCATACCATACACTGTTAAAGTTAAAACTGGCGAAGCACGCGATGCTGGCACTTCTGCGAACGTTTTTATACGTCTAATCGGACGTAAAGGTCGACAAACACGTCTAATTCCATTGGAACTCTTGCAACGGCAACGTTTTGAGCCAGGAAAAGTTGAAACATTTTCTCTGCAAGAGTTAGACATCGGCGACTTGGAAATGGTGGAAATCGAGCATGACGGCGAAACATTAGCTGATAGTTGGTATCTGGAAGATGTTTCCGTGGAAATGCCAACGAAAGGACGATCGTTCTACTTTCTTTGTAATCAATGGTTATCCCGAGAAAAAGGTGATGGAAAAACAAAACGAATACTTCGAGTACAAGATTCAAATCAAGGATCATTTCGTCCATGTAAGAATTCAATACCTTTTTCTCTACAATTTTCATGCATGGCTGTTTATCTGATATAGTGATACCATACGAAGTAACATTCTTCACGGCAGACGAAGAGAATGCTGGTTGTGATTGTGACGTTAGCTTGAAGCTGTATGGCACAAATGGTTCATCATCGGAGCATGTTTTCAATAAAGAAGAAGGCCAATTCGAACGCGGTTCAATCGATCCATTTCAATGTGAACTAGACGATGTTGGTGAACCGATTAAATTACGCGTCAAAATTATACCTAAAGGTAAACATGGTCGACATCGATGGTTCGTACAAAACATTGAGCTGGTTAAATATACAAAACAAAACAAACGACACAAACCGTATCTCTTCGGCTTGAATGATTGGATATCAAAGGACACTGGTTTTCTTCAAGATATCCCATTGACAGATCATGGAAAATCTATAATTCAAGAAACAACCTACCGCATTACCACTAAAACAAGTGATATTAGTGGTGCATCTTGCGATGCGAACGTTTTCATTGTTATTTATGGTAAATAGTTTGATCTTTCCCTTTTCTCACGAAGTATCATTTCGTGTGTTGTAGGTCAAAATGGCGAAAGCCGAGAATTAGAACTGAAACATTCATCTACACATAGAAATAAATTTGAACGAAACCACGAAGATGTCTTCACTTTTGAAAACATTCAAAGTTTGGGAGCATTGACCCAAATTCGTATCTGGCACGACAATTCTTCGCTAAAAAACTCTTGGCATTTGGAATACGTTCAAATTGATGACACTCATACAGGCGAATCTTACAAATTTCCATGTGATAAATGGTTATCTTCGAAGAAAGATGATCAACAAATTGTTCGTGAACTCGTATGCGAGGACAATCCACGTGGTGGCAGTCGACGAGGATCATTAACACCTTCTGGTGAAGTACAATATGAAATTGAAGTCACCACCTCCGATAAACAGAATGCTGGAACCACTCAACATGGATGGATTGTTCTTGAAGGAGCAAGAAAACGATCCAAAAAGTTCTATATGAAAAATACACCGCATAATAAGATTTTACGAGGGTAAGAAATACGTCTTTTTTCAAAATGATCTCTTCTATGTTTGTGACTCGATTCTTCGCAGAGGACAAACGGATTCGTTTAAATTCCAGTGTCGACCTCTTGGAGCATTAGAACGCATCGTTTTGGGCCACGAAGAACGTCCTGAATATCCACTTAGATCTTATGAAGGTCGCGATGCTGCGTGGCATGTTGCGCACGTCACCGTTACAGATCCTTCAACCGGCTTCAAGTAAGAAATTCATTTGGATTTCTACTGCAAAAAAAGTGAACTAACCGATTTCAGATATGAATTTCCCGTTCGTGATTGGATTGTTATTAATGATGATGCAAAGACATTCGAATGTGCTAGTAAAGAAGAAGACACTGTTAGCCGACAGCGTCATCGACGACCAATTAAATACAAAATCATCGTTCATACAGGTGATAAGTCACATGCTGGTACGGATGCGAATGTATCGATTATCCTTTATGGTACGCTGGGAGATACAGGTGTTCGTCCGTTGAAACAAAAAGGCCGTAATCTATTCGAGCGTGGTCAGGTCGACGAATTCGTTATTGAATGTTTGGAATTAGGCAGCTTGACCAAATTGCACATCGAACATGATAATGCCATGTTGTCTGCTGATTGGTTTCTCGATAAAGTTGAAGTTGTTAATATGGATACGCAAGAAACAGTTCTATTTCCATGTAGCCGATGGTTGAGTAAAAAGCATGATGATGGCGAGATAAAACGAGACCTTTTACCAATTCGTGCTTCGTAAATCTGTGATACTTTTATTTGAACCACTTTCCTCAGCGAACAGAATCTAAATATACACAACAAAACACGACCGATTCGTTGTCTTGCACATTCTTCGCAGTAGGAAATTGTAAACAATAATCAAAATGATACATGTGTGCGTGCGTTGTGTGTTGTTTGTGTGTATTTCTTATCTTTTTATTTTCCTCTGGGCTTGACTCTATCCGCATCTTTTGTTTCTATTTCACCACTGTTGTTTCTAACATTAATAAATGGTCTCTTTTTCTTACTCTAAATCACAGTTTAATTACTTCTGGCGCGATCATCTTGTCTACAAAACAATGCAACTTGCTATTGTGATATTTCTGCTCGTCAGTTATTCATATCCTGCACTCAGTTCGATTGAAAACTATGCAGCTTGTAAGAAAAATCCGTTAACCTATGATACTATCGAAAACCACTTAAGTTCGATTTCCAATCTTTATTTTCTCTTTGGAATTCGAATTCATCGACCGTTTATGAATGTACACAGTCAAACACATGCCGAAGCGAGCATGTTCATACTTGCCATTTGTAAGAAATATTCGTCCGACTGTATTTCACAAGGTGGTTCATTACCATCGAATTATAAACTAGAGTTTACATTGAATGGCGCACCCTATACGGATCGACATACGAAAATCGACCGTCAATGGCATCGACTAAAGATTGCTAACTATGATTTTCTCTATGATCCGTTTCATTCTCACTCGTGGTATGATCATGCAGAAAATGATAACGATTCGATTTGGAAGAAATTCATCATGAATAGTAAGTGTCAGTGGAAAAATGCATCTTTTTTATCAATGATCTTATTCAGTGGATTCGAATGAAAATGAAAATATTCATGCAAAATGGGTATGAGTTCATTGATTCAATGGAAAATTCCATAATCATCCTATTCGACAGGTCGAATTCGGTGTGAAGATCAATGATGCTGGTGCTCAATTCATCGAAGGACAGCAAAGATACAATAATATCTCCGTTCAACAATTCCAATTACGTCTGTCATTAGAATCGTCAAAAGCGAAATTAGATGAGATCAATTTTAGATTTCTTTGTCCCAACGTACGAGTGTTTACAAGCACCAATACTCTACTTCGATGATCTCGCGGCAGGTCAACAATATCTGTCCGCTTTTCATTTTCAATTACACTCTGATCAGTGCTATCTGCACAAATACACATGTCATTTACGAATGAGACAGGTACATTTGAATAACGTCGGAGGTATACACAATACATTCAATCTAAGCGGATCAATCAACATCACGACGAATCATTTGTCGTTATTCACACAACGAATCTCCAATGAACAAGCTATCCAAACCACAAATTTCATCGATCATATTTCTGAACAAGTATCAGACGGTTTCTCCATCGAAAAAATAACCTTTTGTAAATGATTAGGTTATGACTGAAAATAGTACTCTGCTATATGATACAGAGATCTATCGTAATGCGATGTGCATCAATAAGAATCCCATAACGGCAAGAGAATTTCTGCTATGCACAGAAGATTACATAAAAAATGAATTAGTTATACGAACGTATCGTATTGATATTATTCTATGTCAACCGGTTAAACACAATGCTGAACAATGTCTATTTTCTCTTTACCGGTAAACAGGCGATTTTCAAAATAGAGAAAGACGATCTACGTGATTGATTTTCCTTCTTAGACATATTTTCAACGGGACATCGCGATTATTCATACCGGTTAAGAATGACAATATTACATATATCGGCTTCATTCGACTTCCAGAAGATTTACCAAATACAGAATGGTAATATCATAACTAGCAAGAATTTTTTGTAGTTTTAATTTCAGGCGAAATCATTTAAATAAAACTTTCGATAAACTCTACAATCATCAACTGAAGAACGTCTATGATCATACGATTGAAATCAAGACTAATGTCGACAGTATGACAACACTGCTTCGTTCCTATCAGATCATCACCGATCAAACTGATCTATGTCATCTTGTTTGCCACAACCATTGTGTTCAACAATCCCCAAAGCATTCCGATTACATTGCATCGTCATCCACGATTGACCTTATTTTATTTTGTAATAATTGTAGCTTTAATCAAACATACAGTCACTTCGATCATTCGATTGTCTACAATTTTACTATTCTTTCAACAGCCATCGCAGTTATGCAAATAAAACTTACCCAGCCGAATTTAAATTTATCCGTTAATTGTATTAGTCATAAACATGAGATTTTTACACTAAATGCACATTTTCATCACAGTCAACAAAATACGAACTATCGGCCGTTTTCCTGTTCGATTTCTCCGGTAGCGTTTTATCCATATCATGATGAAGCTACTCTCACATGTGAAAATTTTACAACACCTGCTGATATCATTCTTTGGGCAATAACAAATCAAAGTAAGCCATCACATGAATCATCAATTGACCTTTATTTTTTTTTCTTCACAGACGGTGAACTTATTCGAACGCTATTAAATCCATTCTATCTGACGAATCAAAACTTTAACTCCAAAATTCGAATCAAAATCAACGGTCTTCCACACGGTGATATCGTTGCACTCGAAATAAGTTCCTCCTTATTTTCGATCATCGATACCTATGAACTGACTGTTCTAAGTCTAGACGATACATTGATAACCAAAATAAATATCGCTCTCGAATCGAATTACTTTCTCAGCGTAAAAAATATCTACCTGCTTCGATGTAATTCAACGTTTTTCCATAGGCATTTCGTCTTTTGAACCAATATCTGACTATCTACGAAAATGAGTTTTATCTCTTGAATCAATCGAATACTTCGCGCTTACAATTAATTGGTCTCAATCAAACATCATTCGCAATGAGTATTCTTAATTATTATCGATCAATATTGAACTATATCGATCGGGAGTCACTTCATATCAAAGCAATGGATTTTTCTCAAAAGATTTGCTCACTTGTATCGTCTTCGAACATAAATCAGTGGAAACGAAATTGTTTCTTTCATCTAGATTTCAACACATCTGTTCAAATATAAAATTTTCTATCCGAAACCAGGCAATATATACTTGAATCCATTTATTTCTCTTCTCACTCAATTATCTTCACATCCGAAGATCGTTACATACCAAACTTACCATTTACTTCGGTATGAAATCAACAATTTTCGTAATGGGTATTTTCTCAATTTAATTGTTTTCAGGCATACAATGAAGCTCATTTCTTACTCTTTACCCGACACGTCGTTAACATTTCTTAATAAACTATTCGATCTTTGTATTACTTTGCGAATATATGTAAATCATCCGAAATCATTACCAATCTCCACAATCACCGATGCAAATAGTCTGTTTGAATTGAATCAAATAGTCAATCAAATCTTAGTAATGATTCACCATGAATTCGCCATCAATCGCTACTCTGACGATCGCATGCAGTACATCAACGAAGGTCCGATTGATTTCTTTATAAATATGCCGATACCGTTTATAACCAATCGATGGGCTCTTATATTTAATCGATCGGAACCAGATGATGGTGCTGGAAAATCATTTTCAGGTAACTCGCAAATACAAACCATATGTTCGCATCGAAACTTTTGTAGGTATCGTCTATTATCCTCAGGAATATATTCCAATTTACTATAAAACTCCGACAACGATATCAATCGATTATCCCATTGGTCAGATCTTTTCGATTGAATATAGCAATTCGACACTATTGAATCGTTCTTCACAGATCTCATTCTCACTTGAACATGACTATATGGATCCGAAGAATCTATTGCAACAATACTTTATGAAAATCTCATTGGAACGTATTGGGAATAAGCATTATTCACATAAGTTTACGTTTCAGACCAACACAACAAGATTAGCTCGAAATATATCCTTTATTTTTCTCGATTTACCGAATTCACCGAACTATCTCTTCACATTCGATATAACGTACAATAAATCATGTTCAAAGCGCGACAAAACTCTAAATTACTCCGTACAGATAGACCTACGACGAAAGAACCATTTCGTCTATTCGATACCAGTGCAATCGGAAGTGAACATATGCGGTTATGTTGAGATAACATCAAAGCATCAACTCATTCGAAATCTAAAACGAACAGGAAGATTTCTTGTCGTCGAAACTGGTTGTTACTCATTCACAAAGAACATCCATGAAGATTATTATTCCGAAGTAAGCGGTAAAACTAAGCTTGGCAATCAACATGTTTATCTTTAGTTGCAAACCGAAACATGTCAGTTGATCAATGGCTTGGAAGATGATATACTTTCCGGCGCTCATCTTACTTGCCATTGCCGACCGTTCATAAAGAAATATTTGCTTCTATGCCAACCGAAATCAATTCTCGTTCAATTCGAAGTCAATGCTCAAACATGGCTACATTTTTACATCTACCTTTCGCTACTACTTCTCCTTTTTCTACTTCTCGGACTGTATGCTATCTATAAAGATACGTCCGACGATTATGTATGTATTTCTGCATGTTAATTGTAACATTCGACTGTATTTGTTTAATTCATGCCTAGAAACCATGCGTGAACTTTGTGGCAGACAATCAAATAGGTGCGGTAAATGTTCATCTGTACCAATTAACCGTTTTCACCGGTCTTCAGCAGTCCACTACAAAAGATTTTCGAATCTACATTCGTTTAATTGGCGAAAAATGTCACGATATATCACATTGTCTGAACTCCAATTCACCCACTCTCTTTCAACGTGGTAGTGTTGATCAATTTCTGTTAACTTCATTTACTGACATTGGTCGAGTGATTGCCATTAATATGTGGCATGACGAAATCGATAATCAATGTGATTTCTACATTCGTCATTGTATATTGTATGATTATCATAATCATCGAACGTATTATTTTTGTTGTTACACATGGTTATCATTACGAAAAGGTTTTAATACGATCAATGAAGTTTTCTACGTTGCGCAAGAAGTCGATCAGTTTGCTTTGGGCCACCTATTTCTCTCGACATATGCGTGGTGTTACTATCATTATCATTTATTAAGTTCGCTTTTTAATAAACAGAAAATGAACACATTGACGAGGATTTATCGATTGCATTTGTATTTTTGCGTCCTTATTCTCCAACTTTACTTGATTCAACTAATTATTATCACATGCCGAAGAATGGTTGGCCAACAACGGTGTGCATATGTTCTTCCAACGTTCTTATTTTTTGTTGATCAGTCGTTTGTAGCATCGGGTTGGTCGGAGATCTTCCAGGTAGTGTTACAAGACGATAACAAAAAAAGTTTATTCCTTTATTTTTCGAGATAATTCGTCTGAATTTCTTTTCGTCATTGTTCATCGCGTTGATTATAAGTCTGATCACAGCCTTTCTCACTCCGATTCTCCTCTGGGGTTTGACTTTGTTGACAAATCAGCTCGATCTTTATCAGCAGTTATTCAATATTGCACCACACTATTCACATTCGGGAAATTTATATTCGACTGTCCAGGCAATCGCATCGTGTATATTTGACTGGAATTCGTATCGTCGAGACGTCGAACAGTACCAATATCTTCATAAATTCGATTTACAACATCGTCTAAGTATTAGTACGATAGGAGAAAGTGAGCAAAAGGTTTCTTCATCGGATACCAGTATCGAGCGAAATAATAATGCTGCAAATGATGATAAAAGTCATCGCATATCACAACGTGAACGAGTAATTGATGACGATCGACATTCATCATCAACTGATAGTTCGCAATCAAGCATACAGATGCTCAACATTGTTATTCCTACCGTGAAAGTGAAGGTGAATTGGTTAGTTGGACGTCTGTGTCATAACATATTATTTGCCTACTTAATTTATAGGCCAAAAATGCCTTCACCACCGTCTCCTCGAATGTATAGATTTTACTTGTCTCTATACTATGGGTTATTACTGACTTTTATCCTCATATCGATCGTCTGTATGTATGCAACGATGAGAACGTTTGCTGGGATTGAAAACTATTTTCTTACATCCACTATTATCTTCATTCACGTTTTAAGTATTGTAATCACATTTGTATTTGAATTAATCGTTATTGTATGCATTTCTTTACTAAATGCGATCGTATTTGGTCTTACTGACGAGAACAAATTCATTTCACCAATCATGGAAGTACAATTCTGATATCAAATGATGCTTTGATCGAATCTTTTTCTTCCTTCTAAGATTCCTATTGCATCGACAAACGATATCCAAGAAGAGACTCTCAGTTCAACATTTACTCTCAATCGAGATATAACATTGACCGACGTCCAATTGCGCGAACGTATTCGAGAACGTTTTCTTGAATCGTCGATTATGCGTGCTGTTCGAGATGTTATTGGTTATGTTGTATTCATGATTATCATCATTATGGTGTTTGCAGAAAGGTAAGTTTCAAAATATAGAAAGAGAATATTTAATGACGAGATATTTATCTAGGTCACGAAATGTCAAAACACGGTTAACCATGCGACAGTATACATTACAATTGCTCCTTCGTGAAGAGATTTTTCAGAATATTGATTACATACCTGATACGATGGTTTGGGGCTTTGATAGAAAATGTTTGAATAGAATGGCGACTTTTAGACTTGGATCGATAATTTGATCGAAAAACGTCTTTTTCTTCAACATATAGACTATTCATGTCAGAAAGAAACATGTAATTACGCTCAAATCCGTATGTATTCAAAACTTCACGTTGAATTCCCTTCTCGATCTCGTCTTTAGCTGATTCGCCCTTGTATTTGAGTAAGAGCATTCGCGTACGTCAAATTCGCGTCGAACGAAAAACCTGTCATTCGAAAATCCAAAAGTTCTTTCATCCGTTACTTCCACCGAGTTGTTCCGTTGATGGAGATAGTTTGAAAAATGATGAATTATACGTTCTTCATGATCAACGAACATGCTCTGGTTGGAATACATCGTCTCCAAATGACATATGTGCAGACAGTTGTAATTACACATCAATCTGGTCAGCTTTAGCTACAAAACAGACCATGAAGTTCTATAAAACTCACGATTCACCATGGTATTTTTTGCTACATCTATCACCGAAAGAAGCCGTATGTTAGCCAACGAGATTTCCGTTACAAAATGAAAAGCTTCTTATTAACAGATTGAACGTTGTGATCGTAAGCGAAAATACTATGATCTGGATAAAAGTACGACAGAATTTCCTGCTGGAACGTCATTCATTCTATTGGATTTAGACCATTGGCTCGATGATAAAACTGTTGTTGTCATCATTGAAGGGAATCTATATTCTCCACAAACGTCATCGATGATTTCATTCGTTTTCACAATTGACAAAAACGAATACGGAGTTGTCGACAAACAGATATTCATCGAAGTGTCTGACTATATCTTAACAACAACAACAGCAAATGAGTACACAGAAAAGCAAAACTATACCAGTGAAGCCACGCATGAAACTGACAGTCAATTGGATATTACACATTATCTCTTCGCATTATTGTTGTGTTTTATTGTAAGTAACTTCAATCAGTATTCGAAGATTTGTTTTGTTCTTTTAGTTTACAACCAAACTATTCGGTGCAGCGAAATTCATTCGAAATTTTGGTTTGTATGGACTAGTGTTCTTCCTTCGTACTCTATCGAATATCATCGATGGTATTCTATTACTCCTCTGCTGCTATTATTTTCTCTTGATCTATTTCGATTATAAAGTTCTCCAATTGAATAATCTTGTTCAATCATTGAATATTCACCAATTATTCGTTTCCTTTCGTGTTCTGATTGTCAATAGTCGAATTTTAAATCACTTGATTGGTTTAATATGTCTGTTCGCAATCTTTAAATTCCTTAACTTATTAAAGTTCAACCCGAAGACTTACTTGCTCGCTGAGACGATCTCTAAATCAGCGCAAGGCTTCAGCATTATACTATTTTTCGCTTTTATGAATTATTTTATCTTTACGCTGATTGGTCGATTGCTTTTTTCACACGAAGAAACCTTTCGAACATTCTTCGTTGCTTTTCGTGTCGTTCTTACATCGTCCATCAAAGATGCTGCGTCAACGGATAATATTATTCCAATAAGTTTCATTCGAGCCACCTGGCAATTTTGCCTTTGGCTTTTCTCGGCGAAGATCATCGAATATTTTCTCATTTCGTTTGTTATACAAAAATTTTCTACGATTAGAAAAACGCATCAATTGACAGATGAAGAAAGAATCGTCGGTCGAATCTTTCAAACATTTTGGACTTATTTCGCTTTCAATAAAAAATAGATGAATAAAAAAAAACACGCAAGTACTCAAGTTATTCTGTCTCGACCAATTGAATGTGACTGTTGATCGAAATCACAAGGGAGCCAATTTATATCTCGTCGTATTGACTAATGATCGCGCATACATGCGTTTTGAAATGTTCTCGTCTCTTTGAGTGCTGTCAAGTGGGAATGAGGCAGAGCAAAAGATCCTATTAAAAATAGGGTTGAAATGAGAAGAAAAAAGAATGTCGAATAAGAGGACAATATGGAGCTGATTTCTTTCTTTTCTCGCTTGTAAGTACCTCACTTATACGATTGTAAAGGAGAAGATCAGAAAGAGAAATCAATGATGATCAAACTTGAATACACTGTAGGCATCCGGAGTAAATGACAAGTGGTTAACAGTTTTCTCTCTTTTTTTTTCTTCTTGTTTATAAGTAATTACTTTACATATTTTTGAAGATAGATCATCATCGTATGAGCGTACGGTTTTCTTCTGACGAAGTTTCACCTTTTCTTACTTTACTGCTTCTATATATACCCCCTATGAGAGAAACGGATGCATTTGATGCCTTCAGGCATCTTCTTTCTAGTCGTTACTCTTAGCAGATTTTGTGATTTGTGAAGAAAACATGCATTGAATAATTGGAGGGGAAGGATGAGTTGTTAAGAATACAATACAAAGGCAGAGACACAGAAAAACGTATGGTAGAAAAAGAAATCTCCACCCACCCTAATTATCGCTTCAGTTTCCTCTCTGCAGGCATGGAATGCAAGCAGCATTAGACCATTTGTTTCGTCTGTCGCGTGTTCGGACTCGATTAATTGGTTAAGTGACTTCAATTAATACATATACACATGCAAATATATATTTATTTAGTTTTTGTCTTTTCTCCTCATCAGCACACACACATACATTTACATACGAAAAAAAGAAAACCAAAGAAAGATTAAATGAGAAAAAAAGAACATATTTCAGAAAAGCGTTAATGACAATCGTCGTCTTCATCTTCGTCATCCATGTCATCCTCATCTTCGTCATCGCAACGACTCGAAGTCATTTGTAGTCCAATATTGGTACTGGTACTACTTACGTGAACATTACGCATGTGTTTTTTCAAATCGAAGTTACGGCAAAATCCTTTAGAACAGATCAAACATGAATAAGGTTTCACTTCGGAATGTGTGTACATGTGAAATTTTAAATTGTAAATCTGATGAAACGCCTGAAAAAGCAAAGATAATGATTTAGAAGAAATAGAGAGAAAAGCAAGTGAAATTACTTTTGAACATATCGAACATTGATACTGTTTTATGGATGAATGGGTTAATTTATGATTTTTCCAATTACCTTTCTGATGAAAACCTTTTCCACAGAATTCACAAATCTAAATAAATCATTGGTTTCGATAAAGAACAAAGAGCGAGATGATATTGAACTATTTACCCATGGTTTGAAATTCTGATGAATGCGCATATGTGTATTCAATGTTGACGAGCGATTAAATGCCTTGCCGCAAATACGACATGCGTGTGGTTTTTCAGATGTATGAATGATTTTATGTCGACAAAGTGTCGATGCTTGTCGAAAACCTTTTCCACATACCTAAACAGCAATCGATTCATAGTTGGACAAAATTCCCATTCAATGTTACGAACCTTGCAAACAAATGGACGAATGCCTGTATGAACCGGCATATGTCGAACTAAGTTGTATTGAGCAGTAAATATCTACGTAGAAGAAGGGTTGGACTAAATCAGAAACAAGTTGCCGACCATACTTTGCCGCATTGTGTACATGGATATGTTTTTAGTTTATCATGATCATCACTGTTCGATGTTGTATTATGTTTATCACCAGTACTAGTTGAACATTCACCTTCTTCTTCTTCCTCTTCTTCTTCTTCGTCAACTTCCTCATCATCAATTTCGTCATCGTCGTCGTTGTTGTTGTTACCAGGTATCGTGCGATGACGTCGCGATGATGATGACGAAGACATATCCATGTAAACATCTTCATCGGATACGTCCTCATTTTCAGTTGTTGTTGTCGTCGTCGTTGCTATGGATGGCGAGATTTGGGTGCGCTGGATATGCTCCCACACTTGGTTCATTTTACTCAGAAAGATCAATGAAGAATTGAATGGAAGATTTCCATTGGAAGATTTGGTTTGTAGTTGAGATAGATATGACCAACAAGGGTGAGGAAGTTTCGGCTTGAAAATTGGAATCGGACGAGAAATTGATGATGTTTCAGCATTGATTACTACTCGTTTCAACGAACGATTCGTTGATGGGCGTACAAGGTCAGCGGACGCCTTTTCACATGAAAATGATGATGAAGGCGTTGTTGTTGTTTTTGTATCGATTAGGTTTTGAATAGAGAACTTTAATTCTGCATTCTTTGATTTTGACATTATCATATCTAAAAAAGAAGGAACTCATATGTAATGAAGTTTTCTTGGATGAACTGTCGCACACTGTTTTATTCGATAGTAACTCTTCAGAGAACAAGTTTCGGCGTCAGTTGGACAAGGAGAACGTCTTCATTCCGATTGAACTATCTTAAAATTTCAATTACCTGTATGATGATCTTATCTTTGTTTGACTCGCTGATGCCCGAATACGATGTAAGTAGAATTAGAGCAAAAGAAAGGAAGAACCACCTGCAGACTATCGTGTCAGTAAAACGAACACGAGCGAGAAAAAAAAGAAAGGAGCAACAGCAGGGTTAAGTAAAAAATGAAGACGAAGTAAAAAAAAGAATAAGAAAAAAAAGAGGCAGAAGTAATAACGCAGAGCGATGAATGGTCTCTTGGCTGGTTCCAATGAATAATGTACAAATCGCATGCGCGCACTTTCATTTGTGCCTTTTCTTTAATAACTATAGGGAGAAAGAGAAAAGCAAAGAAGCAGAAGGAAAAAAGAGGAAAAAAAAGAAAAAAAATAAATACTCATTTCTCATTGGCTGTCAATATCTGAATGATTGGTGAATTTGCTGCTTGATCTACATGTATATGTCTGTCGTTTTTCTCCGTCATTATTCTCCTAATCGATTCTTTTTTTCTTTATCCAATGGCATTCAATCACATATGACTCGAGCAATTCATTCACCTGAAAAATAAATATGAATGAAATCTTCTCTATGCATGTATGATGCAAGCTGAAGAGTATCGTCATATTCATTTGTCTCTCGTTTATGCGCACTTGAACACTAATCACCTAATACGACTGTTACTTGCAACGGTATGCACAACAACAACATTCACCATCATCATCAGCATTTTTGCAGACACCCTGGTGCGTCGAAAATGAGACCAGAATGAGCGAGTGTCTTTCTCTCTCTCTCTCTCGCTTCTTAATCAAGATGACAATCAATACTATTTTTCCAATCAGGATTAACACACAATTGTTTTCAACAACAACTGGATCATCAATCTGATTATGATCTTTTTCTCACACCTGTAACTAAATGACGCGAAGTCGTTCGTAGATTCTTCTTGGTCTGAATGTCGACAAATTTCACTTGTAAATTTCAATTAGTTCGTTTGATCTCGACGATAAGTGCATTGAAACATCTTGTCGATGGTCGACAACGGCTAATCGAATTTTATTAAAAAAGAATGACTAAAAGAGAGAAACAGACATCTCAAGAAATGTATCGCGCTGCTTTTCTTGTTAGAAAACAAAGAGAATAAAAAGAATAATCGTCAGTTCTTCTTCTTTTCTTGTGCTTCCATATTCTCTCTGCGTGACCATATCGACACTCTGTTGTCGGCACTGAAATCAAAAAAGCGAAGGCAGCTGCAAAGCTTGTCATGCGCGCGCGCGTGTGTGTCTATATGTCGACTTTGCTTCAGTTTTCAAACTTGAATATATTTTTTCGATTGAAAAACTTGTTTTGTCTTTTAACTTTGATTTCATTGTGTATCTGATCTTATCGGATGGTTCAATGCGCATCTAATCGCTTAATATACCATGAATACGAGTACTGATTTGACAGCACCTTGTTAAGTAGATATTTGTCTAGAAGAATACAAAACAGAGTGGACCATCAAGTGGATAGCATCATTATTATCGACAAGGTGAATTATGAATCAACGAATTGTTTTTCGAAGCAGATGATTTTCTTCGACGAATAACTGTTTTAAATGGAAAACAAGCGATAATCATCGAAGATAAAGATATTCACACCTGAATCTTTTTTCGGACAAAATTAACACACGAGGAAGAAATGAATGTAGATATACGATAGTGATTTCAATTCAAATAAATATATTTTATTTTGACGTCTGACACTCATGGAAAACATTCGTATCGTCCTTTCAAATTGTACCATATCTGTTGACGATTTATACTAAAGCCTGTATTTCTTTCTAATTTCTTCACGTCGTTTTGCTCGTTGATCGAGCTCAGCTTGAGTAGAAGATATTTTTCGTATAGGCTCGACTTCTACTTCATTGGTGGTTAGTATTGTCTCGACATTGTTTTGGCCGTTGCCACCGAAAGCCAGTGTGTACTCCACAACTTCACCACCTTCAGCAGGCGCTGATAGTTGTTCGCTTTTAGATGATCCGCTGAACAGACGTTTTAGTCTTGAACTAAATTTGTTCCGCTGGTTACGTTCGTGTTTCTGATTTGAAACACGTTGCTGAAACGATATTGTACAACGTTGTGCATTCGTAGTATAAGCAAGTAAAAAGCCCAATGCCACAATTAGAATAAGAATGGAATACAGCAAAAGAGCTTCAGACAAATTCCATATCTGTTTACCGTCTTTCACTTCGCCGAACAGCGCAAAAATATGAAAAAAAGTAATGCAGGTAAATGTAAATATATTTTTGGTAGTAGTTATCGTTCGAGTTACGAGAAAAGATAAGAATAGATAAAACTTTTCCGTTCTGGAGTGGATAAACCGAGAAGCTGATAAGCATTAAGTTAAGGCTATATGTTCTTAATAGGTAAGTGACAAAAATGAATTGGACTGCATGCAATTGCAAACGTTCTTCATTCAGACGAGATTTTTGTTCCACTTTTTTATTTACAGATCTTTGACCTTTTTGTTTCTGACATTTGTTATTTTTATTCTGGTCGGTGTTTATTGCTTTTTTCTCCTAGAGAAAAATACCATTTCCATCGAATATTACATATCCGTAGAGATTTGATGATAGCGAAAATAAAAGAAAAACAACAATAAGATGAAAATATAACAAGTAAAAACAGTTCTATTTGAAAACAACTAATGACATCATTGCAACAAGGCATTGAACTATATTTGTTGTCATTAATGCGTCAACGTTCTCCTCTAGATGCCGTTTTGGATCTTGTTTGCCAACATTTCTTATTGCTAATTGCTCCGGTGTCATTTTCTCTTCTTCTTCTAAAGATTTGATATAGTTCTTCGACAGATCAAGCATTTGTTTCACAACAGTCGTGTTTTGTTCGCTGTGTTGATTGAAATCTTGTATGGTTAGACCGTCTATCCAAGATTTCTTGTGCAGATTTAACAGCATCTTTTGTTCTAATTCATTTTTACGATAATTAATACAGATGGAATAATAGTGACGATTAAGGCCGTGAATCAATGCTTGAATTGATGGTTTTGTTAAATGACCAAGATTCGACGTTGTTTGTCGAGCTTCTTGTCCGAGAACGAATAGATTGGGATTTATCAGACGAAAAGCATCTATGACAACTTTTCCTTTTACACTTTGCACTGGATCGACGACAACAGCCTGAAAATGACATAAATCACTTACCAATTACCCTCAATTATTAGAAAGTACATACCACTGTACGTTCAGTCAAAGCTTCGAAACTCTGTTGAGTGTTTATATCGACACCAGATAACCAACAACCAAAACCTGGATGAGAATGATACCAGCCTACGACCATTTCTGGACGACCTGTTTGCTTCAGCATATCCAACATTTTAGCTTGAAAGACAGGATCGACTGCTTCGACACTAACACCGGTACCTGATTGTGGCATTGCAAATACATCAATAACGCGCACGGTATAATCATCAACGAATTCGCCTAACATTAGTCTAAACACTAAATCGATGGAAATTGCATTCGATGAAAATAAACTTACCCCATGACTTCCATGGGAACACCAGCTCGACCATGTTTAAGCATTTTTAAAAGCGATAGAGACGATATATACACTTGTTCAGCTGTATCGACCATAGGAGCGTCAGCTGGCGCTCCGCCTCCTTGCAAATCTCGAGGCAATTGTCCAAGACCCATATTGCGCATAAAACGTTCCATTTCTGATCTAAGTCTAAAATACAAAAAATAGAATTTATTTCTCGTTGAAAGATACATACATGCGTACAATACAGTGCAGTGAATCTTCCTAAGATGAGTCATTATCAGCCATAGTCAGTAACCATTTCGCTTCTTTCTCATTTGTCGAATCTATTAACCAATAAGAATAACAAACAATCTCGAATTCTGCAACGACTTGAAAAAATTGTTTTCTTGATCAGGCTAGATTAATTTATAATGACGTCTATCTTATTCCGACGTGTTCAACCAAATATTATCGGTACATTGTTACGTAAAAATGTCGAAGTAAGTGAAACTGATCTGATTCAAACGATCTACTCAATTGTTCGTTTCTTTCAGCAAATTAGAAGTCTTTCATCAATACCCGTAAGTTGTTGTTTTTTTTGATTGAGAACTGTGTGCAGATATATTGGTTTCTTTTGTAGAATACTGCTGAAAAGATCAGCGAATCGCATAAATATCATGTTACGGTAGTACCAGGTGATGGTGTCGGACCTGAATTGATGTTATGTGTTCGAGAAGTATTTAATGCTGTTGGCGCGCCGATTGAATTCGATGAATTATTAGCAAGGTTAATTTGAAATGAACGAGGCGAGTGTACATCTCTGTCATTGCATTCTAATTTGTTTTAGTGAGTTAATGCCTGGTCGATCTTCGTCGCTTGCTGATATAGTTGCTTCATTTAAACGGAATCGCGTTGGAATGAAAGGTATTTTAACAGTAAGTGACGCTTTTCGATATGTGCCATGTTTCTTACAGAAATTTGTCATTTATATCAACTTTTAGACACCAGCCATTAGTGAAGGTGGCGATCTAATGTCATTGAACATGAAGATTAGGTAAATAGAAAGAATTTATGTTGACGTACTCGAGCTTACGACTTTCATTGAATATCAGACGTGCATTGGATCTTTATGCGAATGTTGTTCGAATCAAAACTGTACCTGGTCTGAAACTTCGCCATCAGAACATTGATTTTATTGTCATTCGTGAACAAACAGAAGGAGAATATAGCGCTCTTGAACACGAGGTAGAAATCTTGTTCTAGTTTTCATTGAATATATTATTTACGATGTTCAGTCGGTTCATGGTGTTGTCGAATCACTGAAGATTACAACTTATGAAAATTCAAGACGTATCGCAAAATTTGCATTTGATTTTGCCACAAAGTTCAATAGAAAAAAGATCACCGCTGTTCATAAAGCAAATATTATGTAAGTTCTCCGATAAAATTCAATTTCGCATTTCATTGCTCCAATTTTAGGAAACTTGGTGATGGTCTTTTTCTTGAATCATGTCGAGAAGTTGCTACACTGTATCCAAATATCAAATTAGAAACAATGATCGTTGACAACACTTGCATGCAGTTGGTTTCTAAACCACAACAATTTGATGTACTTGTTGCACCTAATCTCTACGGAAATATTGTGTCCAATTTAGCAGCTGGCTTAGTCGGAGGTGCAGGAATGGTTCCTGGTGAATCTTACTCAACAGACGTGGCGATCTTTGAACCGGTACGTTCTACACAAAACAGATTTCTTCGTCATTGTCGATCGATTTGGAAATTTAGGGTGCCCGACATCCGTTCTTGACCGGGGCTGGTAGAAATATTGCCAATCCAACCGCTATGCTTCTGTGCGGAGTGAACTTACTCCAATATCTTCACTTAGGTATGTGCATCCTTTCGCTTTTGTTCAATTTTGTAGACACAATTGTTTTCTTTAGACGGTATGGCTCAGAAAATCGAGAACGCAATTGCTACTGTTATTAAGCAACAAAAAATAAAGACACGTGACATCGGTGGTTATGCAACGCAACAAGATTTTCTCCGTAGTGTTCTTCAACAACTTGAATATTAGTCTATAACTTCTCATAATCATGTGTTGAAAAACACAACAACAACAACAACAAAACCCCGCTTTCTACTAGTAGTTTTGTGTTCAGTTTTCTTTTCTTTCTTTTTCTCTTTTGTCTTTTGGACAAATATATAAATTTATTTTTGTCTCTATCAATCACTAAAATAACTTATCCTTATTTCTTCGGTATGCAATTAAGAACAAGGGATCTTTGACTTTATATAGTTGGTTTATGCTTTACAAAATGTTTACAATCATTATTCCGAAAGTTTTGGACGATTATTGAATCGATAGAGAAGAATTGCGACAATAATAGTAGCTAAAATACCGTAGAATATAAACCATTGTCGAATAGTTTGATTGAACGATTGTTGTTCTTCTTCACGAGTTTGTCTTCTTGCATGAAGGTGATTCTGACCTTGCTGCTGCTGCTGCTGCTGCTGACGGTTTTGTTTTACGAAATATAATTTACCATTACGCCAGTAAAATCGATTTCGATGCGATCGAAATATCGAAAACATCATGTAGAAAACCCAGAACATTTTTCTTACGTTGATACGCTTTTTCAGTGTTCAGAACGAGAAGTAATGAGAATATGATGACTACTAAATACGCTCTTTCCTTTTTCTTTTTCTCGTTTTTTTCCTTGTCTCTCGACAACAATAATGGAAAAAGAAATTCTCTGGTGATGAATACTATATAGAATATTGACTCGTTTCTTTTCTTCCTTGCATATAGATTGAAACAAAAAAATGTGCGACTAGTTTTTCCTATTGTTATTTGTCAAAGTTCAGTGAAGGAGTTCTGGTCTTGATCAAATTTTGTATTTACTAACGTTTTCTATTGACTCTCACAAGAAAATATTTGCGATAAGCTTTGGAATTGAATTTATGAGCGTAGAGAACGTTATGCAGTGAATATTTCGCATCCTGAAGATAAATTCGGCGCTCTTTAATATAAATCTTTCTCTTCTTCCTTTCGTTTGTCTCAATTAATTCTATTATTTCTATAGTACAGTAGTGTGTATGGTCTTTTTGTGTTTTCTGTTCAACTGAACATCAATATTTGTGCAAAGAGTTCGTGTTTCTCTCAGATATGATATCATCGCATCCATTATCAAGTGACGATCCTGATGCCGATGCGATCGAAATGTTTTGTGGACAGATTCCACGTACAATGTCAGAAAATGACTTACGCACCTTCTTCGAACGTTATGGGCGAGTCTATAAGCTGAATATTTTACGAGACAAACAAAGTGGAGAGTCGAAAGGGTGCTGTTTTGTTACTTATTACATGCGGAAAGACGCTCTCGAAGCTCAAAATGTTCTACATAATCTATTTATTTTGCCCGGAATGCGTCATCCGATACAAATGAAACCGGCAGATATTGAAAATCGGAACGAAAGGAAAATTTTCATTGGAATGATATCCAAGTCACTGCATGGAGAAGATATTAAAGAATTATTTCAACCATTTGGTCCCATTGAAGAATGTACGGGTGAGGAAAAATCTTTCTGTTAGTTTACATCTGAGAAATCGATCTTCGATTGAAGTACTTCGCGATGCTAACAATCGTTCTCGTGGTTGTGCTTTTGTTACATATCAGACACGACAATCAGCATTAAATGCTATACGATCAATGCATCATTCGTGTACAATGGAGAGCTGTTTATCACCGATCAATGTCCGTTTTGCTGATACACCAAAGGACAAAGAAATGAGAAAAATGCAACAAAAAATTAGTGACAATCTTCTTCGACAAGTAACTACACATTCATCATCGATTTCACCAGAAACTACTGATCCGTTAGCTTCATTAAATCTGATACTTTTTAATCAGTTATGTTCAAGCACAATTCCATATGTCAACGATCTATCTTGTGGAGATAACAATACCAATCAACTGGCGTCTCTTTCGACTATGTTCGGAGCGAACTTGAATTTGGACGGACAAAATCAAATCGTATCGTCACATACACCTTCGGCGACTGAAGTAATCATTCATGTATTACTTTTCAGAACATTATAAAACAACGATACAGTTTGTTTCATAGTGGCAACACGCCGACAGAATCGAAGAACCCATTTTACGCACTTTGGAGCATTTAATCTATCCAATAAACAAAGCAGTTGGTGAAGACAATGAAGCAGATATCGGCATGTCTTTATCTCACGACAAGAGTCAAAGTGCTCGACATCAACAACAGCAACCGCAATATATGATGAATACCGAAGGTTAGATTTGTATAAACGACATTTCTTTTCTAAACACCTGCCCACAACAGCTATTTTTCATACATTTCAGATAACACTTCAACACCGACTAATATCTTTATTAATTCCGAGATAAATTCGCATACATGGCCAAATATAACAGATGATGACCTTAGTCTGTTGGATGGTTTCCTATCATCAACGACAAACGATCCTATAAATATATCTAATCTTTCATCTGTTAAGTATGCCAATTATGAAACAGCAACTAATCTAAGTAAACAACAGAATAACAATAATTCTCAATTGGTAAACATTTCATACGATGACAAACAGATTGTTGGACCGTTGGGTTCTAACCTGTAAGTATATTTATCATCGAAAATCGAGTACAGCAGAATCTTTCTTCACTCAAGTTTCATCTATCATCTTCCATCGAAATTTGCTGACGATGATCTAGCTCAAATATTCTCTCCGTTCGGTAACATTCTTTCAGCTAAAGTAACTTCTTCATTTTCTTCTAAATTCCTCCATAAACTAAATCGTCTTCTTTCCCCATGAAAAAACAAAAGGTCTTTATTGATAAAAGTACAAATCGAAGTAAATGCTTCGGCTTTGTCTCCTACGATAATATCTATTCTGCTCATCAAGCAATTCAACAAATGAATGGTTTTCATATTGGTTGCAAACGGTTAAAAGTTCAATTAAAAAAAACGCGTCTACAATAGTGCGAAATGTTTTCCCGAAGAAGAACACACGGATAGAAGACACTTGTTTGAAAAAGTCAAGTCTAGGCACTGTTCTTTATCAAAATCGATTCGATTTCATAGCATCAATTGGTTTGCGATTATCATAAATGGATGGCGCTGAAAAGAGAACAGAAAGGTGTGAGAATTTTGATGATTGTTAATGTTTTACCTTGCAAGATGATGCCACATGTACCAGCAACACAAGCTGTGGTAAAAATGTAAAGAAAAAGACGATCGATTACCAGCGCCACATATTTCCATTCTTCTTTAACCTGAAAGAAGACGAGAGGAGATTTTCAAAATAAATTTGCAGAATATTGTTTTCGTAAACTACCTTTTTCTCTTCATCTTCTTGTCTCATGTGTGTTGCAATACATTTCAAACCATCAAACGCCTTTTTGATCTCATGCGGATAGAGCGATGGTTCGTCAGGCTGATGACGCCGTTCGAAATCACTATCGCTTATCTCAAGTCCATCTGAATCAACGTCGTAATCATCTAATAAGCGTGTTTTCGGTTTACGTAATTGATATGGGCCTGAGTGAAGTAAGGGTACGACGAAGTTCGATGTTGCCGTTGTCAATGACGTTGTCACCGCTCGATGCGATGATTTCGTACGTGTTTGATGCATCGATGGAAGTTGATACTGCAATGGATCGATCGTTTTCGGGCGCCGCATCCATAGTAGTTTAGGTAGAACATGCAGGAAAACGCGTCGAACCCATGGCGGCATCTGATGGGTCAACGGTGAACGAAAATGAATATTGAGGACAACAACAGTAACAACAATGGATAATGTCACAAGTATCATTGTAAATAGAAGATATTTTCCAACTAATGGTACAACGAGTGAGGTTGGCGGAATGAGTTCAGCTAATAGTAGGAAAAAGACAGTCAATGACAGTAATATCGAGATACAAAGTGCCACTTTTTCACCCGAATCGGATGGTAAATAAAAAGTTAAAACAGTTAAAAATGATATACCAACACATGGTATGATTAAATTAACAGTATAGAAAAGCGTCTTTCGACGTATTATGATCAGAAATGTGATATCAGGATAGGTCTGAGGACAGCATGTATATTTACGAATATTTCGATTTGCTGGAACACCAATAATATCCCATTCAACGGAACGATAAAAGTCAGTTAAATCAATCGCATATGGTACACCTAGAATATTTGTATTTGAAAAGAGAAGTATTTATTGAATTTAATATTTCAATTTACTGTTGTTGCCATAGACGGGCATGGAACCGTTTGTTTGATTGATATGAACAAGATCCACTTGTTCACCCGAATATGTCCATGAACCAAACTTCATTTGACAATGTTGAATATCTGAACGTAAAACAAACAGATTCAATTTCTATATCGATAAGATAACATTCCCAGCGGATGTTACGTAGAAAATGATAGGTGAAGAAAACTAACCGAAGGGAAAAAACTCCACGTCGATCGTACAACTTGATTTGTAGATTGCTGGTGGCTAAAATAAACAATCAGAAGACATACACTCGTTTTCTCTCATTCTATCTCTTCAATCGTACCTCCCAAATCACTCGTCCGTCGTAATAAACAGTAGCCTTTGTCATCAATGTTACTTCGTAGTTACCATCGGCACTAGAAAAATTTCAAGAGAGTGATTTTCTTCTTCTACGTGAATAGTTTTCTATTTTGTCTGATCACAAGCGAGAAAATAATGCTTTCATAACGTGCATTCAGAAAAGAAAAATATGTGTATATGCATGTGCAGTGAATCCCATGCAATGCTAAGAGAAAAAGAAAAAGTATCACCAACTTATTAAAAAGCACCATATCCGGCCGCCAGAGATCATTAGCCGGAATGGAAATATTGGTTAGATTATAAAAATCCAGTGGATTCCATTTCAAATGTTCATCAACCCATTGCTAAAATTCATTAGGCGTTAGGTAACTTAACGCATTTTAATGCCGGTTTCGTTTCTAACATGTATATTGATAGTACATATATCATTATCATTATCTATTTTGTAAGTATAGTAACAGAAACTGTCTATTGACGTCAAGTCTGTTGACGGATGTCTGTGTGTTTTCAACGCTCGCACATCATTGGGATAATATATTCCTGTCAACAATGTTTATTCATAGCTATCCGAAGCGTTGATAGAGAAAGAGCAACAAACTCTCATCGGGTGCATTTATGTGTGTATGTGTAAAAAAGAAATTCATCTTTCATCTCGTATGAATACATGTCGAAGGAGAAGGAGAGAGATAAAGCGCGTCTACCTATCCGTGCATAAAAATCAAGGAAATGACAAGGCACGGAATAAAAATAACAATCTAATATGTTTTGTAATATTCTTATGTCAACACCTCATTGCCATCAAGTCAATTATATTAATGATGATACCAATGCGAATTTCGATATACGTGTGTATGTGCGCGCGTATGGATAATGTGAGAGAAATCATAGAATGAAAAACAATATGAAAATAAATAATAAATAAAAAATAACTTATAAATATGTGTAGTTCTTTTTTCTGATGATATGATCGTGTCTTGACGGGACAGAAAGAATATATAGTGCAACAATGTAGTGTAACAACATCCAGTCACAACAGAAAGAAAATTACTTGTTATACAAAACAATGTCAGGAAGCCAGATTTGTTGGCTTGGAATGTAGAGTACGTCGACGCCTCCATATTTGGCTGGATCCCATCGAAGTTTATCGTCGTACCACTCCTACTTATGCATGCACTCCTAGGATCATTTTCCGACATTCTCGGCGGATATCTTTCGTTTAGCCTTCGGATGACTTAACACTCGCATTCTATTTCTCGCTGAATTTTACCTGTTTTAACCAAACATTGGATGTCATGATTTGATTTTTCTCGTCCTTGAAGAGAAAGGAAAAACATTGTCTTTCATTCAACTTCCGCGTGCATTCCTTTTCGTACCACATCAAGCAATTGCGTTAATCGAAGGCCCAAATAAACGGTTAGTTTTTCACTATTATTCTTAACTGGACGAATCAGTTTATTATAAGCACGAGCTTTAATCAATTCTTCGTATAAACGTTTCGCTTCGGGATTGGCAACAGTAACTATTTATATTAATGAGCATAAAAGGAATCAATTGTACTTGGCAAGAAAAAACTTACCACCATTGAAGCACCAATATAGATAGAATATCAATAATATGATAATACTTGAATCCATGCATCGAGCCGAATTTCCTGATTCTATTTTATTTTATTAATATGATCTAATCATTGAGTAGTAGAAAGAGAGAAGAGTCAAACATTTTGATTATTTCTTTTGCTTATTCTTCATTTTCTTTCCCTCTCATTCACTCTCTCTCTCTCTCTCTCTCTCTCTCTCTTTCTCTTACTAGTAACGATATGGAATGAACAACGATGAGGTCATTTCTTATTCTTCTCCTATTTCTCTCTTCTGACAAGGCGACATTGATAATAGTAGAGTGTTACTAGCAGCATGCGTATGTTATATGAGTGAATAAACACATCACTTCGTTAATTTATACTCTCCGCTGTTTTCCGTATATGCGCTTCTCGAGATTATGTCCATTTAAGACAACATATGTTTCGACTTAGATCAGCTTTATCTGTTGACGTTATAGTTTCCCTCAATAGTGTCCTTTTTTCTCTCTTAGTACTCTTCGAGATGACAAGGAAAGTCGCCTTTTCCCTCTCTCGTCATCATCATCATCATCATCATTACTTTATTGCAACGGTAAAAACATACGCGTGGATAAACAAATCCATTGAATCTGTGTTTTGATGAGAAAAAGGCGCTTATCTATACATAAAAGTATCGATGTCAAACGAGCAGCATATACATAGACGACTACACCGAAAAAGATATCTTCAATATTGCACTAGTCAACTTCGAACAATGTTGTATGTATACATAAGAAAAGCACTGCATGTCTTTACTAATGGAATAGTCAATATAGATAGATAAAAAAAAGCACTTGGTGTAAAAAAAACCGAGGGGAGAAGGGGAGAGACAACGAAAAAAGATGGAAGATGCTATTTTGCAGCGTTCTATACTAGACTAAGACGAAGAAAAACTAAGCGAGAAACGATAAAAGACAAAAGAGATGGCGCGTGCAAATTAGACAATTGCATACAATAATCTTGTTCGATGTTAATATACACACATATGCATGTGCATTGTCGAAACTGGAATCTTATTTAATATACACAAGAGAATATGAACAGTTGTCAAATGAATACAAAGCTAATTATACTTTAGTCGTAAAGAAACTGCGAGTATTGAAGTCGAAAGATTATTACAGAAGCCAATTAGATTCCTGCTGTTACCACTAATGTTTGTCTTTGCCTATTAGTATCATTTGCGTATATGCACAAATTTTCTCGACTGAGTTGCCCTTTTCTTGCCAGAGACCTAATGAGAAAATGGTCGACATCAAGATTGACCGAAGTGAATTGATATATCATGTCAGATACTTTTCTCATGTCATTTCGTCGTTCTATTTACTGCATTTTGAATGTGATTATTTGTAGATACATTTTAGTGAAGTGAAAAATATCATTGTAAAACATATACATACATACGGATCGTCTAACCACATTAGGAACGAGAGGAATGAATTTCGCTCGTTATTGAACGAGCCTATACATGCGTACATAATCGGAACCGATCAAATCAAAGCAGTCATCCTTATTTATACATATAGGATGTAGTTATGAAAACTAACTTGCCGGATTTTTTTTCAACGAGTACTAGGAATGAGATCATTCACGTCTATGTCTCTTGAAAAAAGAAAGAAATTGAAGTAATTGAAAAAGAAAAAGGCGAAACAGATGGTAATAAAATGGGCGAAAGGATGAGGAACTCTTACCGTGTCCCAATAGTTTCTCTCTCTCTCGTTCTCTCGATCCTTCTACTTCTTCTTCTTTTTTTTATCTAACTGATTTGTATGTGTAGGTTCTATTTAACAAAAAAAATCAACGAGTACTATCAAATGGCCTCAGGATAAAACATTTAGATCTCTCTAGTTGCGGCATCTTCTCTTCTTTCTCTCTTCTCTCTTCTTTCTTCTAAGTCTATTGAGAAATGGTAACAGCAGGAAGAGAAACAGGAATAAGAATAACACTGATGACATTATTTCGACCACAGTCTTCTCTTTCCCTGCTCTCGCTTTAGCCTATGCTTGATTTTCTCTGTTCTTTTGTCTGTAACTAAACAAGGCTTCTTCCATTCAGTCGTCGTTTCTTTATTGCTTTTGTAAGTCTACGATTCATTTACATTCAATTAGAACCTTGTCTAACAAAACTATATTTATTGTAAAAAAAAGAATCGCGTCTCTACTCAATTTTCATATAGAAATCTTTAGACGTGATATTGATAAGTATCGACTGTTGTTCGGCTCTGCCCATCTAGTCGTTGTCTTATGTCGATGCCGTTTTTATATTGGTTCCTATTGATTCTATTCAATATACTTCTACTCGCAATCAAGGACGGTAAAGATCAGAGATTTTCAAAATCGAACAAATTTAACTTCGAACCTTTTCAGTTCGCAGTTCATATCATGAAGAACAGTTGTTCAAAGAATTGTTTCAAAACTACAATCCGCTTATTCGTCCTGTGCGAAATGTCGAAGAAACCATCACTGTGTCGTTTAGTATAGCTTTATTACAGTTAATCAGTGTCGTAGAAAAAGAACAAGTACTTAAGACAAATGTCTGGCTGCAAGTCGTATGTATATCATGAGAGCGATCATGGAAAGAACATGACTTTTTGATTTAGAAATGGAAAGATTATCAAATGCAATGGAAACGAGAAAAGTACGGTGGAATCCAGTCAATACGTGTTCCACCCAGTCAAGTTTGGACACCTGATGTATGTCGACTCGAAAGAAATTAAAGTGACATTCTTAAACTATTCTCTTCATTTCACAGGTCGTTCTATTCAATAATGCTGACGGTAAATATGAAGCATCATTCAAATCGAATGTTGTTGTCTACCACAATGGTGATATGAATTGGGTACCGCCAGCTATCTATAAATCGAGTTGTTATATCGATGTCAAATTCTTTCCATTTGGTAAAACAATTGCAGTTGAAGTTAGTTATGAAAAACTTACAAATGTTCTTCGATTTCAGATAAGCAAACATGTGAATTACGTTTTGGCTCATGGACATACGATCAACAACAGATGAACTTTACCTACTATACAGACAATGAGAAGAATGTAACAATAAAAGATTACGTCGTCAGTGGATCATGGGATCTCCTTGAAGGTCCTATGTTTATCCAACAATCATCGCCGTTACCATCGCCAGTCAATGATAGTGATTTGACCGGCTCATCCGTGGCAGTCACAGACGTGCGACTGAAGAAAGCAGATGGTCGCGATCGAGTCGAGTTCGTCTGTCGACTTGTAATCAAACGTAAAACACTTTTCTATACAGTCAACTTAATCATACCAACGGTAAGTGGACATCGGTTCCATTGTTATATGTCAAGTCGATTGCATTTCGATTTCTAGGTGCTTATTTCGTTCCTATCTGTTTTTGTTTTCTACCTACCAACTGACGCAGGCGAAAAAATGACATTATCCATTTCGATTTTACTCGCTTTAGTTGTGTTTTTATTACTTATATCGAAAATTCTACCCCCAACATCGATTGTTATTCCGCTGATAGCTAAATATCTTTTATTTACATTTATAATGAATATAATAACAATCTTTTTTACAGTTGTGATTATTAACTATAACTATCGAACGTCACGTACACATAAAATGCCTAACTGGATTAAACGTCTTTGTATTGATATTCTCCCGCCGATTTTACGTATGGAAAGACCGAAAAAGTATGACAAAGAAGATAATATTCATGTGACAGAAGCCGATCGTGCTAAACGTACAATGTTAAATTATATGCAAGCATCACGTGCACTGTCAATTGCTTCACCCGCCGCAATCGATAGTACAACTATGAATTCTAATGATACCAATCCAACAAATGATTATGATCAACCATTGGAACTAAAGAAACGTCACTCATCGAAAAAGAAGCATCATCATCATCATCATCATCATCGACATTCATCGAAACGACATCAACAACCTGTGAATCAATCATCAACCACCGATGATGAGGAAGAACAATTAACAACTGACGAGATCGATTTACTGCTAACAAAAGAAGCATACGAAGCTGCTGAAGATTTGAGTTTCATTGCCAATCACATGCGCGCAGCTTGTCACTATGAAGAGGTAACACAATGGAAATATTCCACTATTCCTTCTTTGACTTTGTCGGAATGTTCCTTTTTTCCAGATTCGTGATGATTGGAAATATATTGCATCTGTAATCGATCGGCTACAACTATTTATCTTTTTCGCTGTGACTGCTATAGGTACATTGAAGATTCTATTCAGCGCACCCGAACTTCTGAAAGTGGTCGATCAATGTGCTATTTTGAAGAAATGGGATCCTACATTTAATAATGCTACTTGTACGTTTTAGTAATACGATCTGACTGACAAATGCATGATTGCGAATAGATTCGATGTAGTCTATGCGCAATCCTAGAAAAATTCTTCTTCTTTTTTGTTTTACCTGCCATCTGTTAATTGTTCTTTCTCTTTTTTTTGCTGCTTCACTGTTGAATTATTTCTTTTTCTTCGGAGCAAAGTAATGAACTTACATGTTTGATGTACAATGTGAATATGCAAAAGTCTTTTTTTTATATATTACATACACAATGAACTGACCGGTTGTTGTGCTTTTCTTCTCAATATTTATTTCTCTGAAATTGATTTCCTTTTGATCAAGTTAGTCTTCTCTCCAGCGCGCATTCTCTCTCTCTCTTCAATCATGCAAATACTAAGACTATTCCTAGCCGTTCTGTCAGTATATACACAAATATTGAGATGCGTGTATTTAGAAGTCTTCCGGCAAAAGAGCGTCATTTTTCTTTTCTTGTCTATTGCTGTCGCCTTAATGATCAGTATGTATGTATGTATGTGCGTGACATGCTGATGATGAGCTGTCTCATATGTTTATTTGACTGGCTGTTAGCCGACAAATAGACCGTGAAAGATTTTCAGATCATAACATACGCGATAAATAGAAGAATGGCAATGTCAACTAGGCAGACATTGTATCTGATCATTCAATATAGAGTCATTGAAAATAAATAAAGATTATTTTACATCCTGAAAACAGTCAATAGAAACGAAGAGAGAGAGAAGAAAGCATTGATGGAAAACCATACTGATCCTTTGGTTAAAATGTTATTGCTATCAATAAAACACATTATTTTCTTTATCTATTCTATCGAAAGTCAGTTTGCATATCCCATCAAGATAGAGTAACGAATAACATCAACACGACATGAAACATACATACAAATCAATAAATCACAATGGAATCATTCAAGAACAATCTGTTATTCTTCGACTGTACATTGCCGAAACTTCCATATAATTACCTCGCAAGGCAATAACTGTCCGACACAATATGGTTTCACTTTGAATTGCATATTTCTTGATAAATGTCAGTTTTATTTGAAATAAATTCCAGTAATAGGCCATATTCTAAGTACATAAATCCAATCAGAATACCCTCGATAGTCACATCTCATAATTCCCATACGTACTAATCGCAATCAAATTGTACCCAACATTTCAGTCCAATATGATCAAACTTCTTCGATACGGCAACTATACTTCGCATCACACAGTAGTGAATTGCATTTCCCAGACTCGGTTATTTACTACTGATTCATCCGTTGGAAGTACATCGACAAATGAAGGATATAATCGAGACAAACTTGAAGACTGTTTTTTCGATACACTAATTTAATCAAATGACAACAAGGGATACCAACAACGAGCTTTGGAGATTAGCATCAAATGATTCGGTCTTATTTTACTTTCAGGTCACATCACGGCCAAGAATTGTCTTTGTGTTTTGATCTCTTGAGAGGCCACGATGATAAAAATAAAATGTCGACTTGACACTAAGTTTATGCGGGATTGAAACATAATCGTACGACGTGTTTCCAATGTCAATGTATGAAGACCAAACTGACAAATTTCTTTTATGAGTAAATGCAATTCTAGACTGTATTCGCTTATTTCACACGCTTGACAGCAGCGTTGAATTCATGGCAGATGTCATTGAACAGTATACGCGTGTGAATTTAATTGTCTTTCATTAGCACAAGTGAAGATAATTTGTAATCAGATGTTGTTTTCCAGGACTCACAACCAAGACGATTTGGCCAAGCTATTTTTAGATTCACAGACGTAATGAAAGACGGAAAATGATTTGTTAGCCGATAATTTAGATCATAGTTGAAGATGATTGTTTTAAAATAAAATTTCACATTATTACATATAAAAATACATCGTGCACGTAATCTCATTCGTTAACGTATATCTTTTCTCTCTTTCTTTTCGCTTGTTCTTTAAAAATAATCATAAAACTGTCAAGTAGAAGAAATCTAGCAAACATTAAGTATTAAAAAAGAAGACACCAAAGAGAGTAGCAGATATGATCGAATTATTGTTAAGTTCACATTTACATCGAAGTCTTGTAAACATACGTACACGCGTACGTTTTCATAAGTACCTATTTGCTGTTGTTATTGATTTCTATTAGAAAAAGCATTTGAGACGATTATTTACTTTTGATTCAGTAGTTTTACACTGTGTTTTTTTGCTCATTCATTTTCCTCTTTTTCTCCTCCACAAGATCATCTTAACGACGAGTATTTATTTACTGTTTCTATGTCTAACAGTCAAGGTGAGATATACTTGCAATGATACGAAATGCATCTCGAAGATATTAGAATACAAGAAAGATGCGTTAAAATCTACAAATGATTTGTAATAACCTTCAGCATTATCATTGATGAGACAATGTTGACATAAGCGCCTTTGAGCTGACTTAAGAATTCAATCGATGAAAACTGCAAGAAAGAGAGAAAGAAAAACAGTAACAGACAAGTTTCATTCTTTTTTCTTAACTCATTCTCATTTATTCTAAGATTTTTTTCTTCTTCTTCAAAAACACAATCACTCTTTACTTCGAACAGAAGTAAGTAAACGCTTATGGTATTGTTACGTTTTTAAAACAACTTCTCTATTTTCACACTATTCAATTTCTTCGCCATAACAATTGAAAATAAAGGCGAGCGAGTCTTTGTTGTAGATTAAGGCGTGGACATTGCAAATTACGCATCGAATAGCCTAAACACACAACTATGGCGTTAGCAGTATTAGACAAACCATTAAACGATCTTCGTCGAGAAATTACCAATCTTCGACAAGAGAATATATCACGTGAATATGATACAAACAAATTAAGTACAATTCTCAGTCGATCGAAAGATTCGTTGAAAGAAGCGGAAACCTCTCAACAGCAGTTATTGCATCAATTACAACAATTTGAAATATCTCTAGTGGAGATTAATCAAGTCTTACGAGCGAATAGTGAGCAAAAAGCACAACTCGATCAACGGCAACAGTCAGGTAGTATTGACTTCTTTGTTTGACGTTTGCGATCGTGTTCTCGCGTAGATAATAGCGTCGAAATACGTGCCAAGTTAATGGAATTAAATGCTGAAGCGTTGGAATGTCGAGCAGCAGCTGTGCAACTGCAGCAACAAGCACAGATCGCATTAGCAAAAGCAGCGGAACTTGAAAAACGTGCAAAAGAGGAATTAGTTCAACAAGAATTGGAGAGAAAGCGGAAGCAAGAAGAATTAGAGAGAATTCGAATTGAAAATGAACGACGAGCACAATTAGAAGAAAAGCAACGGTTAAAAGTACCTATAAGCCGAATGATAACCATGAAATCATGTTTCTTTTTCTATCAGGAACTCGAAATTCAAAAACAAAAGGAACAGGATCGACTGACCGCAGCAGCCGTAGCTAAAGCCCAACAACAAATGGAAGAAGATTACAGTAATTATATCATACGCGAGTAGGTGTTTGTCATGAATTAATTCGATTGAAACTTTCATCGTGTTTTTCCCACACTTGTGCAGCTTCATGCGTGATGAACGATCTCCTCAATGTTTTGTACGACTTCCACCTACTTTGTCTTCGTCAACAACATTCCATGTCACATTTTTAAATGTTGTTCAGACAGAAAATTTGCTCGACAATCAAGAAGAACTCGTCAGTACTCCTGTTCAAATCGAGTATGAACCAACGGTGAGTACAAATATCAATAAAGCGACGATGTTGATAAGTATTGTTTTCATTGCCGCCATACAAATTCTAGAGAGACGATCAGAAACCGATTCTTTTTTCGATACCCTATGTTGTTAAACGATCGATTCATCGCGAGAATGTCATTAAAATTCGGCAACCAAACGGGATTTGGCTATCAGTCGAAAGCAATGAATCGTCATTTGATGCATATAAAGTGAGTGCGATGATTTGCTTTCATTCGGCTACGATCTCTCTTTTTTTCTTATAGGAGAAACGTTTCATGGAATGTAAATTAACTCATTCAACAGCCTGCGCAGTGGTATCCCGATTAAGAATCGATACAGTTTTGATCAATCAACAATCATCAGGCCGATTCGTATCAAGTGCAGATCCTCGGATAATACTTCAATGGCCAAAAAATGTCTCGCAGACGAATCTTCGTCTTAATCTTCGTGTTCAACCTGTCGAACAATCCGTATTCACACAATTCTCAGACAACTTCTCCCAGGAATGTCAAGGTCTCATAGCTGTTGGACCGATCATTGATCTTGATTGCGATGATGTCACACTACTCAAGCCAATGCAATTCAAACTGCCAATTCTTGTCCAAACGAAAAAGAACGATGGAACATTAAGATCAACAGGAATGGACTCGACTATTCCACAACGGACAAACACTAGTCAATTATCTCAACAAGAGCTTATTCTACAACAACAACAATCGATTTTCAAATCTATGCTCGGTGAAGGTTAGTTAAATATTCATCATGTTTTCTCTCTTTCGCATGTTAATCATTCAATAGAATCAAGCAATGAACGACTACTTCTACTCTATTCCGGTCGTAATGAAAATACCTGGCATATCGATACGAATGTTTCGATATTTGATGCTAAAACGCACGATATGGTTGCCATGGATATGCAATGTTTACATCCTCGGATGGTCGTAGCACGTTGCGACAAACAGTTGCCAACAAATAAACAGCTACAAACGGTGATTAATCTTCTTGAACAATCGCTCAGTCAACGGACTGTCTCATGTGTCCTCCGTCGACGTGCATCGACTCCGAATGAAATCTGTTTCGTTTGTTGTTCAAGTCAACGAATCAATATAATTGATGATGAACTTCAACAGGAAAATTACACAATGGACAGTGAACAAGTCAAAGAACTGACATTACAAGAAGGGCAATTATTAGAATTACGCTTTCGTGGAAATGTCTTACCAGTGGATTATCATCAACAATCGTACCCATTCGCATTTAATACACAGTTTCCGTTCTATCACACCACTGATGTTTGCCAAACAGATAAATATTCTCAACATTTTTCACCTTACTTCTACGGTTTTGTACAAATATTTTCTAAACAGAAGGTTCTACGAACAGTGCCAAAAGAAACTGACAAGAAAAAACAACAAACTGAAGTAGAAAATAGACACCATAATCGTTCCTCATTTTATAATAACACATTTTTCTTTTTTCATTCCAAGGTCAAACAAGAATGGCATGAAGTGGATGTTTGTTTGGTTGAATTACCAATTCGTTTACCGAAATCACACGAAGAAACTCGGCCAATTAGTGCCAAAACATCAACCACATTCGTTGCCGAAGGTACTGAATTCGTATTTTCGACATTTTCTCAAATATTTCATACTTCGATAGGTATATTGACGCCCGCACTCTTTCGAGATATCGCGGCCAACTTACACGGTGATGAATGGCGTACGTTAGGACGTCGTTTAGGCATCACACGTATTCGTATTGAAGCAATTGAACATGATCACCGCGATGAAGCAGCGTATTATATGCTGGTTACATGGTTTAAACGTGTTTCACGTTCCGCTGATAAGGTAGTACTGCTGATTAACGGTTTGGCAAATATCAATCGATGGGATCTTGCACAAGACTTGCAAGCGATCCGAGATGAACGACGTCAGGCGCAGAAGACCTCGTCAAAAGATGGTAAATCGAGACGGAATGAGAGAAGAGATTTCGATTTGTTGTGCTTTTAGAACAATTGGCATTGTTTCGTGCCCCATTCAATCGTATCTGTCAACGTGAAGGATGCACTACACGATGGAAAGAAATCGCGCGAGCATTAGATTTAACCAATGACGATATACAGCATATCGAAGAGTCGTGTCTATCAAGAGAAGAGCGATGTTTACGAAGTTTAGAACTTTGGCTTTCACGTAACAATCAAGCGGACATTCTGACATTAGCTCGCACTCTTAGATCACTTAGCTTTAAATCCCTTGCTCGTATGTATACGAAATTATACTGAAATTTACGATCGATCTATCTTCTTTTCTAGGTGAAATTGATAGCATGGCATAAGTATACCCGATTATATAAGAGTTTTGTACATATATTATTGATATTCTTTCATTTTTCTTCTCAATAAAATAACAGCGCACGTTAAATCGTGTGTTGATTGCAAACGAAAGTGTTTCGCTCTTTGAAATAAAATAATTTATTGGGTTCAGTACGAAGAGGTTGTTACTGGAAAGAGAGAACAAATATGAAAACATCTACTCAGAGATCATGTCCAAGTTCATGTATTTCATCAATCATAGCGATAATATCTTCTTTAGTTGTTGCAGGATTTGAAATAATCGCACGAAAGAAGTTCGGATAATCATCGAGACGTTGATAGCCGATCATCATTGTTCCATTTGTCATCATTCGTTCTTTAATTTGTGGTGCAATCTATCAAAATCATAACTATATCTATCAATCACGTTCGATGAACTCACTTTATCCAATCGTTCTTTGTATTCCATTGACGTCGCATCACCGGATTGTAAACTCGGTGGAACATACCAGAAACAAACATTAATAAACGGAGGCTAGTGACAATAGATGACTGAGAGGTAATCATGAAAATGAAGAGATTTTTACTTTCATCACTATTCGAAAATACGGTTGACGTTGGCAAATGGTTTCGTAAAAGAAATTTGCATTCTCAAGTAGACTTTCCACATGTTCAGCATAGCCTTGGTTGCCACGTGCTTTCCATGCTAGCCAAAGCTTTAATATATCAATATGACGACCGCATTGAATCGTTTTATCACCGGTATCGAGAGATGTTTCATAGTGTTTGTCGGGTTGAAATAAATATGGGGCTAACATTTGATTTGCGCGCATCAACACATTCTATGGACATAGAGAAATGTTTTTAATCAACTTTCTGTACAGATTAGATAGTCTTCTTACTGCATGTCTCAATAAAATGGCTGAACATTGAAGATGTACTGACATGAGTTTGTGTGGGTTCCATGTAAATGAATCAGCTCTAAAATTCCAATGAGTTCACAGGTTTTTTTTTGTTTTCAATTGCCTCTTACTTGTCAATGCCCTGTAGAAGATGTTTGGTTTTAGATGAGAGTAACGCTGATCCACCCCACGCTCCCTAAACAGATGGTTACAAATGAGTTTCTTCTTGTTTCATAAAATGCATTTACATCAACATGGAGCCAAATACGATATTTATGACAAACAAGTGCAATTTCTTCAATTGGATCAAAAGCGCCTAAGACAGTTGTTCCTGCTGTAATACCAACAAAGAAGACCGTCAATTTAAATTGTTGACACGCAATGATTTTCTCTTCAATCTTCTCTGCTGATACTCGACCCCTAAGGTAGAAAACAATCTAAAAGTCTGGATTTTCAGTATAAAAACGTACGATTCGTCCGGTTCAACTTCATATACATAATCTGTACCAATGCCAAGAAGACCAGCAGCTCGTTTAATTGAGTAGTGACACTAAAATCGAGCAGTATTTCAGTGAAATCTAACTCGCAACGATATTTCCTACGTGTTTAGAAATAATCATTGCTGGACGTAAACCATTTCGAATGCCTGATACTTTGATCTCGGGAAAAGCATAGTGTCTCGCTGCTAAAACCGCATACAAATTCGAAACAGCACCACCTGGTGCTAAAACGCCATCGCCCTTCTTTGCCGATGCACTTCCGTTCGACCAGCCACAGTATTGTCTCATGTGAGCAAGTACACTTTCTTCCATGAGATTGAAAACTGGCGCAACTTCGTATGTAAACATATTTGCATTGATTGATGAAGTAATAATTTCTCCGACTAATGATATCATATCAACACCTTGACTTAATTGATTAATAAAACGAGGATGACCTTGAATAATAGATCGATTTCCATACGAAATGATCAACTGAACATTAGAATTACCTGACCGAACTGTTGTTTCAAGAACACGTTCACAATTGGCAAGAATATCATACAGATCAATCCCTTTATCATCGATTTTGAATGCAAACATTTGCCGGTATTCATCGGGTGTACGAAGACCATTTTTAATAACCTATAATCATGGTTATGCTGCCCTATTCGACTGAACATCTAGTTATCACTTACAGGCGAATCATGTTCGTTCATTTCTGCTATGTAACGAAGGATCATGTCGAGTGTAGCGTAGAGAAAAGTTTTCGTTGTTTTCATATCTGATGTATATGGCGCAAGATCTGCAAAAAATACCTGTCTATCTAGGTATTCGCAAGAAAAACTACTTACGTTTGTAGGTTTGTTCATTTAAATCATCGATATCGGTATAATTCAATGAATTTTTTTTATCATTTCCTTCCGACATCTTTATTCGATACTCACACTGATTTCAAATGGAATATAGATAATAATATATTGAGAGCGGCTTATCTTGTTTTCACGTCTCAGAACATCTTATATATATACGTATTTGTGTGTATGCCAATGCATCAAAATATATTTGCTTTTCCCCAAGAAAAAAAAAGAATCGTTTTCCATAACACTTTCCTCTTTCGAGTACAAAGCAAATAGACATTAAGTGACAAAAACATCTTTCAACTATACACACATATATAATAGATAAATCAATAGTTTAATTTGTTGAATTATTGTGGTGCAATACAAATTTTAGAGCCGCATTCGTTCGAACAACACTTTTCAACACCCTTGCAATCATTGTCAACATCACAGAAGTGTCCATCACATAAGCCCCAATATGGATTATCTTTCATAGAAACAGAAGTTGGACATTTTCCTACTTTTGGTTCATTGTTCTTGGGAACGATGCAATGGAAACCACAGGGTTCTTCTAGACGAAAGCAACATTTCTTGCCTGTTGGGCATCGATCTTTTTCAGTCGTACATGATGATTCACAGTTAGTTGGGGGACGAATAAATCCATAACCAGGACAAACCTGTTGTCCAGCATAAACAACTGAAATAATCACGAGTAAAAACACAGCAAACGAATAAGGAGACATGATGAGATTGTGTAATATAGAAGATCTATAACGAATGAGAGTCTATTGATTAGTCAATCGTAAGTAAAAATGAAAACGAATATATAGAAACGAAAGTCAAATACCGAACAGACGATCGTCATTCTCACCCTACATTAATCCAAATATTGTTTTCTCATTATTTCACCTCGACATCAAACATCGCCTGTTTTTTATCTTTCAACTCGAATGTACTCAGTCAATATAATCGGAAACTATCCATTACTATACGGACAATGAGTGCATCATGATCAACGACTTATTGGTATTTCTCAGGATGAATATTAATGACGTAAATGAAAAAAAATACTTCAGTATATATAAATACCGATTGACGCACGAAGACATTCGAAGTCACTTACTTTTTTTATAAGTTAAAAAATAATCCAATAGAAAATTTTGTATGTTCTCGAAGCAAAAGTATGTTTCTGAGTCAAACGATACCTTTCGACAATTTTTAGGGAGCATTTTTAAATAGTCGCTTCTCTAACGAATATAGTCGTTCGAGCGAGCGGTAGAACGAAAGAAACTATACATTTTATGCGGTATAACGAACGGCATACGTTTCTTACGCGATTGAGTAGAATTAACACGGCTATGTTCAGTGTGAGAGATATGGAGAGTACAAAGAATCTTCTCCTTATATCAGAAATTATGTTCATTGAGGTTAAGCGTGGACAATGAGTGCAAATGGATAGGTATCCCTGATTCACGCTACGTTTTTCAGTTGACGATTGTCTAAATTCGCGTTGGAGGAAAGTCAATAGTTTGTGCAGACATGCGATCGAAAATGATCTGAATCTTTTTCATACTTGGCAGAAAACTTCATTTCGTAAGAAAAGCGAAATATGTTCGTGATATTCGAATGCATTCGACAGAATAGCAAAAAAGAACTGAATATAACGAAACGAAAATCGGTTTCCTTTCATTCTGACGCTTTTCGTATGACACTTTAAATATCAAGATTATGCAAGTTTATCTTCCAGGTCACAAAACGGTTTCGATTTCTGAGAGCTTCGTTGTTTCGCTTATGTGTTTTTCAGCATATTAACCTTCAGCAATCTTTTGTTCGAACTTTTCACGTAAGACTTTAATTTACTGTTTCAAAACGAACTTATTTTACCCTTTGATAACAACAAAGATCATATTCTATTTCTTTCTCACGTTCAATGTGCATATCGATCGATAGATAGAGAAATGATGCTATTTTCATCTTATATAAGCAAAGCGACAAGAAGAAAGAGAGAGAGACGAAGAGAAAATCTCGATTACAAAGTACAATGTTATAAACGTCGCAGTACAAAAAAAAACAAACGAGCAAAACATGCATAGTGTAAAAAAATAGTGAGACAAACAAAAGCGTATAATTAAAACAAAATTGCTTAACGCGAGACGGAGAGAGAGAGAGAGATCAAACGCTGTACATACAAAAAAAGGAGACAAGAGATGTGAGTTAAATCTAGCACCATTGCTACCACTGTTAAGATCAATCAACTTGATTTCAAGAAGTTTTTCGTTAAGTATTCAAACGTGTAGCGCGCTGTTGATACGATTTATTCAAATAATGTTTAGCTAAAATAAAGTCACAGAAATTAATATCACTTGATATTGAAGAGTCTAAGCGAAAGAGAAATAGAGACAGAGGAAAAAGCACTGTAGAGAGGTCCCAACTACCTCACCCTGTGATGGTTATTATAAATCTTGAAAAATTAAACAAATCAATGTGAGATATAATCATGCAATAACTAGATTAATTTGCATTGAAATTCAAAAAATGCAGCAATAGGAACTAACCTGCAACCTGACGACTTTTTTCTTTCGCTTCTTCGGCAAGTACTGATTGTAAGTTCAGTGCCTGAAATCGGAAAAAGTGATTTACTGAATCTGCTATAGTTGACTCATACCTTTTCACGTTCTTTATCAATTCGTTGATGATGGTAAGGGAAATGATTGTGCATTTCATGATAATCGAGTTCATTGATATCTTGTATACTGAAGACAGACTTGGTATAGGATCTGGTCAAGTTGACTTTAACTTACCTTTGTTTCGAAAGCATTTTCCTAACTTCTTCTTTTTTCTTCATCTTTGCTAAACGTTCATTGGGAGTTAACATACGATCATCATTACCAAAATCAATCAATCGATCGGGAATATCAACCTTATCCGGTCGGTATATCTAAGCAAAGCAATATAATTCATTCAATTATGTCTGAACAATTGAGAGATCACATTATACTTCTTTATCGATTGTATCAATATCAAAATCCTTCTTTGTTTCAATTGTTGTACGTGTATGAGGATACGGTTTCAGAATACTCTAAAGTTCAACGGAGAAAATGAACATGCGGTCTTGTCTGAATAAACATTTACATTTGGTATAATGCCTTGATCACGTCGTGCAGATTTCACGGTAGCCATACGTGTCGCAGTAGTTGCCGTTGCAGTTGGATTGTTATTATTATTACTATTATTGGTATTCAAATGTAAACTAGCTTTTCTTGGTGTCCATTTCGTTGGTGTTCGTAATCCATCCCGATCCTGAATCAATAAAAGACACTTTATTGTTTCATATAGAAGTCATATACGCACGAAATCATCAGTTGAAGGACCGCGAACTGGCTCGCTTGAATCAGTGTAACGTGTCATTGACGCTGACCTTGGTTCTACAAAGGAAAATAGAAGTTCGAGCTTTTTTATAAGAATTTTTGTTACTTATCGGACTTGGACTTCGAGCATGCCATTCATAATTATCATTCATATGATTATTACTACGATAGTTTGGACTACCATCTAGGAAGATTAATTGTTTAAGACGATGAATTGTCATCGAAAATGCTTACTTAGCTGATACTGTTGCTTAATAGGTGTGTGCATACTTAATGGTCGCGAGAGATAACGGGGTGAACGTGTAAAATCATCCTAGATTAATATACATTTGATGAATGCATTCTTTCTTTTATTGAAATTGTTTACATACTTTCGCTCGTTCTAAATGATTTCTTGTTTTAAGAGTATCGATATCTGTTTCATTGTGCGAACGCCATGTCGTACTACCATTACGATGAAACGATGCATTACCTAAACAACCTCTTCATACAATTTCTCGGACGCTTTCACCTCTGATCTTTACCTTCATCAAATAATGGAATTGTATTAACATGTGAAATAATATATCGTTCCAACGAACGTAAATTATTCACTATATCTGTTAATTGCTATTGAAATTAGCAAGAGAATGTATGGATAATGTCATTCAAATCAGCATCCTTACCTGACTAACATGAGATACGTAACCATCTGTTGTTGTGATTTGTTCGCGTAATAAAGGTAGGATATTTTCTACACGATTTTGTTCGTTGGAAGAATAGATTTGCCGATTCCATTGAAATAACGATGTGAAATCATTCAATAGTGACTAGAAGCGAAAGAAATCGAAGATTTTAGTCATCATTCGAAAGAATTTAATTGACATACGTGATGCTGGAGTAACGTGGATAGTTCATCTTGTAATTGAACAGCTAAATTCGACGCATCGAAAATGATTTCATATCTCATTGTTTACTCACCTAGTTTATCTTCATGAAGCACTCGATCGATATCATTCTATTAACAAAAACACATGTTTTAGTAACGAACGAATGAAAGTCATCATTACCAAAATTGATAATTGAGTTTCATCTGGATCTTTGCGGGCATTCAATGTTTGTATTAAATTAATTAAAGTTGAACGACGTTGTAGGAATGTTGTCTATTGGTAAGAAAGAAAAACGTTGGGCGTCTATTGAGTCAAATGAATCTTTAGAAAGGTGCTCACCTCACTATGCATTCTTGACCATTCATATGTTGACATATCTTTAAGTAAATGTTGAAGATCGATCATCTATGTAAATAGAATATCAATATGTGAGGATTTCAATTCCAATTAATTCATTTTCAACTACTTTTCGCTCCCACGTGGGTTTCGAACGCTGCAATTGTTCGGAGATCTTTCGACAATGCTGAAGAAAAACCGATTGTTGAGTCGATGAACTAAATTTCTTCAATGTAATCATCATTTTTCTTTTCATTTATTATTTTTTACCTATTCTTAAGAAAACCACTTCCACCATACAATTGATCAGTTATTTTCTCATAAAAAGTAATGATATGATTGAGTAATTCAACATATCGTTTGACAATCTTCGTAGATTTCATTGCGGGCTCATACTAATATAAACAGAATACGTCAGATTCTCGTGTACATTTCCTAGTCCAATTGCTTACATGATCATTTTCGAATCGTTGACTACCACTTAGATTTGACATAACCGACACTGGTCGAGTTGATACAGCTGAAACGAATAAGATAAATAAACGTTAGATTTGATTCGTTGATTCAAACATTTTGCTCAATCTTACGCATTTGACGGTTTGGTGATTGAGAAGAATTGAACTAAAGAATGAAATCATATGCAAGCACATTCGATCGCAAAAAACGAGAGAAGAAAAAACAATTAATACGCAGATCAATATTGACCAGCTGACCCCCTGTATGTATCAATAGTAATCATCGACTTCAATACAAATTAGTGTACATATTCATATTAGCAAAAAAAGCGAAGATGAAGAGGAATGATACTCAACTTTCCTCTCATTATATCTGTATGAATGCTCGAAATGATGTCCCCGATCTGATTAAACATACAAAAAAAGAACATGATCTCATCTCTGTTCTCTTTGTGACCCAGAAAAATATGAATGTACATGTTAATCATCGAGAAGGAAAGAGAGAAAGAGTAATACTTACTCCGCCTCGTTTACTAGTCATTCGTGGCGATTGTGTCCAACCGTTATTGTATGCAGGTGGACGGGTTATCTGATTATTTCCTACACGTTGATCTCTAAATGAGACGAGAGGGAAAGCATCAAACACATGTTCGACTAATTCTTCTTTGATTATCATAAATCAAGTTTTTATTTGTGGTAAAACAAACCTTTCCAGCATACGATTTTGCCAAGCTACTAATTCATGTTCAGTATATGTTCCCGGATGATTATTTGAACTTATTCGAGGTCGATCATGGTATTGATATTGTTGCTGATAAGATTGTGCAAGATGAGATTGAGGAGGGGGCGATGTACTGAGAGTGGGTGTTGCGAAATCGCCAATTGATTTGGATCGTCGACGTAAGATTGATCGCGTTGATGATTGTCGAGATCGAGTTGCTGGAGACATGTATTGATGTCGAGGTGAATCGTTTGTTGGATAGAAGTCTGATTGAACAACTCGACTGGGTCCAAGAACAAGACGATCGACAACAGCAAAGTCGTTTCCTTCGCGATGTCTCGTCAATGTCGGTGTTCGTAATTTGAATCGTTGAGGAGGAGTTGATCTATCTATAAGACGTTCATTATAGTCCTCTGTCAATTCATCTATTCGTCTTGATGTCCTCGTGGTGGGACGATGATCATTGTTGTTATGATTGTTGTTTGATGTAAATGATAGCGGTGTGTGTCCGTTTGCTGAGCGATTAACGTCAAAGCCCCATGAACCCATCGTTGCCGACGACGATTGATGAATAACACCATTACTACCATTACCTGCGTTGGTAGGATAAGACGAGGGTGAGGAAGTATGTGCGTTGTGCCAACGATTATTATAATCGGGATCTTCCTCATCTTCGTAGGTGCCTAGAAATCGATTTGGTTCGTTTAAGGTGGACGTGGCTGCAACGGGCATCGCTGGTTTATACGATCTAAAGGAAATAGAAGCGAGAATAAATGTAACGTTGTATAAGCAGAAGAAGAGAGAGAGAGAGATGAAAGAATAATAGTAACTATTTATATTATTTTAAAAAATTGATTTCTTTATTTTCAATATTATTCTTGTATACCTGTTGCTTCTTTGTGTCATTTTTTCCGATTAAAAAAGCAAATAGAGTTCTCTTCGTTTTTGTCTTGGTGTTGCGTCGTCATTACAAAGAAGAGTGAAGAGTAAATTTTCATATTCGAACGGATGAATGTATGAATAAAACAGATTGACTAAAGAGTAGTGGGGTGGCGGCGATGGTGCGGCTAGCTACCGTTTGTGTATCGAACGGAAGAAACAGAGCAATAAGACGGTACAAGCAGAAAGAGAAAAAAATTGAGAAAAAAAAACGAGAGAGAAGAGAACTTTAGTTCAATATTCGATTACACAAATTGACACATAGAGACAAAGCAGTAGTGTATATAGGGCTGTTTCTCCCTCTTTCTCTCTCTCGTACCCGCACGTACTGAATGAAGCTGAGGTTGAATGAAGAAAGAGATCGAACGCAAATGTACATAAATAGAATTATGTATGTACCGATGGACGTCTCAATATTGCATCACAGAAGTCTATTGACAGAATAAAAAACGATTAAAAGGATAACGGAAATGTACATCTCCCTCACTTGCTTGATATATATATATATATGTATATATCTATCTCGGTCATCATTATCATTGTGATCATCATTGTTCAACTTGTTTTCGAAATTCACAAGGCTATGTGTCAGTCAGTAAGCAGGTCATTTTCACTCGTAGATGGTAGTCCAAACTATCGTAGTAATACTCATATGAATGATAATTATGAATGGCATGCTCGAAGTCCAAGTCCGATAAGTAACAAAAATTCTTATAAAAAAGCTCGAACTTCTATTTTCCTTTGTAGAACCAAGGTCAGCGTCAATGACACGTTACACTGATTCAAGCGAGCCAGTTCGCGGTCCTTCAACTGATGATTTCGTGCNGCTCGACACTGTTTTTCGAATTTTATGTATACATGAATAATATAATATTAAATCTTTTTGATCAATAAAACTTACTTGAGAAATAAAGTTTGTTTCAAATTTTTCATCGTCTAACACTGAGAGTACTTGTCTTTTACTGAATACGTATATATATATATATAACCGACTATTCCGTTATCTACTTCTCCTTGTTCTTCTTATACTTGCCGTTAATAACACTTTTTTCTATCTTGCTATTACACGTTCGTCAGTAGAGATACAGATGGCATTCAATGTTCTTTTTTTGTCTTGACCTATACACACCTCAAAAGAAAGAAACAAATCCTCTTCTGTGCTCAATCGAACCTGGTAGCTCCCATCTAACAGCTCAAATTTCTCCAACTGTCTTATCGGTATTCAAAAGTATATGTGCATATACATATACATACACACATATATATATAAAGAAGAACAAATTTTCTTCTCGTCTTCTTCTTCTTTATATTACTTTGACTAGCGTTACTATTACTTTAAAGTAAACTTGTCACTATACATCAAAGTGTAGGACATAACATGAACAAGGGACATTGCGTTCATCCATCTATACATAAAATTACAAAAACAGTGTCGAACACTTTTCAATGTAGAGCCTTGCGTGCACACGCGTTCGTCGTCGCCGCCGGTGCAGAATTGAAAATTGATAATATTAGATGGCTGCACTAGAGAATACAGGTAGACGTTATGTGAAGAGCAACATGCATACATATGTATGTGTGTATGTCTGTATGTGACTACAATCGTTCATGGAATAGTACAGACATTGCTTCGCGTCGCAATTGAGATGCAAATTGCCTTTTTTCTCTGTTGTAGAATTGTGTTTCTTGATCATTGTGAAATAGCTTTGTTCATCAGACATTAACTGAGAGAGAGAGAGAGAGGAGGGAGGGAGGGAGGGAGGAAGAGAAGAACAGTTACTTTCTTTGAAAATGGCGTTCATTTGTTTCTTTTTCAATACAAATTCCATCTTACCTGTATTGTGATCTTGAACCGTTATTCTTCATCCAACCATTATAATCCGATTCAGGATTGGTATCAATTGAATGTAAATTAGAATCAAAATAAGGACTAATCGATGAATATTAAAAAGAAAACGGCTAAACACGAAAATACATTCAATGAGTCGTTACTCGACAAGAACATCATTGGTTAACGAAGCTGAAAGACGCAGAGCATTGATCCATTGTGTCATCGACGATTTGCTATCGGCAGCCAGGTAGATCGGTTTAGTACTTGTTGCATTCGGGTCATACAACTAATTAATTCACTCACGCTGATTATTTTTCTTAGAAATCAAGTCAGTTTTTACTTTAAAAGAATATCCTTTGTGCGAGATTGAATCACTTGAATTCGTAATTGATACACGATAGTTATTAATATTGATTGTTCTTTCCAAACGTTTATAGAGTGAGTCTTAATAGAGAAAGTAAATCAAATATAATCATGCGAAGTTTGTTTTAGTAATGATATATAAAACAAATAAAAAGTTTTACCTTGATAAATGGCCAATTGTTGATCTTGTAATTGAAGCCATCGCTTTTTCCAATGTTTAAATGGTTTATTGGCATAATAAATATGTAGATTGCCTGAGTTCTTAACAGGATTTGAACTTCGAAGAAACAAGAAATCGAAATTATATTTCAGTTAATTAAATCGATAATTAATAATTTAGTTTTTTTTTGTCTGTCTCACTTGTTAAACGGTGGTGAATAGGACATCTGATTGATATTGATCTTTTAACATGTATTCTTCTCCTTCAATTATACATCATCAACTATTGAAAAAAGTCATAAAGCACAAAAAAGAGAAGTCGAACAAGGAGAGAAAAAGGCATAGAGATGTAGAAAAATTTGATCTATTCCTTTCTATCAATCAGTCGACCTTGTTCGTGCGCGTTTAGATTATATGTAAGAATAAAACAAAAAAAAAAGAGGAAAGAAACGAACGCATGGGAAAAGACATTTTACAAATAAACATCGACTCAACACTGCCCGCGCTTAACTTCGCCATCAACTAGAGATAAGAACATAGTTCGTGCATGTACCTGCACGTGTATGTCTGTACAGTTCATTTGTCGGACACGATCGGCTTTACCTGTAATTCGGCATTGTCGATGTTGAAAATGAGTTTAATGATGATTAACAAAGGTGTTCACCTTCATAGTTGCTGGATATTCAGATATTTTTATTATTACCTACTGTTACTCGTTTCGCCGCCATTAATATCCTTCCATGAGAGGAAAAAAGAATGAGAGAACGTCGCTTTCTTCTCTTCTTCTTCTTCTTCTTCGTTCTGATTTTTAAATCATGAGGGAAGAAACAGAACACATCAGTCACTGATGCCGGAAAAAAATGAATCCGATCACACCTTGCTGCATAAGCAAACAAGTGACATATATACGAACATAGTACTTGTTGTAAAGCCACGGGCACATGTGCTCATAAACCAATTGAGTCACATACACTTTCCTCTTGATGAAGTGTACTTTTTCTCTCTCTCTAAATCGTCGTTTTCGAGATAAATCTACATAGTTATAAGTGAAGTGAGATATATAGATCTAGTCAATGTTTGTAACATCAAGGATATATGTTATNTGCATAAGCAAACAAGTGACATATATACGAACATAGTACTTGTTGTAAAGCCACGGGCACATGTGCTCATAAACCAATTGAGTCACATACACTTTCCTCTTGATGAAGTGTACTTTTTCTCTCTCTCTAAATCGTCGTTTTCGAGATAAATCTACATAGTTATAAGTGAAGTGAGATATATAGATCTAGTCAATGTTTGTAACATCAAGGATATATGTTATACAAGACCAAAGAAAAAAAATACATTCACACAGCAAAAAAAAACGAAAAAAAAATACTCATATACGAGTATATATATATATATAATCTATACACTATAGTTTTATCTTGCTCGTATTCGATGAGATACAGCAAAATTAACAGTTGTTTTGTTTTCAAATCTTTTTCTATCTATAAGATATTTGTTTAAACATCTGGATATTCAATTATTGCGAATTAAGAAACAAAATAGGTCCGATGAGACATGAGTGATGTACAATTTCATTTGTGAATCTGTTCGAGTTAGAGTTTGCCTTTTGCACGCCGATTTGATTTCGGTGATGGCGATGATGACGACGATGACGCTGAACGTAGTTTAGGTTTTTCGTATGGATAGTTAACGCGAGCACGATTGGAATTGGTCACTGGTGTTTTACGAGTTTTATTTCCGTTCACTGGTGGTGAATCTGAAAGAGATGAAAAGAAAATTAGTCTAATATGGAAGATTTAGAACTGTAAGATATTTTCAGACGAAATCTCTATCACGCGAGATGATTTTCTTTCTAATTGCATACGGATTAAATAAAAGAAATCCAATTTTCTCTTTTCTATTCTCAATTTCAAATTTTGTCCTTCTTTTAGAAAAATGTGTTCATCAAAAATTCATGTATTCAATAAAAATTTTGATCTTTAATTAAGAATCCTGAAGAATTCGAATTCATATGTATGTGTGTGTGTGTATATATATATATTTTCTTTTCATACTTGCGTACGATCTGTTGATTTTAAAAACGTTTATTTAACATACATTTTCGGGCGATGAGGTGTGAATGGCAAGCAAGGAAATGATTATTTCAATGCCGAAAAGTATGTGATTATAAACTTCAACTTTACTTCTTATTCTTCTGTTCCCTATTCAAATATCACACTAACGAATCCAAGGCTGAAAGATTTCGAGTGGATAGACGATGCTCGTTCTCATTTTATCAAGTACCAAAGATTATAAAAACCATTTTTGCATTTCAGACAGTAGTCTGTGAGTTTATGAGCTCGAAATCTTTATTGAATTTTGATTTGATGCAAACACTATAGAATCAATATAATAAAAAAATCTACTCATCAAATATGATTTGCATCGACATAAATGTGGGTTTTCTTTCTAGGTCGAGTTAGGTGAAATAAAACTATATGCATATCTTACTTGAGTTCGTATCTTCATCTTCTTCTTCTTCGTCTTCGACGACGTTGTTACTCGTTTGTCGTTTTCTTTTCTTTGTACTTGGAGAAGCTTTGCGTTTCTTCGTAGAACTCTCCTGTTCATTGTCTTGTTTTCGTCGTCCGGCTTTTGCTGGAGTGGTCTCGATTGTAATGCTCGATGCTGTTTCCGTTGTTGTGGCGTGTTTAACTGTCGGTGTAGGTGTGTCACTGACGGTGGTCGTTGTTGTGATGGGTTTAAGTTTGATTTTGAAATCTTTGGGCAAGTAAGACACGTTATTATAACGTATTTTCTTGAAATACATTTCTGGTAATGGTACGCTCGAACTAGCTCGACAAATCATTAACGACGATGCACGTTGAGATAGAATGACATAGGCCAAATCGACAAGTACATGTAGTTTTTTTAATGCATCTTTCCTTTCTGCTTTCTCTTCTTTATCTGGCGAGATAGTTGCATCTTCAGCTGATTTTATTGAACGTAATAAACCTTTATAAAACAAGCCAACAGTTGTATCACAACGTAATAATAATGCATCTAATAAAAATAAAATATAATCGGTCATTGTGTGCAACATTTCGATGTCATCGTAGAGAATGAATGCTGGCGATTTGGAAAGGAAAAACAGAAAATATGTCAGAGAATATTCAGGATATAATGTATAATCAATGGGTTTCTCATCAGTTGTCGACAAGCTGTTTTCATCATCTTCATTGTCATCGCTATGATCGAAACCATTGTTCGACTGATGGCCATTGCTGGTCTGAGCTGTCTTATAAGATAATTGTAATTTAATATGTTCACGTCGTGTATCGATTATTTGTAACATTAAACGATGAATTTGTTCCCGATGTTCGCGTTCGGGTTCTTTGGCTGCGAATGCTAATAGTGCAAGCAATTCAATAGGACATACGGGATCGCGTAAATGCTCAGCTAATTTACGATATGTTCGCTGACGAATTTGTGATGATGGATCCTAATAGAAATTAGAGAAATAGTTCGGTCGTAAAGAAGAAAAGAGAGTAATCTTACTCGAAGAAGGGTCATAATCATAAGAAAATCATCAGGTTTAATACGTGTGTAAAAATATGGATTACAAATCAATTTCAATAAACATGTTAAACCACAGAGACGAATGTAGATTATTTCGCTTTCACTAAGCAGTTGAAATTAAAGAGTTTCTTTCGAAAATTCGAAAAAAAGCTGTTACCTCATCTCTCCGGTGAAATCTTGATCCTTTTCGATGCATTTTCGTATGAACTTATAGGTAATTGTGAATAATGAACTGGAATTTTCACGTAAACCTAATGTTGCTCGTGTCATTGCTTTGATTAATTCACGCTAAACAGGCACAACAATCATTGCTAATCGAGAGATCTATTTTCAAATTACCATCACGCGAGTATCCGCTCCGATTTCCGGATCGGAATGCGGTTCATCGGCTAAGAGAGTAAAATGTCCATGTAGGAATGAACTCGTCATATTATTTTCATCATCTTGATCACTGTTATTTTGTTTATCGATGATATACTTTGAAATGTTATTGAGTATACGTTTACCGATATCACCAACCGCTGTCGGAGATATTTGTATCATGTGACCAAGTAGAACGAGTCGAGTAATAAATTGATCACTATCGAATTGGTCATATTGTGTATCCTAAACAGAAACAAACCAAGTATGCTGAATGAAATCTGCAAGGATTCTTACATCCACTAGCTTTTGAAGTAGTTGATCCTTTTTATTCGGATGCAATGCACATATGCAATACAGTGCACGTTTCGCAATTGGTGGGTGCAGTGTTAAGTACGAAGAGAGTTCAGAATCCAAAAGTCTAAAGCAAAGAATGTTGAATTCGAAGCAACTTTCTGTGCAAATTTACGTACGTTATCATGTCAGTTTGGTTCGAGGAGATAATCAGTGGTGCACATGCTTCGATTGTACGTATAAGTATCGGTGCTACAAAAAATTCGGTGATAAAAATCAAAAATGATTGTGAGTTACTCACCTAATTCGAGCACATGTTGCTTCAAAAGATTACAAAGAAGTTCGAGTGATTCTGGGGAGTTGAAAATGAATGGATGTTGAATGAAAACCTAGATGAGTCGCAACAATTGTCATTCAGTTAATCTTTCTGTCTGAACAAACTTTCAAAAGTTGATTGATATTTTCGTAATACGAAACTGATTGCTCTGGTTCTACAAAACAGGCGAGGAAAATGAATAGTTTTCGTATTTCGCTTTGTAAATTACCGTTAGATACTCGTTCGAATAAAAATTTAAGCAAATGACTAACTGTTTCTTGGTCGAATAAGAGTGTTGATATTTTTTCAAAAATTGTTTTGATTAATCCACACATTTTTGTAAACTGTCCATGAGCACTATTTTCCGTAGTTGTAGTTGTTGCTGTTTGTTCTTCTGTTGTATTTGTTGGAAAGCGTTTCTGTTCTTTGGCAGCTTCTTCCAACAGCATTTGACCCATGCCATTCTAAAGAACAAGATCATTTTGCAAATTGAACATTGACCTGTTTAGCAGTCGACTTACAGCTAAAGCGTAACATTCTTTTGATTTGATTCCATCAGCAATCGCTTGTTTGAATATTGACAAAATACTAGATTCGTTTGTGTTGGTTAACGATTGTTTGTGATTTTTAATTGCGTAGATGGCAAACGCCTTCAATACCGATTCATTTTTTTCAGGATTGGGCAGACAACCTGTTTTCAGAAGATTAAAACAAAGAATGAAAGATTGAGCAACTTACGTAAAGCGATGGTATGGATAAGGCTAACGAGTTTTAATTCAGTTGTTTGCTTTTCATCGTTTGTCTTTTTTAGATCAGCCATTTGCAAACAAAAGTCAATCATTTTATCCAATTGTCGACGAAATCTAGTAGATCAAAATCAAATACTAACATCATCGAGAGGAAGTCAACTTACAGGAATTTGCTGTGGATGATTTCACGAACCGCTCTAAACCAAAAGTTCTGTTTACCGTTCGATGATATCAATATAACTTACCGTTGAGCATTTTCGCTAACATTGGAATATAGCGTGAATAGAACTCGGACTTTATTATCAGTTTTCACATCCCATGGCATTAAATAAAAGGTCAAAAGTCGTTCAGCTAATAATCTAAAAATTGATAATTTATCCAATAGGGATGCAAATCGACCTCATCGCCATAGTTACTTGTCTTGTGTTGTTTTTTGATAATACAGGTGAATTATACAATTTGCCACCCATGTTAACTGCTTTTGTACATCATCGGACCAATTTGCAGCTGTACATTCTTTTTTATAGACCTGTGCAAGGTAATCAAGTGCTTCTTTACGAACTTCCCACTAGAATAAACAACAAATAGAACGAAAAATCATTTCCGAACTTCATACAATTTTGTCTCGTGCACGTTCACACAAGATTTGTTTAATTTTGTCGCTGATATCAAACAGACTGTAGTTCGTGATCGCACGAATTTGCACCATAAGTTGTGAACGAATGTTCGTATCCGTCGAGAGACTTAAATGCACCATAACATCTGAAGCAAACATCGGCAATTAGCTTCGTGCTTTCATTCTTTTCGAATGAGAATAAGAAATTTACTTTCGAGATCTGCTCTCAATTCTGGATGATTAACAAAGTAACTTTTGAGATGTTTTACGCAACTTAATTGAACTTCCGGTGTGCCATTTTTAAATCTAAATAAGTTTCATTACAGAGAAGAACTAGCGCACACATGATTTTTTTTACTGATCGAGAAATGTGTTCCATAGAGATTTGTACCGTTGAGCAAAGTCATTATTTGGTGCACTGGTCACATAAGCAATGATCTTTGCCGCATCACGACGATGTTTTTCATTGGGTACCTTGAACGAATAAACAAAATATGCATTCAGAGTTCGGCATTGCAAGATAAATTTGTACCTGAAGTCGATGTTCAATTGATGGAATAATTTCATCGACAATTGCTTCTGAAATATGACATAGCTCATCGAAAATGTAATAGATTTTCGGATGTAAATGTAATGATTCCGTATCTTCTGTGACAAGAACTGCTTTGAAGTACTAAAAACAACAATGCAAAAGAAGTCGATTCAATATGGACACAACTTACATCAGCAATCGCTGATTTGAGAAACGATTCACCTCGGCGAATAATCGATTCTACTAATTCATAACATTCTTCACGTAATTTCTAAACAAAGAGTGCAAAAGATGTAGATGAAAGCCTAGAACCTTCTATTTGATATTCATTTATTCAAATCGAACACAAATATATTGTATTCAATTGCCAGGTTTGATATCGTACCTTTTCGGGATCAATTATTCTTGCGAAAAGCAATTCCAACAACGAAAATGGGATTGTCTCATACTCAGCCAAGATCACTGAGACAATATCGATTATCAAGTTCTTCAACTGATCCGTATGTTTTTTCCTATGGAGAGAATAATTTGTTTTGAAAAGAAATCTTTTTCTAATCAAGACATACTGTACAGCATTGAATAGATTCGTTAGGACAACCGTACTGATTTGACAGCCACGATTGTCTTCTAAATTAACGGCTGGGATAAACGATTGTACCATGCTTAGATTCTAAACATTCAAAGGTAAGAGTGAATCGAAATGTTTTGGAATTTACTTCGAGTAGATAATAACGACGTGTGAATAGAGGATCATCGATCTTTTTTAAGCCAAGTAATTGTCGAGCAAGAAAAAGAAACATGTTCTAACACATAAAAAGAATCAGATGATGATGTGACCTAGTTCAGCTTCTTACGAGCATTTTTTCTTGTGGCACTTCAGGTAGATTCGGTGCGTAGATACGAATTATATCCGCTAGGCATATTGCTGTGTATAGCTGAATATCAGCGCGTTCGTGTGAATAGAAGAAATCATCCAAGAGAGTTTTATAGAGCCCTGTGAAAAAGTGTCGTTTCTCGTAGTTTTGCGGTAGAGATTGTAAAAGTCTTTGATTTTTCTAATTGGAAACAAAACAAAGTAAATAAACAAATTGTAAAAAAAGAATTCGTCGGATATTTACGGTTAAATTATCAAGAAGTTTATTTGTTGGTAAACTTGGACTAACACTAAGAACCTGCGATGGTAAAACATCAGGTACAGGGCCTGATGATGCTGCCATTGATTAAAGTATAATCAAAAACAATTGTGAAAAAAAAGAAATGAAACAGACTGATTTTTTCTTTGTTCGACTTTATGAGTATTTTCATTGGTTCATTATTACTCGTAACGCATATATGTCACACGACATCTACCGCGTCCTCCGTCCGATATTGACGACTGTCAAAGTTGATGCATAGAAGAGAATACGTTTATTTCTATCTATTTGAGCTTTTTTTTTTATTGAAAAACAAAATATAACGGATATTTGTTCATTCAAATTTCATATTCAGAACAACGCACGATCATTCCAAATGTAAAGTTTAGAAGATAACAGGATCGGACGAATTGTACTAGTTTCATTTCACGGATAAAACTAATACAAATAGATCGAATTCATTCATTAGAATTTGACTAAACCTTCTAGATCGCCACCATATTTGCCCAGTATAAACATTATAATAAAACCTAATATCAGGCCACTGTTCTGACATAGTAAGATTTTCAATTTCAAAACGTTTGTGATCGGTTGATTTAATGCAAGATAATCCTTTTCAATTTCATCACCCATAGAGACCAATTCTGGTATCTGTGAACAAAACAATTCATACATACATACATACATAGATCATATTTGATTGAATCTTACCATATCGGCAAGACCGATGTAGACGAACATTCCACCTGCTAATGCATAGACCCATGGATGAAATTGTTCCAGTTCACCTAGAATATTCCACGTATCGCTCAATGCAAACTCCCTCGAATAAAACATACCTAATTTCGCACCAATTAGAAAGCCAAGGTAACAGCTACATGCCGACAGGAAATTCATTAACAATGCTTGTCCTATCGTGAGCCCACTACTAAGCAAAACAGCAATGTCACCAAGTTCATGAGGAAATTCTTCACATATAATCGGAAAACACATTCGAAGGCCTTCACCGACCGATACCATGAATGCAGCACCTAGTGTTAAACCATCGATGAAATTGTGCAACATATCGCCGATAATTATCATCCAACCAGCTGCTTTCATTTTTTTCAAATTTCCAACTAAAGTATTTGGATTGTGGATTTCCAATACCGACTAGAAAGATGTAAACGACAATCTCGAATGTTATCCTAGATCTACGCACTTTCTTCGCCGAGTTAGTTAAATCATATTTTGAACCATTGATCGATCTACTCGGCTTCGCCTACGAGATAAATAAACAGATGAATGGTCAAAGACAGATTTGTTGAACTTACAAGGACTTCATTCTCATCATGAGTGTGTGTGCAAACGATCTAAATATCCAACCCCAATCTAACGGAATTCTTCCTCAAAATGAATACATACAGTTTCGACATGGAGGAAAATTCGTAACAGTTGATCTCGCATGTAATACAGATAAATAATAATGATTGGTATCAATGATTTATTCAGATAACTATGATGAACATCTAAATCCGGAATGTTGAATGCCTACGAACAAGCAAAGTAGTAGAAAAAGATCTCATTGAATTTCTGTTCGGCGGAACAAACCATAGGAATCAAATGAAACATCCCTGATCCAGTTAGAGTGCCAACAGCTAAAAACAAGCCAGCGTCGAATGGAAAACTGGCTTTCTATCTTACCTAAACCAATAAATCCTGTGAGAATCCATTTGAATGCAGCTCGATTTCGAAACGGTAAGATAACAGCGCCACAAAGAGCCGAACAATTAATGAACGTTACAATCATCAATCCAATGAGAATGTCTAAAGGATTCATTGAAACACACTTTTAAAATCTTCGCCTTTGCTATACTTCTCCATGTTGCACGTCCTTCAGACTTATGACAACCATCATTAAACTTAACATTAACCAGAGCGGGTAACAATCGGCGTATATCATTTCGACTGAAAGTATCATTCACATTTCTTGATTTAATATTCAATGCATTCAACAAATCATCTGACGATGTAAAACACTAAACGTCCAAAGGAAATCATATGAGACCTTCTCTTCAAAAAATGTATCTAACTTTATGTTCGACTTCGAGTTGTTTAATATTTTCCTGAGTAATAACGTCATGAAGACGTGAGATATCATCAATATCATTCGACTGAAGAAGTTTTTCATAAAATATTCGTACGTTTGCTGGCGTTTTCAAATATGAGTAAAGGAGATCTTCTTCCATGGAGTTTAATTTGACATCATTACTAAACACTGGACATTGTTCGAGTATAAAAATCACGAGAATCGATGTGATCAATGAGATATACATGATCTAGAAATAGTTCAATACCCACTAAAATTAATAATTTATTTCAAATGAAAGAAAAGCACGTCAATATTGATTTGTATTATTAGTCAATGAGCGAATGGAAAAGACGAGATCACAGAAGAACTAAAAGCGATTGAATAGACGAGATGAATCACGTAGAGAAATGTAAGCATAAATATATCGACGATGATAATAGCGCCAGACAATAGCAAAGATCAAAGCAATGAGAATGCCAATAAGAAGAAAAAGATTTTGACAGATAAAAATTAGAATTTTTAACAAACGTTGTTCTTTCAGTGGTGCAGATGTTTGTAAATGCTGTCCGTAATCATTTAGCTCAGGAATCTACAAGAACAAGCACCGATTGCTCAAAAACGCTTCTTTTTTTGCGTTACAAAGTCTACTCACTAATGTAACAAGCGCTGTATAGAACAATGCACCATAGACAATTGAATAGATATATTCCTTAGGAATGAAAGCACTATCCGAGGTAAACTGTTGATTGATTCCTAGTAGAATTCCGCCAATAACATAGCCGAGGATGAGGAAAACGACGGAAAAGAATAGAAATGCAAAGCCAAGTTTACGGCCCAGAGATGAGAGAAGATCTAAATGTAGAAAAACAAGTATGTGCATATTCGTATGAGATTCTTTCAACTTACAAGAATGACGTCGAAAGCCTTCACTAAAAATCAGTATCCAAAGGACAAACCCGATCAAACGATCATGTGCTAATGCTGTTGATAAGCCACAACCATATATTACATCATTGGAAAAATCATAGACAGCATGATATAATATCAGTTTATTTATTTTATGTTCGTGGTTATGTGAGGCCGGCTGCTCATGTTCACTACTGTTTCCAACAACATGATTTTCAGCTGTTGACTACAAGTTACGAGAAAATTGTTTTAACTGTTCAACTTACATGCTATCATTCAAAAACGTTTGGGATACATACCAATGATTCTACTGGCAAGTCCGAAGGTGTGTGGTGAACATGATCCTGAAAAGCAATTCTCAGCTGTTCGAATAAATTTGTTAAAGATAACTGGTTACTCTTTCGTGAACATGAAGTGTTCCATGCATTCTAGCCATTTGTATCATCGGAGTGTCTGATAACATCGCCTCTTGATCTGTTGCGTGAAAAGATTCATCCAATTGTTTCTAGAATAGAAATCGAACATATTCAATAAGTGTATGTTGGTAATAACAAGGTCCTGACATCATCGACTTTGAACCGAAATCGCAATAACTTTTCCACGATAAAGAAGAGAAAAACGCCACATAGAATGACTGTACCGCGAAGAAGATAAGTATAACTAAAGTCCTCATTTGGTGTTTCATAGATCTGAAATGAGAAACAAAGAAAGCAACCTTACTAAAAATAATCTAAAATCTTCGTATACATGTGGAATCAAATGATAGCTTATTGTACCAAGAATAAGACCGCAAGTAAATGCATTGAATCCCAATCCTAGCCAAATATGATATTTCACAGGTGATAAGCGAACTTCATCCATAGGAGTACAAGTGGGAGGTGTCTGGTTGGACAAGCTTCTCGCCAGGCCTTCCGATGTCAACGCTAACGTATGGTTCCCCGTGACCAAAAATATAATACAATGAACGGCTTTAATGATCACAATACAAATTAAGCCAAAGATCCAAACTGAAAGACAAAAATAATAGCACACAATTGCTCATCATTTTTCGGATAGTTACCGTCGAAGAATTCATAAAGCGATGTAGGAGGCAATTGACGTTTACATCCCGGATTTTCAATGCTGTACAAAACGCCTGGAAGAAGTGTCTCCAGATCATTCGCTGATAAACTCAGATTAGTTGTATTGTAGCCATGAGCGAGAAGAAGATCGGATGCCGTTTCATAACACTACAAATGCAAGAGATAATCGAAAATATCTGCGTGTACTGAAAATCTTACTGATCTCTTCAGATAATCTTCATCGAAATCATTCGATCGTATTTTTTCAACATTAATAGGTGATGAAACAGTATCGGTTGGGCGGTGGTGTCGAAAATCACGCAAGACATCTCGATAGAATTGATCAAACGAGTTGAAATCATGAACGTTTCGATGAACTAAATCCAAATACGATGCATCCAGAGACGCCGATCCAACTAAACATGGACAAACGATTCCTAACACGAACGCTCCCTTCCAAATGACATCCATCTAAATGAAGAATCCGACAACATGAACAAAACAATCCTCGCATATTTCGATTATCAAACAAGTAAAACATTTTGTGTGAACAAACTTTTTTCTCTTCTCATCGATACGCGCAACCAGCCATAAAATGAAATATTACGATGAAGATAAAAATCACAACACACCATATTGAAATACGAATATAATCAAAATATGATTACGGCAAAACACCGCGTTATCTCATTTCGTACTCAAAGGTTGCGGTCAATCGATTCGATCGGAAAATCAAGTCACAGAGTTGACTCGATTTGTCTCTATATTTCTCACACTCGTTTACGTACCGAAAGATTTCAGTTGATATTTTCTTCGTATTTACAAGCATAATGATTCCGTCGGAATCAGAATAACCCGATAAAATACATTTTCCTGACATATCTCAATGCCATTAATTTGTAGTAGCTGAATATGCGATTGTTGATAGGAAGAACAATTTCACCAATCAAGTTTCTTCATTCGTTCTCCATGATGATGTAAATCATTCTCTTTTCGACACATTTTTCATCGTGATTCATCCATACGACAGATGATATAAAATATTCATTTGTTTAACTTTACGAAAGTCTTGCCCATGGATACTGATCAAGCACCGTTTTTGACTACATCGACGCAAGGAATCGACATGATCGAAGGTGATATCACATTACCTTCGAATCGGACCAATTCCAATGAATTGTCAACATTAGATGAGCCAGTTCTAGACACAATAAAACGTTTGTTGTTGATGAAAATGTTTTGCTGTGAAAGATCCACAGTCGAATTTCTTTAGGTGATCTCGGTGCCGTTTTTCGTAAATTTGGTTATGCAGTCATTCCACGTCATTCATCAACACTTCTACAACAATGGGATCTATGGGGTCCACTGATTCTAGTAACAACACTAGCCATTCTTCTGCAAAGTAACGCGACGAAATCAAGTGCAGGTGCACAGTTCGCGGAAGTCTTTACGTTAATGCTGATTGGTTCAATTGCTGTTACCGTACGTCACTCTATTTGATTCGTTTTTGAACCGAGTTGATTTTATTCAGTGCGGACGTCGGTGATAAGAAGAATCTTGTTTGCTAAACAGACGACCTTACGTCACGTGAAACCGAATCTGATTTGTATTCTCAGCAAGTTTCTCGAGTAGATTCATGAATGAATACAAATGCAACCACAACTGTATACTCACAATTTGACACGATTCTTTTACACCATCGATTTTCCATTGAAACTGAAAGAATACATTTCACTGATAAAAATCGAGTAGACGCTCATGAATGCAATCATTTGTTTTATACAAAATAATTCAGATAGTTGTTCCTACGTGCTTATTGATATAAAAATTCGAATGGAATCTCCAAACAAATACTTCTGTTTAGGTTAATTCTCAACTGCTCGGCGGAAAAATATCATTCTTTCAATCTGTTTGTGTTCTTGGTTACTGTTTATTACCATTGCTATTATCAGCATTCGTGAACAATATTCTTCTATACATTCCAACCAAATCGACGATATCTATTTTACATATCATACGTTTTCTTGTCGTCATGGCTGCATACGCGTGGACGATGTATGCAAGTGTTCAGTTTTTAGGTCAAACTCAACAGCCGAATCGCCGTATGCTTGTNATATCATTCTTTCAATCTGTTTGTGTTCTTGGTTACTGTTTATTACCATTGCTATTATCAGCATTCGTGAACAATATTCTTCTATACATTCCAACCAAATCGACGATATCTATTTTACATATCATACGTTTTCTTGTCGTCATGGCTGCATACGCGTGGACGATGTATGCAAGTGTTCAGTTTTTAGGTCAAACTCAACAGCCGAATCGCCGTATGCTTGTACTCTATCCGATATTTTTATTCTATTTTCTCATTGCTTGGTTGATTATACTTCATGCACATCCGAAATAAATCAATGGACAAAAAACGCGAGATTCGTTCGTCGAAAGCTCGAGTGTCAGTCGGACAGAAAAAGATTTCTAATTAACTATGCTGTTGATTTATTTTTCCTATTGACGTATGATCTAATCATTTTGCGATCATAGCACAATGATCTGCATGAAATTAGAATGCAAATCAGGCAATCTTATCTTGTATTTCATCAATACCTTTTGTTTTGCTACGTAAGGGGAAGAAAAGATATCTACATAATAAATCTCAAGTGCAAGATCAAAACAGCCCCACTTTCTATATTGATGCATGTCTTTGAAGTTGCCTCGTGAGATGTATCGAGGTCACCGGATGGTGCTCCTGAATAAGATTCTTCAGGTTGAATGCAAACCAATCGGGAAATGTCAATGTTTCCGAGGAAGATCATTTGTTTGTCACTAATCAAATGAATACTCGATCTATAAAAAGAATTTTTCGGTGTGCATTTACCAATCATTAACACATCTGGATAAATACGAATAATTGAATCTGTCTGCAATCGATAGTCCGCAGCACTGCTATCAACTCGTAAACGACGTGCTCGATTGACTCAAATTAAACCGTCAATAATTAATCTTATTTTCTATTTTTCATTTCGATAAACAAACAAAGCACACTCTCGGAAAAAGAAGAAAAACAAAGAATATATCACGAGTAAAAAAGATACACACACATAGGAGAAACCAAGAAAGTAAACTTTAGAAGCAAAGACGCATACTTGTAGACAAGGGGAAAACGTTATATAGCATGTATATATATGTATATAAGTACATTGAAAGAACAAAGGAAATAAATTGATGTATTTCTAGAATTCGGCAAATTCGCGTGGAAAACGTTCGGTTGAACTGACTGTCAATGGTTGTTCTTCGTATGTTTCGTAGTTTTCTCGATCTGTTCGAGGAATAAATGGTGCTGGAAACGATTTCTGATATATGGCTATGAAATCCATGTCTTTGAACCATCGATGCTCTTTGATGTCTCGTACACCGGGTTTCAAATTACCGTAACGCCGTGTAAGATCAACTTGAAGTAGATTTTTTAGTAAATCTTTCAGGTCGACGGTAAAATGATTTGGAAACCGTACACGACCGGACACGATTTTCTCGTAGATTTGTATTGGCTGATCGGCAAAGAACGGCGGATAACCAGCGCTCATTTCATACTAGATCAATCAATCTCAATGAGATCATTGAACTACGAATAGGCAAAGAAATAACTCACCATCAAAACGCCTAGTGCCCAATAATCAACACCTTTGTTATAACCACGACTGAGAATGATTTCAGGTGCAAGATATTCTAAAAAGAAGATCTCTAATTCTGTGAATGACGCATGTACTGTTTACCTGGTGTTCCACAAAGAGTCCATGTTCGATCTTTTACTCGTTTAGCAAAGCCAAAGTCCGTCTGAAAAACAAATCGAATCAATGGGCTAGTGTCGAGTGATTTCAGTCGAAACAAACCATTTTCAAATAACCGTCTGCAGCAAAAAGAAGATTTTCTGGCTTCAGATCTCGATAAATCTAAAAATTGATCGATGAACATCGACAAAAAACATTGTTTGTCACTTACAACACCCAAATGATGAAGATATTCGAAAGCAAGAACAATTTGTGCGGCATAGAATCGTGTCATGTCTTCTGTATAACGTCCGAACGCTCGTAAATGTGTAAACATTTCACCTCCGGGTGCATATTCAAGTCCCAAATACAGATAAGAATTATCTTTGAATGTATACATTAATTTAACAATAAATGGACATGATAACGCTTGAAGAATCTTCTTTTCTGCTAGAGTATGATCCACCTGTTTCATTTTGACGACGACTTGCTTGTCCAGAATTTTCATCGCGATCTTTTCACCTGCATTTTGCCGGTGTGTTACCAATAGAACGCGACCTAAATACATTCAAACTAGTTTGTAGATAAAGAATGCATACTAAGCTTCAGCTTTCATACCGAATGATCCCGTTCCAATCGTACGTATCAATTCGAAATCTTCCAAGGCGGCGTTTTGTCTCAAGGGATTTTCGATCCTTTCAATGAATTTCTCCTTTTCTTTCTCGAGAAAAGTTTGTATATCGCTTTGACTCCGTTTCACGTTGCTGTCTGTTTGACCCATACTTGTGTACGAATATGTCGAATGCGATGGACTTAGATTTGTTGAACTGTTTCCAACGGATGATGATGTTGTCGAATGAAAACGGAAAAAACTACGTTTGTGTGTATCTGCACTCTTTGGTGCCGCTGGCGTTTTCGACGTTGAACTTGATAATAACGAACTCTTGTTCAAACGAATGTAGGAACGATTGGACAAAGATTCTGACGATGGTGACGAGAGAGTATTTGCTAATGGTGGACTTGTGTATGAGGGTGGAGACTTGGGTGAATCAGGTGTGCTAAAAATAGTAGTAAATTGTGTGTTGCGAAGAAAAGAGTGATATAATTTTCTCTCGAAAGAGTAGAGTGAAAGTTGAACTCGAGCAGGAATCTAACGGTTAATTTTACAATTATCTTCTGTAATATGAAGTATGATAAGATATTTGTGGAGAGCATTTCTCGTGTTCTGTATAATCACATCTGTTTTTAACTCTCAATCGTACACCTCGATTGTTCTCTCAGTGTGACAAGTTTCTCATCATCTTCTACCCTCGAAAGACATGCGCATGATGATCATTTCAATAAACGATATACTCGTCTCTCGATGAGCTGGTTCATAAAAAGAATAAGAATAACTGAAAAGAAACTGACAAAATGGCACTATAATGATGGACGTCAATAGCATCTACACGCATGCCGCACATTATTATGCGTGATAGCAAGATAAGAAGAAAAAAAGAAGACGAAGAGAGAAAACGAGAAACGATGTGCATAGTGCGTGCTTTATTTCTGTTGTCCCTCTTTCATTCGAATCGGCATTATACAACTTAGATGAAGAATGAGTGAAGAGAAGAAGAAGAAGAAGAAAAAAACATATATACAAAAAAATACTGAAAAACGAAAGACGAATGAAATCTATTGCGAGATTTATTTTAACGGTAAACTGCCGATGTATTTTGACTATAGATTTATACATCCATACATTCGAGAAAACCAAATAAAAGCCTGCTGTTTGTTATCTCTATTACTGAAAAGTAAAAAGGATAAATGCTTGATACAGGTTTATAGACTGCCCATAAATTTTTCACTTTTCTCTCTTTGATTGGACAAGAACATTGTCATGGAGTCAATATATATTCGAAAAGAAAGAAAAATTTCTTGTCAATATCATCTAATAATGCAATCGTAACTACGTACATAGGCCATAGAATAGGTTGTTTAACATTGACCGAACATTTTGTTTGGTACATGATTATCAAATAAGAGAAAAAACACAGAAGAAGGCAACAACAAGGAAGGAGGAATGAAATAATAAAACTTTCTCTTTCTTACGAAAGGTAGAATAATAATTATTGAAGATGAGGATGATAATAATAATAATTGTATTGATTATTTCCTAAATAAAACTGATCATCTCATCGAGTTTGCTTTCAATATTGTTATTAGAAAATATCGAGGAAGATACGAGAAGAAGAAGGAGATGAAGAAGATGATGATGAAGATGTTAACAGTTAGTTAGGGAATTCAATAAAGGCAAGACATATTCGTATAACACTCGAGTTTCTCTCTTGAGATTGTCAGCATATCGATGACATAGAAACGAATCATTACACGAACTAAGAACAAAAGACGAGTGACGATCAACTTTATTGTCAAATGCCAGCAACAACGATTAGTCGCAAAATGTCAGAAATTGATAGGAGACAGTCGTCTTTCCGCTTATTTTTCCTCGCTATTTGTTGTCTTATATACATACTAGAGATCCGATGAGACTTTCGAACAATGACACAAGTCGAAACTACCTTGATCAATATTTGTTCCTTTTACGGACAAGAACAACGATTTATAATCAGTGATAAAAAGGGGAAGAATGCGAGTCGTTTCTCTATTTTATTATCGATAATTATTTGAACTTTGAGTATAAGTTGAATTCTCGTTTTTCTTCTATTGGTTTATGATCTTCGGTGATGATAGTTATAAATAAAACCAGCGACGATGATTATTATTCATAAATAATACATAGTGAGAAAAAAAAGGAGGAGAGGAAGATGCAGCCAAAGAATTTCTTTTCGACAAATTATTATTGCCCTTTGGCGATACGTTATATTGAAGCTTATTACAAAAAGATACAAGACAACAAGCATTAGTTCCGACAATGTGCCATCAAAAATGAAGGAAAAGAAAAATAACACCGAGTGCGAATATAGGTTCGATGTTTCGAAACAAGACAACCTTCTTTATTCATATATTGACAGCTAGCATCTTTTTTAGTTGCAGACATTCCTATAGCGAGTATAACAGAATTGTCTATTTTGACAACAATTCGTCCTTCTACTTCATGTTGTCGACATCGTATGTCAAAACATGTATCAAGCAATTCATCAAGTATCGAATCTTAAGAAAGACTTCCTTGTAGCGAGTTGTTTGTTAATCTATTTCACTGGCAACTTACGTCGCATGTCCACCCAATGTCTGCGAAGACACAGTCGAAAAGTTCTGGTTAGAAGTATGACTAGCGATCGCTGATTGAGTAAAATATCTACGGATTTTCTTCATGATCAGTATTCCTAAGAAGTTGCCCAGATGTCAAATGATCGTTCGATCATCTAGAAAAAGAAAGAAGGTAGTTTGTTTTCCTGTGTACAAGATCTTCATGATGATAAGTCTTTTAGCAGCGTTGTCATGTTTGTTTCACGCTGTTGTTAATTCCCATACTGTTATCTTTATATTGTGTGTGCGTGTGTGTACGGACGACGATTTTACCAGCGTTTGTTTATATTGCCATACAGTTTTTTTTTCAACATATATTAATACCATTCCACCATAATTATCGGCAAACGTTAGGAAAGAGAAAAGAAGAAAAGAAATTCAGGAAGAAGAAGACGAAGAGGAAAAAGCATCAGAAGCAAAGCTTACGTCTGAAACCTATCGCTTATTCAATTTGTACCTAAACGGTTTTTAAATATTATCGCGATGCCATTCGTACTTTCTTTGATGTGAAATCAAATCATCAACATAACTAACATTTTACTTCTTTTTTTCTTCTTCTTCTGTCATCGTCATGTGAAAGAACACAGCAAGATACAAAGCGCAACAATAGACGAATAATGAATTCAATCGAGTTCTATTCTTTTCACCGAATTCAATCAAATCTGAAACTAAAATAACTTGCCCGACGTCGACAACATTTGACTATGTCAAGGCAATCACAATGATACATGTTGCTATCTAGATGAAAATACATCTGCACTACATTGGTTTTCCGTCTGCTTTTTATGCGTCTAGTGCTCTCGAGCGTATGGCTATGACCAAGGATATAATATCCGCTTAATATATGATCCTTGTAGAGAGTGAATGACTGGGAGAGAAAAGAGGTTTTGACAAAAATAGATATCGAAGTAGATGTTATTCTGTTGGAAAAACAAAACCTACTTGTATTTTTCAGCTTGACTGAACATCATAGTGTTTGGATTGTTAATTGATTTCTGTTGAAATGCAACTTGCAAGGACACAGTGACTTAGATTCTCAATTTAGGAAACAGACAATCATGGTTAATATGATAAACTAACTCGTAGTTCTTTTGTTTGAAAGTACATCTAATGGGTTTTTGTGTTGATTAAGATAGTCTCTTATCTATCTTCTCCTACTTCGTTCTCTTTTTCATCATCCATAATGCGTATGTGTAAATGAATAAGATTGGTAGTCACGTAAGATGTACATTCATTTCCTCAGATGTGTCTGTAATCAATGGGAAAAGGTGAACAACTTATGCGAGTGGCTTTCGTTGCTTGTGAGTGCATTTTCATCGATTACCTATATGATAAATCGAAATCAACTTATTACAGATGAAACGTGATATCCTGCCGAGTTTATTTAATATATATTAAGAAGCAAAGCAATGTTAGGAATCGTATTTCTACAAATAGATCGACAAGAAAAAGTTAATTAGAAATGAAGTATGTTCGTTTATTTGTAGTTATAGCTGAGAAAGAAATAAAAGAGGGCTTTCATCTTATAAAATAATATGAAAAAAAAAGAAATGCTTCATATATTCTTCTCTCTCCCAATTAGTAGATTAGTTAAAAATATAACTACTCTTCCGGCTTATTGCCCATGAATAGAACGAAGAGAACCGATTTCATCCGCCGCATAAATATCGTTCGCAATCAAAGAATATCAATGCAAGATATATTGTACTTTCAGTAAAACCGATAAAAGAGACGAGTTATTGTAGAATTACGCTGCAACTATTGCTTTAAAGGATATGAAACTCGTCGACATAAAAACGTCGTTACTCTTGATGAGCAATCATGCTACGAAGTACTCTTTAAGATTTTCTAAGAAAATGCGTTTGACCTAGTTTTGGTTCTGCTGCTAACTTTTGGTACAATTGTCGTGTGGTTCACTTGATAAGATCGGTCTTTGATATTAACATCAAGACATTGTTCTCGAAATCGATTGTATCAATGACAGTAACAATTTGCTGCGATTTTCAAGTCGATGTGTTTACATCAGGGGAATGTTTGCGGGTCGCTCCTCTTGCGGATACCTAAAGCACCGGTTGTTTGCTGATGGCGAGAGAATAAATACCTTGTTATCGTTTCCTTCATTGAACACAGTGAATATCATCACATTGTTGTTTGTGAAAAGAATTGAAATCATTCTAAAAGATAAGGATACTTGAAGTTTCTTTATTTCTTTAGCTCCATCATTCTTTGTAATGCAGTTCCGTTTCGAAGTACTGCTTTCATTTTTTTTCTTTTTCGCATTACTGTCCTTGTCACATGTTTACACAAGTGAAAAGCTTTCATAAATACATGCAAGCAATGCAACTATGAATACATTATTTTGCCACATTTGCTCTTTTTTTCGCAATGCTCCAAAAAAAAAATAGTAATTTTTTATTTCGTTCGAAAAATGGTCGAAAAGTTAACTGATGTCACATCTAAGCGGTAAGTAAAACGCATCCCAGGTCGAACAATCCCATACTCGGATCCAATATAGGATTTTATCAGATCCTACAGGAATTTGACGAATCCGAAACATGTATTTCCTGGATTTTCTAAGGGTCATCATAGAACATAACTATAAAGATCGCTCATAAAATTTGCAACAACCGACGGGCTTTTTCTAGTCGGACTCCAATGCAATTCCGTTTCCAGGAATCCGATCGGATTTGTTGGCCTGGGATTAAGTGTAAGTCATCGATAGATATATCAATATAAATTGTCTCGAATATTTTTATGAGTATATTAACTTCAATCGAGTGGGATAGTATATACGTGAATGTTAGCAGTAGAATCTATGTTTTTCTTTCGTCGATTCATACACACGGGAGTACACGATCACCATGAAGCTAGATGTTAAGACCTTATCACCAATGGTAGTTGTCTTTCATTCTTCTCGCTACCGACAAATAACTACTAGCTAGTGGTATATTTTGTAGCGTTTATTTTCTTCAGAACGGAACGCCAAAGTGACACCCCTAGTAGCTCCTCGTTCGATCTGTACATCGATAGTCTCTCTTTACAGACTTGTTGTAACGATAATAATATCGTTCATCTCTTTCTATTGTTTATTCTCTCATCTCTATATCATACTATCTCCGGGTCCTCCCTCGCTTTCCTCTTCTCTATATAAGTACGTGTCTTGTTGTGGAAGAGATACATTCTGGTCATGTAGAGTAGTCATTAAACATCTATACAGTGAGAAGCGGTCAGCTACTCAACCAGTTTGTCGGTACAACGTTCAAAAAGCGGAAGAGGTACATTTTCGTTTTGTCAAGTTCTTCTAGACGTTTCAGTTCAGCGTCCTGAGCAGGAGAGGGTCGAACTTGAAGATCGACTACGATTTTGTTCATGGTGAGCCCTTGTGCCTTATATGTAGTTATTGCGGAGGCAGGTACAATTGGTAGTTGTATTCGTGTAACTTGGATCATTTGTGGAACTTTTTTCTCACCTTGCATACGTTCGAACAGTTGACCGAGGAGTTGCTTGACGGAAACAGTAAATTGCTTTTTGATAAGTGGAATAGGGATTACTTTAGGACGAAGTCCATCAAGGCTTGTTTCTACTTGTGATGTGTTAATTTCTACGAGCATGTATGATGGTTTTCGCATGTAAATCGCATTTGAGGGAAATACTTCGCTTTTTACTTTTAAATCGCTCGGGTCTTCCTGATTATCGTATATGGGCTCTCGAAAGGTTCCTTGAGTACCATTCGAAAGCCCTAGTTCACACGCAATGCTACCGGTGAGAAGCATAGGCATGTTTGGTACCAAAGGTAAGAGACCAGGAAGAAGTTCAGTTTTGTTGTTAGGTACATGGAGGCAAGTTCAAAACCCGTTTGCGAAAGTTAATTACTAATTATTACATAACGAGACATTGAACACAATATTTTATTCATCATATTTATACACTTAGCTATACCCGGTATCATACAAGTTATAAATATTTTTCTGAAAATCGGTATCCTTTGTTAGAGAATGTTTTTCTTAATTCTCAAAAAAGTAACATCAGATTTGTCCTCTCCAATCCCCAAAATCTCTTCGGTAAATTTTTATAAAAAAAACTGATCGGCGTAAATAAAAAAAAAATAGCGCCAGATTCGGATTCCTCGACCTTTAGAACCATTTCGTCAGTCTTTATAAAAAAAAGTTTTATAAAAAATTTCAAAAAAATAATATCAGATTCGAAGTCTTCGCATCGAAATACCTCTGGAAGTGTCTTGTCGGAAAAATCGATTTTCGATGTTTGTTTAACCCTGCGGACATACAAGCAAGCAAACAATTCGTGTTTCTAAGACTCTTCTCTACGAGAAAGAGAATACAGTTTTGGACTTGACTTATGACTTGCTCATCTCTGTATGAAACCGTGCTACCTGTTTCAATTTCTTCTTTGTTTTAGAGCAAAATTGCATTTGCTAGCTCCATGGTTTATCTCCCGATAAACTGAACTTGCGTCCTGATTCGCCTCGATCATTCTCATTTTTCTTGCAAATATAAATTATAATTATCATAATTATTTTCCTACATTTATTCAACCTCAAGACATATCCATTGAACAATGAATGTAATTAATTCTGCAAGTATTCATCGTGTTCATTCCATTCTACTACTCAGGAGAAAATATTGTGTCTTTGCAATCACGCTTTTCGTTATTTGTCTTGTAAGTGTGTTAATGAAATATTCTCAAACTATACCATACAGAGAACAGCTAAGTCGAATGCAAACATTGCTGCGACAAAGAAAAGAAGGAACATTGATTTCGACGAATCAAACTACACAGCTGATATCGTCTTCAACAAGTTCATCGCAGCGAACAGTAGTCACTACAACAACATTACCTGATCCTCGTGCTTCATTGTGTGATAGAACTCTTACGTCAAACAATGTTAACATATCACAAAATCCATGTGAACAGATACGTTGTAGTGTTATTCTACGCAGTAGTGGTGGCCGTCTTGGCAATCGGATGTTTATGTTTGCCAGTGCATACGGTTTAGCCCGTACTCAGAATTGCCGTTTGTACGTTGATAATTCAATTATTCGAGAGCTGTCAGAAAGTTTCCAAATGAAAAAAGTCGACGAAAGAATGTGGCTATCCGAGGCAGGATATAGAAGCTTAACTAATGTTCGACAAAAAATATCTATCTGCAGATTTCTATCAAACTTAGTACGTCCACACGCATTCAAACATATTGAGCTTATTGGCTATTGGCAATCATATTTATATTTTGATGCTTATCGAGAGGAAATTCGAGAAATGTTCTCCGCTAATCCCACTGTATTAGCCAATGTTATCAAATATATAAGAACTCTCGCGAATCGTATCTGTCCATCATGTCCACCATTGAATGCGACTACGCAAAAAGAGCTTCGCTATAGTTTTCAAACACAGCATAATACCACATGGATTGGTATTCATATTCGCCGACGTGATTTTCGTGGTATTGGTTATGCATCAGATGACGCCTATATTCATAATGCAATGACTTACTTTCGACGTCGTTATCATTATCAGCAGATTCGTTTTCTTATCGCAAGTGACGAAAAAGAATACTTTCAGCGTATGTTTTCGAAAGATATCAAACATAAAACAGTCTTCATTCTCCCGGATGGATTTATGCCTGGAGACGATCTGACTGCTCTGACGTTATGTCATCATTCAATTGTAACTGGTGGCACATACAGCTTTTGGAGTGCATATCTTACCGGTGGAGATGTCATACATGATATAAAATATCGAGTTGAATGTACACCGTCAGATTATTTTCCACCATGGTTCGTGTTAGTAGGAACACCAATTGAAAAACCTTTTTATGTCGGATCTTGATGTTATTAACTTGTATTTATTGTCACGATGTATCTAGTACAATTCAAACAAGTTTTAAGAGACTTTATCTTGTTTTTGAAACCTATATATAAGCGTAAAGAGATTTTTGGCAAGACATAAAAAGATGTAGAAAAAGAAAAAGGAAAAAAACGATATTACTAAAATTATTAAAAGGCGTGAAGGACTCAGAAACTGCATGGAATGTTTTGAAAAAGAAAGAAAAAAAAACATTGCACAGTTATTTCATTACGGTGGGATACATAATCAGAGTAGCCAAGAGAACTATTGAACTTAAAACAAAAAGTTTATCAGCTAAACTACTGGCTATGACTGGAAAACCCATACGATCCATCGGGTTCGAATCTGCTCTTGGTGGCTAAACATAGTTTAGAACAGATGAAAGTTATGAAATAATTGACGATACATACAACAACATTCTCAGACCATCTTTCATAACATCTTGGGCAACTTAGATGTCCTAGTTCAATCCGACGTTGGATACATTCTACACAAAATATGTCCTTGTGTACACATGGAATAAGTGGAATGCTCATTGTTGGACGACGACGGCATATTCCACATTCACTTTCAATACTTTCTGGCCACGGTGCACGACATTTAGGGCAACTTAGCCCACCAGTTGAAAGCCAATTTTGGACGCATGATTTACAAAATGTTTCGTTGTGTGCACAGGGAATGGCTAGAATGTAAACTGATGGTCCATCCAAGCAAACTTCACAACTGTGTTGTTCAGTGTCCATGAAATTACTAAATAGGAAAATTCCACGCTAGAGTATTAATATCTATCTAATATGTCTTTACCTTTTATCACTGGCGGTATTTTGTACGTATTATATGACCGTCAGTTATTATGATACACGGCAATGAGTGTTTATATACTATACTAGCACGGCGAAATGACTAAAGCGAAAACAAAACAAGAAAGAAAAAAAAACACCTTTTCGCGAGGCCGGAAAACTCATTCTCTAGTGTGTTTTGCGAATCTATAACACACTCATTGCTTCTGATCGTAGACGTTATTGTAGATGTCAGCAGTGCACGTGTTGACCGAAATAAAATCGAAGTAATTAACTGACGCACACTTGTTTCTTTTATTTAGCTTTTTTTATCTCTCATTGATTATTTATTATCTTTTCCCCAAATGATTAAGGTGAGCATGCAGCCTACGACACATCAATAAGATAAGACATTTGAAATCGGATTTTTATCTAGCATAGAAGATTAAATAACAAGCCTTTTTCTTCATTCGCTTATGTCAAACGGTGGCATATCTAGAGGAAATTATAGCAATAAATAAGTAAACTAAAAGTCTATTATAAACCATGAGGAGCAACAGGTTCAAAAACTGGTAAAATATACATATTCTCCCATACATGTGACAGACACACTGATGCATGAAAACGAAAGAAAATCTGTAAGGGTGTTGCAATAGCAGCAATAATTGACCAAGGAATGACATGATAGAACGCTAGTTGAAATGGATTGGCTTCGTGCTTTGTAGTTGTTGTTGTTTCTTCGAACCATAAGCTAAGGTCAATCATGATTAGCAGTGTGATGATTTCACGTGCAGGATATTGATGTTTATTGGTTCGATTCAGACGTTTGCGTAGAGCCACAAGAATGAAAAATGCATGGACAGTAGCCTCGAGAAATTCTAAAGGAAAAAGACAAGTAGTCAAGTGAACATCGAATGTATGACATACCCAAAACAACAATGACGATTTTCAGATAGGCAATCCATATGGTCGCATGATTTTTATTGTTTAATAGAGCAAAAGCACTAAAGATCGTATATAAATATGTTCCCGTTAACGAAACCACAATTAGAACATCATCGAATCCTAAACAAAAATTTAAATTAATTTGCATGATTCTTTAACATTCTCATACGTGATGTTGTCCTTTTGTATTGAAGTTTTCGTATTTTAAACAATGCCCACGTCGTTGCTGACAGAGATACGCATAGAAGGAAGAAGTTAACAATTTCTACAATAGCAATGCTATATAAGATTGTCGTCGGCGTTTTCGGCAGTGGTTTCAATAGGCTCGCCATCGTTGTCGTACTAAAACCATGATAGTGATGCCGATGATGTGACGACGAAGTTACCATTGCACTGCGCGAATAAATTCGATGATGTGACTGATGATGAGAATCGCTTGTGTGTATTGCTAATGTTGCCGCAAAATGCGGGTCATCACTGATCTTGTTACGAAAAACTGCGTATAGAATAATTGAGATAACTGTGCACGAAAAGACAATCATTCCAGTAAATAAACCCTTTATAGAAGCGTGACAGTTGACCATGAAAACATTTTTCGAAGAAGCTTTATCCGACATTTTGTACGCAAATGTTTTTCCAATGTTTTCCCAGATAAGGTAGAACAACTGAAAGAAAGACAATAATATCCTCGTCATTAAGTGATCATACTCTACACATACTGTCAAAGACATCAAACTAAATTCAATCGTACATGGATAGAGAAGAGGTTTCAATTTCATGTAGCCAACATTAATCAGAGCAGCCATTTGCACAGCATCTTCGATCGATTGAATGCAATTCGTTGGATTCGTAGATGGCCCATGATGTACGTTGTGTGCTGATTTGAGCGTACCTAGTAGCGCATAAGAAAAAGCGAAGATAGTTCAAAGAACGTCTATCTACCATTGAGTGGTTGGGTAATGCTTGAAAATGTTGTTATTGATACTTCATGACTGCTCATTTCAGTTATTTGTAGTTTGGTTTCAATAACAACCATGCGAAACCTAATGATATTGAAAACATTATTCCTATCATATGTCAGAACCGATAATTCACATACCAAACACATAAGTTCGTGACAACAATGTGCATAACGGCTAATCTAGCAAGACTTTCGTGTGCTCGAATGATTAACTAAATACAAAATCTCATCTTGGTGATAGGAACTGAATTCTTACATTAGAATGCTTGAAAATAAAGAAGAATTGAATGAAACTAAATAGTAATCTGGAAATATCATCCATGACAGCTGTCCATCGAACACACGGAATGTTCTCTAAGTTACTTAGGATTGATAAACCTGAATGTATCACTGTTCCAAGACAAAAGACTAAAGTAATTCAATAGTAACAAACGAACTATCTTCATAAATTCGATCTCACTTCCTATTCCAACACGAATATAAAGACCACCAGCGGTGGAATGATCATCATAGTTATAGCCGATAACACGTTGCACGATACTATCTTTCCTATGGCGTACGTAGGTTCGTAAGTGTTGTATGGCATTCGGATCCAGCGCCCGTCGTCTAGTTGAAAAATCTCGTGTTGTATCCGCTCGACTTCTCATGATTACGGACGATTTCGTTGATACATCGTCTAACGATTGAGATTTACTGTGAGGATGACGAAACGTTGGAGAGCCATCGTCATCGTCCTCGTTGACCTTAGTAGTTGAAACTGTCCCATGTAGTTGATTCCCATTCGAACGGTCATTTTCATCGTTCGATTCGAACTCGTCGGAATCGTCAAATAATTGCAAATTAAAATATGGCGTCGATGACAATCTTGTTGGTTCTTCTTTTGCTAACATTGGCATAAATGCGTTTCCAGGTAAATGTAGATTCACACTACTTTTCGGCAAATGTGGTATTTCCATTTTATTAATGGCTGAAGTGTTGATTGGTATCTTACGGCGATGACGAACGATATCAAACATGCAGAATATAATCCAAAAGATCGATACCCAATAGAGATAGGTAAAGTAAACCTATGATCAAGATAAAACAACAAGGTAGAATTGATAGGAGAGGTTTGACAAAGTTTACTTCAGCTAAAAGTTTGATATTTTCCGCTTCTTCCGCTGGAATAATAGCGTGTGATATTGAGAAGGCCACTCCACCAACGAAGATAACTATGATTAAATTTTAAAAAAGTCAATAGTTCACTGGAAGATCTCGATTCTACTAACCCAAACCATACAAAATGCTGAAGATTTTGTAAACATCTGAATTTTCATCATTGCTTCTAAACGTAAAAGAAAAAACATTGAACTAACTATGAACAAATCTAATCATAAAATGATATACATATATTTTACTTGTCGAATATACCTTCGTAGGACGGTCATCGTTCAAATAATCTTCTGTCCTTTCTCACGTCTCCTTCTCCTCAACTTATTTGACCTTATAGTCATACTTATTAACCGAGATCTAAATGTGTTCATTCAACTTGCACTTTTAGAGAAACTTGACCGGGGACGATGAACAGAGAGATTACTCTTTCTCAGAATGACTTAAGACAATCAACGGATGAAAACGAATACAATACAAACAAGAAAAGAATATTTCGTTGTGTTTACCTCTTATGTTTACGGAGTCTAGATAAGAAATTTTGTTTTTTGGAGTCACCCCTATTCATTGATATTTAATAATCGACTAACGCACACGCGGACCTTTTTTCTTCATCTATATATACATGTATCATTATTTTTTTGTGTACCAATATTTGTCTTCGTAATGTTTTTTGCGAATCGATACCTGAATGAAATCGTAATAGCTGAGAAAACATATTATTTGCTGTTGTTTTTTGAATATATTTTTCTTGCGTATAACTGTCAAACGAAATTAAGACGGAGAATTATACATTCTATTCTTTCGATTAAGTTTTGATTAATAAACGAATATCTTTTGCAGCTAAGTGTCTTTGTGAGTGAAAGGCTAAATCTAACAAATTGATGGCAACTCATGCAACGAGTTTCGGAAAAACCAGGGAGCCGAAACTATTATCATTTCATCAACAAAAATAATCATTCTACTCTATGTGTGAGGTTTGGGAAGAAACAAAACCTGAGAAATTACCCATAAAATAGATAATATCACTTTTGCACTTACAGTATATTTTATGATAGTTCATAATATGCCCAATTGGAGCAATTATCTTTAGTTCATCCAACAGCGAGAGACTACAAGTATCTAGTGTTTCTATTGAGTCGGATAAAAAGTGCATTTTTCCGACACAAGGATTGAATCACGCTAAACTAATCGAAACTCAATAGAGAATCAGTCATGGTTGGTTGCGCGTTTTTCTCGCAATTATCGACACATGGTAAATATCTAATGAATCTATAATATACATCATCATTAAATTTGAAATGTATATATCTACATTTGCAAACGAATAACATCAAAGAGCGTTTAATCTAGGCAATCGATGTCTAATAAAAAAACTGTGGTGAGCGGTAAGGTGAATATCAGATTGATATTTATAAATCTCTAAGAAAGATATCTGTACCTGTTATGGAAAAGAAGGTGTGTCCAGTTGGACTTTTTATTCGAAGAAAAGTATCCATGTGAGGTTTGACGCTTTGGCATATGTTGTTTGCGGGCAAAAGGTTCGTCTGATAGGTTATTTTTGAGTTCTTTCAATGCGATCATATCTGGAACGATAATCGCTCGAGAATCTTCCATCATGTGTTCGTCATTGTTTTCGAGTGGCGAGCGAGACCCATCTACACGTGATGCGGTCGATTGCCATTGAGTAGGAGAACGCGATCTCTTGCGAGAAACGTGAGTTGCGGTTGGTAAACTTAATACGGAAGCTGTATGTTCATTATGCTGAGTTGATTGTTCAGTAAACGAAGTAGCACGATGCGGTTTTGAATGATGTAAATTACGGTCAGAAGGTACTCGGAGATAACCAGCTGGAGTATCTGGTGCAGCTAACATACCGAAGAATGTTTTTCAATTTGTTCTTTTTCTAGTACTTGAATCATATGACGTGAGGGTGTTTTTTATATTGATTTGTGTCCATAATGGATACTAAATGGTTGAATGCAATATATGTTACCTTGATTGATGTCTTCAACAACAACGGAGGAAAAAATACATGCTTCGTGTAGTTTTACAATAACATCGATCGTTATGTTTAGCAAAAGAATAGAAACAGATTGATTCACCGTGCTTCGTATTTAGAATTTAGTCAATAAAATTTATTGAAGTTAAATTAACCTTAAAGCACTTTTGTGCTTCACTTGAATCACATAATGTCATTGTCTTACCTTGACAAGAAATCTTCCCATCAATTGTTTTGCGAATTTACGCGAAAATAACCATAGCATTCGAAGAAGAAATCTTCTCAGCTTGAACGAAAAAGAATAATGGCACTGTATGTATAGCAAACATTACGCATTTATAAGTTGAAACAAGTGTAGAATATTAAGATTTGCATTCATATGTAGAATACATTCCTCATTAATTCACATTCGATCTCGCATTTCTTATAGTTCGTACTGCTGTTCTATGTATACTCATGTCTGATACTATCCTGTGGTGTATTCACAGTTGTCGCTAGTACACTATTTTGTGTATATACGAAATATTCTATCCAATAAGATAACAGACAAGACAAGAATAGTAGAAAATCGTCCATGATAACAGATCGATCTATATATCCATCTTGCTTTCACACTTATTTACTTGAATAGAATGTTTTCCGATGATGGTTTTTTAAGTGAAAAATTCTCCGATCAAAGCCCGAGTCAGACGCATATTTTTACATCATTTCCAAATTCAGCAGTAGATCCCGATAATGATGATTTCTCAGCAGATAATAAACCAGCTAACAATCTATCATATGAATATAATCCATCGAATTCTCAACCATCGTCTCTACCATTACCTGCAACTGCGAATACTTCCAAAGATGAACAATTTCATATTTGGCAATTAGAATATTATCAAGCCTATTTTCAAATCGATACACAGCAAGTTATCGAACGTTTATTATGTTCAATGACACCACGTCCGAATAAATCCTATTTCGATTCCACTATTCGGCAAAATCCCGATTTGTACGGACCATTTTGGGTCTGCATCACCTTTATAATAACTGTTGCCGTCAGTGGCAACATTCTCACGTATTTTTATGTTCCTGATGCAGATTTTCAAATTGATTTTTCCAAAATAACTCTCTCTGCTATTGTAAGAACGTGCAAACGGCGTGATTTTTAGTTTTGATAAGAACTTTCTTTCTAGTTCATTTGCTTTTACTGGTGGTTTATGCCGACATGTATTTATTTTTTCTTCCGATGGCATTTGAAACGCATTGAATATACATTCGTTGAATTACTCTGTATCTACGGTTACAGCTTAACAACATTTATTCCAATTTCAATCCTGTGGATGATTCCCATATCTTGGCTACAGTGGCTATTAACTATAATAGGTTCAGTGACCAGCGGAAGTGTTCTAATTGTAACATTTTGGCCGACAACTAATTCCGATAAAAAACGTTTCAATGCTCTATCAATGTTATTGATGTTTTTCCTGCATTTAGCAATGGCTGTTGGTATTATGCTAGTCTTTTTCCATGTGTCAGATAGAAATATTCCTACAAGGAAACCAACAACGTTATTAACTACAATGATTTCATCAGCGAAGAATAAAATTTAATCGTGTAGATTGATGATTCTTATAACTGGTGTTATCGTTTTAAAATTAGAATATAAGATTTGGTTATTTGATAAAGCTGATTTGACTATGATCGGAATTCCTTTTTTAGATCAGAATACACGATGCCACCAAAAAAGAAAGAAGAAGCTAAACCAAAGCCACTTATTGGTCGTGTTGGTACTAATCTGAAGATGGGTATCGTCGGTTTACCCAATGCTGGGTTAGTCTTTTGCTCTTTAGTGAAAGCGACATAGCTGATTTTGTTTTAGAAAATCAACTTTCTTCAACATATTAACAAAATCAAGTGTACCTGCAGAAAACTTCCCTTTTTGTACAATCAATCCAAATGAAAGTAATGGAACCTTAGTCTTCCCGTACGATCGAATTCAATAATGATTGTTTAGGTCGAGTACCTGTGCCCGATTCAAGATTCGATTTTTTGTGCAAACATTATGAACCATTAAGGTATTCGTTTAATGAACCAACTCCATCATTCATTTTCTCTTCTATTCTAGTAAACAACCGGCATATCTCAATGTAATCGATGCAGATAGATTTTTCTTTCTATTCGATTGTATTTGTTTTCAATTTAGGTGGTGGACATTGCTGGCTTAGTTAAAGGTGCAAGTGAAGGTCAAGGTATGTGCGGGTTCGATTGTATTAGACATCTAACTCTTAGCTTCTGTTAGGTCTTGGTAATGCTTTTCTTTCACATATAAAAGCATGTGATGGTATTTTTCATATGGTCCGAATTTTTGATGAACCTGATATAGCTCATGTGGAAGGAAATGTCGATCCGATTCGCGATATTGAAATTATTCACGATGAATTGAGGTTTGATTGTGTGTAGAACGAAAGAAAATGACGTGCATTGTTTTCATTCAGATTGAAAGATGTTGAAATTGTCAAAAAAGTACATGAAGATTTAGAAAAGAAAGTCGTCCGTGGAAATGATAAAACGTTGAAGGTCGACTATGTATGTTTGAAAGTATTGCCATTGATTTGTACATGTATTCTATTGTTCTCTCTAGGAAACAATTAGTAAAGTAATGAATATGATAAAAGAAGAAAAGGGTAGTGTTCGATTCAATGATTGGAACGAAAAAGAAATCGAAGTATTGAATAAACATTTGTTGAATACCTCGAAACCCATGGTTTATCTATTAAACATGTCGGAAGAAGATTACATTAAGAAGAAGAACAAATGGTTAGGTAAAGTGAAACAATGGATTGATGAACACGATCCAGGTGCTACTGTTATCCCGTTCAGTGCAAATTACGAATATCGTCTTGTTGATTTAACTGATGATGAACGTGAAAAGACTGTTAAGGAATCCGGAGCACCAAGGTTAGTATTAACGAATGTGATAAGAATGACCTTCTGAAGAGATTTTTCTCTTGTTATAGTGCATTGGAAAAAATCATTCTTGCTGGTTATCGCGCTTTGCAATTGTGTTACTTTTTCACCTGCGGAAAAGACGAAGTCAAAGCATGGACTATTCAAGTTGCAACAAAAGCGCCACAAGCAGCTGGACGTATTCATACAGATTTCGAGAAAGGTTTCGTTATGGCTGAAGTGATGAAATTCGATGATTTCAAAGAATGCGGAAATGAAAATGCTGTGAAAGTAGGAGAACTTGTTTCGGATTGATAGATAAATCTAATCGTGATTTTTCTAGGCGGAAGGAAAATATCGTCAACAAGGAAAGAACTATACTGTCGAAGACGGAGATATTATTTACTTTAAAACCAATACAGGCGGTGGTTTAAATGCAGCGAAGAAATAGACATGATAACCAGCTTTGTTTTCGTTTTCTTTTTTGCATTGTTATATCATTTTCTTTTTTGATCCGTTGTTTATTATCGGTTTGAGGAGTTTACCCATCTCTCTTCTAGATATGTCGTGGAATTCAGGTGACTTCTATAATCAACAGTACATAGGGCTGACCTCATATGAACTTCAAGAACAATATGCAAATGGCAATTTCATGCCCTCCTCGTTTCAATTCAATTCTCAACAATTCTACTCTCCGAATGAATATTTATCACCGACAGTTTCCTCAACGCTCGATGAAATCGAAAATACGGAACCACCTCTGTTAGAAGAATTAGGTATCAATTTTGAACATATCTATAAGAAAACCAAATCTATCTTGAATCCATTTGCTACACCTGATTCCTCCATTCTCGACGATGTCGATCTAGCTGGCCCATTAGTATTTTGTCTTGCCTTTGCATTTAGTCTTTTACTATTAGGTAAAATTCATTTCGGCTATGTCTACGGTATCGTAACATTAGGCACCGTCGGGATGTACGCATTGTTAAATCTTATGGCATCATCAGATAAACCATGTTCAGGTATATATACAACTAGTGTCCTCGGCTATTGCCTTCTACCAATGGTTATTCTTTCGTTTGCATCATTTGTGTTTCGTTTCAACGGCTTTTTTGGAATGACCATTGCTATCATATTTATACTTTGGTCTTCGATATCAGCATCGAAATTATTCGCAGCGTCCTTAGCGATGATCGGGCAACAGTTACTTGTTGCTTATCCTTGTGCTTTATTTTATGGCGTCTTTGCTTTATTAACAATGTTTTAAAACAAAAAAAGAATGAATGAATAAATGTGTGTATGTATGTGTTTTTATCAGTATTATTCTTCAACGATCGGCACTTGTTGCAGCTAATGTTGAATCAGATAAAGATTTTTGCATAGGAGATCTAAATTTCAATTGTTTTTTCAATAAAGTGGCTGCTAAACTATCTCTCTTAGCTGCACGTTTATTGATTATTGGTCGACAATCGATTAATTTCATAATAGTTGAATCTTTTTGAACGATATTGAGAAATTCACTTTTCGTGACACTACTGAAAAGTTCATCGCTATCCAAGTCCTCTTGGTTTGATAAGAACAACTGTTTCACACGATCAATGGCATCTTCGTATGTTTCAACTCGTGCCATGTCAATGTCGGATAGTCCATAAAGTGCCTTAACGATACTTTCCAATTCATAAACGTCAAGTTGATGGTCACCATCTTTGAACAGCAAGAAAGAGAAATCAAGATGTAAGGATACAATTTCGATTATTTACCTCGATCGCACAAATCAAATGCCCATCGGATTTTTTCAGTAGGGGGCGCTTTGGTCGTATAGTACAATCCAGTTATAAATTCTTCGAAATCGACCGTTTCATCTCGATTTGTATCATACGCATTGAAGACATATTTAGCGAAATCTTCCGGCGCACCGTTATGAAATAACGTTTGATAGAATTTTTCGAAATCGGCCAATGTAAGATAGCCTTTCGGCGTGTATTTGAGAAAATCATAGTAAAAGTATTGAATTTCATCAGGCAAGAATGCCGTTGCACTTGTGATACGACGAAGAACGACTTGTTCAAGCGGCGGTGCTGATGAATATCGACTCTTCTTTTGGCCCATTCGAACAATGACAAAAGCGTACGCAGAATGAATTGATGAGCGCATCATGTTTTGTCTTAATAACATATTCCATAGAAAAATATACGAATTAATTCATCATCTGTTACATTAATTTGGCCTTGTTCGCTTGCTTACGTATTTCTTTTTTTGGCAGGGTTAGTCATCGGTTTACCTGTTATCAATAATTTGCCAATTTTTGTTTTGAATGACTATGAAAGGAGAGATAAGTGTAACAATACGAAGATTACCTTAAATGGTCAAACGGAAATCATTCAAACCAGCTATATAAACTGTTAGATGTCGAAAACAAAATTATTCTACTATTTTCAACAGAATCCAATAAAATGTCGTTCAATTCAGTTGATCAAGCAAGTCCTATTGTTATTGACAATGGTACTGGTATGATTAAAGCAGGTTTCGGCGGAGAAGATGCTCCGCGTGCTGTGTTTCCAGCAGTTGTTGGTCGTCCACGTTACAATATCGTGATGAATGGTATGCATCAAAAGGATGCGTTCGTTGGCGATGAAGCTTTGGCAAAACGAGGCATTCTCTCACTTCAATATCCGATTGAACATGGTATTGTTGGTAACTGGAATGATATGGAAAAAATTTGGCATCATACATTCTACAATGAACTTCGTGTAGCACCCGAGGAACATCCTGTACTAATTACAGAAGCACCATTAAATCCAAAGTCAAACCGAGAGAAGATGACACAAATTCTCTTCGAACAATTCAACACACCAGGTATGTATGCTTCGATGACATTCTTCCGTTAATAAAACTAGAACATCTATGATCTGGGTTTTTTTAAGCGATGTATGTGGCAATTCAAGCGGTATTATCACTCTATGCATCAGGTCGAACAACCGGTATTGTACTGGATTCTGGTGATGGCGTTACACATACAGTGCCAATATATGAAGGATATGCTTTACCACATGCAATCGGTCGTATAGATCTAGCTGGACGAGATCTCACTCACTGGATGGGTCGTCTGTTGACTGAACGTGGCTATGCATTTACATCCACAGCTGAACGGGAAATTGTCAGAGATATCAAAGAAAAACTTTGCTATGTTGCAACTGATTTCAATGAAGAACAAGCCAGTGCAATCTCATCAAACAACATTGAGACGAACTATGAATTGCCAGATGGACAAACCATAACCATCGGTTCTGAACGCTTTCGTTGTCCCGAAGCACTCTTTGATCCATCGATGCTTGGTCTAGAAAGTGAAGGTATTCACCAATTGATTTACAAAACAATTATGAAATGTGATATTGATGTACGAAAAGAATTATATGGCAATGTAGTTCTATCTGGAGGTAATAGAAATGATTTCCATAGAATTCATTGTTCTAGTTTCTTTTTTTCTTATTAAAGGTACAACAATGTATTCTGGCATAGCTGATCGACTTGAAAAAGATCTCAAAGGATTGGTTCCATCGAATATGAAAGTCAAGATCATCGCTCCACCCGAACGAAAGTATGCTGTTTGGATCGGCGGTTCAATTCTAAGTTCATTGCAAACGTTCGATGCAATGTGGATCAGCAAACGAGAATACGACGAGTCAGGTCCATCGATTGTGCACAGAAAATGCTTCTAAATTTCTTTTGATGATGTTATTTTGATAAATATTCTTGAAATAAAATACTTGCTTGTAAATTAAACAAAAACTACCTTGAAATTACATGCTATCGTATTGATTCAATTCTAAATTTCATTTAAATAATCAAGTTTGTCTAGCGCTTCAAAGTACTTTCCCGTCTCAAAAAACATGATACTTCACTTCACGTCAATGTTATTCCATTAAATACATCATTATTTATCTTTCCTCTCGGAAATTTTATACAACGTTAGATAATTTATTCGGTGTAATCTGATCGATCGTTGTGTTATCATGGTCTTCGAACAGATAACATTCAGTATTGATTAATCCAAGTGCATTTGTCTACTATGTAAATGTATATGATATATTTCTAATTGTAATCACATGTGAGCAGATTTCTTTACTTAGTTGGCTTCGAATAACATATTGCGGCTTTTTTTTCGAGATTGTTTACCAATTGTATTTGAAATGTTCGCGGTATAATGAATTCGAAAGAGATTTCTCTTCATGTTAGTCTTCGCGAGAAGAATTTGCATATACGATTAAGCCTGTTTTGTAAGCAAACACAACTTCGAATTTGTTTATCGCATTAAAACACATCAGTTAGTCGGAGTTCTTGGTTTTTTTTTCTTGCTAATAATTCTTTTCGTGTAAACAGAAAAAGAACACGATCGAAATATATATATATATACGTATATATAAAATGTACAATCAGCAAATAGATGATCATATATCTAAAGGCTACACCGAAGAAGAGAGAAAAGAAAAACAACAAAAGGAAAGAAAACTGTAGCGCCCACTGTATGACGACTTATTTACATAATAAAAAGAATAGAAAGATTAATTACTAGCCGTTTATTTGATATCGCTTTCAGCTGAAACGGTATTTAGATTTTGTTTTAAGGATGTTAGTTGTCTATCAGTGTCGTATGCTATAGACATATTCGCATCTAAATTCAACGATCTTTTTGCTTGACAACGCCGAAGTACCTCATTGAGACAAGCATCTTCACCAGAAATCACATGTCTACAAAAGAAATTAGATATAAAGATCATGCCCGTTCTCATTTTTCTGTTTATATTTACTCTCGCTTTAAATGCTGTCTCATCAACATGCGCGATTTACATCCCACCGAGCAAAAGCAACACACATAGGTATCGAAATCTTGATGATAGACCATGTGGGATGTGAGTTTATCTTTACGAAAAAAGAAACGCCCACAAATATTGCATCCATAACGAACTTGTCGATCATGTATTGATGTCTTGTGACGCATCATTGTATGAACACTGCTGAATATTTTGTTACCTAAAGACGATATCGGGCATATGTGATGATTTTCGTAAAGAAGAGAGAAGGAAAAAGTTTCATACAAATTGGACAAGCTGCTTTCAAATCCATTCGTGTGTTCAAGACTTCCTCCTGAAAGAAATGAACAGAAATATAAATGAGATTGTCGTTTTTCTGTCACTACCATATTTTCTTGTAGAGGATCGAATGATGATTGCGTTGTAGGAGATAGATGAGAATCATAATTCTCAAGCACCTAGACGAAAAAAACAAGCGTCAGCAAATAGAACAATGAGTTCTGTGCTTTTCTTATGGAATCATTCGATGAAGAATCTCCTGACGACTATAATAGATTTGAAGACAAATCTAGAAAATACGATGATCATCGTTTACTTTCTTCTTAAACGCCAATCAACGTATCTATTCTTATGAGTGGACTGGTTTCTCATATAGATTTTCGTCATTCATGTCATAAAAAATGATTTACATTAACTGTTGCATCAGATGTGCACAGGCCATTGTTAGCATGTTCTTGTCCAGATAATAAACTATCAAATGTTTCATGACATTGAGTGCATTTGAAATGTGTCGGTCCTGTCGGTGATGAAGCTTGCGAGTCTGTAAATGCGATAAGCATTGGATGACGGCGAATCGTGGCAACTGGTTTACTAGTTTCATTTTCCTGAATGAGCGCAAGTGCTGGAGATAAGGGTTCATTGCTAACAGGTTTTAGATTGGTCATTTGTTGAGGATGATGACTTTGTTGTCGATTGTGTTCCTGATTATCAGTTGAGTAAGATAAACAACCGTTAGCCGACGGTGAGAACGATGCTGGCCATAAACTACTTGAATAAATAAAGTTAGGTACAACACTTTTGTCTGGCGATAAAACACCCTCGATATCTTCTAAACAGCGTGATTCATCACTAGACAGTTCGATATCACTTTCAGCACGAGTCGAGTCAACGGTCATTAATTCTAGAAAACACACAGAATGAGAATGGTAAAGGCATACTGAGATGTTTCGAGATCAAAAATCGACAAACCTGGACTATCTTCGTAAGTCTTGAGTTGTATTGTTTGCCAGTTCGAAGTCATATTCGATGAATGTGAACGATTGGACAGAAAAGCTGTCGTTGTCGGAATCACGGATATCGGTTGGTCAATCATTAATATTCTCTGTCGTTTTGATATTGATTCTTGTGAATGCTGCTGTTGCTGATGTTGTTGTTGTTGTTGTTTCAGATCGTTTTTGAGCAATAGCATTGGGGTAGCTGGGGGAGAACTTGTTTCGACATGTGTCGTTTCACGAATATTGAGTTCAGCTGAAAATGATCGTCCACATGGACACGTAAAACGTTGCCCATTATTGAATTTTGGTGTCAGTACGCATTGAGCAGGTGTTGAGGCTAAAAACAAAGTCGAAATCTTACATAATCCGATAGCTTAAAGACATGAAAGAGGACTGTAATTTCTCAACCATATTAGCAGAAGATGACGAAATTTCGGAAGTACACAAAAACTATTCCTTATTTCCTAGCTGAACTAATTTTTTCGACGGAATATAAAGTTTCCCATACATCGCAAATTAACATACATAAACCTGAAACTCGATATCTGGAAATTTCTCCATCAAGCCAGTTAATTAATGATACAAGTTGGTCAGATTTCGTCTGTTCAAAAGCTTTAGTTATAATCGCTTGAATATCGCCGAATTCCATCTGATTTTTCTTCCTTTCCGTTATTTCTTTTCAGGCTAAAATAGAAGAGATATAATTTCAACGCACAAGCATTTTGCTTATGTTTTCTGAGTCAAAATCCACAATAATCATGATGTTTTTTTCTTACTCGAAAAATAATATATTCTAAATATAAATACACACATATATGGCGCCACATATCACCGAAATCATTCGAACATGTGGCGCATCTTATTGTTGATTGGTCGATGTAAACGACACAAAGATACACTGAGATAGAAAACAAATAACAAATAACATCACTTGCAGGAGAGGGCGAAAATGATGTTGATGGTTCAATGCACTTACGCATCAGCTGAGTGTTTTTTTTCTCTCGTTTCTTTTTTTCAGATCACTTTTTTCTTCTCTCCTAATAGTCATTGATGAGAACGATGAATAATTATCAATAAAAAATAAATAAAGAGAAAAGAAAAACTTCGAATCAAAAATCTTCTTCTCATCGACTTTTGATTCTTCTTTTTCCCCTTAATTAAACAAGAATGGAATTACGCGTCGGTCACAAATATCGACTTGGACGAAAAATTGGTTCAGGCTCATTTGGTGATATCTATTTGGGTACCAATATCGCTTCGAACGAAGAAGTGGCAATCAAATTGGAATGCATTCGAACGAAACATCCTCAACTACATATCGAGTCGAAAATCTATCGGATGATGCAAGGTGGTGTGGGGATTCCTCTAATAAAATGGTGCGGTGCTGAAGGAGATTATAACGTTCTCGTAATGGACCTACTTGGACCATCACTTGAAGATCTATTCAATTTCTGTTCGAGGAAATTTTCGCTCAAAACTGTCCTTTTGCTGGCCGATCAAATGGTATGATTTGAAATAAGTTTCCTACACACTCTATTTCTTCTGCTTTTTCAGGTTAGTCGTATTGATTTCATTCATTCGAAGAATTTCATTCATCGAGATATAAAACCTGGTAAATAAGCCTTTCTAGAACAGAATCGCAATCAATTTTACACGAATTTGCACATGTTCCGTTCGTTTCCTTTCTTTTCTTCATTAGACAACTTTTTAATGGGCCTTGGTCGAAAGGGCAATCTGGTGTACATTATTGATTTTGGTCTGGCGAAAAAATACCGAGATGCACGCACACATCAACATATACCTTATCGAGAAAATAAAAATTTAACCGGAACAGCACGTTATGCTTCAATCAACACACATCTCGGCATTGGTTTGTTTTCTTAGCTTGTTTTTTAATGATGAGACTGTCTCAGCATAGGTTAATTAGTCATAGACGATTTCTATCTTCTACATATGATACAATTCTTTCTCATGAGGAAAAATCTTTACCCTCTCTCTATTTCTGATAAGTATCTCGAAGAAGGCGAACGATATCAGAGTTTAATCATGCCTGGAAAATATCGATGAAGTTTGTTCACTCTTTCGTAATCATCATCGTTTCGTTCGTGAAAATAGGTAAAAGAATGACCTTACGTAAAAGAAATAACATTGTATGTCAAGGAAAATCATATTGAGATTGACTTTGACATCGAAAGTATTCAATTAGGTTAAATCGATGTTGAATAAGATAATTGAAACTTTATCGAAACACTTGCTACAAGTGTAAACGTAGTTACAAACGATAAATTCTGTAAAAGTTTTAAACAATTGAGTAGCGTTTCGTCTAACTGTAAAACAGCCTCTCATTTAGATAGTTGTTGAAGTATCCTCATCTTTCAATGAACCCGAACAGTTCTGTTATCCTTGAGCTTCGACATGAACGGTTCCTATTAGAAGGAAAATAGATGTCGAATATTTCATCGATCACGTCAAAGTGAAAATAATAGACATGCACGAAAGTATATATTGAACTAATTTACACTAGAAATGAAAGGTTACATTATCGTAAACTTTCTAACATGGGTCGTTGGTTTTGGCAAGGTTATTTCTAGATCGATATTTCAATGCCTTGCAGTTGCGAAGTTCAGAGTACTACAAATGACATTTCAAAGATAAGAAATAGAAAAGTTTCTCGATTGAACTCGAAATAACAATACTTGTAATCAATTATTCTTCTGAATAGCTAAACTTCATTGCATGTTGATTGAAGAAAGAAGGAAATACTTCAACTTGTTATCTTGATGTTATTGACATCCAAATGTTCTAGTTTTTCAGCTCTAACCGACTACGTCATTGTACACTGTTCAGATAGAACCTATGTCGAATTGCTATATATTTGTCTTTTGTTCATAGAACAAAGCCGGCGAGATGATATGGAATCCCTTGGGTACGTGCTGATGTACTTCAATCGTGGTAGTCTTCCAGTATGAATATTGTTTGATGATAGAAATAGAAAATCAAGACGATGCTTGTCTTTCTAGTGGCAAGGTTTGAAAGCTGCAACAAAACGTCAGAAATATGAACGTATAAGCGAAAAGAAAATGTCAACACCAGTCGAAGAATTATGTAAAGGATTCCCTGGTAAGAAAGACGATGGGTTTACGATTGAAATTAATCCTTACTTTGCTTGTTTGTATTTTAGCTGAGTTTACAACTTATCTTTCTTACTGTCGTTCGTTACGTTTTGATGATAAACCAGATTATTCGTATGTTTTCAACTGGACTTTTTCCTCGAAAACCATTTCTCGTTCTTCTTCTTAGTTATCTACGACAACTATTTCGTAATTTATTTCATCGGCAAGGTTTCACATACGATTACATATTCGACTGGAATATGCTTAAATTTGTATGACTTTTATTTGTCCGAAGATGTTTCCTTCAACGTGCGTTTCATTCTAGAGCGGTCAACGCTTTGATACGAACAGTGCTAATGAAGGTTCAGCTAATAAGATCGAAACCAATGGATTCTCAGCACCAGCCCCAGGCGCTCAACCCATCTACAATAATAACAATCAAGGTGAGTTGAAACGAATGACGGAATCGGATTTGATTTCGACGAGACATTTTCCTTCATGTCATAAAACTGATTATAAAAGTAAATTTTCCTAATAAGAATAGAAAGTCTCGATATAAATGGTCGGCCCACCTTCGGTCCATCGTTAAGTATAAATGACGATAACGGATACGTGACTAACAAAAAACTCGATAATGATGACAACGGGCATATGACTAATAACAAGAGCGATGACGATGACGATGAAGACGATAAAAAAGTTTACCGCTCATCATCCTACATTCATGATGGAAGAAAACTCTACAAATCGTCGTCCAATATCAACGATGTGAACAAACTTTACAAATCGCCATCGAATCTTCACGATCGACGCAAACTGCATAAATCGTCATCGAATATTAATGATCATAGTAAAAACTCCAGTTTAGCCTACGAACAGTACATGAAAACACCATCCAGTTCCAACGTCTTTAGCCGTCTTATGCATAGTGAGGCGCATGTTCAAATAAACACAAACACTCATCAACAATAAACCGGCTGCTATTCATTATGATAATTTTCTTCTTTTTTTCCTCCCTATCTCATCGCTGCTCTCGCCGCATTAACCGAACAATAACACTTTCAGGCTAAATCAAACACATACGTAGACGCATAGTTACACAGGCATATTTGCATTTTGAAATACAATATGTTTTCTATTCTCTTTAGACCTTACTGAGACTCAACCATCATTGATCAAATCCAGAATAAAATAATTGTAATTAGAATATTAAAAAAAGATACAGAAAGAGAGAAAAAGCTCGACAGAGAGAGAGAGGTAGTGATGTTGAATATTTTATGTGTGTAAAAGCTCTCCTTCGATGATATCCATCACATATAGACACATTACTTACACGCCTTATGCCTTCTTCATTGCTTTTCTTTCGATTCGCTTTATTGCTCTTAAATTTGAATCTATTAAGAGACAATAGTTCATTTAATAATCATGTCCTTTATTTGATTTCAGGCGTATATCGACGAACTCCTAAAGATACACATCAAGTCCAACCGTCACATTCTGCCTCCAATAATTCAAAACAACATTTGCCACCCAATGGTACAGATCGATCATCATCAGCACGCGCCACGAAAAAATAATCCACGTGTGCTTTGATGTGTCTCTTTTTCTGTATCATTTCTCTCTTCTCAGTGTACAGAGCCTGTTCTTAAATAGTTCTTCTTCTCTTCTTTCCGCGTTTTTTGCGTCATTTTCTTGAACTTTTCTTTTATAAAAAAAAATGAAACAAAAAACGAAAAAACCTCTTTCGATAAATTGTATGTTTCTCTATGAAAAACAAAATAATTTTCATCTGCGCGAGCGCTCGACAACCTGTGAACAGTGTGTGCGTAGTCGATCGCAATTCTTCGTTTTTCCTTCTACGATTGTTTCGACAATCAGCATCAACTTTCTTCCATCAATCACATATTCGTGTGTACACCTACGCACACATTTTCACATGTTTTTCTTTTCAATTTTTTGGCAGCGCACAAACATACACGTTCATTTATACATATACGTATACATCATATTACTCTTGGTTTTTTTGGAATTTTTTTGTTCTTCTTGCTCTCTAATTGTTGTACTAAGATGCTGATCGTCGTTCTCTCTTCTTCTTCTTCTCTTGTTTGTTTTACGCTCTCTCTATCTTTATGTGTGCAGTCGAAGTTACACAAATCAACAAAACATTATTCGTTTCTCTCTTTCTCTTTTTTTGTTTTTTGTCCAAAAGATCACATTCATGATGTCAGAAATAAAAGAAAAGCAGTCTATACATAAATCTAATTGGCGTGGCAAAAATAACAACAATATTTCCGCTCGACTCCAATTTTCAACTTTGATGACATGTTTTTTTCAGACAGATGCACTGATTTACTCAAACATGAAATCGACTACTGTAAAATATCACGTTTTCAAACGTGACTTTTACTACGTGATCAACAGATGAATTTAACACTGATTGTATGCTGACGTATTAGAATCTGATGCAAACGAAGATGATTTGCTTAACAATTCGGTCGCTGTACATGTCATATTTTTCAGTCGCAATTCATCATCATTACCTTGAAGAAAGAGGAATGTGAATACATGACGATAGTTTTTTTGCGTCCTTTCTGATTTGTGCAGATAAATTTTTACACTTCGTTTGACGGTATTTGACTCAGGATCACGTCATCAAACGGCTTTCTATGATCCAGCTTTGCATATTCGAAACTGGATCATATAAAAATACATTTCAATTTTCCATTGTCTCAAAATTTTTTAAATGAGTTTCTGGTATGGTATTGAACGGTACATGTTAATTATTAAATTTTCATTATACGCTCATTCGCTTTTTCTCTAGAACATACAATCAATTTCATCGATACGCTCATCAATGGAAAAATCGTCATTTTTCTCAAGCGAATCATTACACTAGTCAATATCCATATCAATATCAATACTATAACCAATAATTTTCACAGATATTTGTTACAGAAATAAACTTGTCGTTGTCACGTCATTACAGCAGCAGTGCGATAGACTATGAGATGGAATAAACGATCGAATTGTTGACTTCTCCGTAGATCAATGTATGCAATTATTCAGATTCGATGACCCAGTCTGGCAGGCTATTGTTGCAAAGAAATTGAATGCATAATCAGACCGTGTTTTTCATACATTTGACTGGAAAAACCTCTGCGACTTGTCATTGACCGAATTATGATGAAGTGAACGTGAATAGAATAGTAGCAAACTTATCAATAAGATAGATTAGTCATCTTTTCCAAAACAAAAAGATTAAGCTCTGTCCTATTGATGACTGTGGCGGGAAGAAGCGAAAACATTCGAATGAAGAAAGCAAAGTTTAGTGGTGAATCATTGCCACAGAGAAGATAATAATAGTATACGAAAGATGTATGCCACGTGCTTCATGGATAGGCGATAGAGAGAAGAAGAAATCGAATGGAGATGGTAAAGAAATCTGTTCGTTCATACAATTCAGATCGAGTGGACAAGAGCACAGCAACGACTAGAATTAACGCAGAAAATACCGACAAAAATGTATGCACGAGGACGAAACAGTGAGTTTTCTATCGATATGGATGAACCTCGTTATTCTATCGAACGAATTCATTTTCAATATCTGTAGACATCAGCATACAATCACAATACAGTGAAGATGAACATGATGAGTAAGTTCAAAGTCGATAGAAGAAATCTAAACTAGTCGATTCTATCGGTTCTAGATCGACAAGTTCAGGCTTTACGTTAGTTATGTTAATTGTACACAATCTCGATCATATGATGCAACCACATGAATGGGAAACACTATTAACACGCGAAATACATGGCGCTAGAGTATGTTTGCAATCCCTAATTTCGAAAATCTTCAAATACGTTTAGATTCTGGGTGTATCCGTTATTCGTGAGCAATCATGTTCACGTCCATGGGGTGAAGGAGAATTGACAGCATATATATTTACTCGACATGATGCTCCACTTATTCGACAATATTTACATAATAGACGGCTCGGTTTCCGACGTTTACATGTAGATGCTGTTGCTAGCGAAGGCGGAATTGAAGTGTTTCTCGTGTAAGTGACAGACAAGAGCGAATTATTTACAGAACAGTTCTGATATGTTCTAGTCATAAAATTCTGCAACTACTAAAACTAAACCCACAAATGTCGGACATCGCTATTGAACAACGTATCAGCAGTTTCTTTCGACGGTTGGTTATCAATGGTGTTTCACTGTCTGCTTAGACAAATGCTTTGTTTTTGTGCTCTCTAGTATTCCAGCTTCTGTACGTCCTCGTGACTATGATCGTGTTTCTGCTATGCGTTTGATAAACGAATGTATGGGTTTGCCAGCTTCGCCACCTGTTACAAGCGAAGACAGTGAAGCGGACGGAGATTCACCCCCACCACATATATCCACTACCTCTGTCCCGCCTGCACCCGCAATATCAATACCACCACAATCGACATTACCTCCGCAACAATCACAACCGCCACAGCACCAACCCCAGCCTCCAGTACAGCAACCTAGTGCAATCCCAATTTCGATACAACCACAACCAGAGCAACAATCCGCCTTCAATCCTCAATTGATAACAATCGATGAACGTACATTACAACTACATTTTACTCCACTTTATTTTGGTAAGAACTATAGCATCATTACGGCGTGCCAAGACACTTTCGTTTCGTTTCTATTTTCAGAGCTTCTAGATGCTATGGCGAATATAAAAAACAACAATGAATACCTACAATTAACAAATCCTGGACTATTCTAAGCAAGGAAGGATCTTTTATACTTGATTTTTTTTATATTTATCTAAACATGGTTATCAGATATCTTTTTTCATTGCCAGTATGTATACCATACAATACTTTTTTTTATTCGTTGTTGTCGCAGTATATTGTATGGTATACTAGTCAGATAAACTTAGAGTCGTTGTTGCCGTGTGTGTTATTGTCTCATCTTTTCTTTTCACAACTCTTTTATTTTTAACAAAAATCTTTTTTATAATCAAACATAAACATCACTGACACAAAGGTAATCTTAACCGCTTTCCTCAACGTTCATCTCTATGAATATTATATAATCAACCGATGTAAAAACGACAAAAGTGAGAACATTGACAATCTACAGCATGTAGATATTAAATTTGACACCATCTTTCGCTTCTATTGTATTGTTCTCTAAGCGACAATCATTTTCCTGTTTGATACAAAAGTACAAAACGACTTATCAGCGTTCTTACTAAAAAAAGAACGAACTGAGTCCGTAAAAGTGATGACATTGATTATATAATCGTTGGAATGAGTCATATCTCGAGTATGATGTATATCCATTTGAGTTTACGAGTCTAGAAAGCAAAACAGCGATGCATTCTTTTTCCTTATGAAATAACTCACTTGTGTAGCATCACAACCATGTGTACTTTTCAATAATCTCACCTTTCACGCTTTTTTTCCTTTCATCCAACTTTATTTTCTCCTTACATGTAAAAGCAGTCGATTATATCACATCTCGACAGAGACAGTACACCATTATATAGACTGTAGTCATCATATCATTTATTGTGGCGACATCTTCGCTGAATAATTCAAACACAAACATGAAACACATTTGAATTCATATCGAAACAGAAAAGAATGGACGTGCACAACAACGATTATTTTCACGAAACAGATGTTTTTCCATATCGTCCTATTAAACCAATATGGATGGTCATTTACACGAGTTTGTCATTTGTATTATTTTCTATCATCAATCAATCAATTAGATCCAAGTACGCGATGGACTGGTTAAAACAAAATACTTTACTTAGTTTCATTCATTCGATGATCTGTTCGATTTTACTTATCCTTGCTGTTATACATGCTCCAGAAATGTTCGAAGATCCTTTATCACATTCAAATATGTTCAATTACTCAATAATCGCATTCAGCATCGGTTATTTTCTTTACGATTTTTACGATTGCTTACAGAATTCCACTTCGTCCATCGTGCCTATTCTATTTCATCATATTGTTGTGATTACATTCCTCAGTCATGTACTTATTCGCACACGTACGATTGGTTATGCGCTCTACGCGCTTTCACTCGAAGCTAACAGTGTGTTTCTACACGCTCGACGACTTGTTCGTTGGTATCCGTCGAGTTTTCATAACTTGAACTTTTTGAAAGCTTTTATTGATATTGGAAATTACATCACGTTTATTCTATTTCGTTTTGGTATTGTGCTTGTTGCATTACGTGCGTTATTGATTCAACGAAATCGATTTGAACCAATCATTCATCTATTTACTGTCATGTCTGTTTGTGCAATTGGAATCTTAAATATTGTTCTGTTCTATCGCTTATTGAAAAATCAAATTAATTCCAAGAAAAAATCGAAAGATGGAAAAGTGATGATTGACAATGATATTCTCATGCCAAGTTAAGAAATCCAATGTAAAGGATAAACGATAATGCTCAGTGGGACAGTTGTAATGTACGAACAAATAAAATTTTCCAAAACGATTGGTGTGAATATTTGCATTTCTCACTTGATCGTGATTGCAAATTTCGAAGTGAAAGAGTTGAATGTCTGATTCTTGCATTCGTCATCTAATACGAAGAAGAGAGACGGGGAGGGGGGGGGGGGCGGTGGGTTGGTCGGGTGCTAAGAAAGGAAANCATATGGATCACTCACACACGAATTACTTTCTACCTTTTGACGCTGCTTCGTATTTCGACTCGGCAGCAGCAGCGGCAGCAGCAACGTACAATCCATATACAGATTTCTATTCACATCCTCAATCAACAACAAGTTCATCAACAACAGCTGCTTCCTATCATCAGATGTATCGAACGCCGCCGACTACTTTAAGACATCCATCAAGTTTCTACTCTGCTACTATGCAAAGTCTGTATACTCCCTTCTTTTTTGTGTTATCGAGTGACGCGCACGTTCAGGTCTTCAATCATCCTATAAGATATTTGGTACATCGCAAAATGATCCCAATTCACCGTCATTTCTCGCATCGTCAACGACTCCGACGGCCTTTTTGCATGATAATAAACGCAAACAACGACGAATACGAACAACGTTCACAAGTTTGCAACTCAGAGAACTAGAGAAATGTTTTCAACAAGTAAGCATAAGATTCCAGCAAGAGCTCGAATCTTACTAATTTATATTTTGAAACAAAATCTTGTGAATCTCGCTTGTTAAATTCTTAGACTCATTATCCGGATGTTTATTTACGTGAAGAAATTTCACTTCGCATCGATTTGACTGAAGCGCGAGTTCAAGTAAGTTGAATCAGCTGTTCGTCCAAGACAGGATCACGTTCTGCAGGTTTGGTTCCAAAATCGTCGAGCAAAATGGCGTAAGCAAGAACGACAAAAACAATCCCTGAAAACCAAAAATACAAACTCTACCACCTCGTCAAAAAGCAATAAGATTGCAATAGTTGATACAAAAAAGCAACGTATGTAACTTATCTATTAAATATGATTTTGATTTCCTTTAACTATATATACGTAATTAGTTTTCTTCTCGAGCATGAAAAGATACGAGAACGTGAAAATGAAAAAAAAAGTTGTTGTCTCATCAATGAGAATAGATACAGTTAATAGAATAGATCATTTCTTCGTAGATAAAGATCTTGCCAATCGATACCCTCCTGGTAGTAGTGACGAAGAAACGAAACGTGCGACATGCTACAACGAACAAAACACAACCTCAACAACATCAACAATGGTTTATTCATCACCGGATGTCAAATATAATTCATTTCAATAAAGTCATAACAGCATTTTTCTCTTTTTCATCTACACATACTTCATTTTCTAGTCTATTGATATTTGTTTAAGTTGTCATTTTCTCTCGTTTTCTCTCTCTCTTCTTCCTTTTTTAAATGTTGTAATTGATATTTGATATTGAATGAAAAGAAAAATTTCATTTCATCCTAAAGAAATTGAAAAGCGAAAGACTGGTTCGATAAAATCTTTCATATCACTAGTCCGATCAATATTATTTCAAATAAGAGGTGACACACTATGAAGAACGTATATGATAATAACAATGTGAACATTTAGAGTATCATATTGATTCATCTGTCTTCGGGAGATAGGCAAGAGAAGAATTCGTTGTATTATTATCATTTTCATTATCATTGAGTTAACCAATTTGGAGAGAAGACAGAGATATTTACATATCTAAGTCGAAGGTAGACGAGAATACTTCAAAAATTGAAGAAAGAGAAAATTATTGTCCATTATATAAGCATTGCTCTTTTCAATAGCGCAATCAAAGCAAATTATAACCAGAAAGGAGTCCTCGTTGTTCTGCCCAGCATATTCGACCATGAAAAAAACCGCATCCTAGTTCGTCCTGTGTAGATACAATAAAAGGTAACAAAATCAATGAACGAAGACAAACGAATGAAAGAAGAAAATTAAAGAATGTAAGGTTCACATGAGCAAGGATGCTTACTTATTAATAAATATGAAACACAAAGGTAGGACAAATAATGATCGATCTGTCATCCTAATCCATTGTACGGATGACAAACATTTGAGCGCATCATTCAGCATGTTGATGATATGCAATTGAGCTTAATTTTATCATCGTGTCAGATGTATTGTCTCCCGTTTTTCTTTTTCTTTTTTGTTTGACACAGAGAGCTGGTTTATGAAAGATATTTATCATATTATATGACAACATTGCTTCAACGTACGTATATATTTAGACGCATCTAAATCGGTGTGTGAATGAAGGGTTAACAGTTAAAGAAGAAGCTTGCGTTTTTCGTGTGGTCAAAAGTATGTCTAAATTAGATTTGTTCGAAGACAAACACGTCATAATTAGAGCATAGTGATGTCTAGTTTTTTTCTCGTTCATTTTACTTCAGTTGTTGTTCATTCCCATGTCCGAAGTTTGTTATAGTTGACGAAGGGAAGTATCTGTTAAATGTTATAGGTAGCAACAGGGGGGAGGGGGAGGAGGGAGAGGGAGGGAAGAAGAAAACGAATGAAGGTGTTCGCTATGCATATCAAAATATATTTGTATGGGTACATACATACGAAGTGTTGAAACAGAGCAAAAAAGAAAAAGAAAAGAATGAATATAAACTCTTGGTATATTTTCATATATAGAGACACATAGGTATATCTGACGTGCATACATCTATATCAATATATATGTATATGTAGTTACGTATTTCAACTATTGATTTCCTTTCTTTTATTAATGAATATCTAAATGAGTTAAAGTTAGTCTGGTTTGCTTTGTTGACAGTGTTTTAATTTGTAATCGAACTTTATTTGATTGCTTTTCAATCATGTTCTGTTCTATTTTAGTTTTTTTACTTTAGACGTTATTACCATCATCCTTAGTAACACTTACTCGATAGTACTAACAGTACAGCTGGCGAAAACGATATATCAACGTCTCAACCAAAGTGATAAATGAAGGATCATTTATATAATATTAACTAACGAATATAAGCATGAAGAGAGACCAAAAAATACAGTATAATGAACAAGCCAAACATATGATATAATCATATTAATACTTGTCGTTCAATTGAATATAGAAATATATACCAGGATATATATTCATAATTCATCTAAACGAACGACATCCGCCTTCAATAGAACGTATTTATTAATAAATATGGTTGCAAAGTCTCAGCCTGCTATTCCTCCACCACCACCACCACCGCCACCACCTCCTCCTCCACCACCTATTCATCTAGAAACTATTTATGAGGAATCAGGCAGCAGTTATACTTCATCATTTGTTGATATTCATCAGCAACAATCACGCAATCAACAGAAACCCTCAACGAGTAGCACCATTCAACCGGCTCATGGTCTCATTAGTGCTCGTTCAATACCATCAGTTGATGTGCATCGACGTCGCCGAGCAAGTGAATATCAAACAAAGCCACCTATTGAGGTTCGATTTCGTGATGGAACTAAAAGTTATATTCAACCGTTATTAGCAGGAACAGCTATGATAGTAAATAGAAGAAAATATTCCCCGTCTTCTTCTCGACATGATTCGTCGTCATCGACGAAGAGCATTATCAAACACCGACAAATATTTAATCTTACACCGAAAAAAAAGAAAAAGCTACCCGACAAATCAAAAATCATTCTTACAATCATAACCGCTGAAGACTTAAGTCAAGCTGGCATCACACCGCCGTCGACTTCCTCGCCGGATGAGTCTGATACATTGGCATTTACCAAATCACATTCGAACTCATCGCTAGACACACTCAAAACAGTGACTGATATCTCATTCAAAGATCCTCTTACAGGTCAGTACATTGATTTCAGTTCATTGTTTAACCTACGGCAAAAAAAAGAATCCGAACAATAAACAAGCGAAACGTTGTCTTTTTCACTTCATTTCCCATTTCATTCATTTCCTTAGGCCTTGAGTATGACAACAATCTTATCGTTTTCTTGTCCTTATTATGTATAACAATACATAATACAATGTATATACATGGGTACAATCATTTTCAAATACTTTTTTTTTATTCATACGAACAAGGTAATAGGTGCCTTCGTACTGAAACCTTCATACATTTTGTATCGACCGGTTCACATTAACTAGGTTTTTCAATCTATTTCTACATTGGAACGAAGTTTAGAAGAAGAAAAAGAAATTCTTGTCGGTTATATGTTGTCAAGTGCATTGAATCTGAAAACGCCTTTTTTGAGTGATCAAAGTTGCTCATTGAGGACATTCGAACATTGATAGAAGTGCAAACTTGTTATTTGTCGGATGAATCGTTCAAAATTTTGAGCAATAATATAAATTGACCTACCACATAGTTGATGTTTAGAAATAAAGAAAGAATGAAAGATTAGTTATAGGTATAACTACTGTCTGAGTGCTTTTACACTCTTATTTATCTACTGATTGATGTGTACAATACGTCGTAAAATACAAAAAAGAAGAAGACGACGACAGTGAGCGACAATACGGTTAAATTAGGATCGGAGTGAGATGATGTCAAACAGACATAAACGAGCTTCGAAACTAAAATTTTGTTCCTCAGCGATTGAAAAAGATAAATAAGACTTTGTACAAGCTGCACTCATAGATCTCTTTCTGATAGTATCAACAAAGAGAGAAAGAGAGAGGGAGCGATTGGAAGAAGCGCATCGTAGAGTTCAACCTATATCTTCGTCAATCATATTCTCTAAATTGATATACTATTTCAATTGATTTCGGTCTTATCAAAGTAGTTGATGATGAAAGATACACACGATGTATGTAATTGCTGATCGACATGATTATGTTGTCACATTGATCATATTTTGATCCCTATCATATGAATGAATATATTGATATTTACAAAATATCTTATCCAAGGCGATCACACTTTTACTTCGCTATTGACATTTGTGAAAAATCTAATTTATGAAACGTGATTAAATCCTTTTTTTTCAGTACCGGTAGACGACTTATCACTAGCAACTGTTCCATCAGCAATTCTGCAGAACAATGCTCCAGTCATCGATCATTCTATGTCAAAGATTCGTTTTTCTGATACCACGCGCACTCATTCTCATCACAAAAAGCAATTGAGGTACTCCTTACAAGTTGATACTAGTCGAAGTCGAAGTCTACCACCGTCACAATCACATAAATCTTCAACGCTACAGCACAATTCACATTCCAATCAAGCCCAATCGATTCAATTATCGACAAAAAAGTTTCCTTCACTTCAAATTACTGTAAAAAGCGATGAGAATGAAAAAAGTTCATCGTCGAAAGTAACTCAAACGTATAGCACTTTGCCAAGTTCTTCTTCTCATTCGAAACAAGCCACAACGAACAGTGAACAAAAAAGCCAATTTCGACCACCGGCCTCAACATTCGGTACAAGTGGCTATCGAAGTGCATTTCGACCGTTTCTCAAAACAGTAGCTGGCCAATCCCAAGCGCAAGTTGCCACATATCAAATGCAGCAAAAGTAAGTTCTTCTTTCTCTATCGAAATGCATTCGATTTTCATATTTAATGAATCATAGTTTATCACAACCACCACAACAAACTGTTTCATTTTCTCGATCTCATCATCAACAATATTCAAATGCCACATATGCGAACCCGATGCCATTCACATGGCAGACAAATTCCATTCACTATGATCGCCGTTCGCTCAGTTCTGATGCGCCCAAACAATCATTAAATTCATTCCTATCCAATCAAATGATGTCAGATAATCTAATCAATCCGACTGCACATATGGTAACTTCATCTCGCAACTTTTTTCATACACTGTTTGAAGTTTTTCAGACAACAACACACTATTCTCAACCATCTATGTCGAATATGATCGATCATTCGTACAAGTCATCAATTATACCAAAAGACCAATGTACCGATCCAAATATCCACATGGTCACCGTCGATCCGAATTTACAATGGCATAGCGTCACTTCGAAATCTTTATACGATGTTCCTCGTCTATCCGATCAATATGCAAATATTCCTTTACGAATCACAATACCCGATGGAACACCGACTCATAATCAAAAATGTCTTCATAAACACGATGCTCAATTAGAAAAACGCCTACTAGATGCCGGTTTGTCGCCCGAAACCATTGCACTTTATGAACGAATTCTCGAAGTTGCCGATATTCGCCATAAAGGTCGAATCCAAGCACCTGAAATCATTGATCAGTATCAAACGAAATCATTGTTATCAGTAGTAAAATATTAATGTCATATTTTCTATTCGCTTTTCCTTCTTTTCTTCCATATCTCCATCACTATGTTGTTTGTTTTCATCTTTCCGGCAAACGTTCGTACGAGAAGGCAATCTTCTCGTCAGAGTTATATATACATATATACATACAGATATTTATTCGTGTTTTCCTATGTGCCATGGCAAGCATTTTCTTTTATTTTTAAAACAGTTTCGATTTTTCCTTGCGATATATGTCCAACTGATATTGTTTGTATTATGAACACATTAGATGAATTCCATGCACTTGAAATCGATAGGGTGTTTAGCCATACGAAGGACTCGAAATCCTATGAGCAAAAAACAAGTAAATTTTATTAAAAAATAATAAACATTTTCAACTTAACACAGTGCGAATGCTCACCCAGACATCTCACAATGAACAATTTCGATTTTAATCAGGTTATTCTCACGCGTACAAATGATATCCATCAAATTAACTGACTAGCGAACGATTTCTTTTTTTCATCGATTGTGTGATCAGCAGGGTATCTTTGTCTCTTGAACAATACTACCAACGAGGTTTTGTAGTCGTCCCATCTATTCTGTATTTTTGCGTATATATGAACTCAATATCCGTTAATAAATAGGATAGCTATGTTATTAGACCCTTTCTTTTGCTGTCAATAGCTCATAAGCTCTTTTTCTGTGCTCAAGAACGAGAAGTGCATTGAAAGATAATGTCTCTCTATTTTACGTCTCGCGAAAGTACGATGATCCTCTAAAATCCAAGCTGAAAATCTCCGACTATAAATAGCAACTGACGCTGAAAAAAATGATTGCTTTCCTTTTCTCTCGATTTTAGTGTACTCTCTTGAGCCGTCATTGATTTCAAACACACTACAATGTGCCGTCGCATAGAAACGTAGATCCTACATTCTGATGAAGAATCGCGGCGAAGTCTGCCAATGCCTGAAATAATTATTCCCATAGGTCGATCGTCCTGCTTACACAATATAATTTAGCATTCTTCGATGCTAGTAAGACTTCTATTGAACGTAGGAATGACTGGTTTTTATTTGCTTTTATCCATTTCCGTTTCATAGCGAATCGATAACGGCTGAGCTTTCTAAACAACATTGTCTTCTCTATATTCAACACATTGCGTTAACAGTTTTCTCAAATTCCCATTTGTTTCATAATTTCGCACTTGTTCACGTGAATGCAAATGTCCAACATTAAAATAATCGCTACATTTCGTTGAAAATATTGCCAGGCATTCATTTACAGCAAAAAAGGTAATCGAATAAATATCGTCTATGATTAGTTATAAACAGACAGAAAAAAAAACGAGACATAAACGTGTATTATCTAGATTACGTTGATTTACATGTACTTTCATATGGTCACGTAGATGAGTTAGTGATGAATACTTGCACCTATCAGTCATTAACATTAGTTCTCCTAACGAACGGTGAGAAGAATCCGAAGTGTCAAAAGATGAATCAATATTTGTCATGAATGTTATTTTGTTGTTTTTTTCTATGTGCTGCGAGACATGAATACGAAAAGCTGAGATAGAGAGAAAAAAATTTAAAGTATTTTATTACCTCTAACCTTCTTGCACTTTCTTTTCTTCTTTTTCTTCGTGACGAACTTCGTACGATAAATTCATATGGATGACATTGACGAAACTTCAAATGTTTTTTTTTTCACTATTCGCTTAATCATTCAAGGCATACAGACTTTCTCGACATCCTTCTGTTTGCTGCGCTCGCATTGCATTCTTTCTTCGGTTGACAATATAACTACACACACACATGCATGCAATGACGACGACAACGAACCTCAGAAGGAAAAAAAATGACGATAAAAAGAAAAAGAATCATTTGTTCTAAATAATGTATCGAACAGTAATCGCATTATTTTTTTAGATTATCATAAAACCTATGACTTACTTATAGTTCATCGAACAAACACATACTTTGCAAAAAGGTAAGTCATACGAAAAAAAAGAACACTTATGTATATCGATCAATATATCTATGTTACATGTACGAACATACTCATCAGCTTGTCTTGTCTTTTTTGTTTCTTACGACATATCGTATTAGGTACACTCTGACAGTAATTCATTGCTGTTGATGCATTATGATGTATAGCACCGTCTCTACTTTTTCATTCTGATAAGTCGTCTATTTCAAGAATGATAGAATCATATTTGATATGTTAAAGATTACAGCCTTGAAGAATGTCCTTTCTTGCCCTGCAGTCCTATTAGATTGACGTTCGAAGAAAAAGAAAGTATTATTTGGTTCTAGATAAATGAAATAAAATACAAAATCCCGTCTTCATATATCAATTTAGGTAAATATTGTTCCGTATACATTTGTTCTTCGATGAGAAATAGGAAACATTAGTCACAATCACGAAGAACAAATTTGACATCGTTTGAATACGGTTTTTGATAGGTAAAAACATTGAATTGCTCTTTGTAGTTTGGTGAAACTTCGTCGACAATGGCAAGTGTTAATATTCAATCATTATATGCAACTGCTTCGACCATTGTATGTATCTGAGTAAACAAACTCTTTACATGAATTTCTTTTTATTATAAAGCTATCGAAAACAATGGGAAGCATTGCAACAAACTTGCAGAATAGTTTTTCTGTGGATCCGTCGAATGCGGGTGCTGACGCTTTACCTACCCTCAATTTGAATGACTCGCGGGACTCGCGAAAAATCCACATGCCTCAGACACGAATAGGTTTAGGATCGACCGAAGGCGATCTAATCTTCATGGTAAAAAAATACTTGGAAATTGTTGGCCTAGTCTTCTTCGTTTGGCTACTTGGTAAATAGATATTTCTTCTTTTTTTTTTCAGTTTATACTTGAGAAAGACTTCCGAGTGAATTATACTGATTGTCTGACAAGGAAGCTATCGTGAGATGTCTGATGCACTCATAGCGGAATAGGAAATTTCCGGATATCAAATTCGCATCTCATGATCGAAAGGATTTGATTTACTTAAAAAAAGATCGATTCAAGTAGCATATCTCAGATATACTTTTGTATTAAACACACTTCACATATTATTCTAAGGATGAAAGTTGTATGGTGCTTAAGAGCTTGTTTTCCTTAAGTAAACATCAAAATTGTTATCTTTTGTGTACTACGTAACATAATATCACGTTAGATATTGTATATAATATGTCATGTTGGGAAATATAGAATTTATTAGGAATTGATTTGTTTTACATGCAGACGATCAGTTGTGTTGACTTGTATCAATCATAATCTAATAAACAAAGACTTCTAGAATAATAAATCGGAAGTTCTGACAATGATTCTTACACGACGAAACTCTCTGGGATACGGAGACTGTCTCTCTCGGAAAATCGACGTGATAGAATGTTATTGTTATTATCAAACTAATCTGATGATGAAATGAGTTCTTGAGATGCATTTTAATCACCAAACGATCTCTCTTGTTGATTGAATTAGAAGATCTTATTACTTGATGATCTCGAATATCCTTCGATCCATTAATTCTTCTGATTTTCGGCTTTTAGGATACTTTCACTTCAGCGTATCGTGGATATTATTAGCTGTATTTATATATTTATTTCGTCAGCAACAACGAGCGAAATCGAAATTACGTCATCGAATGTTGATGGAAATCAACGATAACGAAGAACAATATGTTAAAGCTCGTTTAGACGAGTTGCCGTCATGGGTAACGAACAATACTTGTCATTGATGGAGATAGTTCTTTCTTCGCGTTTCTTAGGTATTTTTTCCCGATGTTGAACGAGCTGAATGGGTGAATCGAATAATTAAGCAAGCTTGGCCATATGCGAACAAATATCTCGATAAAAATGTATTTCATGACATAATGATTCCGTTGATACGAGGAACATCGTCGGCGTTGTCCGATTTTAGCTTTGAAAGACTTGATCTCGGTGAAGTTGTAAGTTCAAAACGCCATACTTGAGTTTGCCTTGATTGAATATGTTTTATTTCAGCCACCGAAGATTGGAGGTATCAAAGTGTACACGGACAATGTTCGAGATCAAATTATGATTGACGTTGAAGTTTTGTAAGCCGTTGAAAATGATGTCTCATAAAGAAAACGCCTGTGCGTTTTCTTCTTAGTTATGCTGGTGATGCACATATCAAAGCAAAAGTGAAAGGAATCGTTTGTGGAATAAAGGACATTCAATTTGTTGGTGAACTTCGTATTATTTTGAGTCCGTTGATTAATACGATTCCATTATTCGGTGCTTTGACATACTTTTTCCTGAGAAAACCTGTAAGACACGATTTCATGCGATTTCAGATTGTTTGTATTCTCTTATTTAGACTATTCATTTCAAATTAACCGACGCCGGTACATTGGTAGACATTCCCGGTCTTAAGTATGAATGAATGTCGATAGAAGCGTTAGTTGTTATCTATTCTTTCAATTAGTGACCTGATGCTTACCCAAATCAATGATATTGTGGCATCATTGATGGTTTTACCCAACCGGCAGGTATTTCAACTCGTCAGTGATATTCAAGTTGGTCATTTGAGATGGTCTAATCCTCAGGTTTGATTCTACAGACAAAATGGAAAATTTTCACCGATCTTTTGTTATAATTTAGGGTGTGGTTCGTGTGTTTATCATCAAGGCACGTGATTTAATCAAAGCAGATATCAATTTTCTTGGTAAAGGCAAGAGTGATCCGTTTGTCAAAGTGAAAGGTATGAGAGAATCTTCTTGAGTGTTTTTTGGAAGAAAAAACTTATTAAACTTCAATTTACTAGCACAAGGAAATGTTGAACACAGAACCAAAACAATTGATAATACTACAGATCCCGAATGGAATGAGGCAGGTTTGCTGTTTCTATACTTCGCTTGGTTTATCCTGGCCTTTAGATTTGTGAATTCGTCGTCGAACAATGCGAGAGTGATTCTGTTGAATTTGAAGTATATGACGAGGATCCTGGAAAAGATGACTTTATTGGGAGGTTCGTATTGATTGTTTTCTTGTTCGAGTCAAACGATCTTCCATTCTAGAGCTCAATTTCCTTTGAAAAACTTATCTGATACAGATGCTGTGGATGAAGTAGGTTAACATAGATTTTTATTTCAAAATACATTCTTATGCATTGAATTCTAGTGGTTGACACTGCAAGATGTGAAGAAAGGTTTTTTAAACGTTTCCTTGCAATACTTTTCTTTAACACAGCAAAGATCAGCACTGGAAGCAGTGAGTTTCATTTCAGGCCTGTCTTTTCTTCGAATCAGGAGATTTTAGATAGAAAAGGCAAACAATCAACTGATGAAACGAGAAAAATTGTCAAAAGCTTTGCTAGTCTGCTTTATTGACCGTTGTTTGAATCTTCCTGTAAGGAAACTTTTTAATGGTCTCACTTTTCTGCTTCTAAAAAACGTATGTTTTAGCGTTCGAAAAAAGCACGTGAACCAAATCCATTCTGTCGCATTAGAGTCGAGGGTCGCCAAGCAAAAACTCATGCTCTAGAAAGCCAAACGAATCCGAAGTTTGAGCATGTTTCTCAACTTCTGTGCGTTAATCCACTGCACGAAAAATTACGAATCGATGTGTGTGATGCACGAAGTAATGATGATGTTATTGCTTATTTTGAATTACCAATCAAATCAATCTATAATGCAAATTCCATGACTATTGATACGCAAGCATTTCCATTGAAAAGTTCATCTGAACCATTAGACAGAGCGCAAATTCTTCTTCATTTATCATTATTTGCAAGTAGCCAATAGTCATTTAAAGAGAGTTTAATTGATTTATGATGTTTGCAATAGATTCTTTCGCCGGGACACTCATTAAATGAGGGTCGTTTCAGTCCAGTACCACATTCACCGTCGGCTACTAGTTTACATTCATACGATTTCTTGTCTTCATCAGCAACAAGTGAAGTACTCGATGCAAAACCTAGTACCACGAAAGAATCACTCGAACGAATGCCATCAGCAGACGAAGCTAAGGTGAAATCTATCGCATCGGCACTACCATTCCAAGTAGGTATTCCAACATCGATCTAAGGAAATGAGTTTTTAATCCGTGTGCTTAATATCTATTCAGTATAGACCATCTCAAGTAAAAGTGCTGAAAAGATTCGTAAGAATACCATTCACCCAATCTGCTGATGATTGTCGGCCTTAGGTAGAGAGAAAGGAGTGAATCTATGTAATTACAGGCTACGAGAAGAAAGTGCTTGTGCTAATTGTTTCTATCTCCAAATCAACTCAACAATTGTTACATTCTTTTTTTCTTCGTTTCAATAGCCACCGTTACCCAGTACACCAATACAGTCACCACACCGATTGATGCCTGAGAGAAAACCGGCGGTCATATCCGATGATCCTGACTTCAAGTAAGAAACAATCGTCCATATTTATTATTCTCTCATTTCATATCGAATCAGATCGACACCGTATGGTCGAATAAAACTCGGTATTCGTTACACAGTGAATCGCAAGTGTCTATCAGTGATTGTACTCTGCTGCGAGTAAGTTGTTTCGATAGAAAACGAAAGAAAACTCGGACGAACCCGTGTTATAGAAATCTTATGAAAGTTCACGAACATCATTTACCTGATCCATACGTTCGTCTATATTTGATACCAGATTTCAAAAAAGATACGAAGAAAACTAAGTCGATTCACGACAATTTCAATCCAAATTATGACGATTTGTAAGAAAAACCACATTCGTAAAGTATCTTTCTACCTTGTTCTGCTTAGATTCGAATGGTCAGCATCGTTAGTTGATGTTCGTCGTCAGCGTCTTTCTCTGCGTATCAAAAATAATTCACCATTATTTGCTCAAGAAGAAACTTACATGGGCGATGTAAGTCCAACGATATCCCATTCAATAGACTCTCATTTCTTTCGTTTCATCTTTCAGCTTCAAATCGATCTCTCAAATCTCGATCCAGAAAAAAACAGTATCGCTTGGTACGCTTTGCAAGAGCCTAACACCAGCGGTGGAGGTATTATCAAGATCAAATATGATACATTCGAAACAAACGAACCACGTACTCAACTCTAATCATTACCGTTTTTCTTTCAAGCTTTTATAGAACATGTTTCGTATTTCCGCACTTCTTCGGTTTATTTGTATTACTACTGAAAATTTTTTCTTCATACCTTGTATGTACTCAAGATTAGTTTAGAGCATCATTCGATACGGATGACAGAACAAAGGGATTCCGATGATAATAATAAAGACTAACAACATCAAAACAATCAACGTTCAGCTAGTATTTACTATGTGGTAATGATATTTCTATTTGGAGAAGAGATTAAGTTTTGAAGATAATGAATATTTTGACAGTTTGATTATTTCAATTTTGTAAAACGATGAAATTTGTGCGACGAGTGCTTTCGATGTCATGGATTGCATTCAGTTCACATCATTTATAGAAATAGAATGAAAGATTTCATTATAAACTGTAATAATATTATTCTTTTGAAAGAAAGGAAGCAGATAAATAGAATCAACTGAATTATTTCTTTTTTTTTTTCTCACTTTTTTGTTTGATCACTTATGTCAAGGTGTCATAAGTATAAAAGAAAATACGTCTCGATTGACAAAAGTAATTTATACTCTATTCTATTTACTCTTTTTCGCATATTTTGTTGCCACTGCAAAGCGAAGAAAAGTCTCTCACATGGAATGTCATGAAATTGTTATGTGAAAGAAAGCGACTCTCTTCATTTTCTTTCAGTATTTATTGGCAATAAGACAAGAAAACATTGGATCAAATGAGCATAAAGACAATCAGTTTTCCTCTTAATGACAAAAAATCAAAACCCAAACAACTGGTCACGTCTCATTTATCTTTAAACCACCAACGACAACATCGTGCACAAGTTCTACATCATACACATTCACTAACTCAGAGTAGTTCGATTAGTGATGCGTTTCGTCCGTTGGTATCTACGCCGAATACTGGCAGTTCCCAACCTCGACCGTATCATCTGAATGATTTTGCTAATAATCATTTGTTTCTTGCTAAACGTAAGATAGCAGAAGCATTTCAGGGTCCATCGAATCGAAATGTTCAGTCGAAAAATGATCTTCTCTACTTGTTCGATCGACCAGAATCGAAATCAAAATATCGAAATGTGACTAAATCGAAACGACGAGTAAGTTTTCATTGATTTCATTGTTCATGTTCACATTTCGATGTAGGATAATTCAATGATTAAAAGCTCATCAAATGATCATCATATTCATCTATCTGTTCTCAATCTTCGTGTTAGTCCTCCGTACTCACTAACACAAAATCGTCAACAATTGTCATCAGGATTAATTCGGCCGTTTGAACTGTGGAGTGGCGTGAAGAATCTCTCTTCTACATAACTAAATCAAGTTTTCTCGGAATCATGCGAGTACAACCTTTGTTTAACAAATATTACATTCTCGCACTATTCAGACGAAATTTTTCAATTATAAAAACACTGTCATCTTGAGTATTCTTAGCGACAATAGTTTTGTTGCGCTTGTATTATTTTCAATGAAATCGAAAAAACGACCTGAAATTCGTGATATATACTCGAAAGATGAATGGGATGGAATGTTGAATAAAGATGGTTTAAAATAAGTTTTCATATATTTGCTTATTCCAATGCCTTTTTCTCTTCGTTCTTTTACGATCATTGATATTTACCAAGATTGGGCAGGTCCGACCGTAGTTTTAGAAGATGTTTTCGTCAAATTGAAACGAACACTATCTCATACGGAATACTTAACATTCTATTCAGCAAACTGTGAAAATAATGATGTGTTGAAACGATATCGTGGCTATTGTGAACCATTGCTACTATTTTTCGGAGTATTTATCACTGAAATATATGATCGTAGAAACAAACAAAGGAGAGACTCTGTCAGAGTAATGTTTTAGTACACATCGAACATCAGATCAACGTTCCTGTGGTTGAAAAGGCTATTGACGAGCAATTGACTAAGGAATATCAAGTTATAAAAGGAAATCGAAAGCGAGAAACTGTATGCTCTTGAAAGATGTCTTGTCGAAAATGATCTCTGATTATATAGTTTAATGAATCGGTATTAACAAAATATTCGGAGTATAACAACGCTCAGCAGATAACGCGATCAAGCATAAGGGGATCATTGTCCAATGAACCAAGATGTAAAGACGATTCGAAGGTATACATAAAATGTTCGATCAAATTCGATGCATTTTAGTGTACACAAATGATTCATCAAGTTTGCGAAGTTTATTAATAAAAACAGCAGAAAAAATTGATCAAGATCATTGGATTTCTCCTGGTATGTCGCCTTTTCGGTCTTACACTATATTTAATAAATATTGTTGTTTGTAGAGTCATACAACATAAATGTGGCACTTTTTGTAATAAAACCAGATCTTCTTGCGGGTAGCAAGAAGGATGAAATTCTCGATCAAGTAAATATTGAAATCAACGAAAAAACGATCACTTTGGCATATTCTTCCACTTGCATTCAGTTGCGTAACAAAAGCTTCACGATTCATACCAGCGCTGACAAATTATTAACTGACGAAGAGATGATAAAGATCTTCAAACCAGTATACTTCTTTCGTCATGCTCATAGCTTGTCTTCGTTAAACTATTTCTTCCAGGATATAGATACCATCCATGAATTCAATCGATTTATGCCCAGTGGGCCAAGCACTTATGCAATTGTATCTAAGGGCCATACAGGACGATCGACATTCGACGATCTTCGTTCTATTATTGGCCCTCATAATCCCGATCTAGCAAAAGCATATCAGCCCGATTCATTGACTGCTGTCTATGGAACAGATTCGATCATGAACGGATTTCATTCCAGTGCTAACATGGAAGAAGCGCTAAAGTTGACATTATGACTATACATAATCGAAGTGTAATTGACATTTATAGAGAAATTCAAATCGTCTTTCCTGATTATCAGTATCCAACTATCGCTGGGAAATCTATTGCTGAATATGTACATAAAACAGCGACGTTATGTCTTCTTGGGCCTGCGCAAGTGCAAACTAAAAAAGGTATGTTAAGCTCTACTTACTGCCGATAGCAAATAGTTTGATCCGAAAGATACTATCATTCAAACTATCATTCAACATGGATTTGAAATACGTTATGAACGATTGTATCTCTTTCGACCTGATGAAGTTGAAACACTATATATTAAACATCGGAATGAAGAGTTTTTCAAAGCATTAATTGACGCGTACACAACGTAAGAAGCTAGGTTCTATGTATACGATGACGGTGTTGTACATCTCGTTAGTGGACCGTGTTTATTACTTTACATAGCCAAAGAGAATTGTGTGTCAGATTTCAATGAATTTCTTGGGCCGTTTTCTCGTGAAGAATTCAATACAATGCCTGGAACGTATGTCTATGGTCTGTCAGAATACATCGTGTGTTTCTTTTCTTCTCTCTTAGACTTCGACATGATTTTGATGAACCGAATATATCCGTGGTAAAGGGAAGTTGATATTAATCTCGAACGATCATTCATCATTTAGACAACGATTCATGGTTCGGAGAATACGATCGATGCACGAAAAGAACTTGAACAGTTTTTTCCATACCAACAAACACTGACGATTATTAAACCAGGCTTAACAACGAATCAAAAAGGTGCAGTATCATCCGAAAAGATTTCCGTTGAATTTTTATCGATATCTTTAGATGATATACTGAAAAGATTGAAGTCCAATGATTTTGTCATCATGGCGAAAGAAACGCGACGTTTAACAAAAGAAACTCTTACACAATTCTATGCACGACATCAAGGTCTACCCTGGTTTAATGATTTTATTCAATATATGAGCAGGTAACAAAATTTGTCAAGTTGATTCTCTATCGAAACTGGTCACAATAGTGATACGTGTGACATACTTATTCTCGCACGTGAAAATGCCGGTGAAGAAATACCTTCTTAGTTTATAGATGTCAAAAGCCAACCACTCGTCTTAATTTTAGTCCAAGGTTTACGTGATATAATGGGTCCAGTCGATCCCGTACGTGCTAAAACTGATGCCCCAGATTCGTAAGCGTTTCACTGAATGAAGAACTCAATATTTGTTTTATTTTCATGGAAGAATTCGAGCAATCTATGGTCTCGACATTATGCGTAACGGTTTACACGCATCATCAAACAATAAGCACGCTCGTGAAGAAATTCGCTTACTCTTTCCTGACTATGAATTTCTGAAAACTAAACCGAATCCTTTCCAATCGAACGTTTTATCCAGTTGAGCAACATATTTATCATTCTCTCATAAATATACATTGTTCTTTTAGCTGATGCAACCGTTTTGAATACACTAACGATATCGAGTGACAACAATCTCTATCATCTAGAATCACATGGTACGAAATATGCCAAGTTCAGGAAAAGGAAATGAAACTGTATTGTGTTCGAAGAGATTATGTATGAATTCGTTGTTCATACTTATCAAAACGAGAGTAAACATGAAGATTCAGCTGTTTTCATCACATTAATTGGTAAAGAAAGTGAAACGAAGAAATTTCTTCTACAATTTGCCGATAATACAATTCATCCGTTACAATCCAATCAAACGGATATATTTTATTTTCTCGATCGAGATGTTAGCGTCGTATGTGATGATCTGAACATGCAAAAGGATGATCGAATTCATTCTAGCCAAAGTCAATTCGCTTGTCACATGATGGACGAGGTTTTCCAAAGAACTGGATCCTAGCCAGTGTAGAAATAACAATGACCAATCGGAATAAAACTTACCGGTGCAATCAATTCATGTTAGTTATTCGTTAAACCATAGATTGTGATTGTAGATTTGACATCAACGAATTAATCGATGAAGAAAAAACGAAAGTGACTTACTCTGTCACAGACAGTAGAGGTATACTATTCGATATCGTTGTCGATTTTGAAAATATCTTTGCAGACTTCGAACCTATGAAACAAGCTAATTGTGCAATCATCATACAAACAGCCGGTGCTAAGTATGCGAACACATTCGCTGATTGCAGGTTAGAAATTCGATTTCGTTTCACAATGGGAATTCGATCGAATTTCTTGAATAGTATTCTTCTCTCGGGCTCGGAGGGCGTTTATGCTTTTCCCCTTCATAAATCGCTAACGAACCGTGTACCATTTCAAAACCACTGTCGGGATATCTTTCTTGTGGAAGTTGATGAACAGTTAAAACAAATTGAATACGTTGTTCTCGAACATAACAATGAAAATTCTGCACCGGCGTGGTTCGTTGATTTTGTTGTGGTCAAATTATTAAATTATCAACAAGAATATTTGTATGTTCTATTTTATAAATACTGCACGCTTAAAAGATGAAGACATTGCCTTTCTCTCTCTCTTTCTCTCTTCAGTTTCTCTGTCAACCGGTGGCTCTCAATCGATTATCTTGACGGAAAAACGAAAATTACATTGGCAACCAACGATAATAAATTGTCATATGATGAAAGTTCGATGATGAATTCATGCAATATTAAATCCGTTCATTTTTGTTCAATAGATCTGCTAAACAATCGATCGAACCGTAAGCGTACTGAAGGATGATAAACAAGACACATTTGCGATCCCTAGTCATTCGATATGAAATCCATCTTGTCACTGGTTCAATGCCTAACGCAGCGACGAATTGTCCAGTCTGGCTGACAATCAATGGAACTAGAGGATCGATCATTGATAGATATTTAGAAATAGCAGAAGACGAGCTGTATCCATTCGAACCAGACAATGAGGATCTATTCATTTTATATGATGTTGACATTGGAGATGTATTTGAAATAATGTCCCAATGAATTCTTATAATTCATGTGTTTAGATCGATAAACTGATTATAGGTCATGAAAGTGTCTCGTCTGAACAGGGATGGTTTGTTCAATCGATTTCAATCGATGTACCATCGAAACAATTCCACAGTGAAAAGTTAATTTAATATATTTGCAAACAAGTAGAGAAAGTCATTTATATTTGTAGATTTAAGATCAACAAATGGCTGAATTCGAAACGAACAGATGCTGTGCCGTTAATGGAGATTCAAGTAAGAAAACCGGTTAAATGTAAGATCAGCGGAGAATTAGAAATTATCAAGTTACAACACATATGAAAGTAGGGAATCGAAACATCAAACAACAACGCACGGCTATCCCTCAAGCAATTTCGAATGCAACCTTAGTCTCGACTCATGAATATGGTATTCTCGTGTAGATCCTATTTACATCGTTACTACAAAATACTTTGATTTAGAGTCGTCATATTGCGTATATATTTTGACAGAAGATTTGCAATCGGATCTGAATAAATTGTGTATTTTCATTGATTTGATTATGCATGAAATCACATCGACTGGTTATATGCGATTGAAGAGCGAAGGAGCAATTCGTGAGAATTTAAACAACAATGTCCTAGGTAAATTTCAAGCTGATGGAAAACGAATAGAAGAAGTAAGACCCTTCTGTGATTCATACTACATAACTTCGAAAGTGAACATTTTGCCCGCAAAGATCACTTCAATACGTTTACTTCTGCGTAAGTTAAAGTAAAAAATTACCATACCGACTGATATGTGATACATAGGCGCACCCGATGGAATAACATGTTGGCTACCTCGTTATATTCTTGTTCAAATCACTGAAACCCAGGAAATATTTTCGTACGACATATCATTGAAGACAATTGTACTTTCTTATAGGAAATATTCATCTAGGTTTCAGAATTCCAAATGGCTTCATCATTCAAATAGTGATAGTTTTCAAGCAATTACTCTTCATATCAGTGAAACCATGATTCAAAGTTCTAATGCATCTATTCCTTCATTACCATCAAATGACTTACAAGGACAATTGAATCAGATCAAACAACGGTATATGAACGAAACAAGGAATACTACTATTGATAGACGATCAGTAGAGTCAAACAAAGACTAGTATCACTATGATAAAATACTCGCTTGATTCGAACTTCCAAGAACGCAACGAAAATGTGTGTCGGTCAACAGAAGAAAAAAAACGTTCTCTTCCCGTTGTTCTCTTATCTACCCTTTATTTTTCTTTCCATCAGCCATCTGTTCAAATAAACCGTCTGTGTATATATATATGTTGACTTTCATTATTCAAATGAAAAAAAAACCTACTAGCGCCATCTATGCAGAGACAATTCTTACACCATCAAAGTTTGAGAATTTCATCCCAAAACAATTTTGTTATCAATTTTCTCGTTTTTCTCAATAAATCAAGTCCCTTATCCAAACTCTGTTATAACAAAGATAAAAACGCTAATATAGAGAAAGTGACTTCATCAATGGCCGAGGCCATTGTATTCTATTCTATTCTATTCTGTGTGTGTGCGTGAGTGTTGGCTGCCTTCATCATCATCATGTGTGTGTTATTTTTTTTAATTTCATCTTTCAATCTGTTCTTTTCATTTTTTTTTCTTTTATGTAGTTCGTCGAATGTGAGCCTCCATTTACTGAAAAACTTGTCTCGCTAAAGCGTTCATTGACAATAACTTCGTTTTTAAACGACATAATTTTCAACTATCTACGATGTTTCTTCCACCGATTGGTCAACCACCAGTCTCATCATCGATACATGCCAATGAAAGTATCAATGGAGCAAATATGATCAATACCAGCACAAGCTCATCAGGTTCATCAACATCAAATGCAATGGGTCTTCCACCGCCGCCTCATATGACATCGATGCCATCGACACCTCCCGGAAATGGCATTATGACAATGCTTAATCCTCCACTCGATCTCTCACCCCCGCCTCGGCCAGATTTCGGTCGTGAAGGTCGTTCAATAAAATTACGTGCAAATCATTTTTCAATTCGAATTCCTCCGATACTTATTCAACATTATGATCTTAACATTCAACCAGATAAATGTCCAAAACGTGTCAATCGGGAAATTATTGACACTATGGTTAATAAATTTCAAAATATATTCAATTCTCAACATCCAGCATTTGATGGTAAAAGAAATCTATACACAAAAGATCCTTTACCATTCGGCCGAGATCGTATTGAACTTGAAGTCACTTTACCTGGTCCTGGCGAAGGACGCGATCGATGCTTTAAAGTACAAATCAAATGGGTTACACAAGTTAGTCTAGTTAGCTTACAAGAAGCTTTACAAGGGCATGGGCCACCTGTATCGAATGAAGCTGTTTCAGCGCTTGATGTTATCATGAGACACTTGCCGAGTATGAAGTAAGTATTGTCTTAAAAATAACTATTCGAACTATGCTTTGCTATTTCATCTCCTTCAGAACTGATAGGTAGTAAGTTTTCGAGCTTTTAAATTGACTTCCGAAAATAAAAATCTACTTGTCCAGATCGAATTCATAACATCTAATTTGCTTAGGTATACACCTGTTGGCCGTTCATTTTTTTCACCACCGGATGTTCAATACAATCCATTGGGCGGTGGTCGTGAAGTATGGTTTGGTTTTCATCAATCTGTACGGCCATCCTATTGGCGAATGTCACTAAATATTGATGGTATGCACTTTATCGCCGATCGAATTTTGTTTCTCTAAAATTCAACGTGACTTTGCCTTTAGTTAGTGCCACAGCGTTTTATAAATCACAACCTGTTATTGATTTCATGTGCGAAGTACTCGATATTCGAGATATACAAGAACAACGACGACCATTGAATGATGCACAACGAGTTAAATTCACAAAAGAAATCAAAGGTTTGGAATGCAATCACACTTCTCATAATTCGATGCTAGAGCAGATGATGTTCTTCTGAGACGCTTAATTACATAATGAAGGTCATTATACGCATTTTATCTTTTATATTAGGTCTTAAAATTGAAATAACACATTGCGGCAACATGAAGCGTAAATATCGTGTTTGTAATGTCACTCGAAAACCTGCCCAATATCAAACGTGAGTAACACCGACTGCGCAGTTAACCCATGACTAATTCCTTTCGAATTTTAGTTTTCCTCTTCAACTTGAAACTGGCCAAACAGTTGAATGTACTGTTGCAAAATATTTCTATGAAAAGCATCATATGAAACTACAATATCCTCATTTACCATGTTTACAAGTCGGTCAAGAGCAAAAACACACTTACCTACCACTTGAAGTACAAATTTCTTCATTAAAATACTCTTAGACATAACAAAAATACTCTTCTAGGTTTGTAATATCGTTCCTGGACAACGATGCATTAAAAAACTGACTGACATGCAAACATCAACAATGATCAAGGTACGTATTTCATATGTTCATCAATCATATCACAGATTTGTTTTCCATTGCGATTACATTTGTTTACGTATATCATATATGTATTTGTAGTGGAGCGAGGTAGAGTGTCATTTATTCATCATCATTAAGCATGATTCTTTTTCTTTGAAATGAACTTCTGAATCCATATATACCTACTCAAACTTACATTTGAGCTCGTTCCTATCTGTATGTTATTGTAGAGTCAAGCCGATTCACCTCAGGTAAACATCAATAATAACAAAAAAAGAATAGATGAACAAACTCATCTTCTTACATATCTGTGCACTGTCTTAATTCGCGTGCGCGAAACAGACGTTGGTTTTCCTTTTTGTCTAAGTAATCCAATCATTTGAGCACATGCGTAAATATAACCGCTGTTTTCTTTGTTTGGGATGAACTCATAAAAAAAAACCAACGACATGACTTACTCAGCCGAAATGTTTGAATAATTCTCCTCTTCTTTCTTTCGTTTTGTTAATGACAATAACATAGATAGGAACGACTGATATTAATGAAAATCTGATGATGAGATCTACGGGAACATTTAACAAACAATCAGCACGACTCTTTTCTTCTCTTTGTTATGTAAATTTGTTGACTTTCTCATTCATTCAACGGATAGCTATCGCCCAATAAATAAATAGAAATATACATATTTTTTTTGTTTTTAGGCAACTGCACGCTCAGCGCCCGATCGAGAAAAAGAAATTAATAATTTGGTAAGTTTCATATATTCTCAAGCAGAAACTGTCGAATAGCAACAATTTTATATCTCTAACACTCTTTCTCATCCGTCTTGGTTTATTTCAGGTGCGCAAAGCGGAATTTAACAATGATGTTTATGTTACCCACTTCGGAATCAATATTTTAACAAACATGACTGAAGTCGTGGGTCGTGTATTAAATGCACCTAAAATTCAATACGGTGGCCGTGTAAGTACCTCGCAATTCGAGATCGTGCTCATTTTCGGCTATTGTTATCTCGTTCTAGACCAAAATCATTGTAACACCTAATCAAGGTGTTTGGGATATGCGTGGCAAACAATTTCATACGGGTATCGAAATTCGCACGTGGGCCATAGCGTGCTTTGCACCGCAGCGCAACTGTAATGAAGCTGCACTGCGAACGTTTACTCAACAATTACAACGAATATCCAATGATGCAGGCATGCCTATTGTTGGTCAGCCATGCTTTTGCAAATATGCAACTGGTATTGAACAAGTTGAGCCTATGTTCAAATTTCTGAAAACATCATACAATGGCTTACAATTGATCGTTGTGGTTTTACCTGGTAAAACGCCTGTTTACGCCGAAGTCAAACGTGTTGGTGATACTTTAATTGGATTGGCTACCCAATGTGTTCAAGCTAAAAATGTTAATAAAACAACACCGCAAACACTGTCGAATCTATGCTTGAAGATCAACGTGAAATTAGGTGGTGTGAATAATATTCTCGTGCCAAGCGTTCGACCTATAAGTGTTTTTCGTGAACCGGTTATATTTATTGGTGCTGATGTCACACATCCGCCAGCCGGTGATCGATCAAAACCATCTATTGCTGCTGTATGTTTTTTTTTCGCAGATATCTGAATGATAACAATGGAACTTTTTTCTCTTTTCGAAAATTCAATAGGTTGTGGGATCAATGGACGCCCATCCGTCGCGATACGCAGCTACTGTTCGCATACAAATGCATCGTCATGAAGTAATTGCAGAACTATCGACCATGGTCAGAGAATTACTTATACAATTTTATAAATCCACACGTTTCAAACCAGCACGAATTATTCTCTATCGTGATGGAGTTAGCGAAGGTCAATTTGCTCATGTGCTTGCACATGAATTAATGGCTGTGCGTGAAGCATGTGTTCGACTTGAAGCATCCTACCAACCGGGCATCACTTTTATTGTCGTACAAAAACGACATCACACACGTCTTTTCTGTGCTGATAAAAAGGAGCAGGTAATTTTCAAAGACCTAGCAATAGATCCCCTCGCTTTTTGAATATACGATCGATCTATCCATCTCGAATGTACTGACATTTATCTTGAAACTAACAATCATGATATTTTAAAATCATAATCATGTCGGAACAGAATAACTTTATTTTCATCTCATGCGCATAATTAGAATGAATAGGGTAGTCTACGTATCGACGTGATAATGTCAGAAAAACCTCAAAATCAAGGTGCATATTATTTTTTTTATTCTAAATTTGAATAAGGGTTGCATGACCTAACATCGTTCGCTGATGCTTGCAAAATATTTTCTAATTTTAACCTAGTTTCATATAGATTAAAGAGCCATTTGACTTGTTTAAATTAATTTGAAATATTACTTTCTAAAAAGTTTCTATATATATATATATATCTATCCAAATTATAAACATTTTCCAATATTGTTTTTGTTTACTTGTCTTCGAATGTCATCGGAGACCGCATGACCTAATGTTTTTCTTCGAATTTAGTGTGGCAAAAGTGGTAATATTCCACCTGGCACCACCGTCGATGTCGCCATTACACATCCAACCGAATACGATTTCTACCTATGTTCTCATGCTGGCATTCAAGGTACATCTCGACCTTCACATTATCATGTCTTATGGGATGATAATCACTTTTCTGCGGATGAACTACAAGCGTTAACATATCAACTATGTCATACGTATGTTCGATGTACACGTTCAGTGTCCATACCAGCACCAGCATACTACGCTCATCTTGTTGCATTTCGAGCACGATATCATTTAATTGAGAGAGAACCTGAAAGGTAAGTTGGCATACAACTGGAAGTAAAACTGAGCCACATAATTGTACGTTCTATTGTTTTAGTAATGAAGGTTCACATCAATCATCGAATGGTGATTCCAATGGTCAACAACAAATTCAATTGAGCCGTGCAGTTACTGTACATCCTGATTCGGCTCAAGTCATGTATTTTGCTTAATTACATACAAGAAAAACCAACAAACAATGAATATTCTTTATCCTAAGACATGCTCATATCTATTCTATCTACAATGCTAGATCAATTTCTTCTTCTCTTGTTTTTATCTCAATAGATCAATTCAATGTGTGTTCTCGTGTAATTGTATCTCTTCTTGTCGCAATCTGCCGCAAAAAAATCAACGTCTCTTTTTTCCTTCTTTGTCTGGTCCACATTGATCTCTTGTATATATCTCAATCTTTGGTTCACTGTCTATCTGTCATTCTGTTTCTCTCTATTGTCTCCTCTTGTATGCGCGCAATCAGGGGTGCAGTAGAGGTGCTCTTCGCTCTCTATTCGTTGCCCATCCGGCACAAACTGACTATTACTATTCATTATAGTTACATTTACAACAGTGCAATGCTATAGATGTATACACAGATGCACACACATCGGTTTCTTCTTCGAGAAAAACAAACATTGAAAAAGAAAACGTCCTATTTCCAAACGTTTAGTGTGGTATTTGCACTACATTTTCAAAATCTCTTTTTGTCTTTGTGTTTGTTCGTGTCGTGTAACAGTGTATATAGTTACCATCTTGTTTCTTTTTCGCAGTGATGGGGGCGCGAAACATTCCCAAATATGTCACTCTGTTTCGTTTCAAAGTAGTGCTATTCTTCAACAGTGTGTGTGCGTATTTTTGAATTTTGCCGTCGTCGCCGTCAATTTCCCGTCCTTCATTTTCACTAATTGCAATAACGAATGATTTCTACAAACAAACAAACAAACAAAACAAAAACTCCAAACCAAAGCAAAACATCAAGATCATCACTCCTTTTCTTCCTTATCTATCTCATTAATGTTTAATGCAAAAACAAGAATAATCTAAATCTTTTTTTTTGACCTTCTTTTCTTCATTTCTTCCTTGTCGTTTCTCTTATCATATCTGTCTATGTGTAGAAAACCAAATAACAATCTTTTTTTTTGTTCGTTTCTTTTTACTCATCGATACATCGATCCGCTTTCCGAATGACAAGAAAAAAAAACTACCCTTTTCTTCTTAATACACATTTACATCGTATCTTCGAATCAATATGTGTATTTTTTCTCTTTTTTTTCTCTTTCTGCTCGCAACTGGATAAAAACAATCGTACAAAATAAGACAAAATCATGTATGTGTTTAACAGACGAGAGAAAAATCATAATTCTTTCTGGATGTTCTTCTCTTTTTTCCTCACCGCCGTGTGCGTGTGTGTATGCGTGTAACAAAATGAATTAATGTGAATGTGCCTCTTTTTTTTTCCTTCTCTATTATCTTCTTTTCACCATTTCATTCATTATTTCCTTTGTTGTTCTGATAACAAAGCGTACCAATGATATACTTCATTTGACTTATTCACTCATAGTGTACACAAAATAATATTGTTGAAAATCTAACAAAAACACTACGTCTTGTCCGGATTTCTTTGATTTCACTGAATTCCATCGAGGACTGTAATGAAATCGAATCATGCCAATAATTAATTTTTGAATTGTTTGGTTTTTGCCGTCGTGAATGGTGCAGAATATTTGACATGAAGAAGAAGAAGAAGAAAAAAAAATGTTATTGCAAAATAGTCTGAAGGTTACGAGTACTTTCCTCGTTCTTTATGTAACTAGACGATTCGTCATCGCCAGGAGAAGGTTGTTTACCATCATAAATCGAAAGAAAAAAAAAACAAGACAGGTTAGTTCTGTATCATAGTTTGCAATAATTACATTGAAGAAAAAGCTAAACCGAGATTCAATACTGGCCGCAGATTAAATGTAAATACTCTGGATGTTGAAATTTGATGACTATATTTCATTACAGATGTTTCCTTCTTTTTTTTTTATTTGAGACTATTTAAAGAAAAACATGATCCCTGCATTCTTTAATATCAGGATCCACAAGGTATGAGTACTTCTTCCTGTATAAGGCGTGATTGGGTAGAACTAAGAAGAAGCCTCCTGTTTTTATTTTTTTCTCTAGTATCTATAAATAACAAGTATGTCAGTGGCGGAACTCCCTGTACCCAAGATGATTAAAATGCGAAAGAGCTGAAAGATACAAAAACTATTGGCGATTAGAGAGGAAGAAAAAAAAGGGCGACAGCGAGGAAAAAAATCTCGATCTTTCTTTCTAGTTTCATAGTGTGTACCATGAAGGACGCAGCAAGAGTACCGGTGACCCTGAGTGAGATGTCTAAAGTACTGTGCGCGTTAGTGAGCGAGGTACATTATAAGTCCTATATATATGTTTTTTGATGCAATAATGTAAACACAAAATGAACACTCATGATATTATTTGTCTCCGCGATAAATCCTGTTTATTTGTTTCAAATATTGACGACAACAAATAATTGCATTACGTAACTAGCTGTTTTGTTTGCCATATTACGGGAGATAAGGATACCTTTTGGACAGATTTAAGTAAAAATAGAAATTTTTATGTAGGAAGAGCAGACTTGTTTCCTGTTATTAATCATGTAAATAGGCAATAAATAAAGCAGAATGCATCACCAAAATACGTAGTTAGGAAGAAAAAAAAGAGAAAAGCGTAATTTAAAACGAATAAGCATTTCATTTGCCTTCGATAACTGCTAGTCTAGTATGGGGCTTGTTTTTATTGCTATAATCATCCCTTACAGAAGTCATTTGGTAGATGCGTACTTTTTTTACGCGTTCTGTCGATACTTCTATACGCTCACTCTTATACGCTTTTACCACCTTTCTATAGCAAACTTAAATGGCGTGATCTTTCTTTACTTATTTTATATTGTTACATTATGTTGAACGCGTCCGTGTGTATATACGATCGTTGATCATACGAATCATTCACATTATTCAGTACATATGTTCGAAATTGAAAATCATTTTCTAGTCCGTTTACTCGATCTGTATTCGAAATCCAATTTCGAGGCGCGTACTTTTCGTTGTGTGCTTTTTTTTTCAAAACGAAAAAGTAGACTAAAATTTGAACAAATGTTCCTAGATTTTTATGAAATATTCGTGTCTTTTTTCTCTTTTCTATGAAATAGTCAATTTGGACATTCGATAAGAGAGAGAGAAAAAAAAACATTCTGCTTTACTTTTCTCGCGTTCTTTCGATTTTAGAGCAAAACGACGCTAGACAGATTGCAAATCTTTTATTTTTCTACGCTCTCACATTCTTTTTTTTTTTCTTGTTTGTTCTTGTTTTATGACGTTCGTAATTATATGCCATCCGTTCGCTGCGTGCTCGAGTCGAACCATACCCACGAACCCGAGCGACGCAGTTATATAAAAAAGAAGAAATGGCCTTAACGTCTTCATATGACCTCCTTTTGCTATTCTTGCGTTCTCTCTATTGCTCTTTATGCTGTCGTCTGTTCCGATCGTGCTTTACCATTTTCCTCGCTCTCTCTCGTTTTGTCAGTTTTCCTCTTCTTTTCTGGGCTATTCTTCGATTAATACATCTACCTTGATGACTGCTTACATAGTTACAAACCACTGTATTCGTTTGTTATCTTCTGGATAAGTGTGTTCTGCTTTCCTTTCGAACGCATTCGTATCACTAGGATGCAATGATGTACGCTTCTCCTTTTGCTTCAATTTTTCCTATTTCGTCGTGGTCCAACGCAGCAAAATCCGTGTTATCATTCAAAAAAAGATATCTCTTGTGCATAGTGAAGTATTTCGATGTAAAAATTATGCAGCGAGTCAGTTATGAATTCTATAGATAAGAAAAAACAGATCTGGAACAGCTGGGTACTTTCTTAAGGTCTACGAACGCCCTCACGATGCTCAATATATGCGAGACGCCATCCAGTATTCTATACTATTTTCTTTCTAGTTCTCCTCTTCTCCGTCTTTTCTATATACACTTATCGTCTAGCTTGTATATAAATGTCAGTCTGCAGACGAAATTACACAAATAAAGGACGATTGCATGACCCACATATACGTACTTTTACTTTGCAATCTTTTTACTCTTTGATGTAATGCTTTTTCATTCGCTTAAATACCAATTACAGAAAACGCGTACGAATTTTTCTCTTATCAAAAGCTATTTTATTCGCATCATATCGAACATATCTAGTTTAGTCAGTTATATTTTAGACCATAGCAACATAACTCCACTCGGTTACGTTATTTTGTCTACAGTTCGTTAACTAATCATGACGGAAAGTATCGTTATTTGTAAGATGAAAAGCGAAGATGAAGTCACAAAAGTTCCAACTACGGGCTCAACATCGTCGCGATCAAGCACTCCAACAAGTACATCAAAAAACAAGCGAACACGACTGACTTTTCCCTTCGGTGCTTGGTAAGAATAATTACTTTTCTTCATTTTTCGTACAAAACATGATCAATCCTCTAATTATGACCAAAATCGGTTCGTTTTTTTTAGCCGTGTGTGTTCAGATTCAGCAACCGGTATTCATTATGGAATTGCTACATGTGAAGGTTGCAAAGTAAGTGTAGATCATCGAGTGAACTCTAGCGATCAAAGTAGAAGTTGTGAATTTCCGGTCTCGTCCGGGAATCCCACAGAAAATGGAAAAATCCACGAAGGAAAATATGAGATGTTTTCGCCATATTAATTTTTTATGACTTCGTACTTCAGAAAATCATGTCTTGCTAGTCAGACTGGATTACCGATAGTACTTTTTATTTTTAGGGTTTCTTCAAACGGAGTATTCTTCGTAAAGAAAAATATCGCTGTTATTTTGACAATTCATGTGTGATTAATGTAGCAAATCGAAATCGATGCAAAGCATGTCGATTTCGCCGATGTCTTAGCGAAGGAATGTCTGTTGATGGTGAGTAATTCATTCGTTGGTTTTTTGTTTCGGAAGCATGATAACCGAGATTTATTTGCTAATTTATTTTTAGGTGTAAAAATGGGACGTATACCAAAAATAGTCAAAGAAAAGGCTCTACGAGAACAACAAGAACGACAACTACAGCAAGAAACACAACAAAATGTAGCCAATCAACGTGCAGAAGAAGTTCATGTACGAGAGTCATCATGTTCATCATTATCTGATCGTAGTATTGAAAATTACGATCCAAATATCATGGACTCAGGTATTGAGAACTCACTCGGTTACTCTGTTTTTATTCATTCCATGTACTACATGCGATAGAGAACAGAAATAGTCGCAAATTAAATCTGCGCACGTAAACGAGCAGAATGAGCAAAATTGTAGTACATCAGTACTCGTGACCTCCCGACGATGAAAATTACTACGCCTAGAAGTTGTTACAGAATCACATAAACAGAAAGAACGGTCTTTCTATTATATCAACAAAGGATAACCGGTAGTCTCTCGAATATAAGTGATTATTTGAGAAAAAAAGTAATTAAACTTAATCGATTTTTGTCAGAACGACTTATGAGACAGGACTTACATGTTAATCTAAAACTTTGATTTGTATCATAAAGTAAATCTGTTTTGTCTAGATGTTATTCATGTACCTCATTCGAGCTTGTCACGTCATTATGAACCAACAAAGACGTCTGCCAATGATCTTCAGTTTTACGATGATCAACGATTGAAACGTCCAAGAAAACTATCTGAACATGATATCAATTCATCGTCTGTCTTTCGCAATCAACAAAAATATCCTAAATTAGGTTATCAAACTAAATATCCGACATTTCTCCCGGATAATTTCACATTGGATGAAACAATTGGTCTAGCCGAACATCCGACAGCACCTCTATCACACGATTTGTTTCAACATGTGTTCACAGTTTCAAGCAAACTAACTCAGAACAAGTCCAATTTATACATTAATTTAAATGAAGATGAGTCAACATTCATACGGTAAGAGGACTCTTTTTCTCGCACTCAGTATGTCTGAACTTGATGTTGTTTATCGGTAGATTTCTTCGTTGGTCATCACACAATGTCTATCTTCGATATTCCGGACGAGTTAAGCAACTAGAAACACGCATGAATCATATGATTCGTGAACAGATCAATGAATTTCCGGGTGAATATGCGACAAACGAAGAATTTTTTCGAGATTTGCGAAGTAAATTAAAATAAATAAACAAACAAATATCGAACGACATCGTAATCTTTGTTTGCACTTGTTTGTAGAGACCCTCGAAGTCAACGTTCGAATGTCTGTTTATCACATTCAAGAAGTAAGAAGATTATTTTCAACTGATTTCTGCCATTTCGTGCCTTTCTTTCAGTTACCCGGCATGAAAAATTTGGATTCAAATACTCTGAAATGTTTACTTCTACATCGATCGTTCGATTGGTTCATGGTAAACTTTTGCTTATCCAATGAAAAGACAAAGTCTTTCATGACGTTTTATATTCTAGCTAAAATACGGTTGTTTATTGAACAAAAATGGTCAATCCTATATTGTGTCACCGAGTGGATTTCAGTTTACACGACAATGGATGAACTCCTTCTACGGATATCAATTGACCGATGCAATGTTCGAATTCAGCCAATGTTTATACGAATTGGATCTGAACGAAACTGAAATTGCTCTAGTTATCCCTCTACAAATGTTGCATCCAGGTTGGTTTCTATCAGTTTTCACTTCGAAAAATTTGATGATTTTTATAGATTCAACTATTCAAAACGATGAAATGCCACGGATATTACGTTCTTGTTACTTATATGCACTCTACGAAGAGTTATGTCATAATCGCGGTGAAACTGAAGGACGATTACTCTGTAGTAAAATCTTGCAGGTGAGCTCATTTGAAATTGTATGAACGTAGATTTGATCAAAGAAAAACATTCGTTTAGACACTCGATCTACTCGTACCAATCAACGAATTCTATGATAAGAATGTGGGGACTCGTATTCTACAAGGTAAAACAAGAGAAGTTTTTCGTTTCATTGTATATCAATTCGATTCTGTTTTCTTTAGTTTAAAACAATCTTTCAAAACATCCGGTTTGCTTTCCGATGATCTCAATCATTTTACAGATTTTCTCACAAACTCGCGTTGTTTTCAGTTTAGTTTCTTTTTCTCTTCTCTTCTCTTCTTCTTCTTTTTGGTTGTCAACTTTACACTTGATCGTCTCCGCCAACATTTACTTTCGTATAGTTTTGGTGTTTATATTTCAAAAAGTCGAACAGTGGTATTTATTTTCTTTTTTTCTGTTTTCTTTGTTGTTTCTCTTGGTTCTCGCAGTATTAAACAAAAAACCAACATGATGTAAATGTATGATTCAAGAAGAATTTACATATACAATCAACACCCTCGTCTGACAACAATGCACTTTTATTGTTTGTTTCGAGAATTTATTAATGGCCAACTGTTGTAGATGTTGAGAATCATTTCAAGCACGGACTTTTGCCAATGATAAAGAAAAAGCAAAAATAGAAGTAAAAACAGATAAGAATGTAATCTACTTTTCTAAATAACGTTAACGAATAGGAAAGAGGATTACTCTTTTGAAAAGAATCGTATGATAAATTGCGAGCAAAGGTGCGCGCTGAGAGCATAAAAGTACATTTAATAGAAAAATCTGGAGCAAATTTTGAATCTATTCCACACGTGATCAAAACAGGTGAAAAGACAAAAATATAATAAAGTACGACAAAAGAAACCTCGTAAATATTTAATTATACATCGAATTTTCTAGTAATAACGCTTCAAATAAATAAAATAAAATTCATTGTTTGATTTACATTATAACATCGAATCTTTTCTTCCTCCAGGCGTATGGAATACATCAGAATCTCTAGAAATATCGCTAGCTTTTTCATGTAACTTTCATTTTACTTTTCGAACAAAATTTGAACGCAAGAATGGAGATCGATGTTACAAATCTCGGAACACTCACTCCGATCCATACGAATTTCGGTAGTAATAAAGATGATCTTCTCATAGTCGAATATGATGTACCACAGAGGAATGTGAAACAGACTCTCTTTTTCAAATATGGCCAACTATCTGTTCCTAAATGGGCACTGATCCCGGCTGGAATTTTAGCATTTGGCGTCATAACAGCACTGTGCGCGATTATCGTAAATTCCATTCTTTCACAATCCGTGGCGACGGTAACTTATTCTCAAGAATGTGGCAAATTGTCTAAATGCAAAGAAGGCGTCGGTTTAATATGTGGATCGGCAGGACGATGCGTATGTTTAAATACACAATATTGGTACGAGAATAAATGCGATCAGCAACCAACGTATGGAGAAAAATGCAACCAAACAATCGAGTGTCGTACAGATTTGAATTTGTTATGTGCAGAATTTGACGGTCTATGCAATTGTCCAAATACAAGTAAAGTACAGACGTGCGATTGTTCTTCGACATCCTATTGGACTGGTTCGAGCTGTACGGCACGTAGTAGTGTTCTTGGTAAGAGAATAACGACAAATATTGTTGCCATTCCAATGAAATGACTTTCAAAATGTTGATAGGTTCATGTAGTGTAGCTAACACGAGTTATCAATGTTTATCAAATCTTTATTGCAATGGAACAATGTGCATCTGTGGAGAAAATACGTATTATTGGAATGAAACTGCTAGTGAATGTTTTCCAATTGACAAATATATGGCTGCTTGTGATGTAGCAACAGCATATTCTTGCGACACGAGCGTTGGATTATCTTGCGTAGCAGCTGGTCAAGGTTCGCAATGTCCATTCAATGCTACTGCTTCTTGGTCATGTGACTGCGCCAATCGAACATATTGGAATGGTGGATCGTGCGTTAGCAAGAAACTTGTCGATACATCCTGCTTTTGGAATTGCGAATGTGATTCCGACCGTGGTCTTTCATGTCTCAATATGACATGTCTTTGTCCACAATATTATTATTGGTCGACGGTTGACAACCCACCTGCATGTGTACTGCAAAAGAACTATTCGGAAACGCAATGTTTTAATACAACTCAATGTGATTCTACCCAAGGTTTAACATGTTATTTATCAGGGACAGCATGTAATTGTCCAACTACATCAGTAATTAATATGTGTGATTGTCTAACAACTCAGTATTATGATTATAGTCGATTATCTTGCCAAAACCTTTTATTATACAATGACAGTTGTACGGCTAATTATATGTGTAACTTAAGTGTAGGTCTCTTCTGTCAAACCTCTGTAAACAATGCAAACAACTGTTCTTGTCCAGAGCCTAGTCGTGCAAGTAAGCTTTCTACATTCAGTTCAAATCGTTTTGAAATACAATTCGTTCAGATATGTGTGATTGCAATGCGTCATCGTACTGGAATGGTATTAAGTGTACACCACGTTTAGCGCCAAATGTATCGTGTACCTATGACTATGAATGCCAATCGGGCTATATATGTTTGGTGAATGAAACTGATAACGGCTATTTCTCTGATGTATGTCGATGTCCAATAGGACAATATTATGTGAATGGAAGTGGTTGTGTACCATCTTTGAATTATTCGGACGTTTGCATTGGATCGTATCAATGCTACGAACTAGCAACACTCTCTTGTCGTTACAACTTTACAAATTTAACATGTTTAGTTAGCGGTGATTTACCTGCATGTGATTGCGCAGATAACTATTATTATAATAGCTCTGCACGTCGTTGCCTGCCACGCTTGAATCAATTTGAAACTTGTCAATTTACTTGTGAATGCAATCCACCATTCATATGTACACTCAACGCCATGTGTGACTGCGAGTATTATTATAGTTCGATCAATCAGACATGCGTTCGGTATTTACAATACGGTGATAGTTGTCAGAATACGACTCAATGCGCAGACACCCCAAATACATACATGACTTGTGATAACACTAATACATGTTCTTGTAATTCATCGGGATATTGGAATGGATCTCAATGTGTGTTTACTAGTAACTTTCGAATATCATGCACGAAGAACAAAGATTGTTACGGTGAATTAATGTGTCGAAACATTCCTGGCCTTGGTCTGGGACAAACATGTTCATGTCCTGATAAAACTTATTTTTCGCCTACTTATCAAAATTGTACGCCATGTACTGGCAGTGAAAATAATTATGACAGATATGTGATTAATTTTTCTGACCGCGATGCATGTGTTGCGATCTTTGACCCAAATGGTATGTCAACTGTAACTTACTCAGGTGCCAACACTGGTTGTGCAGGCCTCACGCCATATGGATCGACTACGACACCAATCCTAATTAGCCTTCACAATGCAACCGATCTTCTAGCTATTGGTCAAGTTCTGGACCAGGTCGATAATAAGGATAAATGCCCTAATAGACTATACTATCTCGGCCTAAACAGTTCTACATCGATATTCTTTGATGGAACGGCTTATTTTTCAGTATTCACAAGTCCCGTTGTAAGTTCATCACAATGCCTCACCGCATGTTTACTTTCTGGCAAGAGGAGTCAGTTAAGCGCAAGTGCTTGCGGTCCGAGTCCCGGAACAAGTTTTGGTGCCATTTGTGACTATCGAGTCGACTAATTTTTCATGCACCGATATTCAATTTCCAACATGTCATTTTCTCCAGTAACATTCATTGCTTTATCTTTTTGCGTGCATTTACAAGGAAGAAAGTTCATTCTAGATTATACTAAATAATCAACAGTCACGATCATTTTGCAAGAATATGATACCTTGATTTGTATCTAAAAAAAAAGGAATTGATGCTTATTTGGCAATTTATGATTAACCAAGCAATAAAAACAGCATGGAAATCCCCTAAATATAATATCTTGTTCATTCTGTTTGATACTTTCATTTCCTTTGAATTGTCTACCTTTCCTGTCAGTCTATCTAGGAAAATATTTTATTAAGCAAATTTGCTTTTGATCCACCGGTAGACATGCAATCATTCAAGCTTATTAATAATGATTTAGACTATGAATACAATGAAAAAAGTAATAACATGCCTTCAAATCAGATCATATTATTGTATCAATAATCTATAATTTGAGGACAATATCTAATCACATGTACGATTAGAAGGAAAGGTATAATTACTAAGAGAGAAAGGCTCGTTTCTTTCTCTCTTAAAAGCTCTGCATTCTTTTGACAAGCGTCGATTATATTTCAATAAATACCAAAATTTCCGTTCTGTTTATCCATGAAAGCTAAAAATATGCAAATATATATGTATAGTATTTATTCTTATCATTGTATTTTATCACGGTAATGATGATGACGATGATGATGAACAACAATAACAACAACAACAACAACAACAGGAACAATAACGACGAAAAAATGATCGATGAGTTTTTTTCTTTTTCGTTTTGTTCTTCCTTGTTTTCATTCGACTATTAATCTCCCGGACGATTTCAGCAAATGTATCATTAACATTAATAGCTAATTTCGCTGATGTTTCAACATACGGACATGTCCATGCTTGTGCTAGAGCAAGTGCATCATCGGGAGTGACTTGCCGTTGTAACGATGAATCACATTTATTTCCAACCAAACAAATCGGGACGTTGTCTGTGCCCTTCACACGTAAAATCTGCTCTCGAACAGTACGAGCATCGAGAAATGATTGCCAGGATGTTAAACTAAACACTACAAGAAACCCTCGCCCATTTTTTATATAAAGATCACGCATAGATGCGAATTGTTCAGTACCTAGAACAGTATACGATGGTACGTGTATTTATTCGAACATAATTCGAAATAACAAACCGGCGGTATCGAGAATTTCCAAATAAGCAGGTTCCCCATCAACTTCAATCTCTTTACGATAAAAATCCTAGAGAAAAAAAAAAGAAAATTGTTTGATATGATGAAGATATTCAGTCGGGAATGTCTTGTCTCTCTTATTTTTTAGACAAAATTCCTTATTATCGATTACTCTATTAGGATACTACGCTCTTGATTTCCATGGAGAGAAACTAGAATTTTAATATTTTGTTGCCTCATATACATACGAAACAAAAAAGACATCGAATCGAATGATCAAAATAGTCTCCTCATCATTCGACAATTGTTTCTTTCCTGAGCAGTACTAATCAATTCTGGGCGATATAATCTTTTCGTAACTCTTCTGGAAATGATCAATCTTCATGATTGTTTGCGTACCCACTTCATTAAAAAGGGATCTAAGATATCTAATTCCACATGCACACTTGTGTTTTTTTTTGGAAATAATATTAATGATCATAATTGAATTGTTACAATCGAATTATTTTCATCAACTCCTTTCCAAACAATCTAATCAACAAAAAGTGACTACTCAAGTTGACTCCAAGTGAAATATATCTGTTACTGTAACATATTTTCCCTGACTTTGAGGTTTACTTTTCAAGGTCGGTCGGTCACTTTCCTTCTTGTACTTTAGAACGAACATCTCATCAGCAGCGAACTTACTTCAATAGTTGGATCATATTTTTCGACGAATTTTGAATGACAAAATTGCACAGTCAATGCTGATTTGCCAACACCGCCTGGCCCAAGGACTACTACTTTATATTCTTTCATGTTGACAGCTAAACCGACGTGGCTGCTGCTGACGAGGTAAAAGCAAGCAGCTCATTAAACGTTACCGCACATACTTGTCTATGCAGTGAAGGAGAGAAGTACTTGTGTGTAGAAATATTAATAGACGTGTATATAGTATATGTAAAAGAACAAAAATCTAAACGAGAAAGGAAGAATATGATGATGATGATGACAACAAGTGGCAGAGTATGACAAACGTACATGTACGAAATGAATGTGTTAAGTATAGAAAAAATCTGTGTCAGTTATTTTTCCTCGTCTCCTCTCGCTCTCATTCTTCTGTTCGGTTTTCGTTGATCGAGTGTACGATTACGAATCTACTTGCAGTTAATTGAAACAAAAAACGCCCGAGACGATGAGGTTAACATTGACGGCATTTTGAAGTTTTTATCGACTAAATGAAGAAGAAAGAAAAGGAATATTATATAATCTTACTGTTATCATCACAAACGAAAAATGAAGTTCACTTCGTTGACGATGTTGATTAGACAAAAAAAGAACTGACATTTAGACAAATATTCAACGAGAAAGAAAGAACGGCGGGGAAGAAGGAGTGAAAGCGAAAAAAGACAACTTGCATACACACGCGATACAAAAAAAAACTGTAAAATGTATGTATATATCATTACATACATGGTTGCAGAGAGAGAAATAGGTTCTCTCTTTTTCTGTGCAATCTAAGTAGTGCCGCTGACCTGATCGATGGCATCGATGCGATCGAATACATATATACACATACGTGTTGTGCAATAAAGTCATTGTCTAATCTTTCTAATGGCAGGCTAAAAAAGATCTATACTTGCTTGTATTCTTGTTGAGACATCATTCATCAAATTGAATATTGCTTGCAGTGCAAGTGACAATCAATAGCAGTATATTACACAAACATAAGACATTCGATCTTTATCGTCTTCGGCCGTTGTCATTTTTTCTTCTTCTTTTCTTTTTTTATCGTTGTTGTACTCATTATTGCACATATCCCCAAGCATCGACATTTTGAATATATTTCTCGCGCGTCTACCCGTGTGCGCACGACTAATCGCTTTATATCTTACTTACAACAACAATACAACTCCCGCGTATATGTATATACATCTACGCACCAAAATGACATATGTAGTTTAGTGAATATACATGTGTATGTGCACGAGTGCACATTCGATAGTTGATCATAGCTCTAGTGTCTTGAATAGACAGCGCAAAAACTCTCATTCACTCTTACTCTCTACGTCGTTCATCATTGCTGTAATATATGTATATTTATGTGTGTGGTTGAGTGATTGCTTGTCTTTAGTAAAAAGCCTTGAGGCTAGTTGATTGATCAATCAATCGATCATATCGTTTCATTGATTATCTATCTTCTAGACGATCGCTGCGTGTGAGTCTCTCGTTTGTTTCTTTCTTCATTTTGGAGTCAAATGGATCAATCATAATTGAAAAAAACGAGAAGTCAATTGGCGCATGAACCTTGGGAACTATTTCTTGTTTGAAAGAAAAGAATGTTGTAATTGATATTGGATATAAAATCAATTTTTTTCTCTCTTTCTCTTGACATAGTTGAAATTCTCCACTAGTAAATTTGATCGTTTTTCAAGGTTTAACAGGAAGCTATCAACAGTTTTCTTCTTCATCGCTGTCTGTACTCATTGAAGTTTACAATAGATTGTCAGAGGAGGATAATGTCAAACTTGTAAACCGGATGTTAATGATGAGATTTCTCGAGATGAACTCGAAGACTACACTTGATTGTTGTTTGCAATCCTCTTAAGATAAATGAAAGGCAAAAAGGCCAGAAATAAGAAACAAAGCATATTTCTAACATCATCTTATTGAACTGGTGAATAAACACACCCCCACAAATGTATACAAGTATATCAATTTATTAATAGACTGTCGTTCTCTATCAAGACAAACTGATGATGGATGAGAATTCGTTTTTGTCTTGACATGGTTAGCAAATCGAATTTCTCTTGTCGGTTTCAATTTGTGCCAATGATCGTTTCATTTAATGAGAAGTGAACTTCGAGAGAAAGGCGTACTTCATCTGATTTCATCGACAATTGTGAATTGTATTCCTTTGAAACAATAATATAGATAGATTTCATGTGACATAATTATCTCTATTGTAGATTCCCTCTAGAACACTCTCAGTTAAGTGAGGAACAAGAAAAAGGAGGAGGAGGAGAAGTAATGGAAACAGTCTTGTTATGATTATTAATGTCAAACAATGATCTGTTGTTCATTGGCATGTTAAAACATCGTTTACTCATTGTAGCTGTCGTCGTTCCAGTTTTTGTTTCTATCTTCGTGAGGTTTTTCTTTCTTTTTCTTCTCTCCTTCATGAAATAAGATGACGGGAAATATAAAAAAATGGAAAATCTTTTTGGATGTCTGCGTATTCTCGGCATCTTCTTTCTAGCACACGCGTAGAAGCGAACATTGATGAGTTCGTTGAATGTGCAAGGCGAGAAAGCAAGCAAGCGAATGCGCATCGGATCTTCTTCTCTATGAGAAAGAATGAAACAAGGACGATTGATGAGAAAGAAAAAGCATTCCTACATTCTAATGCTTTTGCCGTTAGAATGATGCATCAACAATATAAAAAAAATAACAGGAAAATGAGAAGACCAACTACCAGTAGTTTAGATGACTATGTGAACTAATAGCAGAAGAGTTGACTTTGTCTTGCGGTATGCTTCGTTTTTTCTTCTCTCTGGCAATCATTAAGAGATGCCCTTCTTTGTCTCTCCGTGTCATATCTGTGTGATTCTAAGTAAGTTCTTAATGATAACCATTTGGAATAAGAAAAAGGCGGAGATATCGAGAGTGTCGGAGCATTTTGACATTTTCATTGTCGAAAGCGGACAATACGTTTCTAACGTGATTTGTCTGTATTTTTAGATGAAATTTGACGTGATTCCATACATGGATATAGATCTTCATAATCAAAACCACATGAATCACGGTAAATTGATTGTATGTTTTCTTCTAATTGACATTAACTATGTTTGATATATGTATTTACTGACTGAGGCGGATTTTGTAAAAGAGAACGACTGTTTAGATCATCAATATTTAAATTGCCCCCTTTGGACGTGAAAATACCGGATGTTCGATAGTAAAAAACCGGTCGTCGATAAGAAGTGATGCAGAAAAATGCTTATTACTGCTTATCTATGGAGCTTCTATATCGTTATTTCGATGTCCGTCGACGGTCAACAATCTTTTCATCCTCGATCATTCGACATAACAATCGGTAAATATCAAAGTCCTATCCCTCGAATCTAGGTACTAGTTCTCGTATTTTCAGGTGGTGTCTTTACTGATCGCGACGAAGGCACTGACAGACAAAGTATGGAGAGTATATTCAAATATGCCATCTTCCACTACAATCGTTTGGCGAAAGACGCGCACAATCTATCATTTAAAATTCGCATTCAAGAAGAAACATTGAGTCTGATTGCGGCGGATTCAGCAGTTCAAACTGTACAAGATGTTTGTTCGCTTATTCATCTACGTCGTGTTCAAGGTATATTTGGTCCACCATATTCAGAAATTGCTACTCTCGTGCATTCAATTTGTCACCATGTCGATATTCCATTCATCAATGTTTGTTCGTCATGTTACGCAGCTGAAGACACTAACACGGATGATATGGGCAATGAAATTGAGGATAAGTCCAGATCAGACCGTATGTCAATCAATCTCTATCCGTCCGATGACGACTTAAATTTTGCATTTCATAATTTAACACATAAACTTCATTGGCAAAAGTTTCTGATTATCTACGATGTTGATTCAGGTAAACGAACGAAATTCTAACTACAGAGAAACAAAATTTAACGTGCGATCTTAGGTTTAACACGTTTGCAAAGATTATTGGCAGATCCAGGTATTGACCAAACTGATATACTCGTACGACAATTTACGCATTACAAAGATCGAAGTGTCCTTATTGATGCTATCGGACGAGACATCTTCAACATTATCCTCGATTTAAATGATATTAATACACAAATAATATTAAAAATGGCATTACAAATGGGCATGATCAATTCAAATTATCATTATTTATTGACAACATTAGTATGAACATTGAAAATGTCTTGTTTGAATATATTTGTTCGATTTGTTTTTCAGAATGCTGAAACGTATGATCTCGAAGATTTTAAATATAATTTTGTTAACTTGACTGCATTTCGCTTGTTCGATCGTCGACATGGACGTGTACAAATGGCAATGGATTCATTTTTCGCATTCAAAACCATACCGAACAACGAAACCAATCGTCGTCTTTTCACAGTGAGTCATTTTGTGACTGAAAACAGTCAAGACACAAGAGATTTTCTCTGCTGCGGAATAATGAACCACAAAAAATGATCTAATTTAGACTTCTGTGGCATTGTGGACTGATGCACTATTGGCGTTCGCCTATGCGTACGATAAATTGATTCAATCGCGTTTGATTCTCGGTGAAGACATCATCCGACCTAATGTTTCATGTGTTGACGCACGTAGCTGGCCATTGGGTATTGATTTACATTCAAAATTTAAACAAGTAAATCAGCTAATAGTATTGTCGACACTGGATTGATTTTGTTCGATGAATTCTAGATAGCATTTGATGGTATAACCGGTAAAGTACAATTCACTTCCGAAGGTGAACGGACTGGATTTAACCTGGATATTCTGCATTTATCCGAGCATGGTCTAGCTAAAGTAAACGATAAGAGCGTGTTTTCAAATAACAAGATATCATCTTCGATCGTTCTTAGATTGGTGTATGGTCACGTGAGTATGGTGCAAATTATACTCTAGCCGCATCCTCACGTCGCGAACTATTCAATTCGACATTGATCGTCACCACTATAGTTGAACCTCCCTATGTCATGTTTAAAAATAGTCAGAATATCAGCGAAGCTTTGAGTCGAAATTATACCAATCATGAATTCGAAGGCTTCTGCGTCGATTTACTAGATGAACTGTCACGCGCATTAAAATTTCGTTACAAGATTAAGCCAATTTTGACGGATCGTTATGATGACATGGTTGATGAAGTCAAAAATAAAGTAAGCATCGAATAAAAGGTTAACGGTCGTGTCATTTGTATTTTATCTAGATTGCGGATTTAGCTGTCGCTCCATTAACCAGTAAGTCGTAGAATAGATCGTGGAATCGTGTAGACATCAAAGATTTGTTTTGTCTTCCTTTGTTTAGTTAACTATGCACGTGAAAAACAAATCGATTTTACTAAACCATTTCTGAGTTTGGGTATTGCGGTTCTATTCAAATTACCCAAACCCGAAAAGCCAGGTCTATTCAGCTTCCTCAGTCCATTATCACTCGAAATTTGGGTAACAACCTTGCTCTCTTGTTTTCTCAAAAACTCATCTTTTGTCAACTAGATATATACATTTGCTGCTGTGTTCACTGTTAGTTTTATTCTTTTACTCATTGCTCGATGTTCACCTGATGAATGGCGAAATCCGTATCCGTGTGATACAGAATATGATTATCTAGAAAATCGTTTTACCGTCAGTAATACACTGTGGTTTTCAATTGGTACACTCATGCAACAAGGTAAAACTGAAAAGTGATGTGCAAACAGAATGATTAACTTTATTGTTCGCTCCAAGGTTCTGATGTAAGTCCATCCGCAATATCTACTCGACTTGTTTCTGGTATATGGTGGTTTTTCACATTGATCCTCATATCATCCTACACGGCTAACTTAGGTAAAAGACAAATTGATTAGCTTTCTCAAAGAAAAGGAAAACGATCGAATGTTTCGATTCTAGCGGCATTTCTAACTGTGGAGAAACTTGTTAATCCTATCGAAAGTGCTGATGACCTAGCTAAGCAAACAAAAATCAAATACGGTGTTGTCCAAGGAGGTTCAACTGAGCAATTTTTTCGAGTAAATATTGATTCATTCCGTCCAGCATCGACATTATTCCATTTTTATCATATAGGAATCAAGTATTCCAACGTATCAAACGATGTGGAAGTATATGACTAGCAATCCCGATGTATTCGTAAAAGACAATAAAGAGGGTGTCGCTCGTGTTAGGGACGAATCCTATGCGTTCCTCATGGAATCCACAACGATTGAATACACAGTTCAACGGGAATGTAACTTAACTCAAATCGGAGGTTTACTGGATAATAAAGGTTACGGTATTGGATTACCAGAAGGTTAGATATCGATTTCGAGGAGGAACGAAATGGCTTCATGGTTGAATTTTCTAGGGAGTCCGTATCGAGAACGTTTTTCGGAAATAATTCTTGATTTACAAGAAAAGGGTATTGTAAGTACTAGACTCTGGTATTATGCATGAGAGAAGAAAATTATTTCGTATTTTTCTTTTCAGATCCAAAAATCTGTCAACAAATGGTGGAAAGGAAAAGGAACCTGTTCATCGGAAAAGAAGGATTCCAAGGCAAACCCATTGGGCGTCACTAATGTCGGCGGTATATTCGTCGTACTGCTCGGTACAATCTCATCAGCTCATAGTATTTTTATCTTTCTGCTTTTTTTTCCATTCACATCCAGGTGGCGTTGTTCTATCCTTATTTGTCGCTGTTCTCGAATTTCTGTGGCATGCAAGAAAAAATCATGCCAATCGACAAGTAGGTTTCACGAGCCGTTCGAATTACAATTCTATAGGACGATTGAAACTGTCTGTCAGATGCAGCGATAGATGAATTCATCCGACTCCTAATCAGTTCATCATACTAGAGTAATTGCACTAATACGATCATGCGAGACTTTCTTATTAATCAAAATATAGATGATTTCCTTTTTGATAATCTTGACATACATATATTAGATTAGGACTCAGCTATCGTTTTCATCAAAAAATGAGAAATGAAATTAATTCTTTCGTGATATGTTTCCAGCATTCGATATGGTGGGAGTTAATCAAAGAATTTCGTTTCTCTATCCAATGTGGTGCTTCAAATCGTAAAGCATTAGCGACCCGCCGTTGTTCTCAATGTACGAACGATCAAGAAGAAATGGAACCTGTGACAACAACCGGATCGCATCTTCTTCATCCGCCAAGCAATCGTTCGTCTGTTGCATCAAATAGTTATATGACAACGCTACAGCCGTTGAGACATCGATCAGCATTAGAACGAACGTCCGATCTTGATAAGTTCGATACATTATTAATGCTTGCTGCGGACCGTACCAGTCGTCACAATACGCATCACAAAGACCATCAACACTCCCGTTGTTCATCATCGTCCTTGCAGAGAAGACCTGTTCCTTTATTAATCATCGAACAACAACCATCCAATCATAGTTTGCATGATGATTCTCATCATCTACGGTCTAAAAAAAATCAAGGTATGTCACTTACATACATATATATATATTTCGAATCAAGCATGCAACATAGAGAAGATTACTATTTGATTTAGATTCGTCGGTACGAAGTAGTTTACAAATTCCTAATTCTGAAGACGATAATATTAGTCGGAATAGTACTGATGCTTCTTCTGGTTCCATATCGTCAACGAACCCTCGTCTTCCTTTGCGTGTTTCTCGATTGTGATTTTCTATTAATCTATGTGCGCATTGTGTGTTTCGATTGTTATTTGTTCATTTCGTTTTTTTTTCTTTTCTTAACCTGTACAAATCAAATACAACTATATCATAACTAGATAGAATGGAAACACAACAATGTTTCAAGTAGATTTTCTTCACCCTCATTTTCGGATCAATCGAAAATAGATAGAAATATTCAAGTGAATTTATTAGTAACATTGTCAAAAACAAAATATATAAAATGCAGAAAAACGTCTCAGTCATCGTCTTCGTCGGACTGGTTCTTCCGAAGACCAGAGATTGATCGTATGGTTGCCATAGTGGCCGCTGTAGAGGCCTTTGATAATGAGCTCAAAGAATTGAAGACATCCGTTCTGTTTGAATTAACTTCGTTTGCTGCTAAAACACACGGTGGCGGTTCGCGTAATTCTCTGTCAATTTTGATTACAGGTAATTGCAGATTTGTATTCATTAGTACACACTGTTTCTCCAGAAATGGCACGATGTATCGTAGAAGAAGAGATTCTGTCATTGAATTGTGATCTTCGTTACGCAGGAGAACAAGTTTTTTTCCTTCATTATTCGAACAAGCATCATAAAGCGCCTGCGAATGATCCGCCGGTATCACAGTATCACTCCGACCGTGTATAAACAGCGCTGGACATTTGATATTTTTCATCGCCTCGAGATTATTCCACGAACGCGTGCTTATCAAATAAGCAAGAACGCGAACTTTTTCTCGTACTAAATTACTAATCGCCGTGTACGGAGATTGTAGAATCAACGCTCCAATTAGTTGCGTCGATGCAAGGTAACATGCGGCACCACTACCAATCGAATGGCCATACATAATAATTCGCTCTATTGGCCATAATAGAGTATTTACTACAAAATCGAACGTTCGATCAGCATGATTATTGATAGTTTGTTGATTCGGAGATGTTGCTGTACATAAACCATACGCAGGATATTCGAAACTGATAATATAGACGTTTAAGTTTTCACAAAATTCATTCAATGTATAATGCATCGAACCGATATCACAGCCGTTCCCATGACAAAAGATTATTAAATATTCGATTTTTTTATTAGATCTCGACGGTGAGTAGAACATGCATGGAACAGGCAGTTCATCCGGCAGTTTAGCTGGAATCCAGAATAGATTTGCATGCGATGTCAACGTGTAAGTCGATGGTTTCGGTGCTGGAAAAAGAAATTTATTCAATAGCATTGAATCAATCTAGAAGAAAAGTCAAGAAAACAACTGACTGCAAATGAAAATGTGATCATCTCATAATATGGAACAACATGAACAACAACTTTGAGAATTCGAATGAGTGATTACATTAGAAATAGTTTCATCGTTTGTGCTAGGATGAGATTGCAAGAGCGGTGCTGATTCATCCATTGCCGATGAGTTGTAAACCAATGGTTCGATATTCACTAGCTGATCGTTCGTAACCGTAGATGTCACATTGTCGACTTTATCAGCTAGTTTATTTGCTAGACGATGATCACACTTAAGATCGTAATGATTGACTAAATATTACAAATGAAAAACAATCACATATGATCTTGCTTGGGAAAACATCCAGATAGAAATCGGCTGGATTCAACTATGTTAGACAAATGTGAATGTCGAACAAAGACGTCGGAAAAAATCTTCACTTACATAGACGTTGTTCATGGAAGATTTCATAGTAACCGTCGGCTTGTTTCTTTAACATATTGCATAGGTGGAGAGAGTGGAAGTTTTCTACACCAAAATGGTGGTTATCATATTTGGACTTCCAACATTCGTCGATCTTTTTCACACCTGCAAATCGACCAACGCACGCATTGAGCTTTTTAAAATATTATGAAGAATTCATCAAACCTCTCCGATGTAGATCACGGGCTTTCGATAATTTGAACAATGTCAAATGAGCATTAAACGGACGAACATCGGTAGATGCAATTCCATTTTTCTCATACGTCTCTCGGCAAATCTCTATCGAAAGAAAAAGACAAATAAAATTGATTGCTCAGCTTAAATATGTTATAGAATATACCTGCGATACGCATAAGAGCGTCGAGATGGGCGTCTTTCACCGGATCCATATAAAGAACTTTATTATTGAAATGAGAAAGTCCAGTAAAAGTAATCTGCGGCGGCGTCAGATTGACTTTCGCGATCTGTTCGTATACTTCAGCAAGACTTTGCCGTGCTCTAGCGTAATTTAATAAAATAGTGACATAGTTTTTCATTTCCAAACATAGCTTTGGAAATTAACACTGGAAAAGCAACCAAATCATTCGAGCGTACTTCAAACACGCAAAACATATGAAATTATTCGAGTTCATCTCGATTGAATGTTTCATAAGAATTATCTTTCGTTTTACAATTCAGAAGAGTCATTCGAAATCGTGAAGTGTAGCTTTTGTTTATTTTTAAGTAAAAGTACGTGATACACTGTTTACCCTATGACATCAACAGTATTTATGAATGATCACTCATGAGAAACAAGAAGAATACCAATCGTTTTTGCAATAAATTACAACAATAGCCAATTGAAGGTCGATTAGAAGGAAAAGTACACTTTTTTCTAATACAAGCTACTGCATCGACTAAACTATCGACACGTGTCATTTTTTCTCATCTTCTATATATATTCGATAATAATCGATGCTCACTCATTTTTCTTTCTATCCTATTAAACACAGCAATCAGATACACAAACCAATGTCGTATATATTGCTCTTGTTATTACTTGGCTTAGTCACATTAAGTTCTTCTGAAACGTCTTCGACCTTTGATCGTATTCGTGAACGTTTAGAATCGTCAGGCAAACGGATTACCGTCGTTGGTCACGCCGAAGCCCCTGAAGCAGCGTCGTATTTGAATCATGATCTAACACAAAATGTACCACACAAAGTCAATGTATCCAACCAAATAACGAAGAGTATTCGTGAATGGACTCCACGTCTACTAGCACTTGATCCAACGTGTCCGTACTATTTTTCTGAAAAAACAAATGCTTCAAAACCTGAAGAAGATCTCAATCTTCTTTCCTATCTCTTGGGAAGTAAGTCTTCATATAGAACAAATTCTCTCACTTAGTCTATTTTTATTCTAGTTGAGTCAAACAAAACACTTGAACATCTGTTCATTAGTATTCTGCCAGATTCCTATCGAAATGCCGTTCCACTTCTCTCGATCCTTCGTTGCCATCACCTAGTTTATCCGGCGTCAACATCCGATACGTTCTTCCATAACGTCAAACTTATTGTTGGGCCCGGGAACACTGAATTACCTTTCGAACAACAATCAGCTACGCACTCGCAATTATTCTGTTCTCTTTCTGGCTGGCCACAATTTGTCCTTGTCGATTCAGCAAAACAATCAACACCATTCAACCGAGAAACTTTCCTTTCACAAGAAAAGTTCGACAACGTCGAGTTTGCTTCAACAAATTTAGCACCGGGTACTTGTCTCTACATTCCACCTGAATGGATCGTCGGTGGACAACTGAACAATAGCATCTCCCTAAGTTATATCTTGAAAAAAATCGAGAAACCCACATCCGATGATGAACCAATCGCATGTACAACAACGGGTGAAACGACCATTGACAATGTCGATTTCGATATTGACGATAAATTCAACGTAACTGAAATTGGCTTGGTAGTTTATTTCTATCAGTATCTCAATCCACCGATGTTCGATAAACAATTTGATTCAAAAGCGTTTTTTCAACAGCTGCAGTCGGACCGAAATATTTCTCAATTGGTTATGAAATGGACACCAGAACTGACAGATTTAATCGAAAAAACGCTTTTCAATCGACTTGATATAAATCAAGATGGTGAATTTAGCATCGATGATTATTTCGAAGTCAAACGATCGAACTTACTCGAAATTCAAAATGGTGTATTCGAAATCTTGGAGAAATTGCGTATGATCATTGTCGGTCAATATCAAGAGTTAAATGCGACCATCACCAAATTCACTGAACAGGTTCGCGCGGCTGGCGTTGAAGGCACAACAGGTGAAACACTCGATGCACTCATAGATGAGTTGCCTGATGCAATTAAGGCCAAGTTAGCGGAGAAAAATGCCAATGTCAAAGAGGCAATTGACAAAGTTAAACAAAAGAAACCGAAACCATCAACAACCAAACAACGTGTTCGCGAAGACGATCCATCAGTCTTCTTTGATGAAAAACAAGGTGATGAAGCTAGCTCAATAGTCAATCAAGAAGATGAAGAAGAAGAAATAACTGCTGAACCAGTAGCTAACATCACAGAACCTCACCGAACTGATTTATAAACAGAACAGATTAGTTTGCTTTTGTTTTTGTTTTCCTTTTCTAACTAGTAATATTTATTTGACTAACCTCTGTCTATCTTCGTCTGTTTTCAATGCAAATACCATCAATGTCACGTGCAGTGTAGGAATCGATGTGCTCGCTTCCGATAATAATGGATTGGCTTTTATAATCTGTTTTTGAATTTCACTCGCACAATCAATAATCTAAATAAACATGCAAGAATACATCTCTATTCTTTCTCTTCGCTTACCTCTTGATTCGTAATTCTAAAACTCAAGAATGCATTAGGTCGTACAAATTGCTGTCGTTTGTCGCGTTTACCTTGAAAATAACCAGACCTCAATCATGAAATGTTGTTTCACTACTACGAACCTTCGTGGTATGTACTTCGGTGGTGAAGAATTTCTTCTTGACTATCATCAGTGTCTTGCACTCGAACATCACCCTCAGAAACGGGCCGTGAGCGTTTGTTTGTCGCTGAAGTAGCTATTTTCCTTCCTTGATTGAATATTTTCTTCGCTTGTTTAGACGAGGCCATGGAAAATATCTACAGAAAAACAAAATACGCGTGTTGATTCGTAGAATGACACACATATTTTTAGAACTGTTAAATAGTCAATATTTGTTCCAATTATTTGAATATATTCTCTGTAAAACAACTGCTCAAACAGAAAAACGCATGGAGTCTCAGGTTCTCGTAATCAGGTACTTTTTGTGATATCGAAAGCATAAAAATAGACTTCTCGTTCTGATATTTAATAAACTATGTCGTCAGTTTTATTTACCTTAGAAAAAGCTGTATCTCAGAATAGATTAATCAACTGAACGACAGCTTTTCTTTCTCAAAATAAAACATCACAAGCATCGTTGTTTCGTGATATTTATCGAAAAGAAAAACAAACATATAAAATATTCACAATATCCAATATCATTTGTTATTTTTGCGTTTTTTTGTTCAAATCTGATAATCTATACAAACAACAGTTAACATAAACAAAAGCTCGAGCTTAGGTTCGGTTGGTTTCATAAGAGAAATTAACAAGAAAAGAATGCGTGACTGATGTAAACTAGAAAAGCAAAAGTAGCAGTGAAAAAAATATTGCAACTCTATGGCTTCGTAACATCCATCGTAAGATTCACTGTTTGGAATGAATGATCAAGAGAACACACATAGTTAGGTAGAAAACAATCGGTTGAAAACGAATTTGTGTTGACTGAGAACATGGATTGAGTAATCTAGCTGAATAAATCGATATTGAAGTTTCGTCTTTTAAGTTGTTAAATGAACAATCGTGACTATTGTTTCGAATAATAATCGAATCACTCATTTGAAAACTCTAGGAAAAGAAAAACGATTGGAAAATATTTGTTCGATATGAATTTTGACATACGAGACAATAGCTAGCGTTCGAATATATGGATTGAGCAATGAGATAGATTGTTGAATGATCATCAGATTGCCAAGATGCAAGACAAGTATCCGTTTGAGTTAGTAAACGATATTCCGGATCTAAATATTATTCTTTGCAAATCCAATGGTGACTGAATATTTCCTTACAAACCTTTTTCCGTTTGGTAGATCATTAGTTTTTCTCGATTATCACACCCGACGGACATTTGAAATGCTTGTTTTCGTAGAATAATCTGTCGATGATGATGATAATGATTGGTTTCTAGTAACAAATGGCCAATGGATGTTGGACACGATGTGAAATAACGTGACTTAGTAACAAATGTGACTTTTCGTTTATCACCATTCGCCGTACAATCATGGAAAACTAATTCGATAACATTATGCGTTCGTCGGTGAATATGCAGACATTCTTCAGTCATATGGCTAGAAGAAAGAAATGGGGTTTCCAAAGATTGATTCTCTATTTGAGATTGTTACCAGTTGTTGAAGGATCTTATCCGATAATCGGATCGATGTCGAGTTTGAAGACAATGAAATCGTTGATTAGATCCGCTATCCTTGAAATTGACTAATTCAATATCAGTGTGTTTTATGATCATTTGAATTGATCGGTTAAGTGAGTACCAATTCGATTGTTGAAATTCTTCAGGAAATGTACATGTTCTATTAGATTCATTTTCTTTGTGTCGATCTAAATTAAGATTAAAGATTCGAGAAATAAAAGATGTAATTCTATTATTAAAAAAAAACCATTTACTTGGCGATGATAATGTCATTATTATTGGCATGTACTTCGAATTGAGATCACGACATGAATCATCGGTTGCCATACTCAATGAAACGGACGTGGAAAGATCTTCTTGTCTGGTTACAAGATGCTTCAAATGAACAGATCATCAGAAACTGAGACAATCGTGAATTTCGGACACGAATACTTACAAAGCATGCGTATTGGCTGTCAATGTTTGGTGGTTTCGATAGAATGCGTGTAACAAAATAAGTGTGAAAACCATCGATCCATGTTCCAACGCAGAGCAATTGCAGGTCAAGAGTTCGTTGATGGGATGAACAAGCAAGATGAAGATGAAATTGATTATCATTAGCACATTCACTAATGTATGATTTTGAAAGTGATGATTGGTGACATGTCGAGCCGTCTTTCGTTAAACTTGTCAAGTGCAATGGCGGTTGAATTGGACATAATTGTGGCTGAGCATCATCTAAATATGATAAAAATAACAATCATGATGAGCATGTTGTCAAATAGGAATAACATCAGCTTCTCTTTTATCTTTTTTCTCTTTTTAATGCCCATACACATGCGCAATCCTTCAACCTCATCATCTTTCGATGTTGTATGTTAAAATAACATCGATAACAACCATCGTAATCAGAATAATACTCACTTCGATGAAGTGTATACAAAGCCGCATCGGGTGCAATCATATTCGGACATGAAGTAACATTCAATAGATCATCTGCATCACTACATTCACCTAGATGAAAAAGTCAAAAACGAGAAATTAATGAATCAGATTTCCGTCGGATGACGAATAAAAAACATACTTTCACGATATTGCAATAGATTTTTATGCCGTTCAATAAGTAAAAGACATCGCGTACAGCGATTGATACTATTTAAAAGCAAAAAAGAAACGATGAAGTATGTTCGACACCATTATTACGCTTCATTACAAAAAGCAAACACTATTTTCTGGTGTACTGATTTTTATCCCCGCGCGTACATATATAATATGATGCAATGATTCGGACATTCAAATTTTTTTTTCCTTCTGGTCTGACTATGGTCACAGGGAAAAGATTCGACGGAAATGCATACATCTAACATTTGCTCGAGCTTTCACACTTGTTTGTTAAGCCGAAAAGCCGTTTAATTAATATTTCTTTCACTCGTATATGTCAAAATGATATAGAACACGTGTACAACTATCCGAATGGTAAAAGTTCCTAATGATGACAACTATGTTCAACATACCGATCATTAAAAAGGTAATATTGTTCACTAGGATGTACATCGATACAACGCCCTTTTGTATCGATATGATCGATAGTGATGTTTAATAGTGAGTTCATGCCACGTTGATACCATGAGCCAAGCCATGCCGTCGGCATATTGCATAACGAGCACGCTAAAAGATAAAAAAAAACGGAAATACATAAGAAAAGTCTTTGAAGGCTATTTATAAATTGCAATTGATTCTTTCATTTGTTCCCTCTTCTTCTTCTTTTTTATCTTTGGCGTTCAATGCCAATACCACGCCCTTCAATCATTTCTTGTCGCTCTGTCACCAACGATAAAAAAGTCATTCGCATGAATATTTAAACGTTGATTAATATAGAATTTTTCTATGCGAATTCAGTCATGTTTTATTTAGACCATGCCTGCGTGAAAGACGAAGACGCAATCGTTCCTACTGAAACCAGTTTTAGCGTGCATGCTGTCATTGAAGTACTGAAAGATAGATAGATATATCATTTCTAAAAATATCTGTAACGTTGTCTAAGTTCATCGGAATTACATCATCGAAATAGAAAATTTCCATCAACGATGAAATGCGTAAACACATCGATGTGCATCTACTTAGAATCATCAATCGTCATTGTCTTTTCTCAGATTAGATAGTTTGCTATGGGCGGATATATTGTGATGGCAACACTTCAGGATGTGGAATTTTTCTCATCATGCAGTAACACTTGAGAAAGACAAAACAATTGATACAGCTACTGTGAACGTTTCAATTGATCACTAAAAGAGAAGCTGAAGGCTGATGATAGCTGCAGTCAAATAGCCGAGGAAATTCTCTCATACTTGAAAGGCATCTATGTATCTCTCTTTCTCTCTTTTCTTCAACTTTGCGTCTCCGTACGCTATTCATTCAGCCAGTCTAGCATCTGCCCAGTTCTAATCATCACTTAAATAAGAAACAGAATAACGCAGTCAAACAATTTGAATTCGTTCATTAGACAGCGACGCTTTATCGCGTGAGCTTCCAAATTTAATTAATGATGATGAATGAATGAATGAATACATTTAGTACAGGCAAAGACGAACGAGAATGGGAGGAGATTTCGAACACAGAAAAAAAAAGAAACAACCAGAGCAGATGGACAATACTTCGCATGCATCAAAGCATAAATGACAGTCACGTCGAAAGGTGTATTGTCTAAATAAATCTAATTGACGAAAGAACGCGTGTGCATATCATTGTTCATTCTTCATCTTCATTCTCTCGACAGCTGTCGTATACATGAACGTATATCCATCAATCGATCAGTCTAAACACTCATCTATCTCTTTTGACAAATCGTTCACACTATCGTCAGCGAAACAATAATCATAGTATGCAACTAATACATAATGAACAGAGAAAAACAAAGAATGAAGTTAAAACATTACCTGACTTCGTGTAGATGATAAAAATCAGATTTAAAAGAACTAATCGACGAGTCCCATTCATCCGTGTGCCATTAGAAAATATTAATGATTTAATAAATGTATGTACGTGGATTTTCTTTTCTCTTTGTGAAACTAAGAAGAACAAGTCTACATACAAGAAAAATGAATGATGACTAAAAGCGTATAGCACGACGTGTCTTCCGCCTTCTACTACTATACTACGATGACGACGGCGACATGTATATATACATACAATCTCTATTTCTTTTCTGCACTGAGAAGAAGAGAACGAAAGAAAGAGAGAGAGAGAGAGAGAGAGAGAGAGGGAGAGATGAGGATGATCGCCATCGTAATAAACGATAGCAAGAGGCAGAGAAAGAGAGAGGGAGGGGAGAGATCGACAAGGAAAAAAAAGAACAAAGTGGCACGCGAATTACTCGTATATAAAAACTTGATGATGATGAAGAGAAGGGGAGCCGACAAACAACTGTCCGAACGATGAACAAATGACCTCATCATTGCGAGACCTTTGTGTTTCAATATACATACATATCCAATGTCCTTTTAGTCACGTCCGTTCGTTTCTTCAATTCACAATTTTATTACATGTCTGAAAGTGTCTCACACCTTCCCCTTCACATCTATCAAAAGCAAGATCATGATCGATCTTATTCGAGCTGAAAAGATCTCAGTCTATTCAATGATGTTTGAATTATTTAAGTACAAGCAGCAAAAATAGATGAAGTACACTTTACACCTTATGTACATATATGGATATTAACAATCGACAATTAGTTTTTCTTTTTCTTCGCTATTGTTTAATGTACACATATTCATCGAGATGGGTGTATATGTATGTATGTACACATATATAACATACGGTAGGTGAAGGAAGTAATCAACAGATGGATAATAACGATCTATCATTCACTCACCGGGTTCGAAGTGTCTGCTTGTTAGCCATCTTGAGATTAAGAATGTAAAATCTGAAGAAAAAGAACGAAAGTCGACTGGATGGTTTTGTCTCGTGATTATATTAACATTTGGAAAATAAATGAAAAGGAATATAAAAGAAAAGTGTTCTGTATTACCACTGGTTCAATTACAATGAAAAAAAATTTTTGGTCTTTGATTACTTTCAATCATAATTTTAAAGTGTACCTTTGACTGTCGAAGGACGATAGCTCTAATGAAGTTTTTCATCACTGTCAATTTCACTTGATCCTCTGCGCTTTTTAGATTCATCATCATCATCGTCCTTAGTATCCGATACTTTTGTTTCATCAGGTACTTGTTTGGATTCTTCTCCTTGCTGAGAATCTGAGTTGGCCATTTCCATTCTGGAATTAAATCCGGTAGAAGAAGTTTCTTCATCAAAAAAATGAGACACCTACGTGTTTTGAGACACCAATGTTTGGCCATGGCCAACATCCATTGCATCTTTATCATCGTCCACAGTTTGTGTTTGTTGACTATCGATTGAGTCATGTGGAATAGAAGGTAAACGATCGACTAATGATGCGACTTCATCTTTAGACGTAATTTCTGGCGTGTCAGGAGTCGAAGAATCACCATTTTTAATGTCCTTCAATGTGAAATCATCGTCATTTGCTTTCGATTCATCTGTAGTTTGTTTTTCGACTTTTGTCTCCGGTTCCTCTTTAGGGAGAACTTCTGATGCAGGTTTTACAGGATCGAACGGCGCAAATTTCAATTCCTCAGCTTTCTTCACCCATGCATCGTATATATGATCGTCCCAAAGGACGAATACAACTAACGGTAATGAGCCGGCATTTTTATCGATTGTTTGAAGGGCAACATCAGCGCCGTCATTTGCTGGCTGTGAAATATAACATCATCTTTATTTGTTCAAGAGTAACTAATACTCACATAACCGAATATCCCACAACTAATAGCAGTAAAGCCGATGGATTCGAGGTCATATAGATTGGCTAAATCAAGTGCCGTTTTGTAACACGAAGAGAGTTGGTCAGCACATTGCGAAACTTTCCTGCTATTATATACGGGACCAGCTGTGTTGATGATATAGTAAGTTGTCGATGACATATTATAGCTCAACAAAATACGTGAATGTCCAGTTGGTAGACGAACACCCGATTCAATTTGTTTATGAGCAACACAAGCTGAATAAAGTTTCTCTCCGGCAGCTCTATGAATCATTCCATCGACTCCAGCACCACCCGTCATATGCTCGTTTGCAGCTATTGGATATACAATACACTTAGATAATGTTATTTTCCATCAACAAAATATGCAAACCATTCACAACGGCATCGACCTTTGTTTGAATAATATCACCTTGAAGTATAATCAGTATTGTACGCTTGTTATTGATAAAATAATAACGAGGAATGCGTTTTTTAGTCTTCGTTTTCGCCATTAGATACGATCCATATCTCTTCTCCAACTCGGCTTGGTTTCTAGATACAACATAATTGTAGGATCAACACATATAATCATTAATGAGATATAACTTACTCTCTCCAATAATCCACTGCGTCTCTATGTTCATATGGTGAATGATCTGGCTCCAAGATGATCGATTTAGGATGATCTTGTGTCATTCTGTGAATACATAAGAATTTCATTTTAGATTTTTCACGGAATAGAGTCTTACAGACGACTAAATACACCAGGCAACACATGACGAGCGAAAAGTGTGAAAAAATATCGAAAAAAGTTGAGAGGACTATGCCTGAACAGAACATATTTCAAAAAGCGAACTAATCGAACAGCGACGGCATGTTCGTTATTTAAGTGATATTTCATTTGATTATTATAACCAAAAGGATAACTGACAAAACCAACGATGAATGCTTACCGATCAGATTGTACCTCTGGTGATTTTGCTGATCTACCGTCCGCACCGCTCGACGCCATCATTAGATAAAAGTGTATATTGTGTAAATCTTAAAAAATAAACCAAAAAAATCTCTTGAAGAAGAGTAAATCATCTTATTTCGAGTAAATAACATTAAAACATGGTACATTAATCATTTTCCAGTGATAGAACTAACTTGATTAATCGCATAGGCAGTAGACATAATCGTCTATACGCACATCATTTTCGTTTCGCGATAAAAGCCACTGTTGCTTGAGAACTGGTTCAATAAAATGTTTTTTTTATGTAAAAAATAACTTTCACAAATAATCTTTTGCGATTTTCAAGGAAAGAATGGCAATAGGGCAAAATTCTATGCGTTGCTTTTCTTCGATGAAAAAAAGAAAACCATGCAAAATTTTCAAGTTAAGCTAAGCAACATGTTTAAATACGACACAGAGTGGTAGTTTGAAAGAACGAACGGATAGGAAGTAAAATGTCAGTATATATGAGCGCTGCTGCTGATAGATGTCGAGAAGTATCGCAAGATACCATTGCATACGGTTTTTGAAGAAATACTCCAAAGCAGGCTTTGTCATTGTTGCTGAAGCACTTAATGGTTGTAAATGTACTTGAGTCGTTCTCTATTCTTTGAAATGATTGATGTACCTCGAAAACCTCTTTCATGCGGAGATTGTTGACAAAAAGGCAAAAATAACTGCTGAGACTCTTGTCGAAATGGTTTCGATGCTAAAATATGTGCATAAAACATTGAACATGAATTAAGGTATATAAGAAAACCAACTGCTAAATAGCGAATGAAATCTTCCACGGCCAAGCGATCGGCTGTTTTAGATATATCTGCCGTAATTGTCAGATATATTGTAGTCAATGGAAACCAAATTGTCGAGAGAACATAAAAAACGACTTCGCTAATCAAAACTTTGACTAGTTGAATATCGCGTCGCTTAATTCTCAGCGCTGAATCTGGATGTGCATTTCGAATACGTGACGCTGGTCGAGTACGAATTTGAGATTGGTGAATATTTTGAATAGCCCAAATCGAAAATATAATCATAATGATTAATGGTGCTGAAGTGGCAATAGTTGTATAGATACTATAGACGATTTGATACACACCTGCCGTACCACATCGACTAGCGGATTGTATGTTAGCATAAATGATCACATGGATTGGAATGATTATCCATAGAACACAGATGACAAGGATTAGGATCAAAGCTATTCGACGTTGGCATAGATTACGGAGAAAAATATTCTGCGAACATAGAGCAAATCGATCCACGCATGCTAGTGCTACACTTGACCGAGATAACATTAGAAATACATGTATGAGATATGCCTTCATTTTGCAAAATGTAATTGAATACTTGGACGCGTTGTCTGGTAAATACGAATCTATAATCACTGAAGTCATTCCAAATAGAATAGCTAATAAACTGAAAATTGATGTTGCAATAAAATAAATTGAACATGAATTCTTCCGAAATTTCTTCTGACTGAAAACAAGTAGATTTAAGATTGAACCGAGTATTCCTAATGCATAACAGACAGTTAAAACATAACGTGTGAGTATATTTTGAATGAAACTAAGATCACTGATTAAGGTCATGGATGTATGCACGAGAGTTTTCTATGAGTTAAGTAAACAAAGTAGTTGAACTTCATAAAAAATAGAATTCATCGCAGTTTGCTGAGAACTAAGCACTAAATAGTACATTATTCTCATTAGAGCTTCGTGTCGCCTACGAATATTTTGGCATGCTTTGTTTTTCCTTAATATTTTTGTATCAACTTAATGGGAGTTAATTGTAAGCGGATTCATTCCTCTGAAATATCCTCTTATTTATCCGTCGTTTCCGCCAGCAGGAGATAGTTAAGAGTGTTGTGCTTTCAATTACTGACTAATTGCTTTGGAAATAATATGACATACATTTTCCCATTTTAAAACGCAATTGATATTCGTATTCCTCTCATCTCATCATAACACTTACTGTTTGCTCTTTGAAATGAAGATTTTCTAAATCAACTTGTTTATCTTTTACATCCTACTGCAATATTTTCTCTTTTCAATCAGTACAAAAGATAAAACTTGTTAAATATCTCAACAATCGTTGTTAAATGAACATTGGCTTATCGTCACACTGATCAATAGTGAGAAAAAAGCGACCCATTTCTACTCTTTATGTGTTAATCAATATCAAAGATTCTGTCGGTATCTACCGTATCACAGTACATAAGCACCAGCTCCCGATTTCTCCACCTACAATTTTTCCCGTATCTAACTAGAAATATTACTGTCCTATTTGATCTCTTTCGTTCGCTTGAAAACTTCGTCTAATCTCCATTTCATTTTGTTTACCGATCAATATCATGTAAGAGAATTTCCATCAACTTGTGATCAGTGGAAACTACCAACTGGCACGTTGTTGTTGTTCCTTTTTCTCCTTTGATCATTGTCAATCAACAGATGAGCTTAGGTGTACTAATTAGTCTGTTTTTTCTCGATCTTTTTGATGTCCTTCTGTCGATTATTATTGTGTGTTGAATTATGATTGGTGAGGAAAATGAACAGACATTTTTTCGTTCCTATGTATAGTGCTGTTCGTCAACATAATTGTCATCATTCCCTGCGATAAAACATTGTCAATCATCTCACGATAACAGGTTAAGTCATCGAATCTCTTTTACAGATAGTCTGTTCTTCTCTGTTATACCTAGGTATGGATCCATACTATTCATCACCATCATCTTGCTACTATCATCCATCATCTTGCGCTTCTTATGAATCATCGCCATCGTTTTTATCAGATCCTTATACTGATCCATACTCATCGTATCCATCAACATCTACATCTTATTATTATTCATCATCATATACTGATCAAACAACCTCATCACCCATTGTTTTCTACAATAATTCGGCAACAAATATTCATAATCAGCCGAATTATCCAGCTCCGATAGCCAGTACTCCGACGAATATGTCAATTGCTTGCTCCACATCCTCATTAAATACCACATTCGAGTCGGGTATGTTTTCTTTTCTGAGATATATGCATAATTTTCTATGATGATCGTGTATGTAGCTCCACCACCAGGTCGTCGCCGTCGTCAACGAACAATTTTCTCAAAGGATCAAGTTGATATTCTCGATCAAGTCTTTGAAAAAAATCAATATCCTGATTTTCAACTGCGTGAACAACTCTCCGAAAGACTAGATGTTCCTGAAGCTCGAATTCAAGTATGTAGTAACGAGTGAAAGAAAATTTTAATTCTTTAATTGTTTTCTCTGGTAGGTGTGGTTCAAAAATCGTCGTAGCCGTGCTGGAAGAACAAAATCAAAATACTAATGGAAATTCTCTGTCAAGCTTCAGTTCATACACGAAGTTTTCTGTATTTTATTTTAGTATAAATAAAAATTCATTCGAGTATAAAAAGAATCTTTTAAACTGTTAGCATATGACGAGGGCAGATTGAGTATGGGAAAGAGATGCAGATGGTTTCTGGTGTAGACGTCATCGGAAGGATAAAACTGCCTTTCGTGCGAAGATAACGTTGAAAATGGACGATGAAAATGAAATCTTTATTGGTACTTTTGAACGTGTTCCACCGGTGAAGAAAACACGGTGTGCTGCACGCTGCGTAACAATAAGTCTAATCGCTAGCGTGATTATTTGTATCGTGGTTATTGTTCGCACGAGTACAAAGAGCGCAGCGCGTTTGAAAGTCAATGCGTTGTGGTTCCCTTCAGCTGGAAGTGAGTCTTGTATTCGATTAATGGACATTAATGGCGATGGACTGGATGATGTTATTGTGGGAGTAACTGAGGTCACGGCAATTACAAATGAAATTAAAAAAGAACAAAACCGTTCGGCCTTCTGTGAGTCATTGAATGTGGAAGAACCATGCAGTGGCACGATGTATGGCATACGAGGATATGATTTTAGTATTCTGTGGTCGTTCCGAATGAAGGAGTCGATCTTCGAACTCGTTTGCGATCTCATCGATTTGAATAACGATGGCCATCGAGATTGTATTGGCGCCGGACGGCAAGCATCTGTGGTTGCTTTTGATCCTTACCATGGCAAAATAATTTGGGACAGTAGAAATATAAGATCACGACGAGTGCTGTGGAATTTCTATAATCCTGTTCTTTTACCTGTTGATGTGGATGGCGATGGGATGAATGATATACTTATTTCTCATGGTGGAAATCCGACAATTCCCTCGGAAGTACACGAACGTGAAGCAGGCTGCTTATTGATTCTCTCCAGTCGAAATGGAAGCCAAATCGGTGAACCATTCTGGATGCCAGATGGTAAGGAGACATATATGTCGCCGATTTTATATAACAATGAAACAATACTTTTCGGTACCGGTGGCGAAACGGTACCCGGTGGACTTTACAGCATATCTTTGGATAATCTTCTCAAAGGACATAATCAGTACATAACCGTAGTACAGTCCAAGACAAAGGGTATAATGGTGCCGCCTGTTATTCTTGATATCGATCATGATGCAATTAATGACATTCTTGTTAGTCATTTTGATGGGACTCTAGAATTAATCGATGGGAAAACAATGGCACCATTATGGAGTCGAGTATTTGAAGGTTGGGAATTCTATACAACGCCAGCACCAGGTGACTTCAACAGTGATTCATTCGTCGATTTTATGCTGATCTTAAATCGCGGTAAATGAATGTAGCTTTCGAGAGTGATCTATTGCCGAATTAAGTATTTAGGTGAATGGGATCGATATAATTATAGTGAAGTCGTGATTATTGATGGCTTAACAGGTGAAACGATCTGGAAGAAAAGAAATCAATTTGGTGAATTTACTGCTCCGTTGACATTACAAATGAAAAATAATGGAAAATATCAAGATAGTTTTATCTATCGTCAGCGTGGTCAGAAGAGTGAGGGTGTACCTTCAAATACTTCGTTGATATTATTTCATGGCATTGGTCTACAAGACGGAGAGATATCAAAGTTATCTTAGTTTCACATCATTTTCTTATCGAATTCCTTTTTATTTTGTTTTAGAAATGATGGTGCAGCAACGTCGAATCTAACGTCTTCCTGCGATTCTTTCACATTAACTGATTCTGTTGCGCATATATATCTGACCAATATCCATGGCACCCATTTAATTGGCAGTATCTACCCGCCGATGAATAATCAAAATGAACTATGCAGCGACTTTGAACCGATGGAACGCGCAGGCGGTGCACTGGGAGATCTTGATGGCGATGGCGTTTTCGATACTGTGGATATCACAACATTTATTACGAAACTGACATCGCATACTTTACATGCTTTTCGTGCTCATTCGGTATTGACGCGTTTTCCGTTGAATGCAAACCTTATTGAGCCGCAAATCATCGCCAGCTATCAAACAGATATTTCAAGTAGGACTGTCAATGACAAACTTCTCGAATCATTGAGAAGGAAAACTTCGCTGTCGAAGAAATCAATAGTCTTTGATAAAGATTCATATGTGATACCGAAACAGACGTGGAATGCTTATCTGGGTCGATTCGCCAATAGTCACTACTATCGAAATATTGAATAAAAAACAAACAAACAAACATAGAACCATCTGTTGTATAGCAGATAAGCAACAGATGACTTTGTTTATTGTGTAGAAATATAAAGAGGACATTATGAGTGAATATGAAATGAGGAGGTGAAAGAGAAAGTTGTATTTAGCGGTTTCAGTTTTTCAATAAATGATCGTAAGTGTTGGTGAACTTGTGTGAACGATTGTTCCACTAAAGTTGGTGATGACTTGAGTTGTCAGAGAATAATCGTACGAAGCGTAAACACCGTTTTTCAGAATTTGAACTTGTCCATTCGACATATTTGCTGGCTGCATATAAATTGAGGTATTCGTCAAGCTGCCTAATTGACTTGTTATTTGTATATTTCTCTGATTCATGCATGAAGTATCGCAACTTGTCGCAAAATTGATCATAAAATCACTAATCATTTGAATCGTACTATTAGAATACCTAAAAGTAAATCAAATTCATTATCAATACTTTTCATCTTAATAGTTTCCTTTTCTTCTTTCATTACCAAAATTGCAAAATGACATTACTGATGGTAATATTAAATGCATTCGAACCATTAGGAAATTGTGCTTGGCGTTCAATCTGATCAAATAAAATGATAATAGACAACAAGTCGTATGTCATGGAAGAGGATTTTTCCTTTGGCATCTTACTATTTGTGTCAGTGCAGGATACATAGTAGAAGCTGCGACGAGTGGAACAGGCCCATCGTTTTGACTCGCCGAAGTTTGTGTGCTTGTCGCATCTAACGTTGCAATGTAGTTGCTTTTACTGGTAGAAACAATCATCGTACAACTCTTGGCAGAGAAAACTAAGAGAAAAAAAACGAGAAGGATCGATTGAATGGTCAAAGATGGACATATTTCTACTGACTACTACTCAATTTTGATGAATTACTGTTTTGTATTATGTTAATTTGACTGCCGGAAGGCATATTTGAGATAATTTCTATCGGAAATGTTAGAAAAAAAAACGGTCGTTTTTGAAATCAAACAGTATGCTGTCATACTGGTAACGACAACGATGTTTTCAATGGAAATATACGGAGTGTAAACTGTAATTGCGCTCGAAACAGTATAAGACAGGTTCGAATTTTGTATCAAAAAATAGATTGGTGATGACAGTTGTTTATATGAGCACAATTGATTGAAAATAATCAGTTGTCGACGTTGATCACAGGTTAAACATTCATGTGTATACATAATGACAAAGTCTAATGTAACACTACAGACAAAGCTCCTAGAAATTGAATTGAAAGTTTCCCTTGATCTCATCAGTACCTCATGTTACTGGAATCATCTGTATCGGCAGACATTTGCAATATAGAGATGTTCGACTGATCTTGATAATTGTTTATTAGCAATTGTTGTTCAAGCTAGAAGAATAGCGATGTATTCTGAAAGACAACGAAATATTGCGCTCACTGCGTATTGAATTGACGCGTTCATAACCATTTGTGCATCAGCAAGGGTCGATGTATTTGTCAAGAGTGTCAATCGTGCAAGATCTCGTTTTTGCAAAACTTGATTCATATGCAAAGTGTAATTACTTATTCTCACCGCTGAAACAAAAAAAACAGCGCATCGAGATGTTGTTTTTGCATTAGAAAAACCTTCGGTGTTATACTCGTAAGAATAAAACTTGTTTTGTCAACTGATTGATTACTTAAGTATAACGGGATGATCGACAAGACAATCATCGATGCCAACAGGAAGGAAAAAGTAAGAAATCCGACCATTGTTAACGATGGCAGAATCATTTGTAAATAGGATTTTCTCAAAAAGAATCACATGTCAATATCAATGAATATTTTCCTATTTAACTTACGTTGTTTGCAATGTTTCTCTAGTGAACAACATGATGCAGCAATTGCGTCGTTCGAAAATGAAAACTTTGAGATTCTTCGCGCATGAAATTCGTCAATTTATATCGCTATCTTTTTCGTAAAGCATCCGATAACATTACGTGCCTTTTGGGACTTTTAAAAATTTTGATTTTTTTAAATGATATTCACTATTGAGAACATCTAGATGACAGATGATAAGTACTTTCATTAAGTTTGCTTTTAAAATTCTTAATGGGAGTATCATACTACTTCAAAGAAGAAAAAAACAAAAGATGAGAGTGCAAATGTTCGTTTAGTTGTAAACTTGATGGAACGTCAAGCATCTATTGACAGGAAACGCAAGCTGGTACCATCAAACTCCTTCCCAAATCAAATTCTTCAATCGGTTGTTAATTACGATTCAAAACTTGATTTCACCTGCGTGCCCATTGCCATTGACGAAAAATTTTACGAGTCATCCATACGTCGGCAAACATATGGGTTAATCTGGAATTCCGTTCGATCGGCTGAATGCATTTGTTGAGATTCTTCAAATATCACCGGAATGGTCACGATATGACATCGACCTCCTTATTTACAAGAATCGAAATCAGAAATTGCTGAACGTTCTCGCTCTACGTGATGAATTTGTTCGTGTTTTACGCCGATTTTTTCAACAAGATCCCAGTCAAATGAACGATTCGTATGTCTTGAAGTATCTGGAGTTTACTCGTCGCGCAATTCAGTTAACAATTCACCATCGACAAGATAGAGAATTGCCACTGATCATTACATTTTTGCTCCTCATCGAATTGAATATCCCTTGGACAACCTTCTCTTTCCTAATGAATATTTCCAATCTCATGCTGATATCAAATCGACATATCTAAGTCCGTCAAATTCTATTAAATTTCAATTCGATTCGAGTATTATCGAAGCGAAGCTATACGATTATCTGATCGACACCTCCGAATCATTCTCATCGATATTCACAAGTCTTTTTGAGCTACGAAATCAATCTCTAAATTATGTCCAACGAGTGGAGAGATATATTTCCAGAATAGGAGACGAACCAACAACGTCAGATCAGCTCAATTCAATCCATTAATATCAACCAAGATCGAAGGTGTCTTATCATCATTATTTTGCACATCATCCTTACAGACATTATTTCTAATGCTTTACAAATCTTAATCGATGCTCTAGAAAACAATTATCTCGAACACCCCTTACTGAAAACAAAAAACATATTTTCGGAAATGTTTTCGCTCTGCGATGTAAGTCTTCAATATGGAATCAAAAAACTACTTGTGGATATGCAAATCAATTTGAAAAGACGTATGCATCGATAACCTCAATCCATCAAAACGTATTTTGATGTTTATGACTTTGTGTTTTTTATTATGATTTACTTAATAGAAAAATACAGTGTTGTCGTGTTTTTCTTGATTTTATGAGAATTTATTCCCTGACAATCTAGTTAGTAAATAGAACTATATTTGCTTAGGGAGACCGGTTGCTCGTGTGTAATTGTACCAGAATAAAACACCGTATAAAAATAAAAAGACGGCCTTGAATGATCGACTGTGCCATTTCGAAGAAGAAGAGAGAAAGAGAAAAGAAAAGATCGCAAGATACTTATTGTAGATTCTCGTGTTTTGCTTGTCAACAACAAATTGATTAGTAATCAGACTTAAATCTTCACTTGAAGTTCTTTTTTTCTTTTTACTCTGTCAAATAATTTTACGTCCACACACCTCCGCGCTGTTTCTTCCTGTTGGTATTTTTTGTAAAAAATAAGTCGACGGTTTGGTTGACGACGTCATCAACATCATCATTTGCTAGCTTTCTCTCACTCTCGTTTCTTTTTTGTCGCTCTTTCTTCATCTTTTTCCTTGTCATCCACCTTTTTTTATGAATAACGAAACGACAACAACGGCATCCATCCTAACAACGACACTAGGCTGAAAAGCATACAGAAAGTTAACGCTAAAACGCACGCCAAATCATCATCAACGTGCGAGCAGAAACATTCATTTGATTATATTGACGACAACACAAAACAAGCATACGTTTCGCTTCTAAACGTATGTAGTCAAACACTATACAAGGTAAGTCTAATAGTTATTTCATCAGGCTCTTGACATGAAAACAACAGCTCGATGGTTTCATGCGAGGAAAACTTTGTAGTTCATCTTGCTCGATTGTTAAGATGTTTTTATGACCTTGTCGCAACGTATTAGATATGTGTTAGGATATGTGTATCAACTGTCGAAGAGAAATCAATTTTTCGTCTTTATTATTTGTTAAACCTTGACTTTATTATGGAACTGTGTATTCTTTTCTTTCTTTTTTTCTATTCGCATCCGATTATTGTTGTGAAATAATCATTCCTCGAGTTGCTACGTGCTATTCGCAAAAAATAATCGTTTGTTGGATGCCAGACGGCGCACTTTCTCGTTTTTTAAATATAACATGCAGCTTGCGATCAGTAGAAACGGGAAAAAGCTGCGCGTAAAATAAAAGAGAAACAAAATACAGAGCGAGATTAGCTAATAAAACAAATGGCACAATAAAACGCTCGAATCATCGAGTCATGCAATAATCAGAAGTCAAACTTTGCAGAGATGAATCATCGAAATCAGAGTTATTCGGAATGAATATTTCAACAAATCTTTCAGCCTTCATTTGTCGTCATAATAAATTTCGAAATGTACACAGACATCGAGTAAATCTGAAAATAAACAGAAGCAATTTAAAGAAAAAGAAATAGAATTGACATTCTCCAACACACGCATGCAGCTTACTTAAATATGTTAAAGTGAATGTATATTATTTTTCTTTTCAACAAAGACTAACAGGTTATTATGCTATCGGCTAGGTCTTTTCTCCATCTCTGAAATGACAGCGTATCGTTGTCACAGTTGATTCGAGACAGATGAAAATCATAGTTTACGATTAATCGTGAAAGACGTAACGATGACAAAAGATAACGAGATAACAAGTGAGTTGTTTAATCTCGAAGAGAAAACCGAGCGTTAAAAATCACAACTTTTCATTCTATTCTCTGATTTCTTTTTTCTTTTTGTCTGTCGTAAGCCAACCTGTCAATATACGTTTTCGCTTCGTTTCTTTTCGTCGCACATCTAAACATCATACTTACTTCTTCTCTTTCACTTTCGTTTTGCTTATTGTATACACACAGGAGGAAAGGCCACCCCATACATACATCGACAAGTTTTTAACACATACATACACACATCTATATATGTGCATACACAGTTTGAGCTTATTTGATATATGTTGACACAATTTTTGGTCGCGTCGGCTACTATTAAATATATATATGTGTACGTGTATGCGTTGATCTTGAACTATACAACGACGATATGTATTGATGACAAAGAGAAAGAAGATGAGTATTATATTAGTTGAAGAGAGTACTTAGCTATTGTTAACTCAATCAATGAACACAATTATGTTGTTCTATATATGGCATTGTATTTTTGGTGACGTCAGATCAACACAAAAACATATGAGTGTGAGTTAGTAGATTATCCTTGATTATATTATTATTATTATAAGGTCTTTCTTTTTAATGGCGTTTGAATAGATACCTAATGACGAGACAGATTTTTCTTATGGGAAAGTTTAATCATTAATCAAGGCTAAATGTGTGACAGTAACAAAAAGAAAACCTACCGAATTTAGTGAAGTGTAAATAATGCATTATAAAAAAAGTGAAGATATCACGAGTAATTGAATGAGGTGTATTGAACATATGTTATGAAGGTGATAACAGAATATAATTTGCTGTGACTCCCTCTCTTTGTCTGAATATGTATCATTTATCTTCTTTTCTTTCATTTATAGGTGTGCTATCCGCTCTTCCTTAGCGGTCTCCAATGACCGAGAGTTATTTAACTACAGATATTATTGTTATCATCGTTTTGGTCGTCGTCTTAAGTATGTGACATATTTCATCTATGATAAAAATGCCTCGTTTGTTTAGTTTTGGTCGGTATATGCGCCTTTTTTACACATTTCTATTGGACGAAAATCGGTGTTTCGGAAATATGGAATACAGCAAAATGGAGTTCAATGCGAAGTTCAATCTATCAGACAGTGCGTCGTTTCAGTCGCGCTAGCAGTGGCAAGTACGGCTCCGAACGTCCATTCTCTGCTGCATCCGTATATTCGGAAGAATCAGATGGTAGTGCATTACCAGCTCCGCTAAGAAATAAAAAACCACAAGCAGCAGCTCCTCATTCTACTATACCCATTCCTCCACAACAGCAGCAGCAACAGTCGTCATCGCTGCCGCCACCGCCTCACTCTGCTTCTTCTTCTTCTTCTACTAATAATGCTTACTCAGCGACTGCACCGCGAAATCAATCATCCGACAGTTATGGACGTCGAAATTCACGCAATCAAGTACAACCGGTTTCTACAGTTTCATATAATAATTCTGGAAGACAGAACTATGGCATTAAAATAGGACAAGCTCCTCAGAATACCAAAATTCGAAATGTTCATGAGTACGATGAGAGAAATCCAGATGGTTCTGTTACTATTGATGTACAACGGTTTTAAATGAATATCTGTCTTCATTTAATCATCCTGAGCTTTCCCGTTCGAAAACAAATCATTTCTTGCTCTGTTTTGTCTCAATAATTTGGTGATATACGACTTCACCCTGGTGATAAA